GAGGAACATCAATCAATACTCTAACATGCACAATTTTGAAGATTTGGGCAAAAATCATCCATTTTTGGAGAAAAAGAATTACATTTTCTGAGCGATTTTACTTTAAATTTTCGACGGAACTTCCTCTTTAATAGCACGTCTGTCCAGCAATCGATTTGGAATGCGTTCTAGGGCCCGTAAGGCATCTTTCTAGCAACTTTCAAGCAATTTCATTTTTTGGCCAAAATTGAAAAAAATGCAAGGGGTTAGCCTTACATTTTTAGTCAAAATTGGCCAAAAATTGACTTTTCTCAAAACAAGACAGAAATTCATCTAGAAGCAAGAGGAACATTAATCAATACTCTAACATGCACAATTTTGAAGATTTGGGCAAAAATCATCCATTTTGGGAGAAAAAGAATTACATTTTCTGAGCGATTTTACTTTAAATTTTCGACGGAACTTCCTCTTTAATAGCACGTCTGTCCAGCAATCGATTTGGAATGCGTTCTAGGGCCCGTAAGGCATCTTTCTAGCAACTTTCAAGCAATTTCATTTTTTGGCCAAAATTGAAAAAAATGCAAGGGGTTAGCCTTACATTTTTAGTCAAAATTGGCCAAAAATTGACTTTTCTCAAAACAAGACAGAAATTCATCTAGAAGCAAGAGGAACATTAATCAATACTCTAACATGCACAATTTTGAAGATTTGGGCAAAAATCATCCATTTTGGGAGAAAAAGAATTACATTTTCTGAGCGATTTTACTTTAAATTTTCGACGGAACTTCCTCTTTAATAGCACGTCTGTCCAGCAATCGATTTGGAATGCGTTCAAGGGCCCGTAAGGCATCTTTCTAGCAACTTTCAAGCAATTTCATTTTTTGGCCAAAATTGAAAAAAATGCAAGGGGTTAGCCTTACATTTTTAGTCAAAATTGGCCAAAAATTGACTTTTCTCAAAACAAGACAGAAATTCATCTAGAAGCAAGAGGAACATCAATCAATACTCTAACATGCACAATTTTGAAGATTTGGGCAAAAAATCATCCTTTTTCGGAGAAAAAGAATTACATTTTTTGAGCGATTTTACCTTAAATTTTCAACGGAACTTCCTCTTTAATAGCACGTCTGTCCGGAAAACGATTTGGAATGCGTTCTAGGGCCCATAAGGCATCTTTCTAGCAACTTTCAAGCAATTTCATTTGTTGGCCAAAATTGAAAAAAATGCAAGGGGTTAGCCTTACATTTTTAGTCAAAATTGGCCAAAAATTGACTTTTCTCAAAACAAGACAGAAATTCATCTAGAAGCAAGAGGAACATCAATCAACACTCTAACATGCACAATTTTGAAGATTTGGGCAAAAATCATCCATTTTTGGAGAAAAAGAATTACATTTCTTGAGCGATTTCACCTTAAATTTTCGACGGAATTTCCCCTTTAATAGCACATCTGTCAAGCAATCGATTTGGAATGCGTTCTAGGGCCCGTAAGGCATCTTTCTAGCAACTTTCAAGCAATTTCATTTTTTGGCCAAAATTGAAAAAAATGCAAGGGGTTAGCCTTACATTTTAGTCAAAATTGGCCAAAAATTGACTTTTCTCAAAACAAGACAGAAATTCATCTAGAAGCAAGAGGAACATCAATCAATACTCTAACATGCACAATTTTGAAGATTTGGGCAAAAATCATCCATTTTTGGAGAAAAAGAATTACATTTTCTGAGCGATTTTACTTTAAATTTTCGACGGAACTTCCTCTTTAATAGCACGTCTGTCCAGCAATCGATTTGGAATGCGTTCTAGGGCCCGTAAGGCATCTTTCTAGCAACTTTCAAGCAATTTCATTTTTTGGCCAAAATTGAAAAAAATGCAAGGGGTTAGCCTTACATTTTTAGTCAAAATTGGCCAAAAATTGACTTTTCTCAAAACAAGACAGAAATTCATCTAGAAGCAAGAGGAACATTAATCAATACTCTAACATGCACAATTTTGAAGATTTGGGCAAAAATCATCCATTTTGGGAGAAAAAGAATTACATTTTCTGAGCGATTTTACTTTAAATTTTCGACGGAACTTCCTCTTTAATAGCACGTCTGTCCAGCAATCGATTTGGAATGCGTTCTAGGGCCCGTAAGGCATCTTTCTAGCAACTTTCAAGCAATTTCATTTTTTGGCCAAAATTGAAAAAAATGCAAGGGGTTAGCCTTACATTTTTAGTCAAAATTGGCCAAAAATTGACTTTTCTCAAAACAAGACAGAAATTCATCTAGAAGCAAGAGGAACATTAATCAATACTCTAACATGCACAATTTTGAAGATTTGGGCAAAAATCATCCATTTTGGGAGAAAAAGAATTACATTTTCTGAGCGATTTTACTTTAAATTTTCGACGGAACTTCCTCTTTAATAGCACGTCTGTCCAGCAATCGATTTGGAATGCGTTCAAGGGCCCGTAAGGCATCTTTCTAGCAACTTTCAAGCAATTTCATTTTTTGGCCAAAATTGAAAAAAATGCAAGGGGTTAGCCTTACATTTTTAGTCAAAATTGGCCAAAAATTGACTTTTCTCAAAACAAGACAGAAATTCATCTAGAAGCAAGAGGAACATCAATCAATACTCTAACATGCACAATTTTGAAGATTTGGGCAAAAAATCATCCTTTTTCGGAGAAAAAGAATTACATTTTTTGAGCGATTTTACCTTAAATTTTCAACGGAACTTCCTCTTTAATAGCACGTCTGTCCGGAAAACGATTTGGAATGCGTTCTAGGGCCCGTAAGGCATCTTTCTAGCAACTTTCAAGCAATTTCATTTGTTGGCCAAAATTGAAAAAAATGCAAGGGGTTAGCCTTACATTTTTAGTCAAAATTGGCCAAAAATTGACTTTTCTCAAAACAAGACAGAAATTCATCTAGAAGCAAGAGGAACATCAATCAACACTCTAACATGCACAATTTTGAAGATTTGGGCAAAAATCATCCATTTTTGGAGAAAAAGAATTACATTTCTTGAGCGATTTTACCTTAAATTTTCGACGGAACTTCCTCTTTAATAGCACGTCTGTCCACCAATTGATTTGGAATGCGTTCTAGGGCCCGTAAGGCATCTTTCTAGCAACTTTCAAGCAATTTCATTTTTTGGCCAAAATTGAAAAAAATGCAAGGGGTTAGCCTTACATTTTTAGTCAAAATTGGCCAAAAATTGACTTTTTCAAAACAAGACAGAAATTCATCTAGAAGCAAGAGGAACATCAATCAATACTCTAACATGCACAATTTTTAAGATTTGGGCAAAAATCATCCATTTTTGGAGAAAAAGAATTACATTTTTTGAGCGATTTTACCTTAAATTTTCGACGGAATTTCCCCTTTAATAGAACATCTGTCAAGCAATCGATTTGGAATGCGTTCTAGGGCCCGTAAGGCATCTTTCTAGCAACTTTCAAGCAATTTCATTTTTTGGCCAAAATTGAAAAAAAATGCAAGGGGTTAGCCTTACATTTTTAGTCAAAATTGGCCAAAAATTGACTTTTCTCAAAACAAGACAGAAATTCATCTAGAAGCAAGAGGAACATCAATCAATACTCTAACATGCACAATTTTGAAGATTTGGGCAAAAATCATCAATTTTTGGAGAAAAAGAATGACATTTTTTGAGCGATTTTACTTTAAATTTTCGACGGAACTTCCTCTTTAATAGCACGTCTGTCCAGCAATCGATTTGGAATGCGTTCTAGGGCCCGTAAGGCATCTTTCTAGCAACTTTCAAGCAATTTCATTTTTTGGCCAAAATTGAAAAAAATGCAAGGGGTTAGCCTTACATTTTTAGTCAAAATTGGCCAAAAATTGACTTTTTCAAAACAAGACAGAAATTCATCTAGAAGCAAGAGGAACATTAATCAATACTCTAACATGCACAATTTTGAAGATTTGGGCAAAAATCATCAATTTTTGGAGAAAAAGAATTACATTTTTTGAGCGATTTTACCTTAAATTTTCGACGGAATTTCCCCTTTAGTAGCACATCTCTCCAGCAATCGATTTGGAATGCGTTCTAGGGCCCTTAAGGCATCTTTCCAGCAACTTTCAAGCAATTTAATTTTTTGGCCAAAATTGAAAAAAATGCATTACATTTTTAGTCAAAATTGGCCAAAAATTGACTTTTCTCAAAACAAGGCAGACATTCTTCTGGATGCGAGAGGAACATCGATTAATACCATTGTCATTTCTTTACTTGTGAAAACCAAAGAATAAATGAACCAACTCACTATAATGTTATAATGTACAGAAAGATTTTTATCAATATCAAATATCAATATCTGGACAGGAAAAGTTGCAATGTTCCAGAGAATATAGGTGGGTACCTTTCGATGGGAATCAGTTAAAATTACCAAAATGCGGCAAAGTATTGTATTTTTTTTGGTAAACATTTTTCAGAAGAAATCAATGAAAAACGGTTAAATATTTCACAAGTTATAAAGCAAACAACTATTTACACACTGAGAACATGACATAAAGTTATTGAAAAGCAAATCAGCAAATTTGGAAGTGCGTGAAGTTGTGTGGTATAACAGTATTTAAATTTAAATAACGTGTGTTAAATTTAATATTCCTGAATATGAAACCAAGTTTTAACAGTTTTATCTTGGTTTGTTCAGAGTTTGCCAAAAAAAATTACAAATGCAACATTTTGTGACGTGTGGCAATAAGTGATAATTTTGTTGTTTATTTTAGTGTCTGATAATAATTAAATTGAAATTCACACAAATTCAATTAAGCTATCATTCATGTTGCATAAATGCCGAACCTTTTTGCAGAACAGAACACAGATGTGGGGAAATTTTCAAATCGTTTTTAAACAACGCACAAGAATCTTTCAAAACTATTTACAACCGAATCCATTTCATGTACACAACCAATCTTGACTCAAAATCATCTGCATCTCTCTATATATACACGTTAATAACTGTGCGGGGACGTGAAGTTACAAGGAATACAAATAAGGTAAATAATCCCAATTTCCACTTTGATGCAGGCCCAATGCAGTAATGCATAGCATATAAGACCACAAACATTTACATGAAAAATGCATGAACATGCATGACCAAGTTCCACACTCCAGAAATCTTGGCAAATTGCAGCGACTGATTCATTAAGAAATCTTCCCATATAAAAACAAACATCCCAATAAGCCAGTCCGGTATTTCAACTACGCATGCGCACAATGAAATGGGATAATCGAAGGCGTCTGAACACGCGCGGAGACGAGCGCACGACGCTCGTGCGCTAATTACAAGCAGAATGGGACGTCAGCATTACACGTCCGCGATTTATCCCGAATGACCTTTGACCTGGACTACTTCAACAGATACTGAACTGGCTTATTGAAAAAAGGTTGGTGATTGCTACTAAAAGTACAGCCATATACATGTACCCTGTGAAGTCTTGTGCAGTGAATTACCGACTTGCAATAACCAAAATAATGAAAACTTTCTCCACATGAGTAATTAAATGTCTTTCCGGAAAATCTGAAATTATTTATAACTGCTAGTGAAATGCTTTTTTCAAACCACCAATTAAGATGGTGCTCTCTAATACATATATCAGTTTGAAAAGTAAGAGGATTTCTGTGAAAAAAAATAGTAATTTAAAATAAATATGATCCCTTCTGTGATACTTGCACATACATAATGTGTACCAGCTTTTGTGGATTACTCATACATAGTGTAGGGACCTGAAAAAAAAAGTTGTCCAAATTTGGCATTTTATGGCTAAAGCTACTCACAAACAGTGTGCCAAATGTAAAATCCAAGACGTAGCCACAAAATGCCCGATTCAAATCCAGTCTGAGGCTTTGTGCTAAAAAAAAAAAAAAAAGACTGGTGGCTATGATGTCATAACCACATCATATTGGCCTTACAAGTGTGCCCTCCGGGAACTAGACAGAGATGGCTGCCGGGGTGATTTAGGACTGATCTGGGAAGAGTGTGCCCAGCAGAGCAGAGTAGTTGACTCGTAGTACGTTGTCTCTCTTCTCCTGGCCGGACCAGGCTTCGTCCAGCTTGGTGGGTGGGGGTTGGTAAGGCGGCAGGCTGACGGGGGCGTCCCTCCAGTTCAGGTAACGGACAAACATCTCGTAGTTGACTTTACCCTCGTTGTTCTTGTCCATTCTGTTATAAAAAAAATTAAGAAAGAGAAACTAAGAAGTTGGTAGAATTCTTTAACTGATATGAATCCAATTAGACTATACATGTACCATATGAACTCGCCCAAATTCAATCTCTGCTTTTTGATGATTTTTTTGATAGAAGGGTCTGTCAATTACTTAACAAGTGGTTTGTCCCAGTTTTAAGTAGAAAGAATATGGCTTTGATTAACTGCAGAATATAGAAGACACTTCCATGTTGGTACATTGAATGCTATTAGAATGGAGCGCCTTCACAGGGAGCAATGGGACTGTGCATGTGCTAAGTGCAACTCAAAGTTTTCATGTCGCGGAAAGACTTGAATTTGGTCTATTAGATTTTCAGTACTCAAAACGGTTTCTAACAAAAATGTCCAGTGACCTGGGTTTAATATTCCCAGACAGAGACCTCTATTCCACAAATAAGCAAAATTGACTCTTATAGTACTTGACCTGTTGTCAAGAATGCTGTCTTAACCAAACAACAATATTAGAAGAAAATTATATACAAAAACTCAGACAATGAATTTGTTATCATTTCCAATACAGTCTAGTATTAAAAAGAATACCCCCTGTGATAGGAACACCGGATTTTCATTTCTCCCGTTATTTTCTATCAACAACCTGAGGAAAACATAGCAAAATGTCTTTTATTCTGACATCAAGTTTCACGATCTCGAGATCATATTCCAAGATGTTTCGGAACTCACCTGAAGAGCAAGGCGCGCACTAGATCGTCCGGCAGAGGCAGGTGGAAGGCCCTGCAGGTCTTGCGGACCAGCTCGGCATCCACAAAGCCCGACCGGTCCGTGTCGTAGGACTGCAGGCCCTCGGCCAGCTTGGCAAAGTTCTCAAAGTTGCTGCGGCGGAGCTGCTCCTGGGCCACCGACACCAGCGCCTCCAGGGGCATCTTGTCGTCTTGGCTGTCGCTGTAGTAACGGGCAACTGTCATGATCTCGTGCTCGGCTAGGGATGAGCCGCCGAGCTGCACTAAGAGGTTCCTGTTGAGAGTTCAAAACGTCCAAGTTTAAGAAGATCCTTCAGAGTGAGTCTTCAGCTTTCATGTTTGTGGAGCGCTGTGGTCCAATGGTTACACAGTGTCAGGTACATGGCTTTGTGTTCTTGGGCAAGACACTTTACTCCACCCAGGAGTATAAATAAACGGGTACCTGTCACAGAGCACACCGACTCATGATCAGAGGGTCCTGGGTTCAAATCCAGCCGCTGGCCATATGCTGTGTCCTTGGGCAAGCCACTTCGTCCCCACTTGCCTCTCTCCACCCAGGAGTATAAATGGGTACCGGCATTAGCTGGGAGTAACCTGCTATGGACTAGCATCCAATCCAGGGGGAATAGAAATATTCTCAGCCGTTTCATGCCACTGAAACCTGACATAAACGCCGGCCTGATGGGCCACATTGGCTCATGACAGACTTTACTTACTACCTCAGAGGAAAGATTTGCTTTATAACTAAGTGACATAACAATAGAAATCTCCACGCGCACAATCGTTAGGACCCGTGACCATTCAGCCCCGGTATGAAAAGGGCCCCCCCAGGTAAGCTCGTCCCCTCCCAAGAAGTCTTTTCGTACTGTCCCAGCTAACCAGGAGCCTGGTCCGGTTGCTAATCAGGAACTCCTCTAAACTGGGGTCTATTGTTTGCAAGTATTGACAAATGTAATATATCCTAGAAGAAACCTGCTTGTGGTTTTCATCTCTCAGTGCGAAACAATAGAACACTTTTGTCGGCACAGATCAAAACCCCTGCCGTGTGGTTTCGCGCACAATGGGACCGTAAATTACCAAAGCATTTGGAAGGATTTTATCTTTAATCCGATAAGTCTGCTATTGTTCTGCTCAGAACGTTCTCCGAAGGGCAATAATTGATGCGCCTGACTGACTTCAAAACTTCTGGTCAGACAGGACCATGTACCGGACGAGACTGGGCTGAAGACCGGACTGGCTCTGGACCGGACGAGGTACCGGGCGGCCCTTTTCATACCCGGGGCTGAATGGTCACGGTCCCTTAGCAAATCCACAACGTGAAATAGTGCTTAAGGTTAGCACAATTTTCTGCTATAGTTATAGCACAACTTTTCTGCTAAACTGTTAAGCAGCGGACTGTTAAGCAGCACCATGACTTGTTGTCAAGGCTACAGACTCTGTATTGATGACTCACCTGAAAAGGTCGTACTCCAGCTTGCCGGTGCCCTCGGGGTCGTTCCTCTTGAAGAATTCCTTGATCTGCTCCATGTTCTGCGAGGCGATCTGACCCAACTTCTGGATGATGGAGTTGATGTTGGAAACATTGAACTGCACCCCCCAAAAAAACCAAGAAAGGAAATCATGAAGAAAGTGAATTTTTTTCCTTCCAACATACAACCTAAATATGAATGAGAAATCTTGCTTAAAGGATTATGTTAGTGTAGGTAACATTAACAGTAGGGCTAGTGAACTTTTTTTTAAATGGTTGTATTTGTTTAAGAGATTGCTTTCATTGTAAAGCCCACCCAAAAAGAAAACAAATGATGGTAAAATTGCAAAAATTGACCCATGCAATCCAAAGTTATGACCAAATATACGTCGATCAAATGACGTTATTTTGTATAGGAAATGTGTACGAAAATGGTGTATTTTTGTGAAATTGAATAAAAAGGCATATTTGAACATCTGTTATGGTGTAAATAAACACTTTGGTAAACTTTAACTTGTTTTTGTCCATTGTTTATCACAAATACTATTGGTTTCAGTTGGTTTTGAGTTGATAAAAAACTTGATATGCAATAAAATGAATGTTAAAAATGTACTTTTACACTAAAAATCATGAACGGCAAGGTTGAAAAATGACTAAGTCCTACCCAAAAGCACTAAAAGTAACAAAACTTCCATTCACTAGAACATATTTTCACCAAATTTGGATGACACAAGGATTGTGTGTAGATACAGCATGTGGACCCAAAAAAGACCACACAAAAATCTAAAATCTAAAAAAAAAACTACTGTTTTTGCTAATTTTTGGCCAAAATGGAGAAATTTCAGTCTGGCATGCGTAAACGTGTAAACTGGCCCAAGCCGAAGTCCAATTCTCAATGCCCAAAATCCCCAAATTTGACAAAAATTTAAACAAAGATATAAAACTTGGGTATCCCATTTAGGTTATAAAACGAAGTTTCTCTCATATTTGGGTTATTTTATCCCATTTTGGTGCAAATCTCATAAGCCTAGTAATTTAGTAAAAAAAAAGTATGCGCTGTGCGTAATGATTTTCCTGCGTAATTCCAATGGCCCAACGTTACATCAGTGCCCATCACATTTGTACACAAAAATCGTACATGCTATAGCCACCCAACAAACTGTAAAAACATCAGATTTCACTCTCAAAAACGGCCACAAAGTTATTAGATATGCTACCTGAGATACAAGGAGAGATCGATTATTAAGATTGAGGAACTACGATGTGGGCAAAAAGTGAAATGATCGCCGGTACTGCGGTAGCAAAAACACTCCGAGTTCCATTTTGTTTACACCGCGTGCGATGGAGTCTGGACGGTTTCCGAAAACGAAGAACTTACACTGGTATCCACTGACATATTCTGACCGTACGGGCCATGAAGGGAACCAGTGTAGAATATGCATTACGCGACGCATCATGTGACAATGTTTTGGCTGCACTCGATCTCAAACGTGATAATTTTCTGTTGCATTTACATTATTGCGTACCGGGAACGAAACAGTGATGCTTACACGACGCGCGCTGTCAAACAGAAGGCGCCATGATGAAAATACATCGCGACACAAATGTGTCTATAACTCTAAAATACAATCATATTTTGAAGGTTTTAAAAAAAGCATTTCAAGCTTCGATATCACTAATTACAATTTTCAAGGTTCCATTTATTATTTTCAATGTATTTCGTGATGAAAAAGTTTTGGGAAAAACAAAAAGAATCGTAACTTTGCAACGCGTAGGCCGATTATCATGGAACGTGGATGGTTGAATGGCATTTTCAATAAGCTTTCGACTGACGTATGGTTTCTTGACGTCTGCTATGCTACACTACTGTCAAGACCGAGTTAAACACAGTCACCAGGGCAGACAATTCTTGCCGTGGATCTTGAACGCATGGACCGGTCTGTGCGCGCCGCATGGCCCGTGAACGTAACATGTCATGCGCGCAGCATTTTTCGTACTCGGAGTTAAAATGAGACTTTTCAAACAGCAAAAACAAGAGTAATTTCGACTCAAATCACAATCACAATAGGAAAATATGTAAGTTTATTATATCATTGAACTATCATCATAAATTACGAGGAATATTTCAAAATTTTAACTTATAAATGGGGAATGAAAACATCCGACTTTTTGAAACAAAATCACCGGGCGTGTGTATGTTTTGTACACAAAGTGATCACCGGCAGCAAACAGCGAGTGCGCGAGCCCTATTAACAGTGGCATTGTGTATTTGCAGTGCAAATACACAAGGTTATGAGCAATCGCAATCAGTACTGCAAGGTTTTATTGTATTTTCAAATTTGCAAATTCTTTATACAATATGCCACCTCATGAAATTATTCTTACCATTGCATTCATAAGCATTCAGTATTTGTATACTATTGCACAGGATGTTATGCTATATTCATAAGCATTCAGTATTTGTATACTATTGCACAGGATGTTATGCTATATTTTACCTCCTGGGCGTGCTTCTCCATGTAGCGGAAGGCGTACTCGTCCGCATCGATCAAGACGAAGATGTGGTTGTGGAAGTTAACCCGGCTGCCGACGTACAGGTCCCTGGCCTGGTAGTACTCGGACAGCTCGGTGCCAAAGCGCTCCTGGTTGGGCTTCTTGATACGGTTGCGCTCCAGGAACTTGCCGCCGATTATGCCTGGAGATTCATCCGAAAAATACAAACTGTCAACTTGCAAGTTCTTAAATAGATTGTCAGATTTGGACCTCTGGATTAATAATAATAATACAATAATCGGCATTTAAAAGTGCTCTTATTAGTTAACTAAATCACAGCGCTTACAGTAGTATTATTACCCCTCATCATTGGGCCAATCAAACATTCTAAATACCATCTCAGCTCCCTGGGGAGTATACAGCTCGATGCAGCCTGTTAGGCGCAAGCAAGCTAATTCAATCACAAAAACCATCTCTGCCCTCACAGGTACCCATTTACTCCTGGGTGGAGAGAAGCAATGAGTGACAAAGTGCCTTGCCCAAGGGCACACGCACATGCATGACCCAAGGCTGGACTCGAACCCACAACCCGCAGCTTTACCCGCAGACCACGAATCCAGTGCCCTTAACCACGAGGCCACAGCACTCCGCATTACTATGCATTGATCCCTTTTCTGTTACTGTTTCAATTTTTTTTCTTTGTTAATTTTTGTAAAAACTCCATGCAAGCTGTGATGATATATATGGTACATAACATGAAATCAGTGTCCATAAAGGTTTAGGGTTCTACTACACCAAAAACATGCGAAATCGGACCCAAAGAGTGCCACCTTGTGACGCTCAGGAGCAAGGTGGCAATATTTTTTTTCACTGCAAATGAAAGATTATGACCTCTTTGACAATTTTCTGTTCAATTATGCCAGATGGTTTTTTTTATATTCCCCTCTCCCTCCGCCACTTTGCGAAATAGACCCAAAAGTTGCGTATTTGTTTTTAACAAAATCATCTGAGTTTGAAGCCACTTTTCACAAATGCTTGATTTCCATAAACATTTCTACAATTCGGGCGATTCACAATGCAGAGCGCCACCAATAGTTTGCCACAGAGAGTTCATTTTTCCCAGTGCATTGTGGGAGATGGCCGACAAATTCGCAGCGCAGGACATTTGATATTGTTCCTTTTTTCCAGTCAGTAGTTTCGTAAGCGTATGATTCGAGTATACTCTGCCCTTTTCTTAACTTTGTATCAATATGGTGATTTTTGGTAAGGCGGCAGAACGCTATGCCCCAATCTGTAACAAATTTGCTCGTATCTACTGACTCTCATTCAAATGGGTCATATTTTGTCGACTGTCAACTTGAAAAGTTGACTCTCCATGGCAAACTCTTGGTGGCGCACTACACTGTGAATCGCCCGAATAAGTCCCAATTATATATAGGCTGCAAGGAGATCTCTCATTCAAAATTACCCGAGGGATCACAAAATATTCATGAGCTTGCGCAAAGTAATTTACAGCATTTTAGTGACGTGCAATCTCAGGCAGGGATGAAATGGCTAATTGTCCTTACTCGCAGCAGAAGCTGAATTGCAAAGGACGCAGCTAAACACGGTCGAGCCGAAGACAAGCAAAGACGACTAGGCTGCCGCATACAACCCATGTCTTAACACGGAGCACAGCCGGCTTGAAGCCCCAGATTGAACCGGCAGAAATGAAAAACCCTCTTGGCACCGGAGAGAATCAACAAACAACTCTACTCACATATTACCCTAGCCGGGAATCGAACCCGGGCCACAGTAGTGAGAGGCGAGTGATTTACACCCTGCACCCCCCATTTCACAGGGAGGCAAGGATGCATGGAGACAAACACTTAAATGTTTGATATACTTACCAGAGTTGCGGACCGGCGGCTCAAACACGGAGACGGTGTCGTCGGACAGGAAATAGGAGAGAATGAATCTACGGTCTGTGTCAATGGGTTTAGTGGTATCCAGTCGGCAAACAAAACGAATCACATTGCTGTCAAGTCCGTGCCTGAATCACACATACAAATAGAAATGTAAATAAGTTTGTAAAAAGCTTCTCACCAAAGACAGCTTTAGGGGAGAAGGCGAAATTAAACAGGCTGGAACTTGAGGTTCACACCTTGAGGTTTTACAAGGTACCTCAGGGTTCAACCTCAACTTACTGCTTGGTTAATTTTGCATTCTAGAATACTGCTCACTTGACTTGAACTTGAGGTTCACACCTTGAGGTTTTACAAGGTACCTCAGGGTTCAACCTCAACTTACTGCTTGGTTAATTTTGCATTCTAGAATACTCACATAACTTGCTCACTTAACTTTAACTTGAGGTTCGCACCTTGAGGTTTTACAAGGTACCTCGGGGTCAACCTCAACTTACTGCTTGGTTAATTTTGCATTCTAGAATGCTCACTAAACTTGCTCACTTAAGTCTTAACTTGAACTTGAGGTTCGCACCTTGAGGTTTTACAAGGTACCTCAGGGTTTCAACCTCGACTTACTTCTCGGTTAATTTTGCATTCTAGAATGCTCACTTAATTTGAACTCAAGGTTCGCACCTTGAGGTTTTACTAGGTTTTACTTCGGAGCTCAACCTCGACTTGTTTAATTTTGCATTCTAGAATGCTCACTGAACTTGCTTTCTTAACTTGAACTTGAGGTTCCCACCTTTAGGTTTTACAAGGTACCTCGTTTCAACCTCGACCTACGTCTCAGTTAATTTTGCATTCTAGAATGCTCAATTAATAACTTGCTCACTTAACTTGAACTTAAGGTTCGCACCTTGAGGTTTTACGAGATTTACATAGGTACCTCGGAGCTCAACCTTGACTTGTTTAATTTTGCATTCTAGAATGCTTACTTAACTTGCTCGAGGTTGAGGTTCGCATCTTGAGGTTTTACAAGGTTTTACTGGGCTCAACCTCGACTTACTGCTTGGTTAGTTTTGCATTCTAGAATGTTCACTTAACTTGCTCACTTAACTTGAACTGGAGGCTTGCAACTTGAGGTTTTACAAGGTTTTACAGGGTACCTCTGGGCTCAATCTCGGATTACTACTTGATTAATTGTGCATTTCAGAATGCTCACTTAATTTCGCAAGTACTATGATATCACCAAAAAGTCACTGAAGAAATAATGATGAAACCGTGCCATGGCAAGGCCAGGGCTGGAAACCCAACAGAATGCCAATTTGACCTACCTGTCTTTCTCCATGAATTTGATGAAGTCTCTCCGGGGCGGCTTGGGCAGCAGACCCATGCAGGAGCAGAGAGAATCCTCCTCGGAGCCAAATCCAGTGTACGGCGGCCACTCACGCTTCATGGATGGGGCTGCCTCGCCCTTGTAGTTAAGCGGGGTGAAAGTAGCTGCAAATTGGAACACAGTGTCTTGATTACATATTCTGGCAACTATAATAAGTTTTGCTTCTGGAACGGACGCAAAGATCCTCGTCATCTACAGAAGAATTCAGCATTTACAGTATTCCACAAGTTCAGCTGGAAAATTTGGATTATTAAAGACTCTGTATATAAGATGAATTTGCATCGGGGTGATGTAAATCAATATTAGGTATTTTGGACCTTCACCGATGTATAAACACTGTATACTCAGTGTGTTACCTCCCGAGTAAAAGTTGAAAAAAATAAAAAACAATCGTGAGGGACTCGAACCCACAACCTCCTGCTTTCTGGTGCAGACGTCTTACCACTCGACCACCGAGCTTGTGGGATCAGTTGGCTGGTTCAAATCTGATGTACATGTAGCAGCGGGTACCGCAATTAAACTATTCATAGGATGAATTTGCGTCGGGGTGATGTAAAACAATATCAGCTTTTTTGCCCTTCAAATTTTTAAAACAACAATATCTCAGAGACAAAATATGCATTTCCAATCATATTTTTGTCAATGTTTAAAGATCAATATTTTAATACCATTAAATTGAATTTTTAAAATATATGCTGAAAAAGTTGGTGAAAATTGCTGTCAAAAGTGGGTTTCCTTCTTTTGGCACCACCCTGTACAACCCTACCCTTTTATCTGCAAGAAACCTGGGTTAAACAAAAAACGTCTCCAAAATACACTACAATCTGTAGCCGACTTACCCACACCATACTTGGAGCGATAGTACTCTTTAGTGAAGTCGTCACAGTCACAGAGGGTCAGTTTACGGCCCCACATATTCATCTGTGTGCCAATCTTGAGGTCGCTGGCCTTGTAGTACTCAGTATGAACTGCTCCGGTCTGAAACCATTGGAAATGTGGAAAATCTGTTTAGTTGGAGTGGAAACTGGTTTTTATATTAAGGCAGACCAAGTAATAATCATTCAATTTTCAATCAAAAGGTGTTCCAAGGTACAATGGCAAGTTTTTCCTCCTAAACGTACAGAATGTCTCAATTCAGTAGATGTTTTGCTTTGTACGTCATTCTATAAACTCGGGGTGTAAAGCTTGACATTTTTCCTGTCCCAGCTACAGCGTGGTGGAGCAGGCGGCATGTAAAGGCACCTTAACCAGACCGCCACACAACCCGTGTATGACCACAGAGCACAGCCAGAGATCGAAAGTGTGGATTTTTGCGGCGGGAGGAAAAACCCTCGTGGAGAGAATCAACGAACAACTCTACTCGCACATGGTCCGAGCCAAGAATCGAACCCGGGCAACATTGGTGAGAGGCAAGTGCTTTACGCACAAGCCACCCATGCCAACCTTATATAAAAGTTTAGTCCCCACAAAATTGTTATCGGCAAGCAGCAAGGTTGAATTTTCCACCTTGTCGTACACTGCTTATTCTCAATTATTAAATAAAATTGTTGAAAATGTAATGTTAACCAGTTCGCGCCGGGATTATTTTTGCCGAAAATTTAGATTTTCGTAAAAGGCAAGATAAGCAACCAACTTCTGATATACAGCCAAATTAACGCCAAAAATACTGATTCGCAAGAGTCATTTCAACAGAATTGTACGATATTTCTTATTTTCAGCACTCCGGAGTGTGCCCACGGAGCATAAATTGTACCAAAACAAGCCGTGCACAGCGGCCTTGTTCAAGTTCAACACATGGTCTGCCTCCACAGACTTCTCAGACTTTTGTGTGTGTGTGTACAAAACATATGGGGTATTAGCGTGTTTATACGTCATCCGGAGGCGAGTCCAGGCGCGCTTGACGTTTTAACCCGTCAGCCGTGCCTGTGTATAAAAACAGCCAGATCGTATTATCACGCCATCCGACACGAACTGGTTAACTCTTTCAGTGCCAAACTCGTACATGTACGAGGTAATGTTTGTACTTAAAATTGCCAAACCTCGTACATGTACGAGGTACAGGAAATATGTTATCAAAAGGGGGCACTCTCGCTCTTTCTAATGGTACCATTTTCATACATGTACAACCTGTATTTATTTTTTCATTTGAGTTCTTGCGAGAGGGCGCAGCACTAAATCTCGTATTTTCTGCAAAAAGTGTGGAATTCCCCTGTATTCAGGCCAGTGTTTCATGGTGTATCACTATGTTTGTGACTACTTTTGACTTTCCAATATATCAAGGATATGAGCAACAACAACAAATTTAGTGAGTAAAAGTTTTTTTGTGTTTTTTTTTACAGAATTTCGAACAATTAACAAAAACGATCGAAGTTGGGCACTTTAGGGTTAAACTTTTCAAATTTCGCGGGCACTGAAAGAGTTAAGAAGGATTTGAAGTTTTCTATCAGAATATGAATTTTAAGTTTGGCCAGTCTCCTAAGTTCATTTGGAAACATATATAGCATACCTTGAGACTGTCCAGAATGTACCTGCCCCCGTGGCCCATGGGCCCAAACACATTCAGCACCGTGCGGCCTGTGTTCTTCCCAGGCTGCTGCAGGGGCTCGGGCCCGCTCATGGGCATGCGGGCCCGTCGCAGGAACATCGGGGTGGCGTCCCGGCCCGCGTTGGCCGGGATCATCTCCTTGACCTCCACGGTGTCGTCGGCGAGGAAGTAGTGCAGGATCATCTCCCGGGTGTCGCCGAACATGTTGTCGGTGTCGTCCCAGTAGCAGTAGAAGCGCAGCACGTGGCGGTCGTGGTCCAAGAACTGCTTCAGGGTGTCCACCTTCTCGTACGGACGGAGCGGCTGCTGGGACTCATCCATCTAGAATATAAACATTACCACTTTAATGCCAAGTCTTCTATTTTTGTTAATTTCTGTACGTGTATATACACTTCAATCGTATGACGTCATAGCCTACTACTATATCCGCATGCAGTGCTTTACGATCTTTACCTACAATGACGTAGGCTGGGTCATGTAGGTTAGTGCGAGAGCCCTATTCATACAGCGCCAAAACCAAAAACGTGCAAGCATATTTGCGAAAAAGTAACAGCATACTAAGCTTGTGACATCATGGCAAGCATTCTAAAACTTTTGAACTTTGAGGAAGTTTTCCACGAATGCTTTATGACATCAACTATGATCTGCATTCCCATTTACGTGAAGTACAAACCACCCTTGAGGTTGTCACGTAAAAGATTTTCGTTTACATTTTCATGGACTTTCCAGTTGTCTGCTCATATCGTTCTTCTGTTTTGGAGCTGTTTGCCTGTCGCATGTTGAGCATCAGCTTTCGCTAATGAGAAATGTTTGTGGTTGTCATTCAATGTGCATAATGTTGATGATGTCGTCTAATCATTTGTCTATGAGCAAGATCGGTATCTTGATGAAGCAGTCTATGCTAAAGGTCTTTCGGTATAAAATCACTGACGTGATGATACACAATGTTACGCGATGTTACGCGGACGCCCATTCTGCTTGTAATTAACACGCGAGCGTCGTGCGCCCGTCTCCATGCCCATGGTCGTTAACCAATACTTACGAGGGATAAAGTTAAGATCCTAAGCTTTAAAATGATACAAAAATAATGGTGGTACGTGTTTCCGCAGCGACGCTAGAGCCTCGCAAAAAAAATGTTGCAGGTATTTTGGGACGCGTTGTACAAGTGCACCTGTGATCTTCGAACGAACAACTACAAAAAAAGATGACGACAATGACGCTGACAATGACAAAATCATTACTGGACCGAGCCCAGTCTAATGTGGCTTTCCCGGGATTCCTGGGTTTCGCATTCATGAGCACCCTACTGTGATAATGGCTTCTCAATCAGTTAACGACCATAAATATGTTCGCACATACGGCGGCAGTGCATGGTTTGTCCTTGATCATACCATGGAGCTTTTTATATAGCTCCACGATCATACAGTCAGGCTATCCCCAATGTATGTGCGTCGTTGTCTAGAGCCACCTGCCTCCCATCAGAATTTGAGTGACGAGTGACGAACCAGTTAAGTGCTGGAGAGCTGCCTAAAGTATACATCTAAGAAAGCCACATTTCACTGGGCTCGGTCCAGTAATGTGTACAGTAGCCGTTGAGCTAGAACATTGACAGGTTGGTTGTTATATGCCCCTTCGAGCTTCAAGCCCAAAAACTTTACACGGAGTGGCCACGGGGAGAATTTTATTACCACACGTGTTTCTAGGTCAATTACCCCCGCATGCCTGGATATGCACAAGATATAGGTCATTCACATGGCCAGGGATCAACGCCTCGCTTCTCGAAGGGTTAAGATTTGAGCAATTTCATTGCTTTAAAAAGGGCACAACGAGCAAATGATCATGCATGTGTCTTTATTAAAGGTCCTTACCCCCTTCCTGTAGTCCTTGTACGGGTCTCCTGGCGTGCTCTCCGGCGGGTTGACACGCACCCCCGCCTTGCGCAGGAAGTTGTAAGTGAACTGGTCGCAGCCGGTCAGCTTGAAGGTGCGGCCGTACAGCATGAGCTCCGTGCCGACGTTGAAATTCTCCATGGTGTAGAACTGGTCGTCGTTGGGAGGCGGGAGGGGAATTCGGTGGCGGCGGATCAGTGTGCCTGATGACAAAAATAAACAATAATCGTGATGCGACCAGGCTAAATGAGTCGTTTGTCTGGAATTTTCATTTGGTCCAGATTCAGGCCAAAATAGGACCACTTCATCACATCACTTCATCACATCTCTTGGTGTTCCGACTTCCATAATTTTTGAACTAAAGATGGTATCAGCATGTGGTTTTCACAGCAGTAATGCTGAGATTGTGCTCTTTTGAAATCTGTAAAAAAAAAATTGACCAGGGTCGACAAACGACTCATTTAGCTTGATCACATCAAGTACATTTATTTCTTTTTTATTTACTAGCTCTCTCGACATGCTATTTTCAAATTTCACCCCTAAAAAAGATCTTACTTGGAATTGCTGTTTTTGTGGTAATATAAAAGTTATTATCTTAAAGTAAATTTGAATTCTCGATCCTGATTGGTCGATCCATGGCAACAAACCAAGCTACATTTTCCCATGTAATAATAATAATAATACAGTGGAACCTCACTATAACGAACATCTGTGGGATCCACAGAAATTCTTCGTAATAGCGATCGTCCAGTATAGCGATTTTCACACATTAGCGGCACCCTCTTTTGATCATTGTTATTGTGTAGTTGCATTTACAAACCACGTGCGGAGTCGCCAAACGTGTCCATTAATATTTTTAATTCCGTAGCAGAACTTCACCAAGTACGCCCAAGTGCGACTATTGAATCATGTAATTACACAGTTTTGAGCTTACATGGGTGGCTTTTTCCTACTATTCGTTGGGGAAATAATAGCCATTTGTCGCTCTTCTGTTGACATTTCCAACAACAATGTTCGGTACGTTTTGTAAAAAAAAAATTGGAGCCAAGGCTGATGTTCGGTATAGCCGAATGTTTGGTATAGCGGTGTTCGGTATATAGCGACGTTCCACTGTAGCAGGAATTAATATAGCACTTTCACACCGCAACTGGGTATCAGAGCGCTTTAGAGTTATTATTTTCCCTGTTTCAACGGGCAAACACTCCTGAAACCTCAACTCCCTGGATAGTATACATGGCCAGTAAGCAGCCATTTCGGTGCTCTTGTTTGTAATCAACCTCTCACAGTCACCAACACTGCCCTCACAGGTACCCATCTACTCCTGGGTGGAGAGAAGCAATGAGTGACAAAGCGCCTTGCTCAAGGGCACACGGACCATAAGCCCAGGGTGGACTCGAACCCACAATTACCCGCAGACCACAAATTCAATGCTCCAGACCACTAGGCCACGGCACTCCACATGTAGCACGGTCCATACCGCACTCTAAATATTACGCTATCCTGAGATGTGCGCGCCATTCCTGCTGCACACGCACGAGTAAAAGGACAACTGCTAAAAAGTTTGTGTACAGAGTGCGCGTTCCATCTTTCACTGTGCGCAACTTTAAATTGTGATGCGATCAAGCTGCATGAGTTGTTTGGAGATGCAGGCCAAAATAGGGCCACTTCATCACATCACTTCATCACATCTCTTGGTGTTCCGGCTTCCATAACTTTTAAACTAAAGATGGTATCAGCATGCGGTTTTCACAGCAATAATGCTGTGATTGTGCTCTTTTCAAATCTGTAATAAAAAAAATTTGACGGGGGTCGACAAACGACTCATTTAGGTTGATCGCATCACAATTCATGGTTATCCTACTCGCGTTCAAGGGTAACACGGAATACTGTTTGGTAATCTCTTTAAGTCACACGAAGTTTACCTTGCGGTATCCCGCTGTTGTTGACCTGGGGTTCAATGACCTGTATGGAGTCATCTTCCAGGTACAGATAGATCTTGCACTTGCGGACGCGGAACTGCTCCTGGGACTTCTCGTGTACTGCCTCCTGGAAGTAGGCATCAAAACGCAACACCTGCCGGGGCAAAAATGACATCAGAGCCTTAGTAAATCACTAGTTTGATTCTTGCTAAATCGTGCAAAAAAAGTAAGGGCTATCAACTTTGTAAGGAGAGAATGCAAAATTAAACAGGCATTCATAAATACCTCATACAGTTTAGCCATTCCTATTGGTCGAGAGCCCGTCACGTGGCCGGTCTTAAACGGATGATAAAGACATGGCTAGCTGGTCTTAAACACTTTTCCAGTGTCACATAAAATGTGGACTCCTAAAAATCCAGTGCCTCTTACCGTTTCATTGGTTGAACGTTCACAATCCTCACGTAGGCATGCGCAACACTACCAGTGAGTCAGAATTGTATAGTTCTAAATTCAAAACGCAACGCCCCAGGTGCGTTCTGCGCGACATCGCGCAGAACGTGCTACGCGCGCGTCAATCTCCATAAAAGGGTTGTTTACATCTTACTCGCCAGCTGAACACTCCATTATTTTGCTAAAAGGGATGTTTCAAAAAGCTGGAGTGAACTTGTTGATCAAAATCGGGATTTTTTTGAACGAATTCCTTAATTTTTTTTACCGAAAAGGTATTTATGAATGGGAATATCAATATGTGCTCGGTCGGTATTAATCACTCTGTTTAAGACTGCTTAGAGTCTAAGTGCTGATAATTACCCTCGCCTCCGGCTCGGGCACACATTTATTCCCTTAGTAACTCATGGTTTAATTAGCTCTTGTGTTTTACAAGGTTTCAGGGTTTCAACCTCAAAGCGCTGCTTGTTTAATATTGTATTCACGCCTATACTGATCGACTCATTCCCAACTCTTATCAGTGCCGGGGGATGAGGACAAATACAAAGTGTACGTTTAGTCTGCGCGTGTGCGTTCAAACCTGTGGAAAGAACACCATTGATTCATGTGCGTTGTTTGCATGAACAGTTCTTAACTGCCCCTTTCATTGAGCAGTTCTCAACTGCACATTTTCGACGGGCACTGCACTAGTATAAACTCTAAATAGAAACTTGATGAAATTTTTGTTAAATTTTTGTACCTTTTTCTCAGAAAAATTTAACGTAAACGTTTGGTCCAATGGACTCTGTGCACGTTCAGGGATTGAAATATCCACAGGATCTCTAGACCGAGTCCAGTAATTTGAGTTTCGTTATTGAACTCTTGACGAAACTAGTCAACTTCTGGTTCCAACGGCTCCAACACTATTTTATCTGCAGTGGGCGTGGTTAAAACTGAGGTGACGTCACACTTATGATCGGACAGGCTTATCACATACCTGTCTATCAAACGCAACCCAGGCAGGGGCTGCATTGCCTTGGCCCTGGGGGATCCTGCTGTTCTGGGGTTTGGGTTTCTGACCCAGAAGCTTCTCCCCACCGATGCCTGGCTTGTGCTCCCCCACCAGCATGGACACGCTGTTGCAGTGGTCAAAATGGTGGGACTTGTGGTGCCGCTCTTGACCAAGCTACGCATGGAAGCAAAAACACAGTTTGCGTGACAAATTATAACAAGGTTAGGCTACATTTTAATTTAAGTTAGGGTTTAAAACGAGCTTCCAGCAGCCGGAAAAAATGTGGAAATTGAAAGCTTTACCAGAAATTCAGGCAAAAAATGAAAAACATCGGCTTTTTACAGCTAAAAGTACAAATGCAGGCAGATGCTTCCAGGCCTGCAGAAGTTGAAAATATGACCGAAAGGTGTCTTTTCTTGGTCTCCCAATATCGTCAGTATTTAAGATGTCAACGATAAGAATTTGCAATTTGTACATGGGTGTAAAACTTACGGTGCAACTAAAAAGACACATTTCTTATATTTTTTTTGGAATTTTTTTTGGTCATAAGTTTTAGAATCCCACATCTTAAAAACTGTTTTTGTTGATTGGGATGATCAGAATAACAATATCATTGGAATCTACATTTTTAATTGGTAAATATGTATAAAATGTATTTATGTAAATATGTAAATAGGCTAGGCCTTTGTATAAATCTCGAATATATTGAAAATAATCTTGAAATTACGAAAAGTGTATTGGCATTGAAAAAAGAAAGGAAAAAGAAAGAAAATATGTTTGAAAAGCTCAGGAAATATATTTTCCTAAAGCCAACAAGTCTAAGTTATTAAAAAAAAGAGTTTATATTGAGTTACATGGCCCGGACAGCACATATTTTTCGTGAAGCGACCCGTGCGCAGAATTATTAGGCAGGATTTTTTTTCTACAACGCCAAAACTGCACGCTTTGGAATTCCCCGCTTGCTGCCACAAATATAGAGATTTCGCTTTGTTAATCGGTACGGTGGATGATCGTCAGCCAACAATATAAGTTTTGTTGAGGAAAAGAGTGGTTGCACTTAAATGTTATAGATTCGCAATGGTGTTTTCTTGGGTCGCACTAAAAAGCGTCAACACATGACAGAAGCGTCAACACACCGTCAACACATCCAAAACACATTCTGAATTGACAAAAAAGGTATATAATTGTAAAGGCAACATAGAATAAAAGAGAATTTTCATTGGATTGAGTTTCCATTTTGTAATTATATAGTATTTTTACGCGAAAAAATTTACCCTTCACTTGCAACGCCGTTGTCCGCCATTTTGACTTCGCACAAAGCTTGGACTACACCATTTCAAGTAGGGGTGTGTAGGTAACCTTGTCCTTGTCATAAACAACAGAGGGCGCCTTGCTGCAGAGAGGGACACCAGTGCACTCTGATCTGTGAGGGACTGAGGTTTATTGTACAACGCTATCACCCTTTAGCATAATGGTATGGTCCGCGCTGCCACTGAGGCTGAGGCAACATGGCAGCCGATCTCGGAGCGGCACGGAGAGCCAATTTTCTTGAACTGAAAATCGCAATTTTCAGACGTTAAACTTTAACCTATTGATAAATTTGATTTTAAGCCACAATCTTGTTTCTGTCCATACCGTATGGGTTACATACTGCTTGTGTCAATTTTTAATGCATTTTGGATGTGTTGACGCTGTGTTGACGCCGTGTTGACGCTTTGGAGTGTGTTGACGCTGTGCTGACGCTTTTTAGTATTGCCGGTTTTCTCAATGCTGTAACACTAACATCATGAACATAGTAACAATCAATGGCAGTTGAAAATCGTGTTACGGCTGCCGTAACGATGTAATTGTTGTGCCCATTCTTGAAAATCACGCATTCTCGAGAATGGGCATGCACATTCTCGAGAATGGGCGCGCATTCTTAAGAATGAGCGCCCATTCTTAAGAACGAGCACGCGTTCTTAAGAATGAGCGCTCATTCTTAAGATTGGGTGGGAATATCACGTGCACAATTTATGAATTTTGCCCAATCTTAACAAACATTGCACGACATAATTATGTTAAATGAATTGTATAGCGGTTAAAAGGGAAATAATTCATATAAAGAGGAAAGAAAATGTGCTATGCTTCTGTACTCGTATAACTACGATAATTTGAATCAAATTAAACCTGTTATTATTGCTTTTTTCTGCCCACTATGGGAAGTTTTGTAGTAACGGAGGACTGGGAACTAGTCTGGGAAGTGCTTTGTTTAGGCTAGACAAGTTACAAGTCCCTGCATGTATCATATGCGTGCCACGAAAAAAAAACGATGTCCAGAAGCTGCCAAAATTGCTCTTTTGACTAGATAGAATCCAGCTCTGCGACGTTATGGTGGGATATGAACAATAAATTGGTGGCACTATAGCACTATGGGATGTCGCAGTACGTATTCATTCTCATTCTTCACATTTTTCATTCTTACGTCCCCCCCCCCGCTTTTATTATCCCAAAAATCAGAATTCTTTGCACTAGTATTATTATGTCTCTTATATTTTCCCGGTCCCCCCCCCCCCCATATCAATACGCCTTTACTTATCATATCCACTCTACATGTACTTTTCAGCGCTTTGCGTTGCAACAGTATAATTATTGAGAATCAGTGAACGAGGATTTAGCTAGACTTGCCAAGCGCAGCCGGTGCTCGGCATCGACAAGACCGTTATCTTGTCGCGCATTCTCAAGAATGTGCGCTCAATCTGGAAGAGTTATTTTTTGCCAAGATTGAGCAAGGATCCAGTTGCACATTCTCAAGAATGTGCATGCCCATTCTCGAGAATGCGTGATTTTCAAGAATGGGCACAACATAATTATTACCTTCCGGTCGAAGCTATTCCCAGGTAAAAAAGGCAGCGACATCCTCCTTCTTGTCAAACAACTCAACTGCGAATCAAGACAAACCCTTATCCTTAAACAAGTAAATAAAGAATCTTCTGTTTCAAGTGCGTTTAAATAACTGTCGAAAATGAGCCGGGGTCGAGTCCTAAAGCGACGCCTTCGTCATGAAAACACACGGCAATGTAATTCGTCGATCGTTCATACGCGCATCATGTACATGTACGTGACGTGCATATGCACTCACTGTTGTTCCGTGTTACCGTTATTGTTCGCGGTTGCTAAGCAGGTGTCAGAGGTCACCAAGTATGCATATCGGTCACTAGAGGGCGCGCTTCATCGATGGCGCATTTTATCAGAGGTTTTTTCTTTCTTAAAAAGTTCTATTAAAATTCCTTTCTGATGGAAAGTGAAGTTTGACTAGGCACTAAAGTTAAGGACGTGATAAATTCGGATGAATACATTATGCATTTGCATAGGGCCAGCTCAATAAAACGTATGATTTTGTTTATTCTCACAGTCTTCAATATTTTGATTAGTTCTCAATTAAATCTGAATTTTGATTGATCATCTGAATTTAATGAATATTCATATAATGTCACAATGGAATCTTGCATTCCTTTGATGAGAAGATGCTTTGGATTTGTAGCTCGTACGAATAATTTAGCAATTTTTTAAAATAAAACTACGGCATTTTTGGTTCGTACTGGAAAATCTGCAAATACGAATCAATAAATATATAATAGTTTGGTATTTTAATCTTTCTTAATCGATTTTTACAGTGAGTTTGGACAATCGAGGCAATAATAACTACACAAAATCGGACTTTTTCAACGTTAAAAATATCCTCCTGAATAAGTGGGCGGAGCTTTAATTTATACTGTAGGGTGCCTACTACTACGCAGTTGCCAACAGTTATTGAGGCACATGTGAAGATCAATTCAAGACTGGGAAGACAAAATATTGAATGATTTTTAATCATCAACACAAAAAGAAGTGATAGCTAACATTGAAATTAAAATTGGTGACACTAGAGTACATGTCAAACTTGGAGCTCGACGTCAAGTTAAAAGTGCCGGCAAAATTAAAAGTTCAAAATTAATTAAGGAATTACATTTTGTTGATAGAATATAATACAACAATGTGCTGCTACATGCGTACATTTTAATTTATATCGAAGTATTCATGCATATGAATAATTCTAAATATTTTTTTAATAATATGAAATATATGTTCCACTGTTTTATATAATCACCTCATAGCAATTGTCATTTTGAAGAAAAAAATGAATATAAATACTAGCATACTGACTTATAATGCCAATTGTATTGATGAACTAAACAAAATAATAATAATACATCATGACCAGAGTGATAATTTTTCACATCTTCAATGCGTCGGTCGAAATGCCCTGAGCATATCGGGGGCTAACTAAAATGAGTTTTTCGGGATGACCAGGGTTGCCATGGAAACCAGGTAAACTCCTTATCAATCGTTTAAAAACTATAATCGGCCGAAATGGTAAAACAGTAGGCCTAAGCTGTATCACTATCAGCGAAACAATATAAACATTCATGTTCATTGTGAGGGAAATTAGGCCGAATACTGCGTGGACATTACGAACTGGCAGAACATAAAAGACCCAAGTCCTAAGAGGCTTAATGCTCATTGGCGTATTTGAGTGGGTGGGTGTAATAATATAATGTGTGTCATGCCCCACCCCTCTATTTTGTTTATAAATAATTAAATCAGAAGTCAGAGTAAAGAAAACTGTTTTTAAATCGATTCTGTAGTCCAATTTACCTCCACGGATTTTTCAAAAATGACCAATGGAAAGAGCGTCCCCTAGCGTAAAATAAGGTCACTCGGTGGTCCCCCGGCCGCGTGGCCCCAATCCACCCCCCCCCCCCCCCCCACCCTCCTATTGAAATCCCAATCTTGTTATCCATCCTTGCGATCACAAAACTATTTTCTTGAGGGTATTTTTTTTTTGATGCGCCACTATTAAATGCTATATTAATAAGGGAATAAATGTGTGCTTGAGAAGTGTCAAACAATATGTAATAGAGTTCGTGTTTGCTAAGATTCTTCCACTTCTCGTGTTTCCAGTCGCCTTAGCACGGGAGAAAGAAGCATTTGTAGAGAGCAGGCGAGGGTTATCCCCGCTAAGATGAAGAACATTGTCTTGTAGCTCAACGTCACATCATACAACCAACCTTTGAAAGACAGGAACATTAGTAGTCAGTCATATCATCCCTCTGGTCATAATTTGGCCAACATAGGACTCGGACTGTATGGGTCCGTACCAATGCGGTCGAGTGTTCAAATTACACCGTGTAGACCATTTGAAATACAGCTCCAAATGCCGTTGCCGAGGCTTTTAAATGGCCCATAAAAAAAGTTGTTCATATTACAGTCGAGCACCTTTATAACAAGGCCCTTGGGACTTTACGAATTACCTTGTTATAACAGCTACCTTGTAACAGTAATGGAAAACAAAGGAAAGCAAAGAAAAACAAAGACTTGGGAACTACAATAGACCTAAAATTTTGCCCTGTTATAAGCAGGTCATTGTGTTAACAGTGCTCTTCTTATTAGGATTCGACAGTATAGAGGAAATTTGTTGTGCAACATTTTTACGCCTCTAGTATAAAACTATTTTGACATATCCCTTGTTCGGTCTATTTTATTGAAAATTCACTTCTTTAAACATTTTATATAGTTCATGTATTTCGTATCTGGACAACTGAGGGCGCTGATGCTGTCATGTCATTTCAGAAAGACACTATTCAGTTTAGGACTTTTCTGTTCAAATTGTGCTCATTGAAAATATCTGTGAGAAACGTTTGCTCATTGGTTTACTGCCATGTATTGACACAAAATCTAATCACCAAAGAAAAGAACATTTACAAAATGTCCAAAAATATCCAAAATTCTGGCAACTGTTGATTCTAAAATAGCGATACATTGAGGTTCGACTCGCCTTGTAGAAGCTTACCCGCCATCTTGGATCACCCTTCCTTTCTTTCTTCCTTATAAGTTCTGCCTTCATATGGTTGAAGATAAACGCAACACCAGAAACACCAATGCAAACCCCTTCTCTTAATAGCGATTCATGAGTGTTACTGTGTTCTTTTACGTGCATTAAACACAACACATGGGGTGTTGAGAGCTCTAGGGAGACATAGCACTGTTGTTGTCTGGTAGCTGCAGCCTTCCTGGTAGAGTGGACGGGCATCACTGGTTCTCATCCATCTCCTAAATCTCTCACGCGCTGGCTCCAAACGCCAATTGACGGATGAGTTGCTTCAGGCAGCCAATGGCCAGGGCGGAGGAGGTCCTTATCTGACTCAACGGCCACGTGCAAAGGAGTAAACCTAACTAATCAGGAGTGAAGCCCCGAAGGCGGACCGGTGCCTTGCAAACACCGTTTCTGCAGCTCCTGCAGCCAAGCTAATGCCAAAACGTCGTGCTCTGCATTCCTTTGCATTCTCATCTGCAAGACCGAGAGGGGATTCTGACGACTGGTCAACCCAGGATCTCCATACTTTCTGCCCGGGCATGCGCCCTGGAGACATACTGAGGCCACTCCAGCCTCACTCTCAAAACAACACGGAAGCTGGAAGTATTACGGTTTATAAGTCCCACCAAACAGGCGTAGGGAACGGGGATCGACGGGTCAGCGTCGACGGTGGGAGGGACCATCGCGTCCCATTGGCCAACTGCCGCCTGCCTCAAGCCGGGTTGCCCCAGGTTAGTTGGACGTCGGCCCGCCAACGTCTGCCTGCTTCACTGGGTGCATGGAGCTTAGTGTACTGTTAGATACAACACGCAGACGGTAAACCCGCACCAGACAAACGAAACAAGAAAACAAAAAAGACAATTAAGACTTTTAAGAGTATTAAGGCTATTAGGCATCAAACTTCAGACTTCAAACTGGAACGTGCGCACCATGCGCACGGGCATCTCCGATGACCTTCAAGAGTTGGACTGCAGCTCACCAGACTCAACATCAGTTATAGTTGCCCTTCAAGAAACCAGGCTCGCCTCCAGCGGCTCCCTGAGAGAGGAGAGCTTCACCCTCTTCTCAAAGGATAGAGAACCTTTAGGCGCCCCGCCAGAACGGAGTTGGCTTCGCCATTAAGAATACCATCCTGGATGCGGTAGAGCCTCCCTCAGGGGCACCAAGCGCCTTAGTCCATCCGTCTCGGCACTGCTGCAGGTCCTGTCAACATCTTCAGTGTTAGTGTCCCCACCCTCACCTCATCGGAAGAAACAGAAGGACCAGTTCTATGGACAGCTCGATGAACTGATCGAAGAATCTCCTAAAGATGAGCCCTTTTTCCCCTTCGGCGATTTCAATGCCGGAGTAGGTGCGGAGCACAACTCATGGCCTTCTTGCTTCGGACACCATGGCACGGGGAAGGTATACGAGAACGGTCAGAGACTTCTGAAGCTGTGCTCCTACCAAAATCTCAGCGTTAATACGAACACCTTCTTTGAGTGTTAACCATCACACAGAGTGTCTTGGAAGCACCCCATGTCTCATCGCTGGCACCGACCTGACATAATAATCACCAGGCTCTCACCAGAACCTACCACAGTGCAGACTGCGACACCGACAACGCCCTTGTATGCTGCAAAGTGCGTCTGCAACCACGCACGTTGCACAACTCCAGGCCAAAAGGTCTTCCCCGCATTAACACTACGCAGATGTCGGTTCCTGTCAAGGTCCACCCTGGACCAAGCTCTCCAGGACCTGTCAGAGCAAACGCCAGGAAGGATGCCATGTACAGCACAGCCATGTCCACATTTGGCAAGAAAAAACGGCCCAGCCAAGACTGGCTCAACGCATACCTTTCGACAATGGAACCAGCCATCGAGGCCAAACGTGGAGCTTTCTTGGTATATAAGAGATGCCCAAACGAACAGACACTCGCAGCGCTCAGAAGTGCTCGGAGCACGACACAATGCATTGCTACTGGCAGCAACGACTACTGGCAGCAACTGTGCGAGGGAATCCAGTGTAGTGCCGAGTATGGAAACGTCCGCGGCATAAAACGGCATTATGAAGGCCCTCTAAGGCTTTGCTGTGAAAGGGACACCCCCCTGAAATCACTGACCGCGAGGAACCGACGGCCAGATGGGTGGAGAACTACTCAGAACTGCAGTCCCGTGAACCGTAAGTCTCTGACGCTGCCGTCAGTGGTGCAAAGGATCAGCTCATCGTGGAGGAGCTGGACGAAGTGCCCACTATGGAGGAGCTTAGCAAAGCCATCGACTCCATCCCTGAAGACAAAGCTCAAGGTAGCGACAACATCCCTGCTGAAGCCATCAAGCACGGGAAACCTGCCCTGCTTCTGCCAATGAACGAGCTACTCTGCCTCTGCTGGGAGGAAGGTCCAGTCCCTCAGGAAATGCGAGACGCCACCATTTTGACACTTTCCAAGAACAATATCGACCGCAGTGGCTGCAACAAATACAGAGGGATCTCAATTCCTCCTGAGTATCGTTGGCAAGGTGTATGTTCGCATTCTCCTCAACATACAGGCTGCAGCTGCTAGAGGATCACGTCTGCCCAGAATCCCAATGCGGCTTCAGAGCGGGCAGGTTGACAACCGATATGGTCTTCTCTCTCCGCCAGCTCCAAAATAAAAGAGCAGAGAGCAAGGCCCAGCCGCTCTATCTACATGATGTTCACAGACCTCACCAAAGTCTTCGACCTGGTCAGCAGGAAGGATCTATTCAAACTCCGCAGCATGGTGATCTCCATGCCGACATGAAGACTTTGTGATTTCCATGCCGGCATGAAGGAACAGTCCTGTATGATGGATCCTCCTCGGATCCTACCCCGTCAACAGTGGTGAGTACAGTGGTGAGCAGGGCTGAGCATTGGGGACAACCCTATTCGGGACCTTCTTTTCCCCGTTCCTTTCGTACCCCATTGACTCGTCCACTGACGGTGTCTATCTGCACACTAGGTCTGACGGAAAGCTGTTTAGCCTGGCAGTAGTGCGCCCAAAGACCAATTAGGTGGGGACAGTGCTGTTCGGGGAGATTCTGTTTGCTGACGACACAGCACTTGTGACCTACAAGGGAGATCACTTCAACGACGCTTGCAGGCCGTTCGGGCTCACCATCAGCCTGAAGAAAACCAACATCAGCGTACAAAGCGTCAGTAATGCCCCTCCATTAGAATCGACAACGTCGTCCTGGAAGATGTGGTCCTTTTCACTTACCTTGGATCGACAATCATGCACCAACAACCTCTCGCTCGACGTCAAACTTGACAGACGGCTTGGAAAGTCAAACACCATCATGGCTAGACTGATTAAGAGAGTGTGGGAGATAAAAGCGCTGAAAGAACGCACCAAGATCATAGTCTTCCAGGCTTACGTTCTCAGCACCTTACTCTACGGAAGTGAGTCCTGAACCCCCTAAGTGAGGCAAGATCGAGCGCCGGCTCAATGCCTTCCATAATTATGCGGTGTCTCAAGCGCATCCACGGAATCAGCTGTCATTACCATATTCCACACAGTGACATCCTGCAGCATGATAAAAACATTCCCAGCATATATATTCCGTGCTGAGTCAACGTCGCCTTTGATGGCTGGGACATGTCCGACGCATGAAGGATAGGGGCTGCCAAAAGACATCCTGTACGGACAGCTGACCACTGGCACCAGAAGAGTTGGTCGCCATCACTCCGATACAACGACGCCTGCAAGAGGGATCTGAAAGCCTGCATTATCTCTCCAGACAGTTGGGGCCGGATACAGGCCAAGGATTGAGATGCTTGGCGTCAGACTGTTTGCAATTGCATCGCAGATGCAGACGTGAGGAGACGTCATTTCGCAGCTGGAGGGTGGGAAAGAAACGTGCGGAATCAACCCTTGCAACTGGTCTTCTCCGTACGTCTTCACCAATTGCAACATGGACTGTCACTCGCGCAATGGTCTGTACAGCCACATCAGACGATGCCAAGACCCTACAAAAAGGCAACACTCTTGGGGCGTATCAAGCATGGTCTGATGATGATGATGATGATGATGATGGACACAACGCACGGGCCCTACGGCTTTACGTCCCATCCGAATGACGAATCAATAATGGTTAAGTGTCTTGGTGTAAGGACAAGTGTCGAGAACAGGACTTGAACCAACACTCTGCTGATCAGAAACACCAGCAGAGCTTGAGTCCGGTGCTCTTAAACGCTCGGTCATGACACTCCATATGACTCTCACATGACACGCCTGGACGTGCGGTTGACGATTTTGTTTTAATAAAAATATAACTTCCCTAAAAACCAATTCTTATAGGATTGTTAAATCTCATTAGATGGTCGGAATATACAACTCTTATTTCGCCGCCTTATAAGTACGAACATTCCTTGCTCTCTATGTTATGAATTTAAAAACAAAATAACAAATACAAGTTTCCATCAAAAAGAAACTCGCATTTACTGCGCATGCGTCATGTGTGACCCAAGATGGCGGCAGGCTGCTTCAATGCGTGGGCGCGCGCTGTATACAGAGATTGCTTATGCCACTCTTTACGTACCTACTACGATGGGTCCAAGTAGTTGACCAACGCCAGAAGATATTGTGTGCCATCCGGTACCAACCGCAAACCCCTCCAAACCCACATAACGCAGTATCAAGACGAAAGATGTGGCGAAGAAGGCCCCGCTGGCAAAGCCCTGTAGGAATGAAGCAATGGCCAGGTACACGTAGCCATCCACGTTCAGTACAAGCAACGAAACACCCGACAAAGCCACGCAGATTGCCAGTACGTGTTCTGCTGAGGTCCTGCAGCTCAGCATCAATCCGTTACCAAGCTGTCCGAGTAGAGTCCCAATGCCTAGAATACTAACGAGGAACGCAGCACTGGAGGGCGCCACGTCAATGCTCTGTGCGCGGGGAATGACGAATAAAGGGAATGAAAGGTACGAAGGGGCGAACTCAACTGACAGTAAACACAACAGAAGGAAGCGATAGTTTTTCATCAATACTCTGATGCTAAGCTCGGAACAAAATCTGCGTAACAGACTACCAGCTTGGTTCTGCTTCCGTTCGTCCTTAAACGACGCATATTCACGTTTACTAGATTGGTCAACAGATATGTAGCATATCTCATCTGGATCGTCATTGCAGGACCTCATGGCAACGGTAGATGTCTGGAAGATCACGGGTTCGTTACCACTGGCATCTGTCGCGTTTGTTGGACTTTCTGGTCTGACTTCACCAATCCTTGATTCTTGTTCGTGATCTTCGCTATTTAGTTGTAATTCTTTTGGGGAGCGCTGAACATTGCGCCGAGGCCTGTAGAGAGCGCCACACGCAATGCTATTGGCCATGATTGCCGAGATGATGAAGAGAGTTCCCCTCCATCCATAGTTGTCCAGCAGAAGTTGGGCTATTGGAGGAGCTGCCATGATTCCTATCCCTGAACCAGACAAGGCCACTGCGTTGGCAGTTTTGTACCTCTTTTTGAAGTGCATTGCCACTGCAACTAGCCCAAAGTTGTATGAAATTCCGACACCAGCACCTAACACACACACAAAATGGTAAACAATTCAAGGATCATTTCATGAAGAATCTTCCTCCAATCGATTTATATTAAGCCCTCAAAGTAACGACATTTTGATGTAATTGTATCCACACGCCCACAAGCTCAATGCGAGTAACACTATAACAGATGGTTGAGTTCTAATGAAATGGACAGTGCGTTGCAAACATGTTGCCTTTGCGTTTAGTAACTCTCAAAGAACCTGATCCCCATTTTTAGGCAATTTTTTTCTCACCTCCAAGTTTAGTTGGGATCCAGTCAATTCAAATTTGTAATTACCTGCTATTGCAAATGTGACGTACAACTGAAATATGTTCTGCACCCAGTAGCTGCAGAAGAGACCAAGAAACCACAGAACTCCTCCAAGAATTCCTGAAAACCTGCAGCCGAAGCGTTTACACAGAACAGCACCTACAAGGCCTTGGCGAATATGGAAATACGAGTACAATTTAAGCGTTGGATATACAGGGTGTATCCAAAAAAAAAGAGGAAACCCCTGCAAATGTAAACGTACGTGATAGAAAATTTAATCAATATTTTCAAACAAGTTAAAGATCATGTGAAACTTCAATGTGTCCTCGTTCCAATGACACCGTGGTTGTGTGTCTGTAGCCACGGATGACTGCGCATTCGTTGTACTGGGCCAAGTTTTGCCTGGCTAAGATTGCTGACTGTTTTTTATGCAAAGGTTGAAATGGACTACACTTCCTGCAGAGCTTTGTGTGGATATTGTGTGCGTTGGGCCATGAGGGGTTAAATTAAAAAATGAGAGTGGTTAAATTACTGCGTCAAAATTGAATAAATTGTTCTAAATTAAATTTAATCTTTAACTTAAGCCGTTCCACATGCCCAGAATACCAGTGACCCTTTTGCACAAACTTAGCCCAGTACAGGTTTTGTTCCTTGACAGAATTACAACGAATGCTAAGTCTTCCGTTTTTATAAATAAGGGAATAAATGTGTGTTTAGGAGGTATTATAACACTCTGTTTAAGACCGGTTTGAGTCTGGATGGGCGATAATTACCCGAGGCGAAGCCGAGGGTAATTATCGCCCATCTAGAGTCAAACCGGTCTTAAACAGAGTGTTTAATACCGACCGAACACACATTTGTTCCCATTCATAAATACCTTTTCGGTCCAAAATAAAAAAAAAGTCAAAAACAAGACGTTGCCAACCATTTTGTTCAACAATTTTACATCAAGTTTTACGTAACACCCCTCTGACTATAACATGGAATGCCCCTCCACAACTCGTTACCTAATAGGGACATTGGCGTGGGCGTCGCGCGTACTGCGCGATGTCGCGCAAAACGCAGCTGGGCTGGTGGTGAAGTGTGAATTTTGGACCATGAAATACTGATTCGCTGGTAGTACATTTCGCATGCATACGGGAGGAATTTGAACGTTCAGCCAATGAAACGTTAAAAGGCACCGGATTTCATAGGAGTCCAAATTTCATGTGACACTGGAAAAGCGTTTAAGACCAGCTAGCCATGTCTTTATCATCCGTTTAAGACCGGCCACGTGACGGGTTCTCGACCAATAGGAATGCGTAAACTGTCTGAGGTATTTATGAATTACATTTTAATTCATCTGGGTTTCCTTTTTTTCTTTATACACCCTGTATAATCATAGAAAAGAAAACCACTTGACTTTTCAACGATCACAATTTATTCATCCAACTTAGCCAAAAAAGGGGAAAACAGTTTTCATTTAGGAGTAAATAGACTCTACTCTTTTGATACAGTTTCTCTCACAGTGCCAATGATATTACCTGACTTATATGGGCTAGAAGCCATTAACACCTTCTGTACTACCTCTTATTGTCACATTCTCTTACCAGAAAAGCACGGCGTTGCGGAAAGAATACTCTGAATTGCCGCAATTTCCTTGGCACCGGTCTCGAATTCATCCATCCAGCTCTGATACAAGACTCCTCCACATCGCAACAGACCTAGCGCGAGCGCGTTGATGGAGCAGCTAGCAATGACCACCACGATACCCCAGCCACCTTCCCGGGATTTGGGAGTTTTCTTCTCCCGAGTCTGCATCGGTGATCTGGGCGAGTTCATGGTAAGGAGCTTTGGAAGAATGAAATTAACCTCGATCGTTGGGAAGTCAATAGTAAGAGCAATATGTAAAATCCATTAAAATCCTGCACATCGGTTTCAGGTGGAGGGATATAAAAATGTTACAGTTACTTGTCACAGAGAGCCACCGCACAGAAAGCAGCACGGCGCAGAGCAGCATATGTCCGAAGCTGCCTGCTTACCCAAAACATGTGCCAGTGTACTTAAACCGGGAGCTAGGTGGAGTTTAATTATCAATTTGAGCACAAAGGGTTTGATGGTACCAAGTTATTGTCAGTCGTGGGACCGTTCTAATGCTGCCCTAGGTCATCAGATGGGGGTCAGGGAACCAGTCATTCTTAACATGGCATAGGTTAATAGATCTCTTCATTTCGCAAATTAAACTTGACTTTACCATCAATCGAAAATTGTTGGCCCGGTCCACGTACGTAAATCCATAGCGATGGGCCATTTGATCATCCCCCATATTGTTGTGGTAAGAACTGCAACAAATAAGCACTGGCTCAAAACGTTTCTGAGTGCAATGGAAGGAATGGTTTCATGAGGTGAAAAACTGACTGTTCCATTCAACAAGGACTAACATGTGCCCCAATAATGTGCAGTGTTATTATCGAACAATTAACTTCTTCAACAACAACAAAATTGCATTTTGTATATATAGCTCAATCAATTTCAACTCACCAGTTAAGCACATATAGCTTTTGCAAGGACCTCACTGAAGAAGAGGAGTGCGCGCTTGCTATCCAGCATGAGCACATATTATTCTTTACTCCAGAAGCCTTATTCCAAAACTAAGGCACATACGTACTTCTGTTGCACTTCCATGGTTCAAGTGTGAGGGCAAGTATCAGTTGCACTTGTCCATGTGACTAAGGCCAAAGATCAGTGTACCGACAAATTCCATGCAGCGCCCTAGCCGTGTATCTTATCTTATCTAGCCGTGTACAACACATGTATATTTGTCTATTCATGTAGATGTAAATTTGTCTATTCACAAGCCTGTTTAAAAGGGGTATTGCGGCCTGAAATCCCCGAAAATTTGAGGTTTATTCTCTCACACTCTGCCTTTTATATGCAACGTGATGCCTATACATTTGCTATCTATAAATGCACATCATTGCTAAAGTACAGATGATGCATTAACCAATCAAAATGCAGTATTGCTCAGTAGATGACTGAAGCCACGCCCACTAACAGTGCTAGCCAATTGGATTCTGATCAACCTCGTCCCCAGGGTGTCGAGCAGTACGCGCCCACCACTACCTGCTCTCTCACCCTGGTATTGGATCATTTGCATGTGCAAGATTTTTGCACTTGTATGCAAATGAGGAACAGTCTGGTGCCTGGATATGCATTACACATTAGCGTTTGTTTTTGTATGCGGTGTCTGGGGTAAAAACAGAGTCAATTCGTAGCAGCGCGAGCACGGCGTGAGTTACGAAAACACGATTTTTGAAATCAAACTGTTACGATCTTATCAAGACAACATGCAGTATCATATTTCATATTAATACGAGCAAATTGGAAAGGAAATTAATATTTTCGAGAAGGCGTGGACGAATGATCGCGAAAACACGTACTGCACGTTGTGAATATATAGCACCAAGTACACGATAAAAATCCATTACTAGCCAATTGCGGTATCCAATCAGGATACAGGAAGAAAGTTTCCTATCCAGGGTTTACTATTGGAAACGCGGTTGGAAATAAAGTAAGCACTGGGGACGAGGTTGGATTCTGATATTCTAGAGCATGAGTGACTTAGCACTAAGAAATGTCCTACACAGTCCATGTTGATGCATGTATATTGTTGATGACTCGTCGCAATATCTTACTAACTTCGTTTAAAACGTATTTTGTAGCCACCGGGCGTATTCCAGGCCATAATCGCCCTTTAAAATAAACTTCGAAATGTATCACGCACAGCTAGCTACACTGTCAGGGTAACGTTAGGGCGAGCGCGCCATCACATCGTTCCCTGGTTAACAAGCTCGAAATGATATCGGAAGCTGCGGGCCACTAAAATAGGCCTGAGACGTCAACGTAATGGCTTTATTAACATAATTATGCCCTTTATTGGAGCGAAGTCGGCCGCGGGACGCTAGATGAAGTAGAGTCCAACTACCACATAGGAATTAAAGCGCACATGTAAACAAAGTGTGACGTCATTACGTCTCAGGCGTATTAACGAACGCGTGTTATGCATGAGCGACGTGATTGTGCCACATAATAGTAGCACGATATGGAGATATGGGACTGTGGGAACACCGCCCCCCCCCCCTCCTTCCAGGAATTCTTTTGAGATATGTAGGGGATCAATGTGTTAGTTAGTTATAGCAAGTATTGTTTAACTGACTTGCTTCACGTTTGGAGTTCGGAGATGTTGGAAAATTCAATAAAATTAACCCTGCTCTTGTAGTCTGGTTCCCTGACCCCACTTAAGATTAAACGGAGCAGTTAATAGACTTTGGGGAATTGTAATGTCAGAGAATCAGTCTAGCGGGCTGTACCATTTCACAAGTGTGTATTAAAACAATTGAAAAGAAAATGCGAAATAACTAAATATGAACAATTAGCAGCAGCTTTGGAAAACAAGCCAGCTAGTTTTCTCCAACGCTGGTCGGCCGACCAGGGTTGGAGAAATACAAGTTTTCTTGAAAATGTCAGTACGCCAGGAGCCACAATTTTACAGGATGCTTTGGACTGTCAATCCAGTAAGATATTTCGTGATAATTTGATCATTTGGTTTTTTGTTACTTGCAAATGTTGTTTATTCCCTTTAAGTTTATGAACTATATCACAGCCCTCATTAAAATCTGTATTCAACTATACAGTGCCACCATCATTGAAAATATTGTACGATGTTTCCATAACGGCAACAACCATGTGGTTCTCAAGTTGTTTACATGTGCGTACACCCAGACCCAAACAAGATTGCATAGTACACACTATACCAGAAGGAACCAGACTGGACATGTTTATCCTCTGTCACAGATTTAAAAGTATTAAATGATTTGTTCTTTTGAAACAAATACTTCTAAAAAAAAATTAAAAAAAAGTATTCCTGAACAACAACAAAAGGTAATCATGTTTTGTTTTATTGTATGTAATTTAACAAAGCTTAGCATTAAGAAATAATGAGAAAAATAAACAGCGCCACCATCATAGTTATGAAAAGTTACGAACTGTGACTTTCTGATTACAATAGTTGGAGGAAATGTTCATTTATATCTCAAATAAAAAATGCCCAACCTTCACAGAAGGTCACCCTGTAGTTGCTGGTTGAACATGATCTAAAGAACAAGAATCTGTCCAAAGATTATATATCCCTTGGAGCACGGCTCAGGTAAAAAGTAGCTTTTGGCTGCCGACCACTAATAGATTCTGGTTATACATGATCTTAAGAAGTAAGGCGCTTTTACCTCAACTACTCCTCTCGACCCAGGTGTTAAATGGGTACAGGCATTATTCAATGCTGGGAAGGTAACAGACTCGCTGTGTAGGAGGTGTGGCGATACCCCCACAGCAGCATATCAGTCTGGCCCAATCGCTAATGAAAGAGAGATGAGCACTCCGTTCCTGTAAACACAGGTTCGTCCCCTTTACCCCTACCTTTGCCTTTACTTGAAATAGATCCTCATATTTCTGACTTTTCGCTCTTTGCACAACATCACTACATTGGAACAAAATCGGGACTACAATGATGAAGTAAAGACTCACCTGCATGTGTTGCTTAACCATAACGTCAAAAACCCAATGGTCTGAGCTCATGATTGTTCCACTGTTTCAATGCCAACGCAAACTATGTCAGTATCGCCTTTAGGCAAGGAGGTCATTATACACATTCCAAAAGTAATATCAAATGTATATATTAAAAATCATTATAGGTAATTTGTTCTTGATACAGACTTCCTATATTTGTCATGACCTTTTAGGTCAAAGCAAACGGAGGCTTGAAACTATTTTGGTGTATACGCAAGATCTTTTTGACTCAATGGTGATGATTTCTTTTATGTCTCAAAGCAATAGCAATTCCAATCAACTCATCGTTATAAACTACCAGGAGAAACTGCTGAAAGATATCTTCCACTAAAAAAGACGGCGAAAAGTATGTCCCTTATGATATTATTTAACTGCCCTTATAAACAATGTATACTGGTTACCTATGTTCGATGCAATGCATTCTTAGCAGTTTGCTTTCGTCGATATTGTAATCATTCATATATCCACAAAAGTGATATGAATAACATTTTAGATAAAGTTCATCCTTCCTCGTGTGTTTCTGATGATTTACCCTCTTTCCTTGTTTTCAGTCGCTTAAGCACAGGGAAAAGAAACATTTGCAGAGAGCAGGCGAAGTTTATCCCCGCTAATACGAAGAACACTGTCTTGTAGCTTCCTGTCACGTCGAACAGCCAACCTGGTAGGAATTAAACGTGGTGATATTGTGTTAAAAATTTGGGAGCATTTTCTGGTTAAGAGTATTTACGGTTCAACATTACCACGAAAAACTCGTCATGCACCCAATAATCACTACAGTGGCGTAACATATAATGGCTGAGGGGTGACAGGGTGGGGAACGCCCCAACACCTTGTTGTAGGGCTCGAGTCCAGGACTCCAGTCCGACTCGAGTCGCAATTTCAGTGACTCAGACTCGGACTCGATCATCATGACTCTGACTTGACGCTAATGACTCCTGACTCCAAGTAACTCATTTACTTAAAACACCCAAACTTTTAAGAACAATTCTGATGTATATCGGAACCAAATGATTCGATACTCGGACCCGAACTTGACTCAAAGCTTCGACTCGAAGCTCTGATTCGACTAAAGTGACTTGACTACAACACTACCTTGTGTCCCTCCACCCTTGTACCCCCACCACCCCACACCCCCACACACCCCGGCTAGGACAAAATGAGCCCAGATTTGTGCAAGCATTGGACATTATCACGCGTGTCTTCAATCACCTAATCATCTCCTACCACCTCAGTGTCTTCATTTTGACCACTCACGCCGAGAAAATCCAGTCTGTTCTCTAATCTCGCTCGATCGTACTGGCTGAATTGGAACTGGCTGAATTAGATTGCCCATGTTTACGTACCTGCTATAATGGGTCCAAGTAGATCACCAAGGGCAACAAATATGTGGTACCATCCAGTACACACAACAAACACAACTCTTTACGTACCTGCTACGATGGGTCCAAGTAGTTGACCAACGCCAGCAGATATTCGGTGCCACCCGGTACCAACCGCAAACCCCTCCAAACCCACATAACGCAGTATCAAGACGGAAGCTATGGCGAAGAAGGCCCCGCTGGCAAAGCCCTGTAGGAATGAAGCAATGGCCAGGTACACGTAGCCATCCACGTTCAGTACAAGCAACGAAACACCCGACAAAGCCACGCAGATTGCCAGTACGTGTTCTGGTGAGGTCCTGCAGCTCAGCATCAATCCGTTACCAAGCTGTCCGAGTAGAGTCCCAATGCCTAGAATACTGAGGAGGAACGCAGCATTGGAGGACGACACGTCAATGCTCTGTGCGCGGGGGATGACGAATAAAGCGAATGAAAGGTACGAAATGGCGAACTCAACTGACGCTAAACACAACAGAAGGAAGGGATAGTTTTTCATCAATACTCTGATGCTAAGCTCGGAACAAAATCTGCGTAACAGACTACCAGCTTGGTTCTGCTTCCGTGCGTCCTTAAACGACGCATATTCACGTTTACCAGATTGGTCAACAGATATGAAGCATATCTCATCTGGATCGTCATTGCAGGACCTCATGGCAACGGTAGATGTCTGGAAGATCACGGGTTCGTTACCACTGGCATCTGTCGCGTTTGTTGGACTTTCTGGTCTGACTTCATCAATCCTTGATTCTTGTTCGTGATCTTCACTATTTAGTTGTAATTCTTTTGGGGAGCGCTGAACATTGCGCCGAGGCCTGTAGAGAGCGCCACATGCAATGCTATTGGCCATGATTGCCGAGATGATGAAGAGAGTTCCCCTCCATCCATAGTTGTCCAGCAGAAGTTGGACTATCGGAGGAGCGGCCATGATTCCTATCCCTGCCCCAGAGAAGGCCACTGCGTTGGCAGTTTTGTACCTCTTTTTGAAGTGCATTGCCACTGCAACTAGCGCAAAGTTTACTGAAATTCCGACACCAGTACCTAACACACACACACACACACACAAAATGGTAAACGATTCAAGGATCATTTCATGAAGAATCTTCCTCCAATCGATTTATATTAAGCCCTCAAAGTAACGACATTTTGATGTGTATCCACACGCCCACAAGCACAATACGAGTAACACTATACCAGATGGTTGAGTTCTAATGAAATGGACAGTGCGTTGCAAACATGTTGCCTTTGCGTTTAGTAACTCTCAAAGAACCTGATCCCCATTTTGAGGCAATTTTTTCTCACCTCCAAGTTTAGTTGGGATACAGTCAATTCAAATGTGTAATTACCTGCTATTGCAATTGTGACGTACAACTGAAATATGTTCTGCACCCAGTAGCTGCAGAAGAGACCAAGAAACCACAGAACTCCTCCAATAATTCCTGAAAACCTGCAGCCGAAGCGTTTACACAGAACAGCACCTGCAAGGCCTTGGCGAATATGGAAATACGAGTACATTTTAAGCGTTTGATATACAGGGTGTATCAAAAAAATGAGGAAACCCCTGCAAATGTAAACGTACGTGATAGAAAATTTAATCAATATTTTCATACAAGTTAAAGATCATGTGAAACTTCAATGTGTCCTCTTTCCAATGACACCGTGGTTGTGTAGCCACGGATGACTGCGCATTCGTTGTACTGGGCCAAGTTTTGCCTGGCTAAGATTGCTGACTGCTTTTTATGCAAAGGTTGAAATGGACTACACTTCCTGCAGAGCTTTGTGTGGAAAGAGGTAGTGACCACGTTGAAGGCGTTGGGCCATGAGGGGTTAAATTAAAAAATGAGAGTGGTTAAATTACTGCGTCAAAATTGAATAAATTGTTCTAAATTAAATTTAATCTTTAACCTAAGCCGTTCCACATGCCCAGAATACCAGTGACCCTTTTGCACAAACTTAGCCCAGTACAGGTTTTGTTCCTTGACAGAATTACAACGAATGCTAAGTCTTCCGTTTTTATAAATAAGGGAATAAATGTATGTTTGGGAGGTATTATAACACTCTGTTTAAGACCGGTTTGAGTCTTGATGGGCGATAATTACCCGAGGCGAAGCCGAGGGTAATTATCGCCCATCAAGACTCAAACCGGTCTTAAACAGAGTGTTTAATACCGACCGAACACACATTTGTTCCCATTCATAAATACCTTTTCGGTCCAAAATTAAAAAAAAAAGTCAAAAACTAGACGTTGCCAACCATTTTGTTCAACAATTTTACATCAAGTTTTACGTAACACCCCTCTGACTATAACATGGAATGCCCCTCCACAACTCGTTACCTAATAGGGACATTGGCGTGCGCGTCGCGCGTACTCGCAGCTGGGCTGGTGAAGTGTGAATTCTGGACCATGAAATACTGATTCGCTGGTAGTACATTGCGCATGCATACGGGAGGAATTTGAACGTTCAGCCAATGAAACGTTAAAAGGCACCGGATTTCATATGAGTCCAAATTTCATGTGACACTGGAAAAGCGTTTAAGACCAGCTAGCCATGTCTTTATCATCCGTTTAAGACCGACCACGTGACGGGTTCTCGACCAATAGGAATGCGTAAACTGTCTGAGGTATTTATGAATTACATTTTAATTCATCTGGGTTTCCTTTTTTTCTTTATACACCCTGTATAATCATAGTAAAAGAAAACCACTTGACTTTTCAACGATCACAATTGATTCATCCAACTTAGCCAAAAAAGGGGGAAACAGTTTTCATTGAGGAGTAAATAGACTCTACTCTTTTGATACAGTTTCTCTCACAGTGCCAATGATATTACCTGACTTATATGGGCTAGAAGCCATTAACACCTTCTGTACTACCTCTTATTGTCACATTCTCTTACCAGAAAAGCACGACGTTGCGGAAAGAATACTCTGAATTGCCGCAATTTCCTTGGCACCGGTCTCGAATTCATCCATCCAGCTCTGATACAAGACTCCTCCACATCGCAACAGACTGAGCACGAGCACGTTGATGGAGCAGCTAGCAATGACCACCACGATACCCCAGCCACCTTCCCGGGATTTGGGAGTTTTCTTCTCCCGAGTCTGCATCGGTGATCTGGGCGAGTTCATGGTAAGGAGCTTTGGAAGAATGAAATTAACCTCGATCGTTGGGAAGTCAAAAGTAAGAGCAATATGTAAAATCCATTAAAATCCTGCACATCGGTTTCAGGTGGAGGGATACAGGGTTCTCCCCACGTACAAACGTGCGTATCGGCCCGATACGCTGGAATTGCGGCCCGATACGCCGACAAAAATGCCGATCACATTTTTCAGCCCCCGATACGCACAATATAATTATTATACAAGCCATTAAAATGCACAACATAATCGTTTCATACGCCATTATTTCATCTTGACATGCAAAATCTTGACAAAAATCCCGTATTTCTGATGCATGTGTGATCAAAATGCACACGGTGACAGGTCTTTCGCGTCTACCGCCAGGACCCAGCTATATATTAGCGCACACAGCATGGTACACTGGTTCCCTTCGCGTAGTATCAATGCTATGATGCAGTACCGGAACCAGTGACTACTGCCATGCCTCGTGCGTGCATACATGATGATGATGTCGGCCGAAGTTAAGCATATAGTGGAATCAACCACCTCAAATATATTTTTAATTAGGTGAGGCAAGTTTTAATCACTTTTGATGGTCAGTCTTGATAATTTTCGTGGTACAAAGGAAAATAATCCAGGCACAAAACTACATGATTCCTTGTTCAATATGCTCCATTCAATCATGTGTTTTTATTTCTCCATGATTCAATCAGCAGCCCAAAAAATTGGCGAAATAATTTTTTCGACCTTCCGACGCTATTTTGAAAGGCATGTACCGTAATTTTCGGAATATAAGCCGCGGCTTATACGTTGAATTTGCCCATGAAAATGTTTACTGCGGCTTATACACAGGGCGGCTTATACGCCGAGACTTGAAGAATAAAAATGACATTTACATGTGTATTTAATGTACTGGTACAAGAAGAGATGTGTTGCTGAAATAATTATCAATTAAGAAAGTCATTAACAAACCTAAAGCACGTCCCACAAAAAGATACTGAGCGGTAAAAAGTACGGCTTGTGAAAGCTGTCCCTTGGACATCGACAATGCTGCCTATGCTGAATGCAATTGCATGCTGCATGGATTACCATGGACCACACCATTTGTGGTAATAAAGGGGTGTACTTTCTTGGGAACAATAAATACCAATATTTCCCCAGTTTAAAAAAAGGAAAAAGACAACTAATACTTTTTATGGAGTTTGAAACATATCTTTATTTGATAATCAGTTGTTCAACGTCACAATATAATTTTTTTCCTGAAATGTATTCATGAAACGATGTGAAACTCAAAACAGGGGTGAAACCACCCCTACGAAATAAATGGATTCGTCCATAGTAATCTCAGCACGCGTGTTGACTGTTTTCGAAGAAAGTTACGATCCAAACTTGAAGTTTTGACGTTACTACTCGTTAGTAATCACAACAATTTGATAAGTTTTGCTGTAAAAACGGACTTGTTTATCCTTTAAGACAAAACAACTCAGCGTCTGTTGCCACAAAGCAGGATTTGTAGCGCTCATGGTGTGATGGTGAGAACACATGGTGGGTTGCATACTCTCTCAAGTGGTGGGGGAAAATAATGTCATTCGCCGGCACAGGCTCACTGACGAGCCAGCCGGTAGCAATTCCCGTTTTTTATTTCTCATCATCATTTCCATATTTGTTTGTAAGAGTAATCGACTGTAAATGATTTGACATAACATTTGTGGCCCTTTTATAGCTTTCGTAGTGTAAATGGAACTGGTTCAGAGCATTTTGACAAGAATTTGGAGGCCTTACAAAATTGAACCGCTGCGGTTGGTGCGGAAGCAAAAACGATTTTTTTTTCTTCCCCTTAATTTCTTAATTTGAAACTTGCTTGTAAATATAATCCATACTTTCTAGTTCAGGAAGTTTTAACACAGGTTTTGAAATGCTGATTTTTTTTTTAAAGTTAAAAATGTTTTTTTTTTTTTTTCTTTAATTACAAAAAATATCACAAGATCTCCTCTAAATTTTAAGGACAAATCTTCCTTAAAGACTCCCCAGATTTGCTCTAAAATGCACCAGAGGGCCTCTTAAGTTCAAAATTTTTACACGCCGTGGCTTCCCAGGTTGGTGAATCACAACAAAACTTCCCCCACAGTTTTGAAAAAATCCTGGGGAGAACCCTGGGATATAAAAATGTTACAGTTACTTGTCACAGAGAGCCACCGCACAGAAAGCAGCACGGCGCGCAGAGCAGCATTTGTCCGGAGCTGCCTGCTTACCCAAAACATGTGCCAGTGTACCGGGAGCTAGGTGGAGTTTAATTATCAATTTGAGCACAAAGGGTTTGATGGTACCAAGTTATTGTCAGTCGTGGGACCGTTCTAAAGCTGCCCTAGGTCATCAGATGGGGGTCAGGGGACCAGTCATTCTTAACATGGCATAGGTTAATAGATCTCTTCATTTCGCAAATTAAACTTGACTTTACCATCAATCGAAAATTGTTGGTCCGGTCCACGGACGTAAATCCATAGCGATGGGCCATTTGATCATCCCCCATATTGCTGTGGTAAGAACTGCAACAAATAAGCACTGGCTCAAAACGTTTCTGAGTGCAATGGAAGGAATGGTTTCATGAGGTGAAAGACTGACTGTTCCATTCAACAAGGACTATAATGTGCCCCAATAAAGTGCAGTGTTATTATCGAACAATTAACTTCTTCAACAACAACAAAAATTGCATTTTGTATATATAGCTCAATCAATTTCAACTCACCAGTTAAGCACATAGCTTTTGCAAGGACCTCACTGAATAAGAGGAGTGCGCGCTTGATCCCGAGCATGAGCACATACTATTCTTTATTCCAGAAGCCTTATTCCAAAACTAAGGCACATACGTACTTCTGTTGCACTTCCATGGTTCAAGTGTTCATGGTTCATGGTTCAAGTATCAGTTGCACTTGTCCATGTGACTAAGGCCAAAGATCAGTGTACAGACAAATTCCATGCAGCGCCCTAGCCGTATCTTATCTTATCTAGCCATGTACAACACATGTATATTTGTCTGTTCATGTACATGTATATTGGATTCTGATATTCAAGAGCATGAGTGACTTAGCACTAAGAAATGTTCCTACACAGTCCATGTTGATGCATGTATATTGTTAATGACTCGTCGCAATATCTTACTAACTTCGTTTAAAACGTATTTTGTAGCCACCGGGCGTATTCCAGGCCATAATCGCCCTTTAAAATAAACTTCGAAATGTATCACGCACAGCTATAGCTACACTGTCAGTGTACCGTTAGGGCGAGCGCGCCATCACATCGTTCCCTGGTTAACAAGCTCGAAATGATATCGGAAGCTGCGGGCCACTAAAATAGGCCTGAGACGTCAACGTAATGGCTTTATTAACATAATTATGCCCTTTATGGGAGCGAAGTCGGCCGCGGGACGCTAGATGAAGTAGGGACCAACTACCACATAGGAATTAAAGCGCACATGTAAACAAAGTGTGACGTCATTACGTCTCAGGCGTATTAACGAACACGTGTTATGCATGAGTGACGTGATTGTGCCACATAATAGTAGCACGATATGGGACTGTGGGAACACCGCCCCCCCCCCCCTTCCAGGAATTCTGTTGAGATATGTAGGGGATCAATGTGTTAGTTAGTTATAGCAAATATTGTTTAACTGACTTGCTTCACGTTTGGAGTTCGGAGATGTTGGAAAATTCATTAAAATTAACCATGCTCTTGTAGTCTGGTTCCCTGACCCCACTTAAGATTAAACGGAGCAGTTAATAGACTTTGGGGAATTGTAATGTCAGAGAATCAGTCTAACGGGCTTGTACCATTTCACAAGTGTGTATTAAAACAATTGAAAAGAAAATGCGAAATAACTAAATATGAACAATTAGCAGCAGCTTTGGAAAACAAGCCAGCTAGTTTTCTTCAACGCTGGTCGGCCGACCAGGGTTGGAGAAATACAAGTTTTCTTGAAAATGTCAGTACGCCAGGAGCCACAATTTTACAGGATGCTTTGGACTGTCAATCCAGTAAGATATTTCGTGATAATTTGATCATTTGGTTTTTTGTTACTTGCAAATGTTGTTTATTCCCTTTAAGTTTATGAACTATATCACAGCCCTCATTAAAATCTGTATTCAACTATACAGTGCCACCATCATTGAAAATATTGTACGATGTTTCCAAAACGGCAACAACCATGTGGTTCTCAAGTTGTTTACAAGTGCGTACACCCAGACCCAAACAAGATTGCATAGTACACACTATACCAGAAGGAACCAGACTGGACATATTTATCCTCTGTCACAGATTTAAAAGTATTAAGTGATTTGTTCTTTTGAAACAAATAATTCAAAAAAAAAATAAAGAAAAGTATTCCTGAACAACAACAAAAGGTCATCATGTTTTGTTTTATTGTATGTAATTTAACAAAGCTTAGCAGTAACAAATAATGAGAAAAATAAACAGCGCCACCATCATAGTTATGAAAAGTTACGAACTGTGACTTTCTGATTACAATAGTTGGAGGAAATGTTCACTTATATCTCAAATAAAATATGCCCATAATAAAATATGCCCATAAATAATACCTTCACAGAAGGTCACCCTGTAGATGCTGGTTGAACATGGTCTAAAGAAAAAGAATCTGTCCAAAGATTATATATCCCTTGGAGCACGGCTCAGGTAAAAAGTAGCTTTTGGCTGCCAGACTACTAATAGATTCTGGTCATGCATGATCTAAAGAACAGGAATCTGTCCAAAGATTGGGTACGTGTGGTCTAGCGCTAGGGCACGATTCATGATCGTGAGATTGTGGGTTCAAGCCCCGCCGTGGCCATCCGTGTTGTGCCCTTGAGTAAGGCGCTTTACCTCAATTACTCCCCTCAACCCATGCAGGTGTTAAATGGGTACAGGCATTATTCAATGCTGGGCAGGTTACAGACTCGCTGTGGAGGAGGTGTGGCGATTCCCCCCACAGCAGCAATCCGTGGATCGAGTCTGGCCCAAACGCTAACGAAAGAGAGATGGGCACTCCGTTCCTGTAAACACAGGTTCGTCCCCTTTACTCCTACCTTTATACCTTTACTTTAATAGATCCTCATATTCCTGACTTTTCGCTCTTTGCACAACATCACTACATTGGAACAAAATCGGGACTACAATTATGAAGTAAAGACTCACCTGCATGTGTTGCTTAACCATAACGTCAAAAACCCAATGGTCTAAGCTCATGATTGTTCCACTGTTTCAATGCCAACGCAAACTATGTCAGTATCGCCTTTAGGCAAGGAGGTCATTATACACATTCCAAAAATAATATCAAATGTATATATTAAAAATCATTATAGGTAATTTGTTCTTGATACAGACTTTGTATATTTGTCATGACCTTTTAGGTCAAAGCAAACGGAGGCTTGAAACTATTTTGGTGTATACGCAAGATCTTTTTGACTCAATGGTGATGATTTCTTTTATGTCTCAAAGCAATAGCAATTCCAATCAACTCATCGTTATAAACTACCAGGAGAAACTGCTGAAAGATATCTTCCACTAAAAAAGACGGCGAAAAGTATGTCCCTTATGATATTATGTAACTGCCCTTATAAACAATGTATACTGGTTACCTATGTTCGATGCAATGCATTCTTAGCAGTTTGCTTTCGTCGATATTGTAATCATTCATATATCCACAAAAGTGATATGAATAACATTTTAGATATAGTTCATCCTTCCTCGTGTGTTTCTGATGATTTACCCTCTTTCCTTGTTTCCAGTCGCTTAAGTACAGGAAAAAGAAACATTTGCAGAGAGCAGGCGAAGTTAATCCCCGCTAATGCGAAGAACACTGTCTTGTAGCTTCCCGTCACGTCGAACAGCCAACCTGGTAGGAATTAAACGTGGTGATATTGTGTTAAAAGTTTGGGAGCATTTTATCTCCCGTCTTGTTGAGTCTAGCAACATGTAATTTTCTTCTTCATTTTGATTTACGCGTTTTCTGGTTAAGAGTCATTACGGTTCAACATTACCACGAAAAACTCGTCATGCACCCAATAATCACTACAGTGGCGTAACATATAACGGCTGAGGGGTGACAGGGTGGGGAACGCTCCAACACCTTATTGTAGGACTCGAGTCCAGGACTCGGACTTGAGTCCGACTCGAGTCGCAATATCAGTGACTCAGACTCGGATTCGATCATCATGACTCTGACTTGACGCTAATAACTCCTGACTCGCAAGTAACTCATTTACTTAAAAAGCCCAAACTTTTAAGAACAATTCCGATGTATATCGGAACCAAATGATTCGATACTCGGACCCGAACTTGACTCAAAGCTTTGACTCGAACCTCTGATTCGATTAAAGTGACTCGACTACAACACTGTCTCGTGTCCCTCCACCCTTGTACCCCCACCACCCCACACCCCACACCCCCCGGGTAGGAAAACATGAGCCCAGATTTGTGCAAGCATTGGATATTATATCACGCGTGTCTTCATTCATCTGATCATCTCCTACCACCTCAGTGTCTTCATTTTGACCACTCACACTGAGAAAATCCAGTCTTTTCTCTAATCTCGCTCGATCGTACTGGCTGAATCGGAACTGGCTGAATTAGATTGCCCATGTTTACGTACCTGCTATAATGGGTCCAAGTAGATCACCAAAGGCAACAAATATGTGGTACCATCCAGTACACACAGCAAACCCCTCCAAACCCACGAAGCGCCGTATCAAGACGGAAGCTATGGCGAAGAAGGCCCCGCTGGTAAAGCCCTGTAGGAATGAAGCAATGGCTAGGTACACGTAGCCATCCACGTTCAGTACAAGCAACGAAACACCGGCCAAAGCCACGCAGATTGCCAGCACGTGTTCTGCTGAGATCCTGCAGCTCAGCATTAATCCGTTACCAAGCTGTCCGAGTAGACTCCCAATGCCTAGAATACTGAGGAGGAACGCAGCACTGGAGGGTGCCACGTCGATGCTTTGTGCACGGGGAATGACGAATAGCAGAAACGAAATGTACGGAATGCTGAATTCAATTGAAAGGACACATAACAGGAGGAGGCGATAGCTACCTAATAAAACTCTTATCCCAAGCTCAGAAGACAACCTGCGTGACAGACTTCCAGTTTTCTTCTGTTTTCTTGAGTCTTTAAACGACACATATTCACGGTTACCAATCTGGTCCACGGATACGTAGGATTTTTCATTGGAACCTTCGCGCACACCCAAAACATCCGAAGACATCAAACCATTGGTTGATGTCTGGGAGACCATCCCATCGCTGCCACTCGTATGTAGGACACTTGTTTGCCCCTCTTGCGTTTGTTCGTCAATCCCAAATTCTGGTTCTTGATCAGTAACTTTGTTTTTAATTTGCCGAATTCCAAGCCGAGGCCTGAAAAGAGCACAGCATGCAATGCTATTGGCCATAATTGCGGAGATTATGAGAAGAGTTCCTCTCCAACCGTAGTTGTCCAACAGGACTTGAAATATTGGAGGAGCGGCCATGATTCCTGTCCCCACACCAGAGAAGGCCACTGCGTTGGCTGTTTTGTACTTCTTTTTGAAGTACATGGCCACTGCAACTAATCCAGAGTTGTATGAAATTCCGACACCAGCACCTTGAACGAAAAGGGTATAAAAGCTATGAAATGGAAACAAACATTCCAAGGAAGCCTTCACAATTAATTAATCCAAACCCTTGGAATGAGATTAATTTCGATGTACTCATTATCAAGCACAAGGGCAAGCACTTCAAAAGATATTGCACTGTAAATAACATTTGCCGTATAAGCTACATTCCAGTAACTCACAATAGACAAATCATTGGAATGTTCTCTCCCTAATTTGTGTGTGACGCCAAATTAAAGTTTCCAAAAACTGTCCATGTGTACTTTCTTGTAATTACCTGCTACGGCCACTGTGATGTACAATTGAAATATGTTCTGCACCCAGAAGCTGCAGAGGAGACCAAGAGATGAGAGGACTCCTCCTAGAATTCCCGAAAACCTGCAGCCGAAGCGTTTACATAGAACAGCACCTGCGAGGCCTATACAGCCCCCAGCAAGAAACAAATGGGAAGAAAACACGAGACATTTAGCTCAGCATTGATGCAATTAAGACTATATATAGCGGGCAGACTTAGGGGCTGAAGCCGACCGCCTGATTTGTTTGACAGCACCTCTCCCCCCCCCCCCCCCGCCTCATCCCAACCCACCACCACATCCAGCCGCCGTGTCTCTGCAAACATTGCATCATTCAGACACCGTTATAAAATTCTCTTGACACACTGGTTGATTGTGATTCAAGAAATCTATGTTTCAGCTGGTTGCAAGTATCGGCTGAGAATTTTTTATCTGGAAATTGACTGTAATTGTGGAGGAGCCCCAGGTCAGATATACAATTGTATTATGCTTTCCAATAAGGGATCATCCTGACGGTTCAACAACAGAATGACAGCTATAGAGTGGTACGAATACAGTAACCCCATGCAGTGTTCATCGATCCAGTGGAATGTTCATGTCATAATTGCATGGAGCTACAGTTCCATGATTATTTTGACTAGCGCCCTCGAAAAAAAAGACATTGACAAACTGGAGAACCGCCAACATAGGGGTGGAAAGTTCAGTTGTACAGAGTACAGAGTACCGGTATGGTATGAAGTCGCAGGTTCAAGCCTTGCGCCAGGCCAATATCTAGTTTGTTTGTAATGTTATATAATTATGATGACATAAGTTTGGCAACAACTTTGTTTTCTGCGCAAAAACTGGCAGGTGCTTGACTTTCCGTGGGGAGTTTTTTTTTTTGGGGGGGGGGGTGGTCAAGCACGCTACATATCCATCATGTCTCGAAAAGCTAGTCCCATCCCAACGAACTGGACTTAAACGATATTATTACAAACAGTTAGGAATATACGATCCATTGTCAATATCTGACTGGTTGTTATCTACGGTATTATTTGCTGCAGATAGATAACCAACTCTTTTGTGTGCGATTAGTGATAACATAGATTTCCTTGCTCTATGGTGATAAACAGTCTAATGGCTATTTTTTTGCATTGGATACTCCTTTCAGATCTGCATCAATGGCGTGTTCTAACTTCAATGTTCTCCCTTTCCCCTTTGTTGTCAATTAAAGAACATGGTTTTACTTTTTAGCCAATCATGGCCAACGTTCCATACAGCTTGGACATTTTGTTGTATCTGTCAAACTGAATCTGTACCTCGCATATTGTCATATTGACTTGCATAGTGTCATTGTTACCAAGAGTAACAAGAGTCAATAACCACAAGTCACGAGTCATGTCAAATATAGCAGGGGATAAAGCAGACTGGGATCTGGAACGTTCTGAAACGTGCAGAAATAAATCATGCCAACTCTCACTCTTGAGCCAGCAAGTTTCTCCAAAATTTTCATTGGGCAAAGAAAAGCTCCTCAGTATTTCACCGACCAAATTTGAAGACTCCATTCAATTTTTAAAGGAGACATTTCGTCCATTTTGTGCACATGAGAGGGAAGTCAAGTGATTTCAAAATGAGGCTAAAGACTAGACTGGTACATGTCCAACTGTTTGAAAAGACTGACCTCTTCATTCGGTGTCATTAGTCTGGTGACTGACTATGGACAAATGCGTAGTATTTAAAGAGACTTTGGTTCCTAACTAACTTGCCACTGTGTTTCTTTTGGCACAGTTGATTGGTGCAGTATACTGAAGGGTTGTTGGACTGGTTGTTTCATGTGCCAGTTTATTTTCTTGTATTGCATGTTTTTAATACCTTAAGTTTTGGGACTATATACACAATATTGAAAGTCCCAAACTTTCGGACTAGGGACAAAAGTGGCAGAGAAATGGCTGGCTCAAATTTTCCTGGAATTGCTACCTTGTCACTATTGCTTGCGGAGGACTTGTGATGGACTTGTGATTGGCTTGAGATTCACTCAATTAAAACTCTGGTCTTACCGCTGAAACACAGCAGGGCAGACAGGATACTCTGGACTGCCCCAGTTTCCTTAGCACTGGTCTGGAATTCATTCGTCCAGCTCAGATACAAGACACCTGCACATCGCAACAGACCAAACACGAGAGCGTTGATGAAGAAGGTAGCAACGACCACCACGACACCCCAGCCACCTTCCCGGGATTCGGGAAGGTGCTCGATCTCCAGAGTCTCAATCGGCGATCTGGGTGAATTCGTCATTGTAAAGGAGCTTCTACATGCAGGAGACCATTTGACGATTGCACCGTGAGGCCTGGCACCGACAGTATCCAACGATGTTCGCCGCTATGGAAGCACCGGGAAACCACACGTGATTGGATGGTGTGAGAACTATGCTACTCGGAATAATCTCCGTATACCGTCACTTTCTGAGATGTGAAGGCTAATTATCCAGTTCATACAAAAAAAATCAAAGGATTGGATGTGGATGTAAATATATACTTGTTGGTGGTCCAGAGTTGAATGATATGGAACGTATGCATTATTTGCACCCTCAGCATGGTATTAAAGACCCCTGTGTAAAGTTTACACAGGGCTGTGACCTTTGTACCACCTATGAGACACCAACTTAAAATGGTCATGACGCTCAATGGTCGCCTAAACCCAGAAAATCCTGTTCTATGTAACTGCCTCCCTTGAACCACCAAAACTGCAATTTTCGGGCATTTCATGTAGAGCTACGCCGAGCGACCTGTGCGTCCACTGAGCCACTTGCCTGCCTCCCCTGTGCTTTCCCTGTGCAACCTACGGCAACCAACGCCGAATGGAGGCACAGCGGTTGCCACAGTCATCGTTCAATGCACGCTATTCGTCGGCTAAAGGAGGCACAAGGGAGGCAGAAGAATCGCCCAGATTGACGGTAAAATTTGCAACTGAACGGGTCTATAATAACGTGGCGACCATTGGTAATCCATTCTGCAACCACGGCAAAGCTTGTGCCTCCCTTCCGCCTCATTATTTTGAGCCACCTTTGAGCAACCAAATTCCTCGGCGACCTTTGTGCGACTGTTTTGAACATGTTGAAAAAATTACGGCGACCATGGCGTCCATGGCGATGTCTGAATATTCTGTGTACCACCCTTAACGACCTAGACAACCATTCGGCCTCCTTTGAGCCTCCAAAGGAGGCTCCCCCCCCCCCCCCCGCGCCAGGTGTCCGGAGAAAAAAAAACATGTCTATCCGGCGCGGATGTGCGGTTGCCCCCCCCCACATCAAAAGCTGGATACGCTACTGAGCGGGAACCAGTCTTTCAACACTGGTATCCTGGGGAGTATCTTTGTGTGAGGAAAGCAATGCTCATAATATTCACAATAGCCTTCCTCTAACACGTATACAATTCACCAAGTACATAATGCAAATCCATTCATTGTTTTCACAGCCTGTTTATTAGGTAAATAATCTTGAAGCAACAGTATCATTCACAAAGCTTATCTCACCGATACAATTATTAATGTTGATTAAACAATGTTCCCATTTCATTGAGTATAGTATACACCATTAAAGTAGCAACTACAAACGTGAGTATTTCATTGAGTATAGTATACCCCATTAAAGTAGCAACTACAAACGTGAGTATTTCATTGAGTATAGTATACACCATTAAAGTAGCAACTACAAACGTGAGTATATATAGGGCCTATAACACTGAATGTAACTTAAACATTGATCAACACTTATACGCAATACACCTGTACGGGCCCAACATTAATTAAGGCTTTTGAATTATAACAAAGTTTTTTTTAACTAGATTGTTGGATTGGATGCTAAAACTTCCCTGCGGAGTCCTATGGAGAACCACTGATCTCTATTATACTGAGGAGAACCTACCACGTACCAAGTACCAAGTACATGTTGAAATGTTTACCTCTGATCTCGGTTGACGTCCCCAGTGTTTGAGTAAACCGCCCTAAATATTGTTCCCGACCCACAAAATAATTTTTGTTTGTGTAATTTGGTTTATTTTATCATATTTGTTTTTGCTTCGTTCCAGTGAACCTCAGCGCCTAAACCAGGCAACCTGTCCTAATTTGCAAGGGTTTCTTTGAAAAGATTGACGCTTTTTAAAACAAACGTACAATTTTGTTTCAAACTTGCTATGCTTTTCTGTCAAATAACCATTTTCTTTGCAAAATTCTGCCAGAAATCTGCCAACAAATCCATCCTGCCAAATTTTCTGTCAAACTCGTTTCTAACAAAAAATCTGCAATGTCAAAGTTAGCTGAAAATCGGCTAAAACGGTCACTATGCTAGCATTAATAGAGCAGACGTACATGTATGTCCGGAGGGTCAGTATCATTTTAAACGTTAAACGAGTCAGGGTACAGTGCACAACCATTGAGAAATTTCTGCACGTTCGTATCGGGCTCCAGTTCCTCTTTTTTTATGGGAAATGCGAATGATAATTCGTGGATAGCCATATAATGTACCAGTACTTCTTACCAAACAAATGCAATTTCAGCTCAGAAAACGCAATGGATGGAAAAGTGAGAATAGGAACTCAGTTTGGCCACAGTTTCAGGCTTTATGTTATACGATCATTCTTATAAGGAGAATAGGTACGCAGAGGCATCCCTAAGCCAATTATAATTGAATTGTCCGGCCTTTTTCTCCCCCTTTTTTGTTGTGTGCAAAAGTCGTGTTCTGTTTCCCCTACTTTAAAACAATCACTGTGTTCTCGTATAGTATTGAGAAAGTTGGGACATGAGGGGATATGAATAAATCCCCAAAGGCACTAGAACCGTAAATATAACGCCTACAACTTACAGAAGGAGCAGTTACATGTTACACGATTGGCAAATGTCTCTTATCATGTGACAATTTTCCCAAACCATGGCTACATATTTCAAGACGATTTCAGGTTTGCTGTCAGATTGTCGCCACTGATGAAGAAAAAAAAACTAACACACCGTCACTCCTTTTGAATGGGTTTATGGAGCCGAGGAAGCGCGCTCTCCCCGGCCACAGACTGGACAAGGCTCTTTAAGTCGTGTATGCTTTCCACCAGGCAATTTGAAACGACGTTCTTTGTCTTCTGTCAGGAGAGAGAAAAAATGGATTGTAATTAGATGTAAAGCCACTTCAACGGTGTTATAGGAGACTCTTCTAGGAGTTCGACGCCTCCAAGAGACTCCCTCACGGGTGTCAGCTCCTCCAATGCGACACCTTCAAGGGTGTTAGCCCCTCTAATGTGTGACACCTTCAAGGGTGTCAGCTCCTCCAATGTGACACCTTCAAAGGTATCAGCGCCTCCAATGTCACACACCTTAAAGGGTGTCAGCCCCTTTAATGTGTGACACCTTCAAGGGAGTGAGCGCCTCCAATGTGTGACACCTTCAAGGGTGTCAGCGCCTGCAATGTGTGACACCTTCAAGGGTGTCAGCCCTCTGTAATGTTAGACGTCAGCCCCTCCAATATATGCCACCTCTAAGAACGTCAGCCTCTCCATTGTGCGACACCTTCAAGGGTGTCAGCCCTTCAAAGTGAGATACCTGTAAGAGTGTCAGCCGCGTTACGGGGGGCACGTGTATCCTCCCGTGCGGGATGAATGGATTTGGGAAATGGGTCACTAAGACCAATAGAAACGATCATTTTTGTTGGGGTTTTGAAGTTATCAGTCTGCAGCCTTACCGAACATGAATGGGCAGAACTCCCTGCAGCGGTTCTTCCACTGCTTACGCCCGTGGACTACCTGCACAGTACGCTGCGGTGTAACAATGATGGAATGGTTGCCTGGGACTCGGTAGTTACGACTGATGCGGATCGTTTCCTTAAGCATATACACGCCATCATCTCCGGCTTCATATCCGTCAGCATCTACGCCTTTAGGCGGTAGAGCCTTAGCCCAAGCCGAGAAGAAGGTGCCGATCATCTTGAGCGTGTGGTGGGGGGCTACCGACGTGAATCCCTCGGATAGGTTACTAGCCTGCTCGTAATCGAAGCCTGCCGCGACGTTACCGCCCCCGACGGGCGCTTTCAGCTCCGCGGACAATTTCAGCTTCTGCCACTTTTCGTAGACCGCTCGGACGTAGATTTTCCTGTCCGAGGCGTTGCATAGGTAGACGGTCTGATCGAACATGGCGTTCACAGTATAGGGATCGGCAATCATCTGTTATATCAAGATAATGAGCCAAATTTGAGCACATATAGTTGAAGGAAGTACATTGCTCTGCTGTGTTAGCTCATGCGTTGGCGTAACCCGACCGATATCACTGCCCGGTTTACAAGTGATATAGTCAGTGAGCCATGAAGTCAGAATGAAAGCCAGAAGTTGAGACAGGTGGCCCACAAATAGAAGACACTTAGCTGGCCTTCTGCGATCAGCAAAAATGAAAGTGCATTAACGTCCGGGATCTGGGCCACATCAACGCAAATGACTCTGACTGCATGGCCTGACTGTAACTTTACACTTCATAACATGTTTCACACAGTTCAAATTGTCCCGGTGATTTCAAAGGAAACATTTACAAAATATATAAACAGTTATCCAAAAAGTTCGTAGAAAAACTGTGAGAATTACTTGATATAAAATGAAAAATATATTTTCGTCGTTCGCAAGAGGAATTACATTTTGAACATGGATACTTAATTTAACTGTTCTGTGTTGAAATTATTTCTCATTAATAAATACCTAAGACTGTTTAATCATTCCCATTGGTTGAGAGCCCGTCACGTGGCCGGTCTTTAAGGGTTTTTCTAACCAATGTGGCCCATCAGGAGGCCGGCGTTTATCAAACGCTGAGAATATTTCCATTCCCCTGGACGGGATGCTAATCCATCGCAGGTTACTCCCCAGCTAATACCGGCACCTAACATGTAAACTGGCGAGGGCTATGTATTGTTTTAAAGACGAGGAGAATCTTGAAAGCGATGCGGTCATTGATAGGTAGCTAGTGGAGTGGTTTCAATACAGATGTAATTATGTATTGTGCGTTTGGACAGTGAAACAAGACGAGCCGCTGCATAATCAGGTCATAATCAGGGGCACTTGCTCAGAAAATGGGGCACCTTCCGGCAGTGTGATGGTGGAGGAAAAGAATATGGTACCGTTCATTTCGCTATAAACCTATATGACAAGGAACAAATTATGACTAGGCCATACGTTGTCCATCTTGCTCTTTGTGTTTCTTTAGACCTGTTTTTATCGTGAGAGGGGCACTGATGCTTTTGATGGCAAGTTCAGTGACGAGTTCATTCGCGTGAAGAGCACTGTTATTTTTAGGTGCCAGTTTTCAATCTTGAGAGGGGTACAATAATAATGTGCGAGCGGGGCACTAATTGTGTTGTCGACGGGTAGTTTTCCATCTGGAGAGGGGTACAATTTTAGTTTTTGCGAGAGGTGTATTTGTGCTTTCGAGGGGTAGTTTTCCCTCTCGGGAAGGTGCACAATCGTGTGAATGCGAGAGGGGTACTTGGGTTTTTGAGGGGCAGATTTGCATTACAAGAGAGGAGACAATTTTGTTTGTAGCGTGATCATATGCTTTCATACGTGTGCGTTTGAGGGGCATGGCACTATAACCGCGAGAGGGGCACTTTTGTTGGACTGGGAAATCTTTGGGGGGGGGGGGGGGTCGGGAATTGACACCAGCCCCCGCGTCCCCGGCTCCGTCGTCCCTGGTCATAAGGAGAGCGAGTTACAGAAATCAAAGTGTGATGTTATAAGTGTATGAACCCGTTGCTCCGTATAGCTGTGCCGGCCGGTGAGCTATTTACAAATGAATCCAAGGTTGCGAAGATGAAAACGAGCAAATTTGCATACCTGTGTGAGTACATTGTGGTGCCAAGGTTATACGGTAACTGGTAGAAGGCTGGATGCGAGAACCAGTGTGACCGTTTTAACCAATTTTCGGCTAACTTTGACAGATTTGTTGTTAAAATAACGAGTCTGACAGAAAATTTGACAGAATGGATTTTTTTGGCAGATTTTTGGCAGAATTCTGCAAAAATGGTTATTTGACAGAAAGCATAGCCAATTTGAAAAAAAAAACCAAATGGTACATTTGTTTAAAAAGCTCCAATCTTTTCAAACAAACCCTTGCATAATGGCACAGGTTGGCTGGTCTAGTTCACTGGGAACCGGACTAGCTACTGTCGTGACGCAACCGCGTTTTGCCTAAAATCTTTATGTGACTGTAGAGTGTTTATAATTAAGGCAATACAATTAACAAATCTGCATGTGATTTTAAGTGTTTAAAGTGTATTGCGAGTAATTTGGCAGATTTTTTATAAATCTGACAGATTTTTGAAGTGCGTTTAGCAGAAAATGGCCATGACCTTACGGTCACCCTGGCGAGTACATGTATCCCCAATGCGAAGGCTTGGGATGTCATACTTAGCTGTTTCCAAACGTCCGTCAGATATAGCTTTGTAAATTGTCAAACCCATCATCAAAATAATGTTGACTAACAACATGGCCCCACGCATTTAGCATTTAACACACTGCAACAATACTAACAACATGTACATGTATACAAACTGCAACAATTTCAGACCAAACACGCAATCTTGAAATTAACAACAAAAATACTTACCAGTTAATGAAACCACTCAATAACCATGCATGTGTTGTTACCTCGGAAAATTCGACTGCCACCACTGACAAGAATTTCACAGCAAATGAAATGAAAAGTATGAATTCTAAAAACCTTTAGTATCCGCTTTTCGGTGAATACCAGATTTCTCATTCAATCTTATCCATGCGCAAAAGCAAACGTCAAATCAAAAAGGCAGACATGATTTTTCTTTATCGGGGTCATTCTCCCTTTATTCAGTGAGGTCGATGGGTTGGTCCAGTGAATTCTCATTGTGGATGGATTTTATGTTGAGAGACTCGGGGTGAACACGATCAGCTAGTAGGCCTATTCTGGATGTTTTCAGGGGGGCGTGGCTTAGGTTTTGGTGTTGACGATTTATGGGTGCGTTCGTTTAGCTCACCCGGTTCGACATGGGTAAGGGCAGACGGGTCAGCCACGACAGCCAAGCTACTCGAACGCTCAACCGCGGGCCATCACGTCCCTCACTTGACGCCGTAGCCGAGGCCATAGCCACTGTCAAAACGCCCGTTTCGGATTGGGTCTTAGTTTGAGTTTTACTGCTTTTTAGTCAATTGCAAAACTCACAAAAGTTGCCTGGGCAGAAATTATAGTCTAAAAAGTCGCAATGAACTCAATAAAGGATTACCTTAGACTTCAAATAAAGTCAACTTTGAAGTCCTCTTGACATTTCCGCTGTCCGGCCGCCACATTATCTGTTTTTAGGGAATGAACACAGGAATCGACTTTAGCGGTAGCCCGCTAGCCAAACGCTAGTCAAAACAGCGGCGGGCTTAAGTAGCCCGGCTGGCGAGTCAAAAATGATTGGGCTACGGCAAAGATGAAAGGACAGGAAGAAATAAATAATTACATCCGGAAAGCAAACCTGTATCAATTTGTGTCTAATTTTATTTGTTTAGAGTTCAATTAACGTACGTGTTTCTTAAAAACACTAACAAAATTACCTCAAGGATACACGTTTTACATGAATGCACATTGTTGCTTATGGAGACACTCTATAAAAGAAAAATATGTGGGCTAGTGAAAATGCCCACGGGCTAGTTAAGGGTCTGTTTCAGTAGCCCCGCTGGCTAGTGAAAAAAAAGTTAAGGTCGAACCCTGAACGCATGCGTGACGTACTTCCACCAATGACTCTGCTCCACGACCAGGGTCTTGCGTGGCTGACCCAGAGCTAATCGAACGGCACGGGGCTGACCCGTGCCGACCCGGGTGAGCTAAACGAACGCACCGTATACGGACTAATTAAATATCGTGGCTCTGAAATTGTTTACAAAGTCTTCAAAAACAACATTCTTACCGTTAAAGTGTTACTATTGAACTGAATGAATTTGAAGTTCGTCCATGGCAGGCGAAGCTAGCTATTCCCAGCCCGCGTGAGATGACGATCTTTTCACAATATTAAAAGTGGACCTTTTAAAAAATGGACCATTTCAAAGTGAAGTGGGCCTTTGCATGTTGCCGCAACTTAACGTGCGCACATGGTTTTTTAACTACGGAGAATATGCCTATCATTTTTTTATGACAGTTGTGACGATTAAAAGAAGACATGAGTTGAGTTTGGAGCAGGTCTTCCATCATCTTTCCCCCTCCCAGACACTTCTTATAATGGACCTCGACAGGTCTTGCAAAGTAGGGCCAAAAAAAAAAATAAGTCGGTCTAGTGGTCAGCGCGCGCGTCGATTTTAATCATGCGCGTCAATTTTTTTTTCCAAAATGTTCCGCGGTAGCTCCAACAGCGCCCAGGTGCTCTTTTTTTTTTTTTTACCAAAGAGCACCAAGGAATGGGAATTGCACAAAAGCAAATGATCGATAGCACCAAGGCAAATTATGGAGGACACCAATGTACATGAAGACACCAAAAAAGCAAAATGGTACCCCACCTTGTCTGTACAATCCAAGCTTGAAGAAAAAGGGGAAAAAAAGAAGAAAAAAAAACAACGCGTCGCCGCGTCAATTCCGGAACTTTGGTCTGACCAGAGCCGAATATTATTTTTTGCCTAGGCCTGGGGTGGCACACGAAGTGTGTCGCACGTAACTCTCACGTTTAAAATGAACGAAATCGCAGATAACACTCTTCCCTACCACAATATGGTGTTTGTGAATTGTAAGGTCAAATGCAGTCATGCAGTCGATGTTAACAAACTTAACCATTCACCTGTTCTGTTGGCCATTATATTTGTGCATATGCTCATGCACATCGTAATCGTTGTCTGCTTTGGATCGTGGTTTAACACGTACGTCAGTAGGCTAGTATATGCCACAATCAGCTCTCTCAGCGCTAGTTTGTTTTAGTTAGACACATGTTTTAAGTATCAAAATGTTGTGGTTGTCATCACTGTGCGTTTTGTTGGGTACAATTTTCTTTCTCAGGATTCTGTCATCCCTTCACAGAACCCTGAAAATCCGTAGTGCCATCAAAAAGCTGCCGTGCCCACCGGGAGTGCATTGGCTGGCTGGACACCAGAAGCAGTCCCCGTTCAGCCCCGGCATGCAGTGGCAACGGGACACGGTAGCAGCTTTTCCCCGTGCTTACACTCTTTGGCGGGGGTTCATCCCGATACCTGTCCTGGTCCACCCGGACACGATCAAGCCATTGGTAGTTAACCCCACGGGCTCGGTCAAGTCCAGCTTCTACAAGCTGTTCTGGGACTGGCTGGGGGAAGGCCTAGGGACCTCGTTGGACAACACCAAGTGGAAGAGGAACCGGCGCCTCCTGACTAGCTCCTTCCATCTGGACATCCTACGGACCTACGTCCCCATCTACAACGATTGTATCGAAGTGCTGATGGGCAAACTGGACCAACTGGCTGCGGAAGGCAAACCTATGAAGACTGATCACGAGTTTGGCCTTTGCACATTTGATGCCATTCTCCGTACAGCATGTTCTTACCAGTCCAATTGTCAGGTAGAGACATTTTGGTGGTTGTGTCATGTTATAAGTATAGGCTTAGAAATCAAGCCCTTCCCCTAGTTACACAGGACATTGTTTTCAGATGCGACTTTTGTTTCACTCCTAGAGTTAAACGTTTCTGCTCATTAATTAAGATTTTATGCCCAAGCATGAAGATAATATCAACATGCAGGGCGAGTCATCACACAAAAAAGGAAACCCAAATAGCAGGACCATTTTTATAATGAAGTTCTGCATGTAGCACTTTCAAAATCTAGATATGAAAGCCCACTTAATGAGCTTTCGTTTATACAAAAATCATTCAAATCGCTATTGTACCTTTCAAGCTATGGGAATTTTAAAACAGCCACCGTTTTAACCCTCCGACGCAGAAAGCCCATTTAGTAACACACTTACAGTAAGGGGTCCCCCAGGGACCCAAATATTTAGCGCCACGGTTTGAGGTTACACAACACTGTATCCACATGAACACAATCTTGCCATGTCTGTAGACTAAGGAGGTGTATTTGTATACATAGTCTGTGGTCAAGCCGTGCACTGTCTACTCGCAAGTGACCTTGTTTGTGCACGTGTATATGGTGGGTCCCCGGGTGGGCAGAAATTGCGTCGGAGTTGTTTTGTGCGCGTGTATATGGTGGGTCCGGCCGGATGGGCAGAAATTGCGTCGGTCCTTAGCCCAGGTTGTCATGCTCAGATATGCCTGACCTGGGGTCACACACTAAAGGTGACTGCATATATCCGTAGAGGGTGTCTCTTGCTAGGATTAGATGGAAGATCACCAGAATTGGTTTGAATTTTTTTTTTAATTAAGGTAATTAACCAAATTGGTTCCCCAAAAGGGCTAGATTCTGCGCCGGAGGGTTAAAGCTCTGCCCCACGGATCACAAAAAGGCAAGTTTTCCTTCAGCAAAACGAAAACAATTAACATTCATCCCTATGTGAATTGTTTTCGTTTTGCTGAAAGAACACTTACATTTTCTGCGATCCGTGGACAGGTCTTTAAAACGGTGGCGGTTTCTAAAATCAGCAGCGTCTTAAAACGGTTTAAGCTTGTGGCATTTCTGACATGAACCGGAAAGACCTGATCACCGAAGGAAGTTCTGCTACGAGTGCTTGCGAAGGATGCAGTTGTTCGGATGAAACTATATACGAAGACCATAGGCGTAGCCAGCGGTGGTGGTGGTGGTGTGTGTGGGGGGGGGGGGGGGGGGGGGGGGAGTGGGGGGGGGGGGGGGGTAAGGGGTATTACCCCCCCCCCCGATATTTGTAAAGACTGCCTTTTTCCATTCAAATGCCCTTCTTTCACCATCGTTTACCCCCAATAATTTGCTAGTGCCCCTTTTTTCAAGAAGTGCCTTTTTTTCTGAATAAGTGCCCTTTTTAAAAAGAAGTGGTGCCCTTTTATTGTGCCATCGGCCGTTCCTGGTGCCTTTTTTTGTAATTTCACGCACGTATCGCCCTGAAAAGCACCATATATTGTCCGGTAGTGTGCATAATCGTTGGTTTTGAACAGCGCCTCCATCGACAGATGCTTTGGATCGTGGTTTAACCAGGCCTATATGCCGCAATCAGCTCTCTCAGCGCTAGTTTGTTTTAGTTAGACACATGTTTTAAGTATCAAAATGCTGTGGTTGTCATCACTGTGCGTTTTGTTGGGCACAATTTTCTTCCTCAGGATTCTGTCATCCCTTATCAGAACCCTAGAAATCCGTAGTGCCATCAAAAAGCTGCCGTGCCCACCGGGAGTGCATTGGCTGGGTACAATTTAAAAAACAAGCAACAAGATTTTAAAAACAATTTTCGACTTAATTGGGAGCCAGTGAAGATCAATAAAACAGGTGTGATATGGCAGTACTTGTGAATGCTGCACACAAGCCTGGCACATGCATTTTGAACCCGCTGAAGACGGTCTACATGCACAGATGGTATCCCATAGAGTAAGCTATTATAGTGATCCAGCTTGGAAATAATAAATGCATGGACAAGTGTTTCAGTACTAGCATGTGTTAAAACTTCCGAACGCAACACCAGCCTGTTGTCCAAGAGATAACTCTAAAATCAGAAAGCGAGCAGCAAAGACGTAGAAAGTTAAAATCCATGCGTTAAACATCTGCCACAAAATATGAAAACGTAGTTCACTTTGCAACTTGACGTTACATTTCAGCTGGAGAAAAGGCACAAGCCTGAAGATTTGGACATCCTGACAGCAACCGAAATTCTCATTAGGACTGTGCAAGAGCGAAAGACGGGCAACCCACTACTCGTTATCCCCTGGCTGTTCCGGTTGAGTTCACTGTATCCTGAATGGAGGAGGGCATGTCAGTATGTTCACCGTATTGCAGATGAACTGATTAAAAAGAGGAAGAAAGAAATATCAGAAAAGGTATACAAACATCTGTGCATGGCTACTGGCACAATAGAATTCAAGGAACCCTCAATTTTTTTTTCTCTACATGTCATAATACGGGGCGAGTCAAAAAAACGAAACCCAAATGTCGGGACTATTGTTTTATTGAAGTTCTGCATGTAGCACTTTTAAAATCTAGGATATAAAAGCCCAATTCATAAGCTTTCTTTTAGTACAGGAATCATTCAAATCACTCATGTACTTTTTAAGTTAAGGAATTTTAAACACAACCACCTTTTCAAAGTTATGTCCACGGATCATCAAAAAGGCGTGCGTTCTTTCAGCAAAACGAAAACAATTTACACACATCCCTATGTGATTTGTTTTCTTTTTCCTGAAAGAACACTGAACATTTTTGTGATCCGTGGCATAACCTTAAAACGGTGGTTGTGTAAAAAAATCCGTAACTTGAAAAATACATGAGTGATTTGAATGATTCTTGTACTAAAAGATAGCTTATGAATTGGACTTTCATATCCTAGATTTTGAAAATGCTAAATGTAGTACTTCACTAAAACAATGGTCCCAACATTTGGGTTTCGGGGTTTTTTTTACTCACCCTGTACAGCATAACTTGTCAGCTTTTTTAGATAAAAACCAAGGCGTTGAACTGGTGTAAACGTTTATAGTCCCTTGTCCCAACCCCTCCCAAACAAACGTCTATGGTTATAGCCCTTGCTTCTCTGAACAAGTATGTTTCAAAACAGAAGCAGCATACGGGGTTATATCATGACAGAAAAGCAGCTGGTTGAGAGGGTCCTTTTCATTGTCCACTGAGAGAATCAAGGATGGCATCTGATAGTCACCCCATCCCATCCCAACTGCATAATACTCGGACCTCCCCAACAGTGGGAATAATCTTCAGATGGGTAGACAATTTCATCAGGACTACAAAGAGGGAATTGACGTGAGAGGGATCCAATGCTGATTATCTATTAACACTCCTGCTATTTAAACAGTCACAGACAGTCAAAATGTCCATCCACATGCCCTGCTCTACTTTTAACACAGGCTATAGTCACCAGCAGTCAGATCAGTCAAGCAAGCACTGTGATTAATAAAACTCAGTCAACAGACTTTGAGACAAAGCAGGCACATCAAAGCCATATCAAGTTACATAAACAGTCACTGCCAGTCACTCTTGCTTTATGTGGGCTGGGAATTTGTAACTGTTGAAAAAACTTGATTGATTTTGACTGAAAGGACTACTCGACACAGAATGTATGTTTGCATAGGAGGGTTACTGATTCTCTCTCCAGACTAGACATTCATGTGACCATGAAATATAAAGTTGACATCCTGATTGTCTTTTAGATAAAGGCACTCAAAGCCTCAAACTGCAATTTCACATTTTCTATCTATAGGCAGAGTCAAAAGATCCTCCGGTTTCACCCCGCGATTTTTTGGACACACTCATCTTGGCCCGCGACACTGACGGTAGCGGTCTGACGGTCAAGGAAATGACCGACGAAGTCAATACATTCTTGTTTGCCGGCCACGAAACCACCGCCACTGCCATGACCTGGATACTGTACAACCTGGCTAAATACCCTGAACACCAGTCAAAAGTCAGAGAGGAAGTGGACAAGATACTGGAGAACAGAGACACGGACAGAATCACAAGGTAATAAGACACGTCTTGAAATATTGGTGAATCCTCTTGCCCGCTGTATCAACCTCGTCCCCAGGGTGTCGAGCAGTACGCGCCCATCACTACCTGCTCTCTCACCCTGGCATTGGATCATTTGCATGTGCAAGATTTTTGCACACGTATGCAAATGAGGAACAGTCTGGTGCCTGGATATGCATTACACATTAGGGTTTGTTTTTGTATGCGGTGTCTGGGGTAAAAACAGAGTCAATTCGTAGCAGCGCGAGCACGGCGTGAGTTACGAAAACACGATTTTTGAAATCAAACTGTTACGATCTTATCGAGACAACATGCAGTATCATATTTCATATTAATATGAGCAAATTGGGAAAGGAAATTAGTATTTTCGAGAAGGCGTGGACGAATGATCGCGAAAACATGTACTGCACGTTGTGAATATATAGCACCAAGTACACGATAAAAATCCATTACTAGCCAATTGCGGTATCCAATCAGGATACAGGAAGAAAGTTTCCTATCCAGGGTTTACTATTGGAAACGCGGTTGGAAATAAAGTAAGCACTGGGGACGAGGTTGCCGCTGTATAGACTCCTTGCACAAGTACCCCCTCAACAGTTTGCACAGAGAAAGTTTGGATGGACCACTGGTAGGGTCTTGGTGCACTGTGAATGATGACTGATGCTTTTTAGAAGATATAAAACAGATACAATGTAATCTTTCCTATTTTGGGTAACACACAAGTCATGGGTGTCAGGTTGGTGAAGCGGTACTTTCCTCGCCTTCCACCACTGTGACCCGGGTTCGATTCCTGCCTGGGCCAACATGTGGATTGGGTTTTCAGTCCCTGCCTGATTCCGTGGGATTTCCTCAGAATACTCTTTTAGGGTTTTCCTCCCACCTCTAAAACTGTAATTTTTTCATATTGTCTTCTCTTTACTGGGACCCATGGGAGATCAGTGGATTCCACCGAATGGGCTACCCAGTTAAAATAATAAGAAGAAATAAATAAACAAATAGGAACCAGTAGCCACATGTGGTTTGTCACAACTGCAGCTCTTGTGATTGGTGATAAAATAACATTCTGTACGGAGTTCAATGTCAATCACTCCCATGAATTGTGTCTCATGCATTTCACAGGATCAACCACTCCGATTTATACTTGCTGTGCTTTTTGAACCATTACCATAATTCTAATGTTCCTCTGGACATATTATATCCAAGGAAAGTTGGTTAATTTATTTTTACACCGTATATCATTCTGGTTTTTATTTTCATTTTACAGCAAGGATCTTAACCAACTGGAGTATTTGTCTCTTGTCATCAAAGAGACATTTAGGATGTATTCCGCCGTTCTACTATCCCGCACACTGACTGCCCCTCTAAATGTAGACGGTGTCACACTCCTGCCCGGGACCTTGGTAGCCTTCAACATCTACCAGCTCCACCACAACCCTACTGTTTGGGGCGACGACCACATGGAGTTCAAGCCCTCCCGGTTCCTGCCGGAGAACTTTGCCAAGATAGACCCCTTCGGATACTTGCCGTTCTCTGCGGGGCCGAGGAACTGCATCGGACAACACTTTGCCCACAACCAAGTCAAGGTGATGGCAGCCAGGATTTTGCGGCGGTTCCATCTGAGCCTAGTGGAGGGGGAGCCTGAGCCATTGCCCAATCTGAATATTGCTTTGAAACCCTTGCATGAGATTTTGATTAGAATCAAACCTCGAGATTAAAACTCAGTCATTGAGTTTTACTGATACAAGCAGTGTTGTAGTCAAGTACTTTTTCCGAGTACCAAGTTGTGCCGAGTACTTAGCTTACCAAGTATGAGTACTTGTACTTCCGAGTACAAGTACAGGTTGCCGAGTACGAGTACCAGTACTTCCAAGTACGAGTGCGAGTACTTCCGAGTACGAGTGAGTGCGAGTACTTCCGAGTACGAGTGCGAGTACTTCCGAGTACGAGTGCGAGTACTTCCGAGTACGAGTGCGAGTACTTCCGAGTACGAGTGCGAGTACTTCCGAGTACGAGTGCGAGTACTGCCGAGTACGAGTGCGAGTACTTCCGAGTACGAGTGCGAGTACTGCCGAGTACGAGTGCGAGTACTGCCGAGTACGAGTGCGAGTACTGCCGAGTACGAGTGCGAGTACTGCCGAGTACGAGTGCGAGTACTTCCGAGTACGAGTGCGAGTACTGCCGAGTACGAGTGCGAGTACTGCCGAGTACGAGTGCGAGTACTGCCGAGTACGAGTGCGAGTACTGCCGAGTACGAGTGCGAGTACTGCCGAGTACGAGTGCGAGTACTTCCGAGTACGAGTGCGAGTACTTCCGAGTACGAGTGCGAGTACTTCCGAGTACGAGTGCGAGTACTTCCGAGTACGAGTGCGAGTACTGCCGAGTACGAGTGCGAGTACTGCCGAGTACGAGTGCGAGTACTTCCGAGTAAGAGTGCGAGTACTGCCGAGTACGAGTGCGAGTACTGCCGAGTACGAGTGCGAGTACTGCCGAGTACGAGTGCGAGTACTTCCGAGTACGAGTGCGACTACTGCCGAGTACGAGTGCGAGTACTGCCGAGTACGAGTGCGAGTACTTCCGAGTACGAGTGCGAGTACTTCCGAGTACGAGTGCGAGTACTTCCGAGTACGAGTGCGAGTACTTCCGAGTACGAGTGCGAGTACTTCCGAGTACGAGTGCGAGTACTTCCGAGTACGAGTGCGAGTACTTCCGAGTACGAGTGCGAGTACTTCCGAGTACGAGTGCGAGTACTTCCGAGTACGAGTGCGAGTACTTCCGAGTACGAGTGCGAGTACTTCCGAGTACGAGTGCGAGTACTTCCGAGTACGAGTGCGAGTACTTCCGAGTACGAGTGCGAGTACTTCCGAGTACGAGTGCGAGTACTTCCGAGTACGAGTGCGAGTACTTCCGAGTACGAGTGCGAGTACTTCCGAGTACGAGTGCGAGTACTTCCGAGTACGAGTGCGAGTACTTCCGAGTACGAGTGCGAGTACTTCCGAGTACGAGTGCGAGTACTTCCGAGTACGAGTGCGAGTACTTCCGAGTACGAGTGCGAGTACTTCCGAGTACGAGTGCGAGTACTGCCGAGTACGAGTGCGAGTACTTCCGAGTACGAGTGCGAGTACTGCCGAGTACGAGTGCGAGTACTTCCGAGTACTTGTATTCCAAGTAGGAGTACTTCTATTTCTGAATACATTTATACAGCAAATGGTTCATTGTGCGTCATTGGCCGAGGCCCAGAGTCAGACCGATATACGTCAGACCGACTCGCGGCTGGCTGTTGAATGCGTTTGTCCTGATGCGCACATGGGAAAATCACAGGAAACTTTTATTTCTCCACAAGCCAATCAACCATTTCAAACTGAAAGCATCGATAAAATAAGGCTGTAGTATGTCAAACAGTACCATTTTCTTTTCGAGTACTGCTATTCGTGTACGAGTACTTCGATGATCGAGCACAATTTCGACATGTCAAATGCGAGTACTTTGCTGCCAGAGTACGAGTACCGCCATTTCGAGTACGAGTACTTTGACATTTGACAGTAGTACTCGAGTATGAGTTCCGAGTACGAGTACTAAAAAACTGGATACACTTAGTATAATGGGGCAAAAAATAATACATGTAAATGGAATGCTAAACCTAGACAGCAGGCTAGTTGCATGAATGTAATACATGCATATGTATATGGCTAAGCATAAAATATGCTCAAGTTAACGTTTAGGTCGAATATAAAGCTAGATCCACTAAAGCTAGATGAACAAATTTGTGAAAACATCACCGTTCATTCTTCCATATGTTTTCACTGTGAATGGTTTACAAAAAAATGTTATAGGAATCACATTTTAGTCATTTGTCTTGACCGACACTCGGGAATGGAGTGTCTGCAAAGTTCCCCTTCTAAAAAAAATTGGACCTCTTGGATTATCGCAGTTAACAAATTATTACTTCTCCCTTCTTTGACAAATTCCAGTTGAATAATGAACTAACCATAATTCACAACATGTGTTTGCTCATAAAAAGAAAGTTTATTATCTACGGTACAGTACATCTAATTCAATTTTGTCAACAGGGTACAATTCATCTTGGTATTAGATATTAATACAATTTCAATTTGGTTCACCTTGGCTTACAGTTCTACTAAGTCATCACATACAAGTCATGCAGTCTCAAGTATTAGGCTATTCAAATGAATAACAAATGCATTCCTTAATCATTGTGTATTCCCTGTTACTTTTGACCCAAGTACTGATCAACTCAACTTTGACTAATACATCTAAGTTCATAAGGCATTAGTGCAAATGAGGTTTTTCAGTTTAAAAAACAAACAACTTTTATAATCCATCATCATGATTACACAACCTTGAATGATTAATCCAACAAATATGGAACTTGTTGAATTTGAAAGGATTTGTTAATAATGTTAAACTGGTGGACAGTTTCTATAAGGCACTTAAAATCCATTATGGGAATGAATTTCTGAAACAATCAGTTTATGTTATGTAATTGTTTATGTTTATGTTATGTATTTGATTATGATATGCTCAGTTATTCTGTATGAATTATTTTTGAGTGTAGCTGTGGCACATATTAGATTAGATGTGTAAAGCCTGTTATAAGATGGAATTTTTGCGTCGGGGTGATAAATCAAATTATAGGTTTTGCCCTTCACCGACATTTAAACACTGTATACTCAGTGTGTTACCTCCCGAGTGAAAGTTGGAAAAATCACTCGGGTGGGACTCGAACCCACGACCTCCTGCTTTCTAGTGCAGATGTCTTACCACTCGACCACAGAGCTAACGGGATAGGTTGGCTGGTTCGAATCTGATGTACATTGCAGCGGATACCGCATAAAAACTATTATAAGATGGAATTCCGATCCCGTTAGCTCGGTGGTCGAGTGGTAAGACATCTGCACTAGAAAGCAGGAGGTCGTGGGTTCAAGTCCCACCCGAGTGATTTGTCCAACTTTCACTCGGGAGGTAACGCACTGAGTATACAGTGTTTAAACGTCGGTGAAGGGCAAAACCTATAATTTGGTGTAAAGCCTGGTTTCCATATCGATGTAAAGCTTACGCAGACTACACAGACTGCGCGTAGACAGTGCGCAGAACCGTTGGCAGAGTTGAACTGGGTTCAACTTTGCCAATTGTCTGCGAGTTAGTTTGCCTCTGTCTGAGTTGTCGGCGACACTTCCGGATGAAATGTTTCCACATGTCTGCGTTGCAGTTTGGGTCTTGTTGCTCCTGTTTTCACTTCACTTTACGTTTCTTTACGTCGATATGGAAACTAGGCTTAACTATGAGGATTTATGACTATAATTGACATGCTTTATTGTTTTAGAAATCAAACTTAACATGATTTTGTTTATATTTACTGTTTCCATGTAACTGACTGACTTTTTAAAAGTTTTTTTTCCATGTTCACAAGTTGTAATATTTGACAATTTGTTTCTAGTCTTGTAACTAATACAGGATTATGGGTCATCTTGTGTGCTCATATTCATCCTCTGTCTGTAACCTTTGCTTTAATTTGAGATTTTGGGTTGATTTAGATTACTTGTGTATAGAGTGGTATTTCGTGTATTTAAATTGGTCATCAAATCAAGTTGTTTACTCTCTATTTTACCTGGCCAGCTTAAAAAAAATATACCGTTTTGACAACCTCTGAGTATAATGGTTATATATTCATAAAGATACAAACAATTTCAAGCCAACTACCTTCTAAAAATCTGTTTTCAATAAACAGCTAATCTGGGTATAATAGGAGACTACGATATAATCATGAAAAGTATTCCATTCCTTGATTCTTTGTCTGGGCAAACCTCTGAATCTGGAGGGCTTTCAAGCTTGGAAAACTGACCTTACACAATTTCTGATTGGATGGACAATTTATAGTCACGTCGGTTTTGTGCTTTGAATCATCAAGCACATTACTTCATGACCCCCCAAAAAATATGTTTATATTCTATAAGTTTGATATCTTTGTGGGGTATTATTATGGTATCATGTTATACAGTAACACTCATGATGCCCAATTTTCAAATCTTTTTCGTTGTCAAAGCAAACACTGCTGGGAAACTAAATTTTGTGTTGATCATTAATCTTATCAATAGTTTGAATTTACGGTGATCATAGTTTTTGTGGTAGGATTCCAATTTACACCACCGACTCGTCGATGTCCTGGAGAAGGTCGGTCGCTCGGAAATCTTTGAAGCTCTCACGGGGTCCTTCAGAAGACTGTGGAGAAAATACATTTTAAAGCAACAGTTATGATGACAGCAGTTGAAAATTCTGAAAAAAAGCTATGGCCTGAATCATCTAAACGAATCTTCTGTAATTTTTTTCATGGTTTAATTCTGCCGGCGTGATCATAATAAAAGTTTTGCATTTAAGCTGTTATTGTTTTTTTTAAATATTTTTTTTCATTTTTGACTTGAACCCTTACATTTTCTATACAAATTGTTGAGATTGTCCATAAACAGTGTGTTACTAAATAGTAACAAGGATTAAACAAAGAAACTTAAAATAAATTGGAGAGAGACATTTTAAAACAAGCCTCTAAAATGATACCTATCCGGCGGAGTACTGGCAATGGCAATTGGTATTACAAGGGTTGCAGGCTCAGTCCATTTTCATTACTAAGAAACAAGTGCGAGTGCACAATAATCTCTGGCTGTGTTGCAAGAAGTCTTGCATGAAAGTCTTGCATAAACTCGATCAAAATGATCCCTGCCAGAGCTTAAAAAATGCAACCAAATGGCACATATGGAACACCATAAATTTGATAGATTTTCAGGGACAGACAGGCAGACAGCCCGACCGACCGACCACCAAGTGACATGTAAGAAGCTGCTGTCAGAGCTTACAAAAAGTGAAGTTACTGATTATGTATCAAGTCGAGTTCCATTTTGATTTAGTGAACAATTGAACCTGGCTCAATAGACTGGTCCAAAAGCCCCACCCAGGTCATCACCAAAAGTTCCCTCTCCAATGCCACGTGGCATGTTCCAGCCCAGCACTTGTCATATGTCCGAAAATCACAACTATGACTTGTCAAAATATCGTGGGCTGGGGTTCCAGGGATCTACCTATTTTGACAACTTCAAATCATTCAGTAATAAGCTTTATTTATCTGATAATGTATCTCTGTAAGGATTTTGGAAGACTATACTCCAGGTAACTTAGACCTGGGCATTTATGCACTTAATAATCCTACCTCATTATCTTGGCCAGCGTCATCGTCGTGGTCGCTAGAGGGTGGAGTCTTCTTCTGGAACATCGGCATCTCCTCCCCTTCACCAACCTCGCCATCCTTCTGACAGGGCTCGGCCCATTTGGCGGGGCTTTCCTGAGGGTCAGCTGAGGAAGCTTCTTCCTGAGAAGCAGCCTTATTGAGGTCTTCAGAGCTCTGCTTAGACTCCTCTTGTTTGGGAGCTTCCGGGGATGCTTCACCCTGGCTGGCAGAATCGGCATCTTTCTGGAGACTTCTCAAGCTTGGAGTGCGGGGCAAGGTTGGCTCTGCCCACTTAGCAGCTATGGCTGGACTCTCAGAGGGACCAGGGACCGTGAGTGTGGACTTCCCAGCAGGACGTTCGTTGTCCCCAGTGGAAGCTGCTCCAGCTACGAGGGAAGCATCTGCAACAGCGTTGGAATGCTTGAGGCCAGACCAAGGCCTTTTTGCCTTCTTGCCAGACGTCTTGGAGGAAGAGCTACCAGAGCTGGCAGAGCATCCAGAGCCACTGGAATGCACCGAGACTGCTGACTTGGGCCTCTCTTGGGGTGATGAGCTTGCTGCATTGCTGGTACTAGGCTGGTTCTCGTCATCACTCCCGGCCCCTTTGAACTCACCAGGCCCAACAACAAATATGGCGTCATCTTTGGCTACATTGGAGCTGTTGTCATCATCATCGGCTTCAGATGATATAGTCCATCTGTATGTCAAATAGTAAGCACTCCTAATTAGGGGTCACCTGATCATATTTAAACCATACAAACTGTTAACAAAGGATGAAATTGCCTAATTTCATATTTCGTTTTAAGCTCTGTATCATGTGAAAAGGAGCTAAATGTCACAAAGCTTTCTCTTTTCATATACCAAAAAGCCGATTTCTCCACTTTAACCTCCTAGAGGTGTTAATTATGAGCATCAAGTATTTATTTGTGAACCTACGTTTTGATGTATCGCTTCTTGTACACAAAGAAGACCACAGCAGCAATGATGAACAGGATGAGAAGACTGCAGACAATGCCAAGGACTACCTTAACTCTACAGAAGTGTAAAAAAAATGGAAGTGGTGAATATGAGTCTTAATCACAAATTGCCAATGGTTCATACCGAAGCTCGAAATGATCTCGGAAGCTGCGGCCCAACTGAAGACCTGCTGTAGCCTATAAGTCATGTACATGATGTAAGTCTGTTTTTATAATGCACAACTATGGTCATGACTGTCAATTGAAAAGGATTCCCATTACTTTCTTGAACGGCAGTTGGTGCATGGAGCGTTTTATAGCATGTCGAACACCAAATTTGTGTGCAGTTCAGTGCCAGCCCCCGAGTGATTCCACGACTGCCATAAATTGGTAGCTATGGTAGGTGGAGGCCTGAAGCACATGTTGTTGGAAGGGCCTAACAGACAAGGTGATTGATGGTCAAAAAAGGCATTTCGTGAAGTTTGTTACTAACCAACCAACCTACGGAGAGACATGACAACTTGTACAGCTGCTCAGCTGCAGCTCAAAATATAATGTTTTCTTGAGAAATAAACAGGAAATATTGAATGCTGACCTCCAATGAAGGTCGTCGCACACCGGATCAGTCAACGGACACGCACACGAAAATCCATCGAGGTGATCGTAGCAGACGTATGGGTATTCACAAGGTGTGGACTGACACTCATCGTAATCAGTCTGGCAGATGTCGCCCACCCAGCCGGGCTGACAGGCACAGAAGTAGGACTTAAAACTGCTACTTCTTGCTGGGGAGGTACAGTTAGGGTCTATGGCAGGACCTGTAGTGATGGAAGGGGGGCACACAATATATCGCAAAAACATGACACATCTTATCTATTACAAAAGTTCAATTGGAAAATATCTCATGAAAATATAGTGTGTGCAAGTCTTCCCAGTTCATGTTCACTTTTCATGTGAACATCTTGGTACCATTCATTATCTTCAAGTAAAGTTGAATCCTCGATCCTGATTGGTCAATCCATGGCAACAAGCAGTGCTACATATTACCATGTAGCACGGCCATGGTCCATACCGCACTCCGCGTATTCCGCTGTTCCAAGATGTGAGCGACATTCAAGCTGCATACGCTAAACTGTTGAAAGTCTGTGTAAAGCGTGCTTGTTCCAACTGCACTGCGCGTCAAGTTTGCTTGAAGACAAATTCGTTATCACGCTCGCGCTCGTGGAACACGGAAAATGTAGTATGTCTGTGTCCCACATACCATGAGGCCGAAGTGGGACACAGACGCACTACATTATTCGGTGTTCCACTCGCGCTCGCAGGATAACTTATAATATCTTGGTACCGAATCCTGACTCATCTAGTCAAACAATTTATCCAATTTTAACCTGTGTGATTGATCAAACAAAAGTTTTACCATTTTATTATAGTCACCAATTCAAGAAACTCAACAATCAGCATAAAATAAGATAACTTATAAAGAGAATTAAATTAAGGAGGACAGGAGCATATAAAAAAATACTAAATTAACCAACGCATAATGTCAATAACTCACAAATATAACACTTGTTAAATAATAAATTATTAAATCTGCAATATGGTGGCATGTGCAGAAGCCAAAGGCTTATATTGCCATGCCAGGACAAAACAAACCAAACATGAATGGACAAACAAGAAACAAAGACAAGAACAATTATCTGCAGAGTGTAAATGAAGTGAAGTGTGCCTGCCTATTAAACACGTGTGAAAAGAAGAGGAGAAAAAAAACTGCAGACGGGAGGAGGAAATAAGCACGGTGATGAGGAGAGAATAGCTATGTAATGTAATCAGCACGAATTCCACAGGTGTTTGAGGTCACCCTGCGTGTACCTGCACTACATACACCTTAAAGGGAAGATACAACATTTGCAAACATCAAAAAATAAAACTACCAAATCATTTTGAAATACTGGCCCCAATTGACCATCGCACTTGTTTGCAATCGATTACAAACCTATAAACGGGTACGAGCCAGCTAGACTGGTTCCCTGGCCTTACAATTCCCCAATGTATGTAAACTGCTCTGTTCCTTCTTATATGGAGTCAGGGAACCAGACTACAGGAAAATGATTGTTTTTCTTGGTTTTTATAGCATTTTCGAACCCAAAACCTCAAAAAAGTCAGTGTAACTATTTGCTATATATTTCCAACCCCCCAATTCCATCCATTTCTGAAAATTACAGTAAAAGCAAATGATGTATATTCCCTTTAAGGAAAGACAGACAAAGGGAGAACAACAGATTCTTTGTTGTCCTCAAGCTTTCATCTTTTGTTGAAAATGGTCCTCGATTGTGTGTTTGTGTGCTTAGTCTATGGGAGAGTGTTATACTACAGGGACATAGGAAAACACACTGCCTTGTCCTCGAGAGTTATGTAAAGTACAACTGTGTGCTCGATTGTGTGGTTTTGGTTTACCTTAATGCTTCTGAACCCCAACTCAGTTTTTTAAAATATTCTTCAGGGATCTTAGTGGATGATTCGCTGCTCATGTTGGCTCCTGATGAAAGTTCAGGGGGCCTTGAAAAATACCAGTTTCTTGTACACAAGTCATTTCAAGCCCTTGCCGTTTACATTGGTGTGAAACTTGGCATAAATTTGGCAAGTAAGACCCACCTCTGCAGGTGCCATCATGGATGCATGGGTTGGTCAGCACAGCAATCTGTACCTCCAGTAGCTGAGACGCTGCTGTGGACCGGTCCTCTACTAAGACAAGGAAACTATCCCTGCCGTGGAAGTTGGGGTTGGGAGCATAGGTGTACGTGGATGTTGTCCAACTCATTTCCTCCTGAAAAGAGAAAAATCACAGTAAGATTTAAGGGGCTAGTGGAATACTTTTAAGGGTAATTGGCTCCACTCCTTAAGGAAAATATAAATAAAACTGTTCTTGATTATGTGTGTGCACGTACCCTTTCATGAGGTATCTCAAGTCCACAAGGGATGGTTGGCTCTTCGCTGTCACCATAGGGCTTACTACAGTCCTGCATAGACGGCACTGTCCGTGACTGGCTTGTCACTGTCAGGGTTCCATACGATGGAGGCTGGGTTGTAATGGTCAGGTTATCGTTGATGTCAGGGTCATAGGCTCCAAGCACAAGAGTCAGATCCTTGTAGGCGACGTTGAACCCGGTGTTCTGCTCAACTGTGAGCTGCCGCAAAGACAAAGTGAAATCTCTGTAAATATATTTTGTATCCCAGAAGAATTGCAACAGGCTTGTAATTAAGCTTGTGTGTAGTACTATATATACATGTACACTCGTCCAATACTGGTTTCATGAGAATTTACCCTGATCATATCGATGGAAATTAAGTTTGTGTATTAAATATATTGAGCTTAAATACACTGTGCGTAACCCCAGTGGCGGATATAGGATGGGGGTTGGGGTTGCAACCCCCCTCCCCCCCCCCCCCCGCCCTTTCAGCTGCTGACAAATGTAATGAAACCATAGTAAAATTGGGCCAAAATTAATAAATGGGTTGAAAAAGTTGGACTCAAAGTTCCTAAATTTATTCTCAAATTGCCTTAGAATGCAGAATAAAGCAGAGTAGATTTCAAGATTTTTTGAGGCCCACGCCGAGTGGTTGGTACGTCGTTGGCACACCTTGACTCAAATATATAAAAAAAAAATCCTAGTAGGTGTCAAAAACACAAATACTACTAGAAAGAAAAGACAAATACATTTATGTTAACTGGTTTTTTTTTAATGATAGAAGTGTTTTTGAAGCCTTTTTGCTCTCATCTCAGCCAAGCATCAGTATATCTTCATAATTACTGCATTAGAGAGAGCAAAGAATTTGCTCCAATAGAACGGACACACACCTAAATCATCAAACTTTTATTCCCGTTGAATGTCATTCTGTATGATGTGTTTGTATTTACGATGGTTGAGGTTCATGGTCACGATTACTGTTGTGGTCAGGGGCGTAAATTCTGGGGGGGGGGATGGGGATATATATCTCCCCCCCCCCCACTTTTTGACCAGGGGGGATGGGCTATTGAATCATTCCCCACACTTCTTTATGAGCAAAAAAAATGTGGATTTCAAGGTTTTTTTTCGAACATCCCAACAACTTAAATGTTTTCAATAGCACTGAGATGTGGAGAAACAAAGTACAGAAGCATTTAAAATGTGCCATTTTCAGGTAAGCGCGAGTATACATATTGATATACATATATATCCTGAATCCTGAATAATGCGCCCCTGATATAATTTGTCCAGCTCCCCCCCCCCCCTTTTTTCGAATTTCCACGGCCGGGCAATTTTAGATTTTGGCCACCCCCATCCCCCACCACTCACCAGCACAGATTTACACAACTGGTTTTGGTTATATCGTCACCGTTTTCACGAAGAGCCACATATGTCAAAAATTACAATTTTTCCATTTAGATTTTTTTCAAAATTTCGCATTAAAACAATGTACTTAATCATTTTGACATGTTTCTGTAAGCAAAACATCATTAATTTCTAAGTTACATTAATGTTGCAAGGGGCAGCAATCTCGATAAATGCATTTTGCGTTTTCACAAAGAGCCACATACATTTTGGCCCTTTGAATGCGTACAAAACCCATTGCACGGAAATACATAAAAGTAGGTCAAATGAGATTTGTGTTTTCACGAAGAGCCACATATTTTTGTTACATTTTCAGCTGCGCGCGCGTGCTCACGCGCGCCTATGGAAATACACGTTGAACAGAAAGGGCCAATATCTCGGAAACCTGAATTTGCGTTTTCACTAAGTGCCACATATCTTTACCAATTAATTTTTACTTATTAACTGCTGTATTAAGTCTTATTACCAGGTTCATGTAAAACTTCAGCTCTCGTAGAATCGTGTGATAGTTTCCTTGCTGCACAAAGGTGTTGCAAAGTAGTATTTCTCGAAGTTTTAAAATATTGAAATATGAGAAACTTCTTTTGTGATTATCTCAAAAACACTTTTCTTCAAAATCAACATAATATATATAGTATGTGGCTGTTCGTGAAAATGGTGACGATATATGGATCGGGTTATGGTTTTGGTTATGTTAATGGTAATGGCTAGAGTGACGGTGTGGGTTATGGTTGATTGACTTACCAGCGCACTCCGCCCATTTCCAACAATGCGCCCATTCTGAGCACTGTACAAGGTCGGGTTATCGTTGACCGGCCGGACGTCAATGGAAATGGTGACTGTGGTAGACAGGGGCGTTATCTCTAGTATGGTCTGCACTTCTCTCACTGAGGGAAGGAATTAAAGCAAGTAGACAAGTTTTATTTTGACTATAAATGCCATCACTGGAAAATGGAGAACATTGGGGCAGTTGTGATGAGTATTATAGGCCTGAGAATCCAGTGGCAGTTCATACATTTCTCATAATTTCCCTCACAGTAAACAGATTTGAGTACAGATGGAAAAACTTCATTCTTAACCCCTTGACGCCGGTATTGTTTGGCCAAAGCTGCACTTTGAGTGGAATGTGTACGTGCAGGCATTCAGCCGTTGTCTGTGAATGGATACGCTATGCAGCAGGAAGGCGGCTATAGCAGTCCCCCAGCTTATTGGTTTTCATCGAGCTGCATCTATTATACAAATATTGAATGCTTCGAGTTGTGTAGTAAAACTAACCTCCCGAGGTGATCCATGGACATTATATTTTCCCAAGGCGAAGCCGAGGGAAAATAGAATGCTCCATGGATCACCTCGGGAGGCTAGTTTTACTTCACTGTGAGATAAAGCATTCAATATTTGTTTCATAACACTTCACCCACAGATTCTGCTTGGCTATAGTATTTTAAATGATTTAAATCTGAACACAGTTGAAATAACTTCAATTTCAATACAAAATTGGTGGAAAATGTATTTCTCTCTTCCAAACTCCCCCTTCGCGAAATGTTTGAACCCAACTCTGTGGCGTGCTCTCTTTAGAACAAAACGCACTTTGCGCAACGCGCAAACCAGCATGCATTTGCACACAAATACTGCGCCGTGGAAATAGTACTTTGGTTGCTAATGGTATAGTACTTTGGTTGCTACGGGTATAGTACTTTTGGTCGTGCACTGAAAGATAGCAAAAATAGGAAGTATCATGTGACTCGCTCTTGGCCAATCAAGACACAGAATCTGTGGGTGAGGTGTTAGAAATATACATATTACAATTAAGTGTACGACCCATTCCGGACTGACTGGGTTCACTGTAAGAAAATTTATCTCAGTACGGACAAACTACATAAAACGGAGTTTCTTCATCCAACCACGGGTAACATCCACATGTAGCAAAAAAGTTGCAAAAACACTATGAACAATTTAAAAAAAAAAAAGTGAGAAAAATAAAATGACAGAAGGCATTTGAAAACCTACTGGTTCTGTGATAGAATTTCTGCGAAATACTACATTAATTGTCATAAAAAAAGGAAAACTCCACTCACGCCCACCCAAAGGTTTAGGAAAGTAAGGCGGGCAGCACCCAAAGTTTTATACAATCAAGGTCTACAAAATGTTTATTTACGGCTCACCAGTGATTTGCAGGGTGGTGGTGCCCTGACAATCCAGACACGGCGTGAAGCTCAGTACTCCATCCTGAGTGATATTAGCTTCTCCTTTCAGGTCCACATTCGGAACAAGCTCAAAAACTAGGTCGTCATCCTCGGGATCGCTGGCCAAGAGAGTGTACACCAAAGTACCTGCAGAAACACGCAGAAAAAAGGAGAAATTGTGATGTGATCAAGCTAAATGAGTCGTTTGTCAGGAACTTTTATTTGGAGATACAGGCCAAAATAGGGCCACTTCATCACATCACTTCCTCACATCTCTTGGTATTCCGACTTCCATGCGGTTTTCACAGCAGTAATGCTGAGATTGTGCTCTTTTCAAATCTGTAAAAAAAAAATGACCAGGGTCGATAAACAACTCATATCGCTTGATCGCATCACAATTGACTTCCATTCCAGTGGGGGTCGTAAGGGTGGGGGGAAAGATTAGGGGGTCTAACCCGTCTTTGGGTCCCACTAAAAAAGAGAACAATCATGTAAAAAACACAGCAAAGGTCAGTTAAACCCCCTCTTGGCAGCTAACTCCCCCCCCCCCCCCCCCCCCCCCCCCCTCCGATCCAAACTTGTATCCACCCGCCCTGCATTTAACCAATGTATTAGTATTGGGGGATTATAATTTAATGATATTCTTAATTACGATATTCAGATTTTATCCATAGACTCCCAAAGTTTTCATGCCGTGAATCCTCTTTTCAAAGAACACCCGAGCTGACCGTTTATATTCGGGTTTTTGATCAAATGATCCACAGCCTTTAATCAACCGAGAATATAGCATTGTGCGTATATATAAACCTTCGTCCTCATTCATGAAGAAGTTCTCAGGCAGATCGGTGATTTCCGGCGGGTTATTGGGGATGCCACTGTTAACCTGAGCCAAGGCAAACTGGGTCTCACGGCTGAAGAAGGATGGGTCTGACCCCTGGCGTCGCTTGCGTGTCGCCTCTGAGGATGCTGAGGCTGACGTGGATCTTGTAGAGCAAACCTGGGAACAACACACATTGGTTTGCCATACAAAAGGTGAAATGTCCAAAAAGGGATTGAAATTTAATCCATTAGCACAAGAACTAGCTAAAATTGTATTACATTGTGTTTATCCACTGAAAAATAAACAAAACCTTAAAGGGACACTACGTCCTGAAACGCCCAATTGGGCTACAATACGCGCTTTGAACGAAATGATGTTAATCGGAAAGAACATTTAAAAGTAGGATATAAACATCCACACAACTCTCCTTTAAAAACTAGGCGTTTTTGTGTTATTCTTGTGTTACTCCTGCGAGACGGAATTTCGGGGTCCACTTTTGCGACCCCCAGAAAATCAGGCTGTTCATGCTAGTTGTGATTCCGAGTGTTCGCCTTCTGCGGATGTGCATTGGTGCTGTGTGTAACTATGTGACACACACAACGTGTATCGTACATTGACTGAAAACGACAGGAATAATGTGTGCATACTTTGTCGTGTCCGATGTAAACAACAGTTGTTTTCCCTGTCTTTTCACGGGAATGATAAAACATTAGGTTAGTTTCCTTTCAACCAGATGTTTGACATAGGATAAGTAAACAATCCAAAACATGAAATTTTCAGGGATTTCAGGACTAAGTGCCCCTTTAAGAGTGCTTGGGTGGTGTTGGGAGCTGCAGTGACTAAAGGATCAATATATGGTGGAACAGCTTTTCCACATCTGCTATCTTTGACATCAAAGGAATTACCTCAATGTTGACCTGTGCTCCATCATCAAGGTAAGTTATCTGATCCACATCACTGCATGTCTTGGCTGCATCTCGCCATTCAGAACGATCTACGCCAAAAAATAACAGAAAGACAGAAACATTTGACAAATGTTTTATTCCAACTTGAGCTATGACATGCTTTGTTCATATATTGGCCATTTTGGACATATCAAGGGGAAACACAGACAGATCAAATTAAGTATCCACACTGTTGTCACAAAGGAACAAAGGAAAAGTATTTTGAAAAACTTTTACCCTTGAGCACGTATGTTCGCTCAAGAATGGCTTTGCCCCAGTGGTGGAACCGTACGTGTTTTCTGTAAGTTGTATTCAAAATCTACAAGGTTTCAAGGCATAGGGCCATATAGTGGAATCCGGGGACCAGAATTGGAAGCTTTTACTGCGATGGTGTCATGCTCAAGTGCATGCTGCACGTGTTCTTAAAGACAAGGCGCACGTGCATTTTGGTATTCCTATTGGTCGAAGGAGCCCGAAGTGTGTGTGTACTACCTGAGCACGACTCGCGCCAGCCTTGCACCATCGCAGAAAATGGCTGCCACTGGAATGTCTATACCTACAACAATTACTTGTTACTTCCATACATAATATTTTAACGTGACACTCACTATTTAAATCAAGAGAAAACGCAGATGAGACACTTAACACTCACACTCAATAAAGGGAGAAAAGTATGGAAAAAGTTGGTGGTTACTCTGAGTCTCTTACCAACATCCCAGTAGAGAAGTTTAGCCTTTGTGTCTGTCCAGTTGCCTAACGAGCTGAGAGTGAGACTGATCGCCATGGGTCCATGCAGCTCTGTCTGCCCAAGACTGGTGATGTAGAATGTTGGTTCATAGACGAAACGAACCCTAAAGAATGCAATACAAACAATAAGTCATTAAGTATCAGGCTGGAGTTTTTCTCCAGTTTCATCAGCGTGAAATAACTGAAAGTAATTCTAGTTCCCGGGATGGGAGTCCACCAGTCCATCGTAAGATTCCACTCCTTAGCTAATGCTGATACCCACTTACGATCCTGGGCCGAGAGAGGCAGTAGCGGCAAAGTGGCTTGCCCAAGGACGCAACATATGGCCAGCAGCGGGATTCGAACCCCTGACCCCATGATCATGAGTCAAGAACACTAACCACTAGGCCACACTCCCCCAAATATTTTATTAGAAGCTCACTGTTAATAGACAGGCACACACAAATTTCAACCTTGTACAATTTTGTCTGACTTGTAGTGCTAAATTGCACACACAATTTAGGCTAGCACATGTAAAACTTGATTGGCATGTTTCGAATTTTACAATATTTGATCCAATCAGAGTTTAAACATTCAAGTTAAAAATTATTCCAAAATGTACAACACAATAGTGCCACGTGTTCCTGCACGGAACCAGTACTAAATATTAAGACTTTTTTCCAAAATGTGATAAATTCATTTGGAAAAAGTGAAAAATTTGCAAGAACTTCAAAGAATAACAACAGTACAACAGCTGTTTCTAAACTGCGTTTTTTACTTTATTGTATTCTTCAATATGTTTGATTATATAATAGCCGTTGAAACTGACTTTGGGCAGCCAGGCGGGAGCAAGATACTAAAACAAAACGACATTTATCCCGTTTCGGGAATAAAGTCTTCATTTCAAAATGCATCTGCATGTATAATCTGTGGCAGCCAGACCAACCTGTTTCTGAGAATTCTTGAAGTGAACTGGATGGTGTACAAGGGGTTGGTGATGTAGGGCTTATAATCCAGGGAAGCATCCGATGTGAATTCCTGGTTGGTTCTGTTGACATCCAGCAGACCTAGGATGAGTGAGCCGCCCTGGGGCAGACCTGCAACACACAGAGGTTGGAGTCCAGTCATTAAATATTTAGAATTCTGGTCATTATAAAGGAATGAGGCTTCGCCATCTGTCGCCCGCTTCATGAACGATCAACTCATGAACGTATATACTGAAATTTGTATCCTTGTGGAGTCTTTTCTTAAATTTGTTCTCGTGTACTAAAGTTTTCAAGTTTGAAAGTGTATTTTCAAAATGCTCAATTCTTAACCAGAATTAATTTCCTGGGCTGAAATTCAGACTTAATATCCCTTACATATAATACTTTAATTTGCGACAAATCAACATACCTTGAAAAGTGCTAGTTTTTGAGAAAAATCCATATATCTATTTTGTGATAACCTTGTGGAGACCGATAGAAATTGCCCTGTGGAGACGTATACAATCTTTTGTTCCCTTTTGCGCACATGTCTCCAGAGGGTACTGTGTAACAGATCAACTCACACACATAAGACACACAGACACTTTTAATCTTCCATACCAGCTGTGGACATTCCTTTTTTATTTGCGCAGTGAAGAAAAACCAGAGAAAACTCGTTTTACTCCCACTGTGAACACTCTTTCAACCCAATTTTTTATCATGATTTCCTTGAGTGTTCCTCTTCAAATGGCAACAGATAACCCTAATCCCCAAATGACTCTAAACCTGAGAGGAGGAAACCTTGTGTGGATGTGGGCCAGTCCACAAAACCGTTCATGCTTCCTGCACCCTGTTGACCTATTTTGTTCACAGGTCCACAAAGACAATGCAAGGTTATAGCACATATCTTGATCCGTAATTGTGGGGGACTACAATTACAACTACTGATGAGCGATCGTTCTTATGGGGACCAAAGACGATGTTGGGACAGCAAAAAGTCTCTATAACTTGGTCATAAATTACCTAGCAATAGAAAACTTCCCCATAACAAGGTGCTGGCACATAGTTACTAGGGGTACCATGTTTGGGACAGCAAAAAGTTCCTATAACTTGGTCCTCAATTCCCTAACAATCGAAAACTTCCCCATAACGCGGTGCCGGCACATAGTTATTATGGGGACCAAAGACAATGTTGAGACAGCAAAACATTCCTATAACTTGGTCCTCAATTCCCTAACAATAGAAAACTTCCCCATGACGGGGTGCCGGCACATAATTATTATGGGGACCAAAGACGATGTTGGGACAGCAAAAAGTTCCTATAACTTGGTCCTAAACTCCCTAACAATAGAAAACGTCCCCATAACACGGTGCCGGCACATATAGTTATAGTGGGGACCAAAGACAATGTTGTACCATAGGGTGATGTCATCATCATATCGCTGTCCTCTATCGGGTAAAACAAGACACCTTTTGCACGTTACAGTGCACAATGATGTCTATAGGGGCTGGCAAAGTTATTACGGCAGTTAAGTTTAAAATCACTATGCAGATTCACACATGTATATACGTATAAAAAATTCTAGCAGGATCCTTTACTGACTTACAACTCTCACAATACAGTTGATTAAAAATTACAAATGCACAAATGGCAAGAAATGCCTAAGCCTAAAAGTACCTAATTTTCACCACTTTTCAAAGTTATCTGTCAAATTCTTCCCCTTAGACTTGTTGATATTTGTATGTACATCGTGTCATGATTTGCTATACCTACCTCCCTTCGTAGCCACAGTGAAGTCAAAGTGGTTGCTTATATCCCTCTTTCTCCTCCTCTGACTTGTTGGTGACTTCAGGATGAGGTCTGTACCATTGGGTGATGTCATCATCATATCACTGTCCTCTATCGGGTGAAACAAGAGAAACACCACAAAGTTGTTAATTGAGGTAAAATACACAGAGTCATAAAAGAAAATTGTAAATTGAGGCCTTACGTACTGATGTTTCAAGATGGACAGAATATATGGCAAACACAAGTTAACCTTGTCTGACTACAGTCTGAAGTCTAACAGTTTTAGAGCCACTATGGTTCATCATATTGATCTATACTGGAGTCCGGTGACCACAATTAGAAGCCGTTACTGCGGTGGTGCCACGCTCACGCCCTACTGCACGCGTTCTTAGTGCGCATTTTGGTATTCCTACTGGTCGAAGGAGCCAAGAGTGGGCACCTACTCCCCGCATGAGCCTGGTGCCACCGCAGAAAATGGCTGTCGCCAGATTTGTCTATAGGTTCTCATCCTAGATGTATAATAAGGCTCATCGTGACGATGACGACCACGGCTCTAGACTTCTCTTTAACAGTTTCAGTGTGTCAGGAGATGAATTATCAACCAATCTGGGCACGAAAGTCTCTCCCACAGGACACACATGGGTTTGACCAGAGGTAGAGGTGCTGGCAGAATAGCCTTACGAGAGGCATGCTTGTGCCTCTTGGATTATGTGTCTCTCTGCTGCGCAAGCTCCAGGTGATTCTGCAGCGCCAGTTAGGGTGATCTTATGCATAGGTCTCCCAGGAGGCCATGTCGATGTTGAGGTGTCTCAGGGACACTTTTAGTGAGGGACACCATAGAGCAGATGCACCCCGAGATGATGTACCTAGATGATATACTGACCTAGTATAGTGCTTGTTCCTGCTGGTGTCGTCACACAGAGTTTAGCTGCATTGCACACCCTCATCCAAGAGTGGAGACTCCTGCACATTTGAGAAACAAGAGAAAGATAATTAAAGCTAATGGAATCGTTTCAAAGCTGGCAATTCAATTCTGTACTCAAGGAGTTGGTCCGCTGTGGCACATGGGTTCGAGCCCTGACGGGGAACATGGTGTTCATGTTCTTGGGCAAGACATTTCACTAAAATTGCCTCTCTACCCAGGAGTATAAATGGGTACCTGTGAAGGTAGAGACCAGAATGCGCTGATGTCGAGCTGCTGCAGAAACTGGTCTCATGGCCTGATGAACAGGGGTAATAATTGTAAAGCGCTTTGAGACCTTTGGTATTAAGAGGTATTTAAGCACCACATTATTTTTAAGGCTGCCAGGGTCCATAGTTCACGCGAATGCGAATGCAAACAAATTTGACATCATGAAATATTCGGTGCAAAATTCGTCAAACTTGAAATTTGTTCAACTTTTGTGAATTCACAGAGCAAAAATTTGACGTGACGTCAGAAATTTAGTATGGCAAAATCAAATATATTCACGCATTACCCGTATTCACTTACTTGCCAGGTTCCATGTTGAACTTTGGTGGGATGTCACTAATCTTGGTGGTGTCCTTGGGTATCTGGAAATCATCCAGGTTGTATCTCTCCTCTATGTCCCCGGCTCGGATGATAATCACTCCGTTCTCAATGGCCACAGAGCCAGAGGAGTTGCCTCCAACCACCATGCAGGGAATGATGTCATCTAGGAGGTCAGCTGAGCTACTCACGCAGTACTCTAAGGTTGGTGGGGGAACGGAAGGAGACATCAGACACAGGTAATCAAATGTTTTCAAGGAACTCTAGAAGGGGTTGATCTCATGAACAGCAGATTGGGTTGGGTGACTATCCGGAGATAGAGCTCGCCCAAATAAAAAATTACATTACTGCTAGGAAAATATTCAGTACAGCAACTCATTTTGCACAAAGTCCTACCATAACGAGCCACAGATTTATCCTTGGATTCAGACCAGGAGGTCCCAGTCTTGGTTGGGTCGGCGCTCTTCTCCACATCAGGTGGGTAAACCTCCTCCTCAAACTTCTCGCTGAACATGGAGGTGGTGTTGACGTCATCTCCAGCAGGCTGCTCCAGGAGAACAGTTACACCTGGGAAAAAACGGATATGGAATGTTCAATTGCCCATTGTGGTAAGTATTAAGCTGTGTGTGTGTACGACTGTCAATCTACTGTTCTAAGCCTGCTCAGAAGCATCAGAATCACTGCCATGTTTTCTGTTTGTTTGTCTGTATGTCAGTCTATCTCTACCTACCATCACATTCTACTATGGTTTCCAAGTCTGCTCCATTGATAGCCTTCTCGAGTCGCATAGTATGTAGTGTTGTGATGCAGTAATCCTGTCAGATCACTGTATATGTTGTCTGTCCGTTTGTTTGTCTGTATGTCAGTCAATCTCTACCTACCATCACATTGTACTATGGTTTCCAAGCCTGCTCCATTGATAGCCTTCAGAGTCACATAGTATGTAGTGTTGTGATGCAGTAACCCCGTCAGATCAATGCTAGTAGCTGTCTGGTTCAATCCAACGTTGACAAAGTCTTGCAGGTCTGTGGCCCCTCTGGAGGTTCCTATGGCCCAGTAATGCTCCTGAAAGTCAATTATTTCAGCTTTGGTTAGTACTAACTCTTTGAGCCCGTTTGTTTCACGCACATCCAGATAGCGATCAGTGATCTGACGCACTGATTGCTGCTCAGCATCCTGTGACAAGCGTACATGGCACAGGTATGCCATTTGTATGCCATTTGGTAATGAATTCGCGGCTATTTTACATGAAAATAACCCCTACTGCCTAACTTCCAATGCACGTGGTTTCTTAACCAGTTCACGTCGGAATTCTTTTGACTAGAATGGAACGAGGCACGGGATTACTTTTCACTCGACCTCAAGCCAGGCCGGTTGAAGCCATCACCCTCGGGTAGCACACTAGTATTTCTGGCCTCACTCGCTGCGAGCGGGTCGCTTACAGATATTTCCGGCCTCGCTCCCTGCGTGTTTATCCGTGTAATATGTTCCGAATACTGCAAAGCTTTTGCGTGTATACACGGCCTCCAGTGCTAACTGGTTAACCCAACACTATGCATGGTGGCCAATAACAAGGAAACCGCATGGTACTTTGACATCATACGATTGGACCCTATTGAATGCTACATCAAGATGCCACTAAACTTAGGACATAATGTTCAACAAAGAATGAAAGTTGTCACCTTTACGCCACTCTCCATGTCCAGGAAGCTCCACAAGACTTTAATGGTGGAGGCCGAGGACTGGAAAGATGTGGGCTCAAACTCATTGAAGTTGGAGTCGGTGTAGAAAAATAGGTTCAGCTGTGCTGGGCTGTCATCGATGTAGAAACCATTGGAGGAGGTTATCACTGATCTGCCATTTCCCAAGTAGGATTGGACTGTCAAATCAAGAAGACAAATATGAATCCTGTACGAAAATTCTACAACATAATACTAGGCCTACTGCTAATAATTGATTAAGGGGGTACGTTTCCTGTAAGCCATTATAAGGTGTCAGATAGAAGTTATAGCCCGTGATTCAGCCACGGTGAAACCAGGCGTGATTCAGCACCATGATTCAGCCCGAAATTTGGTGGACGGGTACCGCGAAGCACGCGGTTATTTTTCCCACTGGTGCAGAAAGGAGCCCTGCTGATTTCTTTACCCTTCGCACACGGGACGAAAACAATTTTTAAAGATTTTATTCTTTGCCACCCCCAAAAAACACACTTGGGCCAGAATAATGCCTATGATGATTTTAGGGCCGGGCTTTTCTAAATAAAAAAGCGACAAATCCTGGAGAAATTGAGAGAAAATGAACCGAATATTTGGATACCTGTACAATTTCAATGGACCGCTTTCGCTTCTTGCCGCCGGCCCCATTGATGTGCATGCGTGCAAAATTATTAATTTATTAGTAAAAGGTCCATGACCAAGTATCACTGAAACTAAATAGGTCTTGTTGCTTTGATTTATTAGCAATGAGCTCACCTGTCATGAAGAATGGAAACTCTTGTCCCTCTTCCCTAGGAGCAGGTGTAGTTGCATTGGTGTTGTTATCAGAGCTGGTCCAATTCAGGAGTTCCAGCCTGGGCAGATTGAGGTTGGTGAGTGTGAACGTGATGGGTGCAGCGTCCACGGAACATGAGGGATCACACTGATAGCGATCACAGGGATTGATGCAGGGAACACATGGCCTCGCAACCTGTACAATACAGGCACAGAGAGAGAGACGGAACTTAACAATTGGAAATTTGGAAAGATGCATCTTCTGGCTTGTGATTTTTTTTAAACACACCATTCAAAAATGAAGAAAGCCAAATGACCAGAATTACCTCTTCAAATGCTACGATATCTGTGGCCCCTGCTGCAGAGCCAACACCAGCAAAGTAGCGTGAGACAGGACTGGTTCCAGCCCTGAATGGTGCCCCGTAACGACACAGCTTGCTCTGATCAGGCGGCATCCTATATCAGAGGAAAAGGACAGAGTATTATTCCAAACCAAATGAAATAACAATGTTTAAGGTGCAGCGGCGGCAGAACGGGTTTGAAACTGGGGGGGCATCACCAAAAAGGGGCACTTGCAAATCCGTGCTGAAATGTCGACACGTTTTTTTCACCGGACACTTGGCCTCTGTAAAATCAAAAAGTGGGGGGGGGGGGGGGGGGGGGGGGGGTTAGGGGCTATGTTCCCATTTTCAGGCCGTATATTGTATGGGTTTTAGGACTTGGTTTTCATATTCCTCATTTATATCACAAATATCTATATCATTTTTTGAGATATGGTTACTACAAAGAAATAGTAAGATACTTTAAGGGCATTGTTGTTGTATCTTGAGGGGCCACTTTACTGTTCGAGGGGGCACATTTATGGCCACAAAAGGGGCACTTGGGAAAATCTGGGGGGGGCAAATGCCCCCCCCCCCCCCCCCCCCCCCCCGGGTTCAGCCGCCCCTGTTATGGTGCACCATAAAGGTATTATTTAGTGGAGTGCCATGGCCTCGTGGTCTGGGATTATTTACTGGTATAGCCATGGCCTCGTGGTCTGGAGTACTGAATTTATGGTCTGCGGGTAATTCTGTAGGCTGTGGTTCGAGTCCAGCCTCGGGTTATGGTGCATGTGCCCTTGGGCAAGGCACTTAGTCACTCATTGCTTCTCCTCACCCAGGAGTAAATGGGTACTTGTGAGGGCAGAGACAGTTAATGTGGTTGATTTTAGCCGCTTTGCGCCGAAATGGCAGCATTGAGCTGTATACTCCCCAGGGAGCTCAAATTGTCTTTAGAATGTTTCATTGGCCCAGTGAGCAGGGTTATATATGTAGCGCCTTGAGCACGAATATTGATGGATACATGCACTTTAGAAATACAATTATTGCTATTATTTAGCGACCAACACAATACTTTGCCACCCCACAAATGACTTTTCTGTTCATTCGTGGTGCACAAATGAACAGATAGTCACTACTTGCTGCAACAAACAAATTGTAAGACACAATATGAAGACGAAACACCATTAGACAGACCTCAAATTTCGGAGTGTTGCCGAGACAGACGGAGGATTGAAGGGGTCCAGTAGCTCAGGGACGTAGCTGTCTCGATTGAAGACATGAAGGATGAGCTTAGTGGATGAGGACAGGACTGGTATGCCAGTCACTGAGGACAGCAGCTTACCATCGATGTACACTTCAAAGGACCACTCATCCTGTAACAAGGAGAAGTCACCATGAAAAGTACAAGGGAAAGAAGTCCAGCAGCAGATTTCGCGAAAATTTACGCAATGGCGTAAGTCCCCTTGCGCCACAATTTATCGTGTATTAAAGTTGTGCGACATTTTATGCTGAGCAACATTTCAGTTATGACAATTTCACCAAAGTTTTATAGTGCGTAAGGCTGCGACTTGCGCAACAAATTATGGCGTAACTTGCGCAATCATTTTAGGTGGCATAAGTTAATGGAGTAGCAACTTAAAATGACCTATTTTATCAGCAAATTGTGATCAACTTGGAGCCTGTCATTGCACAACTTATCAAGGTTGATAAAAGACACTTACAGCTTTGTGTTTGAGGTAAATGGATTGCTATTGTACTGGTGACAGAATTTTTAGAGTTGCCGCACAATTCCAAAGAAAGTCGGACAAATCTAGTTAAAAAAAGATGGGCCGAGGCAATCTAACAACTGTTTCATGAATGAACGAAATCATACCCAAATAGCTGTCGTTAATGCTGTTATTATCCTCGTCCAAGATGTTTTCGATTATTGAAAACGTTAGACAGCTACGCCAAGTTTCGAGAAATCGATGGTAAGTTTATTGCACGGCTTCACATTGTTTCGTGAAATTGGCTGCAGAACTTACAAGGGAAAGGCGCCTGCAATTTCTCTTACTCCTTATATGAGCTCGTACATTGTTTAAACCCACCAATTTTAACCGCATTCCTAGTTGAAATTCAGCAGTGTCTCCTGATGACAACACAGAACATTCTGTTTTAATCATAAAGTTACAGGCTTACAGGATCATTTGCTTAATAATAATTAACCGTTCTGATAAAGCGCATTTTACACGGGGTCCCAATGTGCAGAACAATTAACAAAGAAAACACAAACATTATATATAATTTGCAGTGAACAGATGGGTTTTAATATTAGCTTTGAAAGTGTCCAGGATTGGGGCATCCTTGATGTGATTGGGTAGTTTGTTCCAGAGGGTGGGGGCTGCAAATGAATTTTGCTCATCTGTTCTAATAATATCACCACTCAAAATCCAAAATACAATATTCAAAACCTAACCTGTTGAAGTTTCAGCTCAGTGGATATTACGCTTTCCGAGAAAACAGTGAAAAGCCATGCACAATGTTTGGATCACGAAACAGGATTTCATCTATGACACTCGTTATTTCCAAAAATCAGTCAATCGAATGATTGTTGGAAATCACATACATTTCTTGATTTATTCTAAATAACAGCAAACTAGACAGAATAATTTCACGGGTGTTTAGTACCAGTACAATCTTTGGATTAAATCCAAGTAAGATTTTTGATAATAATTCAGTATGTTACTTTTGAGGTAAATGCAAATGATCCTATGTGCCTTAAATCTGGTTCAATACACAATCACAAATAGCACACAAACAAATAATAATTACAGCAATAATGGTGACAAAAATAACTCCAATTAAGGCCAAAAAAAAAAGTCTCCGGTTTCTGGTATGGAGCTTGCCCAAAAAGTGGTGCGGCGACGCGGCTTTTTTTTTTTTTTTACCTGACTTTTTTGCTTCAAATGTCGGCCGATGACTGTAAATGGTGCCCGACTAAACTTAGTGCAAAATGTACGGGAGTCCAGAGAGTCCACATAAAGCTTATTCTCGATCATACCCCCATCTAAAAACATGTTTAAACTGTGCTGCAGCAGAATTCCAGTCAAACCAGTGAGTTTGGCGGTTTTGAGACATCATCTTTTATTGAAAAAAAATTTTCATTTTGCCGACGCGCATGGCTACGGCGGCTCGCGCGCATACCAGAAACCGGAGACTTTTTTTTGGCCTAACAGACTATTTTGACCTACCTCATCAGCATCAAATGGCATGACCTTAAAACTAATGGAGTAATGACGCTCCTCCACTGACGGGTCGAAGTCTAGATCTACAACACTGGATGACATCGGCCACTCATCCTTGAAGTAACGGCACCACAAGACTGCTTGTGATGCGTCGCCATCTGGCAAGAGACAGTAGAAAATTACTGAATTGTACCTTGATGTAAACTGACAAAATGACAAACTTTAATAGCCGCTCCCAGACTTTCTGAGTTGATTTTGTAAACACAAGTAGTTAAAGGCTTTCTCACTGTTTGTAATTTTTACGTTTGGTGAAAATAATAATTATAATGGAGTCTTATATAATAATAATAATACCGGAGTCTTATATAGCGCACGTATCTACCAACAATTAGGTACTCAAGGTGCTGGAAATTATGTCAATTATTAAAGAACGGTAAATAAAGTTTATGAGAAGTATGAGACCCATTATGTAGCACCTTATAATGGTTTACAAGGTGCTGCGGCGCACATTGCAGCCACTGCCAGAAACACCGGGACAGACCCCTTCTCTTAGCGATAAGTGTTACTGGGTTCTTTAACGTGCATTACACAACACACGGGACCTACGGCTTTACGTCCCATCCGAAGGACGAAGCAATAATGGTAAAGTGCCTTGCTCAAGAGCACAAGCACCATGTTCCCACGGTCAGAATTCGAACCCATGCACCACGGCACACGAGTCGAACACCGTTTGGTGAAAGGTGATTGGTTTCTATAGTGGATCCGGTGTTGTAGACTGGTTCCCTACCTTGCTATTATCATTCTTACAACTGTCTTTATAGCGGCGTGGTGAGGACCAGTTTACCACAACAACCAATGCTATTTTATTTCATAAAATGAGCATTTTTGACATCTGAATCCTATTGAGAAGCATTCTTGGTAAGAAAAATGGACAATACGAATGCATTTTCTAATGAATTCAGAAATATACAGAATAATTGTACATCAAATTCAGGAGCCAAAGGGGATGTTCATTATGTTCAAATTTTCATTATAGCGGTTTTCCTTATAGCGGTGTTCTGCTGTATCCACATTGGTGGCATGGGTGGCGTAAAGCGTTCGCCTCTCACTGACATGGTCCGGGTTCAATTCCCGGCTTGGGTCATATGTGAGTAGAGTTGTTCACTGATTCTCTCCTGTGCCACGAGGGTTTTCTGCGGGTTCTCTGGTTTTCCTTCCTCCTCAGATTCAACAATTCAATCTGGCTGTGCTCTGTGGTAAGACATGAGTTGTATGGCAGCTTCCTAAGGAGACTTTACATGCCTTCGGTTTGACCACATTGTAGCAACTGCATCCTTCGTTATCCAGCTTCTGCTGCGAGTAAAGACGATTAACCCCCAAATTTATTTATTTGTTTATTAACAATACAATCAACGTACTGGGATAGAGTTGGAAGCCGCACGCTCTCTGTAGAATCCCTCTCCCCTTGTCCTCATCCAAGACACTGTCTCCGTTTTGGTCGGCTTTCTCGATAGACCAGGGTCTTGGAGCCTCTGTCATGATCAGTGGCTGGGCAGCTTCGGTTGTGGCTTGGGCCTTGAAGGTCGGAACGGCATAGGTTGTGTTATCGTCCTCATTGATGCCAAGGAAGTCAAGACAATTGCACAGTGGGCAGGCAGACTGTGGAAAGAAATGAAGTTGATAAGAAAAAAAAACAGAATTGTTTATCCAGTGCGAGTTATATTTTCTTATATTTTTACTTCAAAATCAGATATGGGCTAAACAGGCCAATCAGTTTCTATCAAACTCTAATCTTCCTCTCAAAAAAGGAAAGGGAAAATCAGAAATGAATCAGATTATTTCCAATTTCAGATGGATATCTCTCAGATCTTCTTTCGAACCTTACAGGCCTATTTTCCCCTGATAACAGAAAAACAAGAATTGAATTCAAATTGTTTCAAACTTAGATTGAGATCTCAGAGCTTCACTTCTTTCAAACCCAAATTCTCCCCTGATAACAGAAAACGGACTTGAATGAAATTGTTTCGAATTTTAAAGATAGGCCATCAGCCTGGGGGTTTGGTTAGTATCAAATCAGGGCATAAATGATTATAGTGTGCATGCGCAAGGTATACCGCCCCTAGATGTGGTAACAACCATTTTGATGGACATTTTGAAAAAAAGGGTGATAACACCCAAAAAGCTGCCACCGCTGCAGTGCTATCACATATTTTCCAACTCTGGAGGTGTGTACCTTGCCAAAGATCACTATGACGATTATCCCCCTCATTCGATACCGGTGGCCAAAATTTTGGACCGAGGCTGATGGCCTAAGAGGTATCTTAGAGCTATAGCCTACTTTCACTAAGAAACCACCCGGACCACAAAGAGAAATTTAATTTCTTACAACATTCCAAATGCTGGTCAAAGTAGTTCTCTTGATTAATTCTTTTTATCATGGGATCAACCGTGTAAAAACAAGCGAATAATAAAAATTAAAAACTGACCAAAAGTTGTCTGGCCTATTGTATTGTACTTACCTGGTTGAGAGGCTTGACATAGCAGCACTGACATATCCCTTCTTGCCAGTTCTCCCGTCCACCAAAGTCATATTCCCCGATGACCCCATCCGGGCCATCCCAGAATAGAATGCTGGTCACACTCTGCAGGTCAGGAGAGGCAGCTTTCAGGTCAAACTGCAAAGAAATTGAGGCAGCAAAATATAATAAGAGTTTATTTTCAAAAATGCGATACCCATTGGAGTCTTAACATGTTTCTAAAACTACATTTTATGCTTTAACTATGTGTTTTACTGCTATTCATAAATAGCTAAGACAGCTAACCCATTCCCACTGGTCGAGAGCCCGTCACATGGCCAGTCTTAAGCGGTTGATAAAATACCGGCTGGCTGGTCTTGAATATTTTTCCAGTGTCACAAGAAATTTGGACTCCTATGAAATCCAGTCCCTTTTCACCCTTTTATTGGTTGAACGTTCACAAATCCTCGGTTAGGCATATGCAATGCTACCAATGAGTCCATATTTGATAGTCCTAATTCACTCTACACCGACACAGCTACGTTCTGTCCACATCGTGCAGTACGCGGAACGTGCACGCCACTCTCCATATAAGGAGTTGTTTACGACAACTCACGAAAGGCAAATACCATAACTTAGCCAGCGCGGGGTTTCAAAAAACATGAAGCAAAATTGTTGAACAAAATCAAAATTTATTATTTTTGACTTGTTTTGACTGTTTGACCGGAAAGGCATTCATGAATGGGAATAAATATATGCTAGGCGGGTATTAAACACTATGCTTAAGACCAGTTGGGAGTATTAGTGTTTAAATCCGGCCAAGCACAAATTCACTCCTTATTATTACCGTTAAAACTGACTTTAAACGACTGGGAGAGGGCTGGATTCTAAATGGTAACAAACCCACGTTTATCGCACTTTCAAAACAAACTCATCAAGTATAAACAGCTACCGCATCACCCACAATAACAACAATAACTTTTAGTTAAAACGTAATTCACCAGCTACTAATAGGTGACTCTGAAACAAATACACTTAAAATTCAGCAAAGTGCTGGAGAGAAATCATCAGACAGAAAAAAAAACCCTGGAAAACTGGATCGAATAACTGGATGAAAGTCAATGAATAGATATTGCTGCTAAATAAACTGGTTCAACGGATATTGCTTGACAGAAATTATTGGGTGGAAATATGGCCCGAGAGAAATCACTTGACATAAATCACTGGACATTTTTAACCAGATTGAAATCACTGGTAAGAAAAACCCCCAAACTATGGTGTTTGGTTGTCCACGAGGGGACTACTTACCTGTTGGACCTATAAATGCATATTTCCTTAGCTACGTAAATTAACCGCTAAAGTAAAGATTTTGCTATAGCGTGCCACAGCGCCCTCCTGCGTCAGCGCCCACAATAGTCAGAGCCCCTGCCATTATCGTCCTCTTTTTCTTTAGCGCTCGTGACGGTAGGACGTGTTTTTCAATGCTCGCAGTAGCATGCACGATTTACTGGATTTAATCTTTACTTTACTTTAGCGGTTAATTTACGGAAATATGCATTTATAGGTCCAACATGTAAGCAGGGAACGAAGTGGTCTAACTGAATAGGAATAACTAGTTATAAATCCCTAAACAGACCTCACTAGATTTAAGTCAATGGATAGAACTCCGTGGGTAAAAATCATGCTTTTGTCATAACTGGATAGAAATTTCTACACACAATAGAAGTTACTGGATATCTCTCTTTGTTAATTTAAAAAAAAAGTTTATCGAGTGAGTGGAGGACTGACCTCATATTCTGAGCTCCTGACAATCTGTGCATTGGTGACGTATGCTCCAGACAGCATACGAGGCCCTCGTGTGTCCCGCTCCATCTTCACTGTCAAACTCTCATTGGATGCAAACACCTAGAGAATCAAATATACACAAAAGAAAACAAAAATTGAAACCAGTGATTGAAACTTGCGACTTAAGCACCAAAATGTTTAAAAGAAATTGATAATGTTTCACCAAATCACAATTCAAACCAAATCATTAAATGAATCACAAGTCATGAGCCAATGTGGCCCATCGTGCCAGTGTTTATCTCCAATTTCCTTTGCCTGAAATGACTGCATGACAATATTTCTATCCCCCCTGGATGGGATGCCAGTCAATTGCAGGTTTCTCCCCAGCTAATACCGGTACCCTTTTATACTCCTGGTGGTTAGAGGCAAGTGGGGGTAAAGTGACTTGCCTAGGTACATGGTGACTGGCAACTAGGCTCGAACCCCTGACCCTCTGATCATAAGTCACAAACCCTAACCACTAGGCCATGGCTCCCACTCTTTGTGGAAGCAGATGTGGTGAGAAAAATTTCCAGACAAATGTTGTCAGCCAACCTGTTGTGAGTATAGTGGGGAAGTGTGGCCAAGTGGTAAGTGTTTGTGACTCATGATCAGAGGGTCGGGGGTTCAAATTCAGCTGCTGGTCGCATGTTGTGTCCTTAGGCAAGCCACTTCACCCCACTTGCCCCTCTCCGCCCAGGAGGATAAATGGGCACTGACCTTAGCGAGTAATCTGTGATGGACTGGCATTCCATCCAGGAGGGAATAGATATATTCTCAGTTATTTCATGCCACTGAAACCGGAGATAAACGCTGGCCTGATGGGTCATATTGGCATGCGACACACTTGACTTGACTTTACCTGTTGTGACTGGTACTCCAGTTCCCAGTTCTCCCTGTCCATGTTCCAGAGTCCCTTGAAGTCCATCGCTGACCACTGTGGGTCAGTGAAGGGAATGTCTCTCAGTGGACAGGGTGGGCCCACTGGGTTGGGCAAGTGTAGGATTGTGCCTGCAAAGTCAAGTCAAAATGGTAAATTATAGATTTTAAGTTACTAAAAATTAACTTCTGCATCATGAACCTTGTAGACACTGTGCACAAGAAGCAACCTCAATGGTGGCCAAAGAGTGATGCTATGCATCCATTGTGTAACAGTAAGCAAAGACGGTACATTTATGCATTTACAGATGTTGTGTTCATTGTGATATTGGCTGTACTTTGCGCCAAACTGATGTGATCTGGTAACTTAGGGATTATGGGGTAGAACTACAAGGAAGAAAGACCAACAATTGGGACGTCCACGGTCAGTCCGTACATAGACATTTCTGTACCCACGATGCGAAATGTCATGGAAACTTGCAATTTCAACAGAAATGGATGAGAAAAAAGTAAATGCATACACTAGTGGTGTTACAAAAACCCCAAAGCATCAAGTTGGAGTGAATGGGCACCTTATTTCCTGCATATTAGAAACTCGAGAAAATTAATCACATACAGCACAATCTACACTTTTGTGCAAGCAGTCCATTACTCTAACTGAAGCGTTTATTTCCAAAATGTGATAAATTCATTGGAAAAAAAGTGAAAAAGTTGCACGGTTATGAAAACTTACCGAACATACACAGTATTAACAATTGTTTCAAAACTTCATTTTTTGCTTGATTGTATTCTCAAACTGTGTGTAACTATATAAAAGCTGCCAAAATAGACTTTGGGCAACTGGGAAAGAGCAGGATTCTAAAAGGTAACAAAATGGCATTTAATACGTTTTGGAAAACAAACTCTTCGACTGTTACTGTGTTTTGTAAAAATTTCAAATTACCAGCAACTTGGGTTCTGTCTCCGCTGTCAGTGATGTCCATCTTGAAGTCCATTCCATCAACCACCAGTCCTGCAGTCGGCTCAGACGAGTCAACAAAGATGGGTCCCACTTGGGTCTGGATACTATCTCCTGCCTGGTTGACGGCTAACAACTGGACAAAGTAAGGGTGGTTCATCTGGAAAACAAACAAAGAGTGGATAGGCTGAATTAAATAGTGTCAAAATAATGTATATCCATGAATAAATTATATCTTAAAAAAACTAATAGCGATTCTAGTTCTAATCTATTCCGATGTTTTTTAATTGTAAACTCACAAAGTCATAACAAATCGTCACCGTTTTCACAAACTGACATGCACACGATGGGTGCTGTCTAGTCGTGAAAACCCCATAATCAATAATTTCGGTTTCACGAACCGACATGCAGGCGTGCGCATGCACTTCGTACACTGACAAGTAATGATTTTGGTTTTCACGAACCGAACCGCACGCCTGTGGCGGAAATACAATTCAGACAAAAAAAACACTATGAAAGGTTGGACACAAATTTACTTCATCACAACAGAGTGTGTAAGTTGACCTCAAAAACCTGCAAGATTTTATGAGAATACAGCACATCCGGGCACCATGTATAGGATCTACAACGTGTGCAACGTCCTATATTTTGCATTATGTCCTGACTGGGCCCATTCAAACAAGGGCAATAAATGAGCATTTCAATTTTCAACAATAAAAGGGCGTTTCAATTTACACCATATTGAAAATTGTGTTAATTGATGACTTTTATCAAAGTAACATTGCTGACCTCAACTTTCTTTAACCAATCACATAGACAACAACTGGGTAAATTCAAACACGGGGTCTGTGACTAGACGTCAGTCAGTATTAACTGGACTATAATCAGTAACTGGTACGCAAGACTTCCATGCATTCTCTATTTATCGTCCCTCCATATAAAAGCAAGTTTTACCTCTAAGTTCAGGTCCACAAATGTGAAATCTCTAATATCCGGGCCGAGTACCAGCCAGTCTTGGCCAGGTACCGGTGGCAGGTTGTTGTCGTCTTCGACATCACATGACTCAGCTTGCACGAGACGTATGTTGAATGATTTGATTCCACTTTCATCATCCCTGTAATTCTCCCATACCAATGGGATTGACTCGATGCTGTCCGTGTATGTCACAGGCTGCAAGGAGTAAAAAGAAATGGAGGAGTTACAATGCTCTGATGAGTGTACAATGTGAGTAGAAGACTGGTCCAGCACACAGCCATACCAATGGGATTGACTCGATGCTGTCCGTGTATGTCACAGGCTGCAGGGGGTGAAAGAAATGGAGCAGTTACAATGCTCTGATGAGTGTACAATGTGAGTGGAAGACTGGTCCAGCACACAGCCATACCAATGGGATTGACTCGATGCTGTCCGTGTATGTCACAGGCTGCAGGGGGTGAAAGAAATGGAGCAGTTACAATGCTCTGATGAGTGTACAATGTGAGTGGAAGACTGGACCAGCACACAGCCATACCAGTGGGACTGACTCGATGCTGTCTGTGTATGTCACAGGCTGCAGGGGGTGAAAGAAATGGAGCAGTTACAATGCTCTGATGAGTGTACAATGTGAGTGGAAGACTGGTCCAGCACACAGCCATACCAATGGGATTGACTCGATGCTGTCCGTGTATGTCACAGGCTGCAGGGGGTGAAAGAAATGGAGCAGTTACAATGCTCTGATGAGTGTACAATGTGAGTGGAAGACTGGTCCAGCACACAGCCATACCAATGGGATTGACTCGATGCTGTCCGTGTATGTCACAGGCTGCAGGGGGTGAAAGAAATGGAGCAGTTACAATGCTCTGATGAGTGTACAATGTGAGTGGAAGACTGGACCAGCACAGAGCCATACCAATGGGATGGACTCAATGAATAGACTTAACATTGTTCCAGCAAGCACTTACCATGCCATAGAACGGTCCAGCACGCAGTCGACCCTCAATGGGTGGAGTGATATCCACAGAGAAGTGACTGGTAGAGGAGTTACACTGACCTGCTTCATTCATCCCTGAAAGTAGAAAAATTGGTAATAACATCTCAAACAGGTTTCTGTTTTGGAAACCGAACCAGCCAGAGTTTTAAAATTATGATACAACTTTTTTGTTGCAATGAATATGTGATGCGATCAAGCTACATGAGTCGTTTGCCGACCCTGGCCAATTTTTTTTTTTTATAGATTTGAAGAGAGCACAATCTCAGCATTATTACTACTGTGAAAACCCCATGCTGGTACCATCTTTAATTCAAAAATTATGGAAGTCGGAACACCAAGAAATGTGATGAAGTGATGTGATGAAGTGATGTGATGAAGTGGTCCAATTTTGGCCTGAAGCTCCAAATGAAAATTCCCAACAAACGACTCATTTAGCCTGATCGCATCACATACGTCAAAGTATGTCCAGCGATTGAAATATACCTTTGAGATTTGAGATGGTTTTTTGCAATAAGACTGTTCATCACTCACCCACAACAGTGACATAGTAGGACCCTTTCTGCGTCAGATTCAGGCCTTTGACCTCCACAAAGGTGTCCTTGCCCACAAAATACATGGGCTTCTCACTGAAGGTAGCCTGGGACTGCGCCGTCCCCAACAGCATATCCAGGCAGTCCATGTCTTCAGGCGGGATGGAGGCAGGGGAGGGTTTGCCCAGGCCGACGTAATAGAGCAGGATGGGGAAGGTGGACTCAAATTTGCCCCAGTTGAGTTGCACCGCAGACAGGGAATTCACAAAGTCTGGAATGTCAACCTCAGTTACTAGGACAAAAAGCAACAAAATAGGACATGGAGTTGCATGGTCATGCCAATATAAACACAGTCAATTCCAAAACAAACAATACATTAGGTTGAAATCAATCTGTAGACATTTCTGAACTTGAAACATCAGCTCATTTGGGTATTGGCTACCAAATAAACATGCATAAAGTTAGCAGCAAACAAGGTCACTGGAAACATTGCATCTACACTGGGCAATAGAAATATTGGAGTCTTGCTAAACAATCTGGAAAGTACAGCTAGGAGATTGCCCATATGAAGCACAAAATATTCTTCTTGCAGAGGCAGCTCGATAGTGGATTATAACAACAGGACGTATCGTTACCGACACCATGAACTGACACTCGGTGGTGCGTGAGTGCGCGGCACATGTGCGTACTTTACAGAACTGCGTAATTTTGGTTTTCACGAACTGACACCCCAGTACTACATGCACCCATCCGTACATTTTCATTTTCACAAACTGACACCCATCATAATTTCACCAGTTAAAAGGTTTTTAATTATATGTTTCTGTAACACCACAAGTATACGGATAGAGAAAAAATTTGTGTCAAACCTTTCAATTTAAGCATTTTTTTCCAAATTGTATTTCTGCCACATGCTTGCGTTTCAGTTCGTGAACACCAAAGTTTTCTATTACGTGTCAGTGTACGCGCACACCCGCGTGTCAGTATGTGAAACCGAAATTATTAATTACGCGGTTTTCACGAACTGAAACCACACAGCGTGTACGTGTCATGATCAGTTCGTGTAAACGGTGACGATATGTACTACATGTGCACAAGAATCTCCTCAATGATGACGAAAAGAAAGTCGAGCAGAGTCTCAAACACTAACCACTGTATGTATTGCACTGACATGAAGACACTCTGTATTTGTCCACATTTAGAATAAAATAAAAGTCATATGTACATGCATGTAAACCAGTGCAGTGGTTCCTGCATAACCACTCTCAGGAGTGGTTCACAAAGTGTGTACTGTACTGTACATGCACAACTTAAGGTCCTTTGCAGAAATTCAATTATTTTTGTAAACTGATTCCGATCCTTCAAGTAGAGATTTCCTGGTATGCAATTTCATGTTGATATTGAAAAGTAAGATATGGAATGAGTAGATACTTACCAACGACCTTGCTGTCCACACCAACGTTGATCCCAGTTGATGTCACCTCTGCCGTGGAGAAACTAGCGCTGTGTCCCCTGACCGTCACGTAGTACGTAGAGTCTAGGGCGGTGAGGTCAAGATTGGTGAAGGTGACCGTTGTGTTCTGACCGACGTTGGTGAAGGGCACCACGTTGTCTCTGGTCTTGGGGTAGCGGCGGTCGGTACCAACGGCTGCCTCATAGTAATCCACAGTTTGCTGGGTGGTTTGGTCTTTGGTAACTTCATCATTGCCTTATGTTTGGAAGAAACAGGTATACAAATAATGTGCGACCTCAAGTCCAAGCTTAGATTTGCATCCAAATTAGAATGCACTTTCATTGAATACAAAATGGGTTTGAATTGTAGTCATCATGGCTTAGTTAGATTCAGACATGATAACGATATGCTTAAGACTTAGATTTGGAACCAGACAACAAGATTCAACTTCAGCTCAATAATTTAGATTTATATTTTACAAACAGTAACAAAAAGCAAAAGCTCTGGACCCAATTTCATGGCTCTGATTATTGTCGGCAAAGAATTTTTATTAATTAATGTTTTTAAACAAATGTGCTGAATACAGCAATCATATTTTACAGCTTTTTAAGGAAATTTCAGCATGTTTGCAACTGTGTAGGCATACATGCAATAACCAAGGATCTGTGCTTACAGGGTAAGAGAACAATTTCTGCACAAGCCCTGTGAACAGAGAATGGTGCTCAAAATTCCATGGTTATCAGAAATTGGGTTTTGCAAGTTGTGTTAGCATGGCTATCCCGTTTTTAACCGACCCTGACAAGCTCGGTGGTCGAGTGGTAAGATGCCTGCATTGGCAAGCAGGAGGTCGTGCATTCGAGTCCCACCTAAGTGAACTTGTTTATTTCTTCTTGAAAAGCTGGGACAACACTGAGTAAAGAGTGTCTATAAAAATACACCAGTGAAGAAAAAAAATACTGAATCACTGTTCATGAAATGCAGCACATCACTGATTTCATTTTATGGAAGACAAAAACAATAAGCCTGGCCAACAAACCTGTATGCTCCACGGATTCCTTGGGTTGTGTCCCTTCTCCAAAGCCCTTCCAGCTTGCGGATATGCTATCAGTCTCCTTCTGGTAAGTCAGATCGAAGCCCACTAGGAGGCCATCATAGACCTGGCCAGGTATCAAGGGATCACGCTTGACGGTGATTCCATCAGATCGGACCGTGACGGCCAGGCCCAGGGCGTTGGTAGCACGCACCAGGGTGTAGTAGGTCTCACCGTCTGTCATTTTGACGTCCGTGTTGGAGTCTGATGTCTGCTCTGTTTTATGAATTTGAAGAATACCAGAATTAGTTGAAAACTGTGAACTAATTGAATCAGATAGTTCCATTGTGAATGCAGAGAAGACGATATTGCCTGTTTGTTTTATGGACTGGAGTATGATTTATAACATTGAGAAACATTGAACATGCAAAGAAACTTTAAATAAGGGAATCAATGTGTGTTTGGGCGGTGTTAAACACTACGCTTAAGACTGGTTGGAATCTGGAATTCGCCGAGGGTAATTATCAGCATTCCAGACTCCAACCAGTCTTAAACATAGTGTTTAATACCAACCAAGCACATATTTTTTTCCCATCCATAAATACCTTTTCGGTACAAAAAAAATCAAAACTTTTCGTCCAAAAGTCAAAACAAGTGATGACACGCAAATGCAGCTGTAGTGAGCATGTTGTTAATTGAGGACTATGAAATACAAATTGTGTTTGATGGACTAGCCTATCATGAATAAAAATGACATGAAATTTCCCTGGAAAGTGATTCAATATGAAGGAACTTTTGTATTACCTCCAACATCAGTCAGTGGCTGAATTTCTTGCTCATCGATTCTATAGATAGCCCACTCGTACTTTTTCATTGGACACGGATCCCCGCTGAAATCCCAGGATGCACTCATCTCATGCAGCGAGGTCTGGAAGTCCGAGTCTTCCAAGTCTACATCGGTGATTCCATCTTTGACTTGGAATGGTCTGAGAGGTTGAAGTCCAGCACTGAACCGGCTGACGTAGATGCCATTGGACACAGCGGTGCTGGTCAGGCCGGCTTCGTTGTAGCCTCTTACTGTAGCGTAGACCCTACGGATGCTACTCAGATCAATGTTGGTAATGAGCTCCGAAGTCTGGTCCTTAGACACCTCGTAGAAAGGTTTGATCTGAGACCCTCCTGGTGTGGTGCCCAGGGCAACCTCATACTTGGTGATCTTGGTGTCTTCGTCGGTGAACGGCTGCCACAGGATCTGCAGCTGGGTAATCGATTCCAGACACTCTCCGTCCAAGCTCAAGCATTCCTCATCGTTTGTGCAGTCCCATTCTGGCACATCGATAGGATCACTGAAATTGTAGCTGTACACGCCAGACAGCTCCACTACAAGGCCGTATGATGGAGGTGTATCATCGATCTCAATAGGACCAGAGAATGCCATTGTGCTTTGGTTGACAGCATTGAAGGCATTCACAGTGACATAGTAGACTTTGTTGTGAATCAGATTCAGATCTGCAAAGTACAAAGTTATATTCCTGCAATGAACTTTGGGCCACTGAAGTATGGACTTCATTTCTAGGTACCCCCTCAAAGAGAATTAGAGAGATTCTTATGACAGGTGGTCACGCAAAGGGTCTATATAGTTTGTGGATATTCCAATTTAGAAATTGCAAAAAATCATGCAATCATGCAGCGTGAGGATTGAGGCAACACAGTACCATTCATGCATGGAGTCAAAAAGTAAAAGGTTTGTAAATGTGTATTGCCATAAAACAGTTGCAACAAAGATATTCGGTAACCTTACTTCACGAACACAGACACTGACAAACTGGGCAACAGACAACATAGGCCGAAACAGCAATCAAACAGTAGCAGGTTCAAAGCTCGCTTCAGTCAATTTCTTTGTTCAACGTTATGCATTTAAACAAAATTAACCTTATTTCAGACAAACATCCTTGTTAAAGTTTCCTTCTTTACATTATAGATGTTAAAAGGTTAAAAGCTAACAACTCCCCCCCCCCCCAAAAAAAGTTGATGCTTTTACAGCCAAAGAATCTACTGTTTAAGTGCAGAGAAAGTATCTAGCACAAGTTCTGCCATCCTGTCAAGCTGAGTGTGTTGAATACCGACTATTAACACTATGTAATGATACTTTCACATCCTAAGACTGAAATGGAATGCAAACTGTAAGACCGTGTCCAAATTACTTGGCTTCGACTGGCAATACAAGCCTATGCAAGTGACTGAAGCCACTGTCCATCGACAAGTGTGTTATTCCCAGCCGTATTAAGTTAGTTGAATAACCAACCTTTGATGCTGTAGTGAGAAAGATACCCAGGCAGGTCACCGGATAGGAAGACATCATTAAGACCCTGTGCTGTGCCAACAGACATGCGGTAGTGGCCAATGCCTGACTCAGCATCCAGGAAATCAGACCAGCTACACAACACGGCACTGTTGGCTTGGATGAAGGCAGGGCACTGGACCTACAAAGGAAACCAACAGAAAATGTTGACAAAAATGAGTCTGAGGGTAGCTCCATCTCTAGACTCTACGGTCATAATCTCCTACATCACATCCTACACCCAAACTGGTTTCAGTGTAGTGTATATCATGTAGATATACACTACGAATGAAAAATGTTACCATACCGCTTACAGTAAAAGGAAATAATAAAATGACTGACATTTGGCAATGATGTTCTGCAACAAGGATATACATACCTGACCAACACTAGGCGGCGTGTTGTCAGCAGTCATACTTGTGGTATAAACAGTCCGCTTCAGCCCAACGCTGTTGATTGCACGTACTGTGAGAATATTGGGCATCCCTGGAGACGAGAAACAAGGGTGGTTATCAACTGGTGAAATTAGAGGAGCTGTCTGTCAATCTTCACGAGTTTTCACAAGTCCTTCAGCTTCAGATCAAGTCACAAGCTATTTTATTGCGGCAAAGGCATTCCTTCGTCATCCTTCATTCCCATTTTGACCGTAATAATTGTGATAGATTTGTGGACTCCCTACCCCTTATGAACAAGAACCCCCTCAATGGTAACAAAGAGAGTTGTGGGAGACCATGGGGGACAATCGCTTGTAAGTCATATGCTCAAACAAACTCGCAATGGGTTTGTGCACATTTGGATAAAAACTAGTTACGTGTACTTCGCGCAGTGCATGCGCGAACCAGTATGCACGCGTGCATGGTGGAGTGCTGTGGCCTCGTGGTTAAGGGCACTGAATTCGTGGTCTGTGGGTAAAGCTGCGGGTTGTGGGTTTGAGTCCAGCCGGGGTCATGGTGCGTGTGCCCTTGAGCAAGGCACTTTGTCACTCATTGCTTCTCTCCACCCAGGAGTAAATGGGTACCTGTGAGGGCAGAGATGGTTATAGCTTGCTTGCGCCTAACAGGCAGCATCGAGCTGTATACTCCCCAGGGAGCTGAGATGGTATTGGAAATGTTTAATTGGCCCAATGATCAGGGGTAATAATAATACTGTAAGCGCTGTGATTTAGTTCACTAATAAGAGCATTCTTAAATGCCGATTATTATTATATATTATACATTATATATTATATATTATATGGTGTGTCCTGAGGAGCTTTTGAAAGTGGTCACAATTAAGCGCCATTTACCATTCATGAACGAACTGTGAAACAATGTCCGACGGCCAACAAGGGAGTCAACAAACTAGTAAGAGACCATTGATACTAAGTTAACACACATTCTACACAGCCAGTCAGTTGGACAGGCTGAAAAAACTCCACAAAATATCAACATCATAAAACCTATGCTAGACCAACAAGAAATTCTAAATCAGTCGCACCATACCTATATCTGTAGGAGTTATCAGCGCTAATGGAATGTAGGATTTGTTGGTTGGTGTGACTGGATACACATCGCTTCCTCCTGGGTACTGGCCCATGGAGAAATAGGTAGCAGTAATATCACTCTCTCCATCTGTAGCATCCCATGTGCCATCGATGGAGTCTGTGTTGGGTTGATACAGGCCTCTACCACCTTCTAGGCTCTGTTAATTAGACAGAATATTATTCCATTGGTCAGTAATACTGCGAGACCAGCAGCTGATTTCATGAAACTGCACCCATTTCAATGACGCTACTTCACTTAGCCACGTTGTTTTACATAAGTTGCACAACATTTCACTTTACCCAACATTAAAGTTATGACACATTTCACAACAAATTATGGCGTAACTTTTGTTAGCATTTTAGGTGGTGTACGATTTGGCTTGGTAACCGAAAATGGAACATTTTACTGACTGATCGTGATTATTGCCATGTCTGTCAATGCTCACCTTATCAAGAATGATACACGAAATGTAAAGCTTTGTTTTTGAAGTAAACAAATTGCTGTGACAGCTTTTCAGAGGTGCACGACAAATTTGGTGCATAAATCCTTCACATGGCGTAAGTTACACACTGTGAATTGGTTGGAGCCCAAGTATGAGTGCAGATGTTGATGCGCATGACACAAACTGAGGCCAGTACTTCCTTACTTCAAGTAAAGGTTACTGAATATATTTTTGTACCAAAAAATAAGTGTAGACTGCAAATTATCAGTAAACCCTAAAGAGTTAAGTTGATTTCTAAAAATATCAGAACATTTTCATATTGTTTAGGATCTGCAATAAAGCGACAAAGACAATAAAGCCCTTTTTAACTTCTTGCAGTATTATGCAGATATGTTAGAATTTTACCATAACTCAACTGTCATTCTATGAGACTTGGTACTAATTCAGTTGTTAGAAGAGAAGAAAGTCATTGTTACAAATGGTGATGCCTCATCAAATATTATACAAATAATGTTTATGAATGCAATGGAAAGAATATTTTCATGAGCTGAAAGATTGACTGTGCCGACTTGAATGGAACAGTCAATCTTTCACCGAATGAAATATTCCTTCCATTGTACGAATTACAAAACATTCATTATTTGTTTTATATACACCTAAATAGATCCTTGTCATTCAATATTTTATGACAAAAAATACTTAGGCTTACTTCAATTTTACTTCATTTCCATGGCTATAGACAACAATTATAAATCCATTATAAGTATCACGGTTTGTGTCAAAGGTTGCAGCCTGCCGCACCAAAATTGAGCAGCTCAGACTAAGTATGAAAGTGTTATACATCTCAAAATGTGTATCATCTATTGGCATAATCATCCCAAATCACAGCGTCATGTTATTGTCTAAGCTGCACCAGGAGCGTACAGTGAAAGACAGGCAGTATCTACTCACCAGGTCCACGCTTGCATCGTACTGGCCCAGGTCAGTGATCATAATCTCTGGTGGAGTGATGTCCACTGTGAAGCCGTTGGATGTGGATTCTAAGACATTGTCTGCATTGGTGATGGCTCGTAGTGTGCTGTAGTAAGTCACTCCATGCTGGAGGGGCAGAGGGGACTGGGCCTTGCCCATGGCGGCCAATCCTAAGGAAACAAAAATTAGAAAACAAGAAAACGTTAACTTAAAAATTAATTTTGTTATGCAACGGAGCGGAGAAATTTGCTTCCTAAGCAAAAAGAAATGTGCAGTGCATCAGAAATACTTTTTTTTTTTTATTGGGGCTGGTTTTTATTTTTCCTTTGTTTTGCAAATAACTCACTAATAATCATTTTCTGCGGAAAAGCTCATTAAAAATGATTTAATCTTTAACACGTGAGCAGGACAATTATCTTCAAGCAAACTTGAATCCTTGATCCCGATTGGTCGATCCACGACAAACAACAGTGAGGTATTATTCCTTATACTATGGTTCATATTGCACTCTGCATATCACGTTGTGTTAGATGCGCGCACCATTCCTACTGCATGAAAGTATAATAGGATAACTCGCTCAAAAATGTTTACAGTGTACATGTATCATCTTTACTATGCGTGAAGTTTGCTTGACAATAAATTTGTTATCCCACTTGTGCTCACGGAGCACGGAAAATGTAGTGCAACAACTTTGGAAGCAAACTTTTGTACTCGACCAGATTTTGACCTACGCTCCCACCAGAAAATAATAACAAGCAAGGTAGAAAACTCAGGACCACAACCGTTTCTAGTCTTATCATACCCAGATGTAACACTGAGCCGTACAAAAAGTCTCCCATCCCATCACTGGCCAGAATTTTAAAATAATAATTGTAATATGCCTCTGTGATCCAGGTCTTTTTTACTGATAATTTTAAATAATTTTTCACTCCAGTTTTAATCAGCAATTTCTTGTCTAGATTAGCAAGTCTTTAGTAACCTGTCAATAATTAGTATAGCCTCTGTGATCCACTCTCTATTTTTAAACATAATTTTAAATAGTTTTACACTCCAGTTTTAATCAGCAATGTCTTGTCTTTAGAAGTCTGTTAATGATAATGAATAATTTCTTCCGTTATGATTTGTACCTTTCAATTTACAATTTAAAGATGTACTGATTGTATTTTAAGTAGTTTTTAACTAAAATACCTGTTTTAAATTTGAATGTTTTCAGCCTATGGGCTGCTTTTAATTCAAATAAATAAACCATAATAATAATACCACATGGGTCAATAATACAGTTGTTGAAATCTATACATGTATGGATTTTAAATGTTGCAAATTAATATACTTTACCTGGTTCCCCTTCATCACCGCCAGGCACTATGCCATCTGAGGTCAAAGGTTGTATATCCTCACCCCCGGGGGTTGTACCCACTGCCCATTCATAGTGAGATATGCCATGCAACTCACTCTGTATTGGAAGACAGTAATAAGGTTCAGGTGAACTGTTCAATTATTCTCTATGGTTCGTTCACGCTCAGCGTGAAAGCCAAAAGTAAATTCCTGACATCAGGCAAGAATTTGGGGTACAAATTTCATACAAGTAATTCAACTTGGTGAATCTCACCATTCAAATTTCAGTAAATTCAACTTGGTGAATTTCACGTTGCATTATGTTCCCTTCACAATGACATTTGTATGAATAAGCACATTTATGCAGTTACAAAGTTCAGGGAAATGGTCAATTAAAGGTTGGTTCACACTCATCAGCACTAAAGCCAGTGCAGTCAAAATGAATTTGTTGTGCGAATTTAGCAAAAGTTGATCACATTTTCACCATGGCAAATTTTGCTGTGAGTGTTTCTTGGCATTATATTCCCTTCTCAATTACATTTGTGTGAGGTTTTTAACCAGATTTATGCAGACCGAGTTGAAAAAGAAAAGAAAATAATCTTGAATTGTGAGCAAGTCGTGCAACAAAATGTTGGTTTACAGTTTGAATGTTTCTGATTGACACTAAAAAAGTCCAACCAACCTCAAAGTCATCAAACCAGATAGTGACAGTAGTTCTTTCTTGCTGTGCATCAATATCTTGTAGCGTGGTTGGACCATCAGTCACGTAACCTATAAAAAAAACAATAATGAATGGAAATCAAGTTTGTAGAATACAATAAAAACTTCCTAACTGTGTTGTATCCGATGAAAATTGTGTTAATCAGAGACCTTTGTCTTCATTGCTTGATGTGCTCACACAGCAAATTTGGGGTGAAAAAGTTGAAACACAAATTTGTGACATCACGCTGCAAAACTGCAGTTGAACCATAGAACTATTTTAAATTACTAGAGCACTTTTACTCATTCTCCGCTGAGTTACTTTGAAGCTGTCCTGATCCAGTGTAGGCATTTTGAATTCAAGTGCATGTTTGTAGAACATAATGAAATTAGATGGAATTAATTTTGAATTAAGATGCAAGGCGCAAGTACAACATACACGAACAATGTAAGCGCACTTTCTATAAGTATGACGTACACGTTTACGTTGTTTGCGCAGAGCAAACTGAAGCGCTCATTTAAATACTGATTGTGCATTTCGTTTGGGCATATCGGCTTTGACAACGCACTGATATATATAGAATACAAACACAGATATGCAAATAGCAGTACTAAATTTTGAAGTTTTCAATAGGTTTGTGCACTAACATGGATGGGCCCAGCAAGCTTCACTTTGTACAGCGAGTTAGTGCATTAGTAATTCAATATAGCTCTTTGAGTTGAACAAATTTCAAATCCCACATATTTTGCTGCAAAACTTCTGTGACGTCAAATGCGCCGCGCATTCACGTTAGTTTGGATACATGTATTGGCCATTTATACTTCATGAGAACCCACCTGTCTGATCTTCCTCCACCACTCTGATTGGTGAGGAGCAGATGACATCACTGAATGCCCCTGCACCGTTCTGACTCTTGACACACACGTAGTAAACCGGTCGACAATCAACGGTGAACGCCTCATCGCTGCAGGTTGATGATTCGGTCAGTTGGAGATTCAGGTCAGTTAGGATGCCCTCGCTCTTGGAGCCCAGGGCGGAGAAAGGACGGATGTCTTCAGAATCTATAAGAAACAATTTGATAAATGTCAATGATCTTTGTATTACTGTTTATTGCCAACACACAAAACTGCTCCTCTTTTGTGCTTCAAGTTTAGATCTTGACATTGATGAGCTAAAGAGACTAACGGTATGGTAGCTGCAGACAAAAGAATGTTAGTTGTTCGGCTCAGCCAAAATCTGAACGTTTTACATGTATCCACAATTTTTACAAACTGAAACGCAAGTACTGTGTGGTGCGCACTTCGTGAGAACCGCGTAATCAATATTTTGGTTTTCATGAACTGACACGAAAGAATGTGGCAGACTTTAATTCAGAGAAGACGGCTTTGAAAGGTTTGACACAAATTTACTTCATCCGTGTACTTGTGGGGTTACAGAAACATTTAAGTAAAAATCTTTTAACTGGTGACAGTTTCAGTTCGTGAAAACAAACAAATTTACTGAGAGTACACACGCAGTACTTGGGTATCAGTTTGTGAAAACTAAAATTAAGCGGTACTGTACAGTGTGCGCGTGCACTTAAAGGGAATATACAACATTTGCAAACATCGAAAAATAAAACTACCAAGTTTTTGCGAAATACCTTAATAGGATGTTGGTAAATGACAGTCTAAAGCATCCTGTAAAATTATGGCACCTGGTATACTGTCATTTTCAAGAAAAGTTGTATTTTTATATCAATTTCCAACGCTGATCGGCCGATCAGCGTTGGAAACAACTGGCTTTTTTTCAAATACTGGCCCCAATTGACCATTGCACTTGTTTGCAATCGATTACAAACCTATGAACGGGTACGAGCCAGCTAGACTGGTTCCCTGACCTTACAATTCCCCAATGTATGTAAACTGCTCTGTTTCTTCTTATATGGAGTCAGGGAACCAGACTACAGGAAAATGATCGTTTTTCTTGGTTTTTATAGCATTTTCGAACCCAAAACCTCCAAAAAGTCAGTGTAACTATATTTGCTTTATATTTCCAACCCCCCAATTCCATCCATTTCTGAAAATTACAGCAAAAGCAAATGATGTATATTCCCTTTAAACACCATCGAGTGTCAGTAATGATGTGATTTCACAAGTTACGGACAACAAAGATGGAAGCCATACACCACTGACTCTCTGACAGCTACATGCATTGTTATCAGCATTTCTGAATGTGTGAAAATGCACATTATGTGTGTGTAGGTAGGTAGGCATACACCACGTTATGGGGAAGTTCTTTATTGTTAGGGAAATTAGGACCGAGTTATGGGGACTTTCTGCTGTCCCCATAGCATTTTCGGTCCCCACAAATACCTTGCACAGACGAGTGTAAGTCCCCACAATTACAGAACAAGAACACATACACTTTTGGGCCACTTAAAACGCCACTGTTGAAGATATTTACACATGAAAAATATTTACATTTTGGGTGAGTGCTGTCAATTCAAGCAGGTTTTTTTTTTGAAAATCAGTTTTTGCAAATCCTACCTAATCTGACTATAAAACATTTCAAATCCTTAAATGACTATTTCCGTTTTGTGACATTAGTTTGTATGCTATACTGACATGGAGCGGTTCCCACTGCCACCCAGTAGCTCTTGATGCCACTCTGTCCATCTACAGCCAGCCAGGAGGCCTGGATGGTGCTGCGACTGTTCTGATACAAATATCCATTGACGACTTCTTCAACTTCCCCGTCCAGATTGCCTCCGCGGACATATCTCATCTACAACAGAAATTATCATCACTTTTGGGTAAGTTTCCACCAAAGTTCTTGCTTTATACCCTTTCTAGAGAATTTTACCAGTATTTTTCAAAGCCCAACAGTAAATCAGGGTTCGACTTTAGCGGTAGCCCATTAGACAAATGCTAGTCAAAACAGCAGCGGGCTAGTCAAACTATTCCTTATAGTAGCCCGGCTGGCGAGTCAAAAATTATTGGGCTACAGCACAGATGAAAGGACAGGAAAAAATCAATCATTAAATTCAGAAAGCAAACCTGTATCAATTTGCGTCTAATCTTATTAACAATTTAGGGTTAGATTATTAGATCTGTTTATTAAAAACGCTGACAAGATTGTCGATTGCCTCAAGATACACGTTTTACATGTATGCACATTGTTGTTTATGAGACACTCTATAAAAGAAAAACATGCGGGCTAGTGAAAATGCCCGCAGGCTAGTTAGAGTCTGTTTCAGTAGCCCAGCTGGCTAGTAAAAAAATAAGTTAAGGTCGAACCCTGTAAATTCTTGTGCGACAAACTATTAAAACAACACACACAAAAAGAAAAAGCTATATGCCCCACGCATTGCCTATTGAGAGAGACTGGTGGTGCTTCGTTCTGAGGATGACTAGTGACACTATTAGACTCGCATTTCATGTGTAATCAAAATTGACAGATGCACACATTTCTCAGCTAGATTGGATATATTTATGATACACAGATTTATCGAAAGGGCACACAAAAAAGCTCACCCATCATTGCAGATTTGAGTTGTGGGTCTAGTAATGAAGTTGAACAAATTAAAAAGGATGTATCTTTAACTCACCACCGGAGGAGTAGGATCTACCCTGATACCACTGGTCTCGTGAGAGGCTACAAGTTTAGCCTGGTTCCTTGCCTTGAGACGTGTGATGTAGATAGACCCGCCGCGCAATGCCAGATCGGTCTGCACGTGGGACTTGGCATTGGCGTCCGATATTAACTCAAAGCTGTTGGGGTTTGCGTCTGAAACAAAGGGGAACAAGTTTACGATGAGAACATATAATGTAAATGACATCAGACCATTATTTATTATTGCATTGTTTATTTATTTATTTCTGGTAAGGAAACCAATGATTCCTCAAAAGCGCTCTAGGCACTGTAGTTCGCAAGCCTGAAGAAACCTGTAAAGAGGAGACAATGACAAGAAATTACAGTTTTAGAGGTGGGAGGAAAAGCCCAGAAGAATATTCTAGGGAAAACCCTAGCAATCAGGTAGGGACTGAAAACCCAATCCACGTGTTCGCCAAGATGGGATTCAAACCCAGACCACAGCGGTGGAGGGCGAGGAAAGTACCGTTACGCCAACCTGACTCCCTCTTGGAAATGTTATCTCACAACTACTTCTATGTTTCATGATCTTACCTGCCGGGAAGATCTTGATTTTGTTCCCTTGTCGCATCTCGTAGATGGCAAACTCAAAGGACTCAATGCCAGACTCATCATCAAAGTAGTCCCAATGAACAGAGAGATTATCGGAATGTGACTATGAACAAAAATAAAATAGTTAACCATTACTGAAATTCTGAAAGTTACGTTTCTTAACAAACAATGGAAACTGTTCAAATCTAACAATAGCTTTGTGTAGCTCTTAAAACTGATCATGGGCCATTAATAGAGTCTTATTAAACTGTACTTTTTGACATTGATCAACCAGGTTCAAAATCTTGTCTGACCATCAGTCCATCTCTTGGGGTTTGCAGCATTGGAGAAGTCAGGACTACAAGAACCCATTTGTTGGAGTATCAGTGTGATTCAGGGCAAGACCTCCACGATGATAACGTCTCAAAAGTCGGAACACTTGGAACGTTCCCCTGGGGAACATCGCCTGTTCTAATTGGGAACATGCGTTGTACTACCTGGGAACAGCCCGACAACGCCAGGTGTTGCCGCTAATTCAGGAACAGCCTGCGCCAGTTGGGAACACCCTGAACACAGCATGTTCTGATGGGAATACACAAGTCAGATCTACCAAGAACCCATTCTTAGGAGTATCAAAACTACTTACAAAGACAATGTTCACTCACCTGGAAGTCAGCATCTTGACCCACCACCAGCCCATCGCCAAGAGTTCTCAGCATCGGAGGAGTCAGGTCTACCAAGAATCCATTCGTCGGACTATCGATGTGATTCAGTGCCTGGTTGACGGTGCGCAGGTTGACATAGACCTGGTCCTTGTGACGGAGATGGAAGTGATGCCACTCAATGGAGGCTGTCTCACTGCCTACTGCCTCTGCCTCGTGGATGACCTCAAAGTCATTGGTGCCATTGGAGCTATTAAGAATTGTAAAAGAAGCAAAAGTTTTGAAGACTTCATGACAAAGGTATCACCTTTTGATATAATTACAATGCATGTTAATAGAGTGCACGGCACCACAGGAATTGTGCTCAAGGTGCTGCATCATTATTACCCCTGCTCATTGGGTCAATGAAACATTTTAAAGGCAATCTCAGCTCCCTGGAGAGTATTGAACTCAGTGCTACCATTTCGACATAAGCAGTTTAGACCAATCACAGTAACCATCTCTGCCCTCACAGGTACTAATCTATTCTTGGGTTGGGACTTGGGAGAAGAAATTAGTGATAAGTGTCTTGCTCAAGAACGCACGCTGAACAACCCCAGGCTGGACTCGAACCCACAACCTGCAGGATTACGCACAGATCTCAAATTCCATGCTACAGACAATGAAGCCACAACACTCCATATAATCGCCTTAAGTTAAAAACGTGGGAAAATTCCCTCTGGAAATTGTTTGAAATCTACGATGCTGTCTCATGCATTCTAAGGCAATTTGAAAGTAAATTTAGGAACTTATTTCACTCTATTATGAATAACTTTATTATTCTTAGGCCCATTTTACTTAGTACCGTAACATTAGTCAGCAGCTGAATGCAGGGGGCGGGGTTGCACCCCCCCATTACACTTCTAATGTTACAGAAGCATAATACAAGCATATACATTTCGTTGGTCGACCTATGAAGTGATATAAGCTGTCAATCAGTTCTATTCTAAAAACTACAGGACAGAATTTGAACGTATTACATTAAATATGCCTTAAAATAACCAATCCATATTCACCTGTCATGTTTGCGATAGACTGTAACTTCGTAGTCTTCAATACCAGACTCGGGATCAGAGAATCCTTGCCACTGAGCTTCCACAGTGGCTGCTCTTGAGGAGAAGTCTAGATCTGTAGGTCCTGGCAGCAGGCCGTCATAGACACTGCCTTGTAGTGGTGGAGTCAGATCCACAGTCACTGAGGAGATAGAAGATATCAAAATATCCATGATCCAGATAACAATAATTGAGGAGATGTCTAGATCTGTAGGTCCTGGCAGCAGGCCGTCATAGACACTGCCTTACTGCCTTGTAGCGGTGGAGTCGGATCCACAGTCACTGAGGAGATAGAACACATCAAAAATCAATATATGATTCAGATAACAAAAATTGAGGAGAAGTCTAGATCTATAGGTCCTGGCAGCAGGCCGTCGTCGACACTGCCCTGTAGCAGTGGAGTCAGATCCACAGTCACTGAGGAGATAGAACACATCAAAACATCAACATATGATCCAGATAACAATAACTGAGGAGAAGTCTAGATCTGTAGGTCCTGGCAGCAGGCCGTCATAGACACTGCCCTGTAATGGTGGAGTCAGATCCACAGTCACTGAGGAGATAGAAGATATCAGAATATCAATATATGATCCAGATAACAAAAATTGAGGAGAAGTCTAGATCTGTAGGTATTGTCAGCAGGCCGTCAAAGACACTGCCTTGTAGCAGTGGAGTCAGATCACTGAGGAGATAGAAGATATTGAAATACCAATGATCCAAATAACAATAATTGAGGATAATAAATACCTCCATCCGAAGAAGCCGACACGTTGAGTTTATCATATCCACCATGGAAGGCTACCAGCGTTGAGTAGTACGTCTCCCCGTGCTGTAGGGTCACATAGCCAGAGCAGGCACTGTGCTCTCGACGAGACACTTGAATAAAGTCTGCCACGTTACTCAGGCCAGGCTGGGTCCCCACCGCCCACAGGTAGGAGAAGATCCCAGACTCAGGGTCATACCAATTGTGCCAGTTGGCACAGATCTAACCAACAAATCAAGAAAAAGAGTGAAACTTTGAATAGTGTTACAAATAACAAGCTCACATTAAATTGAAAATACCAATGTATTATTTTTTGGACACTTGGTAAAGTTTTGTTCACTCTTTAATAGGTTATACCAGTACTTCACACACAAATTTGTACTGTGAAGCAAATTCCCTAGACAGCAAACGTCAAAATGAAACTTCAGTTGTTGACTTCAATTCTCGGGACATTTTGTTTAAAGAGTTCACCTCATTCCTGTCCTTGGTAAAGACAAGATCTCGCCCAGCATAGGGTCCATCAAACAGGTCGCCAGCGATGGGTGGACTGTCATCAACTAGAATGGGCTCATCGGCATTATCGATAGTTCTTAGGTCGACTGTGAAAGGAAGAAAACAGGCAACAGATAATCCTTGTACACAGCTTGCAGCTCTTAAAAACAAAGGATGTATAATTTGTGTTTTTCTAAAGCCTGCCGAACACGAGAAAAATGTATTCTTAATCATTCGCATGATTTCAAAAATGGGGACAAACGCCAGCAGAAGAGAAGAATTGCACAATATCTTAAAATAACGTGTATACAGAGTGTGTGATTTCATTGGCTAGTTATTTTTGGGGGGCTCAAAACGTAGCACAGATTGCACAAAAATGTGGGGGATGTTCCAATGGCCACCCCCTCCTCCCTTGTCAAAAAGTGGGGGTACATATCCCCCTATCACCCCCCACCTTTACGTTTATGAAAAGACCAATCTTTATTTACCGTTGTTGACTGCTCTGACTTTAACCCAGCAGGGTATGCCGTTGGGTATCTTGAAGTCCATGAAGAGCTGTTCAGCCAAGACGTGAGCCTCCCAATCACGCAGTGACTTATCCCTGGGCGTCCTGCCTGCTGCTAGGTGATACTCAAACAGATGGGAGTCCGGATCGCTGGGCATTATCAAAAAGGAAATGGACAAAAAGAGAAATTACATGAGAAAGCCTGACACTGCCTCCTTTGGCTGTATCTGAATTTGGTATTAAATGGCTACCTCCTTGGTTTTTCCATTGGCAGGCTATGATGATTAGCCATAGTCATAGCCAATTATACCCATTTTGGACACAATCCAAGATTTTGTGGCTTCTGGGTTGGTTCAGTCTATGTCCAGTTTGAACACAACCTGATACTTTGCTGTAATGGCTTGGTTTTTGCCATGGGCACACTATGTTTAAATAGCTGTAACCATAGAAAACTCTGCCCATGATGCACATGGTCTACTGCCCCACAGACTTGTAGTTTTTAGGGACCATATGGGGCAACCTAAAGTAAATTTACAATAAGATGGTTGTGCACACCTAATAGACGAATCCAGTGACCGCCATTTTCAGTGGTGGTGCAAGGCTTTCGTGAATCGCGCTCGGCCAAAAGGTATACCAAAATGCGTGCGTGCCGCGTCTTTAAGAACTCATGCAGTATGCACGTAAGCATGACACCACGGCAGTTAACGCTTCTAATTCTGGTCGCCGGATTTCAATATACTCTCTTCTCTGCACAGTTCACCAACTAGTGATATTTGTGATTTTTTAAAGAATGTTGACAACTTTAACATTCAGTTCTGTCCACGACTGACATAATTGTATGAGCAGTGCATACTCAGTGCTTTCTGAGAACTTGCACACAAAAAACTCACAAACTTCTTTGGATAGAAGATTTGAGGCTTTGCATGGTGGAGTATCGGTATCGTTTTGGTTTGCGGTATAAACACCATGTGGTAATAACTACTGCTTAGAAGATATTTAGTTCTGAAAAGAACTTGTCCTGCTTATTATCAACTTTCGCTGAGTAGTTTTTGTTCTGATAAGAACAGTCCTGCTTTAAGTTCTAAAAGAACTTGTCTTTGGTCTCAACGTTTCGACTAGCCTGTTCTAGTCATCGTCAAGAGACTGTTTGGATAGGTCTTGAACCACTTCGTTGTGCAGATGTCTCAATCAGCTTTTGTTACATTAAGAATAAAGCTTACAAATTTTATATCAGGTTTTGATAACATAAGTTCTATATGAAGACAGATAACTTCAGTTTCAAACTGCTTAAGTTATTACAGTATAACAATCATTACAGTATATTACAAATGTAGAGTTTCGTTTCAAAATGCGATATATCCATTTGAAAAATGTGAAACATTTGCGCCATAATGAAACTTCAAAGAATAAAAACAGTATGACAGCTGTTTCTCACTTTCATTTTTTGCTTTACTGTATTCTTAAGTTGTGTTTAAGTACATAATAGCAGTAAAAATGGACTTTGGGCAGCCAGAAGATAGCAGGATTCTCAAAGCAAACAAAATGGCATATATCATGTTTTGGACATAAACTCTTCAAATGTATCATGAAATAAACAAAAAACTACGGCCCAAAAAAATCTGATTGCTCACGTTGCGTTGACCTGCAGTCCAATTCTACCGATGGAGGAGTCATAGGTGATGTCATGGATGCTGTAAATGAAGGGCGGAGTATTGTCGATAACGAGAGGGGTGCTGTGACATACAGTGAGTGCCATAGGACCGCCAAACTCTACCTTGTTGAGAGCACGCGCAGTTATGTAATATTCACCATCTGAAAAAATGAATGATACAAAATGTGAGCATATATTAATCATTCTAAATATATCTTGAGGAAAAAGTTTTGGCTCAGTATATTTCACTTTGCCTGTGACATTTGCATACATCGTCAGCATTTTCACGAAGGGATGAATTGGGCCATGGGGTGTTGAACAGTGGTTTTGAGGAAAAAATGGGGTTTAAGTTGGTCATTTTTGAAAAAAGATTTCGCCTATTTTGGGAGCACATGCCGACTAATTTTTTACACAGATAGTAAGCTGAGATCTTAAACATCAAAGATGTACCTATTACAGTATAATAGAACAATTAATTGCAGAGTAATTAATCTCCACAGAGATCTGTCTGTCCACGAAAACTCAAAATCCCACACGCCTGTTGTTTTGACAAATTGCCAATACCCATGGTCCATACCTTTTGTGCAAATTTGTCTCTTTGTGAAAACTAACAATGTAAAATCCCACATGCGCATTGTTTTGCCCAATAGAACAACGTGATAGAGTTTGAATTTGTCTCTTTTTGAAAACTCAAAATATGATTCAGGTGAAACAGGGTCGGCAGAACACTTTTCAAACGTGGGGGGGGGGGGCAACACCAAAAAAGGCACTTATCCAGAAAAAGGGGCACCTTCCATCGATCCAGAACACACTTTTTGGGGGGGAGGGGTCCCAAAATAATTTAGTCCCCAAAAAGTGGGTCCACAAATTCACGGCATTGGGTTCAGAGCCCGCAAAGAGCCCCGAAAAACATGGATTTTAGATTCTCTGTTGTGCGATCTGAGGCAATTTTTTACCTCTTTAACCATTTTGGTAAACAGATGGTGGTGTATGTAGTGGCTGCCTTTTTTGAGACGTCATTAAAAAACAAATAAAATTGGGTTTGTGTTTTTGTGTTTTTTTTTTTCACTTAACCGATTTCGGCCAGAAAAACAATTTTGAAAAAAAATTGTTTTTTGTTGGCCTAATTCGTCCCTTCATGAAAACTCTGACGACATGATTGCAATGATAATTCATAAACTTTCAATCAAAAAGCACATTGTCCTAATATAATGCCTCAACCCCTTAAGAAAATTATAGTTAACTATATACCACTCAAAGCAGTCAATAGTTGAAAAAATTTATCATGGTCAATTAAACAATGCATAATATTTTGATCATTGACATACCTGGCAGATTTACATTGACAACCAGACCCTGGTGAGTCCACTCAGACTCATCAAACAGATGAGCATGGGGATCAATATGCATGCTGACATCATCATCACAGACAACATAACCAATGGACCAGGTGTAGCCATGGATACCTGTCTCGTTGTCATGGAAACCTTCCCAGTTGGCTGAAAAAAAAGGGAATCCAAATTTGCAAATCACTTTTTTGGGCAAATTATTTGCAGCAACAAGCCAAATGGTTATCCTCGAATCGTCTTTTAACCACAGTGAAGGTTTTTGCCTTGTATTGATTCCAACTTTTGACTCCCAATGGGACTGACGTGGCACACGTTATTATTAAAGCTACAGTCCATCATTTGCAGCTTACCAAAAAAGTAACTGACGTAGTGCCCAAAAACATACTTGGTTGAAAGATAAGGGGACTAAACTCCCTGTGAAATTAGTCTTTCTGGCAAGCTGTCATTTTGTACAAATTAACGAAAGAAGACCTTTCCAACGGAAATTTCCGTTAGTAGTTCGTTTTGTTTATTCAGCGAAGACGCACATGCGCGTGGTTGCTATAATTCATCGGATCGGTGTGCAACATCGCATAGCTGAGAGAATGTGTCTCGGACACTGAATTCAGACCCAATTTAAAACAGGATTCAGCAACTTTTGATTCAAAATAGAGATCCTGGATTGCTCTTTTTCTCGAAATATACAGCTGAAGCTGAGCTGAAACTTCATCAGGTTAGTTGTTCAGTAACCTTCTTTAGATTTTTGAGCACGTTTGTTGCTTCAAATGAACAAAATGCACAAATGGACTATACCTTTAACTAAGAGCACAAAGGTTCACCCCCATTTCCTACCAGGCCCCTCCACCCCTTACCTGCCATGAAGGTATTGCTTCTGGTATACAGCATATCCACTAGTTCCTCATGGCCGTTGAATACTGTCATAGAACCAGGACCATCGGTGATGTACCTGTGGATGAGCATTGAGAAAGTCATCAATAGAAAGAGGAGAAAGTACACAACAGGTCTAATCAGAATGCATGGCATATTACGGTGCAAATCTGGAGTACCATAACTTTTCCATTTCAGATAACATAAAACAAAAAAATAAAGCACAATGGCACTCAAGGAATGGAATCTATTCCACTTTTGCTTTCACGAATCGAGCCTATACGATGTCATTGGTATAGTCGTTATGATAGGGTGCAGTCGAGTAGCTCACCCGGACTTCAGTAAAGGCAGATTGGTAAGCCAGGACAGCTGGGCTAATCGAACGCTCAACCGCGGGCCAGCAAGATCCTCACTTGACATCCGTAAATAAACCTTGGCCGTAGCCATCGAGAAAACACTCTTTACAGACTGAGTGTTACTTTGAGATCTACTGCATTTTTGTCAATTGCAAAAAAGTAACAACGTCAGGATGGAATTTTAGCCTCTAAAATTGAAAGGAGATAAATCACTAATTATGTTTAGATTACAAAGTTGATATTTGGGTCGACTGGATATTTTCCGCTGTCCGCGGCAGCCATATTTGTCTGTTTCTTGGAATGACCAAGGCATGCCTGTGATGTTTTTCCACCACTGACTCTGCTCCATGAGCAGGGTCTGTGGTGGCTGACCCGGATGAGTCCCGAAGATGATGTCAGAGCTAATCTAAAGGCACGGGGCTAACCCGAGTCGACCCGGGTGAGCTAATCGAACGCACCCGTGTAACTGCAAACGGTTAATTAGCAATTTTATCCTGTGGGCTGTGGTTTTACCGATGGTTATCCAGCGGTGTGTCTTCAATGCATCGTCTCTCCCATTCCTCTGGTGTGAACTCCACACACGCTTCACGCACCACCTCATCCCTGGTCCCATTCATGATCAGCCCTGGCTCTGGTGTCGTGAAGTCCGCTATGATGCCGACGGACGAAATGATGTTCTCGTATGCCACATAGTTCAGCAGCTCTATGTTGAAGAAGTAGAGGTTGTTGTGGTCGAGTCGGAGGGACTCGTGGTTGAATTCTACAGCGTGGCCCACACCGAGGCGCTCATAGTGGGTGAAGAGTCCAGACTGAAATGCACGGTAAAATATTAAATAGACACAGGTTTATTCAATCTGTGTAGGAATTGTGTGGTTACTTATGATTAGTAAATGAGGGCACTCCCATGAACTGATGGTATGTGATTACCCGTAAGTTGAGTACTATCCACAATTAACCAGTTCGCGCTGGGATTATTTTGACATTGACTGGACCCTGAGGCGGGATTGTTTTTCATGAACCTCGATGCCAGATGGGTTCAGGCCGTCATCTGCGGGCAGCACACCATCTGCGCGTGTTCACCCATCATCTAGTTCCGAACACTGCAAAACCTTTGCACGTACACTGGTCTTTAGATCAGCTTTAATTAAAAGGAGTAAACTGTTCTACTTACCTCATGAACTTCGACCCCATCACCCTCAATTTCCTCCAGCAGTTCACAGGTGAAGTCCCGATAGTCGTAGTTGATACTCAGACATTTGCTTTCTGGGAGTGCCAGGCAGTCCCGCGCACAGAAGTTGGGGTTGCGATGGATGATAGTCGACGTTGGCTTGGAGATGAGGCGGCCTTTCTTGGCGGCGGTGAAGTAGTCAAAGTCGTTGACTGTTTCATGTAAGAAATTAAAAAAAAAAAACACACGTTTTAAAAGTACATAGGAATTTTGAATGCATTTCAGACGGTGCCTAACGCTACAGATCTGCGCACATTCAGAAATCTAGTCATGCGCATGGGCGTCAATCCTGGGGGGGGGGGGGGGACAGGGGGACATGTCCCCCCCCCCCCACTTTTTGAAGGGTGGGGGACACAATATCAAATGTCCCCCCCCCAGATTTTTGAACTCGTGTCCCATTTACAAGGCCCTATTATGTACTTCAATGTATCTTTTGCTGAAAAAATATTGGTGAAAGTGGTCAGAAATTGCCTCAGATAGCACCACAGAGCATTTAGAATCCAAATTATTCGGGGCCCTTAAGCGGGCCCCGAACCCCACGCCGTAAGGGCTTCACGCTTCGCGCTCGCATCAGTTCTAATCAAGTATGTCCCCCCCACTTTTGAGAAGCGATTGACGTTCCTGGTCATGTGTACTTCACATTCTACGTGTACTTCTCGTGAGTGGTGATGCCATCTCCTGTTCATACACCAAGTCCTAAATACAACTCTGTATCCTATTTGAGTTGACACGAGAATTTGGGCCAGCTTCTGTCTACTTACCAGATGCTCCAATGGTATCCCTCTCTGTAATATCGACAGTGTTCCACGGCACAATCTGATCGCCCCAGATTTCGGGGCCGAACCCGACGCCTTCCTTCTGCATCAAGATGACGGAATCGTCGTACACCACGGCCGCGGCACGGAGGATGTACGGGTGACTGGTGGAGGTGAAGTCTGGCGTGATGCGACCCGTCGGCAGGGTGATGTCAAAGGTTGGCAGGCTGCAGGTAGCCGTGGCGGTGCCTCCCCCGTTGTTCATGGCGTAAACGGTGAAGTGGAGAGGATGGCCACCTAGCAGAATCTATAAAAAATAATGGAGATACTAGAAATAATTTTTACTTTTCAAATTATTATTTTTCATACCCCAAATCATAGATCACCATAATTTACCCAAGAAATTATTTTTACTTTTCAAATTATTATTTTTCATACCCCAAATCATAGATCACCATAATTTACCAAGACTGTTCTCATTTATACGACAGTTAGCATTACAGATTAGTCTTTAACTTCAGACACTTATTGGGAAGGGGACAATATCATGTATTCACCTGATATAATTCAGCCTATTGTATGTACATATTAATTTATCAGCTTAATTTGTAATTGCGGGTTCCAGGTCTTGTACAAGCATATGGGCAATATGTAACACGAGTAACCGATTTTGTGCGTCTTGTTTATCATACATAACACATTTTTCTGGATGTCATCTTTGGTGCTTAGGTAGGTCTAGGTCTACTCTATCTACCATGGGGATAACAGTTATTAAACCTTTTCAGTAAGGTAATTACAGCCCAAGGAAACTCAAAAGGACATCAAAAATGTAACGTGAGTAACCGTGGAATTGCCCATATGCTTTTTACCTGGATCCCTCGTATCATTTCTGTCATTCTTTATATACATTCTTGTTAGTTATGTTTTTGTGATCTGATATGAAAAAAATAAACCGTAAACAAACCATAAACCATTTTGTTAAAAATGTTCATATGTACCATAAAACCTACACATTCTTGGATGGAACACTTTTCACTTTTCCAGGACCGAAATGAAAACATTTGACTTTCCTTTTATACCAAATGGAGAAGTTTTAAACAGAACCCGGAACTGGATTTCATTATTTTCCGATGACTGGAATCAATAATTTTTCCATGATCCATGAAAAGGCATTAAAACAATCTTTAACTTAGTAAATTTTGCAAACTATAACCTGTAAAAAAAGATCAATTCTGAAAGGGATCTTTAGTTTATCTTACTACAGTAATCCTAAATAACCAAAAACACCCTCTATTCTTCCCTACTTATAAATGGTGTTGCAGCAAACCGATACCCTCACTCGACCAATACCTATTTACTCTACGAAACAAAGTCTAAAATGTTTTTCAGAGTTGCCTCATATTTGTTAACAATTTAAACCAATGTCATATACAAATTGGACTCATATGAAATATGGTCTCTTTTCCCTTAAATGGACTCAAACCCTCACACGTGACCTGCCAATGTCCTAATTATCTTCAATTAGTCATGCGCAATACAACCACTGGGTCTGTATTTCATAGAGTCCAAATTTCACACTACACCGGTTAGACAATTGCGGCTTGAGACAAGCCTAATATATTGTCCCCGTTTTCACGAACTGACGTACATGGCTGTGTGCTTTCAGTTCGTGAAAACCCTGTAATCAATAATTTCGGTTTCACGAACTGACATGTGGGTGTGCGCGCACTTTGTTCACTGACGCATAATAGAATAATTTTGATTTTCACAAACTGAAACACAAGCATGCAGCTGAAATAGAGTTTGTAGATGCTTTGAAAGGTTTGTCACAAATTGTCTCCTTCCATACACTTGTGGTGTTACAGAAACAGATGATTAAAAACCTTTTAACTGTTGAAATAAAAACAGGTTTCAGTTATGGAAAATGAAAATGTACGGAGTGTCCGCTTGTAGCACTTGGATGTCAGATTGTGATAAACCAAAATATGCGGTTCTGTAAAGTATGCGCGTGTGCTGGGCACTCACGCACCATCGAGTGTCAGTCTGTGGTGTCAGTGACGTATAGACTGAGAAAATAAGCTCACTTCTGCAATGACAGAGTTACTGTCAAGCAATGAAGGCAATGCTTACTTGTGAGATGATGGCTGAGGGTCCACCAAACTCTGTCCTAGTGAGCACATCGCTGCCTCCTGGTGCTGTGCCGACCTGGTAGAAGAACGTGACTATGCTCTTGTCATCAGCTGCGACCATCTCTAGCTGGAAGGCTGGCTCTGTGTAGTCTAGCCCAGGAACCTGCTCAATGCCGCAGTTGTTCCCTCCTGCACTTCTGGCTTCAACATCCTTTGGGAAAAAAATTAAAAAGCTTTAAGTAAGGAACTAACTGCCTAAACGCCAGGGATATCCGCTCGTTCACAAATACCCCCTCACCGGCAAAGAAAGCACAGTGGGGGGGGGGGGGGGGACCAACCGATGCCATCTTGTCTGACTGGAATTTTGCCGCGACGCGCGGCCGTATTATGTACCATTGCGTGTACATAGTACAAATCCCCTGGTGTACGTGCGTCACACACAAGTAACGGTGCGCGTCAACCAGCTAAATGTCCCGCCCATGGGACATCGTTGCTAGGTAAAAGGGCACCCTCTTTCTTTAGCGCACGGAGCCCATAGTCAAGTCCATCACAAGTCCCCAAATGTCCCTGCAAGTCCATCACAATTTTCCTCCAGTGCCAATTCAACTCACAAGCTATTCAAATGAGCTTTGACTGTTACCAGTCCTTTCTTCGTGAGGATTTTCTCGTTAAATTTGTAGGTCATTTTCCGGGTCATTGCAATTCTTCCATCATGCTTTAAAGGGAATATACTACATTTGCAAACATCGAAAAATAAAACTACCAAGTTTTTACGAAATACCTTAATAGGACGTTGGTAAATGACAGTCTAAAGCATCCTGTAAAATTATGGCACCTGGTGTGAAGTCATTTTCAAGAAAATGGTATTTTTGTAAAAATTTCTAGCGGTGGTCGGTTCATGTTCATGAACGGGTGCAGGCCAGCTAGACTGGTTCCCTGACCTAACAATTTTCCGGCATCTATAAATTGATCCATTTCATCTTTAGTGGAGTCCGGGAACCAGACTACTTGAACGTTTTTGTTTTTCTTGGCTTTTCCAGCATTTTCGAACACAAAACTTCAAACATGTCAGTGTAACAATATTTGATCTATTATACTAATCCCTCAAATATTTCATTTGTAAAAATAACAGCAAAAGCCAATGATGTACATTCCCTTTAAATATGACATATTTGGGTTGGAAAAAAATAAGCTTTTTGATGATGATCAGTAGGTTGCAACCCAGACTATGAAGATTTCAGTCACACTGTTACCTGAGAGGAATATTCTGAGATCTCTGGTGGTGATGGGTCAGGATCCTTGGTCTGAATGGTGAATATGTTGCTGCCAATCGATGGAGTCTGGAAACGCCACAAGTCCTTCCCGAAGAGCGTTTCCCTTCCAACAATCGGGATTTTGATGACCACTCTGCCTTTGAGGACGATGACAAGTGGGATCATTTCTATGTCCAGTTTTAATCTAAAAACGGAGAGTGAAGAACACAATACAATGAAATTGAAACATCCTTGTTGTTAATGAGATTGGAGACGCAGTGTTATTGTGGTCACGCAATTTACACTTTCTTTTTTAAAATGTTTGTTTGCGTTATATGCCTCGCTTTGATTATCAAGATGGCATACCATGAGATAGGTCTATTGAAATTATTGTTTGGGATGGGTTGAAGAAAGTCGCCCTTTTCGTACCCAACATCCAACGGAAACTTGGAGAAGAATATCTCAGCGGTCGTGGGGAAGGAAGTTCTCAACATCTCTGCCCTGAGTTCCAACTCTCCACACAGAGCTCCGTAGCAGAGAGAAACAATGGCCGATGCATATGAACCGACAGACGGTGTCACCCCACCCTGCATTAAAAGCATGAAACTTTTCTATTTAATTTTAATACTACAGGGAAACCTCGATAAGTCAAACTGCGATAACTCATAACAACTGTCAAGTCAAACAAAGAATCCATTGCCTTCAGTAGTAAAACAATGATTTACAACCCTGCCTTGTCCCCAGGGTGTCGAGCAGTACGCGCCCACCACTACCTGATCTCTCACCCTGGTATTGGATCATTAGCATGTGCAAGATTTTTGAACACGTATGCAAATGAGGCATAGTCTGGTGCCTGCATGTGCGTTACATTAGCGTTTGCTTTTGTATTCGGTGTCTAGGGTAAAAACAGCACCAATTCGTCGCCGGGAGTTATGAAAATACAATTTGTTTTGGAAGTTAAAATGTTACAATCTGGCCTGCCAGATTTCATATTAATATGAGCAAACTGGAAAGGAAAGGAGTATTTTTGAGAAGGCGTGGACGTTATAATTACCATGATCGTGAAAACACGTAATGCACGTTGGAAATAACAACACCAACTACATGATATAAATCCCATATTAGCAAATTGCGGTATCGAATCAGGATACAGGAAGAAAGTTTCCTATCCAGGGCTTACTACTGGAAACGAGGTTGAAAATAAAGTAAGCACTGGGGACGAGGTTGTTTACAACCCTGCCTTAAAGGGACACTAGGTCCTGGAACAGCCCAATTGGGCTACAAAACGCGCTTTGAACGAGATGATGATAATCGGAAATAACTTTTAAAAGTAGGATATAAACATCCACACAACTATCCTTTCAAAACTGGGCGTTTTTGTGGTATTCCTGTATTATGCGTGCGAGAACGAATTTCAGGGTCCACTTTTGCGACCCCATAAATTCGAGCTGTTTGGATGCTAGTTGTGACGGAAGTGTTCGCCTTTTGCGGACGTTGAAGAAACCACAATTTTTTGCATTGGTGATTGATCACCGCGCGCTGTTCCTGAGACACACAACGTGTATAGCGTACATGTGAATGACACGAAAAATTGTATTCGTACTCCGTCATGTTCGATGTAAACAAGCGGTTTTTTTTTCGCCTTTTCTCGGGAACGGTGGGACATTAGGTTGGTTTCCTTTCAACCAGATGTTTGAAATAGGCTAAGTAAACAATCCAAAACATAACATTTTCGGGGATTTCAGGACCTAGTGCCCCTTTAAACTCAAAACTCTGCTGAAGTCAAATTTTGAACCTGTTCCCTTGAGGTTAGACTTGTCACGATTTCACTGTACTACTATTATTTAGCAAGGAATTTGTTTGCGGTGCACCATGAAAAAGTAAACATCCATAATGCAGCTGTTGCCAAACAATAGTTCTTTGCACAACAGAACAAAGACTCAGAATTGTTTATTTTTTTATCTTATTTTTTTTTTTCCTGATTTTTTTTTTTCCTTTTTTTTTTTTTTGGTTTATTTCAACACAAGCTCTTTTAGACTGAGTTTTTGTTTCGTGAATAACAACCCTTTTTTCCTTCTGAGTGCATTTAGGATGCTTTATTATAATTATTACAAACATTGGAACACTGAGTTGAGACCATCATAATATTTTGTATGAAAATTGATAAAATTTGGATGTCGTGAATTTCACTGAATTCAAAATATGATCATGTATTTTACCGTAGCATGCATTGAAACAATGGAGACAGACACCGGTATCTCCATTTCAAAGAAACCTCCAGCCTCCACAGCTGCAACAAAAACAAACCAATGTTTATATTTAAATCATTGCTGGCAGAATAATGACGATGCATCACCCAGTCAAATCTTTGCCATCATTTCTGGGCTATTATTGGTATACAGGGCGAGTCAAAAAAAGTGGAACCCAAACCGCAAAAATTATATTTCATATTTACAAAAATATGTAGAACCAAAAATAATAATGACTGGAAAGCCAATTTCATAAGGTACTTTTAAATGGAAAAAATGACTGAAAGTGGTCAATCCGTTAAGAAAATATCAGCATTTAAACACAATGACCCTAAACCTGACTTGTCCAAAAAAAAATGTGATTTCAAGAATCGTTGTCACAATTGTCTTCAAACATCACCAGCGATAAAATCTCAGTTTAAATGTTAAAAATATTTAACGGAATCCCTTGGAAGGCCTGTCCTCATGGGCGTCGCCAGGATTTTTTCTAGAGGGGGGCAAAACAAAAAATTTGCCCATAAATGCTTGTATTTCTCAACACATTCTCGATTTATCAGTTTTAGAGGGGGGCAGGGACATTAAATTTACACCACTTTGTCTTCGCGCCTCTTTTTCTTTCTTTTTTTCTTTCTTTTTTCTTCCTTTTTTTTTTTTTTTTTTTTTGGCTTTTCCAGGGGGGGGGGCAAGTGCCCCCCCCCTTGCCCCCCCTCGCGACGCCCATGCCTGTCCTAAAAATGGATTTTATAAATCATATTGTTTGCCTAACCAGGGTTGTTAATAACGATATTGCGTACTACAGTTGGTGACAGTTGTTGAAACAAGTATTCTGTGTCTTTTTTCTTTGTTGTTCCAAACAGTCAAAACACACAATGAATTGCTTTTTTGGACGAGACAGGTTTTAGGGTCATTTTGTTTAAATGGTGACATTCTTTGAACGGATTGAGCAATTTCAGTAATTTTTTTCATGTAAAAGTAGCTTATGAAATTGGCTTTCCAGTCATTAATATTTTTGGTGCTACATATTTTTTCAAATATGAAATATGTTTTATGGGGTTTGGGCTCCGCTTTTTTTGACTCACCCTGTACAAATAATGAATGTTTATGAGTGCAATGGTGAAAATATTTTCATGAGTTGAAAGATGTAATGTTCCATTCAATGAGGCGAGGCCAAGTTGAATGGAACGAAATTAAACGAAAGAAAATATTTCATATTTTATATCATATGTCAACTACACATGTTTTAAAGAAATAGTTGACAAAAATCATGGGAAAACAAGTGTTTTAAAGGAAAAACAATGGAAAAATAGAAAATTTGAAACTTTAAAGGCCTTTTTCTCAGTATTTTGCTTTTTATGGCGATAAATGCAAACTTTAAACAGCCATAACTTGTCAACAGAATGTCCGATTAAACTACAACAAAAAGTATTGTAAGGAGAACTTAATTTATTCCCTTTTCCTAATACCTACAAACCCTTGTTTCCACCTCTGCCCAGTTCCGTCTCATTGTGGCAGAATAATACCAAAGTCTTATATAGCGCACGTATCTACCAACAATTAGGTACTCAAGGCGCTGGAAATTATGTCTATTATTAGAGACAGGTAAATGAAGTACATGAGAAATATGAGAACCATTATGTAGCACCTTAATAATGGTTTACAAGGTGCTGCGGCGCCTTAAAGCAGCCACTGCCAGAAACACCGGGGCAAACCCCTTCTCTTAGCGATAAGTGATACTGGGTTCTTCAATGTGCATTACACGACACACGGGACCTACGGCTTTACGTCCCATCTGAAGGACGAAGCAATAATGGTAAAGTGCCTTGCTCAGGAGCACAAGCACCATGTTCCCACGGTCAGGATTTGAACCCATGTACCACGTTACACGAGTCGAACACCGTAACCATTGGACCATAGCACCCCAATTATGTCTGTGCAATTAGACGGTTGAAAATTACAGTAATGAATGACTTCTATGCGAAACAAATCTCCTGTTGACTCCATTACATTAATTATGGCTATTTCCACTGTGTGATGAAATTAAGCCAGCTTATAAGTCATCTGCATGTTAATAGGGATGGAAAAAGACCAATGTCAAAACGTTGTTACTTACTGAACTGTAGCGTTATCAGGCCACCAAGGAAGGTTATGTATTCGTATCGGAAATACACAGCATCTACCCGCGGGAAGGAAATGGTGCCGGCCAGTACAATGTCAAACTGCTGAAAGGCGTCCTCTGCAATGCCTTCAGTGAATACGTCAATCAACTCTTCCACCTGAAAGTGAACCCAAAAAAATGAAGCATTTATTCCAAAACACACGCATGCAACTTTTCCTCGGATCCGCTGATTTCCTCGTTTTTTAACTTCTGATCGTTTTTTTTTACTTCTAATGAACGCCATTACAAATTGAAAAATACTGCAAGTAAAACTTGCGTGATCCACCTGGCATACTGCCAGTTTGAATACATGTACATGTACAGGCAGTTAGTAAGGACAATTTCAGTTGAATGGGGAGTATGACATATGTTAGAGTCATTAGTATCTCTCCAGAGACCTCGTAAATATCCATATTGGAAAGGATTTTTTGACGTCGGCCTTCTCTCCACAGACCACCTTTCAAGTTTGGTTAAGATTGATGACTGAACTTTTCAGTGAAAAGGAACACATAACCCACGTACACTCACAGACACACAGAAAGAATACGCAATTTTAAATTTCCTCGTTTTTTTTCTAAATTCCCAGTTGCATGCCTGAAAACATGACAAAGCCATGTCTTATCTCTTTAGGATCCTGCCCTCTCCTGGTCTCATTGTCTTCTCTCCACAGGTTTCTTCAGGATTGCGAGCTACAGTGCCTAGGGCGTTTTTGAGGAATCCTTGGTTTCACTACCAGAAATGATTAATAATAATAATAATAATAATATGAAGAAAACTGCCTCTATTTGAATGAAATTTACACATTTTCATCAGAAATTAACACAAATTGTTCCGAAAGTTATGATTCAAAGTGGGCGCTGTTCTGACATAAGAAACCGTTCATCAGATTACAATGTAACTCACAAAGGTTCTGTAAAGAGAGCGTAGGTCCTTCATCAATTGAAGCACGGTGAGGGGGTCGATGTTCTGAAGATCCAGCATTGCTTCCAACTCCCCAATGGTCATGTTGGCTATGCGCTGTCCGAGAGCATCAAGACCCTTCACTGTTAGACATCAAACAATCAAAGGCAAGGTAACAGCAGGATGAAGTAACAAGTGCATTTGTCATAGGCCTGAAATTTGTATGTGCTAACAATAGGCCTACCAGATTACACTAATGCACAACTGTTGCACAGGGTGAGTAAAAAAAAACGAAACCCAAATGTCGGGACCATTGTTTTAGTGAAGTTCTTCATGTAGCACTTTAAAAACCCAGGATATGAAAGCCCAATTTAAAAGCTTTCTTTTAGTACAAGAATCATCCAAGTCACGCATGTACTTTTTAAGTTACGGAATTTTAAACACAACCACTATTTTAAAGTTCTGTCCACGGATCACAAAAAAGGTGTGCGTTCTTTCAGCAAATCAAAAACAATTTACACAAATCAAATCAAAAACAATTTACACAAATCCTTATGTTATTTGTTTTCGTTTTGCTGAAAGAACACTGAACTTTTTGTGATCCGTGGACAGAACCTTAAAACAGCGGTTGTGTTAAAAACTCCGTAATTTGAAAAGTACATGAGTGATTTGGATGATTCTTGTACGAAAAGAAAGCTTATGAATTGAGCTTTCATATCCTAGATTTTGAAAGTGCTACAAGCAGAACTTCACTAAAACAATGGTCCCGACATTTGGGTGTCAGGTTTTTTTACTCACCCTGTATAAGCACGCTGTAACCTTGGGAAGTTTGAAAAGAAACTTATTCTATAGATTATGGCGGAAGTTTCCACAAAGTCCCGGGCAAGCATTCATAAAATAGTCAGAGCCAAAGCATAGTGTGAAATCAATCAACTCATATAATACTCAACCAGTTTTTCAACTACTTCAAAACAGTGCTTCATCAACTTACGTGTTAATCCTCCACCGATGATGGTATTTCCTTGCCATGTACCATTGTCAGCACCTGCTCCTAGGCTAAGGCCAAACAAACTAGCTCCTCCTGCAATAAAACAAAGTGCATTGTTATATCAAGGTAATAGATGGTGATTTTTCAGTGGTCGAGAACTGAGCCTGTGATGTGCCACAAACATGCATGTACTGTGTCATAGGCAAATACCCCGTGGTACATGAGTGATGTACCCCACGGGGTACATTACCTTGATTGTCCCCGCTGTTGAAAGGGTTGTTTCCACCACTTTGTATAATACAGGTTGAGTAAACAAAACCACCCAAATGTCGGGACCATTGTTTTGGTGAAGTTCTGCATGTAGCACTTTCAAAATCTAGGTTATGAAAGCCCAATTCATAAGCTTTCTTTTAGTACAAGAATCATTCAAATCACTTATGTACTTTTCAAGTTACGGCATTTTAAACACAACCACCATTTTAAGGTTCTGTCCACGGATCACTAAAGAGGTGTGCGTTCTTTCAGCAAAACAAAAACATGCACACAAAGCCCTATGTGATTTGTTTTCGTTTTGCTGAAAGAACACTGAACTTTTTGTGATCCGTGGACAGAACTTCAAAACGGCAGTTGTGTTTAAAACTCCGTAACTTGAAAAGTACATGAGTGATTTGAATGATTCTTGTACTAAAAGAAAGCTAATGAATTGGGCTTTCATATCCTAGATTTTAAAAGTGCTACATGCAGAACTTCACTAAAACAATGGTCCCGACATTTGCATTTCGTTTTTTTTTAACTCACCCTGTAGAAATAATTGGGTAAGAGGCTTCGCGCACAGACAGCGCGCACACGCGTGTACACATGGTGGATGAACGTGTGTGCATTATGTAGGATTGACGCACATAGACCCCGGTCGCAGCTGTGATTGGTTCGTAACGGGCCAGGGATTAAAGGATTGATCTATTCGGGGATAAAGTAAATTAATTTGTGTTCTCGTACGTGCAATGAAAAAAAATAACATTCTGTGCGAAAATTCATGGTGCAGTAATCGTAAGTCTTTTCAAAATAATACTTCAATGATTACTGCACGGCAACTGGAGGAAACCCACAATTTCAGATGGTTGGAATCTATTAACGAGGTATAACAAAACAATTGTTGCCTGCAAGGATTGAGGTCCATGGGTTTTGTACACTCTCGGGTGCAAATGGCAGCCTCGGCTTTGTTGAGACAATAGTCTGGTGGATTTTTACATGCCCTGTTATTGTCGTAAACTGACTACTGTTCATCATTCACCAAACCAGCTATCTTCCAACATTACCTGAAGTCACTGAGATCGATACATCCCTTCTCTTTCTGCTTGTTACTGGAGTTTCATCTTCATCTTCATTGCCAAAGACGAGTAGACCCATGGAGCGACGGCTTGCCGTGCCTGATTCCGGAACCCCTACGATAGGAAATACACAAATGAAGTCAATTTCAAGAAGGACATTTTCTGTTTTACAAAAACAAAACACAATGGACACTTACTCAGTGCATCACAAAAACTGTTTTAAAGTTGAACAAAGAAATGGCTGGGGTAGAGTTTGAACCTAGGACCTCTAGCTCGCTGTTTCAGTGCTCTACCAACTGAGCTATCCAGTGCTACGTTGGTGGTCCCCCATTTTGTCAATGTCTTTGTTCGAGGGCGCTAGTCAGAAGCCAGAAACCCGTACACATGTACACCATGTAGCTGGGATCACGCCGAAAGTCACGATATGACTTGTGACTGACTTGTGACTGACTTGTGATTTGACTTGTGAGTGACATGCAATTTGACATGTAACTGAATTGTGATTTGACTTTTGACTGACTTGTGATTTGACTTTTGACTGACATGTGACTAGACTTGTGATTGACTTGTGATTTGACTGTGACTGACTCGTGATTTGACTTGTGACTGACTTGTGATTTGACTCGTGATTTGACTTTTGAGTGGCATGTGATTTGACTTGTCATTTGACTTTTGACTGACTTGTGACTGACTTGTGATTTGACTTGTGATTGGACTTGTGACTGACTTGTGATTTGACTTGTAACTGACTTGTGATTTGACTTGTAACTGACTTGTGACTGACTTGTGATTTGACTTGTGATTGGACTTGTGACTGACTTGTGATTTGACTTGTAACTGACTTGTGATTTGACTTGTAACTGACTTGTGACTGACTTGTGATTTGACTTGTGACTGACTTGTGATTTGACTTGTGACTGACTTGTGATTTGACTTGTGACTGACTTGTGATTTGACTTGTGACTGACTAGTGATTTGACTTGAGACTGACTTGTGATTTGACTTGTGACTGATTTGTGATTTGACTTGTGACTGACTTGCGATTGGACTTGTGACTGACCTTTGATTTGACTTGTGACTGACTTGTGAGTGGCATGTGATTTGACGTGTCATTTGACTTGTGACTGACTTGTGATTTTACTTGTGACTGACTTGTGATTTGACTTAAACTGATTTGACTAACATAATTTTCCAGACATTATTATTTTTTTTCAAATACCAGTTTTTCGGCCAAATTTCCTTTAATATTTTAGCCAGCATGCATTTTACAAAACATGACTCACTGGGCTTGACCACTTTCTCCGGCTGCAGCTTTGTCATGGCGTTATCCTCTGCTGAATACGAGGTGGAGCCTTCACTAAGAATGGTCTTAAAGTAGGCCCTGGCCTTGTCTATAGGGTTAGCTGTCACATCATCTACGCTTTCCATTCCCTCAGCAGATTCACTGGTACTACATGGAATAGAAACATAGACAATGGCAATTCTTTCATTCATTTGTTCATTCACTTTCGTGATGACTTGATGAGTTTGGCCCAACTGTCACTGTCAAGCATAGTGTTGGAAAGAGATTGTCCAGTTTCCAGGATGCTTAAAGGGTCATGTTGGGACGACCTCTATATAAATGTGACCGGCTAGCTGAAGGCGACGCTGTCTGGTGATGGTGGAGATAGGGGAAGGGCACCGTATTGAACAGAGTTAGGGAGATGTTGTTGCTAAGAAACGCTCTGTACAGCGCACAACATCAATGTATAGGTGCCATCGATGTAGAGATCTGTTTGGTCAGGGTCCAGGACTCACAACCATAGAGGAGGATGGATTCCACTGAAGTGGCAATGGCAATGAGAATTGAATTTTAATAGACTATCAACTAATTGCATATCAGCAAATGTTCTATGGATGTGCTATCGAATTAATCCCACTGTACTGTCCTAAACCACTCTGCCTGTTACTCTCTGTACCGCCCGAAACTGCCCAAGTAATCAATGTTTTTTTACGGATAGAAATATAGATGTAAATAGCGATAAAATTGTATTAGTAGAGTTATTTCCAAAACGCAAAACTGTGGATGCTGTTTGAAAAGGTTGATTGATTGTCCACTCACAGGTCGTCCACACTTCTTCTCTTTCTCCTTGTGCTGCTGCCTCCACCTTGCTGATCAGCACAATGTGATCCTGAGAACATTGCATCTCTGAGAATGACGATGGGTTCATCACACACACCCTGCCAGCACAAGCTGATGTCTAGATCCACGTCATAGATAGTATTGTGGGGACGCTCCACGTCATACCTGCAATGAATAAGAGTCTGTTATAGAGGAGCAAGCTTGATCAAGGACCACTAGTTGACTATGGTGTTGATTTGTGACACAACGTATGAAGTGTTAAAGTCTCAGGTCAGTTGAACTTCAGCACCTGGCCCTGACAATATTTATAGCTTTTGATAACCAGGAATGTGACCAACCTCAAGGCTGGTACCCAACAGAGGACTTGATTCATCCAGTCGACTAACTTTCCCAGGTGAAAATTCCAGATGACTGGTTTCAACTGGTACTGACTCCATAAGAATTACAAGTTGGTTACTGGTTTATTCAACTAGTTTTAACTGGTTTCTGTTAGAAAACCAGTTGAATACCAGTTGGCACCAGTTGAATCCAACAGGAACCAGATGGAGACAACTTAAGTCCAGTTGAAACCTGTTGAAACCAGTTTCAACTGCAATTTTCACCTGGGATATGGGCTAGTAAAAGCATGATTAATCACAGTTCTTCATCAACTTGCTTGAAGATTTCAGCTTATTGTTATTCTAACCATGACAATTTTGATGGAAGCTCTTCCTTATACACACATGCCTTGATGCATTTATGACCACCGAACATGCCGAATGTGCACAGGAAAGGTCAAATGGGGTCGCTTAACCCTTAAACTGCATAATTACAAGCCTTGTTTGATAAAAGTCACCTAATTTATGAATTGTGCAGATCCAGCAGCTCCCTCTCAACTGGAGTCCAAGCCAAAACAATTAGCAAAAAGTTATTTAGGTCAGGAAAAAATAGGGACACGGAGTTAGCCTCCATACGTGAATGCTTGACATAATTGGTCTCACCTGATTTTCAAAACTCCCAGGTTTTTCTCAAAGGAATGAGCTGTGGAAAAAAAATAGCACTTCATTAAAAATAGTATCAAATTGATTCTACGGTTCCCTCTGAAACTTTTCTCAATTTCTTTGCAATGTCTTTACAGATTTTTGAGATTTTTGGATTTTTTGGAAGATTTTTGGTATGAAATCTAGGTACATAATCTTGTAAATATTTGTTGAAAATACTAGAGCACAAAAATTACAACATCTACAATACAATACAAAACAGTTTTTCATATTAAAATTAGTTCGACTGAATGTGTCATGTACTCTTCGATATGTTTTTAGAGATTTAAACCGAATATTAGCATTCTCAAAGACCACAACGGCTTTGCACTTCAGCGGTTTATATTCACCTGACATGAATTCACTAACGGAAGCACTGTATTAGTTTTAATATGTCAGTGTTGATCTGAATTCTTTGTGTCAGTGCAACAAGGTCGTAACTCCATTTCGCAACAAAGACGTATCTTGCGCGAATACGCTCCTTGCAACAAGTTCCTATCTCGACGTCCATGATGTGTACATCCAGGTTATTTTAAGTGAGATACGATCTATTGACATTCTGAAACTCGCGTTTCACATACGGCCCATTTTAGGAGATACGACCTTGTTGCATGCACACAACGAATTCAACTCTTTCTTACACTGCAGTAGTTGAATGCCGAGCATCTCCGTGTGACTCCATTTCTCAAAGCCAAATGAGAAGGTGCGAGCGCAGGGGTCCAGCTTAACCCAGGTTGAGAATGACCTCTGAACTACGCCCAGGTCAAGGTTCAAGCAGCAACCCACCCCGAGACATGACTGGTCCAGGGAGCAGTACTGGGCGATGGAGGATGGCAAGGAGAGGGAACTGCAGCCTGATGACAACAAAAACATGAATTTTGGCTTTAAAACATTTCACCGATGAAGCGGGATTAAAGAAGGCATGCAGATGTATTTTTAATGTGCCACACTTGCCTGTGCTTGATGGTGTGATCTGCTCTGGTGGACCGCTGCACGGTTGAGGCAAGAGAACATCAGTGCTGACACCGAGACGGTTCACCACAAGGCCACTAGCATAGTCACCAATGCCACCAACTGAAGAACAAACGCAAGGCGACAATATTAAAACTCGGAATAAATCTTATTGTGATCATTTTGAAATATCATTCAGAATTTGTTAGTAGTCAAGAGCGGATCCAGAACACTATTTTTTGGGGGCCAAAAAAAATTTGGTCCTCCAAAAAAGAAGTCCAAAATATTACGGCGAGGGGTTCAGGGCCCGCTTAAGGGCCCCGAAAGGTTTTGTGGATTCTAGATGCTCTGTGGTGCGATCTGAGGCAATTTCTGACCACTTTTATAACCAAATCTTTTTGAGGAAAAGATGGTGGTGTGCGAAGTGCCTGCCTTTATTGCGACGTCACTTTAAAAAAGGGGGTTCCCTGGATCCGCCCTCATTAGAAGTAAGTAGTTGTTGTTAGTAGTGAGTAGTATCTGTATAAGTTTTAAATAGCAAGAAAGAGTTCTGACTTACTGTGCTTATTATCCAGACCTTGTCTACAAGGAACAAGTTGAATTCAAATTGCTGCATTATGTGTTGAAAATCTCTCTTGAGATCGGGGTCCATTCTGCTTACATTGGCAACATTTGTGCAAGTGCGACAGACTGTTTCCCACCAACATTGGTGAACTTTCATTGGTGAACAACATTGTATAAACGGAACTTACCCAAGTCTTGAGCCCACTCCAAAGTACCGTTGGGATTACAGAATGGTATCGGTGCTGTGAAGTCCTGTAGGATGGCAATGTCAGGAGCACAGACTCCAGCGATGCAGAGTTGCAGGGAGAGGGAGAGGAGGAAGTTACGGTTGTCTGTGGTCTTGTCGACGGTGAAGGTGAGCAAGACGGCATCACTCAGTCTTTCCCTTGTCACTTTGCCCCACTTGTAACTGCAATAAAGGCCAATTCACCAGGACTGTAACTTTCTGCAAGTTCATCATTCTGAATATTTGAACTGTGTAATGTTTGTCTGTCATCATCATGTCCTCGTAATTACTACTTCAAAATGCAGGCATCAAACTCATTTTCTTCACTCACCCCTGGCAGTCAGGTTGGCGTAGCAGTACTTTCCTCGCCTTCCAACACTGTGACCCGGGTTTGATTCCTGCCTGGGCCAATATGCGGATTTGGTTTTCAGTACCCGTCTGATTCCGTGGGTTTTCCTCAGAATATTCTTCTGGGGTTTTCCTCCCACCTCCAAAACTGTAATTTCTTCACATTGTCTTCTCTTTACTGGGCCTCACGGGAGACCAGTAAGTTCCACTGACTGGGCTACCCATGCAGTTAAAATAATACATAAATAGAAATATATAAACTCATCTTCAACAGAGTTTCTCTTGTAAAAAATGAAATATGAAATAGGATGACCCTCAACCTTTGATTTAAGGTCATAGTAAACAAATCTGGCCAGAGAGTTGTTGTACACTTGTAGAGTTTATTTCCCTAAGGAGACATATCCATTTAAACAAAGTGACCATTTTGCATGCTCATGAACTTTACAGAATAAAAAACAGTACAACAGCTGTTTCTAAAATTCATTTTTTTGCCTTACTGTATTAAGTTTAAGTTGCGTTTAAGCCAGGAGAGAGCAGGATTCTAACAGGGAACAAAATGGCGTATATTGCGTTTTTGAAATAAACTCTTCATTTGAAGGCCCCCCCCCCCAGTAATGGCAGAAGCATTGTGCCAGCTGTTGTACAAAACAACTTCTCCCTGACGGTTCCTCTGAACAAAGGTTGACACAATGCATCCTCGAGCTATTTATACTGGGAACTGCCGTGAGCATGCAACTCTGTGCCCAGATCAGTCTATACCCTTTCTCTGCTTGCATTGAAGAGTCCATTATAGAGTCATCCATACCTCAAAAGAGTGACATTGTAACTCCAGTTCTCAAATCCAACGCTCAGTTTGAAATCACAGGGGTCTACAATCAGCCAGGCCCTCAGGGTGCGACTGATGATGCCGAGGTCTACTGCTAGACAACACTCCACCCCCAGGCAGGCATCTGAATAGTGACATACACCCCCCGACGGAAGGGTGGGCAGAGAGGGGAGGTGTGGACAAACTAAAGAAAACAGAACAGAAAGTGATATTTGAAAAGGAGAAGAGTTGTTTCAGAAATACTTAATTCATGTTGTAACATTTGTTTTCTATCCATGAGAGTGTGAAATGGCCAATTTTAAGAAATCCAATCTCGTTGTTTCAATAAAACATTCAGCCTTCACCTCCACAAAATAACACTGCTGTCACTTCAGCTGTTGACCAGTTAAAATAAATATTTGGGGGAATAACGTCCTAATTTTTTTTTAAATTTAACTCTGACATCTTCACTGGAGTATATGTATATGCAAATAGTTTTTACACAATAAGTTAATATTTTCTGGAAAATTTAGTGATGCATGCAATATTCATATCCATTTTTTCATTGTCAATCAAGTCCTTTTTATTTTGGCCATTTTCATTGGCTCTAATTTGGCCAAAAAAGGAAGGAGAAAAATTTAAAAAAACGGTCCCTACCTCCAGACTGACCAGGCTGGATCACAGGTGGGCAAGGTGAGGCTGAGACTAGACGTGATGGCAAGCCAAGAGCCTGAGCCACAGCCTCAAATCCAGCATCCAGGCTTCCCAACTGAGAAATGGAGGTTATACCTAGCAGTGATCAAAACAAAACAGTGTATTGTCAAGTCACTAAATAGAACAAAATAGGGAAAACGAGAGGTTAAATATAACATCTACATAGGTTTTCATTTCATAAACATTAGAGGGGCCGATATTTCAGTCCTACCTGTGTCTTTGCAAAGGTAAAATGACATGGGCATGAACAGTAGCAAACAAGCAAGCGACACACTTGTGCAGAAGTGTTGTGCAAACCCGACCCAAAACCGAAACCGAATCGACTCGAAACTGACTTCGGGTCGGGTCGTGTCGGTTTGTCCGTCATTTAAGTTGGGTCGGCTTGATTTCGATTTTGTGTTTGCAATTTTTGATTTGATTTTTAATTGATTTTCGATTTTGGGTTTGCAATTTTTGGGTCGGGTCGGGTCACTTTAAGCTATTAATCTGAAATAGCCCCCAAAAAATCTGAAACAGTTCAAAAATTCACACGATGCAATATTTATTGCAGAGTCACTGTGCCCAGGATGGCAAACGGTGGTTTGCAGTCTATCATGTACGGTCTATAACATGTACCGGTAGGCCCACCAGTACAGTAGGTCACGTTGTGAGTACTTACCGTACGGTATGATTCAGGTACTGAGAGACAACAATTTTCATGCGATGTGGGTATTAAGTTCAGGCACAAAAGCGGACACAGTTGCCCAAGCCAGATATTCAGGGGTTTTTTCAGGTCGGTTTGGTTGCGGGTTGGTTTGGGTTGGTTATCCTTGAATATTTGTCAGGTCGGTTTTAGGGAGTTCAGATTGGTTTCGGTTCAGATCGGTTTATATCTATAATGTTTCGGGTCGGTTTGGCCTTGTCAACCCGACCCGATGCACAACACTAATGTGCAGATGGAAGGGCTTTCTCTTTGTCGTAAAATTAAGCTGAATAATCTTACCTTGTAAGTTACTCCAGGAGATGGTTCCGTTGGGAAAGCACATAGGAAGAGGGGATACCGCACCATCTAAGATCATTAGTTGTCCGGTGCAATGACTATCGATGCAGGCATCTATGGACAGACTGACTGATATCTGACCATCCATTAGAGCCAGTGTGTATCTGCAATTATCAAACCATACATACACAAAAATATTCTAATAAATCAATTGGATATCTGTTTTGTTCTTCTAGTACTAACATGCATGAGTCGGCCTTGGTTTAAGTCAGATGTGGTTAAACAGGTGAGCATATTAAATAAATTGAAATAATTTTATTGCTCTCAATTATAAAAAAGTCAAACCTGAATAAGGCATCCCTTTTTATTGTTAAGCTCTGGCAGAAGTTTCTACATGTCACTTCATGGTTGGTCAGTCGGTCGGTCTGTCCCCAGAAAATTGACCAAAAAACTAGCTGCTTTTGTTTCCCATAAAATACTAAAACTAGAGACAATACCTACTTGGCTTTATTTGATTTAGCAATCTATACAATTGCAATTGCAAATTCCTTTTTCTTCAGATTTTTATATTTTTTTGTCTGACCAACCCTACTTCAAGGGCAAACAAATATGTGAACCATAAAAATAAAAAGGGATGCCCATATATTTATAGGTAAATCAACTTTTGCATGTTTCTAACTTCACCTACAGGAAACATTGAAGACTTGATCAAAATGGTTCTCACGTAAAATTTATATAATTCTGGTAGTATGAGTTTATCATATAATTGAAATATAAATAAGTCAACTGTTAAACAGAATAAAAATGTGCCAACCCCATTGGATAGTTTTTCTTTAATTAAAGGATACTTTTTTTCATATCAGTTTACACTTGAAGAACAATTGAGGAAAATGAAACGCCATTATTACCCAAGTGTTATAAAGTTTCCAATGGTGACTTCCTGCCTGGTATCAAAGTCCAGGTGTGAGAGAGATTTACTGTACTGCCAGTTGCCAAACTGTAGCGTCAGTTGGCCCAGGCACGGATCTATCACCATAGAGGCACTGAATGAGTGATGCAGCGGTCCGAGGTTCACTTCCAGACAGCACTGTATGCCAAAGCAAGTGTCCAGGATGCCACAGCGAGCCAGGGAGGTCAGGTTACTGGGAAGCTGCATGTGAGGACAATCTGGAATGAAATGAGGTTACACTGTAACATTTGATTGTATGGTCCGAGGTTCACATTCAGTCAGCGCTGTATGCCAAAGCTAATGTCCAGGATGCCACAGTGAGCCAGGGAGGTCAGGTTACTTGAGGCTTCATGTGGGGACAAGCTGGAATGAAATGAGGTTACTCTGTAACATTTAATTGTATGGTCTGAGGTTCACATCCAGGCAGCATGTCTGCCAATGCAAGTGTTGAGGATGCCACAGCGAGCCAGGGAGGTCAGGTTACTAAAAGCTACATGCTGGGACAATCTGGAATGAAATGAGGTTACACAGTATAACATTTGATTGTATGGTCCAAGGTTCACATCCAAGCAACACCGTATGTCAAAGCAAGTGTTCAGGATGCTACAGTGAGCCAGGGAGGAAAAGTTACTAAGAATCTGCATGCTGGGATAATCTGGAATGAAATGAGGTTACTCTGTAACATTTGATTGTATGGTCTGAAGTTCACATCCAGGCAGCACTGTATGCCAAAGCAAGTCTTGAGGATGCCACAGCGAGCCAAGGAGGTTGAGGTTACTGGGGAGCTGCATGCTGGGGCAATTTGGAATGAAATAAGGTTACTCTGTAACATTTGATTGTATGGTCCGAGGTTCACATCCAGGCAGCATTGTATGCCAAAGCACGTGCTCAGGATGCCACAGTGAGCCAGGGAGGTCAGGTTACTGGGGAGCTGCATGCTGGGACAATCTGGAATGAAATGAGGTTACTCTGTAACATTTGATTGTATGGTCTGAAGTTCACATCCAGGCAGCACTGTATGCCAAAGCAAGTCTTGAGGATGCCACAGCGAGCCAAGGAGGTTGAGGTTACTGGGGAGCTGCATGCTGGGGCAATTTGGAATGAAATGAGGTTACACTAACATTTGATTGAATGGTTCGAGGTTCACATCCAAGCAACACTGTATGCCAAAGCAAGTGTTGAGGATGCCGCAGCGAGCCAAGGAGGTTGAGGTTAATGGGGAGCTGCATGCTGGCGCGATCTGGAATGAAATGAGGTTACACAGTATAACATTTGATTGTATGGTCCAAGGTTCACATCCAGGCAGCAACTTATGCATGTGCTATATGTCAGTAGAACAATTGATGCAGCATGCTCCGTCATTCTGAGATTTATTTCTCAATACTAAAAACAGATTAGATTATGAACTTACTGCCATAGGACTGGGGTCCACTTGGGTTGACACACGGTACATTACTGAAGAAGTCTGGGTCAATTCCGAGCTGTGACAGCAGGGCCAGTGATGCTCCCTGAATGACCTGTCCTGATATCGTCTCTATGAAACCATCAGCTGAATTGAAATATTAAAAAGGATCATATTGGGTAAGTCATGTTTGGATGAGGTCACAATAGAAATGTGAAGATTAAGTGTGTGGATTCTGACAAGAGAAACATTTGACAGACACTTGAATTGACGCGAAAATTAGTGTGGATGTTATGTCCTGCACACTTAAAGGGAATATACAACATTTGCAAACATCCAAAAATTATTATGAAATACTTTACTGGACTATTAGTGAATGACAGTCTAAAGTATCCTGTAAAATCGTGGCACCTGGTGTGCTGTCATTTTCAAGTAAAGTGGTATTTTTGTATCAATTTCCAACGCTGGTCGGCCGACCATCGTTGGAAAAAACTGGCTTTTTCTCGAACACTGCCCCAAATTTACCATATTTAGTTGGTCCGTATTTTGTTTGCAATCGATTACACACCTATGAACGGGTACAAACCAGCTAAACTGGTTCTCTGACCTTACAATTCCCCGACGTCTATAAATTGCTCCGTTTTATCTTAAATGGGGTCAGGAAACTAGACTACATGAACATGATTGCTTTTCTTGGTTTTTCCAGCATCTACGAGCCCAAAACTTCAAACAAGTCAGTGTAGTAATATTTGCTATAAAATACTAACCCCCAAATCCATCCATTTCTGAAAATTTACAGCAAAAGCAAATGTTGTATATTCCCTTGTGCAGCACACAACTACATCTTTTCTTCTAGCACGGAGTTGTTTGAGCCAGTCTAGGTTTGGCTGGGCTGGGTTGTATCCAGGAGGGGGCAGGGATGCCATGGAGGGGGCTGGGATGGGTTCAACTCACCAGAGAGGGTGTAGTTGCTGAAGCCTGGATTGCAGATAGGAATGGGGATGTTATGCTGTATATTGATGTCAGAGCACAGCCCATCGATGCAATATTGTAGAGTCATGCTGATGGCAAACTCTTTGGTGTCATCACGCTTGTCGATAGAATACCTGGTTTTATGTAATACATGAATCAGTTCTGTCATTCACAACAAATATATTACAAGAAGTTTTGAGTGTTCAAAATTTTCGAAAAGGTTACTACAGTGGCACTACCTGCATCAAGATAATCATATTCAAACATTTTGAAGTCATTTCAATTATACCTGTAAATAAAAGAGTAGTTTATTAATTAATTAATCTGTATAATTAATTTGCCATGCTTCCCAGTTATGAAGTTCACTGAATTTTTTTCTTCATTAAAGTTGGCAACTGAATTTGATGAACAGTCAACGACACTACATGGTGTTTAATGCGGGGGAGTGTGGCCGAGTGGTTAGGGTTCATTCGTGACTAGTTATCAGAGGGTCGAGGGTCGAATCCAGTTGCTTGCCGTACGTTGTGTCCTTGGGCAAGCCACTTCACCCCCAAGCTTGCCTCTCTACACCAAGGAGTATAAATGGTTATCGGCATTAGCTGGGGAGTAACCTGCGATGGACTAGCATCCCATCCAGGGGGAGTAGAAATATTCTCAGTCGTTTCATGCCAAGGTAACCGGGGATAATGCCGGCCTGATGGGCCACACTGGCTCATGACAGATTTTACTTTACTACTACTCCGTAATGCAATAACAGAGACACAATATTCCTACCTCAATGTTATTCCAGAAGCTATGGGCTCTGTCATTTCCTCTCCTACGAAAGGTAAAATCGAGGGATAAATAATTTGAAAGAATAACATATTTTCAGTAATTTTAAAATTGTACAAAGAAATTGACAGGCATGGGGTTCGAACCTGTGACTCCCAGATTACTGTTCTGGCACTCTACCAACTGAGTTATCCAGATCTATGTTTGCTTTCCACGGATATCTTTGAAAAGCCTAACAAATTTTAAGTAATTTAAAATTGTACAAAGAATTGAAAGGCACAGGGTTCGAACCTGTGACTTACTGATAACTGTTCTGGCACTCTACCGACTGAGCTATTAAGCCCTACATTGGCATTCTACGGATGTCTTTGAAAAGCATAACAGATTTTAAGTAATTTTAAAATTGAACCAAGAAATTGAATGGAACGGGGTTCGAACCTGTGACTTCCGGATTACTGTTCCGGCGCTCTACCAACTAGCTTTCCAGCCCTACATTGGCATTCCACGTATGTCTTTGTTCAAGGGGCACGAAGCCACAATCCTGTATGTGTCGTCATTGGCATGTAGTAAGGAGGTATAATTTCACAGGGTATTTGATACCAGCCCTAGTTATCTTCACTTTCAGCAAGGTTGCCGTCTTTAAATTGGTAGGTACTATTCTGGGTGGCTATAAGTTTGTAATTCTACGGGTGTCCAGCTACCAAACCCTCTTAAATGATCATCTCCACCATCACAGCAGCCCTGCTTGCAATATGAAACGCTTACCCCACTGATAGCTGAAGACGGACCCATGGAAGGACCACTTCTCCAGGCCCAACGAGAAGGTGAAGTCGCAGGGGTCAAACTTGAACCAAGCCGTGGCCGAGACATCAGCTATCTTCAGGTCCAGGTCCAGGCAGCATCGCAGCTCTGTGCAGGTCTCTCCGATCACGGTGCAGTTGCCTAGGATAGTTGTGGAACTCGCGCAGACGTCTTGAGAGAAAGACAGCAATTATTTGTTAAGTTGGTTCAGTGATTCACAACAGTCACAAATTACCAGAGACATTCCAAAGATTATGTCACCATTTAAATGACATGACTCGTACACACTGTGTGGTGTCAGTTTGTGGAAACCGCGTAATCAATAATTTCCGTTTCATGAACTAATACGTGGGGATGTGCAGACAGTGCGCGCGCACTTCATACACTCACGCGTAATACAATAATTCTGTTTTCACGAACTGAAACACATGTGGTAGAAATACAAATCGGAGAAAAAATGCTTTGAAAGGTTCGACACAAATTTACTCAATTCGTATATACTTACACACAATAATTAAAAACCTTTTTACTGATGAGATTACGATCAGTTTCAGTTCAACAAACGAAAATGTATGGAGTGCGTCCATCTAGTGTCAGTTGTCAGTTCATGAATCCAAAATAACGCAGTTCTGTAAGGTACGTGCGTATGCCGGACACTCACAGGCAACTGAGTGTCAGTTTTAATTGACAAATTTATCAATTTTTTCTTCAGAGTTTATGCTGAAACTCTTTGAGGTTTTTTATAGGTTAACATTATTCAACAACATCAAAAGTACATTTAATAATTAAGACACATCAAGACTCATTTGCCAATGCAAATCACACCTTCCGATTTGCCCCTAACAGCTAATCTTCTTAACCCTGAAAACCTCTTAAATCCTATTGGAGTTGGCCTGGGTCTGGTCTTTGCCTCCAAACTTCTGGGTCAAAGTTCAAGCAGGGTTAAAGGGGCACTCAAGATGCTTTTAGCTATGTCTCATTAGTGAACTGCTGGAGTTTGAGTTTTTTTACGGAAAAATGACTGAGTAATTAAACATTATTTTAAAACGTACTGAAAAGGTCAGTACTGTCGCACACAACAGAGTTAAAACTCACCTTGTCTGTGATAGGTGCATGCCTGTCCTGACAGGAAGCTGCCCAGATGTAGATGACGCAGGGCTGCATCTATGGCAAACTGACCGATATTACCACCGAGGTAATCCAAAAAGCCTGATACAGTGCCGTCACCTGCAAGTTTCCAAATAACAAAGAAAAAATTACAGCACATTATTCAAGGACCACATACACCACTATTGAAGGGCCAATGAAATGAATAGAAACATATTTTGTGTAACTTTCTACTCCTTGTAAATGTATAATAATTATTTGACATCCCTTTTTGGATGATTTTATTGAAAAGTGCACTTTTTTTAACATTGAACAATTGGATGCTTTTCCGGACAACTGAGGGGGCTGTTGCTGTGATGTCACTTCAGGAAGACACTGCTCAGTTAAGGGGTTTTCTGTTCAAATTGTGAACCCAAATATTTGCTCATTGAAAACGTCCGTAAGAAAAGTTCGCTCATGGGCTTACTGCAATGTACTGACACAGCTACGAATCACAACAGAGAATAAAATGTACCATGCAGAATATTCTAAGTCTTTAGATCTTCATAATAAACTGGTGTCTTGTGTTCCTTCTTCCATTCTCGGATTTATTAGATGGTGTTCATGTGTTATCAGTGATTCGAATTGACTCAAGCATAAATTTGACTTGACTAGACTCGACAACACACTGTGACTCGATTGACTCGACTTAACCTTCTTGACCTAATGACTTGACTCGACTAGAGTCACTTCCAAAATTCAATCACATGTTACAACTCTGTGGACTATAACCTATTTGGAATAAGCTGTGCCTGTAGAGGCACTGCATTCAAATTTAAAGAGAAACCAACTTGACCCCAAAAACTAAAAACAATTGAACAAAACACAGAGAAAAAAAATGCTATTTGTTATGATGCGACATCATAGTAGGTTCAAAACATACCTGGCAGTGAGAATGAAGCCTCCCTGTTGCACAACGGTATTGGGAAACGACTGCCCTCCAATATGATCACTGTGTCACATTCTCCATCTATGCAGAGGACTAGGGACAAGTCTACCTCAAACTCCTTGTCTTCTGTGATTTTAGCCACACGCCATCTTCAAGATACAAATATAAACAACTTAGTCAGAATATTGATTTAATTCAAGTTGCAGTTTTTTTTTTTAAATTCACACACAATCTTGCCTGCAACCGCACTTTCAAACATTTTTCAGTACAATTAGCAAGCAACACAATGGTGCTCATGCTCAGCGTTTTATAAGGTTTCATAACCCAGAGATTGCAAGTTATTTTTTAGGGGTTGATCACTGAATGTTCAACAAATCAATGTTAACCGTTTCCTAAAGTGGACATTTGATTATGGGATTGATCAAACAAGCTTGCCCATTCACGTACGTTTACATGTCTAAATTAAAAAAAAAAAAAAAATCAAAATTTGATCACAGATTTTTTTTCCAAACGTTTAAAATGGACCCCAATTTATAAAAATGAATGTGTTTTTGTATTAACTTGATTTGCCTCCCAGTTTTGTTATATCGAGAATATAGGATGTCTATTTAATAACAAAGCATGACGAGAAAATTTGACTTGATCACAATCAAGGAAGTTAATTTTAAGCACTTTTCAATGATCAGCAACTATCTATGGAGTCACCCAACATCAAATTTCCATGACTCTACCAAGAACAGGGAAAGGTGTCAGCTTTTGTAAGGCATTGGCAAAACATTAATACCATTATGTGAAATAAATGTTACCAAATTAAACATGGATTGTTATCCTAAATGCACGGTCATGGTCGTACCTGACTCTCAGGATGCTATTCACAACTTCCTCCATGACATCGCCCAGCGGGTAATGGAACAAGGTCACACTACGTTCCCACTTCTCAAAGCCCACAGACAGGGTGAAGTTGCAGGGATCCAGGATGACCCAGGCACTGACGCTGCGAGTCGTTATCTTCAAGTCCATCTCCAGACAGCATCTGATACCCAGGCAGGAGTCCGAGACAGTGCAAGAGAGGAAGTCGGGGAGCTGGGTGACGTCAACGGCTGGACAGGCTGGGGAGGAAGAGAATCAATGACACATATTAAAAGTGACAATGCTGGGCTTGGAATTGATGACAGTGCAAGAGAGGAAGTCAGGGAGATGGGTGAAGTCAACGGCTGGATAGGCTGGGGAGGAAGAGAATCAATGACACATATTGACAGTGACAATGCAGGACTATGGAATTGGTGACAGTGCAAGAGAGGAAGTCGGGGAGCTGAGTGGCATCAACAGCTTCACAGGCTAGGAAGAGGACCAAGGACACGTATTAAAAGTGACAATGCAGGGCTTGGAATTGGTGACAGTGCAAGAGAGGAAGTCAAGGAGCTGGGTGACATCAATGGCTGGACAGGCTGGGGAGCAAGAGAATCAAGGACACATATTGACAGTGACAATGCAGGGCTTGGAATTGGTGACAGTGCAAGAGAGGAAGTCAGGGAGCTGGGTGACGTCAACGGCTGGACAGGCTGGGGAGGAAGAGAATCAATGACACATATTGACAGTGACAATGCAGGACTATGGAATTGGTGACAGTGCAAGAGAGGAAGTCAGGGAGCTGAGTGGCATCAACAGCTTCACAGGCTCGGAAGAGGACAAGGACACGTATTAAAAGTGACAATGCAGGGCTTGGAATTGGTGACAGTGCAAGAGAGGAAGTCAAGGAGCTGGGTGACGTCAATGGCTGGACAGGCTGGGGAGGAAGAGAATCAAGGACACATATTGACAGTGACAATGCAGGACTATGGAATTGGTGACAGTGCAAGAGAGGAAGTCAGGGAGCTGAGTGGCATCAACAGCTTCACAGGCTCGGAAGAGGACAAGGACACGTATTAAAAGTGACAATGCAGGGCTTGGAATTGGTGACTGTGCAAGAGAGGAAGTCAAGGAGCTGGGTGACGTCAACGGCTGGACAGGCTGGGGAGCAAGAGAATCAAGGACACATATTGACAGTGACAATGCAGGGCTTGGAATTGGTGACAGTGCAAGAGAGGAAGTCAAGGAGCTGGGTGACATCAATGGCTGGACAGGCTGGGGAGCAAGAGAATCAAGGACACATATTGACAGTGACAATGCAGGGCTTGGAATTGGTGACAGTGCAAGAGAGGAAGTCAGGGAGCTGGGTGACGTCAACGGCTGGACAGGCTGGGGAGGAAGAGAATCAATGACACATATTGACAGTGACAATGCAGGACTATGGAATTGGTGACAGTGCAAGAGAGGAAGTCAGGGAGCTGAGTGGCATCAACAGCTTCACAGGCTCGGAAGAGGACAAGGACACGTATTAAAAGTGACAATGCAGGGCTTGGAATTGGTGACAGTGCAAGAGAGGAAGTCAAGGAGCTGGGTGACGTCAATGGCTGGACAGGCTGGGGAGGAAGAGAATCAAAGACACATATTGACAGTGACAATGTAAGGCTTTGAATTGGTAACAGTGCAAGAGAGGAAGTTGGGGAGCTGAGTGACGTCAACGGCTGGACGGGCTGGGGAGGAAGAGAATCAAGGACACATATTGAAAGTGACAATGCAGGACTATGGAATTGGTGACAGTGCAAGAGAGGCAGTCCGGGAGATGAGTGGCGTCAACAGCTGGACAGGCTAGGAAGAGGACCAAGGACACGTATTAAAAGTGACAATGAAGGGCTTGGAATTGGTGACAGTGTAAGAGAGGAAGTTGGGGAGCTGAGTGATGTCAACGGCTGGACAGGCTGGGGAGGAAGAGAATCAAAGACACATATTGAAAGTGACAATGCAGCGCTTGCAATTGGTGACAGTGCAAGAGAGGAAGTCAGGGAGATGGGTGAAGTCAACGGCTGGACAGGCTGGGGAGCAAGAGAATCAATGACACATATTGACAGTGACAATGCAGGGCTTGGAATTGGTGACAGTGCAAGAGAGGAAGTCAAGGAGCTGGGTGACGTCAACGGCTGGACAGGCTGGGGAGGAAGAGAATCAAGGACACATATTGACAGTGACAATGCAGGGCTTAGAATTGGTGACAGTGCAAGAGTGGAAGTCGGGGAGATGAGTGGCGTCAACAGCTGGACAGGCTAGGAAGAGGACCAAGGACACATATTAAAAGTGACAATGAAGGGCTTGGAATTGGCGACAGTGTAAGAGAGAAAGTTGGGCAGCTGAGTGACGTCAACGGCTGGACAGGCTGGGGAGGAAGAGAATCAAGGACACATATTGACAGTGACAACGTGAGGCTTGGTATTTGTAGCAGTGCAAGAGAGGACATCGGGACGGCTTGGTAACAACAGGCAGGACAACTGTAGGAAGAAGAGAAGTCATGAAAATAGTGACAATACAGAAAAGATAAAATAACTTACTACTTCGGAATTCCCCTGGTGTTCCCCGGTCACACTGACTGGTGCTGAGATATTCCTGTTAAAAAGTAATTAATAACCAAATTGTACAATTTAAAGGTTGACAATCTTCTGTCTTGTAACAAATGTTTCTACATTTTGTGGGATAAATTTACAAATTCATTTTTTATTCAAAAGCCTATCTCCAAGGAGTTAACTTTCCAGATGTTTGAAAGATGTTTTAAGTTGGATCTAACTTGCGTAAATGGGTATGGCATAATTTCTGGAAATGAGAGAATTTCTCGAAGAGACGATAATTTTTCAAAAAAACACAAACATCTTTTTTTGGCTTTGTCAACCAAAAATGCAACTCTCACAAAAGAAGTTGAACTGCAAGCGTTTAAAGATTACTTGATTAACTCTGCAAGATTTAACAATGTTATTTTCCAAGATTAGCCTGTGATTGCCTCTTCCAAGAGAAAAAATAGATCAATTACAAAACCAATTACTGAGTCTATTTGAATTCACTCACACTCAGACCAAATTTCTCCAGCACCAGATCAATGGCCGAGTTTCCGATGCGACCGCCGAGATCTCTTATGAATCCCTCCACTGTGCCATCACCAGGCAAGGTGAATGACGTGGCATTAATGTTGCACAGGGGTATAGGGACCCAGACATGGTCTAGTACTGGGGTCATGGTGCAGGTGTCGTCAATGCACAACATCAGGTTCAGCGTCACAGAGAAGACTTTCCTCTCTGTTAGCTTGTCAATGGAATAGCTGTCGACAAAGAACAAGATTTCGAAAGTATGAAAAGATGATTACATTTCTTGAATCAAGTGAAAATTCACATATCGCCGGAATCAAACTGTTGTGGAATCATATTAAAATCATTAAAAAATCATCAGGCAAAAGGGCATACAATAACTCGTCTGTCAACGGATAACTGTTTAAAGAACAGGATGTTGTATGTCTGCCTATGGAATATTGGTACCTTTTAATAATAACCAAGATCAATAAATATTATGAATCAAGTGAAAGATAGTGTCAGCGTTAAATCAAACTGTCTTTGAAGATAATTAATATCATAAAGGTATCTTCAAGTGAGAAGAACATATCATAAAAATGACAGAATGACCACCACCAGTAGCAATGGAATAAATGTCAATAAAGATACACAATGCATCTAGGAAATCACAAAAAATGAGACAAATCCATGCTTTACATGCACATAATTGTTATAAGAAATTAAAGAGGTTGTGGAATGCTGAAAGTCGTTTTGTTTTTTATACTTTTTTATTTTAGAGTAAACCCATATATATCATAATGACAAACTCCCATTCTTTTGTAATGTGCGTTTATATGTTTATAAAACTGAAATTCATCGAGTAATTTGTTGGTCGACGAGCACATAATTGAAATCAACAGTCGTCGGGTTCTTCGTAAAATGAGAAAAATCGTGACGTAAAAAAAAGGACTCGTTTATACTACGCTGCATCGGGAGTCCTGTTTATTACATCACAGTTTACTACGTTTTGTTTGCTGCCCCGAACGACGACTTTTACACAAATTGCACGTTCGGGTCGAAACAGGCCCTGAAAAACAGCTCTCAAAAGTACCTTTTGTATTCATTTCATGACAGAAACAATAGTGGTTTTTATTTCATCAAACCTTAGTCTACATATACCCGAAAAATGACGGAAATGTCTTTCGAGCATTCCACAACCTCTTTAAAGTATCTGTGAATTATATTAAAATCATTAAAAAACTTTCAATTTAAGAGGATACTGGTATATAACAAAAAAGCACTGATCATGTCAGACCTACGCATTATAGAAATGAATTATGTCACCTTAATGCAATGGCATCTCCGAGTTCCGTTGTCTCCACCTTCCCCCACTCATAGCTGAAGAGGGTGATGTTCAGTTCCCAGTTCTCAAAGGCCACGTACAGCTGGAAGTTGCAAGGGTCGACTTGGATCCTTGCGCTCAGCATGAGTTCAGTGATGACAAAGTCAAGGTGGATGCAGCATTGGATGCCAAGGCAGCGATCGTCAATGGTGCATTGGACAACATTCTCCAGGAAGGGGAGGGAGATCATGGGGCAATCTTATTGAAAGAAGGAGAAAAAACCCATGAACGATGAAATTTTAGGATCACAAGAAGAGGACAACAGTGCTTTTTTCAACCTTTTTAAGCAGGCATGCAACTGAGAATTTCGAAAACAAGAGGAAATTCCAAACCACACAAGACTTTGTACTGTATTTTTCAATTTGTAATGGCATTCATGAGAAGTAAAAAACGAGGAAATCAGCGGATCCGAGGAAAAGTTGCATGCCTGTTTTAAGACATGTAGGATCATTACCAAAGTGGAGATAGACTGGTATCACATGTGACCTACTGTGGCAAAATGAGGAATGTCCCCCAAAACCATGTTTTGAGTAATCAACGCCTGAAGTTGGATACACTGGAAAAATCATGTCAAAATCAATATTGTTTTTTTTGTCTCATTTTTGAGTAGCCAAGGTATCCAAGATTCACACTATGCATTTTAGTTGGGAAAAAATTATCCCCAAATGTTGGAAACTGAAAAATGTTTTCCACTGCCGTTGGCGGCACAATGCGTATTTCTTTTTTCAAAGCCGTTTTTCTCGAAATGAGGTTGCTGAAGTTCGGCGGGACACTGTTGAAGTTTCTGTGGCATATCTTTGGAATAGATTGATCTACATAAATAAATTTGGTATCATTGAAAAGCCAATGATTTGCGCTTGAACATGATGTATGTAACTTGAAAAGTCAAAGGTGGGGTTATTCCTCATTATGATATAACAGGTCACAAATACTCTGAAATTATTCCACTTCACATGGTATCTTTGGGTCTTAAAGAAAACAAACATTAAAAGTGGATTCAAAATAGCTTCCTACTGGCATTTGTTGTTAAAGTGCACTAACACTAGAATCCAAATACGAGATCCACTGATGTATATATTTTTTTTTCTATTTTCTCGAAATGTACTGTACTTACTGAGCTAATACTTCAACAGGGCCCAATTGCATAGCACTGCTTAACAGTAAGCAGAAAAGTTGTGCTTACTATAGCAGAAAATCATGCTGCTGCTTAAGCACTATTTCATGCTAACGGTTGCGCGCGCACGGATATTTCTATTGTTACGTCACTGATTTAAGCAAAGTTTTCTTCTGGGGTTAAGTGTGCTTTTGCTGTGATTAGTGCTTAACAGTCCCTATGAAATAGATGGAGCCTCGGTAAGCACAAAGTCGGCTATTAATTAAGCAGCGCTATGAAATTGGGCCCAGGTTAGTTTTTATGCACCCTGCTTAAGCATGCTAAGACTTTGAGCACTGTTGTTGCTTCAAATGAAAAAAATGCACATTGAATTCTTTGTTCCTTCATGACAAGGATACCCAGCGGTTTTTCAGTTAAGCCTTTTTAATTGCAATACCTCATACACACACTTAAATTAATGAGACTGTCAAATTGAAATCAAGTCAAACATGAATGGGGAAAGACTGCTTTGAGTGTGAGCGAATAAAAGATGGGTTTGTTTGATGTTAAAATGGGATTTAAAATACACGTTATGGGACACAGATCTGGAAAATGTTGTGGTATGCCTTGTTCACAACCAGATGCTAAGGGACATAAAGAGTTAAATGTTCACTCAAAAGTAATATATCATTAGTATTGTTATCAAACTTATGACACTTTGTAAGAAGAGAGCCAGAAAAGTGGAATACTTACGATTACTTGTAGCAAGTGCCGGTGGTAACTCACAGGTCTCCCCAGTGATAACATTCTACACAAAAAAAGGAAATCATGCTTCATTATTTCAGGAGGCAGGATTCATCCATGTCAGTGAGTGGGGGGATTAGGGATGACCAAAATCCTAAACCTGCCCGGCCGTTGGGGTGGGGGGGGGGGGGGCTGGACACTGCAAGACACAAGGGGGAGCTGTTCATGAGACAAATGTGCATCTTATGCAAACTGGAGAGCTTACGCTTAACCTTACATCGAAACAGTGCATTTAAAGCTTTTCTACTGTTTTTTTTTTATTTTGAATTTTGAATTTTGCCGAATAACACTTAGAAACTGCATTAACAGCAAAAGGAAGGTAAGTGGCAAAGTAAAGTTAAGTCAAATGTTTGAATTGGCTGTTATGTTTTCGATAATTACTTTGTAAATACATGTTTACAAACAAAGTCCTGCAACCTGATTTAATGGCCCTAGCCAAACTTAAGAATTCAATGCAACCAAAAAATCCACTTCTAAAAAACAAACGGTGCAAGGGGTTTGGTTAATTTCAGCAATTATGACTGCAAAAAGCAATCTGTCGTGGCCTATAAACGGCAGTGCAAACATGTTTTGAGAACGATGGCCTTATTAAAGAAGGCTAGAAGCCACTCAGAGAGAAATGCTAAAGAAAACAGGGTTTTACTTTGACTTTTCAATTCAAAACAACTTGGCCAAGTTGCTAATGGTTCACAAGATTACACAATCTAGAGATCTTATACCTCAAGATTGAACTTTTGCAGGACCAGCTGGATGGCCGCCTGTCCCACATTGTCTCCCAGCTCCGTCAGGAAACCTTTGACGGAGCCATCCCCAGGCAAGGCCAGGGAGAAGTTGGCATTACACAGAGGTATTGGGATTCTCTGGTCAGCCATGATGGGGAAGTCTGTAGTGATGCCATCGATGAGGAGAGAGAAGGCCAGATCCACTTCGTACTCCTTGGTGGCGTCGAGCTTGTCGATGGAAAACCTGGATAAATCCAAAGGAAGAATTGAACTCATCCACAGTTTAAAATGTAAACTGGCTTTTGTGAACATTTTGACAACATGCAAACTCTGCTGCTTTGTAGTTGAGACACTTGAGTCAAGCCCGAGTCTGATTCTGGAGTCAAATGGGTCAAGTCTGAGTCCGAGTCTCGAGTCATTTGGTTCAATAGAGAGTCCGAGTCACAAGTTATTTGGTTCCACATTGAGTCCGAGACCAAGTCCTAGTCACATTTGTATAATGGATGAGCATGGACATGGACACACATACATGTAAGCAACATGTAAGTGATGCGAAATTGGGGGAACGTTTGGAACACCACCTAGATAGTGGTGCTGCATGGATCGTGTGCTTAACGTTCTTAAAACCTTGCCTTAACATTACTTTCAGACAAAAATAGTACAGCAGATAATTGATGAGATTGTGCCTTTGATACAAGCATGTATTCAGCATACAGTCAGAGTATATATGACATGAGAAAGATATTTGGCTATAGGGCCATCGCAGATTTGTCCTTTGAAAAAAAAATAGGTAGAATAACAGCCATTTTGAAAATTTAGAAAATTGCTTGATATTTTACCTATATTTTTTTTCTGTGGACAAATCTGCGATGGCCCTATAGCCAAATATATTTCTTAAGGCATACTCTTACTATGTGCCAAATGCCATGGTTGTATCATCAAAGGCACAATTCCCCCAAAATATCTTCCCCATCAGCCCCCCTTAAAAAAAAAATGGAATTATCTCAATATTAGGTTTTGCCCTTCACCAACGTACACACAGTGTATACTCCGTGTGTTACCTCCCGAGTGAAAGGTGGACAAAAAATCACTCGGGTGATTATGTGTTGGAAACATGTTTTGGTAAAAAAATATGTGACTCAAGAGTCACAAGGCATAATAGTGTCAAGTCTGACTCATGATGGTCGAGTCTGAGTCCGACTCTGACGCTTTTGCCAATGTGAATCGAGTCGACGCTCCAATAGTGGCATGTACTGCGCGATGGTGTCCAAAACTGTCCAATTTCAATAGCTCCACCAATAGTCAGATAGTGTCCAGCCCTCCCCACCCCCACCCCACTTTATGATTGAGCAGTGGCCAAAACATCAAAATGTAACTTTTACCGAATGTAACTTGCACCAATATTTTTGGCACCATGTTCTAATAGTGCTAACCAAAAGCTGTTAAAATGTTGTTCCACTGTAGTAAAATGCCTTGGCTCAAAAACACTGGTGCTACTTCATTCTGTCAGATATGACTGTTTTTAAAGGGAAGATACAACATTTGCAAACATCAAAAAACGAAATGATCAAATTATCACGAAATATCTCACTGGATTGTTAGGGAATGACAGCCTAAAGCATCCTTTAAAGTTGCGGCTCCTGGTGTGCTGTTATTTTCAAGAAAAATGGTATTTTTCCAACGCTGGTCGGCCGACCAGCGTTGGAGAAAAATGGCTTTTTTCAAAAAGTGCTCCAAACTTTTCATATTTAGTTCGTCTGTGTTTTCTTTGCAATTGATTACACACCTGTGAAAACTACAAGCCTGCTAGACTGATTCTCATGATCTTACAATTCCCCCAAGTCTATAAATTGCTCCGGTTCATCTTAAGTGGCGTCAGGGAACCAGACTACAAGAATATGATTGGTTTTCTTGGTTTTTCCACCATCTACGAACCCAAAACGTGAAACAAGTCAGTGTAACAATATTTGCTATAACATGCTTATCTCACAAATCCATTTATTTCTGAAAATTGCAGCAAAAGCAAATGTTGTACATTCCCTTTAAAGTCGTTATTACTTTATTTTTATTACTGTCACACACTCACTGGACATCAAGAGCATCTCCAATCATGAAACTTTCCATCGCTCCCCACTCGTAAGAAAACAACGAGACGTTGAAGAACCACAACTCAAGCCCGACAGACAGTGTATAGTCACAGGGGTCGATGATAAACCAGGCCTTGGAGCTGATCTGAGTCACCTTCAAGTCTAGATTCAGACAGCAGTGGAGACTTGTGCAACGGCTGCCGATACGGCAAGACAACTGGGGAGGGGTGGGTGGAAACTGCACGGGACAACCTGGAATGGAATTATGTCAAATGACAGGAATAACAACTTGTTGTAAACATGGATTGATCAAAGCGTTGGGTTAAGTTTTTAAAAGTATGATATGAAAACACAATTTTGAGGTGAAATGGTGAAAAAGTTGCTACTTCATCTCAGTTAAAAAATGAGATTTATAAAATGATAGGTTTATACACAACCAAAATAGACACATTTCCTTTAATGTGTTTGAATTCATTGTTCTTGGCAGCCTACAACTTTAATTACCGGTACTATAAAAAATGAAACACTTTAACACCAATAAACATAATTGTGTGTTAACGCAGCATTTATCTAAACATTTGGAAATGAATGACTTACTGTCATTATTACCAGCTGGCAGTGCTGGAGGCAAATTGCAGGGACTCCTGGATATGAAATTCTGACAAAGAAAGCATGGATATGAAATTCTGACAAAGAAAGCAATGCAAAATAGATTAAGTACTGATATACACTCAACCAAAAAAGAGCTCCCCCCTAATACTTTTATTGTCTAACTCAAAAACTACTGCTCACATCTTGCTCAACGTACGTACGACTGATCAGTACAGAAATTCCTTACTAACCAGCCGTTCTCTTTGTTTGGCCGGAAACAGTGATAATGTGTACACAATTATGCAAGTTATGGCAAATGGTACCGAAAAAAAGTTTTGTATACGTGCAAGGTGAGTGTGAACCACAACTTGCACGTACACAAAAGTGCAACTGTTTTCGTATCATTTGTCATAAATTTCATTAATTCGTACACATTATCACTGTTTGGGGCCAAATAAAGAGTATGGCTGGATGGCTTAGGAATTTCTGTACTGATAAGTCGTTATTTGAGCGAGAGATGCTCAGTAGTTTTTGAGTTAGACAAAAAAATATTAGAAGGGGGGACTTTCTTTTTTGGTTGAGTTTATATACAAATCTTGTCTGCTTAATTAGTTGAGGCATTTACAGGGGAGGATCTAGCTTTCAGAAAATAGGGGGGTTGGTATGAAGGTGGAGGAGGGGTTGAGTGAACATGTGGCACGCCTTGCTAGGGCGTCCTGGGGTCCCCCCAGAAATTTTTGGAAGTCTACGATGTTTTCTCCTGCATTCTAAGGCAATTTGAGAATACATTTAGGAACTTTAGCATTCCATTTATTATTTTTGGCGCCATTTTAATTTTTTGATAACATTTGACAGCGGCTGACTGGTGATGGTTGGGGAGGGGGGGTTCAATGTTTATATCAATACCATGGCAACATGGGGCCTCTGGACAATGGAATAACAGAACAGGGTATTAAATGGAATTACATTTATTGAACTGAAAACTTGCAGTGTTTCTGGGTAGTCACAAAGAAAGGCCTGTATCCTTTTTATGCATGGCTGAATATCAGTGAAACTTTTACTGACTGTGGTCAATACCCAGACCGAATTTTGTCTGAAGAGAAAAAATTGGTAACCTTTCACGTTTTTGTGGGAGACAAGGACATATTCAAAGGGACATATTTTTTACTCACCCTGTATATTAATGTTATAAAGACGTTACACAAGTTTTGCTTCCAGAAGCAAATCAGAATGGTTGAGAGTGATGTTTTAAAGCTATAGTCATTTGCAGCCATCCGAAAAAGTAACTGGCGTATTATTGTTGAAAAACATACTTGGTTGAAAGATAGTAAGTGGACTAAACTCCCTGTGAAATTATTCTATCTGGCAAGCTATCATTTTGAAGTAATCAACGAAAAAAGGCCTTTCCAACGGTGCGTCTTAAGACGCACCATAGGAAATTTAAATTAGTAGTTCGTTTTGTTATTCGGCGCAGCGCGCGCAAGCATTGGCACGACGCACAGGCGCGCGCAGTTGCTATAATTCGTCGGATCAGTGCGCGATGCTGCGTATAGCTGCAATTCAAACCAATTCAAAGCATGATTCAGCAAGTTTTGATTTGAAATTGAGATCCTAGAATGCTGTTTTTCTCGGAATATACAGCTGAAGCTGAGCTGAAACTTCATTGGGTTAGTTGTTACTTTTTTTGCTTCAAACGAACAAAATGCACAAATTACAAATGATGGACTATATCTTTAAAGCAAAAACGCTAAAAACAAAATTGAAACTGAAAAAAATTGTCATTTTGACATGCCCGTCCTTTCGTGAAACGGTGACAATTTACCTTGAGGTTGAGAAATTCCAGCACCAGGTCTATAGCCGTATCAGTGACCTGCCCCGCCAAGTTATCTAGGTAGCCGGAGATAGTGCCATCCCCAGGCAGGGAGAAGGTGGCATTGGGGTTGCAGAACGGTATGGGGACATGAGCTGCCTGCAGCAGGTGGATGGGTCGACAGGTGCCGTCTATGCACAGCATTACTGACAGGTCAATCAGGAACTCCTTCTGCTCACTGAGCTTGTCTACGTTGTATCTGTGCAGAAATGTACATTTGAAACAAAAATCAGGGATACTGTGTGTGACAAATGTTCAAGGAGATGTAGGGCTCTGCCAGAACACCGCTGGACCATCGACAGAGCCCCTTGTTGACTGTGAAGTTTGTAGGAACCCCGTTGTTGCAGCTCCGGAAACGTGCCGCAGAAATAGTTCCTACAAATAGATTTTCTCAAGTCGGTTTCTTTGTTCAGTCGTGGCGGGAAGGGTTGGCCGGATGCACAAGTGCCAGGTTTGGGCGGGTACTTGTGATACATTGTATAAATGTTGTTGTCTTTTGACAGCTGTCAGGGGCAGACAAAAGACTGAGTTCAGTGAGTAAGCATCGAGAGAGGTTGCTGCTGCTGAAGATTCATAAATCAGTCTCTTTCATATTGTACGATATTGAGAGCGTTGTTTCCTGTTTACGTTTGGCCGAGCAACCAAGGACCCGGTATTGACGTACGTTCTCACACTATGGTACTTGGTTGGTTCATCTCCTAAGGACTTCCACAAAGGAGTATAACTAGGAGGCCAGAAACACCGGGGCAAACCCCTTCTCTTAGCGATAAGTGTTACTGGGTCCTTTTACGTGCATTAGGCCTTATACAACACACGGGACCTCCGGCTTAACGTCCCATCCGAAGGACGAAGCAATAATGGTTAAGTGCCTTGCTTAAGGGCACAAGTGTCCGGGCCCGGGCTTGAACCCATGCCACTGTTACCTCTGAAACACCAGAGCATGAGTCCGATGCTCTTAACCGCTCGGCCATGACACTCCAATAATGCCTATGATCAATGCAAACATTGCCAATGAAATCCGATTAGGTGATTGCTTAAGTCAAATGCACCCTAGCATGCAGCAGCCAAGAGTCTTGTAACTCTTTAATGTGCTTTTGCACGAGTATCCAAAAATTGAACAGAGAAATACTCACTCAATGCGCACAGAGTCACTGATATCCAGCACTTTATCTACTCCCCAGTCGTATTCAAAGAGCGTCAGATTCTTGGACCAGGACCCCAGCCCGACAGACAGCTGGAATTCACAGGGATCTAGGATGGTGAAAGCGGTGGTGGACAGCTGAGTGAAGACCAGGTCAAGGGAGGCACAGCATGTCAGGCCCAGGCAGCGGTCATCCACTGTGCAGGTCAGGAAGTTGTTTGGAGGTGGCACTCTCAGGATTGGACATTCTAGGAGGAACAGGTGGCTGTATATTAACAAATCTAGTGTGGTAAACTTTACACAAATCTAGATAATAAATCAATGGAGGGAAGGGGCTAATCATCTTTGCTTGCAGCAGAAGCTGCATAAGCCAGTTCGGTATTCCAACTACCATTACTGGACCGAGCCCAGTCTAATGTGGCTTTCGCCAACCCCAGATTCCCAGTTTCATCTTCATGAGCACTCCACTGAGATAATGGCTTCTCAATCAGTTAACGACCATAAATATGTTCGCACATATGGCGGCAGTGCATGGTTTGTCCTTGATCATACCATGGAGCCTTTTTTATAGCTCCTTGATCATACAGTCAGGCTCTCCCCAATGTATGTGTGTCGTTGTCCAGAGCCACCTGCCTCCCATCAGAATTTGAGTGACGAGTGACAAACCAGTTAAATGCTGGAGAGCTACCTACATCTAAGAAAGCCACATTAGACTGGGCTCGGTCCAGTAATGAGCGCATGTGCACATCAAGATTTGACAATTTTTTTTCAGAATAAATGTTCATCGTATGCTTGCAAAAGCATAGTGGCGTACCAGCAAAATTGAGGAGATTGTCGTGTTTTGAAGTAACATTTTGCCAAAAAGTTTGGACAGCTAAGTGTTTATGGTTGCCTTGTGTGTGCAAACTTTTGTGCGAACGAAATTTCCTTCTCTTTTTGATTGCACGAAAAATTACACAGAATGCAGATTCGGTTACCACGTCCCCAGTAACTTTGTCTGCATTTAATTATTTGCCGCGTTTAACCCGAAATATTGTTGAATGCAACAGGTTTGTATTGTTCAATACTGTTCAACCTTGTAAATACTAATGAGGAGTACAAAAGACCTGCCATACACATAAACATAAATTTGATTACAAAAGGGTGGGGGAAAATGACAGCTGTATGATACAAACAAATAGTGGTGCCATTAAACTTTCAAGTTCTACAAAAATCTAACACTGAAGGAGTTCAGCTTTGGATGAGCACTGAAGTGAGTTGAATTATCTTTACAAAACACTCATTGCTATTATTTTTTCAATGTAGATTACAATGCAAATTAGTTGGAAAAAACTTTACAATGTGATTGCATCCATCTTCTACAGTTTGTTTTTCAGTGTTTCAAGTTGAGATTTGAACGTTTGCATGGTGGAAAGATACTAAGACAAGATAAGTTTGCGGTAGCACCATGTGAATAAATCTCTTATGTGAGTATGTGTGGTTCTGAAAAGAACCAGAGGGACTCAACGTTTCGAACAGTATGCTCTGCCCGTCATCAGGAGAATGAGGGATTCCAACAATGATGCGATGTTATAAGGGTGGGTGCGGTGAGGCGTGAGAAGGATTCAAACTGGTGAAGCTCGAAACCAGTGAAGCTGAGAATGATGCAAATTGACTGAGGGATGCTGGATGATCACTGCAGCGTGTCAGTACACAGTGAGGGGGCAAAGGGGAAGGAGCTCAGGGTATAGGTGACCCATAGGCGAGAACTGAACCTAAGTTGTCCTAGGGTATAGGAGACCCATCGGACTTGGACTTGAGGATGGGGCGCCAGATGTCGCAGGGTTTCAAGTGTTGGTGACATTACGTGAAGAAAGCTGGTAGAATAATCTTCAACTAAAGGAGGCATACACAACTCAATGCTTTGTACTTGAAAGAGCTGGAGAGAACATTACACTTACTATTTTCACTTGGGGCAAGTAACTCCATATCGCACTGCTGGTTACTAACGTATTGCTGAAAGAAATAATAAAAACATATAGAGAATTTTAACAAATTTCTCTCAAACCCAAAAGGCCTAGGCCTGTTTGTTTGTGGTCAGTGCTCTGGCTAGCTTGGTATTGATATAAATCCATCCACACATTGTTTTACAATTTACGCTCCAGTGCACTCTCCAGAGTACAGAAACATACGAGGTTTCGGCAAGAAATACTGCACAAATACTGTTGAAATGACTCTTGTGGATCAGCATTTGTGGCGTTTGGCTGTATATCAGCAGTTGGCTGGAAAGTTTTGCCTTTTGAGAAAATCAAAATTTTCGGCAAAAATAATCCAGGGGCGAAGGGGTTAAAAACAGCGGTTTCAAACCACCCACGTGACAGGCTCTTGACCAAGAGGAAAAGGTATTCACAGGTATTTATGAATTTAAGTTTAAACGAAACAAAACGGGGAACTTCTGTATTAAACTTACATCAATTCCAAGTCTTCGGAGACCAGCCTGGATGGCCAACTCCCCGACGTTCCCGGCGAGATCCTTGGCAAGACCTGCAAAGCTGCCGTCCCCTGGCAGCTCAAAGGAAGCATTGAGATTACAGAATGGGATAGGGACCAAGGAATCCTGAAGGACTGGTGTGGTTGTACAGTCACTGTCGATGCAGATGGAGATGTCCAGAGAGATCTGGAAGGATTCCTGGGCATCTAGCTTGTCGATTGTCAGACTGAAATTGCAAGGGAAAAAAGGAATTTTCTTGATATTGTACAATTGCATATAAATAAAATCCTTAATTTTAAAGATGTACTAAGAATTGACTGGAGCGGGGTTTGAAACTGCAACCTCCTGATTGCCTTTCCAGTGCTCTACTAAACAAGCAATCCAGCCCTATGTTGGTTTGCATTACATTAAGATGAAAGCAATGATTTAATGGAACATGCCAGAAATACCTCAAAGTGATTGGATCTCCAACGCTGATTTCTTCCAGCTGGCCCCACTGATAGGAGAAGATCTGCAGATTCAGACTCCAGCTGCCAAGACTGACCGACAGCTGATAGTTACAAGGATCAAAGATGAAGGAGACCTGGGTGCTGATGGGACTGATGCCCGGGATGGGAAGCTCCAGACAGCAATCGAACCCTAGACACTTCTCCGGGAGGGTGCAGATCAGGTTTTGGGGCAGGCGGGGAAGTCTGACATCTCTTGGGCAAACTGGAGAGAGGAAAGAAAATATGTTTTTTTGTCACGGAAACAATTTATACAAAGAAATTAATGTGCGAGTTGAGTGTTCATCTACAAGTAAACTTGAATCCTTGATCTTGATTTGTCGATCCCCGGCAACAACAGTTTGGTATGGGCCTTATTCACGAGTCGGCCATATTGAATTGAAAGTGAGGTAAAATCTTAATTTTTAGAACTTGCGAAGAGAAATGAAAGCAAGTTAATTCCTAATTAATTCCAGTCTGCTTCAATGAACAATTTTAAAATTGTCATTAAAAATTCCCTAATGTTTAAAGCCAGATTAAAAAAAAAAGACAGTACAATAAGACTGCATTGTGTCTGCATAAATAGTCTGGCGCCATCCTTTGAACAGCTTTAAAAAAAAAAGACAGTACAATAAGACTGCATTGTGTCTGCATAAATAGTCTGGCGCCATCCTTTGAACAGTTAACACTTAGTGACATACGTTCAGGAAACTCGACGAAAATGGCCAACTGATGAATAAGGCACATTAGAAAGGTTTCGCATCCAAACGGATACGTGTGTACACATACGTTTGGCTATCCATTTAATAACTGCATAGACCGTTCAGTTGTTCCGCATTGTGTAGGCATACGCATACATAAGCTTAGTTATCGGAACCAAGGCAGTAATCCAAAATCGCAGTCTCCAAATAAAAGCCTGCACATATACATTCACTGATTCATCCCCTTTCAAACAAATCATACATCAGAAAATTATCAGAAAATAGGGTGAAAATCCATATTTTATAATGTGTTTCATACTGATGCGTAGCGAACGGTATATCCGTGCCGTTTACACGCGTAGCAGATAGTGAGTTGCGTATGACGCCACAAGACCACACAAAACTGATGACCTATTTGCCGTTCGCTTGCGAAACCTCTCTTTTATGTCACATTGCAGGGTCCATGTTGCACTGCACGTATCCCACTGTTACAAGATGCACGTTTCCTTGCTGCCCGTTGAATATGGGACACAGATGCACAACCTTATTCCGTGTTCCACTCGTACTCATGGAATAACTAATGTTAGGTCAAGCTGCTAATGTTTTCAAGCCTAAGACACATCCTTGCCCAAATCCTCTGAGCCAAATCCTCGTCCCCTTTAAGCAAAGCCAAAATCAAACTCAAGTGTGGAAAATTACTTACGTCGCTGCCAACCATTCTGCGTGACTTGCGGACGGACACACGGTTCACGACTGATGTATTTCTAAGAGGTAATCCAAGGAATAAATAAATCAATCAATCAAGCAAGCAAAAATACATCAACCGACAACAAGTCTCATTTGGAGAACTAGACATTATATTATTTTCAAATAAAGGGTGAGTAAAACAAAAGCAGAACCCAAACCCCAAAAATTCTATTTCATATTTAAAAAATATGTAGCACCAAAAATAATAATGACTGGAAAGCCAATGAAGATAAATTTGGATCGAACCGAGTCAAATTCAAATTTCACATTGTGTAGTGCAGAGACTATGATACCTGTGAATACAGGACTTATTAGCAGAGACTTACCGACAGCCCTAGATGCTCCAGAATTGCGTCTATAGCCGATTCAGCAGCGTTCTGGCCGACCATCTGCAAGAACCCCTTGACACTTCCGTCCCCTGAATAATAAAACACAGGGTTTAGAGATATCCCCTGAAGTAAGGGTACACATATTCAAGACGATTGTTGAATCAGAATTTACTTATGGTATAAACCTACAAACCTACCTTTGACAAACAGTAAATGGTGCTTTGTGACTTAAGGTTTAAGGCTTTGCATAGTATCGATATAGCTTCTCTAATCGTAATACAATATGTATTACGGTTTTTAGCAAAGTGTCAAGTGATGTTTAGCAGACCCCTCTCAATTTTCCATGGCCGATTTTGCCATGGCCGGTGATTTCCCCCTTCACTTCTGGTGAGTGCTTTGCCACCCTCTAGAAAAAATCCTGGCGACGCCCATGCACGTGCCTGCACGTCAGACATTAATCACAGCTGCGAGTGGTCAAACATTACTCATCATCCATCACATCTTGGGGGCACCACCACTGACTTCGCGACGATTTTTCTCCATCTCTGCCGGTCCTCTGTCAGTCGCCGGGAGCTTCCAGTCAATTGTGAGTGGGTATTATTTATAAAAGGAATCCGAGCGGCGAAACACTTACCAGGAAGTGAGAATGTGGCGTTCTCGTTGCAGAGTGGTATTGGCACTCTGGTCTTCTTGAGGATGTCAATGGAGGGCGAGTCGCAGTCTGAGTCTGGCAGGCACAGGGACAGTGCTAGGTCCAATACAAACACCTTGTCCTCAGTCAGCTTGTCAATGGTGTAGATCAGGGTCAAGGCTTTGCCAATCTTCAACTCTTCCTGGGTTCCTGGGTCCATTGAAAAAAAAAAGGAATCTCGTTTTAGTTGATATGCTGTGAATAAAAGAATACCTGTCTAAGTACTGTACTTGGGGAATATGTCTGATGAAATCACACATCTAACCATCATAGGCTTTAGGCTAATCCGGCGGCGGCCATTTTCTGCAGTGGCGCAAGGCTCGGGTGAGTCGCGCTCAGGTAGGGCGCACGCGCTTCGGGGTCCTTCGAACCAATAGGAAAAGCAAAATGCGGGCATGCCGCGTCTTTAAGAACGCATGCAGTATGCGCGTTAGCGTAACAACACCACCGAAGTAAAAGCTTCTAATTCTGGTCGCTGGATTCCACTATACATATTTGAGAAATCTTTAAATGTAATTACAAGAAAATGGTAGACCGTTTTCAGAAGTAGTAAAGTTATAATGTAAAAAGAAGCGGGCAAGTTTACTTACAAATTGAAAGACATGCTAAAAAGGATAGGAAGGTCTGATATATTGTCAGTAACTTCAGGAGACCAAGTACTAACCTGTTCATCCTCCACCTGTGTGGCCTGGGTTAAAATCCAAAGCAGAATGACATGTCGATTGGGTTTTTAGTGCATTTTCTCTGAAATATTGTACCATGATTTTAGCCTCGAGCTTGGAACATTTCTTCATTTTCATCTCCTTTAACAATTTTGCAGGTTTTCAAGATACGTTAGAAGAATTAAACATCACCTTTTTACACAATGTGTATCACTGACAAGTTTTAAATAATGAATAATGAAAGGTTTGTGGAAACACCATGTGCGAATAATTTCTCAACTAAGAGAATGGTTCTGAAAAGAACCAGAGGTATAAACTCGACGTTCCGGTCAGTATGCTCTGACCGTCGAATTTTTAAAATGGTCAACAGTACGATAAAAAGTGCAGATGAACATAATGTCCATGAAGGAAAATGTTAAAGATAAGACAAGTCCTCACTATATTTGATGCGATCAAGCTACATGAGTCGTTTGTCGGGAATTTTCATTTGGAGATACATGTTCAGGCCAAAATAGGGCCACTTTATTAAATCATATAATCACATATCTTGGTGTTCCGACTTTCATAATTTTTTTAACTAAAGATGGTATCAGTATGCAGTTTTCACAGCAGTAATGCTTAGATGTGCTCTTTTCAAATCTGTAATTAAACATTTTTGACCGGGGTCGACAAACGACTCATTTAGCTTGATCGCATCACATATTTCCATCAATGCAAATTTATCATATGTTATGTACTCACCCCAGTGGTAGTCAAATATGGTGAACGTCAAGGACCACGTTCCCACTCCAAAGGACAGCGTGAACTCACACGGGTCTAATATCAGCCACATGTTGACAGACAAGACAGTGATTTTCAGGTCCAGTTCGGTGCAGCATCGAACGCCGAGGCAGCGGTTAAACAGCTGGCAGGTCACTGCGCTGGGCAGGGAGGGTAGTCTCACATCAGTGCATACTGGGTTAAAAAAAAATTATGCAATGAATCATAGGATACAAATTCGAATGTTATACCTTGAAAGTAGATAATTGTCACCTTGGTTGTTTTTTAGCCTCTTTAGTTCCAAAACTTCATTGAATTATTCTTCACTTTACTCTTGCCCCACTTTAGCTGCCATTTTTCTTGTTTACAAACAGTACATATACCCTACATGCAACTGTACTGCACTCTTCGCTCAGTTGACTGTTTGACAACTGTGAGTTTCTATGCTCTTGAATTAGTGGGAACCAGCAAAATGCCCGTCGATACCATAAAATGCATGGATCACTATACAATATCCAAAACGATATTGTATTGTCATCTGGGTACTTTTTACGAAAGTGTACCATTTGCTGATTATTTTTACAACTTGGAAGCCTGATATAAATAATATCTTACATCAACACCTTTTAGAAATCTCCACAGTCAAACCTTACCTTCTTCATCTGGTCCTATCAGAGCCGTCGTGTCACATGCTCCGTCAGTAACCTTATCCCTGAGCCCAATGTACTCCAGCAAGATGTTGATCGCCTGCTGTCCAGCGTTACGGCCAACTTGGGTCACAAAATCTTTCAGAGTGTCTCCACCTGGGAACCAAAAAAAAGAGTTACGGTGGCCATGTGGTAAGATGCCTGCACTAGTAAGTAGGAGGTTGTGGGTTCGAGTCCCACCCAGGTAGTTTGTGATTTTTTTTCTCACAATCACTTGGGGCGACAATGGGTATACAATGTTTATGTTAAAAAAATACGTCAAGGAAAGGCAAAACCAAATGTTCAATTTGCAAAAATCATTATGAGAAATTTGAGCATTGCTATTTAAGCGTTTTCTAATTACTTGGTAAGGAGAACGAGAAGTTGGAATTGCAGAATGGAATGGGAACCCTGTAGTCCTGTATGACGTCCACATCAAAGATGCAATCATCGGCGCCCTGGCAGATAGATGCCCCAAAGTCTATCTCAAACACCTTCTCCTCATCAAGTTTGTTGATGGAGAACTTCAGGGTGATGGGACCGATGGTCTGCTGCTCTGGCTGGCCTAAGTATTTAGAAACGGTAATCTAGTTAAAGTCATAAGCGATCATTTGCTTTTCCTGCATTTTTTGTCTTTTCAAATAATAGCACCACTCAAGATCCAAAGAAGGATGCTCACGTGTTGAAGTTTCAGCTCAGTAGATATTACACTTTTTGAGAAAACATTGAAAAACCATGCACACCTTTTTGATCATGATACACGATTTTGTCAATAGTACAATCAGTCATATCAATTGAGTAATTACTTAGACATCACCTTCATTTATTGATTTCTTCTAAATGACAGCAAATCAGACTGAATTATTTCTAACATTCAATTTCATCCTAGGCTTAATTTCACAGGCTTTAAACACAACCAGTTTAGTCATTTACAATTTAATTTCAAACTTTGGTCACCTCTTCATTGATTTCTGAATTACAAGGTGTGGCGTAGACGAGACGAAATCGAATACTCCAATACGAAAACGTGTGCTCATTGTTTGAATTTGCTTGAACTGAATTTGAAATTGTCTGACAAAAGACAAAATTAAACACTGGAAGTGCTTTAAATTGATGTTGATGGCGAATTCGAATATTAGAAACGGCGAATTCGCATGATGACCGTTTTAAAATAGCCGGGAAAACCTATACTAGTATGATCTTTACTCAAAATAAGCTTATTGATAATAATTTGCTAGGTCACTTTTTGGATACATGCAAATTCAACGATCATATGTGCCATGATCGCTAATTTTTTTAAAATACCATAAAATCTTGACTCACCCCATTCGTAGCTCAGCAGCAACTTCTTGTACTGCAAGTGCTGAAAGGCGACGTAGAAAGTGAAATCACAGGCATCTACTTCTACCAAGGCCTTGAACGAGCGGCGGAATTTCAGGTTCTCTATATTAAGTTCCAGACAGCAGTCGAGACGGAGGCAGTTCTCACTCAGGGAGCAGTAGGCCACTTTGGCCACCTTCGGGGGAAACGCCGGCAGGGTGAAGAACATACAAGCTGTGGCCAAGAAATAAAGGTTATGTGTGTGCATTTACATTAAAAAGAAATAAATTAAACAACTCAATTTGCGTGGCTAATCATCCATACAACATTTGCATTGGGAATATACAACATTTGCAATCTTCAAAAAAACAAAACTACCAAATTATCACGCAATACCTTACTGGACTGTCAGTGAATGACAGTCTAAAGCGTCCTGTAAAATCATGAAGGCACCTGGTGTGCTTTCATTTGCAAGAAAAGTGGTAATTTTGTATCAATATTCAACACCGGTCGGCCGACCAACGTTGGAAAAAAACTGGCTTTCTGCAAATACTGCTCCCAATTTATCATATTTAGTTAGTCCACATTTTCTTTGCAATCGAGTACACACCTATGAACGGGTACAAGCCAGCTAGACTGATTCCCTGACCTTACAATTCCACGACGTCTATATATTGCTTCATTCCATTTTAAGTGCGGTCAGGGAATCAAACTACTAGAACATGATTTTTAATAGCAGAAGCTGAATTGTGAAGGACGCAGCTACAACGTGGTCGAGCTGAATGCATGTAAAGGCGCCTTAGGCAGCCACCGTAAGACCCATGTCTTAACACAGAGCACAGCCAGATCGAAAGTTCTGATTTTTGCAGAGGAAGGAAAACCAGAGACTCTGAAGACAAACCTTTGTGGCACAGGAGAGAATCAACAAACAACTCTACTCATATGTGACCCAAGCCGGGAATCGAACCCGGGCCACAGTGGTGAGAGGCGAGCGATTTACGCACTGTGCCACCTATGTACCTTTAAACAATGGATTGCCATTGGAGGAGCAAGTTTTCCTTGCAGCATATCTCTTCAAGATTTGCAGAGGATTCACAGGACATTTAATACCGCATTCAATACAGAAAGTACATTTCGTTGTGTCCGTGCAACAAGGTCCTATCTCCTTAAATGGTGTGTGATGTCATGTACGTGAAACGCGAGTTTTCAATGTCAAAAGGTCGTATCTCGCTTAAAATAACAAGAATGTACACGTACACAAAGTCAATGGACATTGCGATATGCAAGATACGACCTTGTTGCACGGAGCGTATTCACGCGAGATATGACTTCGTTGCAGAATCGAGTTATGACCTTGTTGCACTGATGTGACGATCTTATGCTAGCAAATGCTTGCAACAATGCATGCTGCGTGGGGATGTGTCAATGAATTTGGCAAAGACTGTTGAGACTTGTCCACTTACTTCTATCATCGTGAGATAGCCTGGCTTCCATCTCCGTCCTAGTTCCTGTGATGTTCAGCTGTCTCTCCTCCAATGTGGTAATCAGCTGGGTTTTACTCAAACTCGTTGGTGTTGGACAGGGATCCTTACTGCTTAGTAGTTCCTGAAAAGAATATGCAAAGTCAACAGTGACCTCTTCATATTATCCTCTGTAGAACTGAACTTTTATAAGCTCCTTCATTTACCGATCTTAAAATATCAGTGTTGTTTATATTTGGTTATTATAGATGATTAACGAGAACATTCTGTGAAGCACTCAAATACAAAAGCACTCAAGTATGTACATATTACTACCACAAATACAGGGTGAGTCAAAGAAAGCGCAACCCAAATGGTGGAACTATTGTTTTAGTGAAGTTCTGCATGTAGCACTTTCAAAATCTAGGATATGAAAGCCAAATTCGTAAGCTTTCTTTCTACAAGAATCATTCAAATCACTTATGTACATTTCAAGTTACGGAAGTTTACACAACCACCATTTTAAAGTTCTGTTCACGGATCACAAAAAAGGTATGCATTCATTCAGCAAAATGAAAACAATTCACACACAACCCAATGCTTACTTATCCGAACCGTTAACAATAAAAGCAGTAATCCAAAATGGCCCTCTCTGATGAAAGCCTCGTGTCGGCAGCTAGTCCTTTGAAACACAGACAAATGGCAACTATATGTGCAGCTATTGACCTCTCTCAAGCAAATCATACATGACGAAATAAATTAGCACAGAAGAGGTGAAAATTGACAATTTACTTTGTGTTCCAAACTGATGCATAGCGCGGGACATATCGCTGCCGTGTACATGCGTGGTCGATAGCGAGTTGGGTATGACGCCACAAGACCACACAAAGTGATGACCTCTCTAGCGCTAACTGTATCCGTTCGCCTTTTCGTTCGCCTTTTCGTTCGCATCCCTTAACTTCTCTAATGTGGTGTCAGCCTACCTTTGGTATGCCCAGTTCTTCCAGGACGTAGTTCAATGCAGCTTCTGTGCCTGCCTTCAGTAGCTCTTCTCCAGTGGATTTGATGAGGTTTTTCAGCGCAGCACGGGAGAAGTACTCATCCAAGTCAACTAAAACACACAAATCAAGAAGTTGAGGTTATGGAGATAGATGTTAAACCACGGGTTAGGTACTCAGATTTTATGGTCTCAAACTGTAGTGTGACAAGTTTGTACAAGTCACTGACATATTACTTCCATCGCTAAAACATGAAGTACATCTGATAAGTTTTTTTTTTTATTAATACAAGAATATGGCACAATGAAAGATATTATACACAATTTGCAAAATACAATTACATACAATTATTCTGAAACAGGTTATTAAATAAATAACCTGTCAAATATTTCATCTCAGTAACATGCTTTCGGTAAAAATTCGTGGGAAAAGGGAAAATTGGAATAGGGCACATCAAAGTTAGAAAAAGTTGTGCACAAGTCTATGGGCAAGTCTCCCTAAGCACCCATTTCCCGTTTTTATTATTATTATTATTACTGGTTCAGACTGAAAAGCTAGGCTTACTGTTTGGCCATGTGATGGTCCCATTGGGATGGCAGATGGGTAAGGGGATGGCGGAATCCTTCAGTACATCGATGAATGTCAAGCACTCAGCATCTCCCGTGGTCGGGCAGAAACCGATGCCCATACTGACAAGGAGTTGAGTACGGGTCTTCTCAATGCCGAACCTGGATTAAAAAAATCCTTATTTAGTACAATAAGGTTGTTTGCAAATATACCAAAGATATATTAACCCCTTTACGCTGGGTTTTTACGGCTCACTGCACAGGCACTGCAAAGGAAAGTCAGCATCACCATTGTAGTAGGCAAAGATTGTAAAGCACCGCACGCAGCATTTAGAAGGCAAGCCTTCGAAGCTGTGATGGATGGCAAAAACTGTCAGAAAAACACCAAGTGCTGGGTTGGCACGATCATGACAACCGTACACGGCACAGGTAGTGGCCATTATGCCAGTTGATAAAGAATCTGCTGGTTTTTTTATGTGAAATGCTTGTCACTACCGCAATGGTGGCCAATCATGGGGAAACCGGATGGTCACATGGTGCTGTGGCGTCACATGGTGCTGTGGCGTCACATGATCAGAACCTATGAATGTCAAAGCGGCTTTCGAAAATCGAGCAATATCTACCTGAGACGCATTTCCATGTCATCAACAAATGGGATGTCGAAGGGCACCGGCACTTCCACTTCAGCGCCTAAGGAAGAACATCAAAAATTATTAAAACTAAACAACATTATTTGTTTTACCATGGTATCAGGCTGTGAAATATAATAGGTCTCGTTCAAATGACGTCATTTCCTACAGACCATCCACGTACATCAGCATTTTGAGCGTCAACTTGCATAATGCGCATCAACTGCGTCGAATTTTGAAAACATTTCGAGCAACAAGCGCGCGTGTTTGGAACATTTTCAATACTGCGTTATGTGTGCTTGATTGCGTGAAATACGCAGTTGCAGTTCTCCTACACAGATGGCCGTCATTGAGCGAGCCCTATTGGTTGAGAACCGTTCATGTGGCTTACTGCAAAAGTTCACGTATGACAACACTGTGCTTGTTCTTTGGAGTATTTTTGTCCCCCGCTTCTTTGTGCAACATAGCTAGAATAGACTTTGTTTACAAGGCAGATCATGTTACTAGCGGCGTGCACGGTTCAAAATTGGTACGCTTGTGCCAATTTAGCCAAAAGACTGAAGCATTGAACTGTTCACTTAAAAACATAAGTGTGCAAAATCAAAAATATCCTATAATTATGAAACTCACACTTCAGTTATTATAATGTTACTTTCTAAAGACTCAAAATTTATTGAAAAAAAATAACAGTATGGCATAAAAAAACAATTATTACTGTATACATATTCATAATCGAGAGCCGAGTCCTCACTGGTCCATTTACCGTAACGTGTCAGCTGCTAGTTTTGCTGTTTACCAAGCGTGCAAGCGAGGTTTCACGCCCAGATTAGATATTCATCCGTAGTATGCATCGCACAGGTTACCAGTGCGCTCTGCTACGCATGTGCTTTACGCAGCAATTGTGGAACTAGTGCAAGGGGGTAGTGCGAACGCAAGAACATCGCCCTAGCAGCATGCAGCAGTTACAGTCATGAAAAGATGGCGCACACGCACAACAACATTTTGCCAAGACACCTTCATGAAATTTGTTGTGAATATGCATGAGGTATAGTAAAACAAATACAATATTGTTTTAATAGTTCGGGTGGATAGTCGCTATTAACTGCCTTCTGTACTGGAAGTTGAAAGACTATTCTCTTGGCTTTGCCTCAGGAACTAGTCTGTCAACTTCCAGACCTCGGCGAGCTAATATTGACTATCAACCATCAAACCATTTTTTTATTTGTATATTGTCTGTTGTGATATAGTCCATTGACTTTGTATGTTCTAGGGGGCAAATGGCACCCTCAGATTCACCTTAGATGCCATTTCCACCAATCGGGAGTACACAACACCATGTGCTACATCACAGCAGACAATTACTACAAGAAATCAACGTGAGCTATTAACTCTTTCAGTGCCAAAGTCGTACATGTACGAGGTATATTTGTTAGTTAGAAATTGCCAACCTCATACATGTACGAGGTAATGTTTGTACTTAATATCGCCAAACCTCGTACATGTACGAGGTAGAGTTAGCATGTTATCACAAGGGGCGCTCTCGCTCTTTCTAATAATATCATTTTCATTCAGGTACGATCTGTATTTATTTGTTTCATTCGAGTTCTTGCGAGAGGGCGCAGCACTGACCCTCGTATTTTCTGCAAAAAGTGCGGAATTCCCCTGTGTGCAGGACAGTGTTTCAGGGTGTATCACTTTGTATGTGACTACTATTGACTTTCCAATATACCAAGGATATACCAGAGAGCAACAACAACAAATTTAGTGAGTAAAACTTATTTCCTTTTTTTTTTTACAAAATTTCGAACAATTACAAAAAAACGCTCACAGTTGGGCAGTTAAGGGTTAAACTTTTCAAATTTCGCGGGCACTGAAAGAGTTAAAATCCAAACTTGCCAACTTTTCCAGACCTTTTCCCTTGATTGTTTGTCAGGCCCTATCACACACTGACCTGAGATGATCAACTTACCAAATTCAGGATCCAGAATCTGAATGGTGTAGTTCCAGGAGTTGACGCCGAGTACAAACTGGAACTCGCAAGGGTCGAAGCGCATGAATGCCTTGAAGGCCAGAGATATAGCGAAGAGTTTGATGTTCATGCAGCACTCTACGCCCAGGCAGCTCTCATCTATCTTACAGTACACATTCTTGGGTAGGGAGACTTGAAGCAGGGGACATCCTGGCAAATATCAAAAGGGGTGCAAATTGTTCAGAATATCTCATTTCTTCAGTCTTTGTTCAATGTAAACCGCTTTGAATGGATCCTGAGGATCATGTGTCTTAAATTAATTGGCTACTACAAAACACTCACTACAGACAACCAAACTCAAAGGACTGATATACTTATGATCCTCAGGTTGTTTGTATAGTTGGATTAAGGTCTTCCTATCCCATGTGCGCTGAGATCACATTGCTGAAACTCATAATTCTCAACTATTAAGAGTCTTTGACTATGACACAACACTCATCACAGACAACTACATAATGTCAAAAATGCAAGGACTGCTCTGTTCAGACTAAACACTTACAATCCTTGGGTCAATTGTATCGCTGTATTAAAGTCTTCCTATCTCCCTGTGAGCTGAGACCAAGCTGCTCTATGACAATCCTCAATTATCATGAGTCATTGACAATGATACAACACTCATCACAGACAACCAGAGTCCAGAGACACAGACACAAGAACTGCCCTGTTTAGACTAAACACTTACGATCCTCAGGTTGTTTGTATCGCTGTATTAAGGTTTTCCTATCTCCCTGTGAGCTGAGACCACGCTGCTCAATGTCAATCCTCAATTATCATGAGTCATTGACAATGATACAATGCTCATCACAGACAACTAGAGACACAGACACAAGAACTGCCCTGTTTTAGACTAAACACTTACGATCCTCAGGTTGTTTGTATCGTTGGATCAACGTCTTCCTATCTCCCTGTGAGCTGAGACCACGCTGCTGGAGTTCAATCCTCAAGGAATCAGTGGTCAAAGACTCAGGTAGGACGCAAGGTTTATCACTCACCAGTTTCTAGAGTTTGAGGAAATTTAAGTAACACTGAAATTAGCATGAAGTTGTTACACAAATCGACAGTGTTTTCACAAAGTGACAAAAACCTTAATATCATGCAAAAAGGTCATTCCGAGATAATCGCCTTTGAAGTTAATCATTTTTTCAAAACACCTTTTCGACTAGTTTTTAGTTATGGATTTAGGAAATTCTTGCATTGTCAAGTAACGTATGCTTTGTTCTTTGCTGATTCAAAGTTATTTATCAGAAGTCTCTCTTAAGTAAACTGTAATTCATTAATAAAGACCAATTAAAGTTTTTATCAGTTCGTAAAAACAGCAAAACACAAAGGCCTCACTTTTTTGTCCCATTAAGTTGTACACACTCTTCGTCACTTCGTGTAAACCTAAAACGTTCTAAGAAATTGTTACATTTGCGCGTCTGACGTCACTGCAGCGCGCGCGCTGCAGTGACGACATCGTTCACGGCGCGCGCGTCCAATCCCATCCTAACGCGTGTGTAGAGAAATGCATTATTCCTCTGGCCCTGCTAATGAGGTAAGTTCTTGTCACTTCGTGAAAACAGAAAAACACGGATTTCAGGTATTTTGTCAAAAGTTTGTTTACGATAATCACAAAAGTAAACAATGTTTCGCTTTGAAACTCGGCGAAATTCTTTTTTTTTGTCACGTGCAATAAATTGGCCGGCAAAACTCAAATCGAAAATTTTTCGATTTTGCAGGTTTTTGTCACTTCGTGAAAACATCGTCGAAATGTTGGAAATAATTTTACTATAAGCAATTGGATGGCATTGCATGACTAGTGGTGCAGACTTAATCTTAGTGTACAGCGAGCCAATCTTTCAACTAAAAATGGTGCCCCCTAGAGATGCCGAGGCAAGATATTGTCTTGAATATCACAGTGCATTTTCTTAATTCCATTCACTATCGGCAGTTACTTCAATATTCAAATTGCTAAGTATTGCGCACAGTGAGTTGATACATCAGCAGATAAATGAAGAGTTTGTTTCCAATGAGCAACAAATGCCAATTTTAAAGATATATTCCATCATTAATTTGTGCATTTTGTTCGTTTGAAGCAACAAAAGTGCTCAAAATCTAAAGAAGGGTACTGAACAACTAACCTGATGAAGTTTCAGCTGAGCTTCAGCTGAATATTCCGAAAAAAACAGCATTCTAGGATCTCAATTTCAAATCAAAAGTTACTGAATCATGTTTTGAATTGGGCCTCAATTCAGCGTCCCAGACACGTTCTCACTGAGCCGATTGCAGCTACGCGATGTCGGGCACTGATCCGACGAATTATAGCAACCGCACGTGCATGTGCATGGTGCCAATGCTTGCGCGCGCTTCGCCGAATAACAAAACGAACTACTAATCTAAATTTCCTACGGTGCGTCTTAAGAAGCACCGTTGGAAAGGTTTTCTTTCGTTGATTACTTCAAAATGACAGCTTGCCAGAAAGAATAATTTCACAGGGAGTTTAGTCCCCTTACTATCTTTCAACCAAGTATGTTTTTCAACAATAATTACGCCAGTTACTTTTCGGATGGCTGCAAATGATGGACTACAGCTTTAAATACCATTTAGAATCCTGCTCTCTCCTAGATGCCCTTTTGAGGACTCAATAGTTTCAATACGAGAAACAATTAATATAATAATGATAATAACTGCTTGAAGAATTGTGCACTGTCAATCACATTTTCCACTGGTTGCATCTCTTACTACTCTCAATTGTTTTCCTGCTGATGTAAATGGTAGTCCAGTAGTCCAGTCACTGTACATTCGGGTAAAGTTAGTCAAACTACCATACAAATTGTGACCATAACAATAAGTACGCATGGGACAGGTGACAAACTTTAATGAGCTTTGATATCCTCACTTCATTAACATACAGCCAATTACAACGTGCAGTGGTTTGGGAAGTAATGAATAATCATTTAGCGATCACGCGGTGACCTGATTTGACCGCATTCACACGCAGTAAACAAATGACGATTGGCCAATCAGCATGCAGTACCGTACATGAAGAGCTAGATCAACTTTAGATTGATTAATGGTTTATGAATATAGCACAAATTTACTGTATGTCCCTACATACAGTAAATTTTTGTGAATTTCATTCAAAATTGGTTTGAATATTCACTAGAGTTGACAGCAACTAGCTTTGCAGTTACTTTATGAATATACTTCGTGAGTGACTAGCAAATAGACCACCCCAGAGGCCTTCTGGCCGACCAATTTGGCCGCCTCAAAGCATACATTGTTAATGGATGTCTGACAGAGTCAGTATGCCAAATTGCAAAAGTTGTCGCTTTGAATTTGATAAGTACGTACACACAATTTTTCCACAAGCAGAAATATTTGGTTTCTACAGCAAGCAGACGAACTAAATTTACATGGGGTACAGTTACTATGTTCAGTACCCGTTCCCTTTAGGAGTTGTGGTTTCAGTAAGTAGAGGGTGTATGCATTAGCCTATACCCATCTGTGTGTGAATACAGCGTGTATTTCAACACTGATCGTTTGTATGGAGGATGGCAATTTACTTGTTGTAATGCTAAACTTGCTTTTTTATTTTGGAAAGATATAGTTAGCAAGCAGCTCTCAAATGGATGAGTTGTTGGACTTACAACAATGGTCTTGACAACGGTCAGCAAGGCGTCTGATGTCTCCTCCAGTCCAAGCTTACGTGCAAATGCCAGGATGGATCCAATCTTCAAGTTCCTCAGAGTGAAGTTCTTGAAAGGCGACCCAGAGCCAGTTTTTGTCTCGGGGAGGTCGAGCGCTTCCTTGGTCTCTTGTTTCTTGTCTGCGTAAAGAATATTGGTAACATTCCCAGTTGAAAATTCCAGTTGAAATCAGTTTCAATTGGTTTAAACTAGTACCAGTTGAACTGGAAATTGGTGACTGATTTTGAATTGGGTTAACTGGTTTTGAACCAGTTAAACCAATTCAAAACCACTCACCAATTTTCAGTTCAACTGGAATTTCCACATTGGATATCATTTAAAATAGGAGGGCGCATGTCTTGAGCTAATATTCCTCGAAAGACCCGAAACACGATAACGTCACACTTTTTTTTTTTTAACATGTGCTTTCTTATGGGAACCATAAGCTCCCATAAGTAAGCGAACATGCAAACAAAGCATGACGTCATTATATTTGAGGTCTATTCTCCTCCAATAACTTCTGAATGTGATTTTAAGTCAGTTAAATATACACAAACACATGATGGATGTGTCCAATAAGCTCTCCAAACTCAGGTTATAGCCCCCCCCCCTCCCCCCGTACTGTTTTATTAGCTCTGACGTCAGCCACCACAGACCCTGCTCGTTGAGCGGAGGCAGTGGTAGAAATACGTCACATGTACACACTGTTCATTCCAAGAAACGGACAAATATGGTGGCCGCGACAGGGACAAGCTCAAGTGGACCCAAAAATCAACTTTATTTGAAGTCTAAACGTAAATATTTATTGAGCTCTTTGCGGCTTTATAGGTCCAACCCGACTGTGTCCCTTGATGGCAAAGCACTGAATCTCAAAGTAAGACTCAGTCCGTAATGGGCTTTTTGTCAACAGCTACGGCCACAGCTATTGATGTCATTTGAGGATCATGATGGTGCGTGTTTGAGCATTCGATTAGCACGGCTTTTATATAAACAAAAGACTATTGATGCCCACAAAACTTAGGGCGGAACATTTTTCGACCCAGTTTTTTTGGCGAACTAAAAAAATTCTGGATCCAGCCTTCCCCGTCTGCTTTTACCCAAGTCGATTCAGCTGAGCTACTTGAACGCACCTTAAACAACACTGTCCCTCAGATAACAAGGGAATGCAGAACAGCAAATCATTTTACATGAATGGCAGTACAGTCTCCCATCTGACTTACCCTGCGATACAGCATTATCTATAGAGGATGGCTGTCTGGGGGTTTGTTGCTGCTATTAGGCTTCTTAGTGGTGGTCTTGGGAGGAGTTTTGCGATTGGGGCTGGTGTTCTTCTGCTTTCCCTTCTTATTCTCCCGGTTTAGCAAAGAGCCTTCCTCAATTGTCCGTCCCTGCATGGTGTCAAACGTGAGTGTAGAAAATATGTCTTATTCACTTCTTTTTTTTTAAAGAATCAAGAGAATTAGTTGTTCATGAGTAAAGTTACGAAATTCATTGAAATACAGTCAGAGACTTGATTAAGTGCTAAAGAGGACAGGCAGCAGGGCCATAGGCAGGGTTGATAGCAATTCGTCACCGTCACCACGAAGTGACACTAACATCGAAAAATCGATATTTTGCGATTTCGATTTTTTTTCCTGATTTGTGATTAATTACACATAATCTATCACCTCAAGAGGTTACTAAACACATAGTCAATTAGTTTTCTCAAAACATTAATGAACGTTTGCAACTTAATGGGTCAAAACCGGAAAATGCGTTTTCACAAAGTGTACTATACCATTCTTTCGCGTGTAAAGTGCCTGCACACTACTCGTCAAAAACAGGTTTTGCGTTTTCACGAAGTGACAATTATGTCACGTGATATGCACGACTCACTTCTGGCGTTTTCACGAAGTAGCGCTAACCCATTAGCTAATACACATGGTTAGCGTCACTTCGTGAAAACTCGAACACAGCGTAATCTGAATTTTGAGTTTTCACAATATGACCTTATGGTTAATTAGTTTGATAACTCATTAATATTTTTTGTTTTCAATAAAAATCATACATTAAGGTGACATTCAAGATCCCAGCTTTCAGACAAGGTAAAAAACTATGAATTTTGAGGCTAAAACGATGTTCAGATCACCGTTTCAAAACATTGTCAACTTAAATCGCTTGTATCTCAAAACACACATTTTCAACTTCGCGGGGGTTAAGGTTACTTCGTGGTGTCGGTGACGAATTGACATCGGAATTTGTCTGCGTATTTCCATGCGTAATCAACTGTTTATTACATGAAAAGGTCCACTTTGTGGTAAAAGTGACACCCCCCCAAAAAAACTGCCACCAGGCTGGCTACGGTCCTGGGCAGTGCTGAACATGAAGTTAATATCAAGCAGAAAATCTGATTTAATCAACTGATTTCTTATTTCATACAGAGAATATTATAACAATCTAAAGTACTATTAAAAGCCTACAGATCCAATTCTGTACAACCAGGCCTACTGTTTTATTGGTGAAAAAAAGTGCCCCCCTCTTGCCACGTCCATGACTATCAACTGTATCACGAAGGCCCCCTTCAATGGCGAATGCATTGTTCTAGCTATTGTTCAGATAATCCATCATGGGGCAGTTGCTTGGTACAATAGCATGCACAATGGTTTCTCCATTAAAGGGGGCCACGTGAGTGTACACTGATAGCATGCCCGGGTTCTTCTATATGACCTTACCTGCCAGACCAGCTTGTAATCGTCACAGACTTGTATCCACTGGGGTATCTCTAGCGGCCTCTTGGCCAGATAGTTGGTCGGGTCCACGTAGCCTTCCTTGGCCGCGTCGTCGGCCGGCGTGGGATCGTCATTCAGGCTGCTGTCCAGGATAGAAGCCAGGCGGTTGGGCTTGACGTTCTTCATGGAGAAGTGGACGTAGTTTGGCGGTGTGCAGGAGGTAGATCGGATCACTTTGCCGATCTTCCTGCCGGCTATGACCTGGATAGGAGACGGTAAGGAGTTTGAAAGTCTGTCAGTCAAAGCATGACAAACAGATGAAAACGTGGACAACTAAATAAACATTTATTTCCACTCTGTGGAGGCATCATCCCAAAATGCCAAAGCTTGTGGTGGATGTGCATGCCCAGGGGCGTCAATCGCTTCTCAAAAGTGGGGGGGGGGACATACCTTGATCAGAAATAATGCGAGCGCTAAGTGCGTGGCCCCTACAGCATAGTGTTCAAAAAAATTCGGATTCTAGATGCTCATGTGGTGTGATCTGAGGCAATTTCTGACCACTTTAACCAATATTTTCCCAGCAAAAGATAATAATTTTAAAATCATTTTCGAGGTTGAAGTCATTGAATAAGCTATTATATTCTAAGCTAAAGGCGTGGGGTTCGGGGGCTGAGGGCCCCGAAGAATTTTGGATTCTAAATGCTCTGTGGTGCGATCTGAGGCAATTTCTGACCATTGTAACCCATATTTTCTTAGCAAAAGATACATTGTAGTACATAATTGGGCCCTGCAAATGAGGCACGAGTTCAAAAATCTGGGGGGGGGGGGACATTTGATATTGTGTCCCCCACCCTTCAAAAAGTGGGGGGGGGGGGGGGAAACGTCCCCCTGTTCCCCCCCCCCCCCCCCCCCCCAGGATTGCCGCCCATGGAAATGCCCAACAATACAAGACAAAACAAAACAAGACAAACAACACAAATTCTAGAATTTACAAATAATAACAATATTTAAATATGTAACAGTTAAACAAAGCAGACACAACAATAAACGGCTAAATCAACTTAACGTAATAATGAATCAGGTACTTTAAGAATTAAGTAGGAAAGTTTTTAGTTTATATTTGAAAGTATAACTTGAAGGGCAATTAGAAGACAGTGAAAGGTAGTTCCAGTTTTTTGGTTCAGAGAAAGAAATGGTATGTTGCGAAAGAGTTGTTCTGACTAAGGGTATATACAATTTGGATGATTGTGTAACGATTCAAGCACTTGGTTGTTTGCAAATTTATACACAAACACATCTTGTTGAATGATCTTAGTTGTTAGAGTAAAGAGGGTGGATAACACATTCTTTAAAAATGTAAATCTGGATAAACCTGCTGAGTTCAGGCGAAACTAAGATAATATGATTCCGATGGAATACAAATCATATGTGATTGATATAATTATAAATTTTCAAAGAGAGTAGTTAATCTCATCGGTCGCACCACGAAGTGCCACATCGTGGATAGTTGTCGCACCATGAGGTGTCATATTGTGTGCACAAAGTCCATTGATGATCCATCACTTTGTGGTGCAACAAAACTATTATAATCGCCACCTGGAATGCCACGGTCCAGTGGTTACGGTGTTTGACTCATGTACGATGGTGCGTAGGTTCAAACTCTGCCAGGAACATGGTGTTTGTGCCCTTGGGCAAGACACTTAACTACAATTGCCTCTCTCCACCCAGGAGTATGAATGGGTATCTGTGAGAGTAGAGGACCGAACTTGTGCAGATATCGACTGCCACATTGTCTCGTGGCCTGATGAACAGAGGAATAATTGTAAAGCGCTTTGAGATTGTGACGACAATGCAAAGTGCTTTAAAGTGTCTTTGCCAAAATGTAAAGTGTCTTTGCCAAAATGTGAAACTCCTCCAAATTTCATGTGGGGCAAAGAGGCAATTACTACACTATCAATTCAGCTTGAAACAAACAACCAGTTTACAGAAGACATGTTGGCACTCACATTTTCCCCCCTGGTAGTGGAGAGGGTACTGTTGGGCTCAATGTTGTCAATGTAGATCTTGATGTTTCGGAAGGCTCCTCCGCGGGCCAGCAGGGTCACCTGGTTGGGTTTGCCTGCACTCTTGTAAAGGAGGCCTGAAAATGGAGCAACCAGCTGCAAAAAGACGTGAAGAAACAAAAGACAATCAACTGAATGTTTAAAGACGTTGATAAAGAAGTGTCGAAACGAAAGTCAGTCAACTAAATGTTAAAGATGTAGGCCTACTGTAGGTTCTCATTAACAATTTCAACATTTTTTCTCCTTACAATCGTAAGTTATTTAAACGAAAAAAAGTACTTTTCTTTCTATTTGGGCAGCTTTATTTTTTGACCGCTTTTGACTCAAATGTAACAGGCCATGCCAGTAGACTGGTTCCTGGTCCTTACATTACTGATCATGACAGGGAGGCAGACACCAATCCACACTATGAGAGCTGAATTATTGTTGGACCACAAATAATTCAAAATTTGTAAATTCATTATTCCATAAGGTGGGGTAATTAATTGTTTTAATTCCATGCCTCATTCATAAGTGAACAACATTTGTATTAATAGGAAAGTAGCAACTTAAGGACATCTATGTTTTGGGGAGAAACTCGAAAACGTATTTCGAACTGTATATCTTTAACCCTAACTCCCTAGGCCTTTTTGCTAAGATGTAGCCTCAATCCTGCAAAATCCTCCAATTGGCCTCATGGAAAAATAGCATATAGCCTCAATCCTGCAAATTCCTCCATTATTTCTTGAATGTGGTCCATGGAGAAGTGACCACTGCCTGAATCCTGCAAAATCCTGCGGCAGTGACTTGTCAATATGTTGAGGCTTGGCCAGTGACATCCTGGAGCACAGTATAGTATGGAGGATTTCAAGCATAATCCAGGCCTATATTTATGCATGGCTGAGCAAAAACAACACAACGTCCGGCCCAAGACCTTGAAGTGCATCCTACAAAATCCTAATGCATGTAGCCACAATGTAGCCTCAATCCTCAAATTCCTCCACTTTGGCAAAGAGGATTTTGAAAGATTCAGGGCGGTTAGGGTAAAGGAGTATTTACCTTATTTTAACCACAAGACACGACTGCAGCCTTGACTTTATCAATAATATCAGTAGAGAGATTAACGTCGTTTACTAATTTTGTTCCCCGGCTTATAAACCACAGCACTATTTCATACCCATGTTCCTTGTCCAATCTCCAGATCTACACCCTTTTCGGCAAAACGTCCGTTGGAGTCAGTCGGGTAGAAGCCCCCCGGTGCACAACCTCCTGAGCCGGGCTCACGGAATTTCCTTGGGAAGCTCTTGTGGGCCTTGGGTCCAAAGAGCTTCATGACGAGAGTTTGAGACTCTTGATATCTGAAGGGAACAAATGCCGATCAAAGCAACTGTACTCAACTGTTCACAATATACATGCATAGATTTATTTAAACAAAAATATTAGGCCAGACTACTAACTGGGTGTATGAATTCTCATTAGTCTATTTGTCGACATGCCTCACAAAGTCAGTGGCGCACCCGGGGGGGCCCTCGGGGGGCTTGAGCCCCCCCCCCCTACCCCAAAAGGTGATATGTATGTGGCCTGTTTTCAAGTAGTATGATAGGGGTGTATATGGCGCCGCCAACGTCAAAATAGTCCGTCCCCCCCCCCCCCAATTAAACAAAAATTCTACGGCCAAAATTTTGGCGATCCAAGTGAACTTCTTGGAAGGACGTTAAAATGAGGATGAACAAATATGTCCAGATCACAAAGGCAGGAGATATACTCACGAATTCTTCAAAGTCAGATAGGCCTCCTTGATACTCTCGATGGTATTGACGATAAGATCGTACAGCTCAAAGAACGGTGCCAGCAGATCTTGAATGGGTTCTATCGGACCTATCAGCTCTAAAATGATGGACTTAATCTCATCTGCCATTCGTCGCCTCAGTGTGTTCTGTTGGGTAAGAAATAACAAGAATCACACAAAAAATCGAGCTCAACAATTTAAGGAAATTAATTTATATAAGAAGGAAACAGTTCTTCAAACATGCAAATTATGATGTAAATGTGATCACGCCAACACCGACAAAATGCCTTGCACTGAAACAGTAGTATAAGCACTGTGTGTAAAGTTCTTTCAAAGAGTACATATCGTCGTTCGCACCACGAACCAGCATATCTCGATTTTTGGCCAAATTGAGTTTTTGTCATACACATTTTTAATTCATCAAAATACTCATCCTCACAAGGTTTTATTCCAATCTGAATTCTAATTAACTAAAAACACTAATTAGACGCTGACGTTTTCCATAGTGATATGACGTCACCAAGGAGCATCGACATGAAGAGTGTGTTTCAGGAACCGACGTATCCCCGTATCTGGCACACGGCCACTATTACGCGTGTTGTATGACATACGATAAACATGAAAAAACCTGTTTCATGAAGTGACCTGTATTTTGGGAACTGAATTTCTTAAAAACTTAAAGCAACTCCGATGCACACAGAGCTTGAAGTCTTGCACAGGGAGTATAAGGAATGAGCCTAGAAAGAATATTACCAACTTTAAATCAGTTTTTATCAAAACACAAAAAAATAGGATACATTAGTTCGTGGTGCTACTGACGACATACAAGAAAACACTTTGGTTTCCTTGTTAGCACTTAAATCAACAAGCTGTTACATTTATCTGCAGTAGCCCAAAGCATTTAAAGGTGACTGACACCATTTGCAAACATTCATAAATAAAACTGCCAAAATTATTATGAAATAACCTACTTGATAATAGGATCAGGCATACTGTAAAATCACTGTGCCTAGTATGCCGTCATTGTCGAGAAAAAAAGGAATTACCATCATTTCCACGTGTTGGGTGGAACCAAGCCAAACGTATTATCTTACCGAGTCAACAGCACCACCAGTCAGCTTCTTGATGGGATCTAAGGAGTTGGCAATCTCTTCCACCCAGATGGCAAGGTCCCTTGTGATGTTACCCAGGTGTTCTCTCAGCTCTTTGAGCATATCACTGATGACCTTGGGCAGATCAAACCAGTAGGGCCTCTGACCTGTGAAACAGGGAATAGTGGACACAAGGATACATCTAATATGCAATTTTAAAGCTGTGAAGGGTAGTTCTGGCTCAGGCCCATTCCTAGTCTAGGGGCTAGACGTTGCATGGCTTGATATGGTGGAGCGCTTTGGTCCAATGGTTACAGTGTTCAGCTCACTTGCCGCGGTACGTGGGTTCGAACCTGGACGGGGAACATGGTGCTTGTGTTCTTGGGCAAGACACTTTACTACAATTGCCTCTCTCCACCCAGGAGTATAAATGGGTACCTGTGAAGGTAGAAACCAGATTGCGCTGATCTTGAGCTGCTGCAGAAACTGGTCTCATGGCCTGATGAACAGGGGTAATAATTGTAAAGTGCTTTGAGACCTTTGGTATAAAGTGCTATATAAGCACTATATTATTATTATTATTATTATTATAATACGCGATAACCCGCCGCCGCGAGAGGGCGCTATCACGACCAACCAATATCGCCCACGGACTTGTCAGTCGCAACGTCTAAGGTATCTCAATTTTCTTAAAGTTCTACAAAAGATGCAGCAAGACCTTTGTGCAACTTCACTGGTCAGCTCTTTTGTTGTGAGTAGTACGCCTGGGACTGAAAATGGACCATCGTGTCCTGCAGAAGTCGCACATGCGCACTAGTTTCCCCCAATTTCAATTTTTTTTGGGGGGGGGGGGGAGATTTCAGGAGATACCCTAGATGTTGCTACTGACAAGTCCGCGGGTGATATTGGTTGGTCATGATAGTGCCCTCTCATGGCGGCGGGTTATCGCGGCGGCGGGTTATCACGTATCAAACCATGCAACGTCTAGCCCCTAGACTAACCCATTCCCTGACCAGAGAAAGGGGAGGGGGTGGGGGTCGTCAAGCCATGAAGTGGAACTTTTTTCTCAGGCTTTTTGCATGAGGCTATATTATACATTTTGCATAACACATATGCTTGCAACATTTTAAATGCACACTGCAGTTAAATTAGGGGACACATCTCCTTTTGAAATTTCAATAAGAATTTCTTTGTTAATTTTCTTTATAAAAATGTATAGAGCATTGGTCTTCCGCACTCCATCATCTTTTCCATACGTAGTTTAAAAGGATTCATATTCATCAAAGTTCTCCCGTGTTTTTGTATATACTTTATATATCCCTGTCTTTCCTAACTTCAAGGGTGGATACAGGGGGGGGGGGGTGGCAATGGGGACATGCCCCCCCCCCAAAAAAAAACGAACCCAACTTTTTATTTTAATGGAAGTGACATCGCAATAAAGACAGGCACTGTACACCACCATCTCTTCTCAAAAAGATTTGGTTAAAGTGGTCAGAAATTGCCTCAGGTCGCACCACAGAGCATCTAGAATCCAAAAACTTTTTGGGGCCCTTACCCTGAACCCCACGCCGTAATTTTTGGGACCCACTTTTTGGGGGACCAAAATTTGTTTGCACCACCCCCCCACAAAAAAATTGTGTTCTGGATCGCCCTTGTCTAACTTCGACTCTATTGTTCCGCAAGAGCTATTAATTATTTCGAACATTAACTTCCCTTGTTTCATCTCAACATGACTTCTCGAATGTCTTACCTTCCTTGAAAAAATTTGCTTCGTCAACTTCCATCTTGGCTTCAAGAATGGCATCAACTGCTGTCTTGATGCTGCAAGGGAAGAATTATCATAGAGGATTGAATTGGCTAAAAGAAATGAACAGGCCCTTTTTTGTCATTAATTTAAAAAGTTCTTACGTTTTGAAAGACTTTGGACTAAGACTTTGACAGACACAATAAGACAAAGTTGTAATAGTTATATATATCAATAATTAGGTTTTGCCCTTCACTGACGTATAAACACTGCGTACTCAGTGTGTTACCTCCCGAGTGAAAGTTGGAAAAATCACTCGGGTGGGACTCGAACCCAAGACCTCCCGCTTTCTATTGCAGACAACTTACCACTCGACTAGAAAGCAGGAGGTCGTGGGTTCCAGTCCCACCCGAGTGATTTTTCCAACTTTCACGCGGGAGGTATACAGTGAGTATACAGTGTTTATATGTCGGTGAAGGACGAAACCTAATTATTGATTTACATCACCCCAACACAAAATTCCATCTTATTAATAGTTGATGCGATACCCGCTGCTACAATGTACATCAGATTCGAACCAGCCAACTGATCCCACAAGCTCGGTGGTCGAGTGGTAAGACGTCTGCACTAGAAAGCAGGAGGTCGTGGGTTCGAGTCCCACCCGAGTGATTTTTCTAACTTTCACTCGGAAGGTAACACGGAAAGATTCCTATATCTGGCCATCACTTGTCAGCCTGTGCACAAACCATATGAGACCGGTCTGAAAATTGTTTTTTTTCAGTAAATACTTCAATATTGTCCCTGCTAAATTTGACTTTTTAGGAGATATTATCACTTTCTGATGGCTGATAGGTCACCAAAAGGAAAAATTAGTGATGGCCAGATAAAGGAATCTTTCCGGTAACACACTGAGTATACTGTGTTTAAACGTCAGTGAAGGGCAAAACCTAATTATTGATTTACATCACCCCGACACAAAATTCCATCTTATGAGTAATTATATAGTCAACGTAAAAATTATTCAGCACTTTTGACTGTGTGGCCACCTTATGCACTGCATTTGTCCTTTTGAATTTAAAATAACGGAAACATTGGTAATCACTCACTTGATGATGCCCTTGAAGATATCCCCAATGGCTTTCAAGGGGGACTTCAGTAAATCTCCGATGGTATCTGAGATTAAGTTGATGGAATCCCAGATCTGCTCTGCTGCCCAGGGCAAGGTGACTGTGATGGCCTCATTGACGGCCTAAATACACAAAAACAACCAAGGATTTGTTGGGTCTAAAATAACGAGTAAACAAGAAATTCTCAATGTGGTTGAAATTTCTTCACCATCTATACAGGGCAAGTAAAAAAAAAACCGAAACCCAAATGTCGGGACCATTGTTTTAGTGAAGTTCTGCATGTAGCACCTTTAAAATCTAGGATATGAAAGCCCAATTCATACGTTTCTTTTAGTATGAGAATCATTCAAGTCAGTTATGTAATTTGCCGTTTTTAAGTTCTGTCCACGAATCACAAAACGGTAAGTGTTCTTTCAGCAAAACAAAATCAAATCACATAGGGATATGTGTGAATTGTTTTCGTTTTGCTGAAATGAAACTCTCATTTTAATACTGATTATGTGTTTCTGTTTTGGGCGTATCGGCTTTGATAACGCACCTGTATAGAACACAAACGCAGATATGCAAATAGCCGTACAAAAAAGCTGTACAAAATTTAGAGTTTTCCATAGATTTGTGTATAAACATGGATGCGCTCAGCAGGCATCACTTTGTGCATCGAGTCAGTGCTCTAGTACTTTAAAGCAATAGTCCATCATTTGCAGCCATCCGAAAAGTAACTGGCGTAATTATTGTTGAAAAACAAACTTGGTTGAAAGATAGTAAGGGAACTAAACTCCCTGTGAAATTATTCTTTCTGGGAAGCTGTCATTTTGAAGTAATCAACAAAAGAAGGCATTTCCAACAGTGATTCTTAAGAAGCACCGTAGGAAAATTTAAATTAGTAGTTCGTTTTGTTATTCAGCGCAGCGCGCACAAGGTTTGGAACGACGCACACGCGCGCGCGGTTGTTATAATTCGTCAGATCAGTGCGCTACGTCGCGTATAGCTGCAATTCAAAACAATTCAAAACATGATTCAGTAACTTTTGATTTGAAATTGAGATCTTAGAATGCTGTTTTTTCTCGGAATATACAGCTGAAGCTTAGCTGAAACTTCATCATTCAAATCAACGTAACCAAAGCGAGACTGGAAGTCAAAATAGTCGGGTTCCTTTTCGCACAAAAAAAATCATCATTCAGTACAGTTTTGGGACACAGGGAACATGACTGAAATGGCTGCAGCATGATAAAGGTCTATAAGCTGGCCTTATTGAAACAGAATAAGTATGGGTTTAAAGGAGATGAAAACCAGACCTGGTAGAACTCCATGACATCCGTCTTGATATCACTGAACAGTTGCGCAGCCCTGTTGACTACATCGATGACCCCTCTGATAGAAGGAGGAAGCTGGTCTGGGTCGAACTGAGACAGTCGGGCCACTGCGTTTGCAGACAAAGATCTTACATCCTGTGCAAAGAAAGAAAGGAGGAACAAACTCTCAACTACAAAGATCATTCGGAACAAAACTGCGTCATAGCAGTGACACATCCAGGACTCGGGGGAAATCTAGATGCTTTCTCCTGCACTCTGTGACATCTTTTAAGATAATTTATTTTACATTTACCATTTTTCTTTGAGTTTCTTTTACAGAAACTCAAGGAGGTTTTTAAATTCTGCACCCCCAAACATACCCTGCTAAGATAATTTAGGAATTATACCCTTTTCTGTTTTGTTTTCTATTGGTTTTCTATTGTTTTTCCTTCGAAAGCCAAAATAGGGAGGGTGTTTTCCCCCCACTTGAAGGCACATCCCTGTCTTATTTAACATGCCCTATAGCCTATATTGAGTGTTTGGGGTTTTTTTTCTTTTTATTTTGGATGTCCATGGGATTGTTGTAAGTTTTTGTTCCCCAGTACACAAATACATATTGGTCATTCTATAAATTTAGGGTCCAAAGTGTGACATATTTTTTCCTGTCCCTGTTAACTTGGTACTTTGTAATTGCCATTCAAGTATCACTAAAAATGACTTCAAATTGTGTGTTTATTTCTTGGGCTATTCATAATCACTCTTGGAGGACGACTGCATTAAGGAGTGAATCACACAAAAAAATGTGATGCAATAAAATCATGGAAGTCAGATGTACATTTTGCAACAGGATCTGGAAAAAAAGGGGACCCTAAATTATTATAATGACCACTATATCTATCTCCTGCCTACAGAGTCTTGACCCAAGATGCTAGTGATCAATAGTGGATGGTGCATAGTGCGCCCTCTAATGGCACAACAATTAGACCAGCAGGCCCACTCAAACTAACGTCTTGGCCATTTCGTATCAGCGGCTTAACTTTCCTACAGAACCAATCAGTGATCGAGAAATAGTTCAATGGCTTGCCCAACGGATGTATGGGCTATATACACGGTGACGGTGACCCAGCATCATGTTGCTTTCCTAGGGAACCAATCAGCTATCGAGAAATGGTTTGATGGCTCGCCCGATGTTTAAACATTTGCGACGCAGTGATACGGGGCAGGAATGCGCGACTACTGCCGTAAATGGGAACTGCAGATTTGCTCAAATTTATACAGACGGTCCAATTTACATAAAATGACCACGCCGATTGCTACGAGATGACCAAGACATTAGTGAGAGAATGTAAAAAAAAAATTATGCAAGGACGCTACAGAACATTGCACCTATCGCTCTTCATCACTGACGTCTTGGGCCAAAACTACTGCCTATACCTTGTACACTGAATATTGTGACTATGATAAAGACCTTTCTGAAAGCACTTACACTGATTCTTCCTGGGATGGTCTCCAGAGTCTGCACAAATTCGTCAAACAGCTCACTGATCTTGCTGTCACCGTTGAAGAGATCCACGACAATGTCCACCCCTCTAACGATGTTGCCCACTACTTTGTCAATGACGATATCATACACCTTGGCCAGCTGATCAATTTGGCCGACCCCAAATTCCTAAAAATGAATTGGAATAGTTTAATATGTTAAGTGCTGAAATCCCCCAATAGGGCTCCCTCACTGAACCACGTGACCCAGCCTATATCCGGGTACCGGAACATCAGCATTGCCATTGGAGTAGTAAAAAAAAAAGAAGCAAAGTCTGTCCCGAGCCAATGTGGCCATCAGGCTAGCGTTTATCTCCAGTTTCAGTAGCATGAAACGAGTGAGAATATTTCTACTCCCCCTGGATGGGATGCTAGTCCATCACAGTTTACTCCCCCAGCTAATGCCGGTACCCATTTATACTCCTGGGTGGAGAGAGGCAAGTGGGGTGAAGTGGCTCGCCCAAGGACACAACATGTGACCAGCAGCTGGATTCGAACCCTGACCCTCTGATCATGAGTCACGAACCCTAACCATAAGGCCACACTCCCCGCCATTGTAGTAGGCAAAGATCGTAAACCTGAAATTGGAAGGACTCTGTCACCCATTTCCAATTGATAGTTTACCTGCAAAATGTTGAGGTTGTACTCAACGTATCCATTGAAGCAGAAGCGGGCTCGGACAACGTCCAGTTTCTGATCCACAAGTCCCACCAGGACAGTGGCAAACGCCTCGTCGTACAGATCCACGCGTAGATGGCCACTCAGTGGTGCTGTCAGGTAAAATACAAGGCAGTTAAGTTACTCTGGGTGCAAAATGTAGCATTTTGACTTTTACAACACATGTATAGATGGGTGAATTTGTGTGCATTCTGTCGACTCAGGATTTCAAGAAATTACATTTCTTTCTTTCATAGCCTCAAGGATGGATCCAGACAGTGAGAAAGAGCTAACGTACACCAATTTGCAATCACATACAACAAACAACAGCATGGGCATCGTGAGGGGGGGGGGGGCAGCGAACAAAGAAAAAAAGAAAAAGAGGTGCAAAATCATATTGCTGTTAATTTAATGGGTTGGGGGGGGGGGGCAAATGTCCCTGCCCACCCTTGAAAAATTGATAAATCTAGAATATGCTGGAAAGGTACAGGGATTTCAGGGCAAAATGTGCTTTGCCCCCCTCTTGAAAAACATCCTAGCAATGCCTATGAACAACAGCTATGCAATATAGCACGCAACATGGCAGGTAGACTCTGATTAGGTGACACAATTAGCCCACTCTTACCGATGCTCATGTCCAGTTGGTTCCTGATGGTCAGACCAAACTGGGCTCCAGTCTCTGAGCTGCCGACGAGCTTCTTCCAATCCTTGGACGGACTGGCCAGCTTCAACTGGAGGCCATCGAAGAAACCGCGCCGCACCCGGTGCCTGGAAGGCACGCTGTCCACCCCGGTGGCTGCTAACTCTTGGGAAGAATTCGGTCCAGAGACACTGAGGAAGAAATGAGCATTCATGGGATAAAGAAAGAGAATGAATCGGAAGTATATCACTGGAAATTAAACGTGACTAGCTTTTCCCTCCGGACATATCGTAACATTGTGTACTCATTGCTTCCTTAGGGCAAAGGAAAACAGCCACTCTTGCCTGACCTGATAACCTTCTATGTCATAGTACAGACATTGTCACTATTTCATAAGATATTTCGCCTTATCAAAACAATGTCAGCATATCTAGTAACAAGATGACAAGCTTTGCTCTCATTGACACTTAGAAATGATCATAGGCCGGAGATAGCTCTTTTGTTGTGGCTGCCCCTTGCCCGTGAGATGAGCATCCTTCCTGTCTGAGAGACGTGGTCCCACTGCTTGTATTCAAACATCTCCTTAAGATATTCTTGTTCCAAGTCCAATCGTAATCGTATTGTGTCTGTTTCTCTTTCTGATAATTTTTTGTGGATGTGTGTTAAGCACTGTGTTCTTTGCGCTTGCCACCACCCCCCCCCTCCCAACCCGGAAAAGCAAAAAAGAAAACAAGAAAAAAAAAAGGAAAAAGAGGTGTGAAGTCATATTTGCTATTAATTTAATGCACATTTAATTGGGTTGGGGTGGGTAAATGTCCCCCTCCCTCAAAAAAAATGATAAATTGAGAATATGCTAGCGAAAGTACAAGGCTTTTGGAGGGAAAATGTGCTTTGCCCCCCCCCCCCCCCCCCGAAAAAATCCTAGCGACACCCATGTCCCCTCCCCAAGAAGTTGGGGGGGGGGGGTGATATGATGTCCACCTCCCCACTTTAAAAAGTGGTGGGGGAACACACCTCCCTCTTTCCATCTCGCACTGATTGATGCCAATGTCAATGATATTTATAATGTATCTGAATGGGTCTCTACTTTAAAGTTTGTGTATTACACCAGAACGTAAACTCACCCCTCCGGGCGGATAAACTTGGTGATGTTTTGCTTGCCGCCATTCGGGTGAATCTTGTAGAACAACGAAGCCTCATATCTCACATGCTCATCCTCAGTTTCATCCAGGGCAGATTTAAGCATTATCGCTGCTGCCTGTTCATACAAGATTAAAGCAAATGAATAAAGCTTAAAGGTACAGTAAATTATTTGCAGCTATCCAAAAGTAACTGACAAAATTATTGTTGAAAAGCAAGGCACTTTACTCCCTGTGAAATGATTCGTTCTGGTCTTTTGTCACTTTGAAGAAAACAGTAAAAGAAGGTCATTTCCAAAGATATGTCTAAAGACACATCTTTGGAAATGTCCTTTCGTAATTTGTTTTTAATTCGGCAAAGCCATTAATCACTTACAAGATGCATGCGCGTGACTGGTTGCTATAATTCTTCAGTTCAGTGTGTAACATATCACATAACTGCAATCGGCTAAATGTCCTGGACGCTGATTTCGGGCACAATTCAAAACAGGGCTCGGCAACTTTTTCAATTGAAATCGGAATCCTAGCATATTGTTTTCTCAGAATAAACAGCATTTACTGAGCTAAAACTTCATCAGGTTAGTTGTTTAAGCACCCTTCTTTAGATTTTGAGCACTTTTGTTGCGTCAAACAAAAAAAATGCACAATTGATAGATTCTACCTTCAAACAAAATTTAAAAAGCTTAAAGATGTACAGTCTGCGATTTTCGAAAAATTCAACAACAACGAACAACTTAAAAAGGGCTGATAGTAGGCTGGAAGTTTGTTCCAGTGCATTAAACATTGTCGTCACCGTGTCATGATGGTAGTCTCTCATGGAGTGTAAGCCAGCCCTTTTCAGCAGTGGATGAGTAGCGCTTTGGTTGGTATAGCTCTGGATGTGAGGGAAGGAGCGATGGAGCCCAGCATTGCCGAGGGATTCAATCAAAGCCACCGTGTCATGGTGAAACTCATCTCGTTCGTCCTCAGTCAGTGATGTCAAGGTCTTCTCATATCCCCAGGGATCTGTGATGGTGCAACAAATTAGGAAATAGCTTTATATTAAAGCATTATATGACAGCTGTGAAAAAAAATCAGCAACAGGGGGGTCCAAACCCACAACCTTCTGCTTACTACTGTAAATGTCGAGACTACTTGACTCCCCAGCTAGTCTCACAACCTTGCTCTAAGACACCACTGAGTATCTGAATCATTGATTGTGGAGCCCACTGCATGTATATCAGATTCGAATCGGCCAGCAGGAAACACCTAGTCTATGGAATATCCCCTTGCACAGAAGGGCCTATAATATACGAGCAGATTCAGCGATTTAATTATGCATAACAAGACCGCATCTTGACCTTGACATTCTGACCATTCAACGGGTGCCTCTTATCAGGTCTTCCATAACCTGTTGTTGCGTTACAAAAACATGTCAGCCAAATTGTGATGCGATCAAGCTAAATGAGTCGTTTGTCGACCCCAGTCAAATTTTTTTTATTACAGATTTGAAAAGAGCACTATCTCAGCATTACTGCTGTGAAAACCGCATGCTGGCACCATCTTTAGTTCAAAAATTATTGAAGTCGGAACACCAAGCGATGTGATGAAGCGATGTGATGAAGTGGCTATATTTTGGTCTGTATCTCCAAATGAAACTTCCCGACAAAAGACTCATTTAGCTTGATCGCATCACAATTGACCAATCAACAGCTTAGTCCATATTTCTGATCGAAATGAAGTAACAATTTGTAAAGTTGACTCCGATTGCATGGCGTGGGGGGTCAAATAAAATTTGCATTGCTCACATTTTATCAGAGAGAGGGCTCTGATCTGTTAGACATCGGGTGATACTCCGAATAGGACCCAACATAAGCCAAAAATTGTTGGTTTGAGTCCCACCCTACATCTTTTTTCTCACAAACTCTGCGACAGAACTGAATGTGCAGTGCTTATAAAGTATGGTTACTTAGAAGGACAAATCCACTTTCGAAAATTTACATCAATAATCAAATTAAGATGTACCACATATATAAGAATTGGAAATGTGGCCTGTGCTTTTTTATGCCAGGGTGACGTTATGAACTTCCAATTTACTTTGATGTCCATTTGCATTGTATATAGACTGTTTGACTGTGTAGAAGACATGTCAGAAAAACCTACAGATTTAAATGCAAATTCAAATCTTCCTCACACAAGATGATTGAGATTCTTTCAGCTCAGATCTTACAGATCGTGAACACACATAAAATACATACATTCTGCGATTTGTATCCTTGTGGAGTCATTTCTTTGTTCTCGTGTACTAAAGTTTTTGAGTTTGAAAGTGTACTTTCAAAATGCTCCTGTTTTAACTAGAATTAATTTCCTGGGCTGAAATTCGTTGCATAAAATACTTCAATTTGCGACAGATCAACACACCTTGGAAAGTCCTAGTTTTTGAATAAAATCCATATATCTATTTCGTGATAACCCTGTGGAGACGTACTCAATCTTTTGTTCCCTATTGTGCATATGTCTCCACGTGGTACCGTGTACCAGATCTGATTTAAATGTACCAACTCGGACTTACCGTGAACACCCAGTTTGTCTTCTATCTGGATGACAATTGATTCTGCCTGCTGTTTGTATCCAGCCTTCCATCGGTGACCAGCTAAAGCGCCGAGCGCCAGCACAGCAACTCGCTGTATTTCAGGATCCCTCAAAAGTTCTAAGAAAATGGATCCACAGTTGCAGATCAGACAGCAGTTCGAAAAAAAAGAATGGAATATTATAGCAAAAGTATATTTCTGCTTCACTTTTCCTTTGTGGTTAAATTGTAATAAAAAAGCTTTATCCTCTACAACCGTTTGCTATTTGCCAGGTTTGCAGCACTGCTAATGTTGCTAGCATTGTCATTTTGGGCGTGATCCCTAGCTACACGACATATATGGGTTTATGGCTTCTGACTTGCACACCTTGAGCAAAGACAAATGGGGAACCGCCAACATAGGGCTGGATAGCTCAGTTGGCAGAGCGCCGGAATAGCAATCCGGAGGTTGCAGGTTCAGCCCCACTGGCAATTAATTTGTTCATTTTTTACAAATATTATAATGCAACTTGTCAGTCTCCCTTTGCAGTTTATTGAAGAATTTTAGATAAACTACCTTGTTGTCACAGAATTGTTTCTGACAATCTTCCTTCACTTTCTTAATTAAAATTATTGTCCCTTGTCTTGTCATCACAAATTTCAGAGAAGGGGAAAAACCTAACAATCTATCATAATAACAAATCAACATGTATATGATTTTTTACTTATTATCACAAAACTTACCTGGAAATTTCCCAGGCTGGAAGACAATGTCTTCAACAGTCTCCAGATAATGCTACAAATAAAATCAAAAATAGAAATTCAAAGATAATTATATTATATGATTTAAAACAGGAGAGCTTAAAGCACTACCCATCACTACTATCATAAACAAATCCAGTTAGTTGAGGGAAAACTTGGAAGAAAAAATAATTCCAGAAAACGTACCTCTGAAATGGTGTGTGAGAAGCCGGCCGAGGAAACCAGTAGTCTCTTTACCAGCTCCTTGTTTGGTCGTGGAGACAGGAGGATAAGATCCGTGAGGAGGGACTGGGGGCTATCAGACAGCATTGAGATGAGGGCATCCATCATGTGCAGTCTGTCCTGCTTGTCACGGTTACGTCTGATGAGAAAAAGGGGCGATTTAAAACATATTGTAATTCTATCTGATGCATAACAAATCACGATCCAGATTACTGTTTTCATTTTCAAATGAACTTCACAACCTTGACAAAAATTTAACAATGTTAGGGAGTCTAACTGGACTGATAAAAATAGGGGCCTAAGCAGTTAGGCAGCAAAATAAGAGTTAACTATTTATCTCAAGTTGCTAGATAGGATCGCAAAAACCGGCAGGCAAACACTAATTTTATGTGAGCACTTTAATATTGAGAAAGATTAACTACATGCATCATAAAACAAGAATTACGTACTTCAAACTGTATTTTATTGTACAGGGAAATTCTTGGTGGAGACACCATGATCAAGAGAAATGATCTTGAACACGTTGAAAACAAAGCAGAGTTTATTAACAATGTGATTTCTGATTTATATTCTGTTAGGCAGGGTTTGATGGAGTTTAATGTCGATCAAGGGGAATTGCTGAAAATGTTGAAAACTTGAAAGAATAAGTGGAGCACTGTGGTCCAATGGTTACGGTATTCGACTCATGTGCCGTGGTACGTGGGTTTGAACCCTAACGGGAAACAAAGTGCTTGTGTTCTTTGGCAAGACACTTTACTACAATTGCCTCTCTCCACCCAGGAGTATTAATGGGTACCTATGAAGGTGGAAACCAGAATGCACTGACCTCAAGCCGCTGCAAACACTGATCTTATAACCTGATGAACATGGGCATTTGTGAAGTGCTTTGAGACCCTTGGTATAAAGCGCTATATAAGCACCACATTAAGTTTACAATAATTAAATACATTGGGCAGGGTGTACGGTTTGGGAATGGGAGCTTAACCGTTTCACTCCCATGGGCTCCCTTTGGCACCAAAACTTGACGCCACTTCTTTCCCTTTGGCATCAAGCCATTCTGCATTTTGCGAAAATGTAAATAGCGCCCTCTCGACAAAATGTCTCTCTGGCATTATGCGTTGTGTATCTGACTCCATGGTTGAAGCATATCAAGTGTGCAGGCCAGTAAATCGGTCGGAAATTGCCTACGCCGGCCAAATCACGATTTGCATGCCCTCAAAATCTTCAGTATTTGAGCATGCTGTGGGCCATGAACTTGAGGGTTTGTAAAAAATATGGGTGGAAGCCGTGCACAGGACTCTGAGCTCGCAGTTCTGTGTAATTTGGATGTAATTTGGACCCTAAAAGCGCTCTATTTTGCAATGGAGTGTAGGCATCGTTTTTCAAAATGGCGATGGGCTTCAGGACTATTTTCAGGGGTGATCATCTTCAGATGGAAATTTCTCCCAAAAGTCATCAGTTGACCCCCGAAAATTGAAAAGAAAATGAAAGATGATGAAATAAGCTTTAATTTGATGTGTGTCTCAACACCTTGGAGAGTTGTGAGTATTTTTCCCGAATTTTTGAAGTGGGAGCATTTACCATTGGGGTCAATGGAAGTTTATTTACTGGTCTGCTACCATCTAACAGACCACTCAACAATTATGTGAATATAAACATTATTCCTCCTGCCCCCCCCCCCCCCCCAATGCAATGTTGCTAGGGGAATTAGCCAGATGGCCTGAAGGGGGGGGGGGGGCTTGAACTTGTTCCTAAATACATAGATTGTGTTTGCGCGTGTCCGCTTACATAATCTTGGTAAACACATCAAGGGTAATAAACATGCAGGGGGTTTGGAAGTTCACATATTGTTTACATTTGCTGGGCAAGCAATGGGCTCTGTCCTCCATGCATGAGGTACGAGGGCGCTTCACAATGAAATGTTTCCAGATGCTCTTGGTAATGGAGACTCATGAGTACTTTATTCTCCTGGGAGCCAAAGGGTTAACATATTACTGAATTATACCTGGACAGTGGTAACTTATACATGGGAGCGACAAGTTCACTCAGCTTTCTGTCAGGAACAGACAGCAAGGTTTGCACCAGAGCCCGGAAACACTTGCTGCGATCATTGGAACCTGTTGATTAAAAACAGATTTCTCCTTGTAATTTTTAGTTACAAATTGGGTGCAAATCAAATGTCACTATGTCATAATGGATATTAACGGAACTTGAATGAAAATGGTAAACAGGTAGGGGTTCTTGTCAAAGTAGGTAGGGAAGGGTATAGTATTTTTTTTTTTATTGTTTCTAGATTTTGGTAGAACCAAACCACATTTATGCATTCATTTCTACAGTTGAATATCTATAAAGAACCATGTTTAAAATTCCTAAAATTTTATTGGAAGTAAGGAAAGACTGAATCACTGCAATATCAAAGATTTTATATAAGTCTGAGGGGGAGAAAGGTTCAAATCAGAAAAAGTTGCCCTCTTTCAAGAGAAAACAAATCAAAATAAATAAATAAATGCGAAAGTTCTTTAATGGTTTGCAATTTTGAGGTCAGTCAAAGCATACACGCATGGCCTTGTGGCAGCCAGATTAAACACTTAATGCACTCTTCCACCCTCTACGTTCACAGCGGTGCAAATGGGTTCTCTGTTTTTCTTACACCAACTGCAAATGTCTCGACAGAAAGTTTTGCACATGATCTCATAAATCCTAGCACACGATCTCATAAATCCTAAGTTTAAGGCTAAACCACAACCCTTTTGAAATGTTAAGGCCCAGGTTGTAATGACATGTGTGCGCAGTTTTACCTTTTGCTGGTGCTGTCCTCATGCAGGTCAGGTTCCCCGCGATGTGCTGCTTCAGTTCTGTTGTGTTGAAATTAAGGTGTCTGTCTGGAGTCTAAAAAACAAATTCCAACAATCACCATTGTTGAATAACATAACACATTCTTGAAAAGTATATGGGATGAGTGATCATCTATGCCTCATACTGGCACGATTTCTATAGCTATAGTTTCAAACTTAGGTCTCGTGTGAATTACTCAGATACGGCTTGCAATTAAACATGTGCCTATGGAAGAAAATGAAGCCAAGTCCCAGAGACGTGTGCTGACTGCCAGCCAGAGCCTAGAAATTTGGATGTGACCTAGCTGGAGTTACCCAGCCCTAACTTTTATCATTGGATTGTCATTTAGGACAACCCAATGATAAAATTTAGGGCTGGGTAACTCCAGCTAGATGTGACCCTAACAGAAATATAGTGGCTATCGTTAAACAGCCATAATGCAAGTTTCAACAACTATCCTTACGGCACTCCAAAACAAGATTTCGAATCTATATCACCGATTTATAAACTCCCAGCCAGAGCACATTGGTAGCTCGATTGGATAAACCATGTTCCTTGCTCTATGGGTAAACAATGGATTACCATGCTGACGGTACATGGACAAGGGAGATTTAGTTTCTTTTTTCTTTTAGTAGTTTTCTTTACTTAGTGTTTTTAATCAAATCCTACTTTTTATTGAAATTTCTTAGTGATCCGTGGCTTTCTGGAAAAAAATTTTAAAGGGGAAATTGAGTCTTAGAGCCATTCGGTTGATAGTCTGGTTCCCAGAGCCAAAGAAAACTGTCAGTCTTGGGAACCAGGCTGTCGACTGCCGTAACAATAGTAGGTGTAGTAGAAAATGCAAGGGGAAAGATACGCGAAGTCTAGAGTAGAATTAGAATGATCTCATAATCAAGCATAGTTTACCAGGTTCACGTCTATTGAGTCAGTAGCAATGTCCTCATCATCTGGTGGCCCTGAAGGTGAGCGGTAGTAGGCTTCTCGGACGAAGGTCAGCTGCCCTTCAGAAACACTCCGCATCTCAGGAAACTCTGAACAACATTATATCACAAATAAAAAAAAAACTTTTTAACTTCGTAAACCTCATTGTAGAAAGCAAAACAAAGTCCCTCTTAAAAAAGAAATATTAAAAAGTTACAAAATCTGGAGCTGAATAAATACATTTTTGGACTTTATTTTCAAGTGACAATACCAATACCAGATGCATCCTTTTAAATGTCACCCAGGCAATTTTCATCTCAATTATTTTTAATTTATCAAGGGCTCACAGGATAAATTTAAGAGTTCATTTCCCAAATGTGATATACATGCACATACTTATTCATATATATGAAAAGAGGAAACATTTGCAGCATTATTAACACATATACACACTTATAGAACAGTATAACAGCTGTTTCTAAACCACATTTTTCACTTTACTGCATTCTTAAATTGTGTCTATTAGTATATGGCAGCTTGCAAAACTGACTTGCTGAAACCTGGAGAGGGCAGTATTCTAAAAGGTAAGAAAATGATGTTTATCACGTTTTAAAAACAAATTTCTTCAAATGCAATTATCAACAAGAAATACATGTAAACAAAATAATTAATGACAAAGTTACCGTCAATTAATTAAGAAAAAAAAATTGTGATTTAAAAAGGTTTAAAGGGAATATACATCATTTGCTTTTGCTGTAATTTTCAGAAATGGATGGAATTGGGGGGTTGGAAATATATAGCAAATATAGTTACACTGACTTTTTTAGAGGTTTTGGGTTCGAAAATGCTATAAAAACCAAGAAAAACAATCATTTTCCTGTAGTCTGGTTCCCTGACTCCATATAAGAAGAAACAGAGCAGTTTACATACATTGGGGAATTGTAAGGTTAGGGAACCAGTCTAGCTGGCTCGTACCCGTTCATAGGTGTGTAATCGATTGCAACAAGTGTGATGGTCAATTGGGGCCAGTATTTGAAAAAAAGCCAGTTTTTTCCAACGCTGATCGGCCGCCCAGCGTTGGAAATTAATACAAAAATACCACTTTTCTTGAAAATGACAGTATACCAGGTGCCATGATTTCTGGGATGCTTTACACTGTCATTCACTAACAGTCCAGCAAGGTATTTCAAAATGATTTGGTAGTTTTATTTTTTGATGTTTGCAAATGTTGTATTTTCCCTTTAACTAATCAATTTATTTTCCAGGAATTAAGGTTCTTAACAAAATTCTAAGTGGGGGGGGGGGGGGGAGAGTTGCCCCGTTCGTTATTACGCCAATGCTTGTGTTGTCTTTCAATTATAAAGTGTTTTTGCACAGCAAAAAGCCTTACCTACAAAATGTTCCTCGTTATGACAAAATAAACCAATCTAGAATTTACATTCATAAATACCTATGACAGTTTACCCATTTATATTGGTCGAGAGCCTGTCATGGTAATTATCAGCATCCTAACTTATAGTGTTTAAAACTGGTGAAGTACACATTTATTCCCTTAATTATATGTTGCTGAAATTGGAGAAATGGTGAAATGCAAACAATGGCCCAAGATAATGTCGTTGACTTTTCCTTTTTTTTCTGACAACTATTCCTGGAACAAGTAATTCGATATAAAGAACAGTCTTGAAAATGAATAAAGAAGAAATCATGTAGATTGAAAACATCACTCATTTCCAAAATATCATTATCAGGAAATTATTGACAAGAGCGAGTGAGAAAGAATCATCAAAAAGTGTAAACATAAAAAAAAAAAAAAATTAAATAAAAAAGTTCTTGTAAATAATACTTCAAAACAATGTTTAAACAATATACAATGTATAATTACCAATGTCGTCTCCTTTTTCTTCTTCAGTTCTGTGGACCCCATGCTCAAATCTGTAAATGTAAACCAAACAATTATTCTACCATGCTCTTAATTGATATCCAATGACTTGTGCGTATAGTCAAATTTGGAGGCTACATCATTACAACTTTGATATAATGTGAGTGGTGCTTCCACTAGCTGAAGGACTATATGCCGGGGGAAAAAATACAAGCAATATGTTGATAGTGCATGGGTGTCACTGTAAAACGTTTAATTCGCTGCATTTGCCCTGCAGATAATCATGCATAGCATGTTCAGAAAATCTGTCATGGGGCGAATGCTGCTATGTATGTATCAACTGGAAAAATGCTTTGGTGACTGGGTCTCAGTAACATGTCTACTTCGTGCTGAGATTGGTCTAACCTATTCATTATTCTAACAGGTGCTATAGTAATTGATCGGAAGTTCGGTCAAAACGATTTAAATTCCTAAGGGCCATTATTTGGTGGTTACCCGGCCACTCTCAATAGGCAGCTAGGCATACTACCGAAAGAATCTCAAGGGTCATACACAAAAGATGTTGTAACAAAAAGAGATCGTCAGTTTATGTGGCTACAGAATGTAGATATAGCCCACTTCGCGTTCATGAATTTCTTACAAAGTATAGTTGGGGCCAAATCTGCAGTTTGTTGCTTGAATTGATGCACAACTAGAAGTTCAAACATGCATGTAAAGACAACATTGAGTAGGCATAATTTCTATTTAAATATAAAATGGGCATGTGGAATGGATTTAGTCGAAATTTTTTAATAAGATCGACTGTGATTCGCTATTTTCATCAACGTTTAAATTCAGTCCAATCATGACATGAGCGTGATAAGCTTTCCTTCAGTTTACCGTTAAGCCTTACTTACCCTCAGCATATAACTTAATAAGGAAAGATTCCCATATCTGGCCATCACTTGTCACCCTGTGCACAAACCCTATGCGACTGGTCTGAAAAATTTCTCAGTAAAAACTTCAATATTTTCCCTGCTAATTTTGACTTTTTAGGACATTATTATCACTCTCTGATGGCTGATAGGTCACCGAAGGGAAAAAATAGTGATGGGCAAATATGGGTATATTTCCATTTACAATAATATCCACCAATTTCAGATAGAAAGCGCCAGGGCATTTGTTTTACAGAATAGTTCCAGGATATTGATTAAAACTTTCATTTGTGTAGTTTGGAAGAACATTCGCAGTCATGGTACATGTAGTGTGGTAAAACCGCTGACGTTTATTTCACTAACGACGTTCAGCTGCGGCGCAATGTCCAGTAATTTCACACAAGAGTCTCTTATGTCGGCTGAAAAATCTTTCGAAAAGTTCAGGGAATTCCTCAGACGTCACGTTCTTGCAACAAGCTTCGTTTAAAACTCAATTCTCCGGTCAGTCAAAGGCCGTGGAACCAACTAAGTGCAAAATGTTTACCGCTAAAAAAAACCCACAATGGCCGTCCGAAGCGAATAAGATAAGAGCGGGAAACGTGCCAAAAACCAGACGAAAACTGTCCAGGGCGTAATACGGTCCAATTAACCGGATTACCGTGTATCACTGCGCAGCAAGTGTTTTCCCTCTTCTTTTAAATGGTTTGTTTATTTTATTTATGTCTTTAGAGAAAATAAACAGTTCCGTATTAATTGGGATAATATCAGAAAGGTTTATCGGCTGATAAGACGGAAACAATAAGTCACATTGTGACAACGAAGCCCTATTTTCTGCAACTGGCGGAGGAACACAAGATAAGACCATCCCTAAAGTCTCAGTGTTTTCCGATGGACAGAAAGATCGATCCTTATTGGTCAAAAGTAGTCTGGGGTGATGCACTCATTTCTATTCTCCAGTTTTGGCAGAGTTTGAATAAACAAATTCTATTGGGCAAAATATCACACCTCATTTGCATGTTTGTGTATTCCATGACCAAACAAGGTGTTGATAATGTATGTAAATAAGTTCACGTAAATTTGTCCCGCGATGGGCGGGTCTTAGGCGGAATATGCAGGACTTATGTCCGACAGTATATAAAAAAAGCCCAATTTATAGAAAACATTTTCTTCTCCAATCAATCTTTATAAAATGGTAGAGGAGTACATTTTAAATGAAATATAAATCTTACCCCGGTGCGGACTCCCTTGGTGCCTCATAATGTTCCATTATCTTCACCATTGTTGGCAGTTGCATACCCTTGTGATAGTGGATCTCCTAATAAAAGTTAAAGACAGCATCAGTCAAATCAGTATCACATCACATTCACTTTTTTTTTATTAAAAAGTTTTTTTATAAAATTTAATAAAAATTCATTAATACCTAAGACAGTTTACGCATTCCTATTGGTCGAGAGCCCGTCACGTGACCAGTCTTAAACGGATGATATAGACATGGCTAGCTGGTCTTAAACACTTTTCAAGTGTCACATGGAATTTTGACTCACATGAAATCCGGTGCCTTTTAACGTTTCATGGGTTGAACGTTCACATTCCTCACGTATGTATGCGCAATACTACCAGTGAATCAGTATTTCATGGTCCGAAATTCACACTACACCAGCCCAGCTGCGTTTTGCGCGACATCGCGCAGTACGCGCGACGCGCACGCCAATGTCCTTATAAGGTAACGAGTGGTGGAGGGGCATTCCATATTATAGTCAGAGGGGTGTTTCGTAAAACATGAAGTAAATTTGTTGAACAAAATGGTTGGCAACGTCTACTTTTTGACTTGTTTTGATTTTTGCGACATCGCGCAGTACGCGCGACGCGCACGCCAATGTCCTTATAAGGTAACGAGTGGTGGAGGGGCATTCCATATTATAGTCAGAGGGGTGTTTCGTAAAACATGAAGTAAATTTGTTGAACAAAATGGTTGGCAACGTCTACTTTTTGACTTGTTTTGATTTTTGGACCGAAAAGATTTGTTCTTTTTGACCAAAAAGGTATTTATGAATGGGAATAAATATGTGTTCGGTCGGTATTAAACACTCTGTTTAAGACTGGTGGGAGACTGGATGGGTGATAATCACCATCGGCTTCGCCTCGGGTAATTATCACCCATCCAGACTCCCACCGGTCTTAATAAACAGAGTGTTTGAACACACATTTATTCCCTTTATACAGTATTGACAGTTGATGAATTTTATTTTTACCTTACTAAAAGGGATGTCCAGTAACATCAAAGAATAAGTTCCTTTCAATGAAAAAGTTTGCCCAATTCAAAGTAATTTTTAAGCGCTGGCAGAAGCTTCAACATGTCACTCTTGGTTTGTCGATCGGTCGGTAGGTCTGTCCCCGGAAAATTGACCAGAACGGGCCATCTATGTTTCCCTTAAAATACAACTATCATTGACCAAAAACTGACAAAATGCAATGCCGTCGTCAGTAAATGCACTCTTCGCGAAAATAATGTTTCGGAACACAAGACACGCCCCTTTGTCTCGATGGATGCGCACGCGCGTCTATTTTGCATATGAAGTGTGACATTCCGGAACCGGGTCGGGGCTTATTGGGCACTCGCGCTTGTTTTAATTCAAAAATTTCTTTTGTTCGAATTTACCGTAGGCTTACCCTGACCAATAATTTGTGTAACCACATAGGGACAAGACACGTCTGGGATTTTCCCTGCTTGAAAAAAGGCAAATTTATCGTTTCAACTCGTGTGTACCGCTTACCTTTTGGTGTTTGGATTTGCCGTAAGGTATTGGGTGAGTGCGTCTAGTCTTAGTGAAGACAATAATGCCATCATTGCCCGGTGCCATCTGAGCCGTGTAGGACGACTCGTGGTGACCCTCGTGACCCGTCTCATTGCAGTCGTAGCTCCAGCCGCTTTCCTTCAACTATTGAAATGTAGCACAAATAACATCTCCCCTGTTCATCAATCTTGACTTTGCCGACTCGATACAAAATTACGAGTGAATTCGACGCGATTATATCTTGAAGAGCAAAGTGAATTAACCCTCAAAAATCGGCAAAACAAGAACATAACTTTCTGACAAACGCACTGTGAGAGGAGTTTATTATGATTTTGTACCTTGAGAGAAATTTTTTTATGTTCACTTGAACATTTCTGAAGTTGTGTTCAAGTGTGGCACATTTTTGAAACTCCACCCTATTTGTGTAAAATGTTCATCGGACGCCACCTTTTATTATAGGACGTTTCACATGATTTTTCAATTTTTTTTTGTTCTCCCAACATAATAATTTGTGTGTTTTGTTTTAACAAAAAATAAACCCAATTAACGTTTTCCCAATTTTGGGCGTCTCCAAGTCCTCTGAAAATGGGCTTCCATTATGAACCCACCCTACGACAGCCGAATTATTTACGGGCCGCAAATTATTAGAATTTTGCAAAGAAATAATTCAACAACTAAAAGTCGGTGGATTTTGTTCGTTCGATGCCTCATCCAAAGATGCTTACTTTATATTTCAGGGTGAAACTACATATAGCACGAGGTACTTCCCTTTTTTTCCATGGACGTTTTTGTTAAAATTACAGTGCCAATATCTAACTGAATTAATTTGAAACTCGTCAATACAGGGTGAGTAAACAAAAAAGAAACCCAAATTGCAGGACCAATTTTTGAATGAAGTTTTACCTGAAGCATTTTCAAAATCTAGGATATAAGAGCCCAGCCATTACGCTTTTTTTTAGTACCAGAATCATTCAAATCACTCATGTACATTTCAAGTTACGGAATTTTGAAAACAAACAACGTTTTTAAAGTTCTGTCCACGGATAACTAAAAAGGTAAGTGTTCTTTCAGCAAAACGAAAACAATTCACATGAATCCCTATGAGAAGTGTTTCCGTGTTGCTGAAAGAACACTTACTTTTTTTGTGATCCACGGACAGAACTTTAAAACGGAGTTGAATAGTACATGAGTGATTTGAATGATTCTTGTACTAAAATAAAGCTTAATGACTGGGCTTTTATATCCCACATTTTGAAAGTGCTACAGGCAAAACTTCATTCAAAAATTGGTCCTGCCATTTGGGTTTCGTGGTTTTTTTTACTCACCCTGTACAAAGGTTTGGCAACATGTACTGTAAGAATTGGGGGGGGGGGGGGAGAAGTGCACAACGTTTGGGAAGTCCATTATACCTTTCCATCGGGCGGATGTTGCAGATTACTCGCCAACAAGCTGGCCAGACCTTTCTTGGCCACTATCACGTGTTTGTCCTCGTCACGTGGGTAGTACACCTGACCGATCGCTCCATTCTCGCTGAAGTCGAATGAAAACCTGCGACACAGATTTAAAATCGACTTTCCATCTAAAAACTCGAATATTTCGCTTTCTTCAAAGTCACTAAATCCGTCATGTCCACGTGTTATTCTATGTAAATTGGACGTTTTTTGTAGTTCATAAAATTAGAAACCTTGCCAACAAAATGTTTTGAACCGGTAACTTTATTGAGGTGTCCGATTATTCATGTCAGTGTTAAGTTCGCCTATACACAAGGAGCTGTATGCTTAAGTTCATTGTTGCTTAACCTTACACAACAATCAGATGTCACGGTTGTTACCCTTTCAAATGGTAAAAGGGCTTTATTGTAGCGCGGTCATTTTTGTAAGCATGCTTGCGGCATTTTGTGTTGAGAGTATTATACCTCCGTGGGCAAACAGATTTCGCACATGAAATGCTCAAACTACCATAACTCAGAGACATATTACAGGCGTGGATCCAGGGGTGGGGTTTTGGGTGTCCGGAGAAAAAAACCCTGTGTACATTTTCAGATTTTTTTGCTGATGACTCCCCCCCCCCCCCCCCCCCCTGCGAACATTCCTGGATCCGCCCCTGTTTATGCCATTGCCACGATATGTCCGTCACTTATGCTTAAGGCCAGTAATAGCTACTAATCATAAGTTTAAAATAAGTTCTAAAAATAGCTAAAACTTGCTGTCAAAAGTAGATTTCCTTTATTTTGAACCACCCTGTATATTCACATGTTGGAAAATCGGGTATACCTTTGCTCAAATTACTTCCAGAAACTAAAAGATACTTTCACCGCAGTCGGTGTAACTACGGTGCTGATAAGATATCTAATGTGATATGTCGAATGGCGAACACAGTGCAATGCTAACGCAGAGGATGAACTAAGCCGGAATCCCCATTCAACTTAGACGAATCCACGCACGCGTGATCACTTTTCAGTACAAGTGTATGTACACTCACGAGGCCCCCTTCAATGGAGAAACCATTACGCAAGCTATTGTACAAAGCAATTGTCTGAACAATAGCTAGCACAATGCTTTCGCCACTGAAGTAACAGCGTGCCCGGATTGGTCCATATTTTGTTAAACTGTACATGTTGTAGAATAAGAAAAAAACGGATGCAAAACTGCGCATTCCCAGCATAATTAATTTTGTTGGTTTTATGATGTCTTTTTTTATTGTACCTATTTCACTTTTCGCTGTCTATGTCCCTTCAATACATGAGTGCTACAGCATTCTGTTTGGATTGAGAAGTGCTCAATATAAAGAAGGAAGAACAATTAGTATAATGTGCGTTGGCCAGGATCGCGTTGCGCCATAATTTTCTGTTGTTCGAAAAAAAATTGACCGAGTTGTGGAGACTAGTTTCGACCTTCCCACCAGCATGGTCCCCACAATAACTTCATACATCACGTTCGGTCCCCACAACTCCGAAACAGGTATGGATGTTAGGGTTTTATTGTGTAAGGGGTCGTAAGCTTCAACCCCCCCCCACCCACCCACGGCCACACAACCCCCCCGCACCCACGGCCACACCCCCCCCCCCCGACCCCACACCCGGATCTACCATTGCGTGCCTGAAATGACACAACACAACAAGTATTCTTCTATTTGTTCGGATCCGAGTTGTTTGGACCATCAACAGAAGGATCCTTGACAACTTACCACTCGTTAAAATCTCTCTCCTCGCTCACAGGAACTGAAATGAACAAATTTGAACAGCAATTACAAACCAGGACAAAAGATTGTATTGGCTTTCAAAAACCTGGTCAATCGACCTTGAAACACGTCTGTTTATCGTTGCCATGGCGAGCTTTGAGAACAAGGTTGTTATTTTCAACAAAGTCTTTTGCCCCGAGCCACGGGGCAAATCGACTTGTCAAGAACTATTATTCACAATTCAAAGGCTATCCATGGTCAGTCATTCAATGGAAACGCCAAACCGGCAAGCAAATGCGTCAAACGTCAAAAAGGTCAAGTAGCTGTTCTGAAAAGATTCCACAGTTCTGATCAGACTCTCTATATTTATGATCCCATCTCAAATTTTGCACATTGCCCTCAACCCTATAACTCCTTAGCATAATTTACTAACAACCCGTACCCGTCCTGGCAAATCCCAACACCATATGTGACCTGCCATATCATAATGAGAAATAACCCCCACCTTTGACTTTTTAAGTTACGTACATCATGTTAAAGCGTAAATTATTGGCTTTCCAATGGTACCAAATTTATTATGTAGCCTAATTTATTCCAAAGATATGCCACAGGAACTTTAACAGTGTCCTGCCGAACTTCGCCAACCATTGAAAAAAGAAATACGCATTGCGCCGCCAACGTTAGAGGAAAACGTTCTTCGGTTTCCAACTTTTGGGGATATTTTTCCTAACAAAAATGCATAGTGTGATTCTTGGATACCTTGGCTACTCAAAAAAAAGACAAAAAAAACAATATTGATTTTGACCTGATTTTTCTAGTGCATCCAACTTCAGGCGTTGATTACTCAAAACATGGTTTTGGGGAACATTCCTCATTTTGCCACAGTAGGACACATATCTGGGAAACTGCACACACATTATTTCTGACTTTGATTTGGGAGGTGTCAGGTGTTCCAACCCAATAGAAAAGACTGTCAGTTTAGGGGTAGGCCTACTGTACCCATCCTGACAGATTCCAACAAATATGCCGTTGGGGTTTCATGGGTTGAGTTCCGTTAGAGTTTTAATTAATCTTGAAGAAAGAAAAGAAAAAGAATAAGAAATTTAAACCATATGGAGACATTTCAAAGAATCACAAATTAGGATAGGATGCCCTTGACTGGGCATGTGCAGATGAGGCACTTACCTCGTTGCTCCTCGCTGGTTACTGCCGCGGAGTGAACCCGGAGGTAAATCTCTTGTTGATCGCTGTGAGGCCTTCTCACCAAAATGAAGCCGATCTGAAGCACACACACAAATAATCAACTTTGATTCATTATGACGTCCAGCGTGTTGAAAAAAATATGTATTATTGGAACATGCTTTGCTGGAGACAAATGGGATATCATATTTATGTTCAAAATGCCATCGGTTAAAAGTTGAAATTATTTAGCGATTGCCACTGTAATGTGAAGTCCATTTTCAGGGCAGGGAAGGATGGACATCTGCAACAGTACTTATTCGGGACTACTTCTTGTCCAGTATACGCGTTGGCCAGTATTTTTTTTGAGTGGATGCAAAGGCGTCAAGGCCAAAGGGCGGAATTTGATATTGATATCATTCCTTGTTTTACTACTGTGAAGCGTACATAATATTCTTAAGAGACTGGTACAATTTTGAAAGGGTGTCACCTTTAAAAACAAATCCGGGCCAAAAAATCCAGATACCGAACCCGATTTGTTGTGTTTTTTTTTAATGTTCGCCTCGGCACCCACAACTGGATACAACACGAAGTTATCCGTTCGCATGTATGGTGTTGTTCCGAACGAAACAAAATGTTTAATAACATTAACCATACATTTGTGTTTAACGTCAGATCCAGACGTAAGGAGGTTATCACTATCAGCTGAAACGGCGAGGCTTGATTTACAGATAAAACAAACTATGCTTGTAAAAGGCTCGCACATTGGAGAATTTGAATATGAAATCTGTAGTGGCATATAGGATCATTAATTTACGGGAAATGGTACCATACGGAGACTTTCCAATAGACTTGTGAAGCAAAACAATCCTAACTTTAATGAGCCCTAACACTAACCTAGCCTTATCTTATACCCTCACCAAACTTTATAAATTTGAGTTTTTGCATCGCGAGGAATCGATGGTTTTGCCTAATAGGACTTGAAACATTAGGGAGAATTTAAATGTCTCGGAAATCACCTTCAAGAAAACTGCATTAACAAGCTCCAATGTTCCCCCGCGGGTATTAATGTGAAACCAATGTTCTCCCAAGCGAATTATAAACTGTCACACTTAAGATTCATAATTTTTGGAACAACTTGTGTTAATTTCCGACAGAAATCTTTAAATTTCATTTAAAATAGAGGCTGTTTTCTGCATATGCCCTTTTGCTGGGAACATTTTGGTGATAACGCGTTCGAGCATAAGGGCGTAAGCGCATATTTGTGCCATATATATATTTGTGCCACTTTCCGTAAGTTGATACTATAAACATCAGTATTGCCAGCATTACACACATGTATGACCGTGCAGAAAAAAAACAATTAGTAATGAATAGGTGAAGAAACACTTTTGTTATTCATATTAAAATGTTCTTTTCATTAAATTTTGTAACACACTCTCCAAATCATCATAATGAAAACATATCTTCTGGAATTGCGAACCTCAATTGAAGTCGGATTTGAACAGGTGCCATGTCTTGTCATGTCATTATTAGGCCTAACAATGTAGAAATTGATTTTTGAGTGTTTGTGTTGAATATCCCAGGTTTAACATTATAAGCATCATGAAACATTTTTTTCCTCAATATTCCAAGGACACAGAGCCCGTTTCTGCTTGCAGCATTTTTTTTTTGGACAGGCTGTATACCGAATTCTTATAAAAAGGCGTAGGCCTACTTGGATTAAAGATCGTACTGGTACTAAACACCCCGTGAAATTAGCCCACACGGATTGCTGTCATTTCAAGAAATCAAGAAATGTAGGTGATTTCCAGCGATCAGTGACTTGGCTGATTTTTAGATAAATGAGTGCTATAGACGAAATCGTCGTGCTGAAAAGGTTGTGCAAGCTTCTTTTTTTTAAACTGTTTCCTTGAAAAGGGTAGTGATCCACTCAACTGAAACTTCAACAGGTTAGGTTTGAACATTCGTCCTTGGATTTTGAGTGGTGTTATTATTGGAAACGAACAAAATGCATGAAAAGCAAATGATCCAGTATGCTTTTAAAGGGAATGTACAACGTTTGCTTTTGCTGCAATTTTCAGAAATATGATTTGGATGACTAGTATGTTATAAAATATTGTTAAACTGACTTGTTTCATGTTCTGGGCTTGTAGATGCTGGAAAAAACCAAGAAAACCTATCATGTTCTTGAAGTCTTGTTCCCTGACCCCACTTAAGATGAAAAGAAGCAATTAATAGACTTTGGGGAATTGTAAGGAGGTCACAGAGAATCAGTCTAGTAGGCTTGCACCCCTCCACAGGTGTGTGATCAATTGCAAAGAAAAGTCAGAATAACTAAATATGAAAAATTAACAACAGTTTTTGAAAAAAGCCTGTTTTCTCCAACGCTGGTCGGCCGATCAGCGTTGGAAAAATACAGTTTTTCTTGAAAATGTCAGCCCACCAGGAACCACGATTTTAAAGGATGCTTTTGACTGTCAGTCCCCGGCCCTAACAATTCTGTAAGGTATTTCGTAATAATTTGATCATTTCGTTTTTTGATGTTTGCAAATGTTGTATATCCCTTTAAGTGCAGTTTTTCACTAATTCTGAGCATGTTCAAAGTCTTTTGTATTTTTAGTCCTGTTTGTCCTTTGTTACAAAAATGCGGTTTAGATACCGGCCTTGCCTTGCACTTCCATACCCAGGGTTGTAAATTGTGGTCACAAAACGATAAGGTTCAATTCGCTTACTGAAAGTGCAACCACGCACAGTAAGATATAGTAATCTATATAGCTCGACGGATGTTCAAAAAGTTTCAGGTTTTTCCTTTTTCCTGGGAACTGGGAACCACAAAAAAGCTGAACTTTAATCAAGGACAGGTGGGCCAACATAATATCCCGGACTTCCTGGTTTTTTTGGGGTTTGTTTTGGCATAGCTTGTTTGTTGTTAGAAATTTACTGTGCCCTCTTCTTTCAAAAGAGTGAAAATTCAGCCCATTCAGGGTGAACATTCACTCCATTCAGGGTGAAAATTAACTCCATCTATCTGACTGAAAGCAGGGACCAGACATTTTAGATTGAAATTCATGCAAACGAACAAAACAAAAACCACGAGTTTTCACTCCAGTTTCAACGGAAGTGGTTCTTTTCCAAAGTATTGCAGTCTAAGACTTGACGGATTCAATTCACTCTAAATCGTCGTGTCCCCGGAGAGTGACTTTTTTTCCACAGAATCTAACACTCTAAAAACATAGTGTAAATTTTTGTTGAGTAGAGTTGTTGGGTAAAATAATTGAGTAAATGTTTTAACAATTATTGATTTAAACCCCAAAACATTATTACGCATCAATAACAAAATACGGGTTTTACCATTCCACACGGTAAATTATGCTCAATAATGCGTAGCCTGTGAATCTAATTACTCCGGAAAAAAATGATAAGCGCGTTGTTGTTTACTCCGACTAGGGCAGAAGTTACGCTGTGTGAGGTAAACCATGTACATGTATACAGCGTGTCCCCAAAAAAATTTCCCTCAGATAGACTGTTCAATTAATTCCAAAATCAAGTATTTTTCTCAATTTAGTGTTCAGATTTAGAAAGCCCATTTAATTTTGTTACTTCTGTGAAAATTTCATTGGTCTCGCTTCATTGGTTTTGAATACACCGTCTATTATGTAACAGCAGTGCTTTTCAGCCCATTCCAAGTTTGCAGTGCTACATTTTCTGCACATTGAAGGACAAATCATCAGTGGAACACACCCTGTGAAAGCAAACACGACCAGTGGAACTGAACTTTGATTAGTTTTCATTTAAAAAAAGGAAATGAACTTGACTTAAGTTACTTAGGCTAATAACAAAACAAGAACACAGTTGTTGAAATAAAAGTAAAGCATGGAATAAGGTATGGTATGTCTGTAGTGTGCGTTTCTTTTTATCAAACTTGGAATGGGCCGGAATTAAAGCACTGCTATTACATAACAGCTTGTGTATTCAAAACCAATGAAGCGAGACCTTTGAAATTTTCACAGGAACTACAAAATTAAGTGGGCTTTCTAAATATGTAACTTTAATTGAGTATAAAACTTGATTTTGGTAATTATTCTGTGGTCTATGAGAGGGACATTTTTTTTGTGACACGCTGTACATCGCATTGTAGGCGCGCGGATTGTTCAAGATGGAGGACGTACGCGAAACTTTGACGTCGTGGGGATTGGCAGAACTCGTCCCCATTTTTGAAGGAAAGTTTGAACTACGAGAGTTTAGCTCACGGCATGCAGCCTTCTACACATCGTAGACTATTTTGGTGTGGTAAACGTGCGATCATCATGTATTTTTCATGCTAATTCGTGAATTCATTTTAATTGCTCTTAAGTGCAGGATTAAAACTTGACCCAAACTTGAAGTTTTAAATACCTTGGATTCCACCTGCATTGTCCGAACCTCCTTCAGGTCCGTGGAGGACTGGTAGGTGTAGATGTACTCGGTGTCCGGTTTGAACCGGATGAAACTGGCCAGGACTGGATTGATCGAGCCGGCAATGACGGCCAGGACCAGAATGACCCTGAGCAGGGTGGTAGCACCAGCAGACCGGAGATTGGGCCTACGTGAGTCGGTCACGGCCATCGCGGAAGATCTGGGCCAACCCGGGCCAGCTGCGTTAGTCCGGGTGCCCGGTAGAACAGGAAAAGGCTTGAAATTTCTGCAGGAAATAAAATATAAATGACAATTTGGATATATCTTTTGTTGTTAGTTGACTAATTTCAATCCGAGGTATAGGCCTGTCCGCGGGTTGTGCTGAAAGACACGAATTAATGGATTTGCTCGATGTGAATAAGCCTTAATTTGGAAGAAAAATATAGGGCCTACTATATTTAACAATAAAACTACCACACGCTGCGTGGTATTTGGGTTAAAATTATTGTTATTGTTGTCAGAATGTACTCCGTGCAAATAAAATAACTGTAATTAAAACCGATGGTTGAATTATGAGATATGCAGATGCTGGAAATTAACGTCCAATAGTGTTTTACTCAGCGGGTTTCGTGACACCCACTAGCCGGGTAAAGTCAACCTCGTACCCAGGGTGTCGAGCAGTACGCGCCCATCACTACCTGCTCTCTCACCCTGGTATTGGACATTTGCATGTGCAAGATTTTTGAACACGTATGCAAATGAGGAATAGTCTGGTGCCTGCATGTGCGTTACATTAGCGTTGTTTTTGTATGCGGTGTCTGGGGTAAAAACAGAGTCAATTTGTAGCAGCGCGAGCATGGCGTGAGTTACGAAAACACGATTTTTATTCAATTAAACTGTTACGATCTTAACGAAACAATATGCAGTATCACATTTCATATTAATATTAAAAAACTGGAAAGGAAATTAATATTTTCGAGAAGGCGTGGACGAATGATCGCGAAAACACGTACTGCACGTTGTGAATAACAACACCAAGTACACGATATAAATCCATTACTAGCCAATTGCGGTATCGAATCAAGATACAGGAAGAAAGTTTCCTATCCAGGGTTTACTATTGGAAACCGTGTTGGAAATAAAGTAAGCACTGGGGACGAGGTTGGGGTAAAGTCATATACGAATGTTTACTTTGACCTCAATTTGCATGTTGACCCTAAGTGGGCGTGGTCAACCCTATTAAAGCAATTGTGCCACATTTTTCATCATCAACGTTATGTTTTACGTAAAAGTGATACGGTTGGGCAGTTTTCATAGAGATAACGTTGAAATATTTAAGTTTTCAGTCTGAAAGAAACAAATTTGCCCCCCCCCCAAAAAAAAACCCACCGAAAAACATTTTTTTTTTCAAGGTGCCAACCGTGACCTCAGAGGAAAGTGAAAGACATAGACATCAGACAGACATGAGACAGACAGGCGAGACAGCGTAGGAAAAAAAGATACACGAACTATTCATCGCAGTGCGATTTTGTTCATGCACTGCTCAACGACTACATTTTTTTCGGCGTGCCCTACCCCGGGATTGTGGCCATGCGGCTAGGGTTCGTGACTCATGATCAGAGGGTCAGGGGTTCGAATCCAGCTGCTGGTCATAATGTTGCGTCCTTGGGCAAGCCACTTCACCCCCACTTGCCTCTCTCCACCCAGGAGTATAAATGGGTACCGACATTAGAGGAATAACCTGCGATGGACTAGCATCCCACCCATCAGGGCCTTGAGTAATCCAAGAATTAACATCTCCACAACTTCAGAGAAGGTCCCCAATTACAAAGGATCGAAGCAGAAATTGAATAATCTGGAATTCAAGTCGGCAGTTTGAGGAGGGTCTTGTTACCATTGTATTAAACCATTATGTACGCAATGATCCCAATCTTGCATATTGATGTACATGGGCGTCGCCAGGATTTTTTCTAGAGGGGGGCAAAAAAAAATTTGCCAAAAAATGCTTGTATTTCTCAACACATTCTCGATTTATCAGTTTTAGAGGGGGGGCAGGGACATTTTGCCCCCCCCCCCAGATCATTAAATTTACACCACTTTGTCTTTGCGCCTCTTTTTCTTTTTTTCTTTTTTCTTTTTTTTTCTTCTTTTTTTTTTTTTTTTTTTTTTGCTTTTCCAGGGGGGGGGGGGGGGGGGGCAAGTGCCCCCCTTGCCCCCCCTCGCGACGCCCATGTTGATGTAGGCCTATAGGTGTTTGCACTTTTTGAAGTAATACCAACCGTACGCGCATTTTCTTTCCTTCTATGCTAACCGAGGATACCAGGGGGTCAAAAAGTCGAAACCCTTGAGAAAAAGTTCAATAACTGGTCTGTTCTATGCACACTACTTGCGCTGATAGTCCCTTTCAACACCCAATAACTATATACATGCAGCACAGTTAATTGCATGTATATAGCCTGTCGCCTGGCTAGCGTCGGCTGATTTATTTCCATTTCATTATTACAGTTCAACATCACCTATTTGCATTCAGACTGCTGTATAATAACAAAACATTTGATAAAAGCTCTTTTTCGTCGATTGAGCTCTTAATTCGTGTATAGCTCACTTCATTTACGCTGCTGTAACTTAAATTTTAGTTAATACTGTAAAAGTTAGCCCCATAAATGTGGCAAATTTACTGGACTACCTCCGTAAATAAAGGCCACACTTCCACCATGTACAAAAACATGTCAAACTTTGTCAAATTTTGATTTTCACATTTAGGCTTAGTTTGTAGTTTATTTTTGCTTTAGAACTGAAGCATACTCACCCTCTGTATAGGCTAATCAGAAAGTGCTGCCTTTTACAGATGTCTAATTTTCGTGAAATTTCATGTTGAAATTTTGATACGCAAAAACGTGTGCAATACTGCAAACGAAATCTACTCTACATGTATAACTTGTCTTTAGCCCAGGGTGAAAAAAAACAGAGGTAAAACTCTGGAAAACGTTGTGGCATATCCCTTATACATTTTGTAATGCTTGATTGCATAACTTACTGGTATACATACATACTCTGAGTGTCTCCTCTTATTTTTAATGAAATATTCCATGTATTAATGGTCGTTATGAAAATTACCGACCTAGCGACGTGGTGGACGCAGGATAGAATGGCCACATCATCCTGATCACTCAAACATCAAGCTTGTGGGTAACATACAGACACATTTTTCCTGCTATATACTTCGTACCGTAGGATTTGACAAAGTTCGACATGTTTTTGTACATGGTGGAAGTGTGGCCTTTATTTACGGAGGTAGTCCAGTAAATTGGCCACATTTATGGGGCTAAAGTCCATACTTCTACCATGGAGGAATAAGAACACTTTTGCTCTAAATTGGAAGTCATGTCCCGTTGGTTCAATTCTCGCAAGAAGAAATCACATTGGCTGAAAGGCCACTTACCCAATCTCAGAGCAGTCGTTTGGTGAAGCGAAATTCGTCTTCAGTTCAGTTCGTGGAATGGACGGGACAACATAATACACATAAACCGGACATTACAGCGCCGGTTGCTCACTGTAAGTTTTGCCTTAGATCTCTGGTTTGGCACGTAGGCCTATACTAAGGTTGTGTGTAGTACGGTATTTGTGCAAACAAATTTCACAGAAGGTGATGACTGGTTGGTCGACCAACTATCCACGTGCACTCGGAAGTTATCAAGGCCACGACGGGCCAGGTCAAGCGTGGATTTCTGTGTCAGTCTGTTTGCCCCTGCACAACAACACATAGGTCCATTATCATCAATGAGCTGAAGGTACGGGGAAATCCGGGTGTCCTTTCTCGATGGTGCAATAAAGAGAAAGAACAAAGTGCTAATCTTGAGGCCATTTGCTCGGCCTGGAACACATGGTTCTGGCCATAACGTGCCCTACGCTAGTGTGTGCAAGGTGTTCAAAGGTGCATAGGACGCTTAATTTACATCAAAAGTACAGTGTCATAAGGAAACAATATACCTCGTTTGACAAGCGGATCGACCAAACAGTTTAGTACTAGGGGACAATCGAAACTGTGTTCGCAGGAACGTAGTGCCCATATCTCTTTCGAAGCAATTCTACTCCGTCGAGTCCATGAAATGCTGCTGTATGGGGACTGGGGATCGCAATACCTCCGATTCGCAACTAGTATATATGTTACCTTCCCAGCATTGAATAATGCCGGTACCCATTTAACTCCTGGGTTGAGAGGAGTAATTATTGAGGTTCAGTGCCAATTACTCAAGGGCACAACACGCAAGGCCATATGGCGGGGCTCGAACCCACAATCTCACGATCATTAGTAATCCTGTGCTCCACCGCTAGATCCCACAGTGCCCGCTACAGTTTATAGTAACAAAAAAAAACTAACAAAATGGATCTTCCAGTTTCAAATTGATATGGATTTTATTCTGTAAGATTTTTTGAGCTGAAGATTGTTGGCGACGACTCTCACCTTTTTGCCCTAATTTTCAAGTAACAAATAAATCATATGTTGTAAGCTTCGAGCATATAGCAAGGAGCAACAAAAACAAACGAGAAATTTGAAACTTTTATTAAGAATTTGTTTTTAAATAATGAATCATGAACCATAGTGGGCAAAGAAAACTGCCTTTACCAATAAATTGTGTTGCCTACTCAGTTTTGAATTCCGCACGGATCCGTTATATATTATACCTGTTCTAAGGCGGCAGGACTCATTCACTTAAACAATACCAATGAAATCTTGCCAGTTGCCGTATAGCTCCATGCCGTAACCAACTTGGAACAAGGGGAAGGGACGTGTCCCCACCCCCATTCGATACCTGTTACCCTGAGTCCCCACTCCCGTGTGCCCCCACTCAGAATTTATTAGGGAAAGGCAAAAATGACATGTTTATTGATAAAATAGAAAAAAAACCTGAGTGCCCATGCAATAAAGTTGGTCCCAATTGTTATGCCAGTGGGCGAACAAATCTCAAAAGATATACAGGGTGAGTAAAAAAAAAACCCGAAACCCAAATGTCGGGACCATTGTTTTAGTGAAGTTCTGCATGTAGCACTTTCAGAATCTAGGATATGAAAGCCCAATTCATAAGCCTTCTTTTGGTACAAGAATCATTTAAATCACTCATTTACTTTTCAAGTTCAGGTGTGTGTTCTTTCAGCAATACGAAAACAATTCACACACATCCTTATGTGATTTGTTTTCGTTTTGCTGAAAGAACACTGAACACTTGTGATCCGTGGACAGAACCATAAAACGGTGGTTGTGTTTAAAACTCCGTAACTTGAAAAGTACATGAGTGATTTGAATGATTCTTGAACTAAAAGAGAGCTTATGAATTGGGCTTTCATACATCCTAGATTTTGAAAGTGCTACATGTAGAACTTCACTAAAACAATAGTCCCGACATTTTTTTTTACTCACCCTGTAGAGTCAGCTACCCAGATTTTCTAGGGTTGTTTTAACTTGTTTACCTGTTTCACACTTTGATCCCACCTTGCGTCCTTGGTGTCCTTCCATAACTGCAAGTTTTGTTCCCCGACCTTGAGATGCGCACTGCACAATGTGAAGGAGGATTTTGAGGGTAACCTCCTTTTCTGGGTCGGTTGCTTCTATACCATCAATGGACCGCTTAACTTTCAACAGTAGCTAGGCTATGCCTTTATTCAAGGGCGTCGATCGCTTCTCAAAAGTGTGTCCGTGTTTATGGTGTAAATCGAGTCTGACACAGTAACCTCCATTAGAAAACGTGTACAAAACCAATGAGAGCTGATGCTAAAAAGTTAAGAGTATACTGAGACGAAAATGAAGAGGGACTATAATATAGAAAATCCTCGATTTACGCCATAAACATGTGTGTGTGTGGGGGGAGGGGGGGGGGCGGGTGGGGGGGGTGTGACATACCTTGAATCAGCTAATGCGAGCGCGAAGCCATAACGGTGTGGGGTTCGGGGCACGAATAAGGGCTCCGAAAAATGTTCGGATACTAAATGTTCTATCATGATACGATCTCAGGTGCCTTCTGCACTGTTTTCTAACCATTCTTTGTCTTTTGGTGACTGAAAGATCATCATTTAAACCTCATTTTCGCGTTTGGAGTCATTATAAATCAGCTATTCTGAGCTATAGAATCAGATACATGAAAAGGCAACAATTTCTATTCGGGGACAAAAATGTGGGAGGGGACTAATTAACTTTAAAAAGTGGGGGGGGGGACATGGACCGACAACCAACCCCTTTATATCTGACGTTTTTCGTCACTGTTCAGCAGCGGATCGGGGGGGGGGGGGGGTTGCAAGCACGCCTTTGGGCCGCTGAATTTGTTTTAATAGTAAAATGGGGCAAAACAAAATGAAATTCGACTTGAATTAGTTCCTACAGTTATACTCAAATTGCCTTATAATGGGGGGGGGGGGGAGCTAGGCCCTGGACCCTATATAGCACGCATTCACTCAAATATCACCAACCCCTCGATCTGCATGCTTTTTAAAGCTTCAACGGCCTCTGCTGTTCTACCACCGCTTCCTTTAAATGTTAAACATTCTGCTTTTCATGCGTTTTGTTCGTTTAAAAGACTTTTATATATTTCCAATAATAATAATAATAATAATAATAATAATTTATTAATTTATAGTCACAAATTCCATTTAAAATATGTTCAAATGCGCATTATTACAGTCATAAAAAAAATAAATAAACAGACTTATACGCAAAATTGATATAAACAAACAAAGCAAAATACAACAATACAATGAATACTAATACAGGGTACAAAAAATCAATAAAAAGCTCTCATAAAAAGATTGAGTTTTCAAGTAATTGTTTAAAAACATTCAGGCTACTTGCTTCTCGGATATTTAATGGTAGTGCATTCCATAATTTACTGAGGTGCAGCACACTCAAATGCACGATCACCAAGGGTGACCTTGGTTCGACTTGCTGAGTAGCTGAGGAGTGTTTTGTCATTGGAAGATCTGAGATTGTAATTGGAAGACCACTCAGAACCCAAAAGTATAGATTGTTCAAACCTAACCTGTTGAAGTTTCAGTTCAGTGGGAAAAAAATCAAGTATCAAACGACCCTTTGATCGATAAATCTTAAAATGTATTCTTTCATATTCCGTTCACCCCGAATTAATACGATGCTCCGTTCAAAAGATACAGCGTTTGTTAAGGTGCCTCAATTTTGAGAGGTTTGACCGTGTAGAAAATCGGAGGAGCAGATGCGCGCTAGTTTTCATAATGCGTTCGCCAGGACTATATGCACTTCAACGACTCTCTAACGTTTGCTAGAACTACACTACCCCTATAGGGTCGACGTCGACGTCGTGAGACCCTCAATGACCCTAATATTTCGAGGGTCATGATCCTCCCGTGAAAATGGAGGTCAAATGCTCCCGCTATATATACTACTTTCGTCCATATTATATAGCATTCAAGTCTGCATTCCAAAGTCGACTGGTCGTTTTGAGATCATAATGCAGCAACTAGCCAGGCGGAATAATTTGACGGGTGTTTCGTGCCATGCATCAGCAACGGTCTGCAATCCGAGTACGTTTTTCTTTTATTATATACACTGCAGGGTTCGAAATTAGCGGTAGCCCGCTAGCCCAATGCTAGTCAAGCGACGGGCTAGTCAAACTATTCCTTAAACTAGCCCGGCTGGCGAGTGAAACATTATTGGGATACGGCAAAGATGAACGTACATGAAGAAATATATCATTACACACTCAGTAGGAAAACCCCATCAATTTGTGTTTAACTTTATCAACTGTTTTTAAAGGGTTAAATTATTAGATCTGTTAATCCAAAAACACTGTCAAAATTGCTTCCGAATTGAGCCTGAAAATACGCCATTTTGTATTTGAGATAAGAAAAAAAATGCGGGCTAGTGAAAATGCCCGCGGGCTAGTTAAGAGTTCGTTTCAGTAGCCCGGCTGGCTAGTAAACAAAAAAGTTAAGGTCGAACCCTGTAGTGGGTTACTTTGGTATGGAAATGCAAAATAATAATGCCTTTGATGAGGAAAATAAAAGACCTTCACTGCCCATTGATGCATGTCATGTGGCCCATAACCCAATGCAGTCCTACACCAGTGAACTGGAATCGGCGTACGGGTCTCATTTCAGGATATATACCGAATTCAATCCCCTCAGTTCAGCCAACAAAAGACCATTGTAGGCAAACTAACAAAACCAAGGTTATTAGTGTTCGACGGGCCGAATTCCTTGACGACGACCCCCATAATATCACGTACGTTTATTCACTCCCATAGAACGTGCGGTATTTTAAAGTTAGCTATAGGTACCGCGGAAACTTGACTGCGCCCTCGGAAACCGGCCCTGGTGAGGCACTTCCTCTTGTTATATTGAACTTATTTTTTACTGGGCTTTCTCATTTTGTCCTAATGTTTTATGCTATGAAAGAGCGACCAACAGAGTGATTAAAGGCCTAGCCGGACCAGTCATGTTCGTCTGAATCTGTCAGTGGCTGTGATAAAATCACTGCAACAGGTAAGTTGACTTAAATATGTTGGTCTGTTGGGCTGTTTGTCTATTTGGTCTGGCATCCTTTCTTTCTTTTGACTTGCTCTTTAAGCCAAATCCCTCGGGTTTATTGCTTTCAAAACCCGAGTGACGGATGAATAATGTTTTGCTAATTACCCGCTGTTCGAAATTGCTCAAACATTTTCAACCATGCAGTCATATGCATTGAACAATAGGTTTTTAGTATTTCACCAACCAATTTTGATACCCCAATTCAAATTTTAAATGAGCTTATCTTCATTTGGGTAAAAAGGTAATATAAGGCAACCGATAGGTTTGAAGCCACGGATCACGCTCAACTGCACGGTGCAAGTATATATTAACATTATAGCAGTGTTGTAGTACTCGTACTCGTACTCAAGTACTTTTTTTCTGTACTGTGTACTCGTACTCGTCACCCGTACTCGTACTCACGGGAATTTTTTTTACATGTACTCATACCCGTAATAACAAGAAAACAAATTACTGAACCCGGTACTTGCACTCATAATACTCGTAGCAAAGTACTCGTACTCATACTCGTGGTATACTCATACTCATGGAAAAGTACTTGTATCATACTCTCAAAAATACAGTGCAATAAAAATTAAGTAGAAAGAAAGTAGACTTGAATGAACTTGTCCAGAACACAGTTGATTATCTCATCTTTGCACAGCTACACTGTAAAAATGGTGTTAAACACATTTCTAAACACTAATTCTGTACCCACTTTTTCCACACGTTTAGCACCATGACATGTTTAGATGTCCTTTTTCTGTGACACGCATTATCCGTTTGACATGTACAATGAATGATATGTTTAGCATTTAAACACCCTCCTAAGCGCATTTAGATATACAATCCTAAGCACATGTCCAGAACGTAAACACGTTTAGTTTCACAACATTAAAAAGTGGTAAACGTTTAGAATTGAAACACATTCCTAAACGTATTAGACTATAAACACGTTTCTGATGTGTTTAAATGCAAACGCTATTTTAACACTGCATTATAGCGATGCTGAAAACATGTAACAAACGGGGATCGCTCGGAGAGGATACGTCATTTCATTACATACCATCGAATTAATTTCCTTTGTCGTTTATTTGATGATAAACAAACCGATATGGTTCAACTACAAGCTTCAGCTTAATTTTAATCTTTTTTTTTAACCAGGTGCGGTCATGGCCCCTAGAGTACACACCTTGCTTGCTATTGAAACTGCGCTGATCCTCCTTACAGCGAGGTTGCCTTGTTTACAGTGAGTTCACAGTTGTTATTCTCAAATAACTCGGCTACTGAGGAACAAAACCACATTGAGATCAATACTACCCTACCGGCTTTTTTTATGAGGGATGCTTGGACAGTGATTTCAGTGTACATGTACTTTTATCACCAGAAACCTCTCAATTTTATGAGCCATTTGCGATATGAATAGACGTTTTAGAATATACTTGTTGAAAAAATACAGGGTAAGTAAAAAAAAAAAAAGCGAAACCCAAATATTGGGACTTTTGTGTTAGTAAAGTTCTGCATGTATTTTGAATGAATTGAAGGTTGTTTTTTTTATTGTTCGTACCATTCTCGCAGTCCGAAGACTGAATTGCGATGGTTTACAATTTACAATTAACAGAAATCATTGGAAAAAAAAACATTTATACATATGTTCGACATTAAAGTATTCTAAAAAGACCATTATTTTTTTATGCATAATGTTAAAACATAGAAATATTCTAAAAAGACTCTTATACAAACATTTGGATAAAAAAAGTTAAGATGCTACCCAGACTAGATAAAAAAAAGAACCGTGTTTTGTACATCTACACGTCTTTCAATCACATAGTGATAAAAAGAATGCATTGTGTTTTACATCCAGACATAACCATTTTATTACATGTAGCACTTTCAAAATTGTTATATGTAGCACTTTCAAAATCTAGAATATGAAAGCCCAATTCATAAGCTTTCTTTTAGTAGAACAATCATTCGAATCACCCATGTACTTTTCAAGTTACGGAATTTTAAACACAACCACCGTTTTAAAGTTCTGTCCTCGGATCACAAATAAAAGGTGTGCGTTCTTTTAGCAAAACGAAAACAATTCACACAAATCCTTTGCTGAAAGAACACTTACCTTCGTGCGATCCGTGGACAGAACTTGAAAACGGTGGTTGCGTTCAAAATTCCTTAACTTGAAAAGCACGCGAGTGATTTGAATGATTGTTGTAGACTACTGAAAGAAAGCTTATGAATTGGGCTTTCATATCATAGATTTTGAAAGTGATACATGCAGAAAGTCACTAAAACATTTGGGTTTCGCTTTTTTTGAGTCACCCTGTACAGCAAATCTGTTTCTTTGGTGGCGACTTTTTTTCTGGCTTCGATCGACCCCATCTTAAAGTCTTGTCGAAACGACTAATCACTGAATCATGGTATTGCAAGGACAAAATAACATTTGGAACGTGAAAATCGTCAGGAAGTATATCCAGCCGGTATTGCTTGTTAGATTTGTCCGGCAGGCAATGGACTTCCTTGCCTGAGAATGTCTCGTATCGTAAAAATAACAAAGACTAGGCCACTTTGCTCCTTTATAAAAAGTCCATGTGGGTATGAATTTCGGTGTAATATAATACGTCCTACGTTTGATCCTAAATAACTCTGTTGTTTACCAATGGAATTGAACCAACATTTCACATCATGTAAACATGTAAACAAGGCATGACACATTTTATTGAGTGAGTTTCATCAGCTTTGTGCAAGAGGGTGAGATTTGAACGCCATACGAAAACAAAATATCACTTTCAGAATCTGCCACTTTCGACTTGGCGAGTCCTCCAATGTAATTGGATTCTTTACAGCATATACAAAGGCTTTGTAAGAATCCTCTGACATCTCAACCTCACAGTACTTGGTCTGTGGTACATCAGTTGCAAAATCTATGTCCAGTCCACTGAATTCCAGCTCAGTTCCCTGTAGTGCTTCTCCCAATGTCTCATGATAATGACTGATGTCTTTCTTGGGTCCTCGGCAGAAAGGTAGGGAAAAGAAACCATAGGTTTCTTGTCGGTTGTGGTATGGTCCCACGGTGTTCATCCATAATACAACTTCCTCTTTTGTTGTGTATGTATGGGTGTGTTCATCTGCTTTAACAGTCAGAAACACGGCAGAAAGGACACAAGATAATCTTAAAATTCCCCTCCACATCTTGGATGTATTGTCAATCTACAAAACCTCAAAACATAGGCGATGATGAGTGATTCTAAAATGCTAAATCAGTAGTTTAAAAAAGCAAGTACGCAGTTCGTACAAGCCAGGGTACAGCAACAGAAAAATGGCTGCGCCACGTCATGAATGATTACATACTTTATTTGACGCGATATTGGTGAGCTGGCGGAAGGCGCGTGCTGCGGCCGAGAGCTTCTGAAGGAATGCAGGATCACCCCCGATGTCATTGCAAACCTTCTCGATCGTGTGTTGCAGCAAACGATCGATGGGGTGTGCAATGACATCAAGGGTGATCCTGCATTCATTCCTTCAGAGTTCACAAGCTTTGGCCGTAGTACGTGCCTATACCGCCACCGTCTCCAGCGTGTATCCTCGTTAGAGGACGCCAAGTCGAAATTGTCAGATTCAGGGAGTGAGGATTGTTGTCGTATGGCATTTTACTCTAAAACTAGAGTGTTTTTGACATGTAGTATCGAAGATATACTATAAAACGTCATGAGTCCCTGGTTAAAGACTGACCCGCAAAACGGGCTCTGTTTGGCCAAATACTTTATGGGTTCAAAATTGATACTTTTCCGGGTCAAATGGGGGATTACCAAAATCCAAAATTTGAGCTTACATTAAAATGGCACATAAGTTAAAAGCTTTTGTACCTTGTTTCTCCACTTTTCAGTGCTATTGAATACAATTTAGTCGGGGATAATCGAAAAATACCTCGCAATCCGCGTTTTTTTCTCATCACGAAAAATTGGTGGTGGTGGTGGGGGGGGGGATGATTCAATAGCCCACCCCCCTGGTCCAAAAGGGGTTACATACCCCTATCCCCCTCCCCCTGGATGTACGCCCCTGATTAAAGCTGAATCCAATTTTGGTGGTAATTGGAGGATTTTGTAGGATTGAGGATGGTTCCAGATTTTGTCCAAATATAAAAAAAGCTGTGTAGGTTTGGTGCATTAATGAGGTCTACAGAATCCAATTCTCATTTATTTTCGAGTTTTTAATATTTTTATGTATTTCAACACGGTAGTTTACTAATATTTGTTTCTCCACATCCAGGGCCCTCGCCTGCAAACACACGTGTACTCAGACGTACTACACAACTTGTGTAGACTTTGATTTCAAATGCACCAGACACCGGTAGGTTTAGGCCTAAAATTATTTAGAAACAAAAAGGCGTACTTTATCATATGTTCCTTTTGTTTTATTTTTGCGTTTCCTTTTATTGCCTAGTCAAATTTTAACAATAGAGGGCGCACTCATTTCCAGCGCGGTGCGCGCGCAGTTAGTTTCGAACACGTGTACACTTGTCAAATGTCATGCTACATGTGCTATGCTTGTAATTGTTGTCTGACACATGTCGATATGTTTTCGACGAAGGACGTCGCACGGCCATGACGGCAGAGGTAGGTGTTCCAATTGACATGATTGAAGAATTCCTAGTCCCCGAATTTCATATTATGTGTACATTTGCTGTGCAATTTATAGTTCCGTGGTTATGCAATGGACCGACCGACGGGCCGGTGTCGTGCCAAAAACCGTCCGGTGCCAAATAGTGTCCGCTGAGCATGCGCAATAGGCGCCAGACACTATTTGGCATGTAATACATGCCAAATAGTGTCCGGTGCCAAATAGTGTCCGGGCGCCGTCGATCGAGCGAGAACAAGGGCGCACGTACGTACGTTCTGCCGGACAGTATTTTGCAGAAAAAATCGGACAGTATTTTGCAAGGGGGAATCGGACAATATTTGGCAGGGCGGGGAATCGGACAGTATTTGTTGGCAGGAAAAATCGGACAATATTCAGTAGCAGGGGAATCAGACAATATTTGGCAGGGGGAATCGGACAGTATTTAGCAGGAATAATCTGACATTTTTTTTTTTGCAGGGAAATCGGACACTATTTGGCAGGGGGAATCGGACACTGTTTAGCAGGAAAAATCGGACACTATTCGGCTGGAAAAATTGGACAGTATTTGGCAGGGCGGAATCGGACAATATTTGGCAGGAGGAATGGGACAGTTTGGCAGGAAAAATCGGACAATATTTGGCAGGAAAAATCGGACAGTATTAGGTGGGAAAAACCGTAAAATACAACGTTGGTTATAATGCTACACACAGCACAGTACGTACTACACACACTTCACACGGCGTTAGGCCTACGTACGTACTGCATGCCAAACAGGTGAACTGACGCGAAAAAACACAAACATTTTGCACAAATATAATATTAGGGAAACCAAGTCAGATAGTTATCACAGATAACAAGGAAAACGTTAAAACAGATTGTAAAAAGCAAATTCAGGTGAAAAGAGATCTTTTCTATACGAGTATTGACAGCTCGACAAGGCACGCAATAGGATGCACGCTAAGCGCGGACACTATTTGGCAAGCGTCCGTAAACAATGTGACGTCATAGACGCATGACCAATCAGATCGCATTATGCTAATTAGCGGACACTATTTGGCACCGGACGGTTTTTGGCACGACACCGGGCTTCGGTTCTATTCCGAGTAATCGGACATGTCGGAGTATAAGTGGACTTGGTTGGAGTTGGTTGGAGAAATGTTGCCAGTTGGGCGATGGTTAGTCCGAGTAACTTGGACCCAACTTATCGCCTTTTTTAACATTCGGACATGGTCTGGCGACTGGCGATAGTAAGGTCCAAGCTAATAGTGCGAGCTGGACAACACAATCCGGTCACTGTCCCAAAAACCAACATTTTCCAACAAAAAAACATCAGATTTCACCTTCAAAACGGCCTCCAAATTACTAGATATATGCCACCTGAGGTACAAGTATACATCGATAATTAAGATAGTTGTACTGAAGTTTACTTACGATCCGGATGAAAAGTGAACTTTCCCGTTCAATTCCGAGAGCTCCCTTCGCGATCTTGAACAACACGTTAAATTTCCGACTCGTGTTAATGTTTGAACGACGCGATTTGTTCTTCATGCCCAGCGTACATTCGATGGTCCCTGTATCCCAAGTGCGATTCCGTTACCGAGCGCACGCGATGCATCGATTATGATAATGAGTAGACTGGATCACGTTGGTAAACACATGTGCATTTCGAACGAAAAAAAGGAGACGGGAACAAGCGCAGCTTTTATGCCGGATACCAGTTCAAGCTGGTTCCCGATTCCCTTTTACCGTTAGAAATGCAGTTGTATTTATGTTATGCCCCAACTATCGCATCGGTCCCAACTATAGTTGGGACTGGAGTTGCGCCGGACACTCGATGCAGGGTGTTAATGTTCCGCAGCACTTGCACCATTCGTCGTGCATGCATGCCGCAGGGCTGGCTGGCCGGCCACGTGGTACTGCCTAGTTGGATGAGTTGTCCAGCTGGGTTTTATAGTCCAGCAACATTTTTTATGCAAAATTCAAAGATTGGCGTGGCCCAGCTATACTAGATGGGCCCCACCCATAGCTAATTTCCGAGTGGTACCAAGTAAAGTCAGACGTGTGAGGGAATGTTTTATACACTGCCAAAAATATATTTCTTATTTTGAGAAAAAAAAACTTAAAACAAGTTATTTTTTCTAGGGAGTGACACAAGAAAATATTTCTAAAAGGCCAATTCTTGTTTTAAGAAACTTGTTATTAGATTTTTTTTCTAGTGTTCTTGATTTAGGATAAATAATTTTCTTAAGTTTTGTCAAAATAAGAAAAAAAATTCTAAACTTTTCTCAGTTATGTTTCTTATTTTAAGAAAAACTGCAAGAAAAATTTTCTTGTTACAATTTTCTAGGGAGTGACACAAGAAAACCTCTTTCCTTTTCTTGAATCAAGAATATAACCCCTTCATATTGCAAAAAAAATCTAGTTTTTTTTCTTGTTTCTTACTCAACTTTTGTCAAATTAAAAATATTTTTTTCTAAACTTTTCTCAGTTATGTTTCTTATTTTAAGAAAAACTGCAAGAAAATTTTTCTTGTTACAATTTTCTAGGGAGTGACACAAGAAAACCTCTTTCCTTTTCTTGAATCAAGAATATAACCCCTTCATATTGCAAAAAAAATCTAGTTTTTTTTCTTGTTTCTTTCTCAACTTTTGTCAAATTAAGAATATTTTTTTCTAAAGTTTTCTCAGTATGTTTCTTATTTTAAGAAAAACTGCAAGAAAATTTATATTGCTCAATCCACCTGAAATCAACTTTTCTCAGTTATGTTTCTTATTTTAAGAAAACCTGCAAGGACAATTTTCTTGTTACCATTTTCTAGGATTAGGAATGACACAAGAAAACCTTTTTCCTTTTCTTGAATCAAGACAATTAACTCCTTTTTTTGTTTCTGCTGAGGTTTTCTTGGATTCCAAAAGAAAAAACATCATAAATCTTAGTACAAATTAATGAGAATTGTTTTCCTACTACAAGAAAACAACTTCAAGGCAAAGGTATGCATTCATCATAGCAGCAATGGATGCCATGAAGACATTGTGTTAATATTTAACAAATAAAAGTCCTTTGTTTCAGGCTTACCTTTTTTAATCACCCTGTATAGTTTGCTCATTTCAATAATAGTATTTTCACCTTACATTACAACTTTATTTAAAAATTTTGTCACTGTCATAACTAGGCCAATATACATTTTTATTGGTGAACTTCAAACCTAGTTTTGAGCATTATTCTCCAAACTTAGATTTGCTTCTCGGGCAGAGCCTAATCGCCAAACTCAGATTCATTTCTAACATGGAGGAATAAGAACATCTAAAAATCAATTGTCATATCAGTGACTGCCACTTTATATGTTACTTTCTATAAAAGAAAAGGAATTGCTATCTCACTCATGCTTAGTGGGTTATGTGTGCAATGTTCAACATGTATTACAGTATGCATACATTTGCAACTACCGATCCGAAACTTACACAACTTTCAATCTTTTCAATCCTTAAACATCTTCAACAATAAAGTTCATACAAATAGCCATCCTTAATCTATGATAATTAAGTTAAAACATGACAATAAAACTAACATTTGTACATACCTCTGGCAGAATAAAAATGATGGAAATGATAAGTGAATGTTCAGGCCTGACAGCTGAAACAATACACTTTTAAATTTCAGTTGGCCACTCCCCAAACAGCGCCCTCTGTTGTTCTGGCCAAAGTCATACAATTTTAATTTCATTCAAGAAAAGTTTTCTTAAAATGAGAAAGTATTTTTTTGTACAGAGCATCAACAAAGAACACTTGGCAAGAATAATTTTCTTGAAGTGTAGCATTTTTTGAAGACAAGAATTGTTTTTATTAACAGGAAATATTTTCTTAAAATAAGAAAATAGATGGCAAATATGAGAAAAACACAGTTCGTAGTTCTTAAACAAATTTCTTATGTAAGAAATTTTCTCAAAATTAGAAAATTTTCTTGTAATGAGAATAATTTTGAGAAAAAAATCTTAAAAAAAGATATAATTTCTTCAAGTATATTTTATTAAATATTTTAAGAAGTATTTTCTTGCCCATTTTTTTTTTCTTACAAATATATCTTAAATCTAGAATATTTTTCTAATTTCAAGAAAAGTTTTCTTAAGTAAGAAAATATTTTTGGCAGTGTAGTCGTACATCAATGTAAACTGTAGTTGGGACCGCAAAATAAAAATATTGTAGTGGCCCAACTATAGATAGGCCCCGCCCATTATTCGTCCCAAGTTAAGTCCGATGTGTATCGGGGTTGTAGGGAATGTTTTATAGTCGTACAGCAGCGTAAACTATAATTGGGACTGCAAAATAAAAAGATTGCCATGGCCCAACTGTACAATGTAGATGGGCCCCACCAATAGCAAATTTCAGTAGTTCAAAGTAAAGTCAGACGTGTATCAGAGCTGTAGGGAATGTTTTATAGTTGTATATAGTTGGGACCGAAAAATAAAAAGATTGGAGTGGCCCAACTATAGATTGGCCCCATCAATAGCTAATTTCAATTGTCCCAAGTAAAGTCAGACGTGTATCACAGCTGTAGGGAATGTTTAATAGTTGTACATCAATGTAAACTACAGTTGGGACACCGCAAAATAAAAAGATAGGAGTGGCCAAACTATAGATGGGCCCCCTTGATGACTCCCAACTATAGTTGGGCCAGCCCAACTGTGGTGCTACAGTTGGGACAGTTGGGACCGTCCTAACTATAGTTGGGACGATCCCAACTATAGTTGGGACAATACCATAGTTGGGCGTAACATTTACAAACATTTATCATAATCGATGCATCGCGCGCGTTCGGTAACGGAATCGCACTTGGGCTACAGGGACCATCGAATGTAGGCTGGGCATGAAGAACAAATCGCGTCGTTCAAACATTAACACGAGTCGGAAATTTAACGTGTTGTTCAAGATCGCGAGGGGAGCTCTCGGAATTGAACGGGAAATTTCACTTTTCATCTGGATCGTAAGTAAACTTCAGTACAACTATCTTAATTATCGATGTCTACCTCAGGTGGCGTATTTTAATTTGGAGGCCGTTTTGAGGGTGAAATCTGATGTTTTTTTTTGGAAAATGTTGGTTTTCGGGACAGTGACAGGATTGTGTTGTCCAGCTCGCACTATTAGCTTGGACCTTACTATCGCCAGACCATGTCCAAATGTTAAAAAAGGCGATAAGTTGGGTCCAAGTTACTCGGACTAGGCGATAGTCATGGTGTAGGGCCCCTGTTTCGTTTTGATCAAATTAGAGTCAAAAACGTTTTTTATTGCTGAAAATCACCTTTACAGTCAAAAGTAGACTTTTCTCAGTTATGACACCCGTTTTACAATTTTGAACAGATTCTTGGGGTAGAAATCACGATTTTCCTGCGCGGTTTGTTGTGCCTTACGATTCAGCGCGCCGTGCTTACGACGTGTTTTGTGAAATGGATCGCAGGACGCGTCGCAGCTGCAACGCGTCGTGGGATACGATGCGTCGCAGCGCTGCGATGCATCGTAAGTTACGATGAGTTTCGTGAAATCGGGTTATTGAGAATGTCGCCAACTAATTTTAAAGTGGATTTTGTACCCTCATAGTTAGTTATAGTATTAATTACTAGAACCGGGCCCAACACTACATGATCGCCACAAGTTTAAGCATAGAGCTAGCTATGAGCTCCGTGCGCTACCAAAAGAGGGCGCCCTTTTACCTAATCTGTGTAATAATGTAATTACACAGATTGTGAGCTTACTAACGGTACCTACAGCAATGGGTGGCTTTCCCCTTCTATTCCTTGGGGAAATAATAGCAACTTTTCACTCTTCTGTTGACATTTTTCAACAATAATATTTGGTACATTTTGTACACAAAAATCAAGAGCCAAGGACGATGTTCTGTTTAGCCGAATGTTCGGTGTAGCAGTGTTTGGTATAGTGACGTCCCACTGTACATGTACACAGTACAGGTTTCTTTTCCCCTGTCATGTCTGTAATTACTCATATGTGTATGTATGTAGGTCTAAGTAGACCCATTTCTTTCAATCCTGTAGGGACGTTGATTGCTGGTTTTGTTGCGAGGGATGGACTGGAACAGTGACTGGCCAAACTGGTTGTGATACCGGTAAGTTGATTCGGGGTCATTCCATGTCAAATCACCCAATGGGTTACACCCCACCCCCTTCAAATTTGCTCATATTTAGTATGTGGGGTAAGTTAGGCTGAAAAAGCTGAAATTTTAAGTTTTAGCGCCATCGGACAAACGGTTTTTGTGCTACCGCCCCCCATTGTTTAGCAATTTTGGTCAAAATGGGCGTGGCTGCCAATTTTCAAATGACCATATTTCCATAACCTGTGGGCCAAATTTGTTAATCTTGGTTTCTTTGGAAAGGTAACATCATAAGAAATCCAAATTTACCATTACTGTTCATGTTAGAGTAATTTAAAGTATGATGACCTTTTGACCTTTACTTTGAACTTGAATTTGACCTTGTGGATCACGTGACCTTGAGACGAACTTAGATGAAAATTAAACCCCAACATGTTTTCTACAAAATATCCAAAAATTGGGTGTATATATTTTTTTTTTTTGGTTTCTAGCTCATGTCAAAGTTGGCATACGTGTTGAAAAATGTGATATCCCTAAACAGAACATATTTCAGGGACAAAAAATGCCTACTTTAAATCCACTATATAGTCACTGCATAGGGATATCACATTTTGCAACACGTTTGCCAACTTTGACATGAGCTAGAAACCAAACAAAAAATATTATACCCCCATTTTGATATTTTGTAGAAAACATGGTGGGGTCTAATTTTCATCCAAGTTTGTCTCAAAGTCGGGTGATCCACAAGGTCAAATTCAAGGTCAAAGTAAAGGTCAAAAGGTCATTATACTTCAAATAACCCTGACATGAAAAATAATGGTAAATTTGGATTCCTTATGATGTTACCTTTCAAAAGAAACCAAGATTAACAAATTTGGCTTACAGGTTATGGAGATATGGTCATTTGAAAATTGGCAGCCACGCCCATTTTGACCAAAATTGCCAAACAATGGCGGGCAGTAGCGCAGAAACCGTTTATCCGACGGCTCTAAAACTTAAAATTTTAGCTTTTTCAGCCTACCTTACCCAATAAACTAAATATGAACCAATTTGAAGGGGGTGGGGTTTATATTTTAAAATTGTTTGGGTGATTTGACACGGAATGACCCTTCTATTACATCCAAACATTACCTTCACCCAATGGGAATCATAGATTTAGAGGGGGAGGGGGCGGGGGGGGGGGGGGAAGGATGCAGGACCCCAATTGCAGGGTGTGCCACAAACTTTGGTTCATATCGGCCCCCATTTCCTGAAAGGTGGATCAGTCCCTGAAAATTCACAAACATTATTTGGTCAAAAATTTATTTTGTACGAATGTGGTCTTATGGTGGATAAATGCAGGGGCATGGCGATCGGAGTGGTTGTGGGGGATGGGGGGGGGGGGGTTGACACCCAAATTATTCTCTCAGTCGGCAATTAGAGCCCTTGTCAGCAAAAGAATCACCCCGAATCAAAGCACAGAATGAGGGCTCATCCGATCCTGGGGTATTGTTAGAGGAGACTTCAGAATGGGGGTCGTTCGTCCCCTCCCCAATTAATCATTTTGATCAGCAGGCTTGTTCTGTTGGAAAAATCTAGTGCGGTTAATATCATTACATTGGAAGTTTCTTGTTTTCTTTTCAGCCATTTGTTGGGACATTGAGAACTGGTGTCCAAATGGAGGGACGTGCAGTGAGCCAGATACGTGCATCAACTGTAACTCTGGCTACTACTCCCCACGATGTGACGGTACTCTACTCTAAGAATGTTCTGTGAAAACAGTCAGAACAATGTTGAACTTTTTTATGCCAGAGGTTTTTTGGCTTTATAATGCCAGAAGTTTTATTTTGTTAGTGAAGAAGTCCGCCTCATCCCATCAGTGTTATAGTTGTGTCCATCACAATCCCAGTCACAAGTAATCACAAGTCGTGTCAAAAGAAATCACAAGTCCAGTCACAAGGAATCACGAGCCCAGTGACAAGGAATCACAAGTCTAGTCACAAATAATCACAGGTCCAGTCACAAGTAATCACAAGTACAGTCACAAGGAATCACAAGTTATCACGTATCCAGTCACAGGGAATCTCAAGAAAGACGGACGGTTGGAAATTTCCGTTAGTAGCTGTCTTTTTTCTTTTTTTTTGGCAAACCCTGCGCAAGCATTGGCACGACGCACACGCGCGCGCGGTTGCTATAATTCGTCGCATCAGTGCGCGAAATCGTGTAGCTGCAATAGTCTCAGTGAGAAGTGTCTCGGATGCTGAATTCAGGCCCAATTCAAAACATGATTCAGCAACTTTTTGATTTGAAATCGAGATCCAAGAATGCTGTTTTTCTCGAAATATACAGCTGAAGCTGAGCTGAAAATTCATCGGGTTAGTTGTTCAGCACCCTTCTTTAGATTTTGAGCACGTTTGTTGCTTCAAACAAATTACAAATGATGGGCTGTACCTTTAAGATTGAGCTTTATTTTTTTACACAGCTCATGGTCTGCTTCTATTGTTATATTCCAGAGTGCACAAGTATCGATTTCTGTGATAGTGTAACATGCACCACTGACTCAGACCAAATTTGTCAGAACTGCAACGGAGACTATGGCACTGCAATTGGAGCAGCCTACAAGAAGTCAGCTGACCAGAGGCAGTGCATAAGTAAGGAGCTGTTGTTCAATATTTAGCAATTGTACAGGGTGAGTAAAAAAAAACGAAACCCAAATGTCGGGACCACTTTTGTGGTGAAGTTCTGAATGTAGCACTTTCAAAATCTAGGATATAAAAGCCCATTTCAAAAGCTTTAGTTAAGTACAAGAATCATTGAAATCACTCATGTAATTTTCAAGTTACGGAGTTTTAAACACAGCCACCGTTTTAAGGTTCTGTCCACGGATCACAAAAAAGTTCACTGTTCTCTCGGCAACACAAAAACAAATCACATAGGGATGTGTGTGAATTGTTTTCGTTTTGCTGAAAGAACACACACCTTTTTTGTGATCCGCGGACAGAACTTTAAAACGGTGGTTGTGTTTAAAATTTCGCAACTTGAAAAGGACATGAGTGAATTGAATGATTCTTGTACTAAAAGAAAGCTGAAGAATTGGGCTTTCATATCCTAGATTTTGAAAGTGCTACATGCAGAACTTTACTAATAAAACTGTCCTGACATTTGGGTTTCGTTTTTATTTTACTCAACCTGTAGACTGCTATGATATGGTACATGTATTTGGCATTTTTAACACCAAAAAGCGTTTATCACCCGAGGCGAACTATGCGCCCTGTAGGGGTTACAAACAGTATATCCCACACAGTAGCGGCGCCAGACTCTAAAATTTGGGGGGCATGGAAATATTTTTTTTCGGGGGGGGGGGGGGGGCGTCAAAATAAAATCTGATGATATCCAAAATCTATTGGGAAAGTAAGGATTGAGCCCAATAACTAAATGGCAACTAAAAGCCTGTGCGTGCCCATTGTCAATGGTCCGGGAATAAGCCACCAGCGCAACTTAGGCCAAAAAAAAAATCTCCGGTTTCTGGTATGGAGCTTGCCCAAAAAGTGGTGCGGCGACGCGGCTTTTTTTTTTTTTTTTTACCTGATTTTTTTTGCTTGAAATGTCGGCTGATGACTGCAAATGGTGCCCGACTAAACTTAGTGCAAATATATGGGAGTCCAGAGAGGCCACATAAAGCTTATTCTCGACCATAACCCAATCTAAAAACACGTTAAAATTGTGCAGCAGCAGGATTCCAGTCAAACCAGTGAGTTTGGCGGTTTTGAGACGTCATCTTTCATTGAAAAAAAAACGTTATCATTTTGCCGACGCGCATGGCTACTGCGTGCATTCCAGAAACCGGAGACTTTTTTTTTTTGGCCTTAGAGGTGTAGTTGTTTTTTATGAATGAGAAATGTGTCAAACCGCAGAATGGTGTATGACAAATGTATAACAAATGTTCAAAGACGTTGGCTGCACACTATCTACGGCTGTATAAATGCATGCGTGGCGTGTTTTGTCTGCCAAAGTACCAATGTCTATAATGCTTTCATTGGCCCAAAATGTGTCCACAATTTATTTATCTGAACAGCGAAGAAAATAAACAAAAATAATCTATTTGTCGATAAATTATTGGGAGAAACTTGGGCGGGGGGAGCAAACTTGGGGGGGGGGGAGGGCACTATAACCGTTATCATGCAAAACCTTGTTATCCGTTGTGTTCACAAGCACACCCTCACCAGCAAAGGAAACACAGTTGGGGGTGACATACCGACTCCATCTTGCCTGACTGCAATTCATTTGCCGCGAAGCGCGGCCACTGTGTGTAAATAGTACAAAATCCCTGGTGTACGTGCGTCACACACAAGGAACGGTGCGCGTGAACTAGCGAAATGTCCTTCCCGTGGGACGTTGTTGTTAGGTAAAAGGGCGCCCTCTGTTGGTAGCGCACGGAGCTCATACCGTTTTTTTTTTGCCACTTCACCAGAGCAATGTTCATGGAGGTCAGACAGCGATGCCTGCTACCCAGGCTCCTGCACAGACGCCCGGTGCACATGCAGCAGTGGATTCTCGGGACCAGACTGCAGAACACGTCAGTAGTTACTGGTTATTTTTTCTCAAACTCATTTGACATAAGCTGGGAAACCATGGCAGCTAGTGACAGTAAAATGTTATAGAACCCAAAAAGATTTTTTTGGGTGGTCTGATGGGTTTTAATTTATTGAAATCTCAGTGACTACACACTTCGTTATTGTACTGAAAATTGTTTGGAAAACGTTAGGCCCTCACTTTCAAATCACTGTTCAAGTGTCCTTTCACTTTTTATTATTATTGTTATTATTATTATATTCTCTGTAGGGCCTACTGAACTAAAGAATCCTCAAAAGCACCCTAGGCACTGTAAGCTCGTAAAACTCTGGAGAGAGAAAAGGGCCAGATCCAGAACGCTATTTTTTAGGGGGGGGGCGGCCAAAATAATGTTTGTTCCCAAAAAAAGACTAGCAATACATTCCTTGGTTTTTCTTTCCCTGAAGTGGGCAGCAGTCAAGCTCCAGTCCTGTCAGAGCACCGTGCCACCCTGATCATGGGGACGACAACTCTGGAATCCCCCACGGTCCTGGGCAGTACGGACACCGTCTACACCAACGTGCGAGACTTCGCAAGTGTCAAGGTCAATTGGAAGAGCTCCTACCAGCCTGCGGGCCTTCCGAACCCCAGCGGCGGCGATCACCCGTACATCCACAGCGTCGGGCTTGGGATCGTATCTGCGAGTGTAATGGTTGATGTTAACAGTGAGTGAATATTAGTGTTAAAATTCCATCACAAGTCCATCACAAGTCTATCACAAGTCATCCAGTCCTTAAAGGGAATGTACATCATTGGCCTTTGCTGTAATTTTCAGAAATGAACTGTTTTAGGGGTTAGTATAATAGATCAAATATTGTTACACTGACATTTTTGAAGTTTGGTGTTCGAAAAGGTTGGAAAAACCAAGAAAAACAAAAATGTTCAAGTAGTCTGATTCCCTGACTCCACAAAAGATGAAATGGATCAATTTATAGATGATGGAAAATTGTAAGGCAAGGGAACCAGTCTAGCTGGCCTGCACCCGTTCATGAACATGTAACCAATAGCAAACAAAATTTGGACTGAAAAAAATGGTAAATTTGGAGCAGTAGTTGAAAAATAATTAGGTTTTTCCAACGCTGGAAATGTTGGAAATGTTTACAAAAATACCATTTTCTTGAAAATGACTTCACACCAGGTGTCATAATTTTACAAGATGCTTGAAACTGTCATTTACCAACATCCTAGTAAGGTATTTCGTAAAAACTTGGTAGTTTTATTTTTCGATGTTTGCAAATGTTGTATATTCCCTTTAAAGGTACAGTCCATCATTTGCAGCTATCCTAAAAGTTACTGACGTAATTATTGTTGAAAAGTATACTTGGTTTAAAGATAGTAATGGGACTAAACTCCCTGTGAAATTGTTCTTTCTGGCAAGCTGTCGTTTTGGAAAAAAAACAATGAAAGAAGGCCTTTCCAATGATGCGTCTACAAATGTATTGTAGCCATCGAGCTAAAACTCTCACATGTTATGCAACCTACTTTATTTCATTTTGAGCAATTTAAATTTGTTGCTTCAAATGAATTGGGCCTGAATTCAGCGTCCGAGACACGTTATCACTGAGCCGATTGCAGCTACGCGATGTCGCGCACTGATCCGACGAATTATAGCAACAGTCGTGCCAACGCTTGTGCGTGCTTCGCTGAATAGAAAAATAGAACTACTAACTGAAATTTCCGACGGTGCGTCTTTAGACGCGTCATAGAAAAGGCCTTCTTCTGTTGATTTCTTCAAAATGACAGCAAGCAATGACAGCTTGCCAGAAAGAATAATTTTACAGGGAGTTTACTCCCCTTACTATCTTTCAACCAAGTATGTTTTTCAACAATAATTACGTCAGTTACTTAAGCTGCAAATGATGGACTGCAGCTTTAAGCACTACATTCTCCGTCTTCTCCTTCATATCCAATGATCTAAACCGTCTTTCTTTGCCTTTCCGTTCATCAGAGGCCCAGGGAGGAACCTATTCCATCGCTTCTCGGACTTGTTCAGGGGCTGGATCTCGGCTGTCGCCTAGAACCGATTTTGTCACGTGCGAATACGAGTTCTCTCTAGACTACAGCTCATGGACTCCCTCCACTGGAGATGTGTAAGTCTTCGTTAACCTTAGAATAGCCTCTTGTATTGGCCATCTAACCTCGGTTGTTCAGTGACCGATATTTTGTGAAATTCTGTAAGCTAGTAGAAAATTCCCGGCTTAGTAATTACTCTAAGTTTTAGCTCAATCAAACCTTTTTTGGGTGTAAATACTGGGTCGCAAATAAAAAGGAAAAAATAGCACATGCCTGCTAACTGGGCTTGGCTACAAGAGAAAAATGAGAACGGGGACTTTGTGTCGAAGTGGCTTTTTCACAAAAAATAAAGTTCCGGTATTTAAAGCAGACTCTGTGGCATCTCTTTAAATCTCCTTTTTGAGTCAGAAACTTTAACTTTGATCTTTAACGACTTCGCGCCAGGTTTTATTTGGCCGAAAATTTGCAAAATTTTCTAAAGAGGAAATTTTGCAGCCTACTTCTGATATACAGCCAAGTGCCACAAATTCTGATTCGCAAGAGTCATTTTAACAGTATTTGTATGATACTTCTTGTCGAAACCTCATATGTTAAAATACTCCGGGGTGTGCACTGGGGCGTACAACAATAGTCCGTGCATAACAGCCCCCACAATGGTCAGCACTTTTTGTGTGTGTGTACAAAAGGCACAAGGGATTAGCGTGTTTCGACGTCACCCGGAGGCGAGTCGAGGCAATCTTGACATTTAGATGTTGATGGGCCTTATTCATGAGTTGGCCATTTTTGTCAAGTTCCCTGAATGTATTTCATTAATTGTTAACTGTTGAATGGGATGGTGCCAGACTATTTATGCAGTTACAATGCAGCCTTATTTTACTGTCATTTTTTTTTTTAAATATGGCTTTAAACATTGGGGAATGTTTAATTACAAATTTTAAATTATTCATTGAAGCAGACTGGAATTTATTATAAATTAACTTGCTTTCATTTCTCTTTCCAAGTTCCAAATTTAAGATTTTACCTGACTTTTATTCAATATGGCTGACTCGTGAATAAGGCCCATACCTTGAACAGCTACCAAACAAACAAAATATTCAAACTGTAAGCTTACGTCTGTATCCATGCACTTCCTAAATCCTGAAATATTACCTCATAGCAATTTTTAGATTTTGTAATCTTTGTAATCTGCCTTTTTATTACAGTTTGAGGTATGATGTTGAGGCTGAAAATGGTGGGTATCTGAAGCTCTACAACAGAGACGTTCCCGTCGAATCCATCATCACACGCTACTATGATGGACAGACAGTGTCAGGCTATTCAACTTTCACCTTTGACTTTGTTGACCCCTACCACTGCGTGGATGTCGGCAGTGGATGCCGAACCACCATGCTGCATGCAGGGAGCGATGTTACCACACAGGTCAGAGCAAGTTCAGACGTAGCCTTTAGTCAAGTCCCATGCGCTAATACCCGGACACTGACGCACCCCGGATGCTGGCACGTAAAAAGACTAGCACGAGCGGCGAAGCCGCGAGGGCAATTACCATCTCGTAGAGAACGCTTATATTTTTCTTACACTTGTCTACCAATTTGGTAAACATGAATCATGCATGACATGTTGTGAATGCGTGCGCGTCTTGTTTTTAAGAACGCGTGTGGTGCACGCCCTCGGGAGCGCGTCATCACCTCCAAAATGGCATGTTTGTGGTGATTGGTTCATATATATCTGCAACATGCATGATTCATATTATTCATATGTACTTGAAAAAATGCATAATGATTAGCTCCACGAGATGGTAAAGGCGCTCATGGCTTCGCCATTCTGGTCGTTTTTCGTGCCAGAATCTGGGGCGCCATGCGTCCAGGTAGACACACGTGCCTTGATTAAAGGCTAGTTCAGACGAGGACCGTTAGTCGACAAGTGGTTGCTTCGTGAGGTAGCTTACGCCTGCCCGCTGTTGGCAACGTGCGAATGTCTCTTGTCGAGCCCTGGTCAAGACTCTTGATCCTAGCTCCCTGCGGTGTATTAAGATGTGTGCCGCTATTAATTGGTATACCAGTCATAGAACTATGTCTTCGGCTTCGGTTCCAAAAAGTCGCAACTAGAGTAGTCCAACTATCCTGCGTTTTAGTGAATTTTTTTTCTCGTCGAACTATGGTTAACTATAGTTCTTGCTCGAACTTGGTCAAAATGTTTTTGAACCATGACACTTATTTCAAACTGGCGTTCCAGAGTCATAGACAAAAGCACGAGTGTTGCACCCACCCCCCCCCCAAAAAAAAGACAAGAGAAAGAGGAGCAAAGTCTTATTGCTGTTAATTTGATTGGTTAGGGTGGGGGGGGGGGCAATGTCCCTGCCCACCCTCGAAAAATGATAATTTGAGATGTGCTGGAAAAGTACAGGGATTTCGGGGGAAATCCCTGTACTTTTCTAGGCACGTAGCGTGTATGTTTACAACCACCGCGCGAGCGTGCACAACTGACTGTAAACCATTTTGCGATCGCTGATTGGTTCCCTAGGAAAGTCGAGGGAGAAAATAAAGACAAATTTAAATGGTTACTACAGGATTCCCAAGACTTTAGTGTGTCGTTAGATATGCCTGATCCACTGTCGATCACTAGCGTCTGGAGCCAAGACTACCATCACGTAGTAAAGTGTCTTGCCCAAGAACACAACAATTATGTTCCCCTCTTGGTTCAAATCCATGTACCGTCACACATGGGCATCATGACCATTATTTGCGCTACCTTTAATAGCTTAACAACCGTGTCACACAAAACATTTACTGACTCCTTTTTTTTCCAATTTTTTTTCGAAGGCCACAACATCAATCACCTGGCAGGGATGGGCCGACGATCTCGCCGGCATTAAAGAGTACGACCTGCAAGTGCGACAGCTGTCGGGTAACCATGGCAACGAGATGACCGAAATCTTTGACAGTTCCGCCGTTTATAACGGGGTCACAAACTCTGGTCATAGCGTCACCTTTCCTCACGTTGGTATGTTCCCATTGTAGATGGGTTTGATTTCAAGTCGAAAAAGCCATTTTATTTTAACGACCCAATTTTTTATTGCAAGTTTGTTCAAATAAAGGCTTTATTTAAAAGGCTCATTGAAACATTGGCATAAATTACCTGCGCCCGATTTCAAAAAGTGCTGCGATGTGACGCAACCCGAGTTGTGACGTGTAACACATCACAACTCACGACACGTATGATCCATTTCATGAAACTTGCGATGTGTCGACTGTCACAAGTTACGACGTTTTTTGTGGTCATCGCAAAATAAGAAGCGTTCCCCGTAGCCAGTTTTATACCATAAAAATAATCGAGACCATAATACCGAGACAATGTATGTAAAGTTGTACAAAGAAAATGCCTGTAATAATTATGAATTAGTCAAAGTAGCTAGCAGTCCACTGAGACCTTTTTCCCTTTAAAATTGCACGTCCGCCATTTTGTTTTTACATTTTAAAAACTTTTGAAGAGGAGATCTGAGGACTCTTTCTTGAATGTCAGATGACTATTTGCTGTGCACTTGATAAGTACATACAACAGTGACCAAGTTGTGCTACAAATACACCTACTACATGTCGTATTTACAACGTGCATCTGCAGCGGATACACGCAGAGCAAAATGAAACGCTCATTTGCTGATTGTGCGTTTCGGTTTTGGGCGTATCGGCTTCCATAACACACCTGAATAGAATACAAACGCAGATATGCAAATAGACGTGCAAAAGCCGTTCAAAATGTCTAGTTCTCCATAGGTTTGTGCACAAATGTGGATGTGCCCAGCAGGCATCACTTTGTACATGAGTCAGTGCTCTAGTATTTTAATACAGCTCTATGTATGGACTTTTTTTTTTTTTGCGGTGTACAAAAGAGCGAGTTTTCAAATGCTCTTTCCTTTTCTCAAATCTCTTTAGGTGTGTACTCCATCATCCTGACTACCGTCGACAATGCCGGCAACACCAAACTCAGCAGACGCTTTGTGTTCTTTGACGACGACCCGAATGACGTCACCGTTCAGAACGATTCCCCTTTGCGCGTCCTCTCAGCGACCTCGAAATCTGAGTATGTCTGGCTGACCAGTCTAGGCCCCGACGGAGGGACGACTTCCGTGGAGCTTGATTGGGCGAACCGTTTCACCAACGCGCATCATCACAGCCAAGGATTGCTGAAACCCATCGGGTCTTACGTCAGTGGTCACATCGATAGCAGTGAGTACAAGAATTGGAACAAGACTGGGAAAGCCTAGTAAAGATGGTCCTAGGCCACACAAAATTCTATTTTATTTTTTTTTTTTTATATTACTTTCTGGTAATAAAACCAGCGAATCCTCAGTAGTGACCTATGCACTGTACATACCTGCCAACCCTTCCGAATTAGGCGGAATCATTTGTACAAAAATAAGAGCTGCATTCCGAATTACCAATTTTCGCCCTTACAAATTTCCTCAAAATCGTTTTCATTGTTAATTAAATACCGTCATTTTATGAACCAAAACGCCAAAATATCGGTCAGCACATTATCGATGCTACCGCCGGGCACCAGTCAGGTCATATATTACATATGTGAAAACGACTTGGAACCAGTGTGTTTGTCACACACTCATTTTTCGTAGCAACGTAAAGTTTTCCTACAATAATTTTGTCAGTCTCTTTTTGGATTACTGCAAATGATGTGCTCTAGCTACCTTACCTTTAAATATAAAAGGTGCACGCAGTAATTACAGGTGATGTGGGTACTATAAACACATTTACTTTGCATACCGAATATTTGCTGTATCGTTTTATTGGGTTATGTTTGTAGAGATTTGAAAGTGAACTTAAAGGTATAGTCCATCATTTGTAATTTGTGCATTTTGTTCGTTTGAAGCAACAAAAGTGCTCAAGATCTAAAGAAGGGTGCTGAACAACTAACCTGATGAAGTTTCAGCTCAGCTTTAGTTGCATATTTCGAGAAAAACAACATTCTATGATCTCAATTTCAAATCAAAAGTTGGTGAATCATGTTTTGAATTGGGGCTGAATTCAACATCCGAGACATGTTCTCACTGAGCTGATTGCAGCTATGCAATGTCCGACGAATTACAGCAACCGCACGCGCATGTGCGTCATGCCAATGCTTGCGCGGGCTTGGCCGAATAACAAAACGAATAAATTTGAAGCACTGTTGAAAAGGCCTTCTTTTGTTGATGTCTTCAAAATGACAGCTTGCCAGAAAGTATAATTTCATAGGGAGTTTAGTCCCCTTACTATCTTTCAACCAAGTATGTTTTTCAACAATAATTATGTCATTTACTTTTTGGATAGCTGCAAATGATGGACTCTGGCTTTAAATAACAAGTTCCAGCCGATAAGCTTTGAGAAATTTCTCCCCAACTGTTTTTCAGCAGTTTTAAGGCATTTATTTCCTCCTGGACTCTGTCGCTGAACGGTGTACACAGACGGAGTCATGGGCTGACGGTTCTTATAAAATAATGTCGGTGAGGAGCAAAACTCAATATTCAGTGGACAATGTTCGCTTGTTAATTTTCTTCTTAGATTACGACCAGAACTTTGGCCAGCGTGGCCGTGCGGCCATCCCGAACGAACAGGGCGTGACGCAATTCCGCGTTTTCAATGACATCGACCACAGCGGTGGCCGGACCACTGTCACCCCCAGCGACGACAACTCGGACCACTGGAGTAATGAAGCCACAAACACACGGGCGACCTACGACCTGACCCTAGTGGACGGTGATTCCATTCGGTTCTGGGTGGAGGCCAGGGACCTAGCTGGTCATTTTGTGAGGGACAGTGTGTTGGTGCACACTGATTCCTCCCCGCCTGTGATTGAAGACTTCTGGCTAGTACGAGACGGGGAGGTGAATCTAGCTGTTCATAATTCAGCCGATCTGCATGAAATGAGGTGAGAATTCTTCTCTGTGATTCATCATATAAGATCTGGTTGATCTTCCATATTTTTATTTAGAGGCAGCTTGAAATTTCCAGTTTTCTAGACATGAGGAGATTTGCCAGGAAAGCTAGAACTACTAACCATACTTAGAATATGGATGTCGCCATGGTCAGGTGATGGTCACGTTTTTTAGCCGATATTTTTTATTTTTATTAAATTACAAGCAAAAACTCACCTATCACAGGCTGTCAATCCTTTATGCAGCAAAGTATCCTCTCAAAATTACAATACGATCAAGCTGAACCCCCCAAAAAAGAACTTTTTAGTGCAGCTCCCGGAATGCACATCCCGGTTTTTTCCTAACGCCATCTGATTTGTGTAAGTTGGCATATAGTGCCGGGCTGCTACACATCGCAATACCATCTTTGGCGTGCAAGTTGCCAGACTAGACCAAAAACGCCATGTTCGGCCAGCGACTTTTTGTCAACCACTGGGCAGTTTTGCCTGGTAACCTATACACAAAATATAACCGGGGTTGTTGTGTTACTGATGTTCTGTTTATTGAGTTTCATTGTTCATTGTGTAATGTATATTGCCTGGTGCACCTAGCCTTGGTCAATGCTCTCGTCGTTATTCGTCCCGTACGCGGTCAATCGTCGGCATATATCCTCACGCCCTATGCACATGCATGTAAAAATACAGCGCGAACAGCGACCTCACGCGGCCACTATTTTTATGCAAATCAGTTGGAGACGATGTCGAGCCTTGGTTCAATCGCCCATGTGAGGTTTTGGGGGTGGTGCTCATTATGTTAATAGCCTTAGCTGACCTTAAATGTCGTTTTCTTATTGGTCGATCGTTGCGTGGAAACTTGCATAGTGAAACGTGGCACCGTACATAATCCATACACGAACACATTGTGTGTCTCTGCACACGGCACCAATGTACAAAAACTGTGGTTCCTGTCACGTCCACAAAAGGCGAATAGCTGGAAATAATTTGATGACATCCGGATTTACCAAGGTGTGATTGGACACTCCACATATTAGCCCCGCCTACATTATCTGTATTCGCATACGAGGTCGTACGCTGGAAATCAAGCGCAAAGTAAAGGAAAACATAAGCTTTGGCCGACGATTGAACCAAGGCTCGACATTGTCTCCAACTGATTTGCATAAAAATAGTGGCCGCGTGAGGTCGCTGTTCGCGCTGTATTTTTACATGCATGTGCATAGCGCATGAGTATATATGCCATGTATGCCGACGATTGACCGCGTACGGGACGAAAAACGACGAGAGCATTGACCAAGGCTAGGTGCAGCGCTGTGTTCCTCGAAGGGTGCTTTATAAATGCCTAATTGTATTGTACTGTATTGTATTCCTTGATAAATCTGAGGTTGTTTTTGATTGTTCAACAAATGTCTTTCTGTCACAGTGTTGTGTTCAGGACCTTTGACATTCACAGCGGTGTACGGACCATTCATTGGCGACTGTGGGACCCTGTGACAGAGACTGGATACGGGAGCCAGACTATTCCAGCCAGGCAGATCAATCCAGTGAGAACCATTGTCATAATATCATCAGCGTTTTCGCAAAGGGAAGTGTGTGGCCTAGTGGTTAGGGTTCGTGGCTCATGATCAGAGGGTCCGGGGTTCGAATCCAGCCGCTGGTCATATATTGTGTCCTTTGGCAAGGCACTTCACCCCCACTTGCCCCTCTCCACCCAGGAGTATAAATGGGTACCGGCATTAGCTGGGGAGTAACCTGCGATGGACTAGCATCCCATCCAGGGGGAGTAGAAATATTCTCAGTCGTTTCATGCTACTGAAACCGGAGATAAACACCGGCCTGATGAGCCACATTGGCTCGTGACAGACTTTACTTTACTTTTGCGAAGGGACGAATTGGGAAACTTAAATTTCACACACGCGTTTTTTTGGCCCCATAGAACAACGTGATAGAGTTTGAATTTGTCTCTTTGTGGAAACTCAAAATACGATTCAGGTGAAAGTTTCCCTATTGATCGTCATGATTCTCTACTTTTCAGTGCTATTGTATACATTTCTGTTGTTGGGATGTTAAAAAAATACCTCGAAAATCAACAATTTTTTTTATCTCAAAAAGAGTGGGGGGGGGGTATTTAATATCCCACCCCCCTGGTCAAAAAGCGGGGGAACATATGTGATGCGATCAAGGTAAATGAGTCGTTTGTCGACACTGGTCAAAAAATGTTTTATTACAAATTTGAAAAGAGCACAATCTCAGCATTACTGCTGTGAAAACCGCATGCTGATACCATCTTTAGTTCAAAAATTATGGAAGTCGGAACAGCAAGAGATGTGATGAAGTGATGTGATGAAGTGGCCCTATTTTGGCCTGTATCTCCACATGAAAATTCCCGACAAACGACTCATGTAGCTTGATCGCATCACGATTGATCGCCTGTTTTATACTCTTGTTTTTTCACAGGACACTGAAGACTGCGATCCAGTCAGCTGTATGTGTGTCCCAGTCGGTGATTGTTACGCTGTTGACTATAGTTTTAATCCAACATTCCACATAGGCGCCCATGACACTGATTACTTCATCACATTAACGGTTACCAACCATGCAAGACTCCTTACTACCGAGACAATCAGGGTATGTTTCAATGGTTTAATTCCACAAGTAATTTTTAAAAGAACGACTTATTGACGACCAAAAGTAAAAATTATTACTGAGGTGGCACAAAATCACTTGCAGTATGCCTGTATAGGGTGAGTAAAAAAAAACGAAACCCAAATGGCAGGACCAATTTTTGAATGGAGTTTTGCCTGTAGCACTTACAAAATCTAGGATATAAAAACCTAGTCATTACGCTTTCTTTAAGTACAAGAATCATTCAAGTCACTCACATACTTTTCAAGTGACGGAATTTTGAACATAAACACCAATTAAAGTTCTGTGCACGGATAACAAAAATAAAGTATGTGTTCTTTCAGCAAACCGAAAACAATTCTCATAGGGACGCATGTGAACTGTTTTCATTTTGCTGAAAGAACACTTACCCTTTAATAGCTTTAATTACATGGGTTTTTCTCAAATTAAGAAAGTGTTTAATATGTGCATAAGTGTAACAATTGCCAGGATTTATATCTTTATCATCTATAACTTCTACATCAAATCACAGATAACGGTAGATACGTCAGGCCCTCAAGCAGGTGTGGTGCATGATGGGATACGCGGGTCCAACGAGGTGGACTTTCAGGAGGGCAACGACCTCTCAGCTCACTGGGAGGGGTTCTTTGACAAGGAGAGCGGGGTCAAATTCTACCAGTATCTGTTTGACGATTCCTGCTGGATGAACGAGACGTCGATCGGAAGGGTCAAAGATGAGGTGATGATGAATTGTAATTTCTCTCTTCTTTTTATGCCCCGCCGACGAACGAATCTTGTCAGCGCGATAACTTGAGAAATACTTAACTCTTTCAGTGCCAAACTCGTACATGTACAAGGTATATTTGTTAGTAAAAAAGCGCCAACCTCGTACATGTACGAGGTAATGTTCGTGATTAAAATCGCCAAACCTCGTACATGTACGAGGTAGAGTAAGCATGTTATCAAAAGGGGGCACTCTCGCTCTTTCTAATGGTACCATTTTCATGCATGTACGACCTGTATTTATTTTTTTATTCGAGTTCTTGCGAGAGGACACAGCACTAAAACTCGTATTTTCTGCAAAAAGTGCGGAATTCCCCTGTGTGCAGGACAGTGTTTCAGGGTGTATTACTATGTATGTGACTACTATTGACTTTCCAATATACCAAGGATATACCAGAGAGCAACATCAACAAATTTAGTGAGTAAAACTTATTTACTTTTTTTTTACAGAATTTTGAACAATTAACAAAAACGCTCGAAGTTGGGCACTTTAGGGTTAAACTATTCAAACTTCGCGGGCACTGAAAGAGTTCATGACCTTCGAATTTGGTTTGTGGATTGCTCTTGGTATTGCATTTGGGGCCGAAAGGTTGTTTATTACATGCATTTCGATCGTCTCATAAGACAATAATGCCACAGTTATTCAATCTCATATAGTCTCAGTGGGGCATTTGTGTTTGTCAACACACTTGACTTGCTTTTCTTGTTCTTTTTTTTTCTGATAAAGGCATTTACTTTTAAATCATTGTTTCCTTGTAACGCTTCAAGATAAATTTAGAAATCAAACCCAATTTCAGAAATGAATACTTGGCACTGAGGGTTAGATCTCCTTGGTTTAAACAGACGACCGTAATCCCCGCCATTTTTCACATCGTCCATTCTTCAGATGACGAGAACCACTTCTACGCATGCGAGTTGGACAGCCCCCTCGCCCGGCCAGTACTACGTCACCGTCATCGCTTACAACCGAGCCCTGGAACCCTCAGAGGCCGTCTGTTCCGACGGTGTCGTGATCGATACCAGCCCACCGGAGTTGACCCAGATTGCTATCGGCTACGCCCGGATGTGGCCTGGTCTGGCCAAGGATGCCGAGGGTCGGGTGTGGTTCATCGACGAGCATCGCAGGAAGATGGAACTGATGAATGCATCCAGTGACTGCAGGTAGGGAGATTGCTGAGACTCCGATGTCTAGCCGAGCAGTCTGCTGAAACGCACGCTTGCATATGCATTCCCTGCAGGAACATAAGATGACCCTTAGCTTCATTTTGCGGAACATGCTGTATAATAATAATAATAATAATAATAATGGCGTCTTGTATTGCACTCATGTCCACCACAAAGTGACGCTCCTGGCGCTCTTATTATTACCCTGGCTTTAGCACGGCTGCCATTATGGCGCTCAAGCATTGAAGGAATTTCTTCCTACCAGGTACCCATTTACTACGCCTGGGTGGAGAGAGGCAATCGTAGTAAAGTGCCTTGCCCAAGCGCACAAGCACCATGTTCCCCGTCAGTATTCGAACCCACATACCACGGCACACGAGTCGAACACCGTAACCACTGGACCACAGCACCCCACAGTATGGTGCGCATTGGTTCACACACGTTGGTATTGCCCATAGCACGCCCAACTTATTTCCTTCATAATGTGCACAAACCGCATACAAACATGTAGTAGCAATAGTGTTCATTGTCGGGGTACTAATACAGGCATTAGAATAGAAGCTTGCTTAACGCCGGGATTATTTTTGCCGAAAGTTTCGTTTTTTCGCAAATCGCAAAATTTTCCAGCCAACTTCTGATATATACAGCCAAACCCCACGAATACTGATTTGCTAGAGTCATTTCAACAGATTTTCTTGCCGAAACCTCAAAAGTTTCAATACTCGGAGGGTGTGCACGTAAATTGTACTCAAGTTCAAGTTCAACACACGGCCCGACTCCACAGACTTTACGGACTTTGTGTGTGTGTACAAAAGGCACGAGGGATTATAGCATGTACAGTCGACTCTAGTGAGTACATACTCTGTTAATACAAATTCTGGTTATAACAAACATAAAGCCTTGGTCCCGACTGTGCAGTTATGTGCACAATGAATGGGACCAATGTTCCTCTGAATACAAATTTGGCTAGGTCCGAACGAGTTTGTATCAACGAGACTCGACTGTATAGACGTCAGCCGGAGGCGAGTCTAGGCAATTATGACATCTTAATCCATCATCCGTGCCTGTGTATATAAACAGCCAGTGCGTGTTATCACGTACTCTGACGCGAACTGGTTAAAATGACACAGGTTGATGTGTTTATTCTGTGTCCTTGATTATAGTTAGATCAGTGGGTTTAAATTATACCCATGCAGCTTTGTATACTAACGTGTGTTACTTACTGTTCTTGCACACAGTGCTAAGGCTGCCCTGGTAGATGATTTGTCTGTTTATCCTGAGATGTCTGGCACCAACGACACCTCAGCAATCCTTCAAGGAGACCTAGACTGCCTCTGGATCTCAGCCGTCCAGCAGAAGTTCTACCTTCCTACCGACAAACATGTACGATTTACAGATTGTTGTGTCCGTGCAACAAGGTCGTATCTCCTAAAATGGGCAGTACGTGAAATGCGAGTTTCAGAATATCAAAAGGTTGTATCTCACTTAAAATGACCCGGATGTACACACACAGTCAATTGATGTCGAGATACGACCTTGTTGCACGGAGCGTATCCGCGCGAGATACGACTTTGTTGCGGAATTGGGTTATGACCTTGTTGCACTGGCGCGACGAGATATGCTTGATTGAGCGTTAGCTGGTCCAGTCAGAACTGACTTGGTTTGGTTGGGCTGGGCTGGGCTGGGCTGGGCTGGGCTAAAGTTGGATTGGGGTAATCTGGTTTGGGTTCAACTGGGTTGGTCTGTGCTTGGATTGGAGCTAGATTAGGCTAAACTGGGTTGATCTGTGCTTGGATTGAAGCTAGATTAGGCTAAACTGGGTTGATCTGTGCTTGGATTGAAGCTAGATTAGGCTAAACTGGGTTGGTCTGTGCTAGGATTGAAGCTAGATTAGGCTAAACTGGGTTGGTCTGTGCTTGGATTGGAGCTAGATTAGGCTAAACTGGGTTGGTCTGTGCTGGAATTGAAGCTAGACCAGGCGGAGGTAGTCGTGCTTGGGTCAGCTGCGAAGTTTTAAAGGGAAAATACAAAATTTACTTTTGCTGTAATTTTCAGAAATGGATGGATTTGGGGGGGGTAAGTATTTTATAGCAAATATTGTTACACTGACTTTTTGTTCGTTGTGTTCGAATTTTTGTGTTCGTTGATGCTGAAAAAAACAAGAAAAATAATAATGTTCCTGTAGTCTGGTTTCCTGACCCACTTAAGATGAAACGGAGCAATTGATAGACGACAGGGAATTGTAAGGTCAGGGAACCAGTCTGCTTGGCTTGTATCCATTCACAGGTGTGTGATCGATTGCAAACAGAAAGTAAACTAATATGTTAAATTGGGGGAAGCATTTGAAAAGCCATTTTTTTCAAACGCTGGTCGGCCGACCAGCGTTGGAAATTATACAAAAATACCACTTTTCTCGAAAATGACAGCACACCACGTGCCATGATTTTACAGGATGCTTTAGACTGTCATTCACTAACAGTCCAGTAAGGTATTTCATAATAATTTGGTAGTTTTGTTTTTTTGATGTTTGCAAATGTTGTATATCCCTTGAAGTCAACCTGAAAACCCCTTCAGATTCCTGACTGCATATTATTTTTGTGTCTGACAGTTGACAATCTCCTGGAGTGGAGAGGATGCAGAGAGTTCAATCTATGACTACGAGGTGGGTTACAGCTCAAGCCGCGTCATCGACTTCTTCACCTCCATGTCGACATCGGGGCACGATCACTTCGTGTTGCACCATCCTCACTTCAGCCATGGATCTGTGCTATATCTGACTGTGTTGGCTATCAACAAAGCTCAGATGTCTACATCCAAGGTTTGTTATATATCGTAAAATGATCATAAACTCCAAGAAACAGTTGGTGCGATTTCTATTCACAACCCCTGATTGGAACACCGTGGTCAGTTTTATGCATATAAGACTCAGAAACTCTTTTAAAACCCTCCAACGCAGAAAGCCCATTTACTAATACGCTTACAGTAAGGGGTCCCTCCGGGGACCCAGATATTTAGCACCTTGGTTTGAGGCTACACAACACTGTATCTATATGTACATGATCTCGACATATCTGTAGACTATAAATAAGGAGGTCATTGACAGGAAACATATGTTGTATACATAGTCTGTGGTCAAGTCGTGCACTGCGCGGATACCCGCAAGTGACCTTGTTTTGTGCATGTGTATATGGGCAGCCCAGGTTGTCAGGCTCAGATATGCCTGAACCGGGGTCACACACTAAAGGTGACTGCATATATCCTTAGCGGGTGTCTCTGGCTAGGATTAGATGGAAGATCACCAGAATTGGTTTGAATTTGTTTTTTTTATTAAGGTAATTAACCAAATTGGGTCCCCAAAAGGGCTAGTTTCTGCGTCGGAGAGTTAAATTGACCAGCACCTGATTACACGAAGCGCTGCAATGCATCGTATCCCGAGTTACGACGTGTAACATAACTCGCGATGCGTCGTATGATCCATTTCAGGAAACTTGTGATGTGTTGCACGCGTCGTAAGTTCCTTGACAACGGCTTAAAACACGTCGCAAGTTACGACGTGTCTAGTGGTCATTGCAAAATAAGAAGCATCCTTTTCTTAGTCAGTTTTATGCCATAAAGATACATATTGTATACGAGACTATAATACCGAGACAATGTGTGTAAATAGAAAATGCATTGAACAATTATGAATTAGCGTGGAATATCGCAGTTGAAATTTCAAAGCAGCTATACCATTCACTGAGAGCTGGTTTTCCTTTAAAGTTGCATTACACGTCCGCCATTTTGTTTGACGTTTTAAAAAATTTGAGGGGAGATCCAAGGACTCTTTGTTGAATATCAGACAACTATTTACTTTAAGCACATGAAACAGTCTCTGAGTAGTGCTATAAATACACCTACAACGCGTCACAGTTACGACGTGTTTTGTAAAATGGATCGCAGGACGCAGCACTGCGATACATCGTAGGTTACGATGAGTTTCATAAAATCTGGTGCTGGACTGTAGAGCTAGGATTGTGCTGTGAATTTATAACATCAGTTTGGATGTGGTCTTTAGAAAGTGGCTTTTATTTTTGGGATGAAGACTTTGCTTTGACTCTTGCACAAGTTTGCTTGATCTGATCCTTGACATTGATGAAATGGACCTGAAAATTGCGAGAACTGAAGATTGATGCCACTAATGCCACAGACGATATTAAAGCATGATGTGACTCTCGGTAATTATAGGTTAGTGTTCTCCAAGAGTGGTCACCTCGCTGAATGTGATGCCACTCCTTTCAATGTTTTGCCGTACAAGCTTTGAAAACTTTTAATATTTGGAAACTTTTTGATATCCCTGCAGGTAATTGGTCCAATTATAGTAGATACCACCCCACCCATGTTTGTTGGGAGTGTCTCTGTCCATGTGGAGGATGACTACTTGATAGCTGAATGGGGAGATGATGGCTTCATTGATGATGAGGATACCAGCCTGAGATACCAAGTTGCCATCGGTGAGTCAAATGTAGATAGTGTTGGTTATTGATCCAAAGTGCCCCGCCCATGTTAGTTGGGCGTGTCTCTGTCCATGTGGAGGATGAATACTTGATTACTAAATGGGGAGATAGTGGCTTCATTGATGATGAGGATACCAGTCTGAGATACCAAGTTGCCATCGGTGAGTCAATCAAAACCTAGATAGTGTTGATTAATGGTCCAAAGTGCCCCGCCCATGTTAGTTGGGCGTGTCTCTGTCCATGTGGAGGATGAATACTTGATTACTAAATCGGGAGATAGTGGCTTCATTGATGATGAGGATACCAGCCTGAGATACCAAGTTGCCATCGGTGAGTCAAATGTAGATAGAGTTGGTTATTGGTCAAAAGTGCCCTGCCCATATTAGGTGGGCGTGTCTCTGTCCATGTGAAGGATGACCACTTGATTGCTGAATGGGGAGAAAGTGGCTTCATTGATGATGAGGATACCAGCCTGAGATACCAAGTTGCCACCGGTGAGTCAATCAAAACCTAGATAGTGTTGATATATGGTCCAAAGTGCCCCGCCCATGTTAGTTGGGCGTGTCTCTGTCCATGTGGAGGATGAATACTTGATTACTAAATGGGGAGATAGTGGCTTCATTGATGATGAGGATACCAGCCTGAGATACCAAGTTGCCATCGGTGAGTCAATCAAAACCTAGATAGTGTTGATTATTGGTCCAAAGTGCCCCGCCCATATTAGGTGGGCGTGTCTCTGTCCATGTGGAGGATGAATACTTGATTACTTTATGGGGAGATAGTGGCCTCATTGATGATGAGGATACCAGTCTGAGCTACCAAGTTGCCATCGGTGAGTCAATCAAAACCTACATAGTGTTGATTATTGGTCCAAAGTGCCCCACCCATATTAGGTGGGCGTGTCTCTGTCCATGTGGAGGATGAATACTTGATTGCTGAATGGGGAGATAGTGGCTTCATTGATGATGAGGATACCAGCCTGAGATACCAAGTTGCCATCGGTGAGTCAACGAAATGAACTGTGTGATTTTTCCATGCAGTGTGATTAGCTTGCCCTACAGCATGTCCCAAAAAAGTGTCCGTCAGACTATTTTTTTGTAAATAACTACAAAACCATGAGGTCAATTTTGCATTTTTAAAATTGTGCAGATACTTCTTATCCTTGGCCTAAACCCCTGTGAGTTTCAGTTAATTTCAGTCACGCATCACTGCACAATTGTCAATTGATCACAACAAAACTGTTTGACCCTGCGACCAAGTTCCGACTTTGAGACGTTCCCTTGTACAGCCAACAATTCAAGAAATATTGATATTGTCTCTGCCAAAGTATTGTTTCGACTGTTGTCTTGTAGTGAAATAACTATTTATGCAGCATTTGATCAACGATGCTCTTTCTATTAAACTATTAAACTTCACAATAAGAAGAGTTCTCCTCAATATTTGATCAAAATCTTTTACTGCCTCATTCCAGGGAGCACCCCGGGCGGCGCAGAAACTCTCCCTTTCCAGGAAGAGAAAGACTACAAAATTGGTCCGTGTTCATCCCGCACCTCCTGTGCTGCATTCTCATTGGCTGACCTAGACTGGCATCTCCATGGCGATCATGAGTATTACGTGTCGGTCAGAGCGCAGAATGGCGCTGGGTTAGCTACGGTGGGGACGTCATCGGTTTATAGACATATCGTGCAGTTACCATCCCTGGGTGTTGTATTGGATGTCGCCCCCCGTGGGGAACAGGTCAACATGGACTTTGGGGTAATGTATCCTGAAATCATTCCTCCTGCATCTTTTCTGTAACTAATTGTTTATTTCCCTAAATTTCTATGAACCCAAGAAACATGTCACAAGTCCATAATAGTGATGTGCATCGGGTCGGGTTGACGAGGCCAAACTGACCCAAGACATTTATTTTATAAACCAATTCCAAACAGAAACCGAACTGGACTCCCGAAAACCGACCCTACCCGACCCGACAACAATTCAAAGAAAACAGACCCAAACCGATCCGAAACCCAACTGAACCGAAAACCCCCCGAATATCTGGCTTCAGCAAATATGTTCTCTTTTTGCACCTGAACTGACCTGCTTTGCGTAAAAAAAATGTCAGCTTCAGTACCGAATCATGCCATGCAGCACTCACAATGTTATAGACCGATCGAGACAGACCGCAAACCATTTTTAGTCGCACCGCGCGCAGTGACTCTGTACTAAATAGTTCACCACATGAATTTCCATTCTGTTTCGGTTAATTTCGGTTTATTTTGGGTTTGTCTAAAATGGCTTACCGACCTGACCCGACCTGAAAATCCCAAACGCAAAACAGAAATCGACCCGTCCCGAACCGAAGTCGGTTTCGGGTCGGGTCGGTTTCGGTTTAGGGTTGGTTTCGGTTTAGGGTCGGGTCGGTTTCGGTTTCGGGTCTGGTTTGCACAACATTAGTCCTTAACAAGTCAAGTCGCAAAACAGAAATCGACCCGTCCTGAACCGAAGTCGGTTTCGGGTCGGGTCGGTTTCAGTTTAGGGTTTGTCTAAAATGGCTTACCGACCTGACCCGACCTGAAAATCCCAAACGCAAAACAGAAATCGACCCGTCCCGAACCGAAGTCGGTTTCGGGTCGGGTCGGTTTCGGTTTAGGGTCGGGTCGGTTTAGGGTCGGGTCGGTTTCGGTTTCGGGTCGGGTTTGCACAACATTAGTCCTTAACAAGTCAAGTCGCAAATAAGTAGAAACAATAACGATGGCATCATTGTCTTGTATCTTTGTATTCAAACAGATCAATAGTTGCCTACTTTCTGTCACAACAGGTAGCCAAGGACATTGATGTACAGACGAACACCACAAGCATCTCAGCTCGTTGGTTTGGCTTTGAGCATCCTCATCTTGATATCAACTATGAGATTGCCGTCGGATCAGGAGGAGGTGCTACTGATGTCAGCGGTGGTTTCGTCGATGTTGGCAACGTAACCTTCTATCGACTGGATGGACTGGATCTCACACCACTCATGGTAAGTTGTAGTCTGAGTATCACCCGTTGTCCAGTCTCCTGTCTAACATCTGATATATCTAAACATGCAGATTTATGTGATCCTCGCCGCAGCCAATCGGAGTCGACTTCACTAAATCGTGACCTCATTTCATTCCCAAATCAGCACTAAATGTTTGATTGGTCAATTTGAATGCAGTGTTTTGCAATACAACAACGGCCGGGCATAGATCTACAAAACAAAGACAAGCCTGGGGCTTATCGTGTAACATAATACAGAGCGCGTGACCACAGCCTTTGTTGCTGTGTCTATGTTTTTCTTATCCATGTCCATGACGGGACAACGGGTGAATGACCGAAGACCCAATATAGAAAGCGCCCACTGATTGGTCAAAATCTAGAGGTCAAGAGGCGGTTGTCTTGCCTAATTAATCAGCGAATCTGTGCACATATAATAGACCATATGGCAGACATGGTCTGTTACATAGACTAGGTAAATTGCAGCACGAAGAAAACTTGGAACGCACATGCTTGTTTGCTTCTTCAAACCACAACACATTCCAATTGACTGATGATTGTGCTCTCCTGATGTACTCCAAACAGGAGCACGTTTTGGCGGCCCTTGAATTCGAACATGTTTCTGACGTCACAGCCGTGAATTAAAACATGTTTCCTGTGCACCGCGAAAACGACTGACCGGAAAATTGTTCATGACGTCATGTTACTGCCTACGTGACTGCACACAGCCCAAAAAAAATCACGCAGCGACCAGACATGATTAACAATAACATTCTAAGCAAAAGTGGGAGGTTTTTTTATAGCGTTTCCCTAAAGTTCTAAAAAGAGTAGGCCTGATATTCTGTATCAACTTTCCGTACCAATTGAAGGTAAAAACCCACTATTTAAACCCAATTTATGGTAAAAAGTAACGTCGTCTGCTAAGCTTGTTTACCTTTCCGCCATCTTGAAATATAAGTGAACCGACCAGAAACCTCGGTTCAACTTTGGTCAAAACAATGACGTCATTTCAGTGTAACCGAAGCGCCAAAATGGCCGCGAACCAGAAACATGTTTACGGTCACAGCGCCAAAACGTGCCCCAGGTTCCATAAGAGCAGTCCATTCTGAGATTGTATGCATGTATATACTTAATTGAGCCACAAATCCTTCCCAAAACCTTTCCCCAATGCAAAGAGAGGGGCGTGCATTCCTTGAAGACACAATCCCATATTTCCAACGTGACAGAAGACAGCGTCGTTGTATACTGGAATGTTTTTTGAAAGGGGGCAAACTTTCTTGACATACTCTCCTCATTTTCTGCGGACAATAATGTGATGTCTTCCTCTTTAATAAAGAATTGTCAAACCAATTGATGTTTGTCTCATATATATCCTTGAGTTGTCAACTCAAAATTGTCCTCGTAGGTCCAGAAGCCCCCCCCCCTCCCTATTTGCAAAGGCCCTCCGCTAAAAATAGGGTAGGTCTTCATTAATCTTTTCTCCAATTCATGTAATTCAATTCTACTTTTTTGCATTTTGCTTTCTCAACAGACATATTTTGTGACCGTCCGAGCCAACTCAGAAGCTGGTAGTGTCACCGTTACCTCAGACGGTGTCAGAGTTATTCAAGAGGGTCAGGTACTGGAGGGAGCTGTGATCAAAGACGGACTGGAATGCGATCAAGATGGAAGTAAGACCTTCACATTGTTCTTGTTTCTTATCTACTTCATTCTTTTCTAAAATGAGAATTTTTCTCTTTATCTAACAACTGGTTGATATTTAAGCTTGATTGTTGGTCCCTCTTGATCCGTCTATCTCCGCTGTACTGTCTTCACAGTTTCTTGCCTCCTTGCAGTGTCTGTGCCATCAGGATTCTCCCATCACTCATCTGCTGCTCATCAACCCTGTCAGGGCGACATCACCTACCAATCCTCTACCTCAGACATCTCAGCTCGTTAGACCATCCCTCTAGATCTCTCCAAACTATCTCTTTATTAACAGTTTCTTGCCACCTCCTTGCAGTGACTGTGCCATCAGGATTCTCCCATCACTCATCTGCTGCTCATCAACCCTGTCAGGGTGACATCACTCACCAATCCTCTACCTTAGATGTCTCAGCTCCTTGGACCATCTCTCTAGATCCCTCCCTACTCTCTCTTCAATCACAGTTTCTTTCGTCCTCCTTGCAGTGTCTCTGCCATCAGGATTATCCCATCACTCATTTGCTGTTCAACAACCTTGTCAGGATGACATCACCTACCTTAGATGTCTCAGCTCCTTGGACCATCTCTCTAGATCCCTCCCTACTCTCTCTTCAATCACAGTTTCTTGCGTCCTCCTTGCAGTGTCTGCACCATCAGGATTCTCCCATCACTCATATGTTGCTCATCAACCCTGTCAGGATAACATTACCTACAAATCCTCCATCTTCAATATCTCAGCTCTTTGGACCATCTCTCTAGGTCCCTCCCTACTTATTCACACTTTCTTGCCTCCTTCTTGCAGTGTCTGTGCCATCAGGATTCTGTCACCACTCATCTGTTGCTCATCAACCCTGTCAGGATGACATCACCTACAAATCCTCTATCTTCAATGTCTCATCTCCTTGGACCTTCTCTCTAGATCTCTCCCTACTCTCTCTTTATTCACAGTTTCTTGCCTCCTCCTTGCAGTGTCTGTGCCATCAGGATTATTCCATCACGCACCTGCTGCTCAACAACCTTGTCAGGATGACATCACCTACTAATCCTCTACCTCCCTACCAATCCTCTACCTCAGACATCTCAGCTTGTTGGACCATCCCTCTAGATCTCTCTCTACTTTCTCTTCATGAACAGTTTCTTGCTTCCTCTTTGCAGTGTCTGTGCCATCAGGATTATCCCATCACTCATCTGTTGCTGAACAACCCTGTCAGGATGACATCACCTACCAGTCCTCTACCTCAGACATCTCAGCTCGTTGGACCATCCCTGAGATGCTGCAGCCTTTTGTCACGAGCGTTCTTTGGGCAGTTGAACAGGAGATCGAAGTCAATTTGGGTAAACTCACAAAAACTCATTGTACATTTTAGTTTATGTTTATATGGCATCAGTCTACATTTTCATCATCTTAAAAAAAACCCACTGTCAAAAGTGTCTTTTCACCTTGGTTTTTTTTTTGTAAACATCAGTTGGTTTTCTAAACGTTATTTTTAGCTGCGGAAAGCAGCTCAAGAAATCGTCATGTCTCTGCGTTGGTTGGTTAGTAACAAACATTGGAATGCGCACCTGTTCATTATAACTCACCTTAGCCAACTCCTGCTTGAGGCCCTGTGTCAGTTTTATGGCCCTCGAGGGAGGGCAGACAGACTTGCATTATCGAGGTCAAGTTTGCATTATGACGTTCAACAAATGGGAAATCCTTTAGGGACCGTGACCATTCAGCCCTGGTATGAAAAGGGCCCCCTGGTACCTCGTCCGGTCCAGAGCCAGTCCGGTCTTCAGCCCAGTCTTGTCCGGTATATGGTCCTGTCTGACCAGAAGTTTTGAAGTCAGTCAGGCGCATCAATTTATTGCCCTTCAGAGAACGTCCAGAGCAGAACAATAGCAGATTTACCGGATTAAAGATAAAATCCTTCCAAACGCCTTTTTAATTTACGGTCCCATTGTGCGCGAAACCGCATGGCAGGGGTTTCGATCTGTGCCGACGAAAGTGTTCTATTGTTTCGCGCTGAGAGATGAAAACCACAAGCAGGTTTCTTCTGGGATATATTACATGTGTCAATACTTGCAAACAGTAGACCCCAGGATAGAGGAGTTCCTGATTAGCAACCGGACCAGCTCCTGGGCCGGTAGCTGGGACGGTACGAAAGGACTTCTTGGGAGGGGACGGGCTTACCGGGGGGCCCTTTTCATACCAGGGCTGAATGGTCACGGTCCCTTATTTCAATGCCACAGACGTGTACATGATGCAAAAGCTCCATCTATCTCATACAGACTGGGCAGAAGGTACACATGTACGAACACAAACTCATTGGCCTGCAGCTTCCGAGATCATTTCGAGCTTGTTTTTATTACACAGATGATGAGACCACTACAGTGGAGTGGATTACATTACTTGATGGTCAAGATCTTGGCATGGCATTCCAACATGTTCAGGCTGGTTCAGGGTTGCACAGTGGAGCTCATTACAGATCCAAGGTAGCTGAAACCTCTCCATTTATGGGAAAAAACACCAAATTTTTTTTTTCACTCTTCCTTCCTTCCTCCCTAACAAGTGCTGCCTTCATATGGTTGAAGATAAACGCCAGTGTTGTAGTCGAGTACTTTTTCCGAGTGCCGAGTACTGCCGAGTACTTACGTTACTGAGTACAAGTACTAGTACTTGTATTTCCGAGTACAAGTAGAGGGCTCCGAGTACGAGTACTTTTACTTCCAAGTACGAGTACGAGTACTTTTACTTCCGAGCACGAGTACGAGTACTTGTATTCCGAGTACGAGTTCGCGTTCTTCTATTTCTGGATACGGCAATACGGCAAATTTTTCATTGTGCGTAATTGGCCTAGGCCCAGTCAGACCGATATACAGACCCACTCAGCGCTAGCTGTTAAATGTGTTTCTCCAGACGTTCACAGAGGAAAATCAGGAAACTTTGATTTCTTCGCAAGCCAATCAACCATTTCAAACTAATAGTACCGTTAGAATTAGGCCTTGGTAAGTCAAGCTATACCATTTTTTTTTAGTACTGCTATTCGAGTACAAGTACTTGGATGATCAAGTACAATTAGGACATGTCAAGTACGAGTACTTTGCTGCCCGAGTACGGGTACCGTCATTTTGAATACGGGTACTTTGCCATTTGAGTAAGAGTACGAGTACAAGTGCTCTAAAAATACTACTCGAGTACGAGTACCGAGTGCGAGTACTACAACACTGATAAACGCTCTGCCAGAAACACCGGGGCAAAACCCTTCTCTTAGCGATAAGTGTTACTGGGTTCTTTTACATGCATTACACAACACACGGGACCTACGGCTTTACGTCCTATCCGAAGGACGAAGCAATAATGGTTAAGTGTCTTGCTTAAGGACACAAGTGTGGAGACTGGGACTTGAGTCCGGTGCTCTTATTTCCCTCGGCCATGACACTCACATTACATTCTAACCTAGGGCTGTGCATTACAACTGAGTACCCGACCGCTGATGTCAGGAACCAGTTCCAGATTTATGGAATCTAGAATCAGCAACCAATATTATATATTACTTTGTAACTTCTCAGACAATGGAAAAGAAAGGTTTTGAATGTCATTTATGGAGAATTTTCAGAATGAAAACCAGGCACATGGAAAACAAAACAGATTCAGGTTGATGACTCCTGCAAAAATGCAATTTACACCATAAGCTACATGTATTTAGCTGACGGTACACACTTGTATCTTGCTTTGTTGACGCACCGATGCAGTAGTATTATCGTTTGGACCTTTTTATGAGCAATCTTTACAGCAACTTCCGCGATTCAATTTTTGGGGTTGACTTTCTTTATCGTGTACCCGGATACCCGTTTTTTTTTCTTCTCAGTTTTTCATGTGGTGTCTGTGTATTTTTGTGTGTGTTAGGTTCAGTTTTGCCACGTTAGCGTCTGCTTCCAACCGGTCGTCAGTGATGGATTCTGGGTGTTATCACAGCCGCCCGAGGTCGGACAGGTCACAGTCGGCAACATTGAGACCACGCAAGGCGGGACAGAGATCAGCGTGGTCTTCCAGCCTTTCGCGCAAGATTACGTCCGTCACGACGACCCACAAGAACTGATGGATTTCTACGAGTGGAGCATTGCTGAGGATGGTAGCGATGGAGCACTGCTGAGTCCCTGGATGAGGATCCAGGATTTGGTGCCGACCGAAGATGTGGTGAGTTTATTATTTAGATCGAAGCAAGTAAATTACAACTCAAATGGATGGGGAAACAAAAGAAAGACTAATTTCAAACGTTGATGTTGCAAGAAAAGTCCGTTTTTCAATACGACTTCAGGAGTACCTTTTGAAGAGCTTTGTTTCAGAGAAAAGACATTGTTTTAATCTTAAAAACCCCAGATCTTCTCCCAAAAGAACAGTTTTTGAACTCTGTTAAACTGGTTTGGTGCTTTTAAAGCTATAGTCCATCATTTGCAGCCATCCGAAAAAGTAACTGGCGTATTATTGTTGAAAAACATACTTGGTTGAAAGATAGTGAGGGAACTAAACTCCCTGTGAAATTAATCTTTCTGGCAAGCTATCATTTTGATAGTTTTGGAAAATTTAAATTGGTAGTTTGTTTTGTTATTCGGCGCAGCGCGCGCAAGCATTGGCACGACGCACAGGCGCACGCGGTTGCTATAATTCGTCGGATCAGTGCGCGACATCGCGTATAGCTGCAATTCAAAACAATTCAAACATGATTCAGCAACTTTTGATTTGAAATTGAGATCCTAGAATGCTGTTTTTCTCGAAATATACAGCTGAAGCTGAGCTGAAACTTCATCAGGTTAGTTGTTCAGTATCCTTCATTAGATTTTGAACACTTGTGTTGCTTCAAACGAACAAAATGCACAAATTACAAATGATGGACTATATCTTTAAGCTGTAAGCAGTGTAAGTTCTCACAACACATGCTGATCACAAAACAGTACAGTTTGTCCATCATTCAGGATTTTGAATGGATCAGGAATTCTCTTTCCCACTAGGTTCGCTTCACAGCATCCTACAGTGGTTCCTTAGACCTGGACGTCTGTCTTCGGTTATCAGTGAGGGGCTACAATAAGGCTGGTCTGTCTTCCATCGCTAGTACGGAGATTGTTAATTGTGCTGATGCATCACTGGTCGTCCCTCATACGGTCATTGATGCTGATCGTAAGTACCGGTATATACTATATGACATACAGATCCTTGTTATTTAATTGGTGGAACTCACATCACGTGACATTCATTATTGCTCCCACTCACGCCGGGGCTCAAAAAGTCCCATTCGCCCATGGGGAATGGGATTTACTATTCAACTGTTAGGATCATCCTTGTTCCATGGCACGGTATTTGTGTGCAAATGTATGCTGGTGTGCGCGTTGAGCGTAGCGCGTATTGTTCCCAAGAGCCAGGAGTTAAAGAGTCGGGTTCAAACAATTCGTAAAGGGGTAGTTTGGAAGAGAGAAATACATTTCCGACCAATTTTGTATTGAAATAGAATTCATTTTAACTGTTAATCAAATGACAAGGATCCATTATGTCAGTTATATAAAACAAATATTGAGTGGCTTCAAGTTGTGAAATGGGAGGAATATCATCGCTCTGTAAAATCTGGACTTTTCCATTTCAAAGAAAAGTCCAAATTTTACCTTGCGATATTATTCCTCCCATTCTACTCTGAGCCACTCAGCGTTTTTATACTTTACTCTTGGGTTATCGAGTGGATCTGAAAGATAGGAAGGTTTATTCATTGCTGTCCTTATTTGTCAGTTATTTACAGCACTGATTACTGATTTAATCAGATGCTTGAATTTAACTTTCACAATTCTGAACTATTTATTCTTCAGAAGCCAATAGAGTTAGAATTTTAGAGACATCTAATATTAAACCCTGCTTTTCCAATTTGACACTAAAATTGCTATGAGATCCAATTCTTTGTAACGTACCCTCTTATTTTTTTGGGAACAGATGAAGTCAACATTGAGCAGAATGCCAATTGGCCGGAACCAGACAAGAACTACATCTCATCTACGTCTTCCTTATCAGCAGTCTGGCCCACACTACGCCACAGGGCCTACACCTGGGCCGCCATTTTGGATACCGGATCCTCTGCATTTGGCAACTTGGACGATGGTCTGCAGTATCCCTGCGATCATCCAAGGGCGAAAGCTTGTGGGGAAACAGGTAGGAAGATTGAGCATGAAAGTATGTTACTTGTGAACAGGGGCGGATCTAGAAATGTTTGCGGGGGGGGGGGGGGGGTGGTTCATCAGCAAATCAATGCTGAAATGTAGACAGGTTTTTTTCTCCAGACACTTGGCCTCCATAAAATCAATGGGGGGGGGGGGCTCATCACTATACAGAATACTCTACAATTAACCCCTTTACCCCAGCTGGCTAAGACCGAATATTGTGCAAAGGCGGAAATTATTACCCATATAAATGTCATACTTTTTTGGGGGTGTCAGAGCAGAGGTTTTTTCACATTATTTTTAATATATTTCTATTAAAAAAAGATTTGAGTCCGAGCTGGAGAGGTGCCTAGTGAATTGATTCGCACATTTTAAGAAAAATCCCGGAGAAACTTGGAACGGAAGACTATGAGAAAACATCAAGTTTTGAAGTTGGATGAAAAAAAACCAAGACAAATAGCATGGAAAAAAGCCAATAAATTTAAGAATGAAAACTTAGTGCAGATGCTAACTAAAGTGTCGAATCTAATTTGCACAAAATGTAAGCAAGTTGGTCACCAAAAGGCCTTTTGCACATTCATAGCAGTTGAAACATTTGTCTTATATCTTGTCATGCATACAGATAGAGAGTTTGTCAACGTTCCCAATTTGGTCCTTGCACATGGCATGCGTTATCGCATTTGCATCCACGCTGACGCAGTGACATTGGAGCATGAGTTGTGGAATGAACCTCTGCCTGCTGTGTCCAGCTGTAGTGATGGCGTTGTCATAGATACGACCCCACCGACCCCTGGCTCTGTTTGGATTGGATGGAACCAGCATCAAACCTACCAAGTAAATTTTGTTGGTTTATATTTGTTCATGGCACAATCCGCCAATTACAACTGCCAACCAGTATGTGTTGGCATGATTCAACTCTCTTAGATATCCTTTTACAAAAGCAACTTTTATTAAAGGGTACAGTCCATCATTTGTATTTTGTGCATTACGTTCGTTTGAAGCAACAAAAGTGCTCAAACAGGGTGCTGAACAACTAACCTGATGAAGTTTAAGCTCAGTTAATGCTGTATATTCTAAGAAACAAAATTTTCTAGGATCTTGATTTCAAATCAAAAGTTGCCGAGTCATGTTTTGAATTGCGCCCGAATTCAGCGTCCGGGACACGTTCTCATCCAGCCGATTGCAGCTACGCGATGTCGAGCACTGAACCGACGAATTATAGCAACTGCGCACGTGTGCGTTGTGTCAACAGTTGCGCGCGCTTCACTGAATTAAAAACGAACTAATAACAAAATTTTCCAACGATGCGTCTTTAGACGCATCGTTGGAAAGGCCTTCTTTCATTGTTTTCTTCAAAATGGCAGCTTTCCAGAAAGAATAATTTCACAGGGAGTTTAGTCCCATTATTGTCTTTAAACCAAGTATACTTTTCAACAATAATTATGTCAGTTACTTTTTGGAAAGCTGCAAATGATGGACTGTAGCTTTAACGCTTTGACATCTTTTCTTTTTACGTAAATTTGAATTTTTATGAACAGCGTCGATTTGTTGAATGTTTTAAGCAACTTGAAGTTTTACCATGACTTTAAATCTGCCTGTGTCTTGCGTTGTTTTTTTACAGAGTTCCAGCTCTGAGTTAGTCCTTCACTGGGAGTCCTTCACTGACATTGAGGAGCACGGCATGGCACGTCATCACTCAGGGATCAAGTACTATGAATATGCCATCGGTAGGAGCAAACTTGGCTTTCTTAGTAGAATGATTGTTAACTTGAAAGTTAGAAAACGTGCAATTTTACTGTTATGTTTGCATTTATTTCTAGTAGTTCTATCACCAGTTAGTTTTCTTTTGATCCATTGACATAGAATTCTCCCATGCCCATGTATTTATCCCTAAAAGACGGGTAATTTTTATCACTTTTCATTGATCATTATACATTTATCGTCTTTCAGGTTCGATGCGAGGCGGTAGCGATGTTAAAGAGTTCACTCGTGTTGGAATCACCAACGGCGTTATTGCACACAGCTTGAGATTACAGAATGGACACAAGTATTACGCTACAGTTAGAGGTTAGGAATAGATGATAAATGGGCGTAAATGGGCGTTATTGTACACAGCTTGAGATTACAGAATGGACATCAGTATTACGCTACAGTCAGAGGTTAGGAATAGATGATAAATGGGCGTAAATGGGCGTAAATAAATGGGCGTTATTGTACACAGCTTCAGATTACAGAATGGACATGAGTATTACGCTACAGTCAGAGGTTATGAATAGATGATAAATGGCCGTAAATGGGCGTAAATAAATGGGCGTTATTGTACACAGCTTGAGATTACAGAATGGACATAAGTATTACGCGACACTCAGAGGTTAGGAATAGATGATAAATGGGCGTAAATGGGCGTAAATAAATGGGCGTTATCGTACACAGCTTGAGATTACAGAATGGACACAAGTATTATGCTACAGTCAGAGGTAAGGAATACATGATAAATGGGCATAGCTAAGTGATAGTTATGATTGACTAGGTACTGTTGAGTGGATTGGGGTTTTAGATTTGAAGCTCTATTAATGACACAATTAAAGTTGGTGCTGATCGACAAATTTGTACCAAATATTCTTTCTGTGCATTATTTGTAAGGCTCTATACAGGTTGAGTAAAAAAAAAAACGAAACCCAAATCTCGGGACCATTGTTTTAGTGAAGTTTTGCATGTAGCACTTTTCAAAATGTAAGATATGAAAGCCCAATTCATATTTAGGCTTCTTTTAGTACAAGAATCATTCAAATCGCTCATGTAATTTTCAAGTTATCGAATTTTAAACAAAACCACCGTTTTAAAGTTCTGTCCACGGATCACAAAAAAAGTTAAGTATTCTTTCAGCAAAACGAAAAACAAATCACATAGGGATGTGTGTGAATTGTTTTCGTTTTGGTGAAAGAACGCTCACCTTTTTTATGATCCGTGGACAGAACTTTAAAATGGTGGTTGTGTTTAAAATTCTGTAACTTGAAAAGTACATGAGTGATTTGAATGATTCTTGTATTGATGGAAGCTTATGAATTGGGCTTTCATATCCTAGATTTTGAAAGTGCTACACGCAGAACTTCACTAAAACAATAGTCCTGACATTTGGGTTTCAAGGTTTTTTTGAGTCGCCCTGTTTTCTGTTTCACAGATACCACATTTTTTGCTGTCATGAGGTAATGAATGGAATGATGGGACATATTTTAGTGAAATTCTCCCAGGGAAGGCAGTATCCATGAAATAGTCAAATCATAGTATACAGATAATGAATGTTTATGAGTGCAATGGTAAGAATAATTTTCATGAGGTGACATATGAAATATTCAATTCCACGAGGTGAAGCCGAGTTCAAAGGGACATTAAATCTGTTACACCATCGTCGTCTGATTGATCAGAGCCGCCAATAGTGTGACCATGCAATGGAAGTTCTATTCACCGTGGAATGGAACTTCTATTTTTGCGGTGCGGTCAGGCCGTGTATTGGGACAAATAATTCAATGACATGTGATCAACGACCAACCAATCAGATGATGGGGATTTATTCAGGCATTGTAGAATGATAGCTAGTTTTCGTAGTCGACCCTGATTTGTTAAAGGGAATGTACATCATTTGCTTTTGCTGTAATTTTCAGAAATGGATGGAATTGGGGGGTTGGAAATATATAGCAAATATAGTTACACTGACTTTTTTGAGGTTTTGGGTTCGAAAATACTATAAAACCAAGAAAACAATCATTTTCCTGTAGTCTGGTTCCCTGACTCCATATAAGAAGAAACAGAGCAGTTTACATACATTGGGGAATTGTAAGGTCAGGGAACCAGTCTAGCTGGCTTGTACCCGTTCATAGGTGTGTAATCGATTGCAAACAAGTGCGATGGTCAATTGGGGCCAGTATTTGAAAAAAAGCCAGTGTTTTCCAACGCTGGTCGGCCAAAATACCACTTTTCTTGAAAATGACAGTATTTTAGGTGCCATGATTTTACAGGATGCTTTACACTGTCATTCACTAACAGTCCAGCAAGGTATTTCAAAATGATTTGGTAGTTTTATTTTTTGATGTTTGCAAATGTTGTAATTTCCCTTTAACTTGTTATGGGACAGTAGAGCTTCATGGCTGCCTTATCAAATCTGTTTCAGGTTTCATTCCAAGACTTTCTTGGTCAAATTTTATCCCCCACCAGCAACTGACTTTGTTGGTCTGTCATCACAAGCCGTCTCGGACGTTATTGTCATTGATACGTCACCGCCTGTCATCAGTGCTGATCATACGTTGGACGTCGGAGGCAGCTTCATCCGATCTACAACTTCCATCTCAGCAAGGTACAAACATCAACATCCTAGAGCCCCAGGCACTCATTCACAGTTTGGAGCTACCAATATCCACAGTTTAAAATTTGTGATAAACCGTATTCATCTTTAGTACTATGGTGGTTATCCGTCATCTTCCTTGGGTATTTATGGAGGGGCTACGGAAGTTTTAAACTGTTCATAACTTCCGTTGTGAACCGTCATGAACATTAATCCGTAGTGCAACCGTGGGACATCCATAAGACAACCGTACTAATTCTTAGTGTTACTCGTGGCTATTCGTACATATTCTTGGAGATTCGTAGCTCATTTGTGGTAGAAATCTCAACGAATCTCAACGGATATCAACGGATATGCTAGGATTCTGCTAAGGTTGTACTACGAATATGTTTGTTTTATTCGTAGGCTTAGGAGAACCTTGGTTATCCGTGGCCCAATCGCAGACAACTGTGGCGTTAACTTCATTATTCTTAGTAATACCCAACAATCCGTCTATACTCTTGACAAATCGTGGCGCATTCGTAGAGAAATTTTAGGACAGTGGTGGCTATCTGTCCTAAGGCTGTTTCTCCACGAATCTTGAAGGTTCATCGTGATCGATCCATTCTTGGTAAATTGTGGATATTCGTAGCTCCAACCATGAATATGTGACTGGGGCTTTAGACAACCTCAGATTTTTTTATTACGTTTCCTCTTGTTGACCTGCCACATGAAACAACCCGATTACAAGTAACTCCATGCTTACTTTGGATATAGTGAAGTTATTTCATGCTGTTTTTTTCTGTAATTTCTTTCAGTTGGGAGAATGTATTCTCAGACCAGGAGAGTGGTGTAGCGTATTACGAGTGGGCCGTGGGTTCACATCCAGGCCATGCAGACATCATGCCATTTACTGAAGAGAGTACAGAGATCGGGGTCAGTGACCCTTCACGACCTTTGCTCCTTCAAGAAGGTCACTCGTATTTCATTTCTGTTAAGGTAAGCTGAAGGTTATTTATGTTTTTGTATAGTTTATCACTGCTCGTAGTTAAACACTTTGTGCCGGGATTATTTTGGCCGAAAATTTTCGTTTTTCACAAAAGGCAAAATTTTCCAGCCAACTTCTGATTCGGGAGAGTCATTCAACGAATACTGATTCAGGAGAGTCATTTCAACAGTATTTGTATGACATTTCATGCCGAAACGTCAAATGTTTGAATTCTCTGGGGTGTGCACTGGAGCGTAAATTGTACCACAATCGACTGCGCACAATGGCCAATTCAAGTTTAACACTCCACAGACCTCACAGACTTTGTGTGTGTGTGTGTGTGTATGAAAGGCACGAGGGATTAGCGTGTTTAGATGTCACCCGGAGGCGAGTCGAGGCAATGTTGATGTCTTTTAACCCGTCAGCCGTGCCTGTGTATAAAAACAGCCAGGGCTTGTTATCACGTCATTCGATGCGAACTGGTTAATGAGACAGCAAAACGATCTCTCGATCAACATTGATAAAAAAACCTCCTTTTTCACATCCAGTTACCTCGATTTCTCTTCCTCCCGATACTTTCAGGCCATCAATACTGTTGGTCTAATCACACTGAAGAGTTACGGAGCATTCACAGTCGATGCAAGCCCCCCATTGGCTGGCCACGTCTTAGACGGAAACCCAGCCAACGCCTCGGCCAATCACAGAGACCGAGACTTCCAGGAGGATCGTACAGTGATCAGGGCATTCTGGGAAGGGTTTCATGACCCACACAGCGCCATCGTTGGCTATGCCTGGAGAGCTGGGACGTGTTCAGGGTGTAGCGATGTCATACCTGAGCAACATGTGGGCTTGGATATTTGTAAGTTTCAAATACTCACTGTTAACTTCAGATTGGTTTTAGAGTTACAAAAGCTCCTGTCTATCATCCAACTCAACTATCTTTCATTCAACAGAAAAGAAATCAAAAATAAACATTGAATGCACATTTTCTTCTATAATTGAAATGTCAGTTTCCAGTGGCCTTGAATAAGCCAGGTCGGTATCGCGATGAAGTAGTCCAAGTCAAAGGTCATTCGGATTAAAATCGCTGGCGTGATGATACGCGAACGCCCATTCTGGTTGTAATTAGCATACGAGCGTCGTGCGCCTGTCTCAGCGCGCGTTCATGCGCCTTCGATTACCCCGAATGACCTGTGACCCATATCATTGTGCGTATGCGCAATTGAAATACTCAGACTGGCTTATTTTCAATATCATAAACTTTAATCAACTCAAGATTTATGTCCACGTTATTCATTTGCAGATGTCACTGCCGAGAACCTGAACCTAGTGCCTGGTCTGACCTACTACGTGACGGTGACGGCCTGTAATGCTGCTGACCTTTGTACCTCAGTGACCTCTGATGGGGTCATGGTGGATGACTCTCCCCCGATAGTGGGGCATGTGTACGACGGCGGTCCTGGGGGTGGGGATATCAGCTACCAATCTTCGAGGTGATTAGACCAAAACAAATTATAACTATACTTATGTTTGTGGACAAACACAGGGCTGTTTCGGCAACTTTTTTGAAACATTTTTCAACCTGCTGCTAGAGCGTGCTCTAACATTTTATGACGTTACTGGTCAATTTTTTTTGTAAAGTACAACCTAGCCAGAGACTGACATTGTTGAAAGCAAGTTCACATCTTTTTCCACTTTCAAACTATAAGGCACTTCTGGTTTGGAAGGACACAAAGGTGCATTTTCAAGGATTGCATTTCAAAAAATTACATTTCATTGTCCCTTGAAAGAGTACCATTTGGATCAAGGGATTCAAATAATTGCATGTGGTCCTGTATGATGTCATGATTTCTGTATTTTCTGATTGTCTGTAGACTTGAGTTGCGAGCTCATTGGTGGGGCTTCAACGACCCTCACTCTGGCCTCTCTCACTACGAATGGCGCGCCGGCACGACACCAGGAGCTGAAGACATTCTCTCCTCCACACGCATCGAGCTGTCAGAAGACGCTCTGATATTCCTGTCAGCATCAGACCAGATGCCAGTCGGCACTGATATCTACGTCACAGTGCGCGCCTACAACCGGCTTGGTATGTGGAGTCAGGCTACGTCTAACGGGTTCCGTGTAGACTCTAGTCCACCTGATGTGGTGGTTGCACCTGCTATAGATCAAACTCTAGGCATGGCTGTCACAAACACACAGGTATGAATCAAATAATGACTTTCAAAAGCATTTCTTCTTCTTGTGTTATTTGGGAGTTTAATTTAAAGCTATAGTCCATCATTTGCAGCTATCCGAAAAGTAACTGGCGTAATTATTGTTGAAAAACATACTTGGTTGAAAGATAGTAAGGGGACTAAACTCCCTGTGAAATTATTCATTCTGGCAAGCTGTCACTTTGAAGTAATCAACGAAAGAAGGCCTTTCCAACGGTGCGTCTTAAGACGCACCGTAGGAAAATTTAAATTTAGTAGTTCGTTTTGTTATTCGGCGCAGCGCGCGCAAGCATTGGCACGACGCACAGGCGCGCGCGGTTGCTATAATTCGTCGGATCAGTGCGCGACATCGCGTATAGCTACAATACAAAACGAATTCAAAACATGATTCAGCAACTTTTGATTTGAAATTGAGATCCTAGAATGCTGTTTTTCTCGGAATATACAGCTGAAGCTGAGCTGAAACTGCATCAGGTTAGTTGTTCAGTATCCTTCATTAGATTTTGAACACTTTTGTTGCTTCAAACGAACAAAATGCACAAATTACAAATGATGGACTATATCTTTAAAGGGAATATACAACATTTGCCTACATCAAAAAACAGAACTACCAAATTATTATGAGATACCTTAGAGGACTGTTAGTGAATGACAGTCTAAAGCATCCTGTAAAATCATGGCACCTGGTGTGCTGTCAGTTTCAAGAAAATTGGTATTTTTGTATTAGTTTCCAACGCTGGTCAGCTGAGCTGGAAAAAAAAACTGGCTTTTTTTCAAATGCTGCCCCCAAGTTACCATATTTAGTTAGTCCGCACTTTGTTTGCAATCGATTACACACCTATGAAAGGGTGCAAGCCAGCTAGACTGGTTCCCTGACTTTACGATTCCCCGACGTCTATAAAGTGCTCCGTTTTATCTTAAGTGGGGTCAGGGAACCAGACTACAGGATAATGACTGTTTTTCTTAGTTTCCAGCATCTACGACCACAGAAATGCAAAGTTAATGTAACAATATTTGCTATAAAATACTTGCCCCCAAAATCCATTCATTTCTGAAAATGACAGCAAAAGCAAATGTTGTATATTCCCTAAAATTTCTTGTTGCTCGGTGAACAATAATCATCAAGATATCTGAAATGTTTCCCTTTCTTTTCTGTTGAAAACTAATATAAATTTCAGGTCTTGCGGGATCTGATTCACTTTTCCTGGAAGTTCAATGACACTGAGAGTGGTATTAAAGACCAGTTTGTATCCGTCAGCACGCACCGCAACGGTGACGTCAATATACATCCAATAAAAGTAAGCTTTTTTGTTATCGACACCAAGTGTTAAATATAATAAATGGTGTAAGGATAAAACAGTTTTTTTTTTTTTGGAAGATCAAATAACAAAATTCCTTGAATGTTTTGAAACAGGAAAGACAGTTACCGTTTCGGTTTGCGGTAACACCATGTGGTAATAACTACTGCTTAGAAGATATTTAGTTCTGAGAAGAACTTGTCCTACTTATTATCAACTTTCGCTAAGTAGTTTTTGTTCTGATAAGAACAGTCCTGCTTAGTTCAGGTTTATTCAGGTTCAGGTTTATTTATTTCCACAGTATTAATCCAACAAAAGTTAATCATAGAAAGTTATATATAAATAAATAAATAAATAGATATATAAAGATGCAATTAACGAACAAGTGATACTGCAGAGGGATCCAATAAGAAGCAAAGCTTGTAAGCAATGGTCCCTATATAAAGCAAACACATGCATTGAGCCTACAGAAAGAAGATAAAAGAGAGGGCATGAGATTGGGAGACAAAAATACCAACAGGGCTCAGTGCACATGTTGCTTACAAAAGCTAAGTTTAACTTACAGATGTGAACAAACAAAAACAGACAAGTACCTAAGGGCATGGGCTATATACAATGTAGGCTCGCTAACTGGATTTAACTGAACAATTGCATTGCAGAGATTCAGCTATAAGCTTCTAACAAAATAGATTTGTAAATACGTTTAAAGGTCGAGATGTTTTTAGAGGCTTTAAGTTTATCAGGAAATGAATTCCAAAGCATGGGTCCCTCGTGTTTAACCGTTTTATGGGCAGAAGAAGTACGGGTGTATGGAATGTGAAAATTAGAGGCTTGACGAGTAAAGTAAGAATGAATTCCGAGATTCCAAAAAAATACTTTTAATGGAGGAAGGTATATTGTTACTGGCGACCTTGTACATGAGGGACCCAAGCTGATAATGATAAATATCATCGAGTTTTAAAGTTTTATGTTAGTTCTAAAAGAAGTTGTCTAAATTTGGTCTCTAGAAGAAAACTACATAGCGAAAGTTGATAATAAGCAGGACAAGTTCTTTAGAGAACTAAATATCTTCTAAGCAGACGTTATTACCACATGGTGTTACCGCAGACCGAAACGATACCGATACTCCACCATGCAAAGCCTCAAATCTTACAGGGAAGATAATTATTTCATTTCGCATAGCTGTTTTGCTTTGAACAACTACTAATGAACCAGATTTATTCCTTCAAAGTTTTAATCTGTTTTGATTTTCAACAAATAACAGAATCTTTTATCATTTACAGATTGCGGGGAGTGAGTTGGACCATACCTTCACCAATCTGACATTACATGAAGGCAGTCGATACGTCATTACCGTAGTTGCTTGTAACTTTGCTGGTCTCTGCACACAGGCTGAGACACAGCCTTTATTGGTACGTAACATCTATTACACTCACTGTCTTATCACACCACTTGTCAACCACTGCGGTCAAAAATAGTCGGCATCTTCTGATCTCAGCTGGTCTCTTACATTGTTGTAATTAAAGTCTCCGGTTTTTGGTTTGCCCGCGCGTTGCCATAGCCATACGCGTCGGGAAAATTATTAAACAGTTCTCGTTTCAATGTAAGTTGATATCTCAAAACTGCCGAAGTCACTGGTTTGATTGGAATCCTGCTGCTGCACAATTTTAACGTGTTTTTAGATGAGGTTACGATTGAGTATAAGCTTCACGTGGCCTCTCTGGGCTCCCATATATGTTGCACTGAATTTAGTCGGGAACCATTTGCAGACGGTGTTGTAATTTTGTAATTGTGTGTATGGACGCTAGACTGAGGGAGCAATGGTCGTGTATCTGGAACCTGTAAACGCTTTTTAAGTAGTGCGAAATGTAAGGGGGCAGACTAATAACCAGCCTGGCAGCACGCGGTGTTTTGCACAATGTCGCTGTATGGTCTGACGTTACCGTTTCCTCTGATTTTTGTCTTGACTATCCAAATTTCCCCCCAAAATGTTTGTGTCGGTCAAGATCGTATTAAAGTAAGTGCAGAATTCTCAAGCCTTATGGCCTTACTGAGTTCACCGCAAGCTCCACTCTGAAGGATAGTTTTGAGAGTTTTAAGGGGATCGAAGCCTCATCTGCAACATCACCCGACATTTGAAGAAGAAAAAAAAGTTTGGGGAAAACCAGCGTTGCCTCACTACCTTTGGGGCAAGCTCCATACCACTATACTAGAAACAGGAGACTTTTCTCTTGGCCTTATTATAATTTGAATGCTTTTACAGCTTGTTCTGGCCAAAAATCTGGATGGTACAGTTCGGGTTCTCATTGTCCCTTTGGTCTTCCTCAGGTTGATGGAAGCCCACCGTCAGTTGGGACGTTTGCCATTGATACCGAGAGTGCTGCCAACTTGGAACGTCATCATATCACCTGGATCAACCCAACCACCGAACCGTATGATGTATGTCTCTCATATGCCACTCAATCCTAAACTTGTTTTGATATTTTTTTTTTTAACTTGTGATAGTGACAACAATTCTTGAAATTGCATTTTTTGACAAAAGAGGTTTTAGGGTCATTGTGTTTGGTGCTATACTTTGAACGGATGGAGCAATTTAATTAATTTTTTAATCTTGAAGTAGTTTAAATTGGCTTTCTAGTCATTATTCGTAAGATGGAGTTTTTGCGTCGGGGTGATGTAAACCAAATTAGGTTTTGCCCTTCACCGACGTATAAACACTGTATACTCAGTGTGTTACCTCCCGAGTGAAATTTGGGAAAAATCACTCGGGTGGGACTCGAACCCACGACCTCCTGCTTTCTAGTGCTTTCTAGATCCCGTTAGCTCGGTGGTCGAGTGGTAAGACATCTGCACTAGAAAGCAAGAGGTCATGGGTTCGAGTCCCACCCGATTGATTTTTTTCCAACTTTAACTCGGGAGGTAACACACGAGTATACAGTGTTTATACGTCGGTGAAGGGCAAAACCTAATTTGATTCAGTCATTATTATTTTTGGTGGTACTTATTTTTTTCAATTATGAAATATATTTTTTGAGGTTTAGGTTCCACTTTTTTTGACTCGCCCTGTAAATGTGGTTAAATTCTATCCCTTAAAAACAGCCTGACGTAGTTTCCCCACGCTACCACTCGGGTTGGATGACGTGGGTAGAAGACCCCCGTACGTCCCTTGGTTCCTTAGCCCTTGCCTGGCTGGGATTTGCTGATGTTCACTCTGGTATCAGCCACTACTTGGTCTCCGTCGGACGCACCTACAGCGGCTCGGAACTCACCCCGGTATCTTTACAAATTTCATTGAAATGTCAAATATAAGGCCAAGTTCCCGCAAGGACTATAGTTGACCAATGGTTAACCATAGTTCGACTAACGCTTGCCCGAATTCTGTCTAGTTGACGGTAGTTGACTACGCTAGTTGGCTATTTGAAACCAACCTACTGGGGCTGGATTCATTGCTGGTAACCAATAGCCGCGCGCATTCATAACGCTAGCAGGGAGCCAGGATCCAGAAGTTTTGCGATAACATTTTGACCAGCGTTTGACTGGAGACGTTCGCACGTTGCTATTACTGAGCAGGCGTAAGGTACGTCACAAATCAACCACTAGTCGACTAATGGCCCTTGCCTGAACTTGGCCTAGGGTGCTACATTACTGTCATTTTTAAAGGGATTATACAACATTTGCTTAAGCTGTAATTTCCAGAAATGGATGGATTTGGGGGGTTAGTATTTCATAGGAAATATTGTTACACTGACTTGTTTGAAGTTTTGTGTTTGTAGATGCTGGAAAGCCAAGAAAAACAATTATGTTCCTATAGTCTGGTTCTCTGACCCCACGTAAGAAGAAGGGAGCTATTTAAAGACGTTGGGGAATTATAAGGCCAGGGAACCAGTTTACCTGGCTTGTACCCATTCATAGGTGCATAATAGATTGCAAACAACATGTAGACTAACTAAATATGGTAAATTGGGAGCAGCATTTGAAAAAATCTGGGTTTTTTTTTTCAAAGCTGGTCGGCCGATCAGCATTGCAAATTGGCACAAAAAATACCACTTTTCTTGAAAACGACAGCACGTACACATGCCATAATTTTACAGGATGCTTTAAACTGGCATTCGCTAACAGTCCAGTAAGATATTTCTCAAGAATTTGGTACTTTTGTTTTTTGATGTTTGCAAATGTTGCATATTCCCTTTAAAGTGAAAATGGCTTTGCTAAATTGCACATATCAAAAGGCAACAAGAAATTCAAAAACCTTTAAGTTTTAAGTTACAGTAGTAGATGCGTAACAAATACAAGTTCATTAATGAAAACAAATAGGCAATATTTAAATTGAAAAGTTGCAAAAGGTTTCTACCAGAATTGTCAGTTTCTTACTGACATGCTTTCAAGTTACGTCCACTTCAATTTTTGTGCCGTTTAAATTTATTGGCTTAATTGTTCTTTTGATTCTTTTTTTTCTTCAATAATGATCCTTTCTCAATATTTATATAATATTCGATGGCTTTGAGGGGGATACAAGAATATATTGCACGAGCTATAACAATATTGTTATAGCGAGTGCAATATATTCTTGTTTTTCCGGAAAAAAAGCCATCCAACATTATTCTTATTATTTATATTAGGCTCCCTAGCTTGATCTCCAAGAAACAAATTTCAGGACACGGCCTTTATTTCTCAAATTTCTTTGAATTATCGCGCCGCTCGAAGCTAGTTGTGGCTGTTGGCAACAGTGCGCGTATATACCCTGCCAGTGCTGCGCGCAGCGTGCCATGCGCTACGCTCTGTTGACTGGTTGACTATTACATTCTATGCTCTGGATTGTGCGGGAACCAGTGAAAAATGCCCGGATGACTGCAATAACATTATTATTGCAGTCATCCGGGTACTTTTTGACATAATATTGCAGTCATCCGGGTTTGAAAGCATACATGCACTGATTTATTTTTACCACTGGAAGCCTGATTTAAATAATAATCTTTGATATTGAAGTTATTTGAATGTCCTTTGTCGTAACTGTGATATAGGTCTATCCGTCGATGTCTGTATAAAACAGTCCAATGCTGTAGTTTTATACATGTGTAACTCAACCTTGTCAATATTCAGAATAGCAAACTCCATCATATTCATAAGATGGAATTTTGTGTCGGGGTGATGTAAATCAAATTAGGTTTTGCCCTTCAGCGGTACCCGCTGCTATGTACATCAGATTCGAACCAGCCAGCCGATACCGTTAGCTCGGTGGTCGAGTGGTAAGACATCTGCACTAGAAAGCAGGAGGTCATGGGTTCGAGTCCCACACGAGTGACTTTTTTCCAACTTTCACTCGGGAGGTAACACACTGAGTATGCAGTGTTTATACGTCGGTGAAGGGCAAAACCAATTTAATAAACTCCATCATGCACATTCATTGACTCGAAAAGTTTTGGTTTCTCTAGAGTGGACCAGTTCATGTAAGCCACAGCTACGACGGCATGCCATTGGACGAGGGTATCGTTCAGGCTACCTTCATACCACTAGAGGGCAGTCTAACGGACATAAACCCTCCATATCTCTACATTTCCATCTGGGCAGTCAATGGGGTAAATATCATAAGTCTCATAAATACCAAAAATACTAGACTTATGTTTGTGAACAAACACATGGCTGTTTCGGCATTTTATTAATACATGTTCTAGTCTTGTGATAGACTGATAGTTATTACACATCCAAGCGTAGGTGTGCACCAAGTTACAACAAACTCGGACCTATAGTTCTGCTGATATAGACCTTAGAAAGATTAACCTTTAATATAACGTCATATGTCATGTGATGACATCATCACGACATCACTTGAATTTTCATCTAAAACACATCCCGGTCTAGGTACATACGAACTTTCAACCCAATCGGACCTGTCGTTCTTTAGATACAGGCCTTCAAAATATCATCATGACGTCATTTCATTTTTCATCTATGACACATCCCGGTCTAGGTACATACAAGAACTAACTTTCAACCCAATCGGACCTGTCGTTCTGGAGATATAAGCCTTCAAAATATGCACCTTTATTGTGACATGTGATGACAACATGATGATGTCAATGTTAGGCACACATCTGCAGGTGCTGGTCTAAGTGTGTGCCAAGTATAAAGGCATTCGAATTGATTTTAGTGGCCAAAGTGCCGGTAACCAAAAAACGTGTACAAAAGCTATGGGCAGATGACTGAAAAGGAAAAAGAAAAGGAAAACAAAAATCTTAACAAAAACAAAGGTTGTTTCAGCAAAGGTGCCGAAACAGCCAAAAAAAGTTTTAAAAATCGATGTGAACAAAATAGGAATTAATTATGACAATGGAAACTGTCAGTCTAGAACTGACTTTGGTCTTCTAATTAATCAAAAGATTTGCAATCAATTTCCCTTTGCTTTCTGCACACAGGTCGGTCTACCAAGCAACCGCCATCATTCCACTTTCGAGCTTTCCCGAAGTTCAACCTATGAGGGCGCTCTTGTCCTGCTGCGGCAATGCTCACCTGCAACATGCGAGGGCCACTGTGCATGCGCTCCTATTGATAAAGCATGTGCCCCGGACAGGAGTTGCAATGACGTAACAGACAGTAAGCAGAGTTTTACCCAGCCTTGGTCAAGGCGCTAGTTGTTATTCATCTTCGCTAGCGCTATGCACGCAGTCATAATGTCTACACATGCAGTGCATTAAAAAATACAGCGCGAACAGCGACCTCACGCAGCCACTATTTTTATGCAAATTAGTTGGACCCAATCTAGTGCCTTGGTTCAATCGTCGGCAAAAGCTTATGTTTTTTCTTTATTTTGCGCTGGATTTCTAGCGCACAACCTCGTATGCGAATACAGATAAGTGTAGGCGGGGCTTATATGTGGAGTGTCCAATCACTCCTTGGTAAATCTACACGTCATCAAATTATTCGCAGCTATTCGCCTTTTGCGGACGTGACAGGAACCACAGTTTTTGTGCATTGGTGCCGTGTGCAGAGACACACAACGTGAAACGTGTATGGATTATGTACGGTGCCATGTTTCACTATGCGAGTTTCCACGCAACGATCGACCAATAAGAAAACGACATTTAAGGTCAGCTAAGGCTATTAACATAATGAGCACCACCCCCAAAAACTCACATGGATGATTGAACCAAGGCGCTAGATTGGGTCCAACTGATTTGCATAGAAATGGTGGCCGCATGAGTTCGCTGTTCGCGCTATATTTTTAACGCACCACATGCATAGCGCTAGCGAGGATATCGTTTACCGCGCTACGGCCGGGATGAATAACAACTAGCGCCTTGACCAAGGCTAAGTTTTACCCAGTGACAAATTCCATCTTCAAACTAGATTTATGTTTGTGGACAAACACATGGCTGTTTCGGCAATTTGTTGTATTTTTATGTCATGTTATAGACTGATAGGACATAGATCAGTAGAAAGTTGCATAGTGATCAGTGCCAGTAATTCCATAGATATAGGCTTATAACAATACACCTTTAATGTGACGTGGCATTTCATGTGATGACGTCATGATGACGTCACTTCAAGTTTTATCTATAATACATCCTGGTCTAGGTACATACCAATTTTCGATCCAATCAAATGTGTCGTTCTGTAGATATAAGCCTTCAACATATGCACTTTTATTATGTCATCACATGTCGTGTGATGACGTCGTGATGATGTCACTTCAATTTTCATCTATAACACAGCCCGGTCAAGATACTTACCAAGTTTTAAGCAAATCGGACCTGTCATTCTGTAGATATAGGCCTTCAAATCATGCACTTTAAATATGACGTCACATGTCATGTGATGACATCATGATGACATAGCTTCAATTTTCATCTGTAACACATCCCAGTCTAGATACATACTAAGTTTCAACAAAATCGGCCTTGTCGCTCTGTAGATATAGGCCTTCAAAATATACACCTTTATTGTGACGTCACGCGACACTTGATGAAGTCATGATGACATCAATGTTCAGCACGCATCTGCAGGTGCTGGTCTTAGTGTGTGCCAAGGTAATCAGATTGATCTTAGTGCCAAAAGTGCCTTGGACAAAAAAAACATGTACAAATGCTATGAGCAAAATGACTGAAAAAGAAAAGAATAAAAAAAAAAAATCTTAACGAAAACAAAGGTTGTTTCGGAAACAGCCCAAACCATTATGCTATCGCTTCTAGCTGGAATGGTCACAGTTTGACATGTCACTGTTGAATGAAAATTCTTTGCGTTGAATCTGAAGGGAAACTTCAGTATAGTCTTGTAATTAACGACAGTTAAGACTAAGGCATCCTGGATTTAAACAGGATTCGAACCAGCTCTTTATTTTTTTGCAATGGTAACAGTCATTTCTTGACATTTCTTACCATTACCTCAAGGTAATCCCAACACCGTGATAGAAGTTCTTGATGTACTGGATCTGATGCACAATGATATCGATACCATGATCGATATTGATGACACAGCCACTCGGTACATGACAGCTGCAGTCTGGCGAGTCACTGAGCAGAAAGGACTGGACATCAAATGGTGAGTGAATGTATGATTGATATCGATTATTAAATGACATCAATGAAATGATTACTAAACAGTGGCTGCTGCTCGTTGATTCTCAAAGCAGAAAGGGAATTTGATGTTTAATAATGCATGATGTGTAGAACAGCAAGATTGATATTAAAGGGACACTAGGTCCTGGAACAGCCCAATTGGGCTACAATCTCGTTGAACGAGATTATGTTAACCGGAAAGAACATTTAAAACTAGGATAGAAACATCCACACAACTATCCTTTAAAAACTGGGCGTTTTTGTGTTATTCCTGTATTATGCGTGCGAGAACGAATTTCGGGATTTCATTCGTATGCGTAAAGTGTTCGCCTTTTGCAGACGTTGAAGAAACCACAATTTTTTTGCATTGGTGATTGGTCACCGCTGTTCCCGAGACACACAACGTGTATATCGTATACTGTATGAGAACGACACGAAAAACGTATTCGTACTCTGTCGTGTCTGATGTAAACAACTGGGTTTTTTTGGTCTTTTCTCGGGAACGGTAAGACATTAGGTTGGTTTCCTTTCAACCACATGTTTGAAATAGGATAAGTAAACATCCAAAACATGAAATTTTCGGGGATTTCAGGACCTAGTGCCCCTTTATGTAATTCATCATCATCATCATCATCATCATCATCATCATCATCTAGAGATCGCAACCGAGATCTCGTTCACAACGCCACGCCAGGTGTCTTTATCCCTCATTATGTACGGAAGGTCTTCAATTTCACATTGGGTGTCTTTGCCAATCACATCAATGTACATGTAGTTGAAAGGTCTTCGTCCTCTATTAAGGCATGGAAGTCTCCAACATAATACATCAGATATGACCTGGTTTACAGCACGGTAGCAGTGGCCAGCAAAGCGTACTCGTCGTTGAGCAACAAAAGCAGAGATAGGTGGAATGTCTCCGTAAATCTGTTCTTTAGTCCTGTGTGCTTATGCCTTGAGATGGTCTGCACCCTCATAAGAAGCCTGGTGTATGTGCCATCGATCTTGAAGCTTTCTTCATGCATGGTCCAGGTTTCGGCTCCATAGAGAAGAATGCTCTCCACACAGGCCCTGAAGAAGGCCAGCCTTGCTGATTGTGCTATACTTGATTGCCAGATGTGATGAAGCTTGTTACTGGCACTCCAAGCTTGTCATTTGCGTAACTCGTACACTTAGCAAATCGAAAGGCGAGTCTGAAGGATCAGGCATGCAACTTTTCCTCGGATCAGCTGATTTCCTCTCTTTTACTTCCCATGTGTGCCATTGAAAATAGAAAAACACTGTACAAAGTCTGGGAAAAATTTGAATTTCCTCTTTTTTTGTGATTTCCCAGTTGCATGCCTGAAGGATGCAAGCTATGCTTCCTAATTTTGAAGATTCTGATCCCGCCAAATGCAAGTGAGTTTTGCACCGTGAAACTCAAAATCGACAAATATGAACCGCTCTCCTTCTTTATATATCTAAATATTACCAGGTTTGAGTGGAGCATTGGTGATGATTCCTCGTCTAATCCATCGGGAGTCTTTGATGCAGGAAGGGATAGAGTATGGTTTGATGTTGGACAGGACAATCACGTTATCATCACGCTGAATGGAGGTAAGAATATGTCTACTAGCTTTGACATATTTCTAGAGCTACCCTCCTATTGTTTTGTTCATTGTTTAAAACCTCATGCGTGCGGTGGGCTCCAGATGGCTCCCGCTAAAGACGACCAGCTGATATATCAACTTGAACTGCATTGTGCATTGTTTAATTCTGTTTGATTAATTAAAACAATTAGGTCCGTACACAAGAAGTTAATTGCATAAAGTTACTGCATAAACTATTCCAACTTAGCTTCTGCATCAGTCCGTTATATCTTTTTTGTGCATCATATCCGTCAGACCGAAAGCTGTCCAAGGGAGTCAAGTATCACGTGTTCATCCGGGCCTGGTACGACGCTACGACATACGCAGTGTTCAGATCAGACGGCATTACACCTGATATCACACCGCCAAAAATATCAACAATCCGAGGCACTAAGGTAAGAGAACTAGGAAGTTAATAGTATACAAATATTGAGTGGCTCAGCGTGGAATGGGAGGGAATATTATCGCGAGGTAAAATCTGGACTTTTCCATTTCACGAGGCTAAGCCGAGTGAACTGGAAAAGTCCAGATTTTACCGAGCGATAATATTCCTCCCATTTCACAATTTAAAGCCACTCAATATTTGTTTTATATAACTGACATATAGATCCTTGTCATTTGATATATTTGAACCTTTTTTTTTTCAATACAAAACTGAAGGAAAATCTATTTCTCTCTTCCAAACCACCCCATCATGAAAATGTTTGAACCTAACGCTGTAGCGCTGGCTCTTTGGAACAATACGCGCTACGCGCAACGCTGAACGCGCACACCAGCATGCATTTGCACACAAATACCGCGTCATGATCCTAACTGTTGAATAGTATTTCCCATTCCCCATGGGCGGATAGTACTTTTTGAGCCGCGGCGTGAATGGGAGCAATAACGAATGTCATGTGATGTGAGTTCCACCAATCAAATGACTAGGATCTGTATGTCAGTTTATATATAATACAAATTGACAACCTGAAGCTAACTGCAGATGTATTCTGTAATTCTTGTAACAATGTTAACCCTAACCCCCTAGGCCCTTGTTGGTTGCTTACAACCATCCTCAATCCTCCAAAATCCTCCAAAATTTTCCAAAATTTTGCAACTCCGCCTAAATTTTTCAAAATTGTCAGACAGTCCTGCCTCAAAATGCATTCATCCTCAATCCTCCAAAATCCTCCTCATCCCAAAACTTTGCACTCGTGTTTAAATGAAGGATAACCAACGCCAAATCCTTCAAAATCATCAGACAGTCCTGCCTCAAAATGCATTCATCCTCAATCCTCCAAAATCCTCTTGTGCTTCAATCACCATTCATCCTCAATCCTCCAAAATCCTCATGTACTTCAATCACCATTCATCCTCAATCCTCCAGAATCCTCATTTGATTCAATCACCATTCATCCTCAATCCTCTAGAATCCTCCAAAACCGCCAGGAGGATTTTGGAGGAGTGAGGTGGGTTAGGGTTAAAGTTATCCAGTTATAATAGTGATCAAGTTGTTAATATCGCCTGGGAAAGGAAGTTATAATGTGCAATCTGTTCGTTGTACTCGTACCGTCAGATCCCTGAGAATTCTTATCCATAATTGTAATATTCTCTAAACTTTAGTTAAATATCTTTAATATTAATGCAATATCTTTCTTTGTTTCCAGATAAAAGACCTCGCCAGATCTGATGCTAGGAAAGACACAGATTACTTGACGGATCCTAGCGCCATCTTCGTCTCCTGGGAGGGGGTGTTTTTAGACGAAGCAATGTCCCAGTACCAAGTGTCACTAAGTACCTATCCTGGAGGTAAATGCAGTCAAATCTCAACAAATCCACTCGTAAAAGTCTCTCATTTATAATGTGTGTCACCCAAGTAACAAATAGGGTAAGGGCGGGTATTTTCGACCGGATGAGAAGCGACCACCCGTTAGTAATTGCTTAATACAATGCCTCTGAGGTATCCTGTTGTCATAATAAACTCTACACATGATGTTCAGTTTCTTCCCTCGATTGTCCATTGTTTAGAAGTCAGAACAGCTCCGTGAAATCTTTGTAATTCAGTCCAAAATTGAACATCTTATCGTGTCACGTAAGAACATTGGTATCATTGGTGGCGCCCTTAAAGACTTTACAGGGATGATGACGCTGAGAAAGGCCAATCTGTCAATCATTTTGGGTTGGGTCTTCAGGTCGATGCGTGATTGGCTGACAACCTTGAGTGGGCAGGGCTGATATAGGGGTGGTCGAATTCTGACCAACAGAGGGAGCTGCTCTGGCATTTTTCGACCACCACACTTTGTGTATACATTCGTTTAGCACAGGCATGCTCGCGTTGGATGAATTCGATCTGTTTTTTTTTTATTTGTGTACCTTAGGGGTTTAATTCTTATTTTCCCTGGACATATATATTTTTAAGATGTAAAGAAATGTTAAAAGTGGTGGGAAAAAAAAACTGTCTGTTAAAAACAAAGCAATATACACACCCTAGGCCTAGCTGAATATTAGCCTGGTCGAAAATTGCCGCATGCCGGTCGAATTCTCCTTCAAAGTGACCACTCATTCGAAAGGTCAGAGGTTGATACATCATGACCATCAATACTGACCAGGTAAGTTCTGAAATAAAGGAAAGTAAGTGCTTATGTTATCCAACTGAAGTTTGAGTTTCTTCCCCCTATTTTAAAATGAAATGGACCAAATTCTTCTTATCTGGTCGAATACCCCCTCTCTTACCCTAGGTCATTTAGCTTTAGGTATCCTTACAGTGATCCTGATGGGGCTTGATCCCTACTCAATGTAAATCCAAATGCAAACGTTCATTTCAGATGTTGCGACAAGCATTCATGCAAATTTGCAAAGGTCGGTAATGTTACAACGCTGGTGAAATTTGCTGCATATCATTTGTGAATTTTGCTGCGTCTGTTGCTTTGCATTTTCGGTTATGAACAGTACGAACCTTTGCTATAACTGTTCTTGTATTGGCATGGCAACTCTAACCTCAAGATGCAAGAGCGGTGGACTTTACTTTGTCCCTCATTGTCTCGATGCGCTGGTCTCTTTTCCCCTCAGGTGAAGACATTCGTCAATTTGCTGACCACGTCTTCCCAGCCAGTGTGTCGTCCACGCAGCTCACTAGCCTGAACCTACAGAGTGGACTGCGATACTACAGCAACGTACGAGCATTCAACAAAGCTGGTCTGCACACGCTCAGAAGCAGTGACGGCTTTGTGGTGGATACCAGGAAGCCAGATCCAGGCCTGGTCTTTGATGGCATAGGTCAGTCTGTGTTTTTTTAACTGTACAAAGAAACACTTGACATTGGCTGTTTGTCTCTGTTGCTCATGATTCATAGTTTTTTCTTGACTTCGCTACCGAAGTGCACAATCCCTTAAAGGGACTATACAACATTTGCTTTTGCTGTAATTTTCAGAAATGGATGGATTTGGGGGGTTAGTATTTTATCGTTACACTGACTTGTCTCAAGTTTTGTGGTCAAAGATGCTTGAAAAGCCAAGAAAAACAATCATGTTTCTGTAGTCTGGTTCCCTGACCCTACTTTATAAGACGGAGCAGTTTATACACCGCTAAAGATAAAAGGGAGCAATTTATACACGTCAGGGAATTGTGAGGTCAGGGTACCATTCTAGATGGCTTGTACCCGTTCATAGGTGTGTAATCGATTGCGATGTAAACAAAATGGGGACGAACTAAAAATGGTAAATTGGGGAAAGTAGGCCTATTTTAAAAAAGCCAACACTTGGCGGCCGACCAGCGTTGAAATTGATACAAAAATACCACTTTTCTTAAAAATTACAGCACACCAGGTGCCATGATTTTACAGGATGCTTTACTGTCAGTCGCTAACAGTCCAGTGAGGTATTTCATAATAATTTGGTAGTTTTGTTATTGATGTTTGCAAATGTTGTGTATTACCCTTAAAATTGTCTGATACAGCCAATTGTCACTCTTATCTAGATATTTTTCACAGCTACAAGCAGAAAAACACTCTAAACTTATAACGATTTGCTTTAAGAGGGTTATGTTTTCGATCCTTTATTCCAGGTCCCTAGAATATGAACTTGTCACTTGATTCAGCACTGAAAGGCTTGTGATTGACTTGAGATTGACTTGTGATTGGCTTGTGATTGACTTGTAATTGACTTGTGATTGACTTGAGATTGACATGTGATTGACTTGTGATTGACTTGTGATTGACTTGTGATTGACTTGTGATCAACTTTAGATTGACTTGTGATTGACTTGTGATTGACTTGAGATCGACTTGAGATCGACTTGTGATTGACTTGAGATCGACTTGAGATCGACTTGTGATTGGCTTGTGATTGACTTGTGATTGACATGTAATTGACGTGATTGACTTGTGATTGACTTGTGATTGACTTGTGATCGACTTGTGATCGACTTTAGATTGACTTGAGATTGACTTGTGATTGACTTGTGATTGACTCGTGATAACTTCTGATTGACTTGTGATTGACTTCTGGTTAACTTGTGGTTAACTTGTGATTGACTTGTGATTGACTTGTGATTGCCATTTTACAATCTGATTTTTTTTCTCCACCTTTCATTCTAGATCTTCACGACGTAGAGTACCAGAACTCCAGCACCGTCATCTCAGCCTCCTGGCATGGCTTTGTGGATCTGGAATCCTACGTAGACCATTACGAGTGGTGCGTTGGACTGACCCCTAGCCCTGCAGATGATGGCATTCTGCCCTGTACAAGTGTTGGAATCCACCTGTCTGCCTCCAAGACTCTACCTGTACCTCTCACAGATGGTAATTATCCAATGTCTAATGCCCTTGAACTGTTCCCCCTCCCCCTCAGTCTCAGAATCGCCCGTTATCCACAGAGCCAAGTCTCCTGTATAACGTCTGATATGTCTAAACATGCAGATACACGCAAGCCGCGCGCCTGCCAATCGGAGTCGACTTTTAGTAGACTTTACTAAAACCGTCACGTCATTTCATTCCCAAATCAGGACTAATGGTTTGATTGGTCAATTCGAATGCAATGTTTTGTAATACAACAACAGCCGGGCGCATATCGCGTAACATGATACAGAGTGCGTGACACAGGTTTTTTTTTTCCATGTCTATGACGTGATAACGGGTGAATGACCGAAGAACCGATATAGAAGGCGCCCGCTGATTGGTCAAAATCTAGAGGTCAAGATGCAGTTGTTTACATAGACTACCCCCCCCCCCACCTTCCCGAAACAACACACTGATGCATTTGCTTAATATTAATTGCATATTTGTTCAATTAATTAAATTTTCAAATTCTGTAGTCCAAAGCCCAGGGAAACACCTCTTTAAAAATAGAGTGTGACCCAATTTACATATTGCCGTTTGCGAGTTAGCCACGCCCTCAGACAAACCTATGGAATTTGTACGTTAAAGTTTGTTTGTCTTATAATTTGTGCGTTCTGCATCCATTGTTTGTATATATCATGTAAGTGGACAATTTTTCACAAGCTGCATTGACGCGATTCTACTGCGATAGGTTAATTCAGCAAGAGTACGGGGGAACGATTCACCCGATCAATTTTACTGGGCAGAGGTTGACTGGTAAAAAGTAACTAGGAAGAACATCTTGGAGGCTGTTTATGGGAAACGTAATCATTGTCTCGGTTATTTTTACCAAAAATTGTAACCCAGACCTTTTATTTCATATCAGGGAAGTACAGGGTGAAAAAAACCCCCGAAACCCAAATATCGGGACCATTTTGGTAGTGAAGTTTTGCATGTAACACTTTCAAAATCTAGGATATAAAAGTCCAATTCATAAGCTTTCTTTCAGTATAAGAATCATTCAAATCACTTATGTACTTTTCAAGTTACAACATTTTAAACACAACCACCGTTTTAAAGTTTTGTCCACGGATCACAAAGCAGATGAGTGTTCTTTCAGCAAAACCAAAACAACATTCGTCCCTGTGTCAATTGTTTTCGTTTCGCTGAAAGAACACTTACTTTTTTGTGATCCGTGGACAGAACTTTATAATGGTGGTTGTGTTTAAAATTCCGTAACCTGAAAAGTACACGAGTGATTTGAATGATTCTTGTATTAAAAGAAAGCTTACGAATCGGGCTTTCATATCCTACATACAGAACTTCACTAAAAAGTGGTCCCAACATTTGGGTTTCATGGGTTTTTTTTACTCACCCTTTATTAATTCCCCACTCAAAAGCCAAGAAATATAGACAAGATTAAGAAGAACTTGTTTTATAACTTTCTTTTTCAGGCATCCGGTATTACTCCAAGATCTCAGCTATCGACGCTGCCGGCCTACAGTCTGTATCAGTCTCTTCTGATGGGTTTGCAGTGGACACTACACCCCCTGAACCACTAAAACACATCCTTCGAGGGGATAACTTGATCCAGAATCCATCATTTGAAATGATGCTGCGGGAATCAGACAACACAGGTGAGCTTTGAATTCTAAGGAAAATATAAACTGCCTTTCTTAAGTAAAAAATTGATGCAATATCACAATTTGCCTTTTTTTACATTTTAATGTATGCACTATTTACAGGTTTATTTGTTTGGATGACCTGTTAAATTGAAATTTTAATTATTTTTTTTTTCAGATATGGAGGATATTATTACAACGGTTAGTCCTGACAATGGGACATTCAATGAAACCATGACTAGGCCTACAAAGTCACCTGATATTAATTCAACTCGTGAGGCAACGACACCTTCATTGACAGAGTCCTTGACAGCAAATTTTACAGGTGTCAATGTCACTGATAGCTATCCCACTTCTGACACCAATTTGACAACCGACGAAATGCCATTCACAACCAGTATGCCATCCACAACTAGTGTGGATGTTACACCAGATGAGCTACTTGGTCAGTGGATCGTTGCATCTGATAGCCAGACTGCTGTGGTCGCTTCTGGCAAGAAGATTGCTCAAGATGGCAGTAAGTTCTTGTCTCTTCACGGCTCTGTCTTCCAAACCTTCCACACAACCCCGGGCAGCCACTACCAGGTGGTGGTCTTCGCGAGTCATGCCGTGCCATCCCACAACCCTTTGCTGAATCAGGAAGGTCGCATCGAGGCTCCAGGATTGAATCGCGTCTTCAGGTTGTATGACCGGCCGACACACGGTCACTCAGACCAGAGTCTGAGTTCCATCCGATGGCATCAGCACAGGTTTTACTTCACAGCCAGCGACGATGTCTCAACATTAACAATCTCCTCAGTCGGAGAATCCAATGGAATCCTGTTGGATAATATTCAGGTGAGCAAATGTTTTGGAAACCTTTTATGCAAAACTCTATAAGCACTTGGAACGTCAATTCTGTTAAGAATATATCAGTGTTGTGGTACTCATACTCAGTACTCGTACTAGAAGTGACAGTACTCGTACTTAAGCAGCAAAGTACTCGTACTCTACATGTTGAAATTGTACTCAATTGTACTCAAAAAGCAGTACTCGGGGGAAAATGGTATAGCTCGACTTATCACAGCCTTATTTTATCAATACAGTCGAGTCTCGTTATAACAAACTCGTTCGGACCTAGCCAAATTGTTTGTTATATCAGAATTTTGTATTAAGAGGAACATCAGTCCTATTCATTGTGCACATAAATACACAGTCTGGACCAAGGCTTCATGTTTGTTATAACCAGAATTTTGTATTAACAGAGTTTGTACTAACGAGAGTCGACTGTACTTTCAGTTTAAACTAGTGGATTGGCTTGTGGAGAAATCAAAGTTTCCTGATTTTCCTCTGTGCACGTCCGGATGGACAAACACATTTAACAGCTAGCCGTGAGTGGGCCTGTATATCGGTCTGACTGGGCCTGGGCCAATTTGCCGTATGGCCGTATTCGGAAATACAAGTATTCGTACTTGTACTTCTACTTGTACTCGGCAAGCTAAGTACTCAGCAGTACTCGGTACTCAGGAAAAAAGTACTCGACTACAACACTGGAATATATTCCCTCTTCAAGTTCAGAATGGGTGCCGTACCTAATCTTCCAAGAGCATGAGTTGGTTTTGCAGTAGATCGTTTGTCTCAGCCCTGATGAGGAACCTCAGTTCTGCAAGTGTGAAACTGTGTGTTCAAGCTCAAAAGGGGTATTCCAACCTGGGAATTTTGCAAGTATCCAGACTCTCTAAAAATGAAAAGCACTCATCAGCAGTATTTTCATCACTTTTTGCTGACATTGCAGGCAATTTGTCACACTTTTTCATGAATAAAGATAAAACTGAGCATAAGGCCCCCCCCTAAAAATAAGTCGGTCTCTGGTTAGCGCGTGCGTCGATTTTAATCATGCGCGTTGATCTTTTTTTTTTTCCAAAATGTTCCGCGGTAGCTCCAACAGCGCCCTCTATTTCCGCACCTCCTCAATTTTTTTTACCAAAGAGCACCAAGGAATGGGAAATTGCACCATGGCAAATGATCGAAAGCACCAAGGCAAATTATGGAGGACACCAATGTACATGAGGACACCAAAAAAGCAAAATAGTACCCACCTTGTCTGTACAATCCAAGCTTGAAGGAAAAAAAAAAAAAGCAAAAAAAAACAAAGCCGCATGGCCGCGTCAATTCCGGAACTTTGGTCTGACCAGAGACCGAATATTTTTTTTTTTGGCCTAACAGATGTATAGAATTATGATACATTATTGTAAAAATCCCATTCTTCCTTTCTAGGTGAGACCGCTTACAACGGGACCGAGTTCCGGAGATGGGTCCGTAGAAGTCCATACTCAGTTCATTCACAGCTGGTCGTCAATCCAGGCCAAGTGGCATTTTATTGACCCTGAGAGTCCAATAGTGGACTACAGCTGGGCTATAGGTACGTGGAAACTTCCTAGCAGTCCTTGCAAGTCCTTCACAAGTCATCCACTCCCAAGTCAAGTCACAAGCTGTGCAAATGAACTCTGACAAAGGCATTCCTTTGTTAGAGTTCATCCTCTGTTACTTATCACCAGACTTGTCAATTCGGGCGATTCACAATGCAGTGCGCCAACAAGAGTTTGCCACATCATCATCGGTTTTGATTCGCTCGTACCCCCCGCCCTGCAAACAGGACGCTGGGATACTCTGATGAATTCACGCTCTGATTGGTTGGATTTTGCGTAACCAGTGATCTGCGCGTCATCAAGGTCATGACTCTGCAAGGTTTGAAATGGCCATTAAGTCTAATTCATTACTCTTTTATTCCAGTTTAGAGATGTTTTTTTCTCGTTGAAAAGCATAATAATGTAGGAAATTCTGTAAAACTTATCTGTGTTGTAAATTTACAATTCCTGTCACTCGCTCAGGCTCCGTTTCGAATCAAGAACGGTCGGATTGCATTATGCGACGCTCAAAATTTTGTCCACAGGGTCCGCAATGAAACAGAAATCACATCCGGTATGGAATGTGCGCAATTCTATGGCAAGTTTTCGGATAGCATTTGCTCACATTGTCTGACTGTTTCTTGAACAGCTGCAGCCAGATGCTTTATACATTGGTCATAGGCCTGGTCATAGGCCACTTCCTTCCCAAGATTCTGTGAAGCTCGTCAGAGTATCCCAGCGTCCTGTTTGCAGGGCGGGGGGTACGAGCGAACTGTTTTGAGGCCCTTGTCCAGTCCGTTCTGGGTTGGCCTGCTTTCTCCCTCCTCCACTTGGCCCTGTCCGTTGCGTCCCTCGCATTGACTCCAAGCAGTCGCATGTCATCTGTCACAGAGCTCTGGCACATCTTGCGCGGTTGTCCAAGGGGTGTGGGCCCACCCGCGACTATTTTGGTACACCTCTGGACCCAGCTGGCATCATCCTTTCGGTAATCCTAACTTTTAGGACACATCTATTTTTTACAAGTTCTGTTCAAAACTTACTTTTGCAGATGACTGTCCAGTACCAAAGTGACTTTTGCAGGCTAAAGCAGTCTTTTTTCTTCATATAAACTCATGTTTAATAGTTGTAATTTTGAAAGCACTTTCGAAGAAAATGTGACTTTCCTACCTTTTTTCGCAGTCAGACGTGCATGTTGTAGTTCTGACATGCATGAAAGCCCTACATAATGAAAGCCCGATGCTGATTGGCTGCTAAAAAAAATTAATTAGTCTGGTTCCTAGACCAAAAGATTCTGACTACTCCTGAATCTATTGGTTTGGGAACCAGACTAAAAATAAACAAGTTAGTCTGGTTCTCAGACCAAAAGATTCTGACTATTCCTAAATCTTTTGGTCTGGGAACCAGACTAAAAATAAATAAGATGTTTATTTTTTATCAGCCAATCAGCATCAAGCTTTCATTGCATCGAGCTTTCACGTTTGCCATCTTGGTTTTTGAGTCTGTTTTCTGGTTGTCATTGTCGTCTTTTACCCCTGAATTTTCCTCATAAATCAAAGCCCTGCCCTCTTTCCACAAAATTAAACCTGCTGATATTCAAGAAGGTCTCATTGCCAATTGTTCAGATGTGCCAAGAAGTATCAGAATGTCAATTTTTGAGTGTCATTTTAGTCAACTGTTTTGGTGAGTCTTTCCCTTCCTATATAGGAAGGGGGTCCTAAAAGTAAGGATTACCATCCTTTCTCTCCACGTAACCATACCACATCAGCCCATGCCTCCTCAACACGATACCGATCCCCTCCACTCCAACTCTCCTCCTCAACTCCTCACTGGATAATTGGACATCTGTTTCTTGCATATCACGGCAAGTTCCTTTTCCCCACTCCCCAGTGCATTGTGGGAGATGGTCAAGGGCGGATCCAGGGGGGGGGGGGGGGGGCCAAAGGGGGCCATGGCCCCCCCCCCCAAAACGAAACCAATTTTTTTTTTTTTATGTGACATCGCAATAAAGGCAGGCAATGAGAACACCACCATCTTACCTCAAAAAAACATTGGTTAAAGTGGTCAGAAATTGCTTCAGACTGCACCACAGAGCATCTAGAATCCAAATTTTTTTCGGGGCCCTTAAGCGGGCCCCGAACCGCAGGCCGTAATTTTTTTGACCCACTGTTTGGGGGGACCAAATTTTTTTTTGGCCCCCCAAAAAATTGTGTCCTGGATCCGCCCTTGGAGATGGTCGACCAATTCGCAGTGTGGGACATTTGAAATTGTTAGTTTTGCCGGTCAGTAGTTTCGTAAGCGTATGATTCGAGTATCTGTTTGCCCTTTCCTTTTATTTTCATCAATATGGTGGTTTTTTTGTAAGGCGGCAGAACGATATGCTTCAATCTATAACTAATTAGCTCAAGTTGTCTACTGACACTCACTCAAATGGGCCGTGTTTTGTCGACCGTAAACTTGAAAAATGGACTCTCCATGGCAAACTCTTGGTGGCGCACTGCATTGTGAATCGCTCGAATTGACTAATAAGATTAAAATTTTTGAACACAATACGTTTCTGATACGTAAGAAACAGATGTCCATTTATCCAGTGACTTCTATGTCCAAAGATGTCCTATTGAAGACCTGTGTCATTGTGATTATGTTCGTATCTAATAATCATCTTCTTTTTATGTTAAATTAATAGGTACCACGAGGGGCAGCACCCAGCTTCAAAGCTTCACGTCTGTCGGCACGCAGACAGATGCTATCAACACTGACCTCAACATGGCGCATGGCGTCTATGTATTCGTCACTGTGACGGCGAGAAATGCAGCTGACCTCATCACCATAGCAACCTCCGACCCCATATTGATTGACCTAACGCCACCCCTGATTCATTTTGTCTCTGACGGTGGGGATGTACAAGGTATGTTAATACCAACATTTTGTCTACTAAACTGACATATCATGTCCACTGATGGCAGATCTTGTCATAGTAGGATTCAGAAAATGGTTTATAATCCAACGCGTCCCAAAATACCCGCAACCTTTTTGTGCGAGGCCCTAGCGTCGGCACGGAAACGCGTACCGCCATTATTTTTATATCGTTTTAAAGCTTGGAATCTTAACTTTATTCCTGGTAAGTATTGGTGTGATTTTTTAAAGGGTTTTGAAATTATTGGTGTTCAAATAAAGGCATGTCGAAAAACAAAGTCAACTGAGCATGCAGCTCCGGACACAGGCAGTGTATAATTGATATCATATTAAAAAAAAAACTTCAAGCAATTCCTTTTAAACAAATACGCCTAAGCCTTGTTCGCACATTATCTTGTCATATTTTAATGTATTATTTCATTCTAATTATACTTTTCGACATGTACGTATTCTTTATTTTCACTCGATAATGGAATCGATTTTCTCTTGTTTAATTCAACTTTGAGTCTTTTTCACTATCAACGTTTAGCTACTGATCAGAGGTGTTCTTCTTGATTATGTACATGATTTTGTTCTATCATCATTTTTACCTACACATTATTGTAGTTTATTTCCATTTATTCCGGTTTTTGCCTTCCATCCCCATTGTCTTGTTTCTTTCATGTTTGTTGTGTTTATAATCCATTTGTATGTATAATCATGCTAATTATCGGGGTCCATACCCACAAGCTAAGCTTTTTTATGGATTCCGCATCTCTATTAATTGTATTTATTATCTGCCTATCACCTTGTACTCATGTAAATTATGAGATGAAATAAAGTCAAGTCAAGTTCAAGTTCAATACTTGACCCTTCATCTTCAGGGGTGTTGCCTTAGATGTTAAGAACATCTCAATAAGAATTCCTCTTCTCTCCCCCAACAGATGCTGACTTCAGTTCGGACGACGATTCTCTGACCTTCAGCTGGTCAGCGTCTGATCCTGAAAGTGGAATTGACCGCTGTGAATGGGCAGTTGGTAAGTTGATATGTCTCAGTTGAGGTCTAAGTGATCACTTGGTCAGAATCCCTAATCAAGAGCTGATTTGTCCTCTCTGACAGGTCACTGAGTAGTTAAATGCGTCTCAGTTTTCCTGTTTTACCAATCCTGGCCTAATAGCAAGTTGCTTGGAACTATGTCTAGTTTTATAAAGACAGGTAAATGAAGTTTACGAAAATATGAGACCATAATTTAGCACCTTTTATAAAGGGTGTACAAGGTTCTGCAGCGCAAATTGCAGCCACTGCCAGAAACACCGGGGCAAACCCCTTCTCTTAGCGACAAGTGTTACTGGGCCCTTTAATGGGCATTACACAACACACCAAACCTACTGCTCTACGTCCGATCCGAAGGACGGAGCAATAATTAAAACTGCCTTGCTCAAGAGCACAAGGACCATGTTCCCCGTCAGGATTCAAACCCGTGCACCACGGCACATGAGTCAAACACCGTAACCATTTGACCACAGCACCCCACTAGAATTGACCACTGCAAGTGGGCAGTCGGTGTTGCAGATGTCCCTCATTTCTTGACTGACCATAATTTTTATTGATAAGTCATAGTCAGATTCAGGGGGTGGTCGGTGTGGCCAATCTCCCCCTCTTGAAAAAAAACAACCCAAATCCCAAATTTCATTTCTTTAAATAAAACCTCACAGTATTTCAATCTGATCATTGCTGAATGCCCTTGATGTGTGATGTGAAGACATCAATACCTTAGCTACTCCCCTTGAAAAATCCTGAATGCCAACACCTTCAAAGGCTAACTGTGTAGAACGCCATGGTCTAGTGGTTACGGTGTTTGACTCATGTACAAAGTTACGTGGGTTCAAACCCTGCCAGGAACATGGTGTTTGTGCCCTTGAGCAAGACACTAAACTACAATTGCCTCTCTCCACCCAGGAGTATAAATGGGTACCTGTGAGGGTCGAGGACCGATTGAGCGCTGATATCGGCTGCCACGTGGTCCCATGACCTGATGAATGGGGTAATAATTGTAAAGATTGTTGACACGATGGAAAGCGCTATATAAGCACGGTTATTATATTTTTAATTAACCAATCAAAACAAATGTATTTCCTGCTTTTTAAAATTTTCTCCCAGGATCAGAGCCTGGACTTGATGACATTCTACCACACTCATCGTCTCCTAACGACACTTCCACTGTCACCACCAACCTGTCCCAGGCTATGGTTGAGGGTCAGCGACTGTACGTCACCATCACATGCTACAATCACGCTGAAAAGTCGTCGCGGAAATCATCAGATGGTGTCACCATAGTAACAGTGCCCCCCAGCTCATCAGGAGCTGTGGTCAACGTGAAGACACTGTCAGAGACTCAGTACGAAACACGCGACGGGTACCAGTCACAGAGAGACTCCCTCAAAGGATCATGGGATGGATTCATGGATCCATTCGGAATTCAGTCTTACGAGGTGAGCTACTACATAGATTTAATAATGTTTAAACTTCTCTAAGGATGATTACAGCACATTTTTTATTTTAAAAAAATGCCACATCAACGATCAAGGGTTTCACAATTTGCCCAGGGCGCTTTCCTCGCCAATGGCTCTCAACGAATAATGTTCCATTTTCTCGTCGAATAAGAACACTGGTGTACAGGGTGCAAGTAGTCCATGTTTACGAGATAACAAGCAATTTTGGCACACACGATGTAAATTTGTCCTCGACTAAATAATAATAAATAATAATTGTGCTTATATAGCGCTTTCCATCGTATCAACAATCTCAAAGCGCTTTACAATTATTACCCCGTTCATCAGGCCGTGGGACCACGTACGCGGCAGCCTATATTAGCGCTCAATCGGTCCTCGACCCTCACAGGTACCCATTTATACTTCTCGGTGGAGAGAGGCAATTGTGGTTAAGTGTCTTGCCCAAGGGCACAAACACCATATTCCTGGCAGGTTCGAACCCACGCACCCTTGTATATGAGTCAAACACCGGAACTACTGAACCATGGCGTTTGACAAATTGTTAGACTACTTTTTAATGTCGTATTTCTGTCGCTTGAGGCTTTGTTTGCACGGAGACCACTCTCATTCATATTTACAAGAGCTAATGTTTGTGAGTGCAGTTGTAAGAATAATGTTATGAAGTGACTGATAGAATGTTCACTTCCAAGAGGCAAGGCCTGGTGGAATGGAATATTCCATCTGTCACTGAATGAAACTATTCTTTCCATTTCACGAATGTGAAACGTTCATTTGTTTTATACAACACCTGAATGAATCCTCAAGGCCTAAAAATTGACCGTGCAATGGAACTTCCATTTACCGTGGACTGTGCGGCCGGGCCATGTGTTAGGACGTCGGTCAGATGAAGGGATATTTTCAGGCATTGTATAAATGTATTTATTTCATCAGATGGAATTTGTAGTCTAATTCCTCTATATTGAATCCCTTTCCCGCTCCCAGTGCCACCTTAGTGGACCGAACGCCTTCGCCTCCTGGACACCTTGTGGATCCACATCAGAGACTCACCTGGATTGGTCAGGTCTTAGCCTGGTGGATGATGCAACCTATAGCCTGTCAGTCAGAGCCGTCAATCATGCTGGTTTGACCAGCCAGGCTATCAGTGGCAACTTCACGTTGAAGTCTGCAAAACTTTCTGATGGAGGTACGTGGCTCAGTTTGTTTTCAAGTGTTAGTTTCTTGGTGTCACTAAATGTACCAACATTTACAGAAGTGACTATTCAACTTTATTTTGGCATTGATTTGCGGATCATCTTACAGCTTCAGAACTCTTTTTAAGAGGCTGCAGAAAAAATCGGGCCCATCAGAACCTTCTAACTCAGCCTTCCCCCACCCACTTTCAAATTCCCACTTTAAAAAAAAATTGCTTCAAAATTGCTCTAATTGTATTTTGTATTGTAGAATTGTAGAATTGTATTTGTACATTTGTTTAAGCTGGGATCTCCCATCAGCAACTCTTTGTTAGAGGTTACAGAAAAGAAACCGGCAAAAAGCAGGCCCTTTTTTCATGCAACTCAACCAACACACTGGTCCAAGTGACCAGTTGCCTAATAAAACAATTTGTTTTCTACCAAACAGCCTCAAGCCTGATCAGATCCACCTGGCTGGGAGACGGGACGGTTGATCTTGCCTGGGATGGCTTGTTCTCTTCTTCCTCCTCTTTGGTCTATGAGGTATCTCTGGGTACCATCCCAGGAGGTAGTGATATCATGCAGTGGGTGGAGACCATGGAGACAGGTATGCGTGTCTCACCACTGGCTCCCTTCACCGATTACCACTTGACGTTGACAGCCATCAATGCAGCCGGATTGTCGCATACGGTCCGCAAGATCATAAATGTATAGCTAGCTTGATTAACAAACATAGGGATGCTGCGTAGCGCTGTAGAGTACATGTCAATAATAAAAGTAAAATAGAGCTTGAGCTTTCGGTACGAAGCACCTTTGTCGCCATCATTGCTAGTAACCTCCACTAGAAACTTCTGAGAGAAAACAGTCAATCTAACTGTAAACTGGCCAGCCCTCTAATCTATCTTAATCCTTTGTCCAAACAGTGGCTTTATAATCCCTAACACTTAGTGTAATAAAGCCACATGTGCTGTCACACAGCTGATATTGACAAGTGCAGGGGATTAGCAGCAGTATCTGATAACAGGGGCCAGTTTGTTGACAAAGGGATTAACATTAGATAAGAGTGTACTGCTAGAAGTACTGTATTCTTTCTGAGTTTACAGGCCCTAACTCGGAAAGCTGCTATAAGCACTTACACCTGATGATAATTCCCCTGATAAGTTGCTTTGCACCGATAGCATGAGTACAACAATCTCGGGAGCACTGTTTCACTTTTACTATTGACATTAGTTAGCTCGATTGTTTGATGTGCAATCACCAGGGCCCAATTTAAAACAATGCTGAGCAAAATCATTTTGGTTTTGGATTTCATTTCTGAAAGTCTGGATGTCCGTATTTTGTTATCTTTGTAAATTTATTTTTGTCCCCAGCAAATTCGTTCTCTTATTCGGGGATGTTCATAGAGTAGATAGCTGGATCTTCAGCAAAAAAAAATATTCCACCTACACTGGTTGGATTGTAAGTAATGGAAAATACAGAAGCAAAGTTTCTGCAGGGACAACTGCAAACAATTGCACAAAAGAAAATTATCCTTAACGAAAAACGTCTACAAACCAGATAATTTAAAAGTTCAGAAAAATGTGGAATAAGTCATAAGCAAAAACAAATAATTGCCAAGCTGTGGCAAAATTGCCCCGTACTCAGGTTAGTCTGCCAAGCAAAGAACAATATTTCTAAGTCCAAACAAATTCTTGCTGAACAAAGGTCTACATTAAGAGCCACTCAAAAAGAAATACCATTGTTGTATATTTTTATGTTATGTTTTATATATGCTATGTTATCAGCTGGTTTGCATTTGTATTTATATTAATCTTTGTTCATAAGAAAACGTGTATGCTAAGATGTACCTCATGTTCATTAGAATTCATTTTGAGCAGCGCACCATGTTGCTGAATACCAACAGGGTCTCTTGGAAGCCTGAATTCATTAATACATTTGATTATTTTTATAATAAAGTTGCATTTCTCTTTTTTGGGGGCTGGTATAAACATTTGCCATGTCATGTTTAAAAACCCTGTCATTTGTGTTCTCCTGTCTGTCTATTGGTCACTTTGTTTTGGTTTAAGGACACACTGCACGGGTGCGCGGTACATGGTTTCATTGGTATTGAACAAACAAACAAACAGACAAACAACCACAACCAAACTTTCAAGAAGAATATGTAACTCCCTATTTGGCCCAACAGTACTTTGGTTCTCTTTAAACACTCCAGGGGGTTCTCTTAGAGCATCCCAGGAGGTTGTCTTGAAGCATCCCTGGGGTTCTAGGGCATCCCGGGGGTTCCTTTAGAGCATCTGTGGGGTTCTCTTGGGGCATCTCAGGGGTTTCTTTGAACATCCCACGAGGTTCTTTTAGAGCATCCCGGGAGGTTCTCTTGGGGCATCTCAGGGGTTTCTTTGAACATCCGAGGGGTTTCTCTTAGAGCATCCGTAGGGTCTCTTAGAGCATCCCAGGTGGTTCTCTTGGAGCATCCCAGGAGGTTCTCTTAGAACATCCCTGGAGTTCTAGAGCATCGTTGGGGCTTTTTAAGAGCATCCCTGGGGTTCTCTTAAACCATCCTAAGGGGTTTCATTGAGTATCCAGGGGGTTCTCTTTTTTTAATAGAGCATCCCTGGGGTTCTCTTGGAGCATCCCTGGAGATTCTCTTAGAACATCCCAGGAAGTTCTTTTAGAGCATCCCTGGGGTTCTAGAGCATTCTTGGGGCTGTTTTAGAGCATCCCTTGGGTTCTCTTAAAGCATCCTAAGGGGTTTCTTGGAGTATTCCACGAAATTCTGTTAGAGTACCTGAGGATCGAGGTTCTCTAGAACATCATTGGTGCTGCTTAAGAGCATCCCTGGGGGTTCTCTTAGCATCCTAGGGGGTTCTCTTAGACCATCCCAGGAGGTTCTCTTAGAGCATCCGAAGAGGTTCTCTTAGAGCATCCCAGGAGGTTCTCTTAGAGCATCCCTGGGGTTCTAGAGCATCCTTGGGGCTGTTTAAGAGCAACCCTGGGGTTCTCTTAAAGTATCCTTAGGGGTTTCATTGAGTATCCCAGGGGGTTCTCTTAGAGAATCCCGGGGGGTTCTCTTAGAGCATCCCAGGAGGTTCTCTTAGAGCATCCCAGGAGGTTCTCTTAGAGCATCCTTGGGGCTGTTTAAGTGCAACCCTGGGGTTCTCTTAAAGCATCCTATCCCAGGGGGTTCTCTTAGAGAATCCCGGGGGATTTCTCTTGGAGCATCCCATTAGATTGTCTTAGAACATCCCAGGAGGTTCCCGTAGAGCATCCCCGGGGTTCTGAGGCTGTTTAAGAGTATATCTAGGGTTTTCTTAAAGCATCCTAAGGGTTTCTTGGAGTACCCCGGGGGTTCTCTTAGAGCATCACAGGTGTTCTCTCAGAGCATCCCCGGAGATTCTGTTAGAGCACCCGAGGATCAAGGTTCTCTTGGAGCATTCCTGGGGTCTAGAGCATCATTGGGCCCGTTTAAGAGCATCCCTGGGGGTTTCTCTTAGCATCCCCGGGGTTCTAGAGCATCCTTGGGGCTGTTTAAGAGCATCCCTGAGGTTTCCCTTAGCATCCCAGGGGGTTCTCTAGAGCATCCCTAGGGTCTCTTACAGCATCAAAGGGGGCTCTCTTAGAGCATCCCAGTAGGTTCTCATAGAACATCCCCGCCCTCCCTACCCTGATTGTATAGAAGATCTCTTACAGCATCCTGAGCTTCTAATTGAACATCCTAGCCCACACTGCCTTGTTCCGCCCTACAGTAGTGGGTTTCTCTTCGAACACCCTAGTGATTTCTTTGAGCATCCAGGATAGGTTTTTCTAGAGCATCTTGGTGGTTCTTTTAGATCTAAACTTGGTTCCATTTCTGAAAGCGTTAAGTCTAAAGGGTATTCTTGTTTTCAAAAGTCTAAAAAAAATTATTTCTTTTGTTCCTGAATCTTTCATACCACTTTAATAGGCCTACACGGATTAGTAAAAAAAACTGACACTGAAAATCCCTTTTGCCAAAAAAAAAGGAATGCTAGGTATGCCCCGAGTTTAGCTGAGTATTGTGCGTATATCTGGAATATTTTGCATGAACAACTGAGAACTATAGAAAAAGGTACGGTGTACCTTCAAATCAGAACTACGTACAGGAATCAGTTTGTGATATTTCCGCCAATAACGCACTATTTAAAAAAAGCGCTATCTCCTGAGTTCAAACTTCCTTGCCGCGGTAATTTGGAGCTGGGTCTGGAATTTGCCCATGTTTTTTTCCGCAAAGTTTTTTTTTAATGGATTTTGTATACTTGATAGCCTTGACCAAGGCTATCAGCTTGTTCCCATACGAGCTTGGTCAAGGCTACCGCACACCGCGCGCGCCGTGACACAATCACTAGTTGTAGGCCTACTATACCGTTAGCCCCAACGACCCTTGCGTGTGCTTTGTGTACATGTACGTACCCCCACACACACTTTCGCAAACAGCCGTACAGTACGTAAGTCGAGATCTTCCGCCTCGACTTACGTACTGTACGGCTGTTTGCGGAAGTGTGTTTGGGGCGTACGTACATGCACACAAAGCATACGCAAGGGTCGTTGGGGCTAACGGTATAGTACAACATTGTGTCGCGCGCTGTGCGCGCGGTGTGCGGTAGCGGGAACAAGCTCGTATGGGAACAAGCTGATAGCCTTGGTCAAGGCTATATACTTGAATGTTTACATATACTTGTGTAATTACTTTATTTGCGTAATATTTCTGAAATGCTTGTAAGTATTAGTATTCGCTGTCCCGTTCACCTATGCACTTTTCTCCCTTTAGAGTTTCACTTTGTTTATCATTATTTAATAATTTGTAATGTATGCGGTAAAATACGAATGCGCGAAGAACTTGGGCAGTGATTTATCTTTAATTGTCGGTCTCGTGCGTTGTACTTAAATAACAGTTCCAATTCCCCGTACTCAGGTTAGTCTGCATTAGGTTGTGTAAACTTTGTGGGCGACCGCATCCTGTTCCATGTACATGAAGGCCACGTGGTGTTGCCAACGTTTTGCCAAAGAATCGATACGCGTGAGAAAACTTAATCCATTATAGAAACGAATACGTATATAATCGAACATCGACTTTTCGTTGGCGCGGCGCCAAAGATATTTGGTTGGCACTATCACATGAGTATCGTATACGTGAGCGGGAAGTTATTTTTCGCGGGAAAAAAAACACGTAGTTCCGAGACTACTGATTCTGCTCATCAACACGACCGCATAACCGGTACCCGGACCCGAACCGGAAGCTACAGGATCAAGGCTGTGCTCCTGCACAAGGCTGTAAAAGTACAGTGTTTCCGCACAGTATAATCTGGTATAAACTAGTTTGAGAATGCTCTGCGCATAGTGCATACGGATCGGGATAAACCGAGTGTGGACGTGACGTGAAGCCCGGTGAGCGATAGTCTTATTTGATTAATTATTCAAAAATACCTTAGACAGTTTACCAATTCATATGTGGCCGGTTTTAAACGGTTGCTAAAGACATGGCTGGCTGGTCTTAACAAGGCTTATTCAGTGTCGCATGAAATATGGACTCCTATCGAAATCCGGTGCCAGCACCGTTTTGTTGGTTGAACGTTCACAATACTCACGTCTGCTGCGCAATACTATACTACCAGCGAGTGAGTTTTTCATAGTCCTAAATTCACACTACCCGGTTCGTTATTGTGACGTCAGGTCATTTTAAATCACGCCCACTGGCCATTAATTATTTAGCATTGGAACTATTGAAACAGGTAACGCAACTTGAGTGTTTATTCAATGGGAGCTAGTAATTAGTGGTGTGCGCACGTGTATGACGCGCGCGTCAATCTCCATGTAAGGAGTTGTTTACCAGAGGGCCTTCCCATTGTATAGCCCGAGTAATGTTTTGTTGATCGAAATCGCAACGCTGCGACGTCGAAAACCGAGCGTCTCTCACGTTGAAGCCATAGACATAATAATTTTATTTTGTCTATGGTTGAAGCCAAGCCCAGCTTGTGTGCTCATGTTCAACATCGAAAAACATACGACGTTAAAAAAATTGAAACGATGCCACGTTGAAAACCATGCATATTCGACGATGCGAACTAACACTGCGACGATGAAACTTTGTGGTTCAAAAACGTGTGTCTTTATTGGAACTGTACAGATATGATACATCTGTCCAATGTACAATGTGCCTTCTTAAGAACGAAAAGAAATGAGGGACCAGCCGGTTTGTCTATATAAACACCTGATAAGAAACACATTGCGAAATCAATATATATTTTATTTATAGCTGCCAATCCAATTTAGTAGTCTGCAGAGTGGCATGACAGTAATTGTCAATGATCTTGAAGGAGCCATCGGCTCAGCTCTTCCCCGGGAAGACGGTCGTCAGTGTTCTGGTACGTGCATCAGCGACGATTGGTCAAGGCCTTGGTTATAGATAGAGGTTTATCAGTCAAGACGGTCAAGGATTGGGCCAGTGCCGGTATACCATCTGCTAATTGAATGGAATCTGCCAGCGCATAATGATATGGGAAAGTAGTAAATAATACTTTCAAAATGTTCGATCGGCTTTTCTGCTTTTCTGAAAGGAGAAATATGATGGTCCCTATTCGGCTGCCTGAGTAAAGCCTATATTTCAGGTAGTAGAAAAGCAAGAAATGGGAACGACGAAAACAGTCGATGTGATTTTCTTCTCCTTACACAAGAAAACAGCAGATGTCCACTCGGCCGACTGAGTGAAATCTGATTTTCAGGGTGCTGAAAAGCAAGACATGGACACGACGAAAATGGTCGATCTGATTTGAGCCTATGCTTCTGATCCTTGCACAAGAGTAGGTGTCCACTCCGTGCGCTAGCACAGGAAGAAAAGTAAAATCTGCAAAAAAGCAGAAAAAGTAATTTTCATCAAAAGGTAAATTCTGCTTCTCTGATCGCAGAATGGCAAAAAATCAGAAACTGTTCAATCTAATTTCTGCTATACTGAAAGCAGAAAAGCAGATCAATGGTCAGGTTTCGTCGGTTGTTGCTATAGGCCTATAGTTGTGCCCTGTTTCACTTTACACAGCCACTTTTTATTGTAGGGTGTCTTAACAAAGTACAATCAACACATCAGCATAAATTCTATTGTAACAGTGTTTTTATGAATATGAGTGGTGTTTTTTAACGTACGCAATCCCATGATAATTCCGGAAAAAATATACTGTTTCCCAATTATACTGTTGAAGTATCAAGTCGTCAGTTCACAAGATAAGAAAAAGATCATTCCCAAACGAGGTGGTAAGAATACAAAAAAAGTCAGCAAACAGACTTGACATTCTTGTCCCGGTGTAAATTCATAGAGTAAAAATAATGGGTAATTAGGGAGACTTTCCCATAGACTTGTAGACAAAAATTTTCAAACTTAAATGTGTCCTACCCGATATTCCCTTGTCCTTTTCCACGGATTTCGGTATGTTTACTAAGTAGACCACGAGCAACAAATATAGCCTAATTGGGACGGTAAAATGTTGCCTCTAAAGGGGGCTGTGCCATTAGGGAGACAGTTATGTGTCTCCCTAAGGACCGGTGTCTCCGTATTATCGAAGAAATTACGATAACGTGTCTCTGTAATGGTACATTTAGTAATACTATAAAACAGCAATCAACACATAAGAAGATGACCGTAGCTTAAAATATAAACTGTACATTATACAAATTACATAACTTCATGAATAAAACTATACCGGTAAAAAAAAGCGTAAGAATTTTTTAAATGATAACAAAAAGACTGACAGCAAAAAGACTCATGCACGGTTCTTACACCCCCATTCCTTTGCTAGCATGAATATGACGGCAAAATATACACTGTACATTCAATTACATAACTAGCTTAATTAATAAAAAAAAAACTATTCTTCATGGACCTGCACAGGACACACGTCCAGAGAAAGAAGAAAAAGAAACATTATAAATGACCTCGCATAGACTGAAAAAAGAAGACTATAGTGCACAGTACTGTCTCACAAACAGATCAACTTTTGATGAACTGGTATATGTACTTGTACTTCCGAGTACGAGTACTTATATCCGAATACAGCCTTACGGTAGCCCTGGTGGACTCCCTTTCCTCCCTACGTTACGGAGGGAGTCCTGAGTACACATGTGATCACAACCGAACGAAAACGAACCGAACGAATTTCTTACCAATAATTTCCATATTTTTACCTTGTTGGAGAAGCTAAATTTACGTCGTAGTATTCTATGTGTCCTTATCTGTAAGTACGCTGGGTTCAGGAATTCCATATGCGATGCTGACTGACGTCAATCAGGAAAATAAACTCGAAAGCATCGTTAAACTTGTACGTGTTTAGTCTCTTTTCATCAGTTTCTCACCGCCGAGTCTATTCTAGTCGTACATCATACCATGAACGTCTGTGCAGCGTGTAGTCTGGTTCCCTAGACCGGACAATTATTCTCGACGCTCATATCACATCTGGTCCGAGGGACAGACTATGCCGCATGAATATGCAGTGCGCACGCGCGATTTGCTTAGTAACCACCCTCATACGCACGCGCACTTACTTGAAGGCGCGGTCGCTAATCCAATGACCGAGCGTGTTTTCGCGCCAGTTACCAGAAACACGTTTCGGCTTTGGTCATTGGTTGAGCGTTTTCGTGACATCGGTTGGCTGGAGTGACGTCACGGTTCCAACCAAAACTAAACAAATGAGGGCGCTAGCGTGCGTGCGCGCTTTCGGATCGTACGCACGTACATTTTGTACATGTACATGTACATTGTACATTATGCATGACGTACGACTCTGGGAATAAACTGATGAAAAGAGACTACAAACACGTACAAGTTTAACGTTGCTTTTGAGTTTATTTTCCTGATTAACGTCAGTCAGCATCGCATATGGAATTCCTGAACCCAGTGGCCAATAGATAAGGATACATGGAGTATGTAGGCGTGAAATAAGCTTCTATAACGAGGTAAAACATAACAAAACTCTGGTAAAAATGTTGGGATGGTTTCATGTAGAAAAGTCTTGTCCTGGACGTTAGTCGTATTGCAATGAAGACTTCGTCCAACCTGGGCTAAGCCTTACGGCAAATGGTTCATTGTGCGTAATTGGCTCACGTCCAGTCAGTCCGATATACAAACACAATCACAGCTAGCTGTTCAATGTATTTATCCGGACGTGCACAGAAGAAAATCAGGAAACTTTGATTTCTCCGGTGAAGCCAATGAACCATTTCAAACTGAAAGTATATATCGATATAGTAAGGCCGTGGTATGTCAAGCTATTCGATTTTTTTTTAGTACTGCTATTCGAGTACTAGTACTTTGATGCTTCAGTAAATTTACGTCAAGTACGAGTACTGTGCTGCCCGAGTACGAGTACTTTGACATTCGAGTACCAGAACGAGTACGAGTACTCTTATATAAAAAAATAAGTACTCAAGTAGTACTTGAGTACGAGTCCCGAGTACGAGTACTACACTGTGCTTCGAATGAATGAACAGAATAAGTAAAAGAGAATGGGTTACCCATTTGAGGGAGCATACTCTGAGTATATTTAAACATATTATACCCAGTCGGTGGTGGAAGAGATCATATAGTTTTCCCCACCCCTGCAATTTCTCAGTGTGGAGAAACAAATTATTAAAGAATTTAGCAGTACCAGACAAGTTTGGAATCACGAGAGACGGAAACGGACACGTTTCTAATTGAGTGGGATTGCGATTGGCGTTGGTTTGTTTCTTTTCTTCTGTAATTTCTTTTTTCGATTTTCGTTTCCTTTATGGTTTAAATTTTGCCATTATATCAAGAGATAAATTAAGTTTTTTTAATATCCATATTTTCAAGAAATACACAGCTAGTGTCATTGTTGCAACGATGGTCCAAACACGCCGACGAGACGAAGGAGGGACCGGCGCGATACTTGTGATCCTGGTGGTACTTCTGCTGGTAGCTCAACTACCAAGAGTATTAGGTGAGAGCAAAGTAACGATTTGACCACTGATTAGTGTTATTGGTGAGTCCACAACATGTTCAGGTCTTCTGCCGTTTGTTATGTCCAGTTAAACAGTGTGTGTCAAAAAAATGCAAACAAAATACAACGGAATGCCAGACGTAGAATGAGTAACCAAAATAGATATGGTTTGAAAGATACGCCTTTCCACTTAAAAATGAGACATTATCAATCTGATAATTTTGACAGAGTTATGATTAATTTTCCAAGAGAGGTCAAATTGACCATGGGACCAAGTTTTCAATTTTAGGCATTAGGACAAATGATACATGATACAAATGACAAATGAAGTGTTTAGAACATACTCGCTAAACACATCTACATATCTACTTGTATCTACATAACTACAGTCAGATTTGGTTGTAACTTGATGTGCAAACCGGGATGTGTTATAGATGAAAATTGAAGTGACGTCATGATGACGTCATAATGAAGTCACCAAATGTGAATCTGCATTTTGAGGCCAATATTAATATAATTATTTGTCCAATTTGGCTATGTAAAAACATGGTAGGTAGCTATCTATAGACTGAGATGACAATTGAAGTAACGTCATGATGACGTCATCACCCCTGTAATGTAAAGTCACATATAACATGTATATTTCGAAGGCCTATGAGACTGTAAACACGTGTTATCAAATTTGATCGTTGAAGTGCACGAACAGTAGGTCCTTAAGTTCCAAAGTTGAAAAGAGTCGAGTCTAGAAATTGGGAACAATAAGCAGGCTCCCCAACAATGTGCCCTTAAAAGAATCTCCTGAGAGAAATTCCCGAGCAAAAAAGGTCGTTTTTTATAGTTATATTCAGGAATCAGAATGAATGCTCATCTTTTTTATTCCTGTGTTTTTAGGACAACCTGGTTATTTAGGGTGCTATGAGGACTCAAAAGACGATCGCGCACTTGGAGGACCTAGCTGGAAGGATGTGATTGAGCAGTCTTGGGAGTGGTGCATCCACAGTTGTGTTTCATATCAGTACATGGGACTAGAGTTTGGTAATGAATGTTTCTGTGGACGTAATGTTGACTATGGCAGGCATGGTAGTAGATCTGGCTGCACCATGGCGTGTGAAGGAAACAGCAGTGAGACATGCGGTGGACGAAACCGAATTGAAGTCTACAGAGGTGAGACATGAAGCATGATTACTTAAGTGAATAAATGTGTGCTTCGGAGGTTTTAAACACTCTGTTTAAAACCGGTTGGAGTCTGGATGCTGATAATCACCCGAGCCAAAGGCGAGAGTAGTTATCAGCATTTCATATCATTGTTTTTCCCAACAATACACTTGAATCATAAGTGTTGTTTTAAACTTCGCATGGTGGAGTGGTAAGTATAGTAAGAGTGGGGGTACACCATGAAAAAAATATCTGTTGTATCCTAAACAGAGTATAGCCCTACTGTTCGAAACGTCGAGACCTGACTCACAAAGCCGGCTCTCTTCAGAGACAACACTTCCTCGCAAAGAGATTTAGTTTGTTTCTCTATCAATAGGGGACGTTGAACAGCAGAGGACAATAGGGTCCCCAATTCCCGAAGGTCCCCAATTTGGCGATCGTGTTCAAGTCTACAAGACATAATTATGGGAGGTCTTCCTAAAAAGTTAAAGTACAAACAAAAGAGGGACAAAAGGGGGGTCCCCGATCGCAGGCAAATACACGCTTGTATGTCCATGCATGGTCTAGCTCGTTTCAGTCGAATACTTTTTTCTTCTTCAACAGACATACCTAGAAAGTACAAATTTGGTCAAAACTGTTTCTCATTCCTCACCATGATTTTCTTTCATTCCAGTAAATGGTGGCGTATGCACCAGGCCTGGGCAACCACGTCATGGATCGTACACCAGAGAATACTCTCGCCCTAACACTATTCATCTGGCGTCCCACGAGTATGTGGGTTCTCGTTTGCGTTATACTTGTGACAGAGGTTACTTTTTTCCTGCCAACCCTCCAACGGCCACATGTGTTACCGGCAATCCGTCTACATGGAACCCTGCCTTCTACCAATGCCGAGGTAAATGCTATAATTTGGAGTTCCCTCATTGGGCTATTTTAAGTTCCAGTAGTGCAACTATAGTGTATTTACTTTTGCACATTCGGATAACACACAGAAGTCATAATTGCATTTGCATGTTAACACACACTGGATAATCTTTTTTTCTACATCTCTCTTCATGTGTCTTTTTCTTTTAGCTTGTACATCAATATCAAACTGTGTCGCTGGTCAGTTGCACTGCACCACTGCCACTGACCAGCAGTGTGACCAGTGTGATGGTTCCAAAGGAGCAGCCTACTCAAGAGTCAATAATGGAAGAGGGTGCAGAAGTAAGTATTTGAATAACAAATGCCCGCAATTGACTTACGATGAAATGGTCGCATTGAGACAATGCAAATTTAATAGTAATTAAGTTTGCCAAAAAGGCCTATATATGGACAGTTTTAAAGATAAACTATTGTCACTAGCCGCCGACGGAGGGCTACGACGGCGTGTATAGAAGGCTGACCTTGTTCCTTTGTTCACGGACCATTTGCTTTGTTCAAGTAGTGCGCGCTCTGGAAATTAGTTCCTAAATGGACTCCATGGCAGGCTAAGTAGTTACAATGTAATAACTTTTGTCTAGCTGGTTTTTTTATGCTGGGGATAAGCAGTTGATCAGGTAGCGGTGTGGCAAGTTGACCGCAGTTGAAAATCATATGTGTGGCGAAAGTTTGAGGACAAGAGCCCAATATTCGCTCACGCTACAAATGGTGGCAGCGGTGGGATTCTGACAGAATTTTTCAACGGATTAAAATATGGCGAGCTACACGGAGTCTACACGAATTATCGCTGAAGCCACCGGCAACATTCCCATGAAAATCGAACGTCTGTAACGGTCACTTCTGGACAGTTCGCGCAGAGTTATGAACGGGCACATGGACTGTCATGAGCCTCGGCGAGTCGTGCCGGGGACGCCGAACCTATTGACGAGGGGTGATTCCGGTTGGCGGAGCGGAGAGTCGCGCAGTTTGCAGAACCACCGACAAAAAGTCATGGATGATCTTCGGGCACAGTGGCGGACGCCGTACAGTGAGCTAGTCAGACAGTACCGCCCTGACCTTATTAGTTGCCGTCGATCTCCGACAAGTCCTACCGGGATACGCTGCAGTTGCAAGCCTTGCGAGCAGGCACACGACAGTGCACACACACACCACTGGTAGCGGATGCAGTGTTGCAAATGCGGTTGGTGGCCAGCACGCAAACGTGAAAAGATGTTTCATCAATGGGCAAGTTTTCTGCATCTGTTTATTTATAGAGCAGTGTTCATGGAGGGCGGACAGCAATGCCTGCTATCCAGGCTACTGCACAGACGGACAGTGCAGATGCAGCAGAGGATTCTCTGGACGAGACTGCAGAACATGTAAGTTAACTATGTGTAAATCAGAGCATGTCAGAGGACAAGTGGTGTACCTATCCTTTGTACTCTTGATTTGTTTGCATCTATGTTTCAGTGTGTACAACAAAATTAAGGATTGCTCAATAAGCCTTAAGATATCCTCGAAACCTATAAATGACATAGGCCTATTCGTGTTCCAAATTCCTCCATTGATATAGACTTCGACAGAATTGCAGAAAACTCAGCCAGCTGGCTACGGAGCCGAGTCACGCGCGGAAAATTTCGACGAGGATTGTTTGCCGACCGAACCACATGCATGGTTTTTTTTTTTAACAAAGATTCTATAGCGCCCGTAGGCGCTGTGGTTGACCGATTTTCGGCACGGCAACACAATGGAAGATCGCATAATTGCATATTCATTAGCATCGCTCGACGTTACTTGGCGTGGGTCTCGGTATCGACCAATTGAAACCGGAAAAAGGGCGATATTTTTAAATTAATACCTCGTGAAGTAGGCTTTTCTGCAAATTTTTACTGCACACCATAATGGATTGGAACCTTGTTAATATTGGCGAGGCTTGAAAAGATTGACCGATACTGCAAACACCAGTGTTACAACTTTAAAAAAAAAATGCACGTAGCCAGGCCTATTTTTCCACTTTCAACGGAAAGTAATGAACGTATCGCAACAAGTTTTAGCACATACTTGGATCATTATAAGGAAAATAAACCCTGAAAGTTGCATGAAGATACAGTCTTCCAAACGGGAGAAATTAATTTTCAAACATTTCGGCTGCCTGCGTGATGTCTGTGAGCATGTAGTTTCATTCAAAGTCCGACGCCTCATAATGTCAGACGCCTCATAAGTCGACGCCTCATGAATCCGACGCCTGGTTTATCTGACGTCGGGCTTAAGAGGCGTCGGAGCTATGAGGCCGAACACTAAAATTGTCGATAAGTCCCATGCCTCATAAATCTGACGCCTCATTTAAATACATAGTCCCGAAATTTATGAGGCGTCGGACTTATGAGGCGTCGGACTTACGATACGGCCCCTTTTCGATTTGCGGGATATTTTGCAATCGGAGTCCCTGACTTCAGAAGAGAACTAGGAATCAATCAGATCATAATTACTTTCATTATAATTGTCGGTTCATTTTACTTAAGGTAATTTTACTTAAGTGATTTTAGGGCTAAGACTTTAAATACTTTTGTTCACGACTTGATCAGTGGGCAGCAGTCAGGTACCAGTCCTATCAGAGCACCGTGCCACCCTGATCAAGGGAACGACAACTCTGGAATCCCCCACGGTCATGGGCAGTACAGCTACCGTCTTCACCAATGTACGAGATTTTGCAAGCATCATGATCTATTGGAAGAGCTCCTACCAACCTACTGGACTTCCAGACTTTTCTGCTTTTGGACATCCATACATCCACAACGTTAGCCTGGGCGTGGTTGGGGCAAGAGTTGACGTTGTTTTGAATCGTGAGTTCATCCTTAACAAAATGTACAGTATAATTTTACGCAGATGGTTCGTTTATTATATTTTACAAGCTTTGCAACTTGACTTAATTTCACTTGGACGTTAGATTGGGGATATGTCTACTCGAACCTGGGGATCGTCGAGATCAGTGAGGCTACTGATTTTCAAGCGTTTGTTGAAAGGCAACAATTGAAATTATTTGATCATGCATGTCGAATGCCGAACTCTGCGACGCAAAAAAACTATTAACAATGCAAAGAGAAACGAGGCGGAGACATTGAAACACTGCGCACAGTTGTGACAAAAGCGCATTGCAAACACAAATCCGAGCATTGTTTCCTTCGCGAATGTTTCAACCGTTGTTACTAATAATTTCCAAACAATTTATGGACTTCCGACTTGAGTCTATGTGGCCGAATTAGGAATGACGTTTCCTGGTGGAATTCTCTATGTATGTATATGTATGTGCATGTTGGCCGTATTTGGTTTTATTTTTATTTCATGCGCATAGGCCTACGTGACTTTTAGTCACTATTGGGGGAAAACAACTTAATATCAAAACAGCATGCTAATATTCTGAAACTGTTTTAAAGTCAACTTCAATATAGAGCTATTTGCGTGCTTTTTACCTGTTTTTACAGTCTCTCTTATCAGACTTGTCCCGGTCTCCTGGATCAATGTTCCTCTTTATCCTGTAATCATAACAAGATTGTAATAATGTACTTTTCCCCTATTCATTAAGGAGGGAGATCAATGATATATTCGATAGCCTCTGCACAAGCCTGCTCAACAACAACAAATGGAGTGAATTTTAGTCAAGACAGCCCGGCTGCAGTAGTTGTCTGTGAACGCACCTTCAACTTGGACTACAGTAGGTGGACCCCAGCAACGGGAGATGTGTAAGTCTTTACCCACCAACATATCTGCCTCAAACTTTTGTAGTTTGCCATTCAAATGCCATTCAAATGATTACAAACTAATTACTAACTGTTGGGTAGGTCATCTTTTTCACATAATCACTTTTAGAGGACGAATATACATTAAGGAGTGTAGCCAGAATTACAGAATCACAAATGTCAGATGTAGGCCTAACAGGGACAGGGAAAAAGCGGATCCAAACTTTATGGTACATAGACTTATACTGCGTCATAGGTTCAGACATGTTTTTGTCACTTTCTGAAAAGCTCATTTATTGTTTTGTGAAGATTTTAAAGGTACACGAATTTAGATTCGTCTACTCGGGTTGATGATGATTCAGTGTAAACGTAAGCCATGAGTCGTAGAGATAAAGCTTGACTCAAACTGCACTTTTTTGTTTAGCAAATTCCTATTGCTGATGTACGATATTAGGCGCTGCTCGGCTGCTGCCGACATTCAATTTTATTAGAGGCGCGCGCTCGACCTGGTTCTATTGTTTGGCTAATATGGGAGCTCCGGAAATAGGCTCTATAAATAGACGGCTTAAGTGTTTCTTTCGTTCAGTTCAGTGGGAAGGTTTGGCAAGACGCCAGGGCGGGTGGAATGTAATACATTGTATAAACTGTTGTAAGTTGTCTAGCTAGCTAAAGAGGGCAGATGAAAGACTGAGTTCAGCTGGGGCCAATTTCATAGAGCTGCTTAAGCACAAAATTTGCTTAAGCACAAAAACGTCGTGCTTAATAAAATCATGTTACCGGCCAAAACTCCATGCGATTGTTATGCTAAGTAAACAACAGCTAAATACCAGTCGCATGCAATGTACATCACATGGAGTTTTGGCCGGTAACCTAATTTTACTAAGCAATGTTTTTTCGTGCTTAAGCAAATTTGTGCTTAAGCAGCTCTATGAAATTGGGCCCAGCGAGTGAGCATCGAGAAGTTGCTGATGATGTTAATGGGTTTCATATCGCAAGGACCCTGCAAAGGCGTGCATTACAATAACTCCAAACTTCTTTGTCTGTTACAGACTGAGATATAATGTATCTTCAACAAATGGTGGGTATCTGAAACTCTACGACAGAGACTTCTCCGATACCATCATCACACGCTACTATGATGGACAGACAGTGTCTAGCTATGCAACTTTCACCTTTGACTTTGTTGACCCCTACCACTGTGTGGATGTCGGCAGTGGATGTCGAACCACCATGCTGAATGTAGGGAGTGATGTTACCACACAGGTAGGTTGACTTTTGGGTCTATAAAATGTTGATCTGATCATTGTTTGCATGTTGGTATAAGACCAGGCTACCAGCACAGTAAACAATATTTTTTTTAAAGCGTCACTCTTTTCTGTGCAATATAAACAACACACTGATATATATGTGTGTTTATTTAAGATTTTTTTTAGAAAATAGTGTTGTTATGTTAACCTTTAGTGTCAAAATAAAATATCATTTGTAGGACTGTATGACATATGTCAAGCATTTAAAAAAAAAAAAGACGTTACATTTTTCCGATTTTTACAAAAAGTAAAAAAAAAAAGAATTTTTGAAAAGTATTTGTTGTTCTCTAGATATCTTATTTTAAAAAAAATAACGATCCAAGTTGGGATACAAAAGTTATAAGATGATTAACAATGAACATATTTTGTAATTAATGTTGATATTTTGATGATTTAAATGTAATGAAACAACATAAATGATGAAGAAAAATGTGCACAAAAATATATATTATTTATGAAAATGAAATTGCTCATTGTCAGATACTGCTGACCACAGTTGTTGCTGCACATTCAATTACTTGGAGAAAATGGAAACGATTGTAAAAATCATTTTAAATTTTGGATATCTTTGAAGGCATCAATAACAATCGCTTGGCAAGGTTGGGTTGACGATCTAGCTGGTATCAAAGAGTTCGACCTTCAAGTCAGACAACTATCTGGAAACCACGGCAAGGAGATGACAGAGCTCCTGGACAGTCCCGTCATTTATGAAGGAGTAGCGAGCTCTGGTCAAAATGTCACTTTACCTCAAGTCGGTAGGTTTTGTTAGTCGAGTAGCTGTTCTGTGATAGGATTGATGAGGTAGTTTGATGAAACGGTTGGCCTATAGTTGATATTTGCTGGAGATGAGTTGCATAAGCCCATCTGCCATTCTGTTGGATCATTCCATCCACTTTTGATATCATTATGTTGAATGTTTAATTCTTTCCGAACGTGATTGTGGATGTACCTTTAAATCGATATGTAACGGTGCAGAGGTTACCGCTCGATAGTCCGAAGATTCGTAGTCCGAAGGTTGGCTAGTCCGAATGTTCGAATCTCTGCAGGTTCGTTAGTCCAAAGGTTCGTTAGTCCGAAGGTTCAATAGTCCAAAGATTCAATAGTCTGAAGGTTGGTAACGTCCGAAGTTTCAATAGTCCGAAGATTCGATAGTCTGAAGGTTGGTAAACGTGCGAAGTTTCAATAGTCCGAAGATTCGATAGTCCGAAGATTCGATAGTCCGAAGGGTTCATTAATTTTTGTCAAAAAACAGAATAAGGTTAAATAATCCGAACGTTTGTATGATGGTCCGAATAGACGATAAGATTCGTAGTCCAAGTTGAAAAAAAATGTTCAATAGTCCCAACGACAAAATGTTCAATAGCTAGTCCGAACCGACTATTGAACATTTTTGTCAATCCGGAACCTTTTTTTGACTCGGACTATCGATCCTCGGGCTATTTAACCTCACTCTATTTTTGGACTAATGAACTCTCCGGACTATCGAAACTCTTCGGACTATCGAACCTTCGGACTTTCGAACCTTCGGACTTTGTTTGTACCCTTTATTACCCACATTTCCAACCAAAATTGCTCTCATTTCATATCCACACTCCTCAACAGGTGTTTACTCCATCGTCCTCGCTGCTGTCGACAATGCTGGAAACTTCAGACTCAGCAGACGCTTTGTGTTCTTCGATGACGATCCAAATGATGTGACTATGCAGAACAACGCAACTGTGCGATTACTTTCAGCGACTGAAGAAACTCACTACGAGTGGTTGATTGACCTAGACTCCAACGGAGGGATGACATCAGTAGTTCTTGATTGGACAAACAGATTCATCAATATTCATCACCTGAATCAAGGATTGTTGAAGCCCATTGGATCTTACGCCAGCGCAACTATTGACGATGGTAATTAATTAGGCTCGATGGGATATAAAAACAGAGTTTTTCAGCAGTATAGTAGATTTTCTAGATTATGTAAAGACGCAAAAATAAAATTCTTGTTATTTCAATCATTGCACTGTGCTTTGTTGAAAATATCAAATGAATCTTGTGCTGAAAATTACGTTTTGCAACTTGCGACGTTGCGTCCGAAACCATCCTACTTCGTCAGGCAACTGATGACCCGGTGGGCTTGTGACGTGACAGATGGCTAGGAATGCTTTAAGATGTTCTAAGATTATAAGGTTAAAACGTAGCCCGCCCTTTTTGTTGAGGAATGGTTGTTTTATTCTTTCTCAGTTGGCTACCCTGATACCTCATTTGTGCCAGTGCTCCTATTTGTCTAGGATCACCAACGTTCGCACCACCGAAATTATGGATTTAACCTTGCGATAATCTTCCTCCCATTCCACTTTCAGCCACTCAATATTTGTATACTATTTATATACTATGTTAATCGTCCGGAGAACATGTCACTGTTTGAAATTCCAACAATGTACGCCGATGTGTGAGTTATATACTTCTCTAAAAAAAAGCCTCTTTCCAAACAGATATGTAGTTCAGAAAAACCACTTTTAAATAAAAACTTTTCAGTAGGTAACCTTACTGAAATGAGTAGAGTGTAAGAAGAAGTGGAATGTAAGAAGGCCAAAAGCATTGTGAAGAATCTTATTGATGCCTTTTCCGCTCCTAGATTATGACCAGTACTTTGGCCAACGTGGTCGTGCCGCGGTTCCCAATGCGCTCGGAGTGGCAGAGTTCCGTGTCTTTTATGACATCGACCAGAGCGGTGGAAGGACCACCGTCAACGTGAGTGACGACAACTCGGACAACTGGAGTAATGAAGCCACAAACACACAGGCGACCTACAACTTGACCTTAGTGGACGGTGATTCCATTCGGTTCTGGGTGGAGGCTAGAGACCTAGCCGGTCACTTTGTGAGGGACAGTGCGTTAGTTCACGCCGATTCATCCCCTCCAACTATTCAAGATTTCAAGCTCATACCCGGTTTGTCCGGCATAAGGTAAGATTTTCAACTTCCTCAGCTAAAAATCAATCTAAAGTTGTGTGTTATTATTACTCTTTTCTGAACTTCTGCTATATCTAGTTTCTTGCTAAACAATGGGCCCTCTCTTTTTTGTTGCAGTGTGGAGTGTGCGACTTTTGATGAACACAGTGGTATAAGGAGTGTCGAATGGCGACTCTTTCATATCGAAAACGGCACTGACATCCAACGTGCCATGCAAAGAGTTCCAGCTGAACATATTGTAAGAACAAGATATATGAGTGGCTTTGTCTTTAAAAGCATCGTGACTTGTAAATTGAATGGCAAATTACATTAACCCTGCGCCAGCGGTAGTGATTGCGGCCTCGGGTATCTGCGACCTTTTGACTCATACTCTGTTCTGTCATGTTGTCTATTAAACTTGTGTTTTGCCCTTTGTTCATTACTTTCAGTTTTTGTTCATTAAAAGTCTGTCCTTTACTATAACAAGTCGGTTGATAGTTGCGGTTATATAGACCATTATCATGTTGCGGCCATCTTGATTTTTCCCCTTTCAAATCAACGTAACTAAAGCGAGGCTGGAAGGAAAAATAGTCTGGTTCCTTTTTGCACAAAAACATTATCATTCAGTACTGTTATTGGATACAGGGAACATGACTGAAATGGTGGCAGCAGGATATATTGTGTCCGAGAATACCCGAGTCTATTCCTACTGTCGCTGCTATTCGATTTTCCAAGTTTTCATCCATACAGACATATGAATTTTAGACATTGATCCATGTGTAGCACACCTTGACATATTTCTATTATTTTTTTCAGGATCCTGAGGATTGTTATCCTGCAAGCTGTATTTGTGTCCCGACGGGTGACTGCTATGCCAAACATCACAAACCTTTTTTCGTCGTTGGTGCTGGCGACTTTGAGTACTTCATCACACTGACGGTCACTAACCACGCAGGACTTGCAACTTCCCAGACGATCAAAGTTGGTGCTTAGAAATATTCGATCAATATTTTAATCAACCATTCTCACAAATATTTTATGGATGTGATCGGACACACGGTTTTACTGACAGAAAATGGGGTGTGAGACGTCTCTAAATGCCCGTGAGACGAGCCCTTGTTCTGTATTTTGATTCGATGATTCATTTGCCAACTGATGTTCTATTCGAGAGGTGTGTCATGCCCAGCTCTCCCTCCCCGTTCAGTTCGCCCTTCCTTTGTTCTTGATGCTATAAAAAGGGAATGGTTCTGAAAAGATTATGAAGTATTACCTCTTTCATACATGTCTGGTTCTTCTCTGAAAAAAAATTCTCTGGCGTGATCACTCCCATATAGTTTCCACTACTTTTTGTCATATATGTACACATTTGCTGTTCAAGGACGAATCCAATGGGGGGGGGGAGGGGTTGCTGGGGTGATCCCTTTTCTGAATGACCAATGTTAATTCTTTACATAATGGGACAAATCTCAAAATTCCCGACAAAATGTCATAAAACAGTATTTGAAATCTTGATATACATGCTTTGGGCCTTTAGTCTTTCTTCCGTCGACTGCAACACTTCATTTTCCCATACCCCCCTTCAAAAAATGGATGTTTGTTTTTCATTTCAACACCCCAGCCACCCCCTTTACGAAGCCAAGATTTGCCACTGGACTGTTAGATTGATAAACATCGCTATTACTTCTACACACAGCTTATTAACGATAACAATTCCCAATAAATAAGTACTTAAAACTGAAATTCCATTCTTTAATTTTAGACTGAACGGATAGTGACTCCAGACAATGTGGACCAAACTGCCGATTCTCTGGCCAAACAAACCAACAACACTTCCTCCATCAGTGCTGATGATGTAGCTACCGCAGCCGACCTGTTGGATAGCATTGCCGACGCCCAAGACACATCCCCAGATGTTAGTAAACTCTGCATCAATTTCGAACATCGTGGAGACGTGTATCAAAATTTTAACCAAATTAACAATTCCGCTTTTGCATATTTGAAAGAAAAAGGGCGTGCAATTGTTTTTTTATTGTAATTTAATACACATTTAACGATACAGGTGTCTGCAGGGGTGTCAGTGGGGGTGGGATGTTTAAATGTCACCCGCCCACCTTCGAAAACATGATAAATTGAGAATTATGCTAGAGAAAGTCAAAGGATTTTTTGGGGGAAATGTGCTTCCCCCTCCCGAAAAATCCTGGCGACGCCCATGGTTATCACGATTGAATGCATCGCTTTGTTAGAACCTGGAGCTGATTTAACAAAACTTGTGTTATCTTACGAGGCATGTCTTTTGGACTTAAGATGAGTCTTAGATAGCTAAAATACAATTTCGCTCAATGCGTGTTAAGCTCTTCAGCAAAATGCATCACGAATACAGTTAAGGGAATTGCTATGTATTGGACAAGGACAACACTGCCAACTTGACAGCATCATGTTTGTTTTTTTACCACTTGAAGAAACCGCCTTTGAAAAGAAATGCACAAAACAACAATTTCCCCGTGCGAAGTGCGAACTTTCTCCCATAATATTTCAAGCTCAAAATACATGGAGTATGGAGCATTTTTGTGTGTCAACTTGATATATTCAAATGCTTTACATCAAATTTCTAAAAAATAAACCCAAATGTTTTAAGGGGGTGTTGCCCTCTACCCCTTGAAGCAAAGTTTTTCCTAATAATAATTGGTCTCCTATAAAACTTTAGCCAAAACTGCTTTTAGCCATTTCTTTTTCGCTCGAACATAACCTGTGCAGGTAACAGCGAATGTCGTCAAGATTGTGGAACACCTTCAACAAGTGGACACTCGGGAACTAAACGGCACGGGGGGTGCGGCCAATTCTTCCTCACGCATCATCCGGGCTCTGGAGAAGCAGATCGCAAACGTTCTCGCCGCGGGCGAGAACGTCAGTGAGGTGACGAGCAGCGTCGCGGTCATTGCGATGAACCTGGATCCCAACTTGGTTGTGGAAGGGCTGCAGTTTGTAGCTCTGTCTGACAGAGGAGAGACCAACTCTCTTTTGGATGATAACCTCGAGGTTTATTACGGCACCAATAACACAGACGTCGCTTTAGAGAAAGTTGAAGTATTGGTCCAACTACCAGACGTGATACTGAAACAGTTTCCACCAGGTGAAATAATCATTAGAGTTATTTAGTATGGCATTTGCATTTTTGAAAGTTGCGACATTTAGGACGTTTGTTAAGTTACTCTTTTGGAAGGCTTGATTTAAACTCTGGATGGCTTGGGGTGTAATTCAGACAGGTTAAGTACCTCTTGAAGGACGGATTTCTGTCGTGTTTCTGTTTTCAATCAGTCTAAAAAGTGATTCACAATGCTTGAAAAGAAGCATCTGTCGCATTTGAAAAAATGAACCACCACAGACCAAATAGTAGGTTAATTGCAACGGACAAAAATGAATGGCAACAGACAAAAGATGAATAACAATATTTGAAAACAGAACCGAGATGGAAACATGTCATTTTGACAGGACACTTTAGGCCTGTCAATATGGTCAAATTACTTCGGCCTGTTTTCTCTATGCACTACCCAGCCAATGAGAGCTTTACATAACAAAATAGGTTTGTACAAACCTTTTCGTCACTTTTCTGTTACAAATCAGTCCGGAATACTATTGTGATTAACAGACAGCCCGGTTCCGGTCAGTTTTGTCCTGTATGACAGCACCAATCTCTTCCGATCCCAACTCATTGAGGACAGTCGGTCTACCGACAATCCCCAGACTATCGGCAGTCTTATCATCTCTGCCAGTCTACTGAATGTCAGCATTACCGATCTCCCTCCTGATAGTCCTGTTGTAATCACCTTTAATCTCCACCAGGTAAGACATTATTGCCGGTCCCAGAGAGCCAGCCTGTTCTCTTTTTACCTTTCTGACTAACTGACCGACTGACTGACTCCCCGTCTCCCCGACTGACTGATTGACTGACTGTCGTTTGTGATTTCCAAAGCTACATAGACTAGTGAAGAGAACCGGGCAGTGCCGTCATATAGGATTACCCCAGGTACCCCGTTACGCCAACGAATGGTATAAATCTGGCCCTTCATGTGGACCATTTGAATTAATTCAGTTTAATTTCTTTTTGCACTTTGGGCCCAGCTTTGTTAACCTTGCCTAGTCTTGTAAGTGGACGTTTTAAAACAGTTTTGTTTTCAATTTGCCTTTACTTTCAGTCAGTGTAATGCCATTTGACAAGTGTTAGCATTTTTAACAAAAGTACTGTTATTAAGCTTGCCTAGTCTTGTAAGTGGAAGATTTGAACCATTTTTTTCCCATTTGCCTTCACTTTCAGTCAATGTATTACCATTGCACAAAGTGTTAGCATTCTATGCTGTTAAGAAAACACACTATCTTCGTGAGGGAAATAAAGTCTATATACTCGGACTGGTCTATTGAGAACGTCAATTCCATATCAGGAGCCCTGGATGCCAAGTACAGAGCCCAGGCAGAACGACAGAGTATCTGTCTCCAAGCGAGACAAGTTCAAACTCCTGCAAAGCAAAGTACAATCAGAACTGCGTAAGATGCTAGACAAGTGGTGGCAGAAGTGCAATGTAATTCAACGCTAAGCTGGCACCCGTAACACCAACAGTTCTTCGACTCCATGAAAACAGAATATGGCCCCTCAAGATTAGGGTGCTCTCCACTGAGCATCAAGCCTGATAAAACACCAAGCAGGCCTGCGAGATCGCTGGGTTGACACTTCACCAACTTTTTTTTTTTTTAATCGGTCTTCTACAGGGTGAGTAAAAAAAAACGAAAGGGGAAGTTCTGCATGTAGTTCTTTCAAAATCTAGGATATGAAAGCCTAATTCATAAGCTTTCTTTTAGTACAAGAATCATTCAAATCACTGATGTACTTTTCAAGTTACGGAGTTTTAAACACAGCCACCGTTTCAAAGTTCTGTCCACGGATCACAAAAAGGTGTGCGTTTTTTCAGCAAAACGAAAACACTCACACAAATCCTTACGTGATTTGTTTTCGTTTTGCTGAAAGAACACTGAACTTATTTTGTGATCCGTAGACAGAACCTTAAAACGGCGGTTGTGTTTAAAATCCCGCAACTTGAAAAGTACATGAGTGATGTGAAAGATTGTTGTACTGAAAGAAAGCTTATGAATTGGGCTTTCATATCCTAGATTTGAAAGTGTTACATGTAGTATTTCAATAAAACAATGGTTCCGATATCGGGGTTCGGTTTTTTTACTCACCCTGTACAATGGATCCTTTTGCTCTGAACCAAATTTCTCAAAGTTGTTACGACAAATTACTACCGCGTAGGTATGCCTTTAGCCATTGTGGTATGATTTGCGAGTCTTATAGTTGTGGTTTTTGTTTTTAGGAATACCGTCGAAATGACAACTCATATCAAACGGAGACCTGCGTCTTCTGGGATTTCAGTCTTCGCGACGGCATCGGTGATTGGTCAACAGAAGGCTGCAGGAAAGGTCAACCGACCAAGGGGAGAATAGTTTGCTTGTGCGACCATGCCACTAATTTTGCCGTGCTTGTGGTGAGACGATATTATTATTGTTACTTTTTTGGTGGGGGTGGGGGCTATGTTTCTCTTGTTGCAGTCGAGTACTTTTTCCGAGTACCGAGTACTGCCGCGTACTTAGGTTACCGAGTACGAGTACAGGTCTCCGAGTACGAGTACTTGTACTTCCGAGCATAAGTACAGGTCTCTGCGAGTACGAGTCCTTGTACCTCTGAGTACGAGTACGAGATACTTGTATTCCGTATACGAGTACGAGTACTTCCATTTCCGAATACGGCCATACGGCAAATGGTTCATTGTGTGTATTTGGCCCAGGCCCAGTCCGACTGATATATACAGACCCACTCACGGCTAGCTGTTAAAATGTGTTTGTCCATCCGGACATGCACAGAGGAAAATCAGGAAACTTCGATTTCTCCGCAAGCCAATCAACCATTTCAAATTGAATGAATCGATAACATAAAACCGTCTTGACACTCGCATCTTTCGGATCGTATAATCATCAAGTTCAGGATAACTCCATAAAGAGTTCAAAACACTCTAGGTCTACACTTCATTGGCCAGGCCACCAAAGGTCCTACAGGGGGAAAAAAGTCTGAAAACCATGTACACCGGGCACCGAGTTTCAGTATAGTCTCACTAGTATACGTACTCGAACATGCCTAACCCTCAAAGGTCTTAAAACTCCATAAAGGTCTCAGAAACTATGACCGAATAATCTTCAAAGGTCTTACAACTCCCAAAATAGGTCTCTGCTCGAATAACCCCCAACGGTCTTACAACTCCATAAAAGTTATTCGGAAAGGTCTTTCCACTCAAGAAGTCTCCAAAAAGCAGACGTGAATAACGTCAAAAAGGTCTCTCAACTCAAAAAAGGTCTCATAACCCCAGATGACTGTGCAACTTTGCTGCATAATATCTGGTACATGGTTCCAAGGTCCTATTTACAAGACTAAATCAATAATCGTTCAGAAAGGCCTTTTGTCTGCATGGTTTTCCAAAGGTATATCGCCGTTTGATTAATGGATGGCTGTACAGCGTGTCGTAATAGACATTGTGCATTGAGAAATCGCTGATTTTCTCAAAAGTTGGTCAGACTAGCCAATCAAATTTTGATAACAATTCAAGCCTATGCTTTGTTTGTAATTGGTGGAAGAAAATCAAGATATTCCAACGATGCAAACCAGAGAAATCTTTGATTTGGTAAGGCTATGTAATTTTCGACCTGCACAACGTAACAACACGTAACATAACTTTTTTTATGCGGTACCCGCTGCTATGTACATCAGATTCGAACCAGCCCGTTAGCTCGGTGGTCGAATGAAAAGACATCTGCACTAGAAAGCAGGATCGTGGGTTCGAGTCCCACCCGAGTGATTTTTTCCAACTTTCACTCGGGAGGTAACACACTGAGTACACAGTGTTAATTGAACGTCGGTGAAGGGCAAAACCCACTTTGAGTTGTATAACCAGTTATTTGGTTATTGGTATGTGTTACGCAGTGCTTTAAATATTGCATGCTCTTTATGTTGCGTTTGGATAAGTGTGTTCACAGATAATATTTTGGGTACATAACAATATCAAATCTAAAAGCTCAAGGTAATTGCTTTAATTGCAAATTACTCAGCGTCAACGTTGTATGGACACTTCTGACGTTGTTTGTTAACATGATTAAGTACAGGATTCTAATTGTGCAGGAGGAAAATAATGTAGCCTTACAAACTCAACGATATCTCTGGTTGGCATTGATGGATTTTTTTTGGATATTTTCATCAATTGTAAACAAGACCATAGGCTTTATAAAATACAAAATTTGATTAGCTAGTATGGCCACCTTTGGAGCAAATCTGCGACCTTTTCATGCGCAATGTTTATTTGGACACGCTGTATATCAGTTATTGAGCTCTTTTTGGATTTTTTTAACTAATCGAATACCCATGCCAAAAATAATCATGCTCAACGTGGGGTGCTGTGATCCAATGGTTACGGTGTTCGACTCGTGTGCTTTGGTACACGGGTTCGAATCCTGGCCGTGGGAACATAGTGCTTGTGCTCTTGAGCAAGGTACTTTACCACTATTGCTTCGCCCTTCGGATGGGACGTATAAAGCCGTAGGTCCCGTGAGTGTTGTGTAATGCACGCTAAAGAACCCAGTAACACTTGTCGCTATGAGAAGGGGTTCGCCTCGGTGTTTCTGGCAGTGGCCGCAGCACCTTGGTACCACACCTCCAGTTTAAATTCCCTAGATGGAATATTTCGGAGGACCACCAACCAATACCAAGTACAAAGTAACCGCGTTCCACGGCAATACTTCAAACTTGGTGATATAGGCCTATGGATGGAGTTAAAATGGTATTTTATTTTGAAAACAGAATCTAACATGTGATAAAATGTACTAAAGACATTTTAAAGCCCCATAAACTGACAAGTATACAGACAGAAATTGTCACAAGGGAAATTAAATTCTTTTCTTTGTTACTTTGATTTCAAAAGATTACACCGTATAAAAAATGTTTTACACTTGAATAATTTCATTTCAAACTTCATTGCACTTCATACGTTCGTTTATTTCTAATAACCAACACATTTTTGTTTATGGCGCTCGATACTCTCATATGTGAGCCTAATTTGCAATTGTTTATGTATTTACTCATTTTAAGGCATACATGTAAATGCAGCCGCAGCACGAAGTGTTACACCAAACAGAACAATCAGAAATACCTAAAGTCAAGCCCGAGTATTTTCAATGGCAAAATTACAGTATAAAAGGCCTTAATGCAACCTAAATAATTCAGTCTATAGCGAGACACACCCACAAGTTAGTGTTAAACTATCCGACTAAATAAAACTATAAACCTCTACTGTATTTACCTGCTCAGCACACGACAAATCCCATGATTTCATTTAAAAATGTTTGCAAAGGTGATAAAAAACACAATCCCAAATATCAAACACCTAAAAAACTTACATTGCTTAAAAGCCATCACTCATCAAAAGTGCAAAAACATGTGTTACCACTGTTTTTTGTTTACTGGAAGTACTTACATATTTTTCAGATTGTTTGATAATTATTTTGCTTGTCGGACTACCATAAGCCATCTCTTTGATTATAATTTATCATTAATTGCACTGCAGCAAAATTCCAAAAGTTACAGATTATCTAGCAAATGCAACGTCAATACAGACAGGGTGGCTAAGGAAAACTGCCAATGATACCAACTATTGGACATAGGAGAACACTTATTAGCTATAATATTTAGAAAGCAGTTAATCTTTCAATGATAAGTACAAGCCTCGAAGTTCAGTGTTCATGAGAAAAAAAACCAGTGATGCTATCTCAAGCACTACTTCAGTTTGACAGCTGACTGAGCAGAACGTTTCCCACAATTAATGCACCAGATTTGGTGTAATGGTGCTTTGAATTTAAGATTTCATATGGACTGATTCTATCTTGAGAAACAACGGTTTCTTGGGTTTGGACACCAAGGTCATCGTCGGAATTGGGTCTGGTTCCCCTGCCACCAAACTCAGGCGGAAGCGCCTCAGGATCCTAGCCACGAACACCTTCATCTCGTTCAAGGCAAACTGCTGCCCGATGCAGTTCCTCGCCCCGGCAGAGAAAGGCGCGAAGCAGAACGGGTCCATCTTGGAGAGGTCCTCCGGCAGGAACCGAGAGGGTTTGAACTCCATGTGATCGTCTCCCCAGACGGTTGGGTTGTGGTGGAGCTGATGGAAGCTGAGCCCCACCATGGTCCCTTCGGGAAGAGTGACGCCATCCACGGTGTATGGTTCAAGCAGAGTGCGACTGAACAGTGCGCCAGCCGTGATCATTCGCATGGACTCCTTGATAGCGAGGGTCATGTACTCTAAACGACCAAAGTCCTTACTGTAAAACAAATAGTCGAGACCAGCAGAGAAACAAAATCAAAATTTTGAAACCACTAAAACACATGCGGATTGCTGTATCGGTGTAAAAAGAGGCACCACTATAGGACAATATTTGTATCAAAGCAAATACTTGTGTTTGTAGTATTAATTTGAAACTGCTACCAATATGGTAAATTTTCGCTCGGCCCCATGACATCATATCGTCCTATGCACGTACGCTCTCAACATTATTACCACAATTACTTTGTTGCTAAACTTCCCCACCTCCTGAATGTGTTGGTACCTACTCAGACACGTTTGTTTATGGTGTAAATCGAGGATTTTTCTATTGTTCCTCTTCCCTTTTCCTTTGTTCATACTCTTTGCAACAGCTTTTTTTGGTTTTGTACACGTTTTCTAACTGAGGAGTCCTCGATTTGGTTCCCGGCCGCAATTCATTGATGATGTTGTACTTGTGTGTCCTCGATTTACACCAGAAACAAACGCAGCCAGCATCCCAACCCTCTTAAAAATCCAAACCTTGAAAAACTCAACGATTCTTCTAGACCCGTCAGTGCCTATACTTACAAGGTGATTGTATCCGAGTCTCTGTCTGCCAATAGCTCATCCACCTCCTGCCTGATCTTGTTCTGATGTTGAGGATGCTTGGCCAGGAAGAACAGCAACCAGATCGAGGAAGTGGCCGTAGTCTCGTGTCCAGCAAACAGGAAAGTATTGACTTCGTCCACCATCTCTTTGATTGTCAGTCCGCTCCCATCCTCATCTCTGGCCATCACGAGCGTGTCCAGGAAATCACGGGGTTTGGTGATCGGGTTGCCTGCCTCCTTCTATAATTGATGAGAAATAATAATGAGATACAACATGATCTTGTCAGCACTGGCATATCATTGTGAGCATTATATGCACAACGATAACATCCAGGACGGGGCCAGGGTTTTGCTGAAGGCCCCCCCCCCCACCACCACCAAAAAGCCCATTCCCCGAACGTGCAATCTGATTTCAGTTTACTTTTTACATAGCATTTACTTTTCCCCCGAATTCAAACTGAGGAGTTTCGCAATTGCAAGTACCTTTTTAGACACTTCTTCCATTCGCTCTTTGACCATTTTCGTGGCAAAGTCGTGGACGTACTGGAGGGCCTTCTCGTACTTGCCGTAGTTGGAACTCAGCCGAAAGATCAATGGGTTGAGGAGAAGGCGGTTGTTGAATTGGCGTTCATGAATAAACCATAGCAAGGTTTCACAGGCTGAGACGAGGCCCATGGATTCCGACTGCTTAGGCTTCTCCACCTGAAAGTACAGCAAAGAATGAAATGTAAGGGGCCATTCAGAATTTTTAGTGTTTTAACATTTCGATCTTCTTTCCAAATTGTGAGTGGGTGGGTCAAGCTAAATAATTGAAAATCGAAATTCACTTTCCATGGAAAAAAAGATACAAAAACAAAGAAAGATAGATCTTTTGACTTGCCTGAACTACGCGCAAACGTTCCGATATCGCGATGCGTGTTTCTTTTCCAACTTCGTCCCCTGTATGTACTGTCAGTGGCATAGCCAGGAATTTTTTAGTGTGTGTGTGTGGGGGGGGGGGGGGGGGGGCTTGAACATTTAATGGGGGGGGGGGCGTCATGTAGATCAATGATAATTTTTTCGAAACTCAAAATCTCAGTGGGGGAGGCGACTGGGGGGTGGGCGACAAGGTTTCATGGGGGGGGGGATGGCGCCTCCCACGCCCCCCCCCCCCCCTGGCTACGCCACTGCAGGTCATACAGTTAAAGTTTATGTAAACTTGTATGAAAAGTCAAAGAAAAGTAACTCTCATGATCTATTTGACACCAAGTTTGTGTTAACTTGCCGGTAACGCCCTAAAAAAATTATCAAGACAAATATGTTTATTTTGTAACATTTTATGTTCGTCTGTCGGTCTTCTATGCTGTTATGTTTACTTTTAGGTACCTTCAATGGTACTATGTTTAATTAACCTGTTCATTTGTTTAATTAAACTAATAACGCACATATAGTTGCCAAATATGGCACTAACAAGTTTGAGGTCGGCAATTTCGTCTTTACAAATCTTGGTACGTCGGGCTACCGTACACACCATTGTCCTGGAAACAACAGTACCAAAGTACAGAAAGTCGTACGCAAGAGCTCCCCAGCAAGTATCGCTGACGCCATTAGGCCTATGATTCCAAAATTTTTCACTGTGTCACACAGTGAAATAACTAAAAAGCGTCGTTGTATTGTAGACACGTAAAAGCATTCAAGTCGCGTTCTTGCACACTTTCTGCAGGTCGACTGGATATCCTTGAACCACTGCCCCTGCTTTGCATAACAAGTGCACATGAATGAACGATTCGACTATTATTCAAAGAAATTTCTATGTACAGTCACCAGACTCTATTCAGTAAAGTCCCCGTCAAAACGAAAGTATGCATAACGCACGGCTACACCATCGTACAGTGTGGCAGGGACACCAACAAGTAAAACAACAATTAAACATTTTAAAAAAAAATGGATAAATATTCTGATTGAATTTCGTTAAAAGATACTTGTTGGTGAGGTATCACATATTTTATCACATAAAAGTAGATGACGAACAACTTCACGCCGTCACTGAACTAGACACATGTACATGGTGTTCAAGTACATGTACATGCAAGTGCATGTACATGTACAGTCATGTTCAGTTTTTTATCAAACGAAATTAGGGGTGGGTGGGTGGGTCAAAATAATTTGGAAAAAAAGTCGAAATTTTAAAACATTGAAAATTCTGAATGGCCCCTTAGTTCAAGAATTAATCGGACGGGCGCAAGAGATGCTTAAAAACATAGTTTCGGAAGCCATTGGGTTAAACATGTATAAGGATGGTGTGTTGTTGCGAGTAGGTACAAGGTAAAAACATTTGTATTCGACGTCCTCAATAAAAAAAGAAAAAATCCTCTAAGTGATTCCATGCTCGCGTGCGTGTTGCACACGTTCTTTACCGGAAGCGCGCGTGTGATTTCAACATCCTGTTGGTCAAAGGAGCACTTTTTGCGTGCGCACCACCTGCGCGCGAGCGTAATTAATGTTAGCTCATTAATGGAGAACGAGCATGTTACCTGACAGTCCGACTTGTATGAGCAAGCAGTGCGTTGAATGACATCAAACGTGCACTGGACCAACCCTTGGTACATGTTGAAAGGTTTGTCCTGTGCAGCAGACCTCTCCAGCTTGTCCAGAAGGATCTCCACGCAGTCGTTGGAGACAGGCGTGTAGGCGCGCAAGACGTCCAGGTGAAAGGATCGCGTCAGCAGGCGGCGATTTCTCTTCCACTTGGCTCCTTCGGAGAGGGCCAATCCCTCACCGATCCAGTCCCTCATGGAGTCGTATAAGGGAGACTTTTTGCTCTTTACCGTGCCATTCAGAATCGGTTTGATGGTATCTGGATGAACCAGCATGGGTAATGGAGCAACAGGTCCCAGCCATAAGGTGTAGATACGGGGGAAGGTTTTGACGGTGTCCATCAGCCATTTGAAGCCGGGGTCGAAGGGGCCTTGCTTCGCATGCCCGTGGAACCAGTGACGTCCTGGTGGACAGGGTAGCTTCCCAATCGCACCTCGCTTCCGCAGCGCCTTGAGCAGTGGCCCAAGGCAGAAAGCCAACGCCAGGACAACGCAAAATACCTGAAACAGCATTTTGAGAACACTTTGGGAAAACCCTGGATGATGTACTCGCTCGGGCGCCAGGAAAAGTGCAGAGCCTGAAAACCATCGCCTATTTATATACTCTTTTAATCTGGTGCTGACGTACGTCAAACCATTATCCGAGTGAACAGCAAAGTAGACACAAAATTGGGTCAAGTTTGACCTCGATCATTATCATAATAAAGAACTGTCTGGATAGCGTTCGTGTCAACTTAGGTGACGTGACCTGAGGTTATGTCTATATACTTAACACTCAAAATTAAATGACAATTCATTTTTTCCATTTTTTGGCGCGAACTTTGTACAGGGTGAGTTAATAAAGCACAACCCAAATGTCGGGACCTTTTTAAAATTATTTCTGCATGAAGCCCTTTTAAAGTCTAGGATATGAAAGCCCAAATCATAAGCGTTCTTTTAGTACAAGAATCATTTAAATCACACCTGTACTTTTCAAGTTACGGTATTTTAAACACAAACACCGCTTTAAGCTTCTGTCCACGGATCACAAGAAAAGTGTTCGTTCAGCAATACGAAAACAATTCACAAAGGAATGTAAGTGAATTGTTTTTGATTTTTGAGAAACAATTTGACGTGACGTGACGCAAATAGCGATAGTTATTGTCTAATGTAGCCATGATATATACGTTTTGAACAGCGCCCCCATTGGAAGATGGTGTCCAGCCCTCCAGCAAAAATAGCATCTGTCATGTGACGGTGAATGGACCATCGTGATCGTGAATATGTATGAGGTATAGTCAAATACAATAAATATAGTACATCTTTTAATGGGTTAACAATGTTACATAATCATTGCAGACAAGTCCCGTGAACACCGCAGACAAAGCTGCGGAAGATCTTGCATCGCTAACCAACGATACTTCCTCAATTGACGCCGGCGCCTTCAATAGAATAGCAGACCTGCTTATGGACATCGTCAACTCTCAAGATACATCTCCAGAGGTGAGATACTCATTTACATACTTCTTTACAACACAAGACTCCAACGTGAGAGGTTGATTCCATAGACACGGTCATTTTGTTTTGCCATTTTGTTACCTTTTACGAATCACATCCTCTCCAAAGGCTGCACAATGTCATTTTTGACGGCTGATATATGATTAAACACATTTTACGAATACAATAAAATGAATATTGCAAATTTTATATTCGAAACGCCCATTATACTATTTGTATTTTTTAAGATAATAGGTTGAACAAAAACAATGAGTGGAGTGGAGCTTGAGCCTAAGACCTCCGTATTACTATTCCAAGACCAAATTGAATGTGGTCTTGTATGACCACAAGTTTTGGTTGAATTTAACACAAATTCTAACCCAAACAATTGGTAAGAGAACAACCCAATTTCGGGTAGTTGCAGTTTGCACCCTTTCTTGGGTAAAATTAACCCAGGCAATTTTTCAGTGCAAGGGCGGATCGGGGGGGGGGGGGCAACGGGGGCCTGCCCCCCCCCAAAAAAAAACCCACCCTGAACCCACTTTCATTTCGAAGTTACGTCTCAATAAAGGCAGGCACTGCGTACACCACCATCTTTTCCCCAAAACCATTTGGTTAAGTGGTCAGAAATTGCCTCAGATCGCACCACAGAGCATTTAGTATCTAAAACAAATTTAGGCGCCCTTAAGCGGGCCCTGAACCCGGGCCCTGAACCTGGGTCAAATTTTTTGACCCACTTAAAGTTTTGTTTCTTACACATCAATGTATCCAGTTATAGCCCCTGTTTATCTTCAAAGTTTAGTTTAAGAGTACCAAACAGCTAGAAATCTGCGTTATATCCATAAATCTCTGTTGACACCCCCAGTCATTAAAACTAAGTCCTATGGTTCCCGCTCCCTCTAATCAGCTGCAGTTCAATTATGGAACAAGTTTTAGATGTTCTCAAACAGGCCAAAACATCAGAACAATTTAAAACCGGGTAAAAACATATCTATTCAATTTGCATCATTGTTGATTTCATGAAAGCGCATGGGGACCTCATGGTGATATGCGTTATTTTACAAGAACAGTTTTTATCAAGTTTAGGGCTCCCCATCCAGTCAATGTCTTTGTTCAAGAGGCGCTATGGTCAGAAGCCATAAAACAAGTTGGGTTTTGAAATAAATATCACACAGGTCACAGCCAATGTCATCAATGTCGTGAACAACCTCGTGCAAGTGGACACCCGAGAATTCAACGATTCGGAAAGCGCCGCCAACTCTGCGTCCCGCGTCGTCCGTGCGCTGGAGGGGCAGATATTGAACGTCCTGGCCGCGGGGAAACACATCAGCGCGGTCACGACCAGCCTGGCGGTGGCTGCGAGTCACTTCGTCCCCGATGCTCTGGTCAATGGAGTGGGATTCGCCGCTACTTCTGGAGGGAGTGGCAGCGAGTCATTAATTAATAAGGACATAGGCGTGTATGACAGTTCTGACGGGGACATCCCCGTTGAGAAAGTGGAAGCATCCATTGAGCTGCCCGAGGCAATACTGCAACAGTTTCCCACAGGTAGGATACGAAGCGGTGACTGAAATATTTTCGAGCCAAAAATGAAATTCTACATACAAACCAAGGGTTAATCTAAAGCTAAAGCAATGACGTGTTCCTGCAGTGACTAGATTTTTTACTAACATGATGGGAGAACTTTGCTCGAAGCCGAATGCCTCGTGTTACTGTTGTGAAAGTGTTGGAATTTTTTTGGCCAGCGCCCTCTATCTGCTTATAACTTATGGACTGACTCTCTGGCTGTAACCGTGAACCGGGCAGTGCTATCAGGATTACCTATAACACCAACGAATATATTCTTTATTCCTATAGGCTAAAATTCAGCCCATGAATTGTGCACAGATGCATTTAAGGGCTTCCAATGAAGAGTCACTCTGAAGCGATTGAAAAGAATGTTGTGGGCTCTGCCTCCAATTTTCATAGCCTTACCTTGACTGTTTAGTAAAGTCTGTCACTAGCCTATATTCATGGCCCAAGAGACTGGCGTTTTTCTCCGGTTTCCCTGGAACAAGTTATTAACTGAGAGTATTAGAATATGTCTATTTCCCCTGGAAGGGATGCTATTCCATCGCAGATTTGAATGCCGGTACTAATTTATATTCTTGTAGGAGAGAGGCAAGTGGGTCGAAGTGGCTTGCCCAAGGACATAACATTATGGTCAGAAGCTGGATTCAAATCCCTGACCTCTGTTGATAAGTCGCAAACCCTCAGCCCTAGACTCGTCTTGTTTTACTAGGACAAAACATGTTTCAGATGGTCAATCTGCATTAGTCATTTTCCACTTTTTTACCCTGAAGGCAGTGCTGTACCCATCAGCTTCGTCATGTATGAGAACAGTAATCTCTTCCGCTCCCAGCAAGTGGACAACGCTTCGTCAACGGAGTTCCCCACCGCCATCGCCAGTCGTATCATCTCTGCCAGTGTACCAAATGTCAGCATCAGCGATCTCCCATATGACAGTCCAGTTGTCATTACCTTTCAGCTAAAACCTGTAAGACCGAAAATATGTAGCTCTGCTCAAAATGTTTTTCTTCTAGTCAGTCTTATAAAACAGGTTTTTTTTCCAAGTTTTCTTTATGGCTTGATGCGCCCTCTGGTATATACCTTGCCTTTAGTTATATATTTTTCGTGTTACCTCCGCCAAGGAGGTTATGTTTTCATTGGGGTTTGTTTGTCTGTTAACAAGATAACTCAAAACGTTTTGGACAGATTTTTAAGAAAATGTTGTTTAAGGGTGGTCCTTGGTACAAGTACGTGTGGATTAGATTTTAGTGATCGAGATATGGGTCTGAATCTATTTTAAAAAGGATTCTTCACTATTTTGTATGTGCGAATATGCTATGTGTATGTGCGTGAACGGTTGTCAAGGGCATGACCTGGGGAGAAGGTGACGTCACACATTGTCCTCAATAAAACTGTTGCCTGAGTTACAATGTGTGGATTTTTAAATAAGCTTAAGCCTTAATACGGTAACCCCAAAGTTTCGGCTAAGGTTCTTTGGTCCTAATTAGAGAATAGATAGGTGAGCGATTATTCAAATACTGCAGGTGTCGAGTCCAATTGAGAATACTAAGCAGACGGAGACCTGCGTCTTCTGGGATTTCAGTCTTCGCGACGGCATCGGTGATTGGTCACCTGAAGGCTGCAGGAAAGGTCAACCGACCAATGGGAGAACAGTTTGTCTGTGCGATCACGCCACCAATTTTGCCGTACTTGTGGTGAGTCTTACCGAGAAGGGACAGGAAAAAAAAATCGTTCAGAATATGGGCTTCGTGGGGGAACAAAAAAGGGCTTATTTTCTACCACTTCCGAAAACTCAGTGTACCAGCTTCGACTCCATGGGCGCATGCGTGTTCCTTCACTAAGATCGCGCAAGGCATGATAGGAACCAACATGGCGCCGCAAGATCGGACACCATGGAAACGAGGTTGCCAGTGGACGGAACACTTAGGGTGCGTTCGAGCGTGCTACTCGTGTTAACACGAGTATTCTCCTAAACGCGCGAACGGCAGGAGTACGACCCGAGGGTAAGCGAGTTTACTCCCGTCATACCGGGTGTATACTCCTGCACCGGAGTAGTAATGCGCACGCAACATTTTCCTGCACTCGGGAGTTGCAAGAGTAACACGCTCGAGCGCACCCACTGCGTCCACGTACTGGCTCAGGCCATGGCTCAGGCGCGTAAAACGCAAAGTACGCACGATTAATTTTACTCTGAGTGTGCTCATGGCTCTGCATCATTATTTACCTGGTCATTGGGCAATGAAACATTTCAAAGACAATCTAAGCTCCCTTGGGAGGATGCATCTCGATGCTGCCATTTCGGCGCAAAGCAGCTAAAATCAACCACAACCACCATCTGTATCCTCGCAGGTACCCATTTACTCCTGGGTGGGAAGAAGCAATGAGTGACAAAGTGCCTTGCCCAAGGGCACACGCACCACAACGCCAGTCTGGACTTGCACCCTTAGCGTGCAGAATTTTACCGACAAACAGCGAGTTCAATGTTCCAGGCCATGAGGCCATGACATTTTGAGAAGTTGATGTCGACATTCGCGGGGCCTCTTTAAACTATTGTCCAATATTGCCATCTTGTTTCCCTGTCTTGTTGCAGAATATCCATGGCCAGAAGGTTACCAGTTTGGCTCTGGATATTATCAGCAAAATTGGATGTATTGTCTCCATCGTGGCTCTGGTCATCACCATTGCCATGTACTCGTCATTAAGGTAATTGCTAGGGAATGATTTAATTATCTGATCGGTATACACGGCCAGTCACCAGGGCTATCGTTAAAGGAGTGGGTGCAGGGCGGAAGGGGGCGGTAGGAGGTGGCGCGAGTCCTCCATGCAAAATTGTTTCGTCTGAACGTTGGCACAATTTGCTACATTGGCGGAGGGTGGGCTCGGTGCGCTTGACGATATCTTCCACTGAGGATGATTGAGGAAATGATGCAAAGTTCATGGCTAAGGAGGGACCTTTGGTCTGAACTTCGGTTAAGCCATCGAACTTTTATGAGACCATCGAAATCTTCAGGCACATCCCAAACTCCTGCTTGGACTCCAAACTCGCATGTCTGACTTGTCTTCCAACATGCCCTGCTCCAGCTACGACTCCACTTTTACATCCTTTACAACCTTTACTGCTTCCAGTCACACTACAAAACACCCCTTCACCGTTGAAATGCCTTTAGTCTCCTGCCTTAAGACGGGCAGAGTATCTGTCCGGAACGTTGAGTTTCCCCCGGTTCTCGTCACAACATCACAAACTGAAAGAAGAGACCAATAATCTTTGTCTTGTTAACAAATATTGTTTGCCTGATGATACAGGTCGTTGAGATCGAAGACCCCCAGCCGCATCCTCATTAGCTTCTCCCTGTCTCTGCTGTGTCTCTACCTGGTCTTCGTAGCCGGCATCGAGCAGACGTCCTCCCGCGTTGGTTGCATCGTGGTAGCCGTCTTGATGCACTACTTCACGCTGACGTCCGTGGCCTGGATGGGCGTGGAGGCCGCCGGCATGTACCTCAAGCTGGTCAGGGTCTTCAATTCTAATGTGGAGCACTTCATGATCAAGGCGTCTGTCGTTGCTTGGGGTAGGTCGTCCAAACGATGTGGACCATTTTCCTGATTTGAGTCACATACGGTTGAAATCACTCGGTTGGAGTCTAAATCCCGAGTCACTTGATTCGAATCCAAGTCTGGGTCCAAATTCCACGTCAGTTGGTAAAGTGTAAGTCCAAGTCCGAAGTCACTTGGTTAAGTGTCAGTCTAAGTCCCGCATCACTTGTTCAAGTCGGAGTCAAAGTCCCGAGTCACTTGGTCAAGTCTGAGTCAAGTCCTGAATCACTTGGTCAAGTGTGAGCCCAAGTACCGAGTAGCTTGGCCAAGACTAAGGCCAGTGCTGAGTCATTTCAATTTCGAATCTGAGTAAAAAAATCCTCAGTCACTTGATATGATTCCTAATGCCAATTCATCTGGTCAAGTCTGAATCCAAGTGCTGAGTCACTTCATCAAGTCTGATTTAAAGTCCCAAGTCATTTGAATGGTTTGAGTCCACGTCATGAATCACATGGTTTGAGTCCAATTGAGGAGTAACGTGTTTGACTGAGTGGTGCATGCATTTAAGTATCCTGAAAACCAGAGTCCAGGACAGGACAATAACTTATGTTTTACTGCACCGTAGTGCCAGAACATTATGTGTACTTCAAGTACATGTACTACCAAGCCAAAAGTAAGCATGAGAATTATCTTTTTAGTCAAGTCTGGAAAAATATTGGGGGTAAATGATGATTTGACTCGCCAGGATGGTGTCTTCAGTGTCAAGTTTAAGTTATGATAGCTTAGTCAAAGTCTGTTTTTGTTGTAAGGGTGACTATTTCATTTTATTTAGCATTTTCGTTATTTAAAATTTCAGGTCTTCCAGCGCTCATCGTAGGCGTGATACTGGCAGTTGATTATACAGAGTATGACAATGAATACAGGTAAGATTTCATGACTTGTCCTAATTTCATAACATAGGTTTTTAATCTTGAAAAGGTAGAAATCTTGCAATAGACTTCGATGACAGAATTGAACTTTGCTCCAAACCAAATGCGTTTGAATACGTGTATATCTATTTCTTCAAAGTTCTTCTTAAAAATCGGACATTTATGGGATATGGAATTGTCAAAAACATTTTTAAATCGTTTCCATGGTTACGAACTTGCTGCGCCATGTTGTTTCCCATCATGCCGTGCGCGATCTCAGTGCTAGGAACGCGTACGTGCCCAGGAAGTCGAGGCTGGTGCCGTTGTATATGACGTCACCAGACCAAACAAACTGATGACTTATTACAAAAGGCCTTAATTGGGTCCTCTTCTACACATACAGGGTAAGTCAAACAAAAGCGGACCCCAAACCCCCAAAATTATATTTTATATACTGGAAAGCCAATTTCATAAGCTACTTTTGGATAAAATTATGACTGAAATTGGTCAATCCGTTCAAAAAATATCACCAATTAAACACAATGTCCCTAAAACCTGTCTCGTCAAAAAATATGCGATTTCAAGAATCGTCGTCGCAATTGTCTTCAAACATCACAAGCGATGAAATCACAGTTTAAACGTTAACATATTCAACAAAGTTCCTTTGAAAGCCCATCTTTAAAAGTAGATTTAATAATTTGAATTATTTGCCTAACCAGGGTTGTTAATAACGATATTATGTACTACAGTTGGTGACAATTGTTGAAACAAGTATTCTGTGTCAATTTCTTTGTTGTTCCAAACAGTCAAACAACACAATAAATTCCTTTTTTTTGCAGTAAATTGCATTGTGTTTAAATGGTGATATTCTTCATACGGGTTGAGTAATTTCAGTACTTTTTTCATTTAAATTTCAATATTATTTTTGGCGCTACATATTTTTTTTAATATGAAATATATTTTTGGGGGTTTGGGTTCCGCTTTTTTTGGACTCGCCCTGTAATTTGAAATGCTTAAATAAACTTTCTCTTTGCAGTTGCTTCTTGAAGCCCGGCGCTGCTTTCTATTATGGTCAGTTGCTCATCATAGGACTGGTCTTCTCTTTCAACGCCGTGTTCTTCGTACTGCTGTCGCGCAAGTTCCTGTGCAGTGACCAGAAACTCCAGAGCACCGCCAACAAGCGCGACAAGAAGAGGGACAGGGTCCTGAAGCGCCTGCAGAACATTGCCGCCGTCTCGTCTCTGCTGGGCCTGACCTGGGTCTTCGGTCTGCTCTCCGTCATCGAGGCTTCCAGCTTCGCCTTCCAGGTCATCTTCACCGTCTGCAACTCCCTCCAGGGCTTGTTCATCTTCCTGCTGTTTGTCGTGCGCCAGGAGAACATCCGTGCATCCGTGGTGGCCCGCCTGCAACGATGGAACAAGGCCGGCGGCACTGCTACCGCCTCTACCCCACTCAGCAAGCTTGCCACCTGTGCTAAAGAATATGACCAGTCTGTCTCGAATGCACAGACCGAAGACGTTCTCTTAGACAAATGTGAAAAGGATAACGATACATTTAACAGGCCCCAAAAGTCCGAGAATACATACTTGTAATGTACTGTACCCTTAACGTTTTATGGTTGGAGGAGTTTAATGTATTAAATCAATAATTCATTAGTGAAGCGGTAGGCCCTACAGCAATTTAAGATTTGTTTACAGTTTTTTGTAAATTTAAAACAAACTACATTTGTAAATAGCAAATGTCCTTGATTGGGGCAAACATGTTGGATACAGGGCGGCGGAACCGAGGGGGGGGGGGGGGGGGCAGTTACCCACAGTTTTACCCAAGTGCCCCTTTTGCGGACATAGATGTGCCCCCTCGAGCAAAAATGTTCCCCCTCAAGATAAAAAAAATTGGCCCTAATGATATGAACAAGGAATATGAAAATCCAGCCCCGAAACCCTTACAATGCGACCTGAAATGGGCACATTAATGCGTATTTTGCATAATAATGGCCGGTTTTGAAGAGCGCCCCCTATTGGAAAATGGTACGAGCCCTCCCCCTCCCCCAAGTTACGGAATTTTAAACACAACCATTGTGTTAACGTTCTGTCCACGGATCACAAGCAAAACGAAAACAATTCACACCCATCCCTATGTAATTTGTTTTCGTTTTTAATACTGGAAGAACACTTGCCTTTTTGTGATCCGTGGACAGAACTTTAAAACGGTGGTTTTGTTTAAAATTCCGTAACTTGAAAAGTACATAGGTGATTTGAATGACTCTTGTACTAAAAGAAAGCTGGTGAAATGGGCTTTCATATGCTAGATTTTAAAAGTGCTACATGCAGAACTTCAGTAAAACAATGGTCCCGACATTTGGGTTTCGTGTTTTTTTACTCACCCCGAATGCCTTTATTTTGAAATTAGGCCTAAATACTTTCATTTTGCAATAAAAGAGGAAATATATTTTGAAACGAAATAAGATGGAATACCTCTGCACTATGTTGTACATTTTTAGGGAATGTTAATTTATGCCTATATAATGCATTTACTAAACAAAATACTTTCATTTTTGCAATAAAAGAGGAAATATATATTTCGAAATGAAATAAAGTGAAATATATCCCTGAACAATGTTGTACATTTTTATGAAATGTTAATCACATTTATGCCTATATTATGCGTTTACTAAACAAAATACTTTCGTTTTGCAATAAAAGAGGAAATATATATTTTGAAATGAAATAAAATGAAATATATCCCTGTACAATGTTGTACATTTAAAAAAAAACGTTAATCACATTTATGCCTATATACTATGTATTTGCTAACCATTAAATACTTTCATTTTGCAATAAAAAAGGAAATGTAAGTTTGAAATGAAATATATCCCAATTTTCAAAAAATTGTTAATCCCATATTTTTAACTTTTACCAACACCTCTTGGACTTCCGTGAGATAAACCTGACAAATTCTTTCTTGATAATAAACATTGACGAAGGCTTTTCGTAAATGCAAATAGATGGAATGTTTGTTATTAATTAAATATGACACCTTATTTTAGTCTTCAGATGGCTGAAATATATGCATGCACACACCACAATACATCATTGTATATTTAATTTTTTACGTGGCTCCCATTGTAATGTTTTACACACCTTTTACCAAGAATACACTTTTTTATATCATAAGTGAATAAAAGATAATTATTACCATAACAATTATGGTTTCGAATACCAATGCGATTAAGATCTTGAGATGTGTTTTCCGTCAGTGTGTTTATAGTCCACCATATTCGTATTTCATGTCATTAGGGATAACTGCACAAAGCAAACATGGTACCATATCTGAAATTGTAATTACACTTGGAGTCAACACAAGTAATAAGTGTACATTGGCATCACACAGATAATTGTTTGTCTGTGAGAAGGCATACTTACTTATTTAGCCGTGATAATTATGTGTGATTGTAGTTTGATGAGTTCGCGAAGATGCTGGTAGATCGGGTTGGTCTTTAACCAGAATGAGATGGGTTGCGCATCTTTGGCGGCTCATTACTTTGAGTCGAACCTACTTGGCGCAACGTTCGCGACTCACACGCCTGCTAGGCCTATGCTGGTACGGCAGATAGGTGATGGGATTGTACCGTTGATGATACAAGCATGATATTTGGCACAGAGGCAGAGTATGTGATGCGAAAGATATTTGGCTAAATTACATCGCAGATTTGTCCTTTGACAAAAATTAGAATAACAAGCAATGGCAGAAAATTTTGAAAATTGATTGTTATTCTATACCACTATTCGGGAAGATGATCACCTGATCCGAGGCCTACCAGGCTATGATCCACATCGCATCCAGCTGGTATCAGAAATAATAGACCATTATCATGTTGCGGCCATCTTGATTTTTTTCCCATTCAAATCAACGGAAATAAAGCGAGGCTGGAAGGAAAAATAGTCTGGTTCCTTTTTTGCATAAACAAAATCATCATTAAGTTCTGTTATTCGATGCAGGGAACATGACTAAAATGGCGGTAGCATGATAACGGAATTTTTCAGTGGGGGGGCCGCTGGGGGGGGGGGGGGCTGGAACATTTCATGGGGGAGGGCGTCATGTAGATCAATGATAATTTTTTATGAAACTCAAAATTTCAGTGGGGGCGACTGGGAGGGGGCGACAAGGTTTCATGGTCAACGGTCAACAAAAAAGTTCAAAGTTTTTCAAAGTGTTATGACAACCTAGAGATCTGTGCTGATTGGAACTCTCCATAATAAAAACCATACCGCCCCACACATCCTAGCCTCCCTTCAAATAATACCCCTACACACGAACAGGCACTTAGCTTGCCCTTGGAAAATATTTGCTTAAATCTATTTTTTTGGCCCGACCCTTTTCAACATTCCACGGTCGATAGGCCCATGCAGGCCTGGGCCGAAGTTGGCAGGATATTGCAGCGCATTATAGTATGGGCTATAATAACGACAGAATTATCACATGGAGTTCATGTGATGAACCCATCAGCCGAACCCTATACGTGAGATCAAAGAAACCAGTGTAAGCATTTAAACCACGCAGAATATAGTCCTCAAAAATCTGCTTTTCGAGTGCCTGAAAAGCAGACTAAGTGTGTAAGTTGTCAACAGTCTGCTTTTCGGGTATCAGAAAAATATGGATTAGACGAATCGCTTGATCTGATTTTCTGCTCCTCAAGCAAGACAAAAGAAGATGACGACTTTTCGATCGCCAGCACATGGAAAACTGGGTAAAATCTGCTTTTGATGTATAGGAGATGAGTCGAAGAGTAGATTTCAGGTAAAGTATACTTTTCTTGTAGCAGAAAGGCACAAAAGCAAAAAGAAAAACCTTCGAAACTACTTGTACAATGAACATAGCATAAATTCCATTCATCTCGTGTTGGTTTTTCGAACATGAATTTTCCTCTTATTTTTACGTACGCAATCAAATAATAATTCCAAAACAATATTGTTTCCCTATTATATTGTTTAAAGTATCAATTGTCAGTGAGGACAAGCTGAAGAGAATTTTCAAACGATTTTGTAAGAATCAATATTTAACCAAACGTATCAAACTTACAGTGAACCAACACCCACTCTCGCCACTTTCGGTCGGGGGAACAAACAGTACACGTAATTACTTATAAATGTAGTCATTACTTTTGGAGAGGTGATTTCAAAAATTGCAATTCTGCTCGGGCTGAACTGTAGTTCAGTATAACCACCAGGAGAAGCACAATGTCAACATACCTGGCGGGGAGGTGTAGGCTTTAAACGGGGGAGTTTAAACGAAACTCAAAACAACTATTAAAAGTAAACCAGGCCAACCTATAGAGTCATTTAAAGAAAGGATCTCATCGTGAAACTATGGGTACTGGCAAGCTGTCACGCACTGTTAATAATTGATTGACGTGTCTTCAATTCATGAATTTTTCATGACTTTTGATATGGTTTCTATTGTACAAAGGGACTTAATTGTTCAGTTTATAGACCAGAAGCAAGAAAGTGCGCGCTGAATTTGCTGGCAGCCCGGCCAAATTGCTTACAGTCAACCATGCACGGACCCTATACACATAAGGATTAGCGACTCGGCCAAACTCCTGGTTAGAGGCGTGACAACGGCCCATACAGTACAGGGCCCAATTTCAAGGCGCTGTTAAGCGAAACAAATTTGCTTAGCATAAAAAAAGCCTGACTTATAAAAGCAGTTTACCAGCCAAAACTCCGCGTGATTTTCATGTTATAGCAACCAACCGCTGAATACTAATCACGAGCAATGTACATCACATGGAGTTTTGGCTGGTAACCTGTTTTTATAGGCCAGACTTTTTTGTGCTAAGCAATTTTTTTGGCCCTGGTGGGAAAACCACGAAAACTTGTCAGCAAAGACCCCTATGCGCGGCGGATTTCAGATTTGCAGGGTTCTGCGTCCGATCTGGTTTCTGAATACTATTTTATCTCAATCATTTTATCCAACTATTGACAAACCAACAAGGATCACTGCTGATAGTGCAACTCTAATTGATAACATTCTAACCAATGACCTTTCGAATCTTTCCTCTGGTGTTTTGATGACTGACGTCACAGACCATCTCCCCGTATTCTTAGTAACCAACAGTGTCAAAGAAAGTCCCCGAACCAGCAACAAATTCCAAAAACGTACTTTTAATGCCAGTAATGTCGAAAACTTCATTTATGATCTAAATATGATTGATTGGGATTCTGTAATATCAATTAACGATATACATCGTATGTATAATAATTTCCTATCAAATGTCCAACAACTTTATAATAAAAACTTTCCTTTACAAGATGTTAAATGCCGATACAATAAATGTAAATCCCCATGGTTATCTGATGGTATTTACATTTCTATCAGACGAAAAAATCATTTGTACCGAAAATTTACGAGGAACCCGACTGTGACTAATAAATCTGTTTATACTCTGTATAAAAACAAATTGAATTCTTTAATCAAATTAGCAAAAAAAGAATATTTACACCCAAAATTTAGCGAAGTGCAAGGTAATATCAAGGGTACTTGGAAAGTTATTAATTCCTTACTTAACAAGCGCAAGCAAAACGTAAACACATCTTACTTCTTTCAGGATGGTAACGAAATTAACAATGACAAGGAAATTGCAGAAGCATTTAACGACTACTTTGTTAACATTGGTAGCCTCTCCAGTGAACTCCCGTTATGTAACACTTCCTTTGATTCATTTCTAAGCAACAAATGTCCAAATTCACTGTTTCTTACACCTATTACCAAGGAAGAGGTTGTTGATTATCTTAACAAAATACCTTCTGGGAAGGCCCCTGGATTTGATGGTTTAAGTTCTTCTGTCATCAAACAAGCACGGTATTCTTTAGCTAAGCCTTTGTCTGACATCTTTAACAAGTGTTTGACAGCTGGAGTTTTTCCCGATGATCTAAAAATAGCCCAAGTAACACCGATATATAAAAAAGGTTGTAAGCATAACATTACCAACTATAGACCCATATCAGTCCTATCTACATTTTCGAAACTATTTGAAAAGCTTATTTACAAACGATTATTATCTTTTATCACTAAAAATAATATTCTTTCTGAGTCTCAATTTGGATTTAGACAAAATCGTTCAACTGAATTAGCGATATCATATGTAGTTAATAAATTATGTAATGCAATTGATCAAAATAATTTCTCCATAGGCATTTTCTTAGACTTATCAAAAGCATTTGATACTGTAAATCACGATATTCTTATAAGTAAATTAGATCATTATGGAGTGCGGGGAACAGCTTTGGACCCTCTGAAAAGTTATCTGTGTAACAGAAACCAGTATGTATCGTTTCAATCTGTAACTTCAACTAGCCGATTCATTACGTGTGGGGTACCTCAGGGTTCCGTATTGGGTCCTCTACTATTTCTTCTTTATATTAATGATATATGTAATACTTCAGACACTGTAACATTTTGTTTATTTGCAGATGATACAAGTTTGTTGTACACTCACGATAATGTAGATGAAGCAATTATTAACCTAAATATGGAACTTGAAAAGATCAGTACATGGCTTCTCGCAAATAAATTATCTATTAATGTCGTCAAGTCAAATTATATGATTTTTTGTGCCAATCAGTACAAGTACACACAATCTGTTCCTCTGAATTTAAATAACTCAAGGCTTAATCAGGTTAAGATAACTAAATTCCTGGGTGTAACTATTGATGAAAATCTCACTTGGAAACATCATATTGATGAAGTAGCGACAAAAATATCAAAGAACGTTGGAATAATGAATCGTTTGAAATATTATCTTCCGAGTAAGATTTTATTAACATTGTATAATTCATTTGTTTTACCATACTTAAATTACCCAATCTTGACCTGGGGCAGTTTGCCATCTAAGTGTAACAAATTACTTACTTTACAGAAGCGAGCAGTTCGTTTAATTTCAAATGCTGGCTATCGTGATCATTCTGCTCCGTTATTTGCTAAATTAAATATATTACAATGTAATGACTTATATTACCTTAATTTAGGAAAATTAATGTTTAAATTTAAGCATAATCTACTCCCGTCCTGTTTTGATTCTTGTTTTACCTTAGCATCTAATGTTCATGTATATAACACCCGAAGTAGTGCTAAGGGAAATCTGTTTGTCCAATTTAACAGAACATCAATGTCAAAAAACAGTGTGATTCATCAAGGCACCTTGTACTGGAATAGTTTAGATGATTCTCTTAAACTGTTACCCTCACTATCTGTCTTTGTCAAAAATTTAAAAACTCATTTTATCGAATCATATTCATAAATTGAAATGTTATATGTGCATTAATATTTAGGCCTTGTCTCACACACTTGTCCTGTCTGTCTACCGTTGTGTTTTGTTTGTCCCTTGTTACAGTACTTTGGTTGTATGTCTGTCCATAGGTAAGGGCACAAAAGCGTCTGCTTAACCTTATACCTAACTGTTGTCATTTAATTTTACACTTATTAGTAATCACTGTGTACATAACTGTCATATATATTACTACTGACCTTTCTTAATTTATACACGATTGTACATAATTGTAATGAATGACATCATTGAAATAAATGTTTCCAAACACAAAGTCTGTCTAACCAGCTAATTATATTTTTGAATATTTATGATCCTACGTTTTCTTATAAAAGTGATAACTACATAACCATGTTAACGCCGAGCACAATATCTTTAGCTTTAAAATGAACTATGAAATGTCGCATTTGTTGCATCGGTTCGGGACCACATCTCTCTAAAAAAAAAACCAATAATGAAAGCCTAATTAAAAACGAGTTTTGGGTATAACCACCAGGAGAACCACAATGTCAACATATATACCTGGCGGGGAAATTTAGGCGTACAGGGGAGTTCCCAAACTAAAAACAATTACTAAAAGTAAACAGGCCAACCTATAGAGTCATTTATAAAACGGATCTCATCGTGAAACTGGGTACTGGAAATCTGTCACGCGCTGTTATTGGCATGGCTTCAATTTTTAACTGAATTCATTGCTATTCATTGTTTTTATTGTACAAAAGGACTTTTGGTTCAGTTTATAGAGCAGACGCAAGTGAGTGTGAGCTGAGTTTGCTGTCGGCTCGGCCAAATTGCTGGTAACTAAAATCGTTTTATTTTACGCGTGTCAAATATGTCTGGGTTTTTTGGTTCAGATTCTTTAACCTGCAAATTCTCAATGTGTAGAAACAGCTTATTAATGTAGCATTAGCAGACAAGTTTGGAAAAGAGTCTGAAACGGACGCGTTTCCTTTCTTCGTTTGATTGTAATTGGCGATGGTTTGTTTCTTAATATCTGTATTGTTCGATTCTTCAGCAAACAATTTCTCTGTGTGGAGAAACAGATACAGATTGAAACGGACACGTTTCTTCTATTGTAATTGGCGTTGGTTTGTTCCTATATTTCCGTTCTTTTTTCGTTTGTGTTTATGTCTTGTCACTTCGCCATGATATCAAGATTTGATTGAGGTTATTACATTTCCATTATTGGTCAGCTGGTTTCATTGATGTTGCAACGATGGTGCGAACACGCCGACGAGACGAAGGAGGGACCGGCGTGATACTTGTGATGCTGTTGGTGCTGATAGCTCAACTACCAAGCGTCTTAGGTGAGAATCTGTGTTGTTGTCGAGTTCATCATAAAGTAAGATCCCAAGGACGGATCCAGAACACACTTTTATTGTGGGGGGGGGGGGGGGGGGGGGGGGGGGGGGCGGGGGGGGGGGGGGCAAAACAGTCCCCCAAAAAGTGGATCCAAAAATTTACGGCGTGGAGTTCGGGGCCCGCTGAAGGGCCCCCATTTTTCTTGGATTTTTGGACGTGGTGCAATCTGAGCCGGCAGTTTGTGACCACTTTAACCAATTATTTTTTTCGAGCAAAAGATGTTGGTGTACCCAGTGGTTGGTTTTTATTGCGACGTCACTTAAAAAAAAAATCGGCTCTTTTTTTTGGGGGGGGGGGCAATGGCCCGCGCTACCCTCACCCCCCCCCCCCCCGATCCGCCCTTGTCAGGTCCGACCGTCCGTTTTGGTCCAGTTATACAAGTTCTAAGATTTTTGATGGGGGTCCGCCCAACAGTCCGAATTTCCATAGTTGGAAGGTTTATTGATCCGAAGGCTCGATGGTCCGAACACACAAATTTCCAATGACGGGGGGATTGATAATCCCAAGGTTCATTTGTCCGAAGTTCGGTAGTCCGAATTTATAATAAGATATTAGTTTGTCCGAAGGTTGCATAGTCCGAAACGAAAACAAGATTCAGTAGTCTGCATGTTAATAAGCAAGCACACTTGGTTCAATAGTCCGAATTTACAATAATGTTCAATGGTGCATGTCAATTCGGACACGCAGTTGAGCCTTAATGTCGATTCGGACTATCGAACCTTCTGATTATTTGACCTTCGGACTGACGAACATCTGGACTAACGAACCTTCAGACAATCGAGCGGTCACGTTTTGATGGAGAGAGTTAGCGGTGTTCATATAGCAGTACGCAGTGGCTATTAAAGGGCAACCGCATTTTTTTTCTGTTATGTATTGTCTTGAAACACAACCAATAAAATATATGACTCAACAGAATTTGTGTATTGATCATGGGGAATAATTAACATTTCAAATGTTGTCAGAAAATATTTTGATTGTGTTTTATGACTCCCCGAAGACTTTGTACACAACCACTTGATATGTGTCAGGACATTGTGAGGAATGTCTTAGTTATTATGGCTGATCATGAAACTAAAGGTGTTCACGGACAATTTTGGAAAATGTGTCATTTGTTTTAGTGCGAAATATTTGTTTTAGTGCGAAATAGAATGAACGTTCAAAATCCCTGTTTCTATTTAACAAGTGATAATTCTATTTCCATGAAGGTGCATTCAGTTGTAAAAAAAAAATCGGCGTACGATTTCTAGAATGTGCACTGAATTTAGTATATTCACATTTAATTTTAGCGCAAAATCGAAGGCACATTCGCAATTCTGTACTCATTTAATTTATCATCAATCTATTTCGCTAAATGTGCGAAAATGAAAACAGGATATGCGTCGTTCTCAAAATCAGCGCCAAATTGAATTGATGTTTTACAAATTCAGATGTACATTTTCCAAAATTGTCCAGTAAAACCTATATTAACTTTGGAGGTTGTCAATGCTAAGTGCAATCATTATATACAGTGTGTTTAAAAAAAAAAGGAAACCCAGATGTAAATAAGAATTATAAAAAATCTAATAAATATTTTCAAATACGTTAAAGATTATGTGAAACGCCAATGTGACCTCTTTCTAGTGATACCTTGATTGTTTGTCTGTGGCCACGGATGACTGAGCATTCATTGGTAATCTGTCAAGGGTCAAAACCTGTACTAGGCCAAGTTTGCGCAAAAGGGTAACTGGTATTCTGGGCATGTGGAACGACTTGATTTAAAGAAAGAAGACATCCTTTTCTCCGGAAGTTTCCACAAAAAGCTCTGCACGAAGTCTAGTCTAATTTCAACTAGGACCCAAAGAGTCAGCAATCTTGGGCGATTTACATTTTGATCATTAACATTCCAATCCCTCGGGAATGTCCATAGCTACACCACTGTGACCGCAAGCCTCGACCACTGCTAGCGCCCTTTGAACACAATGATCGTCGCCGCCTTTTATGTTGGTAACCAACAACCTCCCTTTATGCTGCATAATAAGTCATGTCACGTCGTTGCTGTTTTTTGAAAAATATATTTTACGGCAAAACAGGTTTTAACAAATGCGCAATTGTTAGATGTGAGTTACGAATTCAAGTTTATGTGCAGTTGTTGGTCCTTGAAAGCGTTATCTGTTCCTGTACTTTGTCTGATGTAATTTTTGATGTGGCTATTTTTCGCATTTATAGACTATATATTGCCCAATGTATATACCCCCAAAAACAAAAATCAAATAATTTCATTAAAATAAAACACACAATTTGAAAATTTGAATTTGACTGTTTAAATAGTTGAAGCACATCCTTTAATCTCAAAGTTGAATGTCAGGCCCAGAAATTGATCACAACTTAAGCAGGCTCCCAAACATGGCACCCTTAAAAGAATTTAAATCCTTATACAGGAATTCAACTGAATGTTCATCCTTTATTCCTGTGATTTTAGGGCAACCTGGTCATCTAGGGTGCTATGTGGACAAAAATGACGATCGTGCACTACAGGGAGATCAGTGGACGGATGTGAGTGCCCAATCTTGGGAGTGGTGCATTGCTAACTGTTCACGCACGCTGTATCGTTTCATTGGACTGGAGTCTGGTAACGAGTGCTACTGTGGAAATGATGTCTATTCGAGGCATGGAAATGGCTATGGCTGCAATATGACGTGTGAAGGAAACGCCGGTCAGACCTGTGGTGGATTAAACCAAATTGAAGTATACAGAGGTAAGACGTGACCCCTGCCTGATTTCACAGGCTGGTTGTTAATAAAACGTGAAATGCTAGCTGACATGCAGCTAAGCCGCTGTGTCAAGATGACATCAGTCATTTCGAAGTCAGACACTGAAATAGTTAAAGTACCAGGTTAAAGAGCCTTGATTCATGATAAAAAATCACTACAAGGTAGACGCCCAAGTTAAGTGACATTAAACAGCTGTCAGATTGAAACTCCATCATAACTGGTTGTTTAACTATAGGGCTTGACAAGGACTTCGTACTTTTTAGAATGCATGATTCACATTGCGAAGGAGGACGGTTCAACAATGATATTAACAAGATGCAAGGTCAAACGTTCACAATGCAAAGGTACATGGTTCATATTGCAAAGAAGCAAGGTGCAACGTTGACATCAAGCATGATCAATGGTGTACATTGACAAGATCGAACGTGAACATTAACAGGTTGGAACATTCACATTAAGAAGGAACAACTTCCACGATGCGATATTAAGCTACGTGCAACGTGCATATTGCGAAGGTACAACGTCAATATTAAGAAGTTACAAGGTTCATATTAAAAAGGTCAATATTAAAATGTCGTCCCAGGGCCACCGTAAATTACTGTGTGTGATGTAAAAGGTCACACGAACTTTCCCGCACATAAGGGCTAATCAAGTTGAATTGCATTCCTTTGAATTGAATTGAATTGAATTGAATTGAATTGAATTGAATTGAATTGAATTGAATTGAATTGAATTGAATTGAATTGAATTGAATTGAATTGAATTGAATTGAATTGAATTGAATTGAATTGAATTGAATTGAATTGAAAGTCAGAATGGAGAGGTCTAGCCCCATAAATGTGGCCTATTTACTGGACTGCCTCCGTAAACATAGGCCACACATCCACATGTACAAAAACGTGTCGATTTTGCCAAATTTTGATTTTCACATTTAGGCTTACTTTGTAGGTTTTTTTTTGCTTTAGAAGCATTCTCACCCTCTATATAGGCTAATCAGAAAGTGCTACCTTTTTCAGATGTCTAATTTTTGTGAAATTTTATGTTGAAATTTTGATACGCAAACGTGTGCAAATGTATCTGGAAATTTCACGAAAAATGGACATCTGAAAAAGGCAGCACTTTCTGATTAGCCTATATAGAGGGTGAGAATGCTTCTAAAGCAAAACAAACCTACAAAGTAAGCCTAAATGTGAAAATCAAAATTTGGCAAAATCGACACGTTTTTGTACATGTGGATGTGTGGCCTATGTTTACGGAGGCAGTCCAGTAAATAATAGGCCACATTTATGGGGCTAGGAGAGGTCGAGCGTGTATGTCCAACTAATGTCATTCCATTGCTGTCTGTTTGTTTGCATTCGCCTTAAAAGTATTTTAAAAAAAATATTACAATGTTAAAAACCACTTTAGGACTTGAACATGCAACCTTCAGACTCTGAATCCAATCCACTTGCCAATAACAACTAACAACTTCACACTAGGCCTACAGTCTGGTATCGAAGTATACTATAAAGCTTCCATGGACCGAATAATAACAATAAACAATCTCAAATGCTACTGTGGGACTTGAACCTGCAACCATACGGGACTAATCTAGTGGAAGCGGATTGGAGAGGGGTATATTATATGCACCCCCCCCCCCGCCCTTCGTATTAATTTGCCTATCTTGGAAAGAGTCCTTTTTCCCAAAATTCTCTTTTTTTTCTCTCTGAGAAATTATTAGTTTTACTTCTTTTTCATCGATGTCATTAAATATCATTTTTTTATTCTACATTGTAATGAATTTTAAAATTATTTGGTAAACAGTTTTACTCATCCCTCACAATTGTTCTTAACTCCAGTATCTAGTGGCGTGTGCTCCAATCCTTATAAACAACCAAGTCATGGATCATACCACGTAGAATACCGTCCTTACAATTATGACCTGGGCGACAGTGAGTATGTGGGTGCTCGGTTACGTTATACCTGCCACAGAGGTTACTATTTACCGTTCAACACTTCAACTGTCACATGTGTTACAGGCGACCCGTCTTCATGGGACCATTACGTCACCAAATGCCCAGGTAAATACCATAATTCAGAGGGCTATATTTTCAGTCCTGAACCACGGCGTAATTAACACCTGGGGCGTTGCGTTTTGAATTTAGAACAATACAATTCTGACTCGCTGGTAGTGTTGCGCATGCCTACGTGAGGATTGTGAACGTTCAACCAATAAAACGGTAAGAGGCACTGGATTTTTAGGAGTCCACATTTTATGTGACACTGGAAAAGTGTTTAAAACCAGCTAGCCATGTCTTTATCATCCGTTTAAGACCGGCCACGTGACGGGCTCTCGACCAATAGGAATAGTTAAACTGTCTGCGGTATTTATGAAATCCTATTTATGTCTTTCTTGGTCATTTAATACCAAATACGTCATTTTGAATTACAGCGTGACTTTGGGGTTAAGAAGTAGTCCTTTTCATTGTTGTATAATTTTCAAAACGAATCAACTTTTACTATATTAATAAATTAAAGTTATCACATCTTTTGCTTCAGCTTTTTTAAATACATAGAATAAATACATCATTTAGGCCTAATCTGATTTATAAGATTATTGACATTTGTTGCTTGGTCACTATCATTGGTTTACTGTAATCTCGATAGTTAGAAAAAATCAGATGACAATTTTAATTGGTTAAAAACCTGTTGACGTTGCTTTGTCAACTACCAAACGTTTTAATTCAAGTTATTATTGTCGTTAGTTTTATTGATAATATTTTAGTTTAACCTTTATCCATCATTCACTTTAATCTCATATAATGCAACTCGAATAATTAACTTAAGTCTTTCTAATCTTTCATCTCTCTACTTTGGTACTTGTTGTAAATCTACACCGTGTTAACTGAACCCCTTCCCCCGGGTGATTTTGATTTTAGTAACTTTTTGTGAGTGGACGGTGGGGCGGTGGCGGGAAAAAAATGATTCTGTCTATCAAGAACAAAATGGCCGCTGTCTTGTTGCAGGCACAACAATCAATGAAGATGTACATATGCACGTTTCTCCTGATGTCTTGGGTGTTCAGGCTTCAGTGCTTTTACCATTATACTCATGATTTGCATTTTCATGGTTATATAACCTTTTACTGAATGGGATTTGGCTTTCTGTTTTACTCCCCGTAAATCTTTATATGTGACAGGAAGAGCTCACAACTCCTGTTGGGTAATGATTATTAAGGTGGTGATGATTATTAAGTTATTACTTAATTTATTTTGGGACACACTTTGAATTCAACATTTGGGCATATACGAGTAAATTACCGCACACCCAAGCCAAATTTGGCGTTGTTTTAAAACTACATTAGACCAGATAGAAACTACCAGTTGTCTTACTTTAAAGAAGTTGTTATTAAACACAGTTGTTTAATTTGATGACAACTGAAAATTAGTTACACATCGATATTCGCTACACTGTGATGTCCTCCCTATGTTTCCCAAGCACTTAACAATTGATTTAAATATAAAACAGGCTGAGTGGTACGTACATGAAATTACTCAGATTGCGGCATACTGTGGAGGTAATACGGATGGGAATTTTTAGTTTGTTTTCAATATGAGTGTTTTACATACACATGCCACCATGGAAGCGTAGTATCAGGTGGGACCAAGGCTTTTGCACATTCGGGTAAATCACAAAGGCCTACTCAAATTTGTATCCTTGTGGAGACATCGCTTTGCTCTCCTGTACAAAATCGTAAGAGGCTCGGAAGCTATTTTAAAAATGCTCATATTTAAACCAAAATCCTGGGTTGAAATTCCGACCAAATATCCCTTATATAAAATACAGCAATTTACGACACATAAGTATACCTTGGAAATTCCTAAGGAAAGATTTCCATATCTGGCTATCACTTGTCACCCTGTGCACAAACCCTATGAGACTGGTCTGAAAATTTGCAAGTGTTTTCTCAGTAAATCCTTTAATATTTTCCCTGCAAAATTTGACTTTTTAGGACAAATTATCACTTTCTGATGGCTGATAGATCATGAAGGGAAACATTCGTGATGGCCAGATATGGAAATGTTTCCTAGTTTTTTAGTAAAATCCATATATCAACTTCGTGAAATCCTTGTTGAGACCTATTCACCCTAAGAAGGGCCTTGTGGAGACCTTTACAATTATTCTGTGTCGTTTAATACCCGGATCTCCACAAGGCATCATTTTTCGAAACAGAACACACACTTGATACCCTTTTCTACTTCTCTCTTCATGGTCTTTTTCTTTTAGCGTGTACATCAATATCAAACTGTGCTGCTGGTCAGTTGCACTGCACCACTACCACTGACCAACAATGTGACCAATGTGATGGAGACTATGGGTCCGATGGGGCAGATTACTCAAGTGTCAATAATGGAAGCGAGTGCAGAAGTAAGTAGTTGGATTTAGGACTGAATCTGAGTAAACATATGTTCACTAACTGTAGATATTTATTTTGATGACGGGAACTGTGCATTGGGACAACCCACATTTGATAGTTAATTTGCCATTTGTGGACAGTGAGTATGTGCTATGGTCAACCATTTGAGAGCTCAATTCATCAATGTCCAAGTTTGAAGGGGTTCGCCCCGGTGTTTCTGGCAGTGGCTGCAATATGCGCCGCAGCACCTTGTAAACCCGTATAAGGTGCTACACAATGGTCTCATATTTCTCATAAACTTTATTTACCTTTCTTTATTAATAGACATAATTTCCAGCGCCTTGAGTACCTAATTGTTGGTAGATCCGTGCGCTATATGAGACTCCGATATTAAGTGTTTCTTGATTCTGTTTATCAGAGCAATGTTCATGGAGGAAAGACAGCAACGCCTGTTACCCAGGCTCCTGCACAGACGCCAACTGCACATGCAGCAGTGGATTCTTGGGACCAGACTGCATGACCTGTAAGTTATACGCCTATATCCACGAAACTTTTGTATTTTCGTTCGCTCCACTGTTTAGACTTCAGAAGATGTGGTTGGAGCCAATCAGATCTCGATCACATTCTTTACCTCATGGATGAATAAAAACATTCCTCCATGATTACCTTTTCGATTAACTTACGGTATACGTTGCCTTTTATTTGCAATTTTGATAACATGTCACAATAGAAGCTTGGATGTTTGTTACAACATGTACCCTAATGATACAATACAAGTAAATTATTTATTGTTAAGACTTTGCATACTTTTTCATGAATAAAGTGGGTAGCGGTCAAGCACCAGTCCTATCAGAGCATCGCGCTACCCTCGAAGGGTCGACAACACTAGAATCCCCCGTGGTAAATGGTAGTACGGACGCCGTCTACACCAACGTACGAGACTTCGCACGCATCAAGATATACTGGGAAAGCTCCTATCAACCTGTTGGACTTCCAAACTCTTCCGCTGGTGGACATCCGTACATCCATAACGTTAGCCTGGGTGTTGTGTGGGCAAGAGTTGAAGCTTATGTTAATCGTGAGTTCAAACTCCATTATTTACAGTGAAAGTTTGAGTTGGTGGTGGATGGTATACTTTTAAATTGACCCAATCGCAGTCGGATGTAGGTTATTTTTGCGTGCTGCTTCTGGGTCAACGTACCTTCCCTTTAAAATTTCTCATTAACTCATTCGTGTAACGAATACTTCAAATGCAAGTTACCAAAAGCAGTTGCAAACTTATATTTCTTTTCAATATATTGTTTGTTATTTATTGTATTTTTTATTTAATTGCGCATATTTTGTTTCTGGTAATTTAAGACAAAAATACCTCCTACAACTTCAATTAACTTCAAGGCATCTTCAAGATTCAGCCTTGTGCACTACACCTCGAAAATCTCGAAAAGATTAACTTTTTTTGGTCCATTATCGTTTGAATAATCAGGGTATTTTACCATTTTATCCATTAATTAAGGAAGTACAACATTGATATATTCGATAGCCGAACAGAACTGCTCAACAACCACAGATGGAGTGTATTTTAGTCCAGACAACCCTGCTGCAATCGTAGTTGTCTGTGAGCACACATTCAACGTGAACTTCAGTAGCTGGACCCCAGTCACAGGAGATGTGTAAGTCTGCACCAGCTTATATAGAGGGAGTCGTGTTCGATATTAAACAGAAAATTACAAAATCATAGTCGTCAGATATAACAGGGACAGGAATGAAGTGGACCTAATATTTTTGCTGCATATACTACTGTAACGGACAGTTGATGCAGCACTTTTGTTGTCATTGCTTTCTTGAGCTAGAACTCCGGCGGAGCTGGCTCCGAAGCGGCAGCGCGCACCTGACCTGGTTTTGGGTCTGGCTAGCGCGCGTTCCGGAAATAGGCACTGCAGGTTACTTAAGTGGGATTCTTTTGTTCACTTAAGCGGTTAGGGCTTGGCTAGATTCCAGGGATGGGTAAAGTTGTTACAATTGTATACATTTGTTCAGACTGTGTGTTTTCTTTGCTGGGAATCAGCAATTGTGGTACTGGTAGCGGTGTGGCAAGTTGACCTCAGAGCTTTTGTGGTCAATAAAGTTGAGTTTCGATGTTCTGGAATTGGAAATCCTGTGTGTGTCCATTTTTCCTGCGTTTTGCTAGATTTGGAGGACAAATTTAGCTTACGCTACACTACCTTATAAGTTCAGACAGGTTTTTGTCACCTCCTGAAAGAGTAAGTAGTTCTTTAAAGGTGTAAGCATCAACATTTGTCTACTCAACTTAGAACACAGAAAAATTCCTCTAGAAAATGTAAGCCATGAATTGAAAAGAAGATTTCAGTTTAGGAAATTATTTTCTGTAATGCTTGATATCTCCAAACTATTTTTGTTTCTTACAGACTAAGATATGATGTACACTCAACCAATGGCGGGTATCTGAATCTCTACAACAGAGACTCTAACAATACCATCATCACACGCTACTATAATGGACAGACAGTGTCTGGGTATTCAACTTTCACCTTTGACTTTGTTAACCCCTACCACTGCTTGGATGTCGGAAGTGGATGTCGAATCTCCATGCTGAATGCAGGGAACGATGTCACCTCACAGGTTAGTTGAGTTTAAGGTTGGTCTAATTGTTATTTGTATCTTGGCAGCAAATCAGGCTGCCAACAAAGTAAGCAAGATTTAAAAGCGTAGAAAGGTTTTAAAGCACGTATGGTCTAGCGGTGGAGCATATAATTCATAATCGTGAGATTGTGGGTTCGAGCCCCGCCGTGGCCATGGGTGCTGTGCCCTTGAGTAAGGCGCTTAACTCCTCTCAACCCAGGTGTTCAATGGGTACCGGCATTGTTCAATGTTGGGAAGGTAACAGACTCGCTGCTGTGGAGGAGGTGTGGTGGTCCCCCCACAGCAGCATACGAGTCTGGCCCAATCACTAATGAGAGAGGGCACTCCGTTCCTGTTATCTTTTTAAGGTTGTAATCATTTTATAACATTTTTAAAAACATTGAAAATTTCAAAGAAATAAAGTGTTGTCATGACTAGCATTCAGTAACTAAGAGTAAATCGTCAGCCTCTCTTTTCAAATGTAAAAAATAGATTTTTCATTATTTCCATCAGTTACAAAAGCAGTTCTCTAGATATCTTGTTAAAAAAAACGATTCAAATTAATTTGGAAATGTTAAAAGAAATGTGCATTAATTTACATAACATATGAAAGTTATCCCATTAGTACCTGCAATGCATTGTACTGAGTTAACCCCTCACACCGCCTCAAACAGCCACGTACAGCTATCTGTGGTGTTATTGATTTATGGAGGAGTTAAGACAATGTAATACAATTTTATACAAGTGCTAAAGGTTAATTCATGGATGGATCAATAAAGCCATAGAGTGCTCGGGGGAATTCCAGTTGCTGCAGGGAGTAATAGGTTCAACTGATCTTTGTGAAATTGACCATTTCATCAAAGTTGTTGAGAGAAAAGAGATAGTTGAAAAACATCTTTAATTTGGGATCTCTTTACACTTCAGACAACAATGACGATCACTTGGCAAGGCTGGGCCGATGATCTAGCTGGTATTAAAGAGTACAATCTAGAAGTGCGACAGCTATCGGGAAACCATGGCAACGAGATGACAGAAATCTTTGACATCCCTGCCGTTTATTCCGGAGTTACCAACTCCAGTCAGAATGTCACTTTACCTCATGTTGGTAGGTTTTGTTGGATTAAAATTAGTACTTGTTCTTTGATGGACATGTTATTTAATATCTGCTGGAGCAGAGTTGCATCAGCTCATCTGCCATTCAGTCGGATCATTCCATCAACTTTTGATCATGTAATCTGATATATGTTGAACATTTCTTTCCGAATGTGATTGGGGATATGTACGTTCAAATTGATACTTTACGATGCTTATCCCATAAGTGTTGTTGGGATGGCGAAAATTACCCGTCAATTATTTATCACTCAATATTGATTTGATGTCATCTCATGTATATGACCCGTTTACCAATTTTTTCTTCCAAATAACTTGAAACTTTTAGAAATAACTTACTCAGAACAATTTTTATGATAGTTCCTGCTGAATCAGGCTAATTGTAATCCATACTACTTCTTGTCCTATATTATGACATCAAGTTGGAGTATCGATGAGAAAAAACGTCACATGAGGTGATTGATGATTCCTGCTCCAATGCGCCAATATTTTAGCCTTTCCCCAATATTTCTTACAAAATGCTCTCATTTCATATCCACAGGTGTATCCACACGTGTATACTCCATCGTCCTCACCACTGTCGACAACGCTGGTAACTTCAGACTCAGCAGACGTTTTGTATTCTTCGACGACGATCCTGATGATGTGACTATGCAGAACAACGCATCTGTGCGATTACTTTCAGCGACTAAAGAAACCGACTACGAGTGGTTGATTGACCTAGACTCCAACGGGGGGATGACATCAGTACTTCTTGATTGGACAAACAGATTCATCAATATTCATCACCTGAATCAAGGATTTTTGAAACCCATCGGGTCTTATGTCAATGCAACTATTGACGATGGTAATTAATTAGGCTCAATGAGATACCAATTATAAACAGACTTTTTTCAGCAGTAGCAGCTATCACTTTATGAGATTTTGAGAAGATCTTATAGGAGAATCAGAAAACTCAAAAATAAAATTCATGTCATTCCAAACAGTGAAGGCCTACTATGCCATTTATCGTCAGGAAAACATGTTACTGTTTGAGACTTCAGCAATTTATGTGTGAGTTATCTACTTCTCTTCAAAACCACACCTCTTTTCAAAAGAGATACACAATGCTTTAGATTGTCAGTAGCTTATCATTACACAAACTCAGAACTCTCATGAAGTTCAGTAGACAAGAGTGTAAGAAGGCCAAAAATATTGTGAAGAATCTTACTGATGCCTTTCCACTCCTAGATTATGACCAGAACTTTGGCCAACGTGGTCGTTCCGCGGTTCTCAATGCCCTAGGAGTGACAGAGTTTCGTGTCTTGTCCGACATCGACCACAGCGGTGGAAGGACCACTGTCAACGTGAGTGACGACAACTCGGACAACTGGAGTAATGAAGCCACAAACACACAGGCGACCTACAACCTGACCTTAGCGGACGGTGATTCCATTCGGTTCTGGGTGGAGGCTAGAGACCTAGCCGGTCACTTTGTGAGGGACAGTGTGTTAGTTCACGCTGATTCATCCCCTCCGACTATTCAAGATTTCAAGCTCATACCTGGTTTGTCGGGTATAAGGTAAGATTCTAAACTTCCCCACCTAAGCTGTGAAAACTACAAAATCAAACTAATACTATGTGTTACTTTGTTCTCTTTTTTTAATTTCAGCCATAACAGACTTGCTACAAACCGAGGCTTCTGTTTTTTCATTGCAGCGTGGAGTGTACGACTTTTGATGAACACAGCGGTGCAAGCACTGTCAAATGGCGACTCTTTCACGTCGATAACGGCACCCAGATAGAACACGTCAGTGAAACAACTCCAGTTGAACATATTGTAAGAACAAGATGAAGACAGTCTTGACTTGTAAATGTTTAATACAGCAAATTACATTAACTCTTCTATTTAGAGTTTCCAAAAACAAGTTCATAGAAACAGGCATGTGAAAATTTAATACCGATCTTTTGATATACACCTTGAAATATTTCTGTAATTTTTCAGGATCCTGAGGGCTGCAACCCTGCAACCTGCCTTTGTGTCCCAATTGGTGACTGCTACGCCAAAAACTACAACTCTTCGTTCGTCGTTGACGACCGTGCCTTTGAGTACTTCATCACACTGACGGTCACCAACCACGCTGGACTTGTAACTTCCCAGACATTTAAAGTAGGTGTTAGGGGAGTATATAAATAACCATTCTCACAAACTAAACTAAGCTTTAACTTCAGTTCACTTGTTAATCGTAAAGCTTGCGTTTGAACAAGATATCACCCAAATAAGGATATAAAGGAACACAATATCTCAGTAATTAGTGAAATTTTTATCGACTTCTTTAAGTTTTGAAGGATTTGGGGAACAGTCTTTTTTTGCTATCGGAAAGTTAAGTTTAAGTTTAAGTTCAGTGTCGGAAACAATGTGCATGGACTGCCTGGCATTTGCGGTGCTAAAACCATGTCAGCACTGGACATAACATTTATTTTGGTATAACTTGATCTTCAGATACAATGAGCAATTTCTGTTTATATTTTGCCAGTAAAGCGGCACGGCATGAAAGAGTGTTGCTTAACCAGGAGTCCATGTACACTGCAAAAACTGTAGTGTTAATTTAACACCATTCGGTATCTATATAGGACAACACCAGTAAAATTTAACACCAGATGGTCCTATATAGATACCAATGGTGTAAATTTAACACTGCAGTTTTTGCAGTGTACCACCTCAAACCGCCCAGCCCTTTACTCCCTTTACTGCCCCAATCTTCCTCACCACTGTATGGTTGGATGGTTTATCCAATGTAATACAATCTAGTACAGGTGGTGATCGTTTGAAAGAGTTATTTGATCATTGCAGACAAGTCCCATGAAAACCGTGGACGAAGCTGCGGAAGATCTTGTATCGCAATCCAACGATACTTCCTCAATTGACGCCGGCGCCTTTGATCAAATAGCAGACCAGCTTGATGACATTGTCAACTCTCAAGATACGTCCCCGGAAGTGAGTTATTCATTTGCATATTTTGTTTTCAAAGCATAAGACAACCATCTTTTCAAATGATCCCTGGGAAAGTTTAAACAGAGCAAAGTTAATAAATAAATTGTGCGCATATGCATGTTATTGTTCACAACTGACAAATTAAATTGGGACTTATTATAAAGTTGAACAAAGTTATTATGACCTCTGGAACACTGTACTGGGACTCTCTACCAACTATCCAGGCCAGGCCTAATCCCTAGCCCTCTGTTATTTATTCCCCATTAATTGTGAAAAAAATATACTTTGAACTAATGTAAAGGTGTATTCAAATTTGTATTCATTCAGTTTGCTCTTTGTGTTAAAGACTTCGTGAATAGGGACAAAATAAAGATGGCCGAGCACCCAACATTTCATTTAGGGCAAATATGAAATATCGTACTCGAACCAAATATTACTCAGGTCACGGCAAATGTCATCATTGTCGTGAACAACCTCCTGCAAGTGGACACCCGAGAATTCAACGATTCGGAAAGCGCGGCCAACTCTTCGTCCCGAGTTGTCCGCGCCCTGGAGAGGCAGATATGGAACGTCCTGGCGGCGGGGAAAAACATCAGCGCGGTCACAACCAGCGTGGCGGTCGTTGCGAGTCACTTCAACGCTGGTGCTCTACTCAACGGGGTAGTGTTCGCTGCTCTCTCTGGAGGCGGTGGAAGCGAGTCATTGGCTGATGAGGATATAGGTGTATTCCACGGTTCTGATGGGGACATCCCCTTGGTCAAAGTAGAAGTATCCATCAAACTTCCCGAGGAAATACTGAAACTATTTCCCACAGGTAGGTATAAGCGGTGACAGTAAAATGTTTCTAGGCCAAAAATTGAATACTAGGTTCGAAACAATTTAAAAATCGTGGATAAATAAAAAATCAAGGAGAAATCAACAACCAGGCACGTTTTCTGTATTTCGTATGAGTTTGTGGCAACTTTGCTGTGGTTTATGAGCTGAATGGCTGGTCCAAGAAGGCAAGCTAATTAACGCCCTTTTCGCAAATCAGTGACTGACTCACCGACTCTCACTTGCTAGCCGGGCAGTGCTATTGTTGAGGTTTACCTGTAACGCCAATGAACGGGCTAAGTCTTGCCCATTGTGTACACCAATGCATGAAAAGATTGCCAGTGAATAGCCATTTTGATTCAGTTGGTAATGTTGTGGCCCGTTGGACCAGATTTACAAAACTTGCATAGCCTTTTTAACTAAGAATGTATTGTTTGAATTAATAAATTTGCACTTGGTTCGTTCCATCTGTCTTATTAAACAGGCAGTGCTGTACCCATCAGCTTTGTCATGTATGAGAACAGTAATCTCTTCCACTCCAAGCAAGTAGACAACGCTTCGTCAACGGAGTTCCCCACCGCCATCGCCAGTCGTATCATCTCTGCCAGTGTACCAAATGTCAGCATCAGTGATCTCCCATATGACAGTCCAGTTGTCATTGCCTTTCATTTAAAACCTGTAAGATCACAAATGTGTCGTGCTGTCTTGTAACTTGCTTTCCTCATAGTTAAAAATATAGTTCGGCAGTAGTCCTTATTTTGCTTTTGTTGTGTTTCCCTCCAACCGGCAGGAAATATTAAAAACAAGGCGCGTTTCTTAGTTCTTTCTTAGCCTAAAGTTAGTTTGTATGTGAAGACTGTAAACAGCTGATCATAAACTATTGAGTTGGTGGAATATTATTTAGATTGATCATATCAGAAGGGTTCCACGTTTTGTATGCTTAGGATCACAGCAGTAAACAGTATACGCTGTAAGCACTAAGCATATTAAGGAAAATCGATGATTGAATAATTGAATAAAAAGTTGCCTGAGTTACCACTTGTGGTATACGTGTTCAATAACTAAACATTTGCGACTTGTAGCGCAAAAACTTGCCGCGATGTCACAAATTCGGATTCGCACTTGAGCCGAGTACGAACTGGCCCTATTGTGGTTGACGCCATTTTTCTGCTCAAGTTCTTTGATCCTTCTTAATAATAATTAAATAATAATAAAAGCGCTGGGATCTATAGGAAAACCTACTCACTGCGCTGGGAGATAAATGAGTACATTGTAATTGAATTTCCAATACCGCAGGTACAGGTGTCGAGTCCAATGAAGAACACCGAGCAGACGGAGACCTGCGTCTTCTGGGATTTCAATCTTCGTCACGGAATCGGTGATTGGTCACCTGAAGGTTGCAGGACAGACCAACTGACCAATGGGAGAATAGTTTGCCTGTGTGACCACGCGACCAATTTTGCCGTACTTGTGGTAAGCCTTCGTATAGGAGATAGAGAAACAAGCAAAGTAAATTTCAAGCACAGTATTTGAGACGTTGGTATCCACAGGACTATTGTACATAACAATCTTCAAGTTTCCCCAAATAATTAGTCAACTTCTTTTCTTTCTTATTGCAGAATATCCATGGCAAAAAGTTCACCAGTTTGGCTTTGGATATTATCAGCAAAGCTGGATGTATTGTGTCCATCGTGGCTCTAGTCATCACCATTGTCATATACTCATCATTAAGGTAATTTGTTAGGAAATGCTTTTATTTATTGAGCAGGTATTAAGTCAGTCACAAGTTATTGCAATGAAAAGCATTGTATTTACCTAAGAAGTCTGTAAAAAAAATATAGCAAGCGACCAAGCAAGCGTGCAAGTGAGTATAATGATATTGAACTCAGAAATTGTAAGGCTCTAGCTCTTACCAATTCTTCAGTCAAACACAATCATGAGGTGCCATGACCTTGTGTTCTGGAGCAAGTTTGTGGTCTACGGGTAATTCTGCAGGTTGTGGGTTCGAGTCCAGCCTGGGGTTGTGGTGCGTGTGCCCTTGGGCAAGGCACTTTGTCACTCATTGCTGTGAGGGCAGAGTTGGTTACTGTGAGAGGTTGATTACGGCCATTAGCGCCGAAATGGCTGCATACCGGCCGTATGTGCTCCCATAGGGAGTTGAGAAGGTTTCAAGAGTGTTGCCCATTAAAACAAGAATAATTTCAGTTGTAAAGCGCTTTGATACCCCGTTGTGGTGTAAACGCGCCATTTAAATGCTTGCTATGCTAATGGGTAAGCCGCCCTCAGGTAAACTTGTGTAGGATCGAAATGTTAGACCTGCTAATTTGTTGATTTAAATATTTCAGGTCAATCCAGTAAGTGAGCAGTTCGCAGCACTTTTATTCTTTTAAACAATATTGCTTGTTGGATGATACAGGTCGTTGAGATCGAAGACTCCCAGCCGCATCCTCATTAGCTTCTCACTGTCTCTGCTGTGTCTCTACCTGGTCTTCGTGGCAGGCATCGAGCAGACATCGTCCCGCGTGGTGTGCATCGTGGTAGCCGTCTTGATGCACTACTTCACGCTGACGTCCATGGCCTGGATGGGCGTGGAGGCCGCGAGCATGTACCTCAAGCTGGTTAGGGTTTTCAATTCCGACGTGGAGCACTTCATGATCAAGGCGTCTGTCGTTGCTTGGGGTAGGTAATCAGAGTTCCAGTATATGTGTCCAAGTGTTGAGTCACAAAGTTTGAGCTGAGGAGTCAAAGTCACAAGTCATATGGATCAATTCTGAGTCTTGAGTTAAGAATCACTTAGTCCCAGTGTGAGTCCGAAGTCACTTACGTTCAAGCCCGAATTCAGGTCTCAAGTCAGTTGGTTTGATTCTGAGTCAGAGTCTGAGTCATAAGTCATGTGGTCAAATCTGAGTCTCAGTCACGAGTCACTTAGTCCCACTCTCATCCCAAGTCACTTTGTTCAAGCCTGAGTACAGGTCTCTAGTCAGTCGGTTTGATTCTGAGTCAGAGTCTGAGTCATAAGTCATGTGGTTAAATCTGAGTCTTGAGTAACAAGTCACTGGGTGCCAGTGTAAGTCACAAGTCACTTTATTCAAGTATGATTTCAGGTCTCAAGTCAGTTGGTTTGATTCCAAGTCTGAGTCACGAGTCACATGGTTTGCGTCTAAGTCTCAAGTCACTCGGTTCAAGTCCGAGCCCCAAGTCACGTGGTTCTTGTCCGAGTTCCAAGTCACTTGGTTCTAGTCTGAGTCCCAAGTCACTTTGTTTTAGTCTGAGTCCCAAGTCACTTGGTTCTAGTCTGAGTCCCAATTCACTTGGTTCTAGTCTGATTCCCAAGTCACGTGGGTCTAGTTTGAATCCCAAGTCACTTGGTTCTAGTCTGAGTCCCAAGTCACTTGGTTCTAGTCTGAGTCCCAAGTCACGTGGTTCTAGTCTGAGTCCCAAGTCATGTGGTTCTAGTCTGAGTCTCAAGTCACTTGGTTCAAGTCTGAGTCCTAAGTCACTTGGTTCTAGTCTGAATCCCAAGTCACGTGGGTCTAGTCTGAGTCCCAAGTCACTTGGTTCTAGTCTGAGTCCCAAGTCAATTGGTTCTAGTCTGAGTCCCAAGTCACTTGGTTCAAGTCTGAGGCTCAAGTCAGTTGGCTCAAATCTGAGTCCCAGTCTTAATTGCTTGATACAATTTCGACCCTGATGAGTCACCGCCACGATTCCCTTGGTCTGGTCCCAGTCCTGATCAAACACCTGGTTCAAGTCTTAGTGGTCTCAATTGGGTCAGAGGCCAGGACCGAGTCACAAGGCATTTTGGCCTAATCCGAGTCCCAAGTCACTTTGTTCAAGCCTGATGAGTCCATGTCTCAAGTCAGTTGGCTTGATTCTGAGTCTGAGACATGGTTGATTCTGAGTCTTAAGTATTGAGTCACATGGTTTGAGTCTGCATCCTTATTCACTTTGTTTATTCTGAGTCCAAGCCCCGAGTCACTTGATTTGATTCCGAGTCTGTGTCACGAGTCCCAATTCGCTGGTTTCAGATCTGAGTCCAATCACATGTCGAAGTCTGAGTTTGCTGTCAATGTGACTACATGGTGTATCTGTTTTACATTTAACATTTTCATTTTTCTAAAATTTCAGGTCTTCCATCGCTCGTCATTGATGTGATATTGGCAGTAGATTATACAGTGTATGACAATGAATACAGGTCAGTCCTTACTTGAAATATTACACAAAGTAATTTTACAGCAGTCTTTATTTGACGATGGAATTTTGCTTTGCCGTGCCTTCTTTCATTGCAAGATCAAAGGAAAGGTCTCCGATTTCAGATAGTGGCTTAGCATTGAGGGCCTTTGCTCGGCTGCTCATTAAAATTCATTATTAATACAAATGTTTCTTCGCAGTTGCTTCTTGAAGCCTGGAGCTGCTTTCTTTTTCGGTCAGCTGCTTATCATAGGACTGGTCTTCCTTTTTAACGCCGTTATCTTCGTGCTGATCTCGCGCAAGTTCCTGTGCAGAGACAAGACACTCCAGAGCACCGCCAACACGAGCAAGAAGAAGCAAGGCACAGCCATGAAGCGCCTGCAGAACATTGCCGCCGTCTCGTTACTGCTTGGCATGACTTGGGTCTTCGGTCTGCTGTCCATCTTCGAGGCTTCCAGCTTCACCTTCCAGGTCATCTTTGCCGTCTGCAACTCCCTCCAGGGCCTGTTCATCTTCCTTCTGTTTGTCGTGCGCCAGGAGAAGATCCGCGCGTCTGTGATGGCCCGCCTGCGAGGACGAAACCGGGTCGATGCCAACGCGACCACCGCTTCCTCAGTCAGCAAGTTCATCAGCAACGCTGAAGAAGATAAAGAGCCAGGTTCAAATGAACTCACTGACGACATCATACTCTCAGAAAAATACGAAAAGGATAACGGTGCTCCCAACAGCGCCGAAACAGCCGAGACTACATATCTTTAATCCATTACCTTTCCAAAGCTTTATGGTTTGAGGTTAATGATATTCAGAATTCAGTAGTAGTAGTGAAGCGGTACAGCATTTAACATGCTTTAAAGACTTTTTAAAATTAAAACAAAATGAAAACATAGAGGTCATTTTGTTCGGGGCAAAAGTGCTAGATAAAAAGTTAACGCTGTTCCTTAAAGGGATACATGATTTGCTGTGTGTTTCTTTAACGGTGCTTCATTTGCTCTTTGTGCATTTGTTTTCTTTTAGGATGGCGCCACAATTCAAAGTAGTGGCATGAATATTCTATACACAGAGTGCTATAATGTTGGATCCTTCATTCAAATTTTTCCCGTTATTAGGGGGCTTCAAGTTTATGTAGTCTGGTTTACATATTGAACCAACGTTAAAGAGCAGTGATCTTTCCTCCAAATAATCCCAACTTTTCCATAAGTTAACGCAAGTCGTCTCCAGTTAGTTACATGTAATATCCTAGTCAAATCAAGAGTTTATAGCTCATCATTCCCCAGCATAGTAAATAGAAGTTATGACTTTTTGGTTTGATTTTCGAATCACGTTTCAGAAATGTCAGTACATATAGATCATCAACATGCAGTGTGTAGATTTGGCTTGTACTGACCTGTACATGCAGTTTGCGAAGCACATCTGTCTAGAATTTTGTTGGTGCTTTTATAGTGTCACAACTTGGCCAAACAATTTTGCATTGGGATTTATGTGTTTACTGCAAGTTCTCTTAGGTGAAAAGTGTTTATCTCTGTATGATAATTTTTTCAATCCGGTGCTGACTTCCCCAACTAATTAGCACACTTACACAGACTTCCTGTATTATTTAAATGCTCATGATCGTTTATTTTGTATTTTATTTCCGCAAACCTTCCGTTGTGAAACCTTTCTTCCGAACTACTGAACCATTATCTTCCTTCCGTCAATCGACCAACCTGCCAAACCTCAGAACTTCAGATCATTAAGCCCGGTTCATACTCGGCGCGAAAGCGAAAGCGAACGCCAATTGGCGTCATGGCAAGTATTCGCGCTGCGAATTCGTAAAGTTGAGCGCATTTCAACTCGGGCGAATTTGGCAGCGAACGTTTCTTGACGTCAAATTCGCTTCGCATTCGCACTCTTTGTTCCATAAACTTGCAACAGTCATCAGTGTATTCAACGGTACTACAACTCTGTACACCGGGTTTCTGCATAACTCTGCATAGTTAATTCCCGTCACCAATTTGACTTGCATTAATCCAGTCAGAATCAACCAAGGAAGTGTGATTGTACAATTTTACTTTAATACTCATCAATGCAGCTGTAGCTCAAGTTGGTTACACACACATTTAGGGAATGTCCGATTATGTAAATAGTATGCCTAATGTGGAATGAATAACGATGACGTCATCAATTAATTTGTTATTATTTTGTCTTTACTTTAAAAAGTGTTTGTGTTTCAAATATAGATTTTCTTTTTTTGCAGTGTTTTGTATCATTTAGAAAATATATAAATTGATAGACGTTTCAAAATTATCTTCTTTCAATTATCAGTAAACAACTTGTATTGTCCACTGTGGACATTCAACGATTCTAGCTTTACATTAAAATTATACTGGAGTTAGATTAAAGTTTTTGACTTTTTCCTCGGTCTTTATATAAGCAGCGTATGTGTTAAAACGGTATACGTACGTGTTTGGATCATATTTTGAGCTTTTTCTGACTTTGGTTTGTGACATAGCATTACAGGTGTTTTTTTTTTAATTGTTATTTTTTTTCGTTATTTTGTCTTTTACCCTGCTCCATATATTGCAAAATATTGAAATGAAACCGAAGAGATTTTTAAATCATCTCTCTATCAACTTTCAGTTCATTTTTTGGCCAAAAGTGAAAAACAATGCAAGGGATAGCCTTACATTTTTAGTCGATTTTACCTTAGATTTTCGACGGAATTTTCCCTTTCTCAAAATTTACTTTTCTCAAAACAAGCCAGAAATTCTTCTGCAAGCAAGAGGAACATCAATCAATACTCTAACATAACATCCGTTTTTTGAGCGATTTTACCTAAAGTTTTCGACGGATCTTCCTCTTTAACAAAATTTAAGAAGATTTGGGGAAAAATCATCAATACCTAGGGAAAAATAAGTGAACTTTTAAAGTGATTTTACCTTAAATTTTCGACAGAATTTCCCCTTTACTAGCACATCCGTCCAGCAATCGATTGGAATGCGTTCTAGGGCCCTAAAGGCATCTTTCACACAACTTTCAAGCCATTTCATTTTTTTGGCCAAAATTGAAAAGAAATGTAAGGGGTGAGCCTTACATTTTTAGTCGAAATTGGCCAAAAATTGACTTTTCTAAATTCATTTGGAAGCAAGAAGAATGTCAATCAATACTCTCACATGCAAAATTTTGAAGATTTTGGCAAAAATATACCCTTTTTGGAGAAAAAGAAGTTAATTTTTTGAGCGATTTTACCTTAAACGGAATTTCCTCTTTAATAGCTCAGCAATCGATTTGGAATGCGTTCTAGGGCCCAGAAGTCATATTTCTAGCAACTTTCAAGGGATTTCGTTTTGGCCAAAATTTAAAAAAAAATGCAACGGAACCAAAGCGAGGCTGGAAGGAAAAAATAGTCTGGTTCCTTTTTTGCATAAACAAAATCATCATTAAGTTCTGTTATTCGAACATGACTAAAATGGCGGTAGCATAATAACGGTCAGTGGCGTAGCCAGGCATTTTTCAGTGGGGAGGAGGGGGGGGGCGTTGGGGGGGGGGGGGGGGGCTGGAACATTTCATGGGGGGGCGTCATGTAGATCAATGATAATTTTTTATGAAACTCAAAATTTCAGTGGGGGCGACTGGGAGGGGGGGGGCGACAAGGTTTGCCCCCCCCCCCCACGCCCCCCGTGGCTACGCCACTGAGTGTGTCTATATAAAAAAAAAAAATAGACAAAGGATCTTACAGACGTACTTTTCTTGTTCTTCACCAATTACTTCCTAGCGAAATTTGAATTTGTGTGTTTTATTGTAAGTGTTCAAAAATACTGTTTTTCCCTCGTACCCACCACCCTATACCTGGGTTATTGGGGGGGGGGGCGAAATTCTCACACCCTTCCCCGTCACTAAATAAAACACACTACCGCCCTCTATTGAGAGAGGGCGTGCTTCAATAGGTTTGCTGAACACTCACTCACTACTTCAAGTTGGATTCGAAATCAAGTGGTATCCCAAATTTGGGATGCAAGCCTTCAACTTTGCACTCAGATTTTCACTATAAAAAGGACAAACAGATGTCATTCATGTTTCAATTACGGGCCCTACTTCTTTTATGGTACTTTATTATGATGATTCACACACACAAAATAGATTGAAGCAAATATTTTCCAAGGGCAAGCTAAGTGCCTCTTCGTGTGTTGGTGTATTATTTGAAGGGGGGCTAGGATGTGTGGGGCTTGACGTCATAGACTAACAGTCAACATCATTGTCCGAGAGTGCGGAGAAACGAGTTCTGATAAAAAGGTCAACAAAACAGTTCAAAGTTTTTCACAGTGTTATGACAACCTAGAGATCTGTGCTGATTGGAACTCTCCATAATAAAAACCATACCGCCCCTCACATCCTAGCCCCCCTTCAAATAATACCCCAACACACGAACAGGCACTTAGCTTGCCCTTGGAAAATATTTGCTTAAATCTATTTTTTGGCCCGACCGTTTTCCACATTCCACGGTCGATAGGCCCATGCAGGTCTGGGCCGAAGTTGGCAGGATATTGCAGCGCATTATAGTATGGGCTATAATAACGACAGAATTATCACATGGAGTTCATGTGATGAACCCATCAGCAGAACTCCTACGTGAGATCAAAGAAACTAGTTGTGAGCATTTAAACCACGCATAATATAGACCTCAAAAATTTGCTTTTCGAGCGCCTGAAAAGCAGACTAAGTGTGTAAATTGTCAACAGTCTGCTTTTCGGGTAACAGAAAATGGAATCGACGAATCGCCTGATCTGATTTTCTGCTCCTCAAGCAAGGCAAAAGAAGGTGACGACGTTTCGATCGCCAGCACATGGAAAACTGGGTAAAATCTGCTTATCAGGTATAGGAGATGAGCCGAAGAGTAGATTTCAGGTAAAGTATACTTTTCTGGTAGCAGAAGGGCAAAAAAAAAAAAACCTTCGAAACTATTTGTACAATCAACATAGCATACATTTCATTCATCTCGTGTAAGTTTTTCAAACATGAGTTTTCCTCTTATTTTTACGTACGCAATCAAATAATAATTCCAAAACAATACTGTTTCCCTATTATATTGTTTAAAGTATCAGTTATGAGGACAAGCTGAAGAGAATTTTCAAACGATTTTGTAAGAATCAATATTTAACCAAACGTATCAAACTTACAGTGAACCAACACCCACTCTCGCCACTTTCGATAGGGGGAACAAACAGTACACGTAATTACTTATAAATGTAGTCATTACTTTTGGAGAGTTATTTACAAAAATTGCACTAACTTTCACTCGGGAGGTAACACACTGAGTATACAGTGTTTAAACGTCGGTGAAGGGCAAAACCTAATTTGATTTAAATCGTTTAATTTTACGCGTGTCAAATATGTCTGGGTTTTTTTGGTTCAGATTCTTTAACCTGCAAATTCTCAATGTGTAGAAACAGCTTATTAATGTAGCAATAGCAGACAAGTTTGGAAAAGAGTCTGAAACGGACGCGTTTCCTTTCTTCGTTTGATTGTAATTGGCGATGGTTTGTTTCTTTATATCTGTATTGTTCGATTCTTCAGCAAACAATTTCTCAGTGTGGAGAAACAGATACAGATTGAAACGGACACGTTTCTTCTATAGTAATTGGCGTTGGTTTGTTCCTATATTTCCGTTCTTTTTTCGTTTGTGTTTATGTCTTGGCACTTCGCCATGATATCAAGATTTGATTGAGGTTATTACATTTCCATTATTGGTCAGCTGGTTTCATTGATGTTACAACGATGGTGCGAACACGCCGACGAGACGAAGGAAGGACCGGCGTGATGCTTGTGATGCTGTTGGTGCTGATAGCTCAACTACCAAGCGTATTAGGTGAGAATCATTTTTTTGTGGGGGGGGGGCAAAAACAGTCCCCCCAAAAAAGTGGATCCACAAATTTACGGCGTGGGGTTCGGGGCCCGCTGAAGGGCCCTATTTTTCTTAGATTTTTAGATGTGGTGCGATCTGAGAAAATTTCTGCCCACTTTAAGTTGAATTTAAGGCCCAGAAATTGATCACAACTTAAGCAGGCTCCCAAACACGGCACCCTTAAAAGAATTAAAATCCTTATACAGGAATTCAACTGAATGTTCATCCTTTATTTCTGTGATTTTAGGGCAACCTGGTTATCTAGGGTGCTATGTGGACAAAAGTGACGATCGTGCACTACAGGGAGATCATTGGACGGATATGAGTGCCCAGTCTTGGGAGTGGTGCATTGTTAACTGTTCACGCAAGTCGTATCGTTTCATGGGACTGGAGTCTGGTAACGAGTGCTACTGTGGAGATGATGTCTATTCGAGGCATGGAAATGGATATGGCTGCAATATGACGTGTGAAGGAAACGCCGGTCAGACCTGTGGTGGATTAAATCTAATTCAAGTATACAGAGGTAAGACGTGACCCATGCCTGATTTCACAAGCTGGTTGTTAATAAAACGTGAAATGCTAGCTGACATGCAGCTAAGCCGCTGTGTCAAGATGACATCAGTCATTTCGAAGTCAGACACTGAAATTGTTAAAGTACCAATTACTGTGTGTGATGTAAAAGGTCACACGAAATTTCCCGCATATAAGGGCTAATCAAGTTAAATTGAATTCCTTTAAATTGAATTGAATTGAATTGAATTGAATTGAATTGAATTGAAAGTCAGAATGGAGAGGTCGAGCGTGTATGTCCAACTAATGTCATTCCATTGCTGTCTGTTTGTTTGCATTCGCCTTAAAAGTATTAAAAAAAATATATTACAATTTTAAAACCCACTTTAGGACTTGAACATGCAACCTTCAGACTCTGAATCCAATCCACTTGCCATAACAACTAACAACTTCACACTAGGCCTACAGTCTGGTATCGAAGTATACAATAAAGCTTCCATGGACCGAATAATAACAATTAACAATCTCAAATGCTACTGTGGGACTTGAACCTGCAACCTTACGGGACTAATCTGGTGGAAGCGGATTGGAGAGGGGTATATCATATTCACCCCCCCCCCCCGCCCTTCGCATTTGCCTATCTTGGAAAGAGTCCTTTTTCCCAAAATTCTCTTTTTTTTTCTCTCTGAGAAATTATTAGTTTTACTTCTTTTTCATCGATGTCATTTAATATCATTTTTTTTATTCTACATTGTGATGAATTTAAAATTATTTGGTAAACAGTTTCACTCATCCCTCACATTTTGTTCTTAACTCTAGTATCTAGTGGCGTGTGCTCCAATCCTTATAAGCAACCAAGTCATGGATCATACCACGTAGAATACCGTCCTTACAATTATGACCTGGGTAACCTTGAGTATGTGGATGCCCGTTTACGGTATACCTGCGACAGCGGTTACTATTTTCCAGTCCAGCCCCCAATTGTCACATGTGTTACAGGCGACCCGTCTTCATGGGACCCTTCCTACGCCAACTGCCGAGGTAAATATTATAATTCAGAGGGCTATAGTTTTAGTCCCGAACCACAGCGTATTTAAATCCTATTTATGTCTCTCTTGGTCATTTAATACCAAATACGTCATTTTGAATTACAGTATGACTTTGGGGTTAAGAAGTCGTCCTTTTCATTGTTGTATAACTCTTAAAATGAATCAACTTTTACTATATTAATAAATTAAAGTTATCACATCTTTTGCTTCAGCTTTTTAAATACATAGAATAAATACATCATTTAGGCCTAATCTGATTTACAAGATTATTGACATTTGTTGCTTGGTCACTATCATTGGTTTACTGTCATCTCGATAGTTAGAAAATATCAGATGACAATTTTAATTGGTTAAAAACCTGTTGACGTTTTAATTCAAGTTATTATTGTCGTTAGTTTTATTGACAATATTTTAGTTTAACCTTTATCCATCATTCAATTTAATCTCATATAATGCAACTCGAATAATTAACTTAAATCTTTCTAATCTTTCATCTCTCTACTTTGGTACTTGTTGTAAATCTACACCGTGTTAACTGAACCCCTACCCCCGGGTGATTTTGATTGTAATAACTTTTTGTGAGTGGACGGTGGGGCGGCGGCGGTAAAAAGTTGATTATGCAAAGCACAAAATGGCTGCTGTCTTGTTGCAGGCACAACTATCAATGAAGCGGTACATATGCACGTTTCTCCTGATATCTTGGGTGTTCAGGCTTCAGTGCTTTTTCCATTGTACTCATGATTTGCATTTTCATGGTTATATAACCGTGTACTGAATGGGATTCGGCTTTCTGTTTTACTCCCCGTAATTCTTTTATATGTGACAGGAAGAGCTCACAACCCCAATGTAATGCACTAAATAGAATGACCAGTCATCCATGAATTTCATTAAGTTTTACTTCATTTATTGTTTGGGATACACTTTGAATTGAACATTTTTGGGCATATACGAGTAAATTACCACCCACCCCAAGCCCAATTTGGCGTTGTTTTAAAACTACATTAGACCAGATAGAAACTATTAGTTGTCTTACTTTAAAGAAGTTGTTATTAAACACAGTTGTTTATTTTGATGACAATTGAAAATTAATTACACATCGATATTCGCTACACTGTGATGTCCTCCCTATGTTTCCCAAGCACTTAACAATTGATTTAAATATAAAACAGGCTGAGTGGTACGAACATAGAATTACTCTTGCGGCATACTGTGGAGGTAATACGGATGGGAATTTTTAGTTTGTTTTCAATATGAGTGTTTTACATACACATGCCACCATGGAAGCGTAGTATCAGGTGGGACCAAGGCTTTTGCACATTCGGGTAAATCACATAGGCCTACTCAAATTTGTATCCTTGTGGAGACATCGCTTTGCTCTCCTGTACAAAATCGTAAGAAGCTCGGAAGCTATTTAAAAAATGCTCATATTTAAACCAAAATCCTGGGTTGAAATTCCGACCAAATATCCCTTATATAAAATACAGCAATTTACGACACATAAGTATGCCTTGGAAATTCCTAAGGAAAGATTTCCATATCTGGCTATCACTTGTCACTCTGTGCACAAACCCTATGAGACTGGTCTGAAAATTTGCAAGTGTTTTCTCAGTAAATACTTTAATATTTTCCCTGCAAAATTTGACTTTTTAGGACAAATTATCGCTTTCTGATGGCTGACAGATCATGAAGGGAAACATTCGTGATGGCCAGATATGGAAATGTTTCCTAGTTTTTTTTTAGTAAAATCCATATATCAATTTCGTGAAATTCTTATTGAGACCTATTCACCCTAAGAAGGGCCTTGTGGAGATCTTTACAATTATTCTGTGTCGTTTAATACCCGGATTTCCACAAGGCATCATTTTTCGAAACAGAACACACACTTGATACCCTTACATCTCTCTTCATGTGTCTTTTTCTTTTAGCGTGTAAATCAATATCGCACTGTGTCGCTGGTCAGCTAAATTGCACCACTGCCACTGACCAACAATGTCACCAGTGTGATGGAGACTATGGGCCCAATGGGGCAGCCTACTCAAGCGTCAATAATGGAAGCGAGTGCAGAAGTAAGTAGTTTGATTTATAACTAAATCTGATGTAACATCTGTTCACTAAAAACTGTAGACTGTTTGATGGCGAGAACTGTGCATTGGGACAACCCACATTTGATAGTTAATTTGCCATTTGTGGACAGTGAGTATGTGCAATGGTCAACCATTTGAGAGCTCAATTCATCAATGTCCAAGTTTGAAGGGGTTTGCCCCGGTGTTTCTGGCAGTGGCTGCAATATGCGCCGCAGCACCTTGTAAACCCCTATAAGGTGCTACATAATGGTCTCATATTTCTCATAAACTTTATTTACCTTTCTTTATTAATAGACATAATTTCCAGTGCCTTGGGTACCCAATTGTTGGTAGATACGTGCGCTATATAAGACTCCGATATTAAGTGTTTCTTGATTCTGTTTACCAGAGCAATGTTCATGGAGGGATGACAGCAGCGCCTGTTACCCAGGCTCCTGCACAGACGCCAACTGCACATGCAGCAGTGGATTCTTGGGACCAGACTGCATGACCTGTAAGTTTATTAGGCCCATATATCCACGAAACTTTTATGTTTTCGTTCGCTCCACTGTTTTAGACTTCAGAAGATGTGGTTGTAGCCAATCAGATCTCGATCACATTCATTACCTCATGGATGAATAAAAACATTCCTCCATGATTACCTTTTCGATTAACTTACGGTATACGTTGCCTTTTATTTGCAATTTTGATAACATGTCACAATAGAAGCTTAGATGTTTGTTACAACATGTACCCTAATGATTCAATACAAATGCAGTATTCATTTTGAAGACTTTGAATACTTTCTCATGAATAAAGTGGGCAGCGGTCAAGCACCAGTCCTACCAGAGCACCGCGCCACCCTCGAAGGGTCGACAACACTAGAATCCCCCGTGGTCAATGGTAGTACGGACACCGTCTACACCAACGTACGAGACTTCGCACGCATCAAGATATATTGGGAAAGCTCCTATCAACCTGTTGGACTTCCAAACTCTTCCGCTGGTGGACATCCGTACATCCATAACGTTAGCCTGGGTGTTGTGTGGGCAAGAGTTGAAGCTTATGTTAATCGTGAGTTCAAACGCCATTATTTACAGTGAAAGTTTGAGCTGGTGGTGGATGGTATACTTTTAAATTGACCCAATCGCAGTCGGATGTAGGCTATTTTTGCGTGCTTGCTTCTGGGTCACGTACCTAATTCCCTTTAAAAGTTCACATTAACTCATTCGTGTAATTAACGACTACTTCAAATGCAAGTTACCAAAAGAGTTGCAAACCTATATTTCTTTTCAATACATTGTTTGTTATTTATTGTATTTATATTTAATTGCGCATAATTTGTTTCTGGTAATTTAAGACAAAATTACCTCCGACAACTTCAATTAATTTCAAGGCATCTTCAAGATTCAGCCTTGTGCACTACACCTCAAAGACCTGTCTTTGACTTTCTTTCTTTTGGGTCCATTATCGTTTGAATAATCAGGGTATTTTACCATTTTATCCATTAATTAAGGAAGTACAACATTGATATCTTCGATAGCCGAACAGAACTGCTCAACAACCACAGATGGAGTGCATTTTAGTCAAGACAGCCCGGCTGCAATCCTAGTTGTCTGTGAGCACACATTCAACGTGAACTACAGTAGCTGGACCCCAGTCACAGGAGATGTGTAAGTCTGCACCTGCTTATATAGAGGGAGTCGTGTTCGATATTAAACAGATAATTACAAATCATAGATGTCAGATATAACATAGGGACTGGAAAAAGAGGACCTAATATTTATGCTGCATATACTACTGTAACGGACAGTTTATGCAGCACTTTTGTTGTCATTGCTTTCTTGAGCTAGGGCTCCGGCGGAGGGGCTCCGAAGCGGCGGCGCGCACCTGACCTGGTTTTGTGTCTGGCTAGCGCGCGTTCCGAAAATAGGCACTGCAGGTTACTTAAGTGGGATTCTTTTGGTCACTTAAGCGTTTAGGGCTTGGCTAGATTCCAGGGATGAGTAAAGTTGTTACAATTGTATACATTTGTTCAGACTGTGTGTTTTCTTTGCTGGGAATCAGCAATTGTGGTACTGGTAGCGGTGTGGCAAGTTGACCTCGGAGCTTTTGCTGTCAATAAAGTTGAGTTTCGATCTTCTGTAATTGGAAATCCTGTGTGTGTCCATTTTTCCTGCGTTTTGCTAGATTTGGAGGACAAATTTAGCTTACGCTACACTACCTTATAAGTTCAGACAGGTTTTTGTCACCTCCTGAAAGAGTAAGTAGTTCTTTAAAGGTGTAAGCATCAACATTTGTCTACTCAACTTAGAACACAGAAAAATTCCTCGAGAAAATGTAAGCCATGAATTGAAAAGAAGATTTCAGTTTAGGAAATTATTTTCTGTAATGCTTGATATCTCCAAACTATTTTTGTTTCTTACAGACTAAGATATGATGTACACTCAACCAATGGCGGGTATCTGAAACTCTACGACAGAGACTCTAACAATACCATCATCACACGCTACTATAATGGACAGACAGTGTCAGGATATTCAACTTTCACCTTTGACTTTGATGACCCCTACCACTGTGTGGACGTCGGCAGTGGATGTCGAACCACCATGCTGAATGTGGGAAGTGACGTCACATCACAGGTTGGTTGAGTTTTAGGTTGATCTAATAATCCTCTGTACATTGTACTAATGACGTCACACTTTGTTTACGTGTGCGCTTTCCTATGGCGCTCAGTGGACCGTGGACCCCCACTGGCTCCATAGAAAAGTGCACATGTAAACAAAGCGTGACGTCATCAGTACAGAGGCTTATAGTTGTTTGTATGTTGGCAGCAAATCAGGCCACAAAGTAAACAAAAAGCATAGAAAGGTTTTAAAGCACGTATGGTCTATCGGTGGAGCAAAGGATTCATGATCGTGAGGTTGTTGGTTCGAGCCCCGCCGTGGCCATGCGTGTTGTGCCCTTGATTGAGGCGCTTTACCTCAATTACTCCTCTCAACCCAGGTGTTAAATGAGTACCGGCATTGTTCAATGTTGGGAAGGTAACAGACTCGCTGCTGTGGAGGGGGTGTGACGATCCCCCTACAGCAGTATATGAGTCTGGCCCAATCGCTAACGAAAGAGGGATGGGCACTCCGTTCCTATTATCTTTTAAAGGTTTTAATCATTTTATAACATTTTTAAAAACATTGAAAGTTTCAAAGAAATAAAGTGTTGTCGTAACTAGCATTCAGTACGTGAGAATAATTCGTCAACCTCTCTTTTCAAGTGTTAAAAATAACCTTTTCCATTATTTCCATCAGCTACAAAAGCAGTTCTCTAGACATATTGTTAAAAAAAACCGATTCAAATGAATTTGGAAATGTTAAAAGAAATGTGTATTAATTTACATAATATATGAAAGTTATCCCATTAGTACCTGCAATGCATTGTACTGAGTTAACCCCTCACACCGCCTCAAACAGCCACGTACAGCTATCGGTAGTGTTATTGATTTATGGAGGAGTTAAGACAATGTAATACAATTTTAAAGGTTAATTCATGGATGGATCAATAAAACCATAGAGTACTCGGGGGAATTCCAGGTGCTGCAGGGAGTAATAGGTTCAACTGATCTTTGTGAAATTGACCATTTCATCAAAGTTGTTGAGAGAAAAGAGATAGTTGAAAACATCTTTAACTTGGGATCTCTTTACACTTCAGGCAACAATGACGATCACTTTGCAAGGCTGGGCCGACGATCTAGCTGGTATTAAAGAGTACAATCTAGAAGTGCGACAGCTATCGGGAAACCATGGCAACGAGATGACAGAAATCTTTGACATCCCTGCCGTTTATTCCGGAGTTTATTCCGGAGTTACCAACTCCAGTCAGAATGTCACTTTACCTCGTGTTGGTAGGTTTTGTTGGATTAAAATTAGTACTTGTTCTTTGATGGACATGTTATTTAATATCTGCTGGAGCAGAGTTGCATCAGCTCATCTGCCATTCTGTCGGATCATTCCATCAACTTTTGATCATGTAATCTGATATATGTTGAAAATTTCTTTCCGAATGTGATTGGGGATATGTACGTTCAAATTGATGCTTTACGATGCTTATCCCATAAGTGTTATTGGGATGGCGACAATTACCCGTCAATTATTTATCACTCAATATTGATTTGATGTCATCTCATGTATATGACCCGTTTACCAATTTTTCTTCCAAATAACTTGAAACTTTTAGAAAGAACTTACTCAGAACAATTTTTATGATAGTTCCTGCTGAATCAGGCTAATTGTAATCCATACTACTTCTTGTCCTATATTATGACATCAAGTTGGAGTATCGATGAGAAAAAACGTCACATGAGGTGATTGATGATTCCTGCTCCAATGCGCCAATATTTTAGCCTTTCCCCAATATTTCTTACAAAATGCTCTCATTTCATATCCACAGGTGTATCCACACGTGTATACTCCATCGTCCTCACCACTGTCGACAACGCTGGTAACTTCAGACTCAGCAGACGTTTTGTATTCTTCGACGACGATCCTGATGATGTGACTATGCAGAACAACGCATCTGTGCGATTACTTTCAGCGACTAAAGAAACCGACTACGAGTGGTTGATTGACCTAGACTCCAGCGGGGGGATGACATCAGTAGTTCTTGATTGGACAAACAGATTCATCAATATTCATCACCTGAATCAAGGATTTTTGAAACCCATCGGGTCTTATGTCAATGCAACTATTGACGATGGTAATTAATTAGGCTTGATGAGATACCAATTATAAACAGACCTTTTTCAGCAGTAGCAGCTATCACTTCATGAGATTTTGAGAAGATCTTAGGAGAATCAGAAAACTCAAAAATAAAATTCATGTCATTCCAAACAGTGAAGGCCTACTATGTCATTTATCGTCAGGAAAACATGTTACTGTTTGAGACTTCAGCAATTTATGTGTGAGTTATCTACTTCTCTTCAAAACCACACCTCTTTTCAAAAGAGATACACAATGCTTTAGATTGTCAGTAGCTTATCATTACACAAACTCAGAACTCTCATGGAGTACAGTAGACAAGAGTGTAAGAAGGCAAAAAACATTGTGAAGAATCTTACTGATCATTTCCACTCCTAGATTATGACCAGAACTTTGGCCAACGTGGTCGTGCCGCGGTTCCCAATGCCCTCGGAGTGACGGAGTTCCGTGTTTTTTACGACATCGACCACAGCGGTGGAAGGACCACCGTCAACGTGAGTGACGACAACTCGGACAATTGGAGTAATGAAGCCACAAACACACAGGCGACCTACAACCTGACCCTAGTGGACAGTGATTCCATTCGGTTCTGGGTAGAGGCCAGGGACATTGCTGGCCACTTTGTGAGGGACAGTGTGTTAGTTCACGCTGATTCATCCCCTCCGACGATTCAAGATTTCAAGCTCATACCTGGTTTGTCGGGTATAAGGTAAGATTCTAAACTTCCCCACCTAAGCTATGAAAACTACAAAATCAAACTAATACTAGGTGTTATTTTTTCCTCTTTTTTGAATTTCAGCCATAACAGACTTGCTACAAACCGAGGCTTCTGTTTTTTTCATTGCAGCGTGGAGTGTACGACTTTTGATGAACACAGCGGTGCAAACACTGTCAAATGGCGACTCTTTCACGTCGATAACGGCACCGAGATGGAACACGTCAGTGAAACAACTCCAGTTGAACATATTGTAAGAACAAGATGAGGACTGGCCTTGTATTGAAACAGTCTTGACTTGTAAATGTTACACCAAATTAGATTAACCTTTCTATTTAGAGTTTCCAAAAACAAGTTCATGGAAACAGCTAGGCATGTAAAAATTTAATATTGTATTTTTGTTACAAACCTGGAAATATTTCTGTAATTTTTCAGGATCCTGAGGGCTGCAATCCTGCAACCTGCCTTTGTGTCCCGATTGGTGACTGCTACTCCACAAACTACAAACCTTCGTTCGTCGTTGACGACCGTGCCTTTGAGTACTACATCACACTGACGGTCACCAACCACGCTGGACTTGCAACTTCCGCGACATTTAAAGTAGGTGTTAGGGGAGTATATTTTATGGATATGATCGGACAGGAACACGACAGCAGATTGCTACAGGGATGGAGATTTCCAAAATTGGGACAAAATTGGGACAACGAAAATGGCTAAGGAGACGAACAAATATTTTACAACGTAGTATATAACGATTGCCCTTTTTCGCACATGCCATGCCCTAAGCCTGAATGCGTCGCAAGAATGTATGTAATTGTTCCAAGAGCGCCACAAATTCCCTGAAAGTCTGCGATAATTGCATATAGGGGGCCTCTAAGGCCACCCTGGGGTTTCCTTCAAGTTAAAGTATCCGTATCCTAGCCCACACTGCACTGATTGCATAGGGGTTCTCTTAGAGCCTCCTAGGATGTTCTCCAAGTTTAATAGAGCATCCCAGCTCACACTGCTCTGATTGCTTAGATGTTCTGTAGGGGGCTCTCTTAGAGCATCCCATGCATTCTTAGAGCATTGCGGGAGTTGTTATCATCCCTGCTCACACTGCACTGATTGCAAATGGTTCACTTAGAGCATCAAGAGGAAGTCTCACAGAGCATAATCAGCCAACACTTTCATGGGGTACTCCTAGAGCACCCCTTGGGTTCAGTAAGAGCATCCCGACCCAGCTTTTAGGGCTCTCTTAGAGCATCCGGGAGAGTCTCTTAGAGTATATTAGTCCACATTGCACTGATTACATACGTGTTCATTAGAGCACCCCAGGGAGTTAACTTCACTTTTACATCGATCAACATCAGTTTTACTTTTACACATGGCTTTAACATACCATTAACAACAACAAATCACTTAAACTAAAAGTCGATTTTTTTTGGTATCGTTTTAGACTGAATGGAGAGTGACTCCAGACAATGTGGACCAAACAGCCGAATCTCTGGCCAAACAAACCAACGACACTTCCTCCATCAGTGCCGATGATGTAGCTACCGCGGCCGACCTGTTGGACAGCATTGCCAACGCCCAAGACACATCCCCAGATGTAGGTTTAGTAAACTCTGGAATTTGTTTGGATTTGGTGTCGTACACTTTTAACCAATTACAATTCCACTTGTGCATGCATTTAGCTCACATTTGTCTCAAAAAAACTAGCCACAACTGATTTAGCCACGATGTTTTAATCAAGCATAACCTATACAGGTGACAGCGAATGTCATCAAGATCGTGAACAACCTTCTGCAAGTAGACACTGGGGAACTATATAAGACAACGAATACGTCACGCATTGTCCGGGCTCTGGAGAAGCAGATTGCAAACGTTCTCGCCGCGGGGAAGAACGTCAGTGAGGTGACGAGCAGCGTCGCGGTCATTGCGATGAACCTGGATCCCAGTTTGGTTGTGGAAGGGCTGCAGTTTGTAGCTCTGTCTGACAGGGGAGAGACTACATCTCTTTTGGATGATAACTTTGAGGTTTACTACGGCACCAACAGCACGGACGTCCCTTTAGAGAAAGTTGAAGCTTCAGTCAAAATACCAGACGTCGTACTGAATCAGCTTCCACCAGGTGAGATATGGACCATATGATGGTGGATCCAGCATTTACGGAGGTGGGGGGGGGGGCAAAAATGGAGGCGAAACCCGATCATACAAAGCATGGCATAGATACGCTCATGCGGGTGAAAATGTCTGTCTTTGAAGTGATGAAATAACAAGTTGAAGGCAGATATACAAGCATGCATTCATCAATTCAAACTTTGCAAACCAAAAAAACAGGTTTGTGAAAACCAAACAAATTACGTTGGACCTGTGTTTTTTTACAGTTTCAATATTACTTCAAGCTCGGTGCTGTGTGAGCCATCTGAGAAACTAGCAGGAAATACATCACATATTACTCAAGTAGGACCTGAACCCACTCAAGTTTACATCTTAACCACCCAAGTAGAGTCCCATTGCACCTGTAACGGGGCCAAATGAATGGTTTATAGCCTTGTTGCTTTACTCTGTTCTGCTGATGACAAGTGTGGATTTCTTTAATTTGTGTGTACCTCAGACCACCCAGTTCAGGTCAGTTTTGTCCTGTATGACAGCAGCAATCTCTTCCGATCCCAACGCATTGAGGACAGTCAGTCTACGGAAAATCCTCAGACTATCGGTTGTCTAATCATCTCTGCCAGTCTGCTGAATGTCAGCATCACCGATCTCCCTCAAGAAAGACCTGTTGTAATCACCTTCAATCTACACCAAGTAAGATTTAAGGAAATTGTGTAGTTACGGGCCCTGTTCTTATTAAGAGAACGAAATCCACATTTACGTTAATTGACTCGCTAACTCGCGACATTTTAAACCGTAAAAAAATGATGTGGATAGAATTTTTGTGCAACCCAGAAAAACAAAGATGGTGATTACCGCAATGCACCGTGAAAGCACAAAACCATGTTAATTCACATGGCATCAATTGAAAAATGCATAAACATATCACATTTGCTGACAAAGATACTCTTTAAATTTAGAATTAAAAAAAAATGCTTAAGGTTGCAGGAGTCATTTTCGAATCATGTTAAAACTAAAGGACTAAAAAAGAGGGCCTCGTAACTTCACATTCGTCACATTTTTTTTAACCTATACGACAGTTGTAGAGTAACTGACTGAACTCTTGCAATGTAGACAGGTTGTAGACTGGTAGAGTGAGCCGGGCAGTGCTGTTATATAGGATTACCCTGTTATGACATGATAAAGAACTTGAATTCATACTGTAGCCACTGCAGTCTGATTTGTGAGCCTGATTTGTGAGCCTGTGTGGTTCTATATTTAGGCGTTCCGCCAAAATGGCCACTCCCATCAAACGGAGACCTGCATCTTCTGGGATTTCAGTCTTCGTGACGGCATCGGTGATTGGTCAACAGAAGGCTGCAGGAAAGGCCAGCCGACCAATGGGAGAATAGTTTGCCTGTGTGACCACGCCACCAATTTTGCCGTACTTGTGGTGAGACGATAATAGGGGGAATTACCTCTACGTTGTTTTTTTTTTGGGGGGGGGGGGGAGCAGGCTTTGTTTCTCTGTTTTTTCAGGGGAAAATTAAGCTTTAACTTCAGTTCACTTGTTAATCGTAAAGCTTACGTTTGAACAAGATATCACCCAAATAAGGATATAAACGAACACAATCTCTCAGTAATTAGTGAAATTGTAATCGAGTCCTTTAAGGATTTGAAGGATTCTTGGAACAGTCTATTTTTTGCTATCGGAGAGTTAAGTTAAGTTAAGTGTCGGAAACAACGTGCATGGACTGCCTGGCACTTGCGGTGCTAAAACTATGTCAGCACTGGACATAAAATTTATTTTGGTATAACTTGATCTTCAGATACAATGAACAATTTCTGTTTATCTTTTGCCAGTAGAGTGTTGCTCAACCATGAGTCCATGTACCACCTCAAACCGCCTAGCCCATTAGTCCCTGTACAGGGTGAGTGAAACAAAAACCGAAAGCCAAATGTTGGGACCATTGTTTTAGTGACGTTCTGCATGTATCACTTTCAAAATCAAGGATATGAAAGTCCAATTCATAAGCTTTTTTTTAGTACAAGAATCATTCAAATCACTTATGTACTTTTTGAGTTACGGAATTTTAAACACAACCACTGTTTTAAGGTTCTGTTCACGGATCGCAAAAAAATTCGGTGTTCTTTCAGCAAAACGAAAACAAATCACATAGGGATGTGTGTGAATTGTTTTCGTCTTGCTGAAAGAGCGCAAACCATTTTGGTGATCCGTGGACAGAACTTTAAAACGGTGGTTGTGTTTAAAATTCCATAACTTGAAAAGTACATACGTGATTCAAACAACTTTCATACTAAAAGAAAGCTCATGAATTGGGCTTTCATATACTAGATATTGAAAGTGCTACATGCAGAACTTCAATAAAACGATAGTCCCGACATTTGGGTTTCGTTTTTTTTTACTCAACCTGTACTGCCCCAATCTTCCTCACCACTGTATGGTTTTATGGATTTATCCCTGAAGAAATACAATGTAATACAATCTAGTACAGATGCTGGTGGTTTGAAAGAGTTACTTAATCATTGCAGACAAGTCCCATGAACACCGTGGACGAAGATGCAGAAGATCTTGTATCGCAATCCAACGATTCGTCCTCAATTGACGCCGGCGCCTTCGATCAAATAGCAGACCAGCTTGATGACATTGTCAACTCTCAAGATACGTCCCCGGAAGTGAGTTATTCATTTTGCATATTTTTTTTTTTAATCACAAGACAACCATCTTTTGAAATGATCCCTGGGAAAGTTTAAACAGAGCAAAATTAATAAATAAATTGTGCGCATATGCATGTTATTATACACAACTGACAAATTAAACAATAGGGCCTTATTATAAAATTGAACAAAGTTATTATGACCACCGGAACACTGTACTGGGACTCTCTACCAACTATCCATGCCAACTCTGATCCCTAGTCCTCTGTTATTTATTCCCCATTAATTGTGAAAAAAATATACTTTGAACTTATGTAAAGGTGTATTCAAATTTGTATTCATTCAGTTTGCTCTTTGTGTTAAAGACTTCGTGAATAGGGACAAAATAAAGATGGCCGAGCACCCAACATTTCATTTAGGGCAAATATGAAATATCGCACTGGAATCAAATATTACTCAGGTCACGGCAAATGTCATCAAAGTCGTGAACAACCTCCTACAAGTGGATACCCGAGAATTCAACGATTCGGAAAGCGCGGCCAACTCTTCGTCCCGGATTGTCCGCGCCCTGGAGAGGCAGGTGTGGAATGTCCTGGCGGCGGGGAAAAACATCAGCGCGGTCACAACCAGCGTGGCAGTCGTTGCGAGTCACTTCAACGCTGGTGCTCTACTCAACGGGGTAGTGTTCGCTGGTCTTTCTGGAGGCGGTGGAAGCGAGTCACTGGCTGATGAGGATATAGGTGTCTTCCATGGTTCTGACGGGGACATCCCCTTGGTTAAAGTAGAAGTATCCATCAAACTTCCCGAGGAAATACTGAAACTATTTCCCACAGGTAGGTATAAGCGGTGACAGTTAAATGTTTCTCGGCCAAAAATTGAATACTAGGTTCGAAACAATTGAGAAATCAGGGATGAATAAAAAAATCAAGGAGAAATCAACAACCAGGCACGTTTTCTGTATTTCTAATGATTTTGTGGCAACTTTGCTGTAGTTTATGAGCTGAATGGCTGGTCCAAGAGAGCAAGCTAATTAACGCCCTTTTCGCAACTCAGTGACTGACCCACCGACTCTCACTTGTTAGCTGGGCAGTGCTATTGTTTAGGTTTACCTATAACGCCAATGAAAAAGCTAAGTCTTGCCCATTGCGTACACCAATGCATGAAAAGACTTCCAGTGAATAGCCATTTTGATTCAATTGGTAATGTTGTGGGCCGTTGGACCAGATTTACAAAACTTGCATAGCCTTTTTAACTAAGAATGTATTGTTTGAATTAATAAATTTGCACTTGGTTCGTTCCATCTGTCTTATTAAACAGGCAGTGCTGTACCCATCAGCTTCGTCATGTATGAGAACAGTAATCTCTTCCACTCCCAGCAAGTGGACAACGCCTCGTCAACGGAGTTCCCCACCGCCATCGCCAGTCGTATCATCTCTGCCAGTGTACCAAATGTCAGCATCAGTGATCTCCCATATGACAGTCCCGTTGTCATTGCCTTTCATTTAAAACCTGTAAGATCTCAAATGTGTCGTGCTGTCTTGTAACTTGCTTTCCTCATAGTTAAAAATATACTTCGGCAGTAGTCCTGTTTTTGCTTTTGTTGTGTTTCCCTCCAACCGGCAGGAAATATTAAAAACAAGGTGCGTTTCTTAGTTCTGCCTAAAGTTAGTTTGTATGTGAAGACAGTAAACAGCTGATCATAAACTATTAAGTGGGTGGGATATTATTAAGATTGATCATATCAGAAGGGTTCCACGGTTTGTATGCTTAGGATCACTGCAGTAAACAGTAAAAGCTGTAAGCACTAAGCATATTAAGGAAAATCGATGATTGAATAATTGAATAAAAAGTTGCCTGAGTTACCTCGTGTGGTATACGTGTTCATTATAACCAAACAGTTGCGACTTGTAGCGCAAAAACTTGCCGCGATGCCACAAATTCGGATTCGCACTTGAGCCGAGTACGAACTGGCCCTATTGTGGTTGACGCCATTTTTCTGCTCAAGTTCTTTGATCCTTCTTAATAATAATTAAATAAAATAAAAGCTTATAAAAGCGCTGGGATCTATAGCAAAACCTATTCATTGCGCTGGGGGATAAATGAGTACATTGTAATTGAATTTCCAATACCGCAGGTGATGAGTCCAATGGAGAACACCGAACAGACGGAGACCTGCGTCTTCTGGGATTTCATTCTTCGTGACGGCATCGGTGATTGGTCACCTGAAGGTTGCAGGACAGACCAACTGACCAATGGGAGAATAGTTTGCCTGTGTGACCACGCGACCAATTTTGCCGTACTTGTGGTAAGCCTTCGTATAGGAGATAGAGAAACAAGCAAAGTAAATGTCAGGCACAGTATTTGAGACGTTGGTATCCACATGACTATTGTACATAACAATCTTCAGGTTTCCCCAAATAATTAGTCAACTTCTTTTCTTTCTTATTGCAGAATATCCATGGCAAAAAGTTCACCAGTTTGGCTTTGGATATTATCAGCAAAGCTGGATGTATTGTCTCCATCGTGGCTCTAGTCATCACCATTGCCATATACTCATCATTAAGGTAATTTGTTAGAGAATACTTTTATTTATTGAGCAGGTATTAAGTCAGTCACAAATCATTGCAATGAAAATCATTGTATTTACCTAAGACGGCTGTTTACAAAAATAGCGAGCGACCAAGCGAGCGTGCAAGTGAGTATATAATGATATTGAACTCAGAAATTGTAAGGCTCTAGCTTGACTGTTTTGGCAATCGCACCTTAACATTTAATTCAGTCACTGTAGTGTTGGAAATAACCCTGCCTATTACTCATGAAAACCGCCCAGTCTGTTCACTGTATTGCCTGAAACAACCTATTACTCACTGTAGTGACTGAAACCACACGAAAACTCTGAAGGTTTACCAATTCTTCAGTCAAACACAATCATGAGGTGCCGTGACCTTGTGTTCTGGAGCAAGTTTGTGGTCTACGGGTAATTCTGCAGGTTGTGGGTTCGAGTCCAGCCTGGGGTTGTGGTGCGTGTGCCCTTGGGCAAGGCACTTTGTCACTCATTGCTGTGAGGGCAGAGTTGGTTACTGTGAGAGGTTGATTACGGCCATTAGCGCCGAAATGGCTGCATACCGGCCGTATGTGCTCCCATAGGGAGTTGAGAAGGTTTCAAGAGTGTTGCCCATTAAAACAAGAATAATTTCAGTTGTAAAGCGCTTTGATACCCCGTTGTGGTGTAAACGCGCCATGTAAATGCTTGCTATGCTAATGGGTAAGCCGCCCTCAGGTAAACCTGTGTAGGATCGAAATGTTAGACCTGCTAATTTGTTGATTTAAATATTTCAGGTCAATCCAGTAAGTGAGCAGTTCGCAGTACTTTTATTCATTTAAAAAATATTGCTTGTTGGATGATACAGGTCGTTGAGATCGAAGACTCCCAGCCGCATCCTCATTAGCTTCTCACTGTCTCTGCTGTGTCTCTACCTGGTCTTCGTGGCAGGCATCGAGCAGACATCCTCCCGCGTGGGTTGCATCGTGGTAGCCGTCTTGATGCACTACTTCACGCTGACGTCCGTGGCCTGGATGGGCGTGGAGGCCGCGAGCATGTACCTGAAGCTGGTCAGGGTTTTCAATTCCGACGTGGAGCACTTCATGATCAAGGCGTCTGTCGTTGCTTGGGGTAGGTAATCAGAGTTCCAGTATATGTGTCCAAGTGTTGAGTCACAAAGTTTGAGCTGAGGAGTCAAATTCACAAGTCATATGGATCAATTCTGAGTCTTGAGTTAATAATCACTTAGTTCCAGTGTGAGTCCCAAGTCACTTAGGTTCAAGCCCGAATTCAGGTCTCAAGTCAGTTGGTTTGATTCTGAGTCAGAGTCTGAGTCATAAGTCATGTGGTCAAATCTGAGTCTCAGTCACGAGTCACTTAGTCCCACTCTCATCCCAAGTCACTTTGTTCAAGCCTGAGTACAGGTCTCTAGTCAGTCGGTTTGATTCTGAGTCAGAGTCTGAGTCATAAGTCATGTGGTTAAATCTGAGTCTTGAGTAACGAGTCACTGGGTGCCAGTGTAAGTCACAAGTCACTTTGTTCAAGTATGATTTCAGGTCTCAAGTCAGTTGGTTCGATTCCAAGTCTGAGTCACGAGTCACATGGTTCGCGTCTAAGTCTCAAGTCACTCGGTTCAAGTCCGAGTCCCAAGTCACGTGGTTCTTGTCTGAGTTCCAAGTCACTTGGTTCTAGTCTGAGTCTCAAGTCACTTTGTTTTAGTCTGAGTCCCAAGTCACTTGGTTCTAGTCTGAGTCCCAATTCACGTGGGTCTAGTCTGAGTCTCAAGTCACTTGGTTCTAGTCTGAGTCCCAAGTCACGTGGGTCTAGTCTGAATCCTAAGCCACTTGGTTCTAGTCTGAGTGCCAAGTCACTTGGTTCTAGTCTGAGTCCCAAGTCACGTGGTTCTAGTCTGAGTCCCAAGTCATGTGGTTCTAGTCTGAGTCTCAAGTCACTTGGTTCAAGTCTGAGTCCTAAGTCACTTGGTTCTAGTCTGAGTCCCAAGTCACGTGGGTCTAGTCTGAGTCCCAAGTCACTTGGTTCTAGTCTGAGTCCCAAGTCACTTGGTTCTAGTCTGAGTCCCAAGTCACTTGGTTCAAGTCTGAGGCTCAAGTCAGTTGGCTCAAATCTGAGTCCCAGTCTTATTTGCTTGATACAATTTCGACCCTGATGAGTCACCGCCACGATTCCCTTGGTCTGGTCCCAGTCCTGATCAAACACCTGGTTCAAGTCTTAGTGGTCTCAATTGGGTCAGAGGCCAGGACCGAGTCACAAGTCATTTTGGCCTAATCTGAGTCCCAAGTCACTTGGTTCAAGCCTGATGAGTCCATGTCTTAAGTCAGTTGGCTTGATTCTGAGTCTGAGACATGGTTGATTCTGAGTCTTAAGTATTGAGTCACATGGTTTGAGTCTGCATCCTTATTCACTTTGTTTATTCTGAGTCCAAGCCCCGAGTCACTTGATTTGATTCCGAGTCTGTGTCACAAGTCACTTGGTTCAAGTCTGAGTCCCAATTCGCTGGTTTCAGATCTGAGTCCAATCACATGTCGAAGTCTGAGTTTGCTGTCAATGTGACTACATGGTGTATCTGTTTTACATTTAACATTTTCATTTTTTTTTAAATTTCAGGTCTTCCATCGCTCGTCATTGATGTGATACTGGCAGTAGATTATACAGTGTATGACAATGAATACAGGTCAGTCCCTACTTGGAATATTACACAAAGTAATTTTACAGCAGTCTTTATTTGACGATGGAATTTTGCTTTGCCGTGCCTTCTTTCATTGCAATATCAAAGGAAATGTCTCCGATTTCAGATAGTGGCTTAGCACTGAGGGCCTTTGCTGAGCTGCTCATTAAAATTCATTGATACAAATGTTTCTTCGCAGTTGCTTCTTGAAGCCCGGAGCTGCTTTCTTTTTCGGTCAGCTGCTTATCATAGGACTGGTCTTCCTTTTTAACGCCGTTATCTTCGTGCTGATCTCGCGCAAGTTCCTGTGCAGAGACAAGACACTCCAGAGCACCGCCAACACGAGCAAGAAGAAGCAAGGCACGACCATGAAGCGCCTGCAGAACATTGCCGCCGTCTCGTTACTGCTTGGCATGACTTGGGTCTTCGGTCTGCTGTCCATCTTCGAGGCTTCCAGCTTCGCCTTCCAGGTCATCTTTGCCGTCTGCAACTCCCTCCAGGGCCTGTTCATCTTCCTTCTGTTTGTCGTGCGCCAGGAGAAGATCCGCGCGTCTGTGATGGCCCGCCTGCGAGGACGAAACCGGGTCGATGCCAACGCGACCACCGCTGCCTCAGTCAGCAAGGTCATCAGCAACCCTGAAGAAGATAAAGAGCCAGGTTCAAATGAACTCACTGACGACAGCATACTCTCAGAAAAATACGAAAAGGATAACGGTGCTCCCAACAGCCCCGAAACAGCCGAGACTACATATCTTTAATCCATTACCTTTCCAAAGCTTTATGGTTTGAGGTTAATGATATTCGAATTCAGTAGTAGTAGTCAAGCGGTACAGCATTTGACATGTTTTAAAGACTTTTTAAAATTAAAACAAAATTAAAACACAGAGGTCATTTTGTTCGGAGCAAAAGTGCTAGATAAAAAGTTAACGCTGTTCCTTAAAGGGATACATGATTTGCTGTGTGTTTCTTTAAAGGTGCTTCATTTGCTCTTTGTGCATTTGTTTTCTTTTAGGATGGCGCCACAATTCAAAGTAGTAGCATGAATATTCTATACACAGAGTGCTATAATGTTGGATGCTTCATTCAAATTTTTCCCATTATTAGGGGGCTTCAAGTTTATGTAGTCTGGTTAACATATTGAACCAACGTTAAAGAGCAGTGATCTTTTCCTCCAAATAATCCCAACTTTTCCATAAGTTAACGCAAGTCGTCTCCAGTTAGTTCCATGTAATCTCCTAGTCAAATCAAGATTTGTAGATCATCATACCCCAGCGTAGTAAATAGAAGTTGTGACTTTTTGGTTCGATTTTCGAATCACGTTTCAGAAATGTCAGTACATATAGATCATCAACATGCAGTGTGTAGATTTGGCTTGTACTGACCTGTACATGCAGTTTGCGAAGCACATCTGTCTAGAATTTTGTTGGTGCTTTTATAGTGTCACAACGGAAAATTCGTCACAACTTGGCCAAACAATTTTGCATTGGGATTTATGTGTTTACTGCAAGTTCTCTTAGGTGAAAAGTGTTTATCTCTGTATGATAATTTTTTCAATCCGGTGCTGACTTCCCCAACTAATTAGCACACTTACACAGACTTCCTGTATTATTTAAATGCTCATGATCGTTTATTTTGTATTTTATTTCAGCAAACCTTCCGTTGTGAAACCTTTCTTCCGAACTACTGAACCATTATCTTCCTTCAGTTAATCGACCAACCTGCCAAACCTCAGAACTTCAGATCATTAAGCCCGGTTCGTACTCGGCGCGAAAGCGAAAGCGAACGCCAATTGGCGTCATGGCAAGTATTCGCGCTGCGAATTCGTAAAGTTGAGCGCATTTCAACTCGGGCGAATTTGGCAGCGAACGTTTCTTGACGTCAAATTCGCTTCGCATTCGCACTCTTTGTTCCATAAACTTGCAACAGTCATCAGTGTATTCAACGGTACTACAACTCTGTACACCGGGTTTCTGCATAACTCTGCATAGTTAATTCCCGTCACCAATTTGACTTGCATTAATCCAGTCAGAATCAACCAAGGAAGTGTGATTGTACAATTTTACTTTAATACTCATCAATGCAGCTGTAGCTCAAGTTGGTTACACACACATTTAGGGAATGTCCGATTATCTTAAAGGGAATATACAACATTTGCAAACATCGAAAAATAAAACTACCAAGTTTTTGCGAAATACCTTAATAGGATGTTGGCAAATGACAGTCTAAAGCATCCTGTAAAATTATGGCACCTGGTATACTGTCATTTTCAAGAAAAGTGGTATTTTTGTATCAATTTCCAACGCTGATCGGCCGATCAGCGTTGGAAACAACTGGCTTTTTTTCTCAAATACTGGCCCCAATTGACCATTGCACTTGTTTGCAATCGATTACAAACCTATGAACGGGTACGAGCCAGCTAGACTGGTTCCCTGACCTTACAATTCCCCAATGTATGTAAACTGCTCTGTTTCTTCTTATATGGAGTCAGGGAACCAGACTACAGGAAATGATCGTTTTTCTTGGTTTTTATAGCATTTTCGAACCCAAAACCTCCAAAAAGTCAGTGTAACTATATTTGCTTTATATTTCCAACCCCCCAATTCCATCCATTTCTGAAAATTACAGCAAAAGCAAATGATGTATATTCCCTTTAAACCTTGGTGGGTAGTTAGATTATGTAAATAGTATGCCTAATGTGGAATGAATAACGATGACGTCATCAATTAATTTGTTATTATTTTGTCTTTGCTTTAAAAAGTGTTTGTGTTTCAAATATAGATTTTCTTTTTTTGCAGTGTTTTGTATCATTTAGAAAATATATAAATTGATAGACGTTTCAAAATTATCTTCTTTCAATTATCAGTAAACAACTTGTATTGTCCACTGTGGACATTCAACGATTCTAGCTTTACATTAAAATTATACTGGAGTTAGATTAAAGTTTTTGACTTTTTCCTCGGTCTTTATATAAGCAGCGTATGTGTTAAAACGGTATACGTACGTGTTTGGATCATATTTTGAGCTTTTTCTGACTTTGGTTTGTGACATAGCATTACAGGTGTTTTTTTTTTAATTGTTATTTCTTTTCGTTATTTTGTCTTTTACCCTGCTCCATATATTGCAAAATATTGAAATGAAACCGAAGAGATTTTTAAATCATCTCTCTATCAACTTTCAGTTCATTTTTTGGCCAAAAGTGAAAAACAATGCAAGGGATAGCCTTACATTTTTAGTCGATTTTACCTTAGATTTTCGACGGAATTTTCCCTTTCTCAAAATTTACTTTTCTCAAAACTTCAGTTTTATGAAACTCAAAATTTCAGTGGGGGCGACTGGGGGGGGGGGGGACAAGGTTTGCCCCCCCCCACGCCCCCCTTGGCTACGCCACTGAGTGTGTCTATATAAAAAAAAAATAGACAAAGGATCTTACAGACGTACTTTTCTTGTTCTTCACCAATTACTTCCTAGCGAAATTTGAATTTGTGTGTTTTATTGTAAGTGTTCAAAAATACTGTTTTTCCCTCGTACCCACCACCCTATACCTGGGTTATTGGGGGGGGGGGGGGGCGAAATTCTCACACCCTTCCCTGTCACTAAATAAAACACACTACCGCCCTCTATTGAGAGAGGGCGTGCTTCAATAGGTTTGCTGAACACTCACTCACTACTTCAAGTTGGATTCGAAATCAAGTGGTATCCCAAATTTGGGATGCAAGCCTTCAACTTTGCACTCAGATTTTCACTATAAAAAGGACAAACAGATGTCATTCATGTTTCAATTACGGGCCCTACTTCTTTTGTGGTACTTTATTATGATGATTCACACACACAAAATAGATTGAAGCAAATATTTTCCAAGGGCAAGCTAAGTGCCTCTTCGTGTGTTGGTGTATTATTTGAAGGGGGGCTAGGATGTGTGGGGCTTAACGTCATAGACTAACAGTCAACATCATTGTCCGAGAGTGCGGAGAAACGAGTTCTGATAAAAAGGTCAACAAAAAAGTTCAAAGTTTTTCACAGTGTTATGACAACCTAGAGATCTGTGCTGATTGGAACTCTCCATAATAAAAACCATACCGCCCCACACATCCTAGCCCCCCTTCAAATAATACCCCAACACACGAACAGGCACTTAGCTTGCCCTTGGAAAATATTTGCTTAAATCTATTTTTTGGCCCGACCGTTTTCCACATTCCACGGTCGATAGGCCCATGCAGGCCTGGGCCGAAGTTGGCAGGATATTGCAGCGCATTATAGTATGGGCTATAATAACGACAGAATTATCACATGGAGTTCATGTGATGAACCCATCAGCAGAACTCCTACGTGAGATCAAAGAAACTAGTTGTGAGCATTTAAACCACGCATAATATAGACCTCAAACATTTGCTTTTCGAGCGCCTGAAAAGCAGACTAAGTGTGTAAATTGTCAACAGTCTGCTTTTCGGGTAACAGAAAATGGAATCGACGAATCGCTTGATCTGATTTTCTGCTCCTCAAGCAAGGCAAAAGAAGGTGACGACGTTTCGATCGCCAGCACATGGAAAACTGGGTAAAATCTGCTTTTCAGGTATAGGAGATGAGCCGAAGAGTAGATTTCAGGTAAAGTATACTTTTCTGGTAGCAGAAGGGCAAAAAAAAAAACCCTTCGAAACTATTTGTACAATCAACATAGCATACATTTCATTCATCTCGTGTAAGTTTTTCAAACATGAGTTTTCCTCTTATTTTTACGTACGCAATCAAATAATAATTCCAAAACAATACTGTTTCCCTATTATATTGTTTAAAGTATCAGTTATGAGGACAAGCTGAAGAGAATTTTCAAACGATTTTGTAAGAATCAATATTTAACCAAACGTATCAAACTTACAGTGAACCAACACCCACTCTCGCCACTTTCGATAGGGGGAACAAACAGTACACGTAATTACTTATAAATGTAGTCATTACTTTTGGAGAGGTATTTACAAAAATTGCACTAACTTTCACTCGGGAGGTAACACACTGAGTATACAGTGTTTAAACGTCGGTGAAGGGCAAAACCTAATTTGATTTAAATCGTTTAATTTTACGCGTGTCAAATATGTCTGGGTTTTTTTGGTTCAGATTCTTTAACCTGCAAATTCTCAATGTGTAGAAACAGCTTATTAATGTAGCAATAGCAGACAAGTTTGGAAAAGAGTCTGAAACGGACGCGTTTCCTTTCTTCGTTTGATTGTAATTGGCGATGGTTTGTTTCTTTATATCTGTATTGTTCGATTCTTCAGCAAACAATTTCTCAGTGTGGAGAAACAGATACAGATTGAAACGGACACGTTTCTTCTATAGTAATTGGCGTTGGTTTGTTCCTATATTTCCGTTCTTTTTTCGTTTGTGTTTATGTCTTGGCACTTCGCCATGATATCAAGATTTGATTGAGGTTATTACATTTCCATTATTGGTCAGCTGGTTTCATTGATGTTACAACGATGGTGCGAACACGCCGACGAGACGAAGGAAGGACCGGCGTGATGCTTGTGATGCTGTTGGTGCTGATAGCTCAACTACCAAGCGTATTAGGTGAGAATCATTTTTTTGTGGGGGGGGGGGGGGCAAAAACATTCCCCCCAAAAAAGTGGATCCACAAATTTACGGCGTGGGGTTCGGGGCCCGCTGAAGGGCCCTATTTTTCTTAGACTTTTAGATGTGGTGCGATCTGAGAAAATTTCTGCCCACTTTACTCAATTTTTTTTCGAGTAAAAGATGATGGTGTACGCAGTGGCTGCCTTTTTTGCGACGTCACTTTA